ATAAAATAGATTATAGCAGAAGAAATAGCAGACCTGCTTGTAAGACATGTTTTTATAATTAACAGAATATTTAGAGTCATGATATCTGATTAAGATAAACTATTTATCTCGAGACTCTGGCAATCACTTGTAGACTTAATTAAGATAGAGCTACAACTCTTAACAGCTTATTATCTATATATTAACAGACAGATAGAGCGAATAAATTAAATAGTTGAACAATAGCTATACTACTATATTAACTATCGACAAGATAACTAGGTAGCACTCTTATCTATTATATAGTTTGTGTTTAATAATACCGCTCACTTAATAACAGGTGAAACACTAGTATTTGTAATCTTCGGATGAAATCTTATATTGCTAAGAGAAGCAATCAGGAAGAAAATAGTTATAGAATATATATAACTAATAGTACAAGACATCAAGCAGTTATATATCTAACTTAGTAGAGATATCGAATTTATAAACTATCGAATAAAAATATACTATAACTATATCTATATAAAAAAGCTAGACCTAAAAGAGAAGATAAAAGTATATCTCTTACAACAAAATATCAAAACTAAATAACTAAGCTCGAAACTCGACTACTTGAAACTCGGACTATTTAAAATTGAAAAGAAAATTAGACTAGTTAATTATCGCTTAAAGTTACCAGAAAATATAAGTAGAATATTCCTGATGTTCTATATCTTGTTGCTCGAACCTGTACTAGAAAATATAGAACTTGAAATTAATATTAAACTTGTGGAAGACGAAATAGAGGATGAATATAAAGTCGAAGCTATTCTAGGAGATAGGTAGATAGATAATTAGTAATATTTCCTAGTATACTAGAAAAGATACCCTATCTTGCAAGATTCTTAGGAGCCTATTGCGAACCTGAGGGGCTGCTACCAGCTGGTTCAATAGTATTACTATAAGATAACAAGGATACCTCGCTAACAGTAGTAACGAAAGCGTCGAAATTAATATCGCCCTAACCTATAGGACTCGATGAATCGACAGACGCAAGAATCTGCGTCAGAGTAGAATCCTCTGACGTAGCTATAAGGATCTTACCTGGATCGGAAAAAGTAGATTGAGGAATCTCGCCAGCAGCATGAGCGCTCTCTATACCATAATTTTGTTTTTCTGTATTAATACGTTCTTTTTCGATATAAGCAAGCTTTTTAGCTTCTTGGTGCTCTAACTCTTCTAGCTTAGTAATCTCTTTAAAGTTATAAGCTATAAAATCACTAGTGTATTTTTGTAATAAGCATTTTTGCTTACGAAGATATATTAACTTTGCTAATATTTATTCTTGCTCGGCCAAGATATATTCCTCTTTAGCTTTGAGAGAATTTTAAGACTTCACTAAACGACGCCACTTAGTATCGGAAAATATCAGTTTAGATATCACACACTTGGCCCTACTATTACCAGAAACATAGCTCAAATACTTGTCGGAGCAATCGGCACAAAAACACACTCATTTTAGATAAATACAATATTTACAAAGAATCATAGCCCTAAAACCTTCCTCCTCGATTCTTGTCGTCAGATTATTCTTGTAAATAGAAGACTGGTATATTATAATAATAAGATGGCAGGAAATATAAGAAACAGAACTTACTAAGAGGGAAGATGCTATTTAAGTCTTTGGAGACAAAGACCGTGAAGGAGAGGGATGATATTACAGACCTACTCCTGTTAAAGGAAATAAGTCAATCACGACTAACCAATCTGTCAAAGTTGATATATACGTGATAAAGAGGCCAGATATAGCAGCCGACTAACCAGCACAAAGAATAACTGTATTACTTAACGTAGCAGTTAAAGAACCGCTTAAGATAGTAAGATAATAATAGCTCATCGGGCAATAAACGCTACATATCAAGTAATACACAGAATATATTTAGTGATATGTCCCAAACATATTAGTTGATAGGAAGGACTAGATATATAAAGACACTTATTTAGCACTATATATTTAGTTCTTTACGATCAATCTTCTTATCATCTTATGATTGTTACTTAAGGACCCTAGATTAGAATACAATAACAGTTTATTATTTACTTGTTCGAAAACAAACCTTAACGACGCAGGAGAGATCCATAAGAACCTGACCTCGTCGACGCCCTCAGCAGTTCCACGTTTACTAAGCAAGACCTCTAAGGACTTGAGCATCTAAGGCCTGTTGCTGTGTGTGATCGGTAGGCATTACAATAGAGTGACGAGACACCCTTGGCGTGCCGAGTGACCAAGAGAAGTATAACCTTTGAGGATCCACTCACCGGGACTTGCTAGGTAGTGCGTAACAATAGTCTCTTCGTCGTGAAGTGGTAAACCTTAGGTTTGATTTGTTCGCCCGGATATTGAGATCCTTCGGGGATCTGCTTGATCATGGGCAAGTAATAGGTAAGGCGAGGTCAGCTTTTGCTTCTTAGAACATCGTGAAGCAAATGTAGGTGGTACTTATCGAAGCCACCAAGTCTTGGAATGGGAGTCAGAGTTGGCGGGGTTGCTAGGTGGCATGAGAGAATCATGTGATCAGCGCAGCAACAAATCGCGGTAGACTCTCACAAGGTTGGGCACCATTTTTTCGTGCCTTTTTTTTGCCTCTGACTTATCCTGCGCTTATATGCCACGTGGCTGGTACGGTGAAAGAAGCAGAGATCAATATTATCAGATACAAACGTGTGCCTGCCTGGAGAATCGATAGCAATATGAAACTGCAAGCCATATAATGAGTCCGGCGGGATACAGAAAGCATATCTTGCCCAGATGTGCAAGCTAAGGTGGTATCTTACCTTGAACTGAGGTTAAGATCGACCCTCACCTTGGGTGTTTTATGCATAGTGGTCGATTAGACGGCGCTAAAAGCTGGCTGTTGTTGGTCTAGAATGTACTGTTGAGAGCCAACAATCAAAGCAAGGCATGTAATATCAGAAAGATACGTGCTCAGGTGCATAGAATAATCAACTTCCGTAAAATTATATCTTACATGAGGTGTAAGTTGTTATGTAGGGTTAAGAGGATATGATTTTATCCCAGTGCAACAAACACATAAGGCCCAAACGGAAATAAACTTACCAAGATAATAACCACATAGAAAGGAGCAATTCCTTGGACCTTCATTAACCTCTTCATTCATTGGCATTCCAATTCTTGGTTTACCTCATACCAGCTTCATATACCGCACCAATATTTCTCAGTCGCTAAACCGCATAACATGGCATCAATACAGAAGATTGCAAAGGCATCTTCTTCTCTCTGTCCCCAAGGCTTGACACCGTCGGACAGCCCAATGGGTCGGCTATGCCTCACGCTTCCATGAAAGATCTAAAGTATCTCTATGATGTGCTTGGAAAGGTGTTGTCTGACAACTATGAACCTCCACTCTTGTCTTCGAGGATCATTCCCAACCCGGCCCCGACATGGTTCGATTGAAGCAGTTGCTGGTGAAGCTTGTCCATGATGGATATTCTTTAATTGAAACCGTTGATGCAACTGAGCCTGCTCGGTCTTGTTTTGCCGGTAATAAATAGGAAGAGAAAGCTCAAGTGGGGGAGGCAATTGAGAGTCCGATCGGTACTGCCTTCGATCGAATCTCACGCGGATGCGAGCCTTTGCGGTGTCGCGTTGACCCAAAAGGGGTCTTGGAGGCGGCTAACCTACCTGGGAAGCACACCAGGGACAATTATTTTGATCCCAAGGCCAATGTAGATTACAAGGCCCAAATTGAGCACAGGAATAACAATATAATAGCAGGGGTGGTCATAGAATGGAACTACCTAAGAGGACTATATCATAGAGATGATATATCTGAAGGAGGATGAGGGAAATGGGTTTGAGGAGCAGTGGGAATTTCGTTGCTTCTCTTCTACAAAACCAATCCGATTTAAACGGTATAAGACGGCAATGTTCAATTTGGGTTAGAGCACGATCATGAGCCGACCGGCACTCTATGAAAAGAGTTGAATTGTGATAAATTCGGGCGTAAGGAAGTCAAATTGTCGGGCGTGTGACGCAGTACCCCAGAGGGGTTGATGTCTGATGCCAAAGGAGATCAACTTGAATGTGGAAAGGGATTGAACAAATTCAAATAGTGTACAGAAACCTACAGTATAGTAAGGTTTATAACTAGAGATGTCAGCCTACAGGCCTTGATGTTAAGAAGAGGCTCAATTTCAACCACCAATGCCCATGGAGAGTTACAGATGCAACCCAGCCCCAAGCAATCATCACAAGGCAGCTGCTTGCAGCATAGCTGGTGAGGCCAACCACCAAAGCCTAGTTATAGGGCGGAATGCCATCATCGTTCGCCCCAATCAGGCTCCGGGTGGCACCGACCACAAGATGATACTGTTTATTGTTATTGAGAATCGTGGCAAAAACAAACAGCTGACCAGGCAACGGAGATGATTCCGTAAAATCATCCTCGAAGTTCACGAACGGTATGAAACGGGAAGCCAGGCTACGATCATAGCAAGAAAGGGAGAATTGAGATCTGGGAGGGACCTGGAGAGTTCATCGCAGAAATGAGCTGTCACTTTCTTGGAGCAAACAATGGCTTTGCCCACCCAGGTGCCCAGGTGGCGCGTGATTGGATGACATAAGCTTGGTCTTTTTTGGGCGCCTGACGGGGAAGGCAGCAATGCCGTTGTCGAGTCAACCAGCTACACTAAACCCTTTCTGGACAAACACAACATAACAGCGCTAGCGTGGCATGGCAGCTGCCCCAAACACCATGAGATTCTTCTCTTCGTCCTAAACACTTCCCACTTCTTCAATCTCCCAGCAATATTCTTAACTGGTTTTGTTTTCCTTTTCACACTGCTCTGGATTATGCACTTATAGGATTCCTCACTCCCCAGACCACACTTACTGTCCGAGGTTCCTTAATTGCAACCGGGCCGTCGCCGAATTGACGACTTGCGACGCCGCTCCTTGAGCTTGTTGGGACTACCCTCATTACTTCAATCCTTCGAGTCTGTCTCTTCTCGCCGCAACGATGTCGCCTGTTTCCGGCCAAATGATTGAGTACATCCAGGGTTCGTGACATGATTGCTTTCCGATGAAATTGAATGGTGGGGTCCTAACAACAAACAAACAACAGACCGCCTCTACCTGGCATCCTATGATTCGACTCCAAGCTCCAAAACGCATTTCCCATATCCGCTCGAGGCGCCCAAATCACCCAGCAAGCGAGCGCGGGCTCAACCACCCACCACGCCGACGACCAAGCGCCGCTCCCCAGTATACTTCACTGTGGATGACACGCTCTTGTACAATGCTTTCCACGCCGACTTTGGCCCCCTCCACATTGGGCATCTCTATCGTTTTGCTGTTCTGTTCCACGAGATCCTCGGTGACCCAAACAACAGCGACCGTCCCGTTGTCTTCTACAGTAAAACCGACCCCGGAGCCGTGCGAATGCCGCTTGTCTTGTCGCTTGCTATATGGTCCTGATTCAGTCGTGGCCACCCCACTTGGCGCTGGCACCCATCGCCCAAGCTGACCCACCATATATGCCCTTCCGGGATGCAGGATACAGCCAAGCGGATTTTATCCTGAACATTCAAGATGTGGTTTATGGCGTGTGGAAAGCAAAGGAGGAGGGTCTCTGTGGGTTGCGCGATTTTAACCTTGAAGAGTACAGATTTTCAGTCACACTTTACATGCAATTTGCGCTAACTTTAACTTCAGATATGAGAAATTTGAGAGAGTGGACATGGGTGACTTCAATTGGATCACTCCAAGCTTTTTGGCTTTCGCATCACCCCAACAACAACCTGTTGCACCCATTCCTGTCAACACCCCCGAATACGACGCTCTGCCTTCGACTCTTAGCGAGGTTTGCTCCTCGAAGCTTCCACTGCCTTTCAAGAACGTGCTCGCTCACTTTTCGTCCCGCAATGTCGGTCTTGTCGTCCGTTTAAATTCGGAGCTATACTGTCCTTCATACTTTACCGCTATGGGTATCCATCACATTGATATGATTTTCGAGGACGGTACCTGCCCTCCATTGCAGCTGGTCCGCAAGTTCATTAAACTTGCTCATGACATGATTACCGTCAAGAACAAGGGTATTGCTGTCCACTGCAAGGCTGGTCTGGGTAGAACGGGATGTTTGATTGGTGCATACCTTATCTATCGTTATGGCTTCACAGCCAATGAGGTCATCGCTTTCATGCGGTTCATGCGCCCAGGTATGGTCGTGGGACCTCAGCAGCACTGGCTCCATCTGAACCAAGGGTCATTCCGTGAATGGTGGTTTGAGGACAGCATGCGCGAAAAGCTGGCCCAGTCGAACCCGGTCACCCCAGCTCGTGTGTCAACTAAGAAGCGACAAAGCAACGGTGTCTCCACCCAACAACAGCCACTCCAAGCGGGCTGCACTTGGAGAAATTGACCACAACGAGACCGCATCCGCTCAGTATGAAGAGAATCTTCCAGCACCAACCCCTGGCCAACCTCGCAAGTCTCATCGCAAGGATTCCCGCCACCACCCTTACTCCCGGACCGCATCAGGCAGTTTGGCAGTAGAGCATGAGCAGTATAGCCGTCGCAGCCGACACAGCAATGAGGGCAGCGAGAGCGAAGAGGAGATTCAACTTCGTATGCTGGCCAAACAACGCTCATCAAAGTCCCCTGTGGCATCTCCTGGGGCACGATCTATCAGCTACTCGGCCACTGTCACAGCCAGCTACACCGTTGCAGATGGTATCCATGAGGATCAGGAAAACTGGGTTGAAAACCCGTCTCCCAAGACTCCTGCTGCTCGGAAAAGCACTGCTGCGCCAATTTCGGTCAGCAAGCAACGGGCAAGCCCTCGACGCACAACCGAAGGCAACAGAAGCGAGTCACGAGGAGTGCGCAAGCCTAGTGGCCGCATTGGGAGCACATCTAGTCCTGCTCGCACCGTCCGGCCAGTCCAGTAGGTGACGTCTCAAGTTTTCACATTCTCTGAGGTCTTTTCACGAACTTGCCTGCCTGTGGCAGCAATTTTCATTCTTCTGGTCCTGCGGGATCACTTTATGCATATCCTTTTTCCCCCTCTTCTTCATGCATTTCGATATTTAATGCTTCAAGTTTGTCTTTCGGAATTCTTACGTGGAGTTTGCTATTATGGGGATTGAAAGTCAAGTTTCTGGCATGTTGTGCGCGGCGTCTGGTTATGTTTTTTTGTTCATTCCGAAATGAGGTTCGACGTCGACGGCCCAGACTGATCGATGCTCTCTCGATCCCTTCCGTACACCCATTGTTCGGTGTTTGTTGCAGGGTTTTCACTCTGTTGTGTCAATTACTACGGCGATACGAGACGACAATTTTTGATGAGCTCGCAAGTTCCTTCGTTCTTTAAGAATTCCTTGTAATACTTACTCATAAATCCTTTCTGTTACGTATTGATATTCCCGCCGGAATGGTATATCCCCGACCTCGTGATTTCAGGGCACCGGTACTCCTCCCATGAGGTGCGATTACCTTGCATGGCGGGCTAGTTAACTAGCTCCTTGATATCTGCTGCCAAACATGGCGAATGAGCTTGCAAAGGACTTGACACAGTCACCGCCCAATCTTATCCGTACTGTGCCAGGGCTGTCGCAGATGGCATTCACCTAATCTAAGTGATCTCAGCCCCTCATCACCTATCCGAGCTTGACTCGATGGAATATCCGGCCGAGCACAGGAGTAATAAACAGTCATCTGACGCTGCCGCCTGGTACCCTTGCGTTTACCTTGAATACCTCGAGCTCGTCGCGGACGGAAAGGTTGGCGACAAAGCTGCGGACTGCAGAGGACCGGCTTGGTTTATCCTCTTTGAGTTTCTCAGATGCTGTGCGGACTTTTGCTTGCGAGGAGGAGCCGATGGTTATGTTGGCTCTGTTCGGCCGGCGCAGCGTAAGTACTCCAAAGGAGTTTGTAAAGTCAACGATCAACACGGAAAATGGATTCAAAAAAATGAGTTCGGATTATAGTGCACTTATTGCCCGGAATTCCCATAATCTGGGTACATAGTCCAGTGGATCACAGGCACTTTGGCCGAGTCTGGTCTAAGGCGATAGACTAGAAATCTATTCCGTTCGCGGGCCGCGGTTCAAATCCGCGAGGTGTCGATCTACAATTTCCCGTTTCTTTTTATTTGTTCTTTTTTTTTTTGGGCCCAGTCCTATTCGTCAGTTAAGATCTCATACACATTAACACAGGTTATCCATTTTGTCGCTTCAAGTTGCCATCTACATAAAAGATCAGATCACCGAGCGTATGATAAAATTCGCCTTTGTGGTGTTTTCATCCCGTTACCTGTTTTGAACCGTAAATTGGCGGATCGCTCCGCAAAGTCTGCTTCTCAAGCTTCAACTTCAATACCGCAAAACTCCATGCAATGAGAAACAACGATGACCGGCGCTCTCTATCTCCAGCGACTCGGCGCAATGGATCCCTGCAATCGTGCGAGCCTTGCCGGCGATCGAAACAGCGGTGCGATCACACCAGGCCCATCTGTCGCCGATGTGAGGCCAAGCGCATGGGCGATAAATGTTTCTACCATCCGGCACCCATGACCAAAAGACGCGGCTCTGATCATGCCAATCCACCTCCTATCCCCGTTAGCCGGCTGGCTAGCCAGCCCAATTCCACGTAAGTCGTCCTGGAAAAGCCTGGAGGCTGGACTAAAAAAGCATGCAGAGCATCAAGTCCGGGGTCTCTCCACAGCGGGCGCATCTCTAGCCCCGCTGGAAGCCCCCAGTGCGCCCAGCGGTGCGGCCGGATACCTGGGCTCGGTGAGCTTCACGGCCGTCTTGACTGAGCATCGGAATGAGATTCCCTTTGAGCCTGAAGAGAGCTCGGATTCTTTTCCTGTGCTGTCGGTGGAGCCGGATCGGATCCAGTCAGGGGCGGATGTGCTACTCTTCCTTTACAATTTGAATCAGCGCAAGAAGGTAATTGAAAAGTATTACAGTCATGCGTGCAACGCGGCGGTGCCGTGGAAAGTCATCGTTACGATCATGGACTCGATTCAGGAGATCTTTGATGGCTTAAATCCTGCCGATTTGATGAACCAGCTGCAGGAGCTGGCTACGTTGATATTTCGGAATTCTTCCAGAGCATTATCGACGCACCAGGGAATGACCGCAGATGAGTATTGTGCTTCTTTCACGGGTAGCAATTTCCGCTGGGAGGCGTTAGGGAACATGTTGCCAATGTTTGGACAGCAGATTATGGTTACGCCAGCTAACGATACGGAACTGCTGGGGAGTCCAGAGGATTCTCAGGCAAAAGAACAGATCTTGGAACATGTTGCGAGAGCAAGTACAATATGTCTTAGCTTCTGTGATCAATCGTCGTCCGCGAATGAGCTATTGGCTCTCATGCAATATAACCATGTGATGTTCTTAACTCAACACTATGGCGATTCAAGTGAGTCGTCGTGGCAATTTTACCCGCTGATAGGGTTTCTGACAGATAGAAAGGTTATCTAGCATGGCGGCGACTCGGTGATTTGGTAGCCACTATCTACGCTGCAGGACTCCACCTTGACCCAGCCGGCTCAGAATCCTATCCATTCTTCTTGCGGCAATGGCGGAGAGGTTGCTTCATCTGTGCGTTTTACATGGATAAGATGATGGCAACCTTCGTTGGCCGGCCACCATTAATGAATCACCGCTATTGTACTCTGGATCCTCCCCTCGACCTGAGTGACGAGATCCTTATACAAGGCGGCGAGCCCCTCGCTCGCGCAGTTGCCGCCCTCGGTCCCTTTGGGTGGAACGCTGATGGCGTTCGAAACCGGATGAGCTCTTCGAGGCTTCGGTTCCAGCTTGCCATTGCAAGAGAAAAGACCCTTGACATCGCACTAGCAACGCCTGAGACACAAAATTTGCTCCAAAGGGCAAGGTAAGACCTCGCTTTTTCCTTCCTTCTTTTCTTTTTCTTGTCTTTTGTGTATTGCCACTACCAGGTCTAACATGGATCACAGTGAAATCCAAGACGATCTCCAAAGAGTATGGGAAGCCGCTCCCGCGTACCTTCGACATGACCGAGAAGACAAAAAGGATTCGCGGGAAGTGTGGATCAGTATCGTTTACCTGTACCTCAACTATCTCTATACCGGTTTTCTCCTTCAGAGGGCGATCATCAAACACATAAATACCGGCCACGACAGGCTCTACGACATCTCCCGACGTTTGCTCACCATCGTTACATCCATCACTACCCAGCGGAATTCGATGGTGGATCTTGATACGCATTACTCGTGGATAGTGCGGCTCCTTACCTCTATTTTTTGATGCAATGCATGTCTTACTAACGGAATGCAGGCCCTCACATACGGCCTTCCCAGCGCCAGCGTGCTCTTAATCGAACTGTTACATCAGTCGCACGCTCCTACGCCCAACGCGGTTCCCCTGCCGCGTGCAGAGATCATCCGCAACCTGAGCGTGTTCGTGTCATTGTTGTCCTGGATCTCACGACCGGGCCAAGGAAACTACCGCGAATGCAAAGAAGCGGAGAAGAAGCTGTCTCGAATTCTGGATCAACTCCTGGACCCACAGCCCGTGCAGGCTGATCTGGTAAATGATGTCACGTCCAACCTGTCGAGTTTCTTGAACTGGTCGAACTATAACTCTTGGGATTTCAATCCGGAATATTTCCCGGCTGCAGAGGGGTTTCCGGGGATGCTATGAGTCTAATGGAGGCTGATGGGGATACTAATGAGCTGTTGCAGAACACATAGTGCAGTTTCTTTCTTTATTCGTGGTCTCATGATCATTGGAGTTGAAGAGCCGGTGTTATGTGTAGACCACCATCAGCCCCCTAATCGCATATTCAATCCCAGATATCCAAATCTGTGCATCGCTCCCTCGGATCATACTATCCACGCGAATTCATGCCGTGGGCGAGTAGTCGGCACATAGTAGGCACGGTGGCACAGCGGGCAATTATAATGGTCCCCCAAGAACCATTTTTCCAGACATTCCCGATGGAAGACATGCAGACACTGTAGCTCACGGATTTCTTCCGATCGGTTGACCTGCTCTAAGCATACAGCACTGTCCGGATGAGTAGCATGATTAGCTGTGCGACAGTGGGAATCCGAGGTTCCGAGTCCAAAACCTACCAAACAAACTGGCTGTCCACAGCCTCCGAAAGTCCCATTTTGCCTTTGGTAACGGCCCACCAGTCCTCGAGGGTTCGGGTGGGCGAAACCTTGTCGAGAGACTTCAGGCGCTCGTCTGGATTTTTGCGAGAGCGAAGGAATGCTTGGCGATCATGCCGGTTGATGACGATGGTCAAGCTGGGCGCTAGTCAGTCTCCGACATAGCAGGTTGCACGAGGCCGGGAGTATACAGCCAGGCAGAGTAGGGCCGAGACGAGGATCCACGAGACAAAAAGGCTCCGGGATGATATTCATAGATGCAGGATAGAATCCAGCGCAACTCACATCAAGCTCAACACAATCAGTGTCACCACACCTAAACCAATCCCCAAGACAATCGCCATATGACCGGTCTTCAGGTTGTCATTTTTGTCCGCCATCTCGCCTCTCCGAGCTGAGAGAGCGCCCACCGAAGAAAGTAGAGGGAAGTGCAGAGACGTCAGGCCCAAGCCCTAAAGATTAAAGATACGGAAAGTATTCCAGACTGTGTCGATTTCGAAGGATATCCCTAGGGGATAAAAGAAAGCCGGTGGAGGTGATCGACCCGTGTCAAGCGGGGGAAGCTCAAGTGGATAATGCGAACTAAACCGTATGATGAACCCATGGCATCCCTCCCCCCACCTCCCTTTGGGAGCCAATCGTGGGTCGTGCGGGAAGGGATGTGCTCCAATGGGTTTGGGCGCTTGGGGAATGTCGATCGGCTGAATTGTCCTGCGCCTTTTTTGACTTTCAGACTTGGCGGGTTGGCGATGCCGTGGAACTCGTATGGGCCAACACTCGGCGACTTGGTTTCTCGTTTCTCGAGACTGATTGGCTCTCCTTATCTGAACTATCACCATCCGTGCTCTCTCCTGCGTCACTTACCTGTCAGTCATAATGTAGTGCTTTCTTCCCCTAATCCTTCCATCCCTTTTCCTTCACGTGCTATACCCGCATCCTCTCCGACCCCACAACCCCCACTTATTTGTACTTTATTTTTGGAGAAAATACCAGCTTTACATTCGTGGGGCCCCTGCCTCTCTGCATCTACGACGGTTGCCATTGCATCGGGGAGATCTGCTGCACCTGATAGGCTGTCGCCATGTCTCGCTGTGACATCGACCGGTTTGGTCCTCCCCTTGACACTGCCACAACCACAAAGACTAAAGTTGATTAGGCTTTTCGGTTGCTGCTCCACTCGAGCCCAGACGGCCCACAGGTCCACTTCGTCCTGTCAAGACAATTCGCAACTTTCCCAAGTACATGCACTGCCCTTGCCGCTGATCTGCAGCATGACCTTGATCTACCCTGCGTTCTGTGGAAGCTGACAACGTGCAGCTGATCAAAGGTCTGCGCTTGGTGCTTGACCAGCTGCAAGGTCTCTAATTAGAAAATGACAACACTGCAGGCTTTGGGGGGGAAAGCCGACTTGGAAATACTCAATATACTACCTGTGCCTTGGTCTCAAGGAGACACTGGTATCCGCATGATCTACATGCGGTCGAGAAGACCTTCTTTTTTTTTTTTTTCTTTTTTCATTTTGGTTTTGACTGTTGTGCCAGATTTAAGATAGCTCCACACGATTTTAGAAAACCACCCCAGTATCAGATTGAAGAAGACAGCCCCTCGAGATCGGTAGTGGTGTACAGCGCGGTATATAGCTTACTGCGGGGCTCTTCCCAATAATTCTAAGGATGATTACTTAGACAGTGTGGTTGTAGACTTGCTGACATTGGCGTTCATATGGATCAATTGTACTTTATCGCACTGAAGCTACCACATGAAATTTCAGATTCCAGTAATCCTACCTGCTATCGTGAAATATCAGGGACTATTGTAGAGCATGGCGCTATTAGGAAAGCAAGACGTCAATATCATCACGTGGTAACCCATCTGTTGACGTTCTTGATGAAGCGGCTCAAAAGCCACAAGGGGCGTCGTGCGCTATATGACAAGGATACTTTCACCTCTTCCACCGACAAGCATAGTTCTAGGACCCTCATTCCTTGTCTGTATATCCTGTCCTTGAGCCTCGCGAAGGTCTCACGGTCGTGTTATGCGAGATCTATCAGCATGGCCTCGAGATCTTTTCAACTGTGTGAGAACGCGGCTCGCTGGTCTTGGAGCCGATGACATTATCTTGAACATACGTACAGGCACAAGGGGACCCCTGATGGGCTCGCCTTCTTGTTGACTGTTGGAGAGCATGAAGCTCCAAGGGATCAAATACTGCACGTGGGGAGCCGGGAGGGGCATTTACCTAGGCAGCTTGCTGCAAGCTGACGAAGTTCTTTTTATCCCTTTCTCTTTCTGTCCCGTTTCCCCGGATATTCTTGGTGGTCGGGATCTAGAGGTTACTCCCACGTATTTCCTTTGTTTTGAAGATGGCTCCAAGAGGGGGAGACGAGCAATCTCAAAGAACCGGAAATGCCTGCCGCTCTCATCTGAAGCTATCCTCACCGAAACGAGAAAAGGCGCCCTGTTTCATCAAGCCTACAGCTTTGATTCCGGGTATACTTTGGTTTATTATCTCGAACGATCTCGAATTATTGTAAAATATGGAAGACTAATGATGTAGAGCACACCTAGGTAAGCAGCTTCGAGACTGTATAAATGTAAAGGAGGCCTTCGGAGGACTGTTGGTAATTATAGCAGCTTCGAGTGCCTCTCTTCCCTTCCTCGGTTATAGTATCCCTTGGTCTGGTGCGTTGTACAAAATCTAGCTGCGCGGTTGGGCAAGAAATTAAGCACCATGGGCTCCCAACGCTCGTATGTTTTGTTTTAACTAAGGCTATCAATAGGGCTATTATAGGCTGTTCCCAGCAGAATATCGGAGTATGCATAGGTTTCTTCTTTCCCAGAGTCAGTTTGCCAGAAAACGAAGTTGAAATGGCCATGCTCAAAATAGACCTTCGTACGCTTCATTGCAGCCACATACGTCACGTGAGAGCGTGTTTTTCGCGTTTCCCGGCGGATCGCCTGGAAGACCGATGGTGAAATAATCACACCGGGTATTGAATCTTGGAGGCTGGGGAGCCGCTGCACATAATGCTGCATTCCAGAGCCTCGGAGCTTCCCAAGATTTCTCAGATCTCGCGCATTCCACACCGTGACGTGGGACACGCGACGGCCCCATAGCGAGTACCACATCGGCTGCAGTGGGGACTGATTTTACTTTCGAGTCGCGTCTAGAGCCCAAGTAACACTCCCCAATCCACGTAAATATGCGATGTAGCTGCGCGCAGTATGGGCTAGCTGCAATAATTAGCCAGTAATTGCCTTGCAAGAGGACAAATTGGAGTGAACATTTTTTTTTTTTATTTCTTTTTCATGGAGCAAGGAAAGGCAAATTCAAGGCAAAGGACCGTGGGGAGGCAGCGCTAGTGGGGGCACGGCCAGAAGCTCCGCGTCCACAACCGCGACGCCGCGACGCGATTATCCCGGCCACGGCATACTCTCTTCCTATTTCTTTCTTCTATACCTTATACCTTCTTGTCTTCTCTTCCCCTCTAGGACGAATTCTGCCTCCCCCTCAAAACCTCATGCTCTCTTAGCTGAGACCATGTCTGACCTGGAGCAATCGGTGGTGGCGGCGACTTCGTCCTCGCCGTCTCTTCCGGCCACCGACTCCACTGCCCTCAACTATGCCTTCCTTGTCCACTCGCAGAAAACCCTCACTCAGAATCTTCCTCCCCGTGTCGACAACAAACTGCTCGCTCGCCAAAAACGCCGTCGAACGAGGTAAAGATGACCGCATGTTTCATTCCCGAACGCGTCTGATCATGAACTGAATGGTGTAAATTATAGCCCGGAGGATCATGCCATCCTAGAAGAGGAGTACCAGCGAAATCCAAAGCCAGACAAGGTAGCGCGGGCGAATATTGTGAACCGCGTCTCGCTCGGCGAGAAAGAGGTCCAGGTGCGTGCTGCCAAGACTTTGACTCCCAAATCCCTTTTCTCTCCGTCAACCGGGGCACTGATTCTTGCAGATCTGGTTTCAAAATCGTCGCCAGAACGACCGTCGCAAATCCAAACCTCTCCAGCCGCACGAGCTTCTCGCTCCTCGATCGAGTATGTCCGATTCGTCGGGACACCCTGCTAGTGACGATAACGCGTCCGCGGAGCCCGGGTCGTCGAGTGGGGCAGAGCAAATTGACACCCCAGAACGACCGGAGAGCACCAAGCCAAAATCGTGGGGCGGCGAGCTGCTACATTTGCCGGATTCGGATCCAGTGATGGGGGAGAAAGAAGACGATGATCTGCCTCCGCAGAGCACACAAACGAGCGTGGCAACTGAGGCTGTGGAAGAAACCCCGCCAACGACCCAAGAGGAGTTCCATGGGCACAGCTCAGGACTAAACCTGGAAAATGGGTCGGATGAAAATCAGTTGCACGTTCCGAAGCGAAAGCGGTCATTATCTGATGTCAGAGGCGAGGGGTCGGATGAAGTGCCAGAGACAGTCCACGTTGGAATCACGACGCCTGTCAAATCCCCACCGTCACTGCGGTTGTCCTTCTCGTTTGATGGAGAAGCCATGGTACGCAAGGAAGATGAGTTGACACCATCGCCACCGAAAGGCCGGAACGCGTTGAGGATAGCCATGTCGTGTGATGGGAAAGCTGTCATCCGGGCGGAGAATGAGCCTTCACCGTCCAAAAACCGAGTCGCCATGTTCTCTGTGCGTCGAACAAAGCAGTCCAGCCTTCGCCGGACGAGCAGCGCTATCTTCCCAGCCACGCCGCGGGCAGACATGACTGAGAAGGACCGTGTCTTTGGCCGATCCCGTGACCCTCGCAATTGGGAGTCATTCTTCGATACAGATGCGCGCAGTGCTCTGTCCACACCAAGCAGTTCTCAGACTGCACCTCACCTCTCCCCGGGCCTCTTCCAATCCCGCAGCCAGCGGTCCCTGACTCGCAGTGCCTCAACACGGCACAGCCTCGCGATTCACGAAGACAATGCCCGCACCCCGATTTCCCAGTCCATGGGTGAGAAGCGACGAAAGCTCTCTCGCACAGTGTCCTCCTCGGCCGGTTAGAGACAGATCGAAACCGTGCCAACGCGAGCTCTAAGCTCTCCAAGTCTATGTCCAAATCGCACAAGCCGGGCTTTGAGCTTGATGCCGGTGACTCCGACAAGGAGAACTGGGTTCCTGGAACTCGGTCGTCGCAGGCTCGCCGCCGTCCAAATCCTAATGCCACTCGCTCTGTTCTGCGTGATGCCAACCGTAACCGCGGGTTGGGACTGTCAACCAATGGGAAGCGTAACCGCCCACTTGGCTCCGGCGTCCAGGGTAAAGCGCCAGACGTAGACGCCGATGTCTCGGCGTTTATGGCGGGCGGTAACGGCGGTAGTCAAGAGGACGATTTGGACTGTGTTCAAGGTCTCTTGTCACTGAGCCAGGGGGCTTGGAGATGAGGATCTTAAAAAAAAAAAGAGGGCGGGGTGCAACACAGCCCATTTCCCAGTTAGATGGGGTCTGTTTTCTCCCTCTCGTCTCTCTCATGAGTATCTCTCACCATTTGCACGCTCCTCCCAATGACCCGAAACCCAAATTCCCCCATTTTCCTTTGTCTGTCGCTTTTCTTGATGATTCGTGATATCTTGCAAGCGGTTCTCTCGCCACATTCCCGTCACGTGAACTAACGACCCCTTGTTTTCCTTCAAGGTCCGTCGAGTCCTTGTTTCTTTACCCTTTGTATCTAGCGCCCCTGTTGAGCCCTGTGATTCTGTGGGGTTAGATATACAGTCGATATGGCTCCTCGATCATCGCCGCGTCAATCGGTGCGCTGGCGATCGAGGGGCTTGGCTCCGCGATAGCTTCAACTAATTCTGGAATGATACTCCGATAACGACTCTAATTTTCGAATCATTTTATATCGAAGATGGCAATAACTGTATAACTAGGCACATGCACGGACGTAGCTCTTCAACTGATCTAGAATACCAATTACAATCCGAACCTGGCTTTATGGGTAAGAAACCTTCCAGTCACAAGCTATCCTTCACTCCCGACTCTGCGAAGGCAACGAATCGTCCATTCCTGAAACCCCCTTCTTCCCCAACCCCAACTTCTCACAGACCTGCCCCGCGGCCCTTTCACCACTCCAATATGCCCCCGTCGTCGTCCCCAGTGCCACAAATGGCGAGGTATGTTCCCCCCGCAAACCACAACCCTTTCTCCGCCACCCCGGCCCGCATCACCTCGATATCTTTTCCCCCTTGCTCCAGCCCGACCTGGAAATTACTGTAGGACCCGTACCCGCCCAATTCATCCGTCTGCCACTTCGTCGCCAGGATAGCGCTGGGCACGCAATCCTTCGAAAGGGCATTGTAGCCCGGCAACCGGGCGTAGAAAGGCTCCAAGAACCCGATCAGCGTGTCCCTGTATTCCTGCGACGCAGGATCCAGGTCCGCGATGCGGGAGACGATGTGCGCACCCGAGGGCCCGTAGGTGTAGAAGAGGAGGGTTGGCTGGGCGCAGTCCTCGGGGAGCGAGGCCAGCGACATGCATTCCTGGTTCCATTCGACGCCCGCCGGGTGCTCTACGTAGTTTGGTTCCAGGAACTGGGCGAAGAACGGCTTTGCGGTGCCTGTGTCGGGCTGCCAGAAGGCGCGGGGGAAGCGGACGAAGACTTTCTCGAGGCGGCCGTAGGAAATGCTCTTTATGGCGGAGGTTAGCGGGGCCGGAAGGGCCGGGGTGAATGCTGAGAGGTTGTTCTTTAGCCAGCCGAGGGGGCAGGTGACGACTACTTCGTCGAAGGTGTGGGTTTCGCCTGCGGAGGTGGTGATGGAGATTTGGTCGTTGGATGTGTCGATCTTGACGACTTTTTGGTTGAGTTTGATGGTGGCGTCGGATTGCGCTGCTTTGGCGACGTATTCTAGGATCCGTTTGTAGGTTGATGCGACGAAGAAGTTGTCTAGATGCCCGCCGGGTTAGAATGTGGCATTGATTCGAACGACCGAGGGGGGGCCCCCGCGTGGGTGATAGAGGTAGTAGTAACTCACTGCCATCGATGCATTCTTCCAGATGGAAGAACTTGAGACTCTGCCGTTCAATGGGTTCCCCGACATATGCTCCCCAGAGCTTGCATGCATCAAGGAGGAGCTGTTCCTCTTCCGGCGAGAGACTTGTTTCCTTGACGGTCTCTTTGAAAAAGTCGTATAGACTCCGTTCGGGCGGAATTGTATGCTTGTTCTTATTACTATACTCAAATGCTTTGTCGATAGTAGTCCAGACAGCCTCTGAGATCAAACCCGTGTTGTATTCGCTGACGGGCTCTCCGTCGCGCGAGAAAGCTATGGGCTGGATATCGGGATCCCGGGGCGATTGTCTGCGTCTTCTCTGCAATCGCCATGATGGGGCTCTCACGAGCTCCATGGATCCAATTAGGGCCTCTGTTATCATGTCAGCTTCTGATCACTTCGATACCGACTGCAGATACGGGATATCGCCCACTTACAGATCCACTAGACGGCCTTCCAGCTCAGCTTGGTGGACCTATACAAGATAACAGAATCCTTCAGCAGCGGTTCGGTAGATGACAACTTCTCCGCTGATCTCAATCAAGAACAAATCACATACCCGGCCTCCAAGACGATCTCGCGCTTCTAGTATGGTAACCTGGGCCCCGTTCTGCACGAGGACATCGGCACACCGCAGACCCGACAGGCCGGCGCCAATAATCCCCACATGCGGCTTTGGACTCATCGTGAAAGGAGCTGAATAAAAAGGGCGAATGATCCTGGCACGAGCCGTTGTTTTTACAGCGAATTGGGCTGTCGCTTTGTACATGAACGCCTGTCAGAATGGCGAGTTTTTTGCGGTTAGATAACAAGCGGGGATGGGCGGGAGTGATTGGTTATCGTGAGATCTACAATCTAATCTGCAGATGCAAGACATGCCAACCTTCGGGCGATAGCATATCTATTGCGTGGATTATCCGTCTCAGCAGGGGGGGGGAAACAAAATAACATATACTGATACCCTAAAGCTTATCTACGCGGTAACCGGGAGTTTTCATCCCAAATTTTCATATTCAGTAACGCCTGACATCGCCTAAAGACTGGATTCAACAGAACAGGAAACGCAACGGGTGGTATTGGTGCAGAAACAAGACAAGAGACAAATGTTACAACCCCCCCCAAAAATCAGACTAGATCATGCACAGCATAATCAAATGCAAAAAAAAAAAAGCCCAACGCCAGGAATTCGAGTACGCCATTATATCAAATGCGTGAACGGACATGGAAGAGCACCACCCAGGGCTCAACGCCTATCCAAATGATGACATGGACCTTCAAACTGAACCAAAACAGATATACACGTATCGAGTACAGGTAGGAGGATATGGGATCAACCCCCTAGGTAACAGGAGTCGCCAGCATTAGGCTGTCGAACCTCATTGGGAAGAGATGCATGGGGTTTCCAGCAGAAGAGTGCGTGCCGGTGCACGAGGCAGCGACGGATAGGGCCATAACCTTTCTCATGGCCCTCAACTGCCTTGGATGGTGACCATTGCCGCCGATGACAATAGGCATGACTGCTCGTAATTTGACAAGCGAAGAGGGGGAGTATGTGGTATGTGTCGCTAATTCGACTGCTCAGATAGCACGTTTAATCTTCCCAAATAGTCTCCAAGTCGAGGTCTTGGCGCCGCTCTGCACCACAGACACTCCATCGTTTGCGTTTCTCATTTCGAGGGGCATACAGGTTGGTGCCCCGCGCTCCAGATGGATTGGCGTCGGAAATGCCGCGACGTCGGTTACTGCTGCTCGTTGCTTCCGCCGCATCAGCCGCAGCTTTGAGCTTTGCGATACGATCCTCGTCCTCCAAAGCCTCGGCCTCCTCGTCGGGAATATCGGGAATGGTCTCGAGAGATGAGATACTCGGACTTCGCGACCGGAGACTTGTAGGGGTAGACGGCACAGATGAAACAGAAGAACTCGAGTGAATCGGATATGTTTCGTTGTATTTCGACCCGAGCACGGGCGAGGGCTGCGACGGCGGGCTGATCATAGGCTGCTGGAAATGAAGAGGAGAGGTAGAACGCAGGCGCCGAGGGAAATGCTGGGGCGCGAGCACCGGGGAGTTAGATTGCGAGGAGGGCGAGCCGGGGCCGGTCTGGAGTTCGTCGTTCTCAGAGATTGTTTCGGAGATATTGAGTGACCCGAGGCGGGTTTCGATATGGTCGTCCGGGCGCATCTGCAAGGGCAAGGGTCGCTTCGAGGCGTCGAGCGCCGATGTGGGCATCCCGCGGCCGTTGACGAAGATATATCTCCCCCGAGAGTCCAGCCCTGGGGAAGAGTATGCGCGCGTCATCGATGGCATACCGGGGATTCCCACCAGTGACCGCGAGCGCAGATGCGATCGGGCAATAGGGGATCGGGTCCGAGGGGGCGCCAGTGGTTCGGGAGAGACAGATAAAGTGATCATGACGTCTTCTTTGCTCACCCGTTGCGACATCCCTTCTCGAGAGTCGGAGTCTCGGCCAGGGCGCATGGCTTCTGTTCGTCCCTCCATCGTGGTTTTTTGGGGCAACCTAGCTAGAACAGCCAGTGGGGGAAAAAGAAAGGGGGAGAGGGAAGATGTAAATAAGGAGACTCTATTTACGTCGGGCGCATGATAGGAATCAGACAAGAACCTTGGGCCAGCCAAGGAGAAAGAGTCCAAAAAACGGGGTGAAAGAGGAAGGAGGTGGAAAAGGGAGGAAAAGTGGTGACGGCGATGACCCAAAAGACTAAAAAAAAAGGTTGAGGCGAATACCGCGAACGCCGAGTGGCCCAGACCGCGGGACCCTGACAGGATCAAGAGTGCTTCTACATGTGAATGCTCTGCGCTGATTCGCGCAGGGCGGCCAGGATTCTAGAACTCCTCCATGATTGGTTCTTTGCATGATTGAATGACCCATGAACGCGCACCATCTACAACGAGTCCCCTCAAAGCCAAGCCTTCCCAGGCGTGGATCTGAAGCGCGGAGAGGCTGCGGGCCTTCCATAGTTCGCCTAAAAGGGAGGATCAAGGGCGCGATATCGCCGTCCTGCCAATCACACCCTCTCGACTATACTATAGACGTCTGTTCTCACATTCCCCTTTCTTTCTTCCCCCCTTTTTTTTTCAGCCGTCTCGCCTGGATGGGAGCCTGATTGTTTCCCAAATAAGTTCATAGCGTTGGGTTGTCGCTCAGCCCCGAGGCGAATGGGCTCCACAGGGGAATGAATGAAATCGTCATAGAGCTCGAGGCGTCTAATTCGAGGTACGGCGGGTAGGATTCCCTATCCGACACATCGTCCAGCTTAGCTCCAGCCCAGCTCTCGAGGAGACGAGTGCCCAATTGACCCATGGTGGGTCTTCTAGAAGACGAGCGGGTCGATCTAGAAGAAAACAGCTCATTCTACCTTCGGCGCTCGAGGGCGGGTGGTTTCCGGGAAGGAGTTTGGGACTCCGACACTTCAAAGGCTGAGATTATATACGTGGTTTGCGCCTCTATCGCATACAAAGCACCGAGCGTATAGCCAAGTACCAATACTGAATGACGGAAAAAAGAAGCTTTTTATGTCAACGGCAGCAGTGCGTTATTTTCTGCAGCAAGAAAATCCCCGAGGTCTTCAGCACCAGAGAAGAAGACTCCACTGTGTTTTAGTGCCCGAGGTGGAGATTCTCAAGGCGAAACCTGGGCATGAGACAGCCCGCTCCACGGAACCATTGACATTTCGCTGGCCAAGAACATACAAAATTCCATACTACAATTTCGTTTGGAACAGTCCTGTTTCAGACGGCCTCAGATGCTTCCAGCCCCAATGCAAGCATTACGTTTCGAATTACGAAGAAAAGCCTATGCGATGCAGAATACGATGCAGAATACGATGCAGAAGATACAGGGCAGGGATATTCAGCGCGAGACCAGCACAGACGGGTAGAAATGAGAAACACAAGGACACGAGGACAAGGCCACTCAATGGGCTTTCGCAGCCATCGTCCGCGCCAATTTTTCCTTGCACTTGGTAGCCTCGGTCTTCCGCACATAAGTCTCACGAACCCCATCGCCTTCGTTCCGCAGAACAACCCAATCGCCCATCCCTGCCTCCGCCGGCGCAAACCGCACGCCTCGGCCACCACCGCCCACAATCACATTGCCAGGCCTGTACTTCGGGTCGGCCTGCATCCGCCGAATGACAGACACGTGCATTTCCGCATCAAGCGGCACATCGCGCACCTCTCCTCGCGGCAGTGGCCAGCGAATAGGCTTCCACGACCCGTCGGCGCGCAGATCCATCCGTCGGAATGGCAACCACTCCATGATGCGCCACGAGAGCACCGAGGCAAACGGCAGTCCCTGGTTGAACTCCAGACAGTCGTGCGACACGCCCTTCGTGCTGGCCGTGTGCAGCGCGTGCCAAAAGTCGCGGCTCGCAGCCGACCGCTGCTTCTCGTCTGGCGCAGTGCGGAAGGCATCCGGATTGTCGGGGGTCTCGTCTTTCACCTGGCTTCCACGGCGCGCGTTGATCGCCTCCTGAATCGGCGAGTAGTCGCCGTCGTACTCCTCCAGGCACTGGAATTGCTTCATCTTGCGCTCGTCCAGCTCCAGGCCCGCTTTTTGGGCTTCTTGCACCATCCAGACAAGCGGTGGGTGGCTCAGCGCCCACTGCTCGCCGACGGCCAGTTTCCAGCCGCCGCCGATGTCGGCATGGCAGCCTGGAAACCAAACCTCATGGATGTCTTGGTCGTCGTCGTCACTGTCGTAATCATGGCTGGGAGCCATGGAGACTCCCGCGGAGTGGGTGCTGTGGACCGAGGCACAATCTGATGCAGCCGGGGGAGCGAGGCTCAAGCGGCGAGGCGAAGGGGCGCGGTAGGTGTCTTTCTTCTCCTTGTGCTCGCTGCGAGTATCACTGCCGTCGCGGGAGTGCGAGGAGGCCGGACGGTGGGGGTGGTAGTAGGATTCCCCCTCGCCTGGGCCCCAGGGGTTTGCCAGCGTGGATGGTGCCTCGGTGGGCGCATCGAGCTTCTCATCCTGCGGGCCATTGGACTCGTCGTTCACACGGATAGACGGGACTTCATTCTCCGGGGCGGGGTTGTTCTGGCCGTGATCTTGGTGGAGAAGGTGGAGGTGGTGCTGGGCATCCCGGTGGCGCTGCATGTGGTGCTCCAGGTGGTGCCGATGGTGCTTGTTCTTCTCGTGCGGCCGAGGGCCGGAGATCAGGTCCTGGCGGAACTTGGCGCGACGCTCGTCGATGCCGACGGCGTGACGAATGACTCGGGCGGAACTGCGCGCGGTGTAAGGGAACTTGCTGCGCTGCATCCAGGCATTCTCGAACCGAGGCACACTGTTGACAGTGTCAAACAGGCCCATGAAGCGGATGCGGGAGATGGGGCGACTGAATGTTTCACGGAAGGCCTTCATGTACTCGAATAGCTTCTTCTTCTCGCGCTGGTCCTCTTCAGAGTCACCGGCGCGCTGCTGCCACTTGGCGAATGTCTTCCAGGCGAAACGGATCAGCTCTTCGTTGCCGGCCTCGAGCAGGCCGATGTAGTCGAGCATTTCCGCGAGGAAGCGCGCGATATATGCGCCGCGACTGAAGCCGATGAAGAAGATCTCGTCACCGGGGGAGTAGTACCGCATCAGGAACTTGTAGCCCCCCCATTACGTGCTCGTCGAACGAGGATCCGATGGCTGAGTCCTTGGCCTTTGCGTACCATGATTTGATGCGCTGGATTCGGCCGTGGCTGGATAGTGACTTGGAAGTCACATAGGTCCCGATACCAGGCTGGTAGTAATGATATTGGTGCGATTTACTGCGATCGAGCATCTGTGATAAGAGAAGCCTTAGCCACCCTGCAGAATTTACAGCTTCTCGGGATTCTGTATTTGGACCTGTAACATACGCGAAAGATTTTCAAGACATTGCTATCTGACTCGTCGCCGGCAAATTTGTTACCGGTACCGTCGAAACAAAGCACGAACTGCTTTGGATACGGCGTCGCAGGCGCGTTGTGAGCCATGACGGGCAGGATGGGAGAAAACTGCACACACACGAGCTCCACGCCTGCAGGCTACGGGGTGACTATATACGAAGAGGGGGGGGATCGTTCCCTCCCTCGGGGCTCCAATCGTAGCTTGTGAGGGGTGCCATCAGCTCAAGGGCCACAAATCAGGACCTAGCCAAGATCCCGGGTTCCAGGACTGGATAAGAATGTACCTCCAACCCACTGGAGACGATCACTGCAGACCCGAGTACGTCAAGCTGGGTGGGCCTTCGGGGGGAATCCACAGGTGTCCACCAGGTGGCACTTTCAAGTCATTCCAATTACACGCGTAGCCATGACACCGGATCCTGCTGTCACTTCCCCCTCTTCGGGTTTTCTTTTCTTCTTCTTTTTTCGCCTTTTTCCTTTTTTTTCCTGTTCTGTCAGGGATCGTCGAAGGAGAACGTAGGACTTCACTCCCTTGAGGCCGTGTTGTTGGAAACAGTTTATTTACATCTTTCTGCTCTGTATTGCTACAGCGCTGACCCCTTGCTGGCTGATGTTCCACTAATTGAATTTAATATGTTAGAACGGGCTTGCATCGCACTCACTACTAGTGGACTTGGGAGAGCTCTGTTTCTTGTTTAGATGCGGACTGAACAGATGGTCGGAGTTGAGGCCGAGCTTGAACTTAGCGTGGCTTTTGTTTCTTGTCTTTTCTCTTTTTTCTTTTTACCCCGGGCAGTGGAGACCGGGACGGGACGTAATGGGATGAGAATGTAAGCCTTCAGGGCTCGGAGCTTTCGAATCGGAGGGGGAAGAGAATGGCTGCGAGGCATTGGCTATGATGATCCCTGAGATTCTTGTTTTGTTTCTGCTATGACTGCAGGGATCTACAAAAGGGCCCAAAGCGAGAGGCCATTGCCCGGGAGAGAGGCCCGGAACAGAAAAAGAAGAGAAAAAAGAGAAAAAGAGGGGGCGTTCGTGGGAAGATCCAACCCGATCCTCTCTGCTCGATCGAGTTACTGGGGACGCCTCATGGAGTGGCCCGGACCCACTCCTTGCCGCGTGAAGATTCTCTGCAATCCCTGCACTCAATTCCGTACTCTGACTTTTGGCAGCAAGCCGGACCGGAACTTTACAGGGGTTTGTGATGGATTAGCCTTCCTGGTCGAAGGCCCACGAGAAATAACCCTGGTACCTAGCGGGATCACAAGTAGATCTTGCCCAACTGGACCATGAAAATGCGGAGCAATGATCCCACGTCCATCACAATTTTCAGCCGGGGAAACAGGAGCCAGGGTTTCCAGCTCCCAAGCATCGGGAGCGGCCGCATTCCCCCAGAACCAGCGGCCGGGGCCCCGTGGTTACGGAGTAGACGTTTCTACATTTCTACTCTCACGTTACACGCTCTGGCTTGATTCCATCAAAACCTGATTACGATATACACCGCAATAACAAGCGGATTGATCGGATACCCCTACTTCACCCTCGTATATACGGCTTGACCCTCGTCACAGAAGGAGATAGATCAGAAACTGATTAATGCTTTGGCGATGGTTGGCTGGGGCGATTGGCCAGATTCGCAGAAGAGCGGGGCTTATGCAGTTCGTGCTGCTAGGCGGCCCGTGAGCTCCCCTGGAGCCTTTTTTCCACAGGCCTAGAGCCCATAGTGGCCTTAGTCCAGTGGAGGAACAGGTGGGTCGTGCTGATCCATGAGAAAAAAAAAGAAAAGTCCTTCCACGCGCATTCGTCGAAAACAAAAAAGTAACCATTCCTTGCATCGCTCTAGACTTGGCGGTCAATGCGGAGGGTGACTGCCTTCTTGTTCCCCCTATCTGGTTTGGAGGAGAAAACCGGTCCTCCTAGGATCGTCTCCTACACCAGCCAGCCACTCTGGAGAGTGTTTGTCAGTGACAATGGTGTGCCCCACATCGTGCATCGATGGCTTCATCTGGGCCCGCGAAACCCCCCGTCGAGCCCCCGCCTAGCGGGATCTCACGATCCTCATGTGGGGCGCTATGTCATTCTCCCAGATGTTGTTCTTCCACCGCAATTGCCCGGTCGAGAAGAGCATGTCATGCATGTACAAGCTGCAGAGAAACTATCCAAAGCCTTTGAATTTGCTACCACGATAGGTACGACGTGGGGAGGGGTTTTAAGTTGGAATGCCACTTTCCTTAGAGGAAGGTTGCTCCAGGGGTTCCCCGGGGCGAAGTACCCGTGTTGAATGGCCATGGCCCACTCAATTTCCAGAGCAACACACGTCTTCCCCACCACCTCGAATACCCGAGGAGGATCTGCAGGGATGATCTTTTACTAGGTTCAGCTGCTTGTCGAGGAACCACAGGAACCATTGCCTACCCTCGACTCCATCGAATCATCTCCCAGAGCTGAGCTACCCTGTACACTCAAGCTTGTCGCACGGGGGCCCACTCGCCTGATTGGCAGTCCACGGCCTGTTCTGAGCCACACGGCGAGGGCAGATCGAGGCTAGTGGCGCTCGTCTCCAAGCAGATCTGGCGTGCTGAAGCAATCAACTATTGGCGATAACAAATCCTCCAGTCGTGGTTCTCCACAGTCTTGCAGCTATGATGACCTGGTTCTCCCGCACAGCTCTCTTTTAAATCCCGATTCTGGTCGCACGCGCGGAGCTGCTTTTATTTCCCTTACCCCTCTCCCCTGCTCAGGCCCGAGATTGCCACTCTACCTTTTCTTTATTTCGGATTTTGTTTTTCGTTTTTGATCTCCGTCTTTTCTGTCGTCCCTTTGCTTCCAATCAGTGACCTGTCTGAATAGCTCAGACACCCGTCGCCATGTTGCGGAGATTCTCTACCCAGTTCAAGAAGAACAAGGACACCAATGGGGAGGCTGCCGAGTCCAAGACCCCCCAAGGAGAACAAGCGCTTCTCCAAGGCTGCTTCTACTCGCAAGTCTACACAGATCGAAGACACCCACCCGGTAAAGCGCGCCGAGGTGGTAGCGGTGTTCGAGAAATTTGCGCAGGCCATTCACGCTTCGCGCGAGCCTCTGCCTAACCAGACCGGCGATGGCACCTATCTTAAGCATGACCAGTCGACTGGTCTGATTGATGACATTAAGACCCTTGGATTCAAGGACGTCAACACCGTTAAGGAGTTGATCGCCAACAAGGCCTCTGGCAACCTTGTTGATGATAAGACCTATCTTATGGAGCGCATTATCCAGGTATGGGCCAGTCCAGATTGCAACTGGCTGCATTCTATTGGACATCACAGCGTTTTCTAACCTCAATGGCAATTGTAGATGGTCGCAGACATGCCCGGTCACTCAAAGAACCGGACTGCCCTAACCAACGCATTCCTGGATGAGCTTTGGAACAGTTTGCCTCACCCTCCTCTTTCGTAAGTTTCCTCGGGCAACCAGCGAAGATCGTCGAAAGAGCTAATCAAGGGGGGGTTTTTTTTCCAGCTATATGGGTGATGATTACAAGTACCGTTCTGCTGACGGCTCCAACAACAACCCCACCCTTCCCTGGTTGGGTGCGGCCAATACCCCATACTGCCGCACCATTCCTCCCCTCACTATCCAGCCCAGCGGCCTTCCCGACGCCGGGCTTATTTTCGACAGCCTGTTCGCTCGGCAGGAATTCACTCCCCATCCCAACAAGGTTTCCAGTGTTTTCTTCGACTGGGCTTCCCTGGTTATTCACGGTAAGGCCATTTTTTTCACGATGCGATATCGCGCAATTGCTAACTCCGTGAGATAGATATTTTCCAGACCGATTACCGCCAACAGCACCTGAACAAGACCTCTGCCTACCTTGATCTCTCTATTCTGTACGGTGATGTCAAGGAACAGCAGGATCTTATCCGTGCCCACAAGGATGGTTTGCTTAAGCCTGACTGCTTCTCGGAGGGCCGTCTGCAGGCTCTGCCCGCTGCTTGCGGTGTCTTGCTGGTCATGCTGAACCGTTTCCACAACCACGTGGTGGGTCAGCTCGCTGAGATCAACGAGAATGGCCGTTTCAGCAAGCCGCGTCCCGGTCTTTCACCCGAGGAGGAGGAGAAGGCTTGGGCCAAGCGTGATGAGGACTTGTTCCAGACCGGTCGTCTGATCACTTGTGGTCTCTACATCAACATCACCCTGTACGATTACTTGCGTACCATTGTCAACTTGAACCGCAGTAACTCAACATGGTGTCTGGATCCTCGTGCTCAGATGGAGAAGGCCGGTGCCACTCCCTCCGGTCTGGGTAACCAGTGCTCCGTCGAGTTCAACCTTGCCTACCGTTGGCACTCCACCATCTCCCAGGGAGATGAGAAGTGGATCGAGCAGATCTACTACGAGCTCATGGGCAAGCCTGCGGAGCAGGTCACCATGCCTGAGCTGCTCATGGGTCTGAAGAAGGTTGAGGGTGCCCTGGACCCTGACCCTTCGAAGCGTACCTTCGCTCACCTTAAGCGTGGCGAGGATGGGCGATTCGACGATGGAGAGCTCGTCGCTATCCTCAAGAACGCTACCGAGGATGTCGCCAGCTCCTTCGGTCCCCGCAATGTCCCCAAGGCTCTGCGTTCCATTGAGATCCTCGGTATAGAGGCTGCCCGCAGGTGGCAGGTTGGATCCCTCAACGAGTTCCGTAAGCATTTCGGTCTGAAGACTTACGACACTTTCGAGGAGATCAACTCCGACCCCGAGATTGCCAACACCCTGCGTCACCTGTACGAGCACCCCGACTTCGTCGAGCTGTACCCCGGTATCGTCTCCGAAGAGGCTAAGGAGCCTATGATTCCTGGTGTCGGAATTGCCCCAACCTACACCATCTCCCGTGCCGTTCTGTCGGATGCCGTGGCCCTGGTTCGTGGTGACCGCTACTACACTATTGACTACAATCCTCGCAACTTGACCAACTGGGGTTACAATGAGGCTCGGTACGACCTGAACATCAACCAGGGTTGTGTTTTCTACAAGCTGGTCAACCGTGCCTTCCCCAATTGGTACAAGCCTGACTCCATCTACGCTCACTACCCCATGACCATCCCTAGCGAGAACAAGAACATCATGAAGATGCTTGGCCGTGAGAACGACTACTCTTGGGATGCGCCCGCTTTCACGCCTCCCCGTGTCAACTTGACCTCCCACCAGAGCGCCAAGCTGGTTCTGGGTAACCCCAAGGACTTCAAGCCTTCTTGGAGCTCTGCCCTCCAGGAGTTGTTCGGCAAAGGCGAATTTGACGCTAAGCAGCAGCAGGCTGTCAGCCAGGCCTTTGCCACCGAAGACTTCCCCAAGCTTCTCAAGAAGTTCTACGAGGAGACCACCACCAACCTCATCAAGGAATCCGGCGCCAAGCTTGCCAACATTAACCAGGTTGACATTACTCGCGAGTAAGTTTCCGTTGAGCCTGCTTAGCAAATTGGAAAAAAAATAAAAAAAAATTTTTTTTACTGACCATGGCACAGTGTTGGCAACGCCGCCCATGTCTATTTCGCCTCTGCTCTTTTCGGACTGCCTCTGAAGACCGAGGAGAACCCCCGCGGTCTCTTCACCGAGCACGAGCTGTACATGGTCCTGACCACCATCTACTCTGCTCTCTTCTTCGACCTTGACGCTCCCAAGTCTTACCCTCTGAACCGCGCTGCCACCGCTGTTGCCCAGCAGCTCGGCTCCGTCGTCAGTGCCTCCGTCAAGGCTGACCTCGACAACGGTGTTCTGTCTAGTGTCCTGAGCAACTTCCGTGCCCACGATAACGCTCTCCGCGAGTTCGGCACTGGTGCTCTCCGCCGCCTGAAGGAAGCTGGGCTCGATGCCTCCGAGATCACCTGGTCTCAGGTTATTCCCACCCTTGTCAACTTGGTTCCCAACCAGGGCCAGGTCTTCACTCAGGTCATCGAGTACTACACCGGTGAGGGTAAGGCGCACCTGCCGGAGATCAACCGTCTCGCCAAGCAGGAGTCTCCCGAGAACGACGATCTCCTGTACCGCTACATTCTGGAGGCTATCCGTATCAATGGTACCTTCGGGGCCTACCGCGAGGCTGTCAACAGCGTCACTATTGAAGACAACGGCAAGAAGATCGACATCCAGCCCGGTAACAAGGTCTTCGCTTCCTTCGTTGAGGCCAACCACGATGCCACTGTCTACCCCGAGCCCAACGAGGTCAAGCTCGACCGCCCCATCGACTCCTACATCAACCACGGCCAGGGCCCCAACACTGCCTTCGGTCAGGAGATCACCAAGATCGCCCTCGTCTCCATGCTCCGCGTCGTCGGCCGTCTCGAAAACCTCCGCCGGGCCCCCGGTGCCCAGGGTCAGCTCAAGAAGATCCCCCAGGAGGGCGGCTACTACGTCTACCTGCGCCAGGACGGCGGCTCCTACTTCCCCTTCCCAATGTGTAAGTTTGCTCTCGGACGTCTCTGCCCCTGTACCAAGGCACCCGCTAACATACCGCGCAGCCCTCAAGCTTCACTGGGACGGCGACTTCGAATTCAGCAAGAAGAAATAAATGCCTCCCCCCCTAAAATTCACATTTCTTGTGGAGCGTCTCACGCTTGCCGCGTGGGATCATGTACGGCCTCTCGGATGGGCGGCCGCAGTTTATGTCTTGTTATGTTTTTTGGGGCACGCCGTTGCTCTCCAGGATATCCAGAAATTGCGCCTGAGTTGTGAAAGGGCTGTTCCTTTAGTGTATAGTTTGAATGATAATATGGTCCTTACGTCCGACATTGCTGCGTTGAACCGTTGTAGCACTTATATCCTAGGTCTTCAATCCCACCATTGCATGTTTTCCTAGCCGTGTTCAACGGGAGGTGAGCGCTTGTTCCAAGCAGTCCAACATTCTCGGTAATATGACTTACAAGAGTTGCATGTTGCCTCTCACAAAGTTGACAAGTTGGTCGGGCTTGACGGCGCTGTTGTAACCAAAAATTTCAGTTTCGACCGTGGTAAGGTGTTTCAACGGGACTACACTGCCCACATGATACCGCGAAAAGACTACAGGCAACCCGTCAGGCCCGGGGACTCTGTGATGGCTCTATGTCGTGTGAAGAGTCAATTGCTAACCGCGTTATTGATGGGACCCGGAAGTAGGTCCTCTTTATCGAACGAGGGCGTATATCTCTATGTACGAATGGGGAAAATGGCAGCTAGCATGGTTTGCAGGCCGTTGTCGTGCCTCAGGAGATGCTTGTTTTGCAGAAACTCTGAACCGTGATCGTCTCTTTCTCACTGAGAACACGGGTGAAGGCGAATAAAGTCTTTGGAAGGTTCTGCTCAAAGACCACTGGTGTCCCAGGTGACGCGTGTCCAGGTGCCCACGTCTGAAATTCCGCATTTCATCTGTGCTTTTTCAGCTTCTCGAATCTGTCTCTACCGAACTTGATAAGCAATGGGCATATCTCCTGATAGTGTGTTTCTGCACTTTGCTAGTTCGAGTATAGCAGCTATATCAAATTATGTGATGTTCTTTCAATCGCTAGGATCCGTATCCTCTCTCATGCGATTGGATGCTGCATAGCCCTATGATTAGGCAACGGAGTTTGTGAGACATTCATCAGCAAAAAGCAACCTTCCTTCCCCGTCAGGTACGATTTCCCAGGGCTCTCCTACCCTTTTGCTTGTATTCCAATCGACCTTAAGCTGACTGTGCTATTGTCGGCCATGAGCTCCGATTAAAAATAGCGGATTTTGAGACTGCTGCTCTGTGATCAAAGAGGAATTATCCTTCTTCTAACGGGCGTTATTCATAGGGTGGGTATTAGGGTATTCATATTACGCGTCCCTCTTCGGGGCACCACTGGTGTTGGGGGGCGCTGGTGGCCTGAAAGCTTGTGAGCTTCGCCCGGGGCTTAATATAATGGAGTCATATAGAGAAGTTAAGCCGTCATTGGTGAAGCGAAGAGAGAAGGGCTGGGGTAAACTCCCGCCTGGTGGCCGCTCTCCCCACCAATCAAGCGAATATAAGCCTCTCTTATACCCCATGTCCAAATGGATGGATCACCCAATTGAATGGCAAAAGATTCACAACGTTGAGACTTGCCTTAGGAGGGACCGGGCGTTCGGTTCCACGGATCCCTGCTGCCAGTGGGGCTCGTTCTTGATCTACGCTCTTTCTGGTAAAGAGGCTGAAAAATGTCACGGAGATACTACTCTGTCATTTAGTGGCGCTCGCTAAGAGAGACTGTGGATGGACTGGAACCAATAGATCCAGCTGAGTAGCGCTTAATTCTTGGATGAAAATGACTCGGCCTCCCAGTATTTATGAGTGGATCGCGCTGCTCTTATTTCTTTTGACCCATTTCAGTGTCTCTTCGATTCCTCCGAGGCAATTAGACATTCTTAAAAAGAAACATAACGCTGTGTTGGCCTTTAACAAGATGGTCAAGGCAATTCTCTCCACCACATCGCTGCTGCTGCTGGCAACCACCGTCGCTGGCGTATGCGAGACTTACAGTTACACTACCTGCGCCGACCATACCGTTCACTGGTTTGACCCGCGCAATGGCGTAGTCTGCGATCCCCTCGACTGTGGCGGCGGCATGGCCCCTGTGAAGTACGACGTGCCCTGTTGCGCTGCCTACACGGGCACGAAGCCCTGCGTGTCTACCACCTCCACGCTCTCTTGCTGGAAGCCGTCCACGGCCTTCAGCTCCGCAACCGCATCTGCGAGCTCTGTTGCGACGACGTCAGATGCTGCTACTCCAGAACCTAGCACTGTGTCGTCGGGCCGTGCTACGGCCACTTCTTTGCGCCAGACTTCCGGCAATGCCACTGCTCCTGCGACCACTGATGCGCCCACTCCGTCCACGGGCTCGACAACAGAAAGTAGCACTGCAACCACTAGCGACTCCAGTGCGCCTGTTTCTACCAACATTGCAGGTGAAGTTGTTGGCTCCTTCATGGCTGCTGCTGGGGCAGCTCTGGGAGCCGTGGTTCTTGTCTAGGGCTGCTTGGATGCGTGCTGCTCAATCGGAATTGTACAGATATACTCATATAGGTTGGTTATTGAAGACCAAGAGTCTCCCATGAAGATGTCACACAATGTATTTTTACTGCTCAAATTCTCGGTGATTTCCATTGCAATGTGAGGCATTGCTGCCAATAGCAGCGGTAAGGCGGAGGGTTGAGACAACTCTATCTAAGGCGGCTTTGGTTCTGTCTCAATTGAATCTACAATCTACGATATGTCCCTGCGTCTATGATCACATGAGCTGCTCTGCTTGGTAGTTGATGAGCTCAGCCCAGCGGAAGTTAGCTAACCGTTGCTTCAATGAAGTCCTTCCATCCTCCTGCCCTAAACAGCTGCCATTACTCTAATAATAATAAGCATCACGATGCCTCAGGGCTGCTCTGGGCGGCACCTTGAGGCTGTGTCGAGACTGTGCAACATGCTCTAAATGCCAAGGCTGGTGTTATCGGGAAATCTATTTATCCAGGAGCGGACTCTGTGTCGAAGGCTAAAAAAGCATCCTATAACCCCTGCTTCAACGAACGGCGAGAAGGGCATTGCTGCGTGAAATCGCAGAAAAATAATTTGCGCTCACCCCGAAGACGTGCATGGGCTCTCGGTAGACGAATAAAAACCTCCAATTTGCTGAATAGGCCCATTGGCCTTCCAGTGAGCTATTCATGAAGTCTCCTTCATACATGGAATTGTTCTTCAATAGTAACATGGACTTGCAAGTCGAAGCTTGGCATCTTATAGATCGCCCCGCATAGAACATTTAAGTTTCACCGCCTTGGCAGCCCATCAACATCAACATCACCACTACCAGCCAATCTCCCCAAACACACCCAGACCTAATCCCACGATGGCCCCCAAAGCTGCCAAGGGCGAGTATATCGAGACAGTACGTCGACAGCACCGGATCAACACCCAATTGGCCCCTCCACTCCGGAACTCGCAACCCCAATTCAAAAAGAAAACAAACTAACCGAAACACCAGGACACGGGGAACAAGATCTCGCGCCGCTCCCAAATCCACGGCACCCAGCACATCATCCTGGGCGGCAAGACGGTCATCCAAGCCGAAGCCGTCATCAGAGGCGATCTCTACCGTCTATCTTCCACCGCAGCCTCCGACCCCACCAACCCGCCCGCACAGCCCAACACCCCCAGCGTCGCCATCAACGTCGGCCGCTACAGCTATATCTCGAAGAGCGCCGTTCTCCGGCCGCCGAGCAGGCTGCATCGTGGGGTGCACTCGTACTACCCACTGAAGATCGGCGACCATGTCTTTGTGGGCGAGGCGGCGGTGATCGAGGCGGCGTCGCTTGGGAACCATGTGCAAGTCGGTGCCGGGGCGGTCGTGGGGAGTATGGCTATCATCAAGGATTTTGCGGTCGTTTTGGAGGGGGCTGCTGTGCCGCCTGGCATGGTGGTGCCGAGTTGGTGTGTTGTTGGGGGGGAAGCCTGCTAGGATTGTCGGTGAGGTTGGTGAGGGATATGGGGTTGAGGGGGCAGAGGGTGGATTAGCGAGAGAGAGGTATCGCCTCGTTGGGAAATCTTGAGACTTTGTTCTTATCCTCTTCGACCGACCTTGAACTTTTTTATGTGTATTCTACTTGCGTTGATGATACCCCCCTTCTACAATGATACTCCACCCTTGCTGCTTTTTCATGATATGTTCACAGTGGACTCAATTAGGGCTATTTTGGGCGGCCAGAAATCCCTTGATAGTAATTGAACAATGGAAACTATTTCGCCCTTTCGTTGCCCCCCCTCTTTATCCTCTTTTATCCCATGTTCTCTACTTTGACGGCACGCGTGAGATGAGGCATATTGTCCTGGGCGGGAATCCCCAGCTCTTCAAAAGCCATATCATTCAACCACCGTCCGCGCGGACTGATCTCTTCGCCTTTGGTGGACTTCGAGGAAATATAGAGCCAGTTCAGGTAGTTGCCCACTGTACTCACTTCGTCGCATACATGACGGAGCGCATACTCCGACATACGACGATAGAGCGCCTCGTCTGTCCATAAGTCGTACAGATGCTGTGCAACCGCATCGGTATCTCCGACATCCACGAGGAACCCATTTTTCTGGTTCTCGACCTGCAGAGGGATCCCGCCCGCACGGGTCGCGATCACGGGCTTGCCCTTGTGCAGCGCTTCCGAGACTTTCACTTCGAACCCTTCGCGCGTCGAGAGCTGCAGGGCGACCGTTGCTTTGGAGAGCAGCGCGTTCAGCACCTGGTCGGAAGGCCGCACCCGCATGACGCAGATCAGGTGGCGGATGTCGCCGAGCTTGTGGTCGATGTATTCAATCACCTCGTCATATATCACGGTCCCGTCCGGGTCGTCTACGGAGCCATGGCCGCAGATGAGGAGCTTTGGCGGCGCAGTATCGGGACAGGCTTTGGTCAGTTTGCCGTGAAACTTGGCGTATGAGTCCAATACATCGAAAATCCCCTTCGAGGGGTCGAACCGGGCAATCTGCACGATGTATTCATCTGATAAGGAACAATGTCTTTTAGTTATTCTGTTGTTCGACCGAGGGGGGGTTATACGAAACGATTTCTCACCTTCGGGATATCCGATCATTGGCATCTTCGCGTTTCTACAATCGGCATTGAAGATGCGGCCATAGTAAGCCACATCCCAGTCTCGCATTGTTTTGTTCAACCCATCCAGCCTTGGACACGTTAATGAAATGAAGCATACATAAGATGCCGTGAAAGCTTACCAGTCTGTGGATGCGGGCATGTACCCGACAATTTCTTGCGGCACGTTGCTCGGAACGAATGCGCTAACGGGGTGGCTGATGAAACAGTCCGCGAGCTTGATATAGTCCCACAGGAACTCCCATGCCTCGGCTTGTGGAGATCCAGGCTTATCGACCAGGTCGCTGCGTATCTGGATGTGACTGCGAAAGATCACGGGACGGTCTGGTGCTTCACGTTTGGCGATCGGGATCAAGCCCGGCATCTGAGGGTCATCAATTATGATCACATCCGCTCCGCCTTTGGATGGATGAGAGAGCGGTCCACCGGAACAGGTCCAGTAGCGCCGCGCGTTCTCCTCAATCCAGTCTCGGATCGTTTGTTTGTTTTCTGCAGTCAATCGCTCTTCGCGCGGGGCAACGCCTTGAAGGATGTTGTGCATCTTTTTGGTGCCTTTGAAGACGCCTGGTCGCGGCTTTGGGACATACCTATCGCAGGGCTTAGCTGAGATTTTGAAATTGCATGGGGTTTCCAGAATTTACCATTTCATATCAGTCCCCAAGCAATATGAGAACCGCGCCATTGCATGACGCATCAATGCCACCCCTCCGCCTTGAGGCGTGGCACTGAAAAATGCCGTCTTGATCTTCCTATTTCTCAAATCTTGCGCGTAGTGCTCCACTGCAGACCAGGTCCTCGAGCTTACGGTCTTTTTGAAGTCATCCAGGTTTGTAAGCCGGACATGAAAAGCAGTATCGACTTCAACAAGGCCGCGGTAGCCCACTTGCAGCAAGGGGATGTTATCGGGCCCAAACAACCTGATCAAGTTAGAAAAGCGCCCTCCGTAGGTTTTCGCCGGGGCATACCTACCGAACACACTTCCGGGACATAGACTCCGCTTGCTCATCAAGGGCCCTCGGCTCCATCTCTTGGCGTTCTGCTTCTGACTGCGGCGCTTCAAAGTGGATTCCCATGCTTGCTTCCGGAAGCACTAAGGGAATAACATCGAGCTCTGCCCACAAACGCGAGCAGAGAGCAGGGCATCTCTCGGCGACAGCGGCGGACATTGACATGCCGATGATCTTCTCAAAGTGCTTTTCTGCATAGGTCTTCAGATGGCTTACGACAAAGTCAGTCAGCAATTTTCCGGCTTCGACGCCCTTCGTCGGTTCCAGCCTTTCTTCTATGAAATCGAGGAGATATGTGGTATTGCGGAAAGCGATCGCGATGCCCGACGGGCGATCGTCGGCCAGATCTGCCGAGAGACCTGCATAGATCGTCTTCCCGGTCCGTGAGCTTGCGATTCTTGTCTTCTGGCTGGGCGCATCCGCTGTAGATACTGACCTCCGATGGAGCTGCTAGCCAGGCGTTTTTCTCAATTTGCTGGGACCAGCGTCGCTGCTGCGCCAGCGACGCACGGCGCTCAAACCCACGATCAGCTCCTGTCATGGCGTTGAAGGTAATAAGGTATTTGGAAAGGCTGAAGTTCCGAACTTTGAGATTGGTCCTTTGGGGGAAAGTACTGCGGCACCAGGATGGCATGACGTTTTTACTGCTCTTACGTCAGTACTTACATCCGATGATTCATCTCTATGCATCTTTTAGGTATAGTCATTCATCGACAAAACAAGATCTTGAAATAGTTGCTAGAACCAATTAGCTTCTAATAATTTTGAGAGGTGTACATTGGGTGGAGTAGGTGGGCATGAGTTTCGGGGGATCTGTGTCGCTTGACCGTGTGCCGCTTGTCTGTGTCACTTGAGAGCTACGAACTGTCGATGGCAACCAAAGCGGCTAGCTGAGATGTAAAGCGCTGGTCAGAACTCACTGCGTCAATGACATCCATAGATTATGCAGAGGAGAGGACTTCCAAAATAAGGGTGCTCATGTCCAGACATCCACTAAGCCCTGTCACGGGCCAGGGGCCCGGTGTTGATCACGTAGGACACGTGACCTTGGCATACTAGTAAAGGGGAACCGGCGTATTGAACTCCTTTCCTTAAGTTTATCGAACACAGTCCGTGGCCTAGTATAGATTGAATCAAGTCTTGCTTTAGCCCTTCACATGGAAGTCTATATAGGAGTTTATATCAGGTTGCTTGGTGTGATTTGTTCCCGCCTATTGGCTCTATGTAAGGGAACTGCCAGATTTGGGTGGCACCAGTTGACCAGGCGAGATAATGATATTCGATGGAATCTTGTGGACCTCCGAAGCATCTCTACACCGTGGACTGTCAAGGACAGTGATGTCGTGGTGCCCAAATACGAAGGCTTCATCATTCCGCGGACGTTCAGGCTCTTCAACAGCGTTTTGACTCCAATTGAATTTGATTTTTCGCCGTGCTCGTCTGATGGAGACCCTGATCATGATTTCTTTGTCAGAGTTTCGGGCCTTCTTCACCAGCACGGTTTAGAGAACGTACTTGGCGTGCGTTCTCTAGACAGATATGACCCGGAGTTATCCGTGGAGGTCACTGAGGGCAAATCAAACATCATGATAACACGTGGATTGGTCAAGGATTCGGAGCTCATTGAAGCTGTTTGGATTTTCAGTACTGACGATGACCAGAGGTGTCATTGCAGAGAGTACTGCTGGAAAGACTCCGAGGGAAAGCATCTCGAAGACCATGGATGTTCCTGAAGCTGGCTATAGGCGACCATGAGCTTCTTGTTATTAAATCATGACGGCCCACCTTGATTATCAATCCTTTTGAATGCAAATGTCTTGTCTATAATCGGTACATTAATAAGGCTGTCAAGGGTCTGGAAAGCCCAACAACTATTTTGCTTTATATTTCACACAAAGAATTCTATGTTTCCCGGAGACTAATGCCTGAAGTCCTCAGCATACTCGTAAAGTTTCCATGCTTTGTTTCGACAACTCCAACTGCTCTGAATCCGAACTTGGAGTATAGTCGAACACCAGCAGGCGAGGACAAAACAAAGGCGTCTAGTGTATTTTCGTCAACATAATCACAGAAAATCTTCATGAGCATAGACCCAACACCTTGACGTTGACAATTTGGATCCACGGCCATGAAAGTGATTCCTAATGGAGACAGATGAGCAAAGCCTAAGAGAATCCCAAGTTGACTGATGACTTACGGCATATTCCATTGCCTTGGTGGCTCCGAAGAACTCTCTGCCTCTCTTCTCTGAGCCTTTTTGAGATACCAAGCCACGACGGTACATCCAAAGAGGGAGGGCTAAAGCTGTTCCGGTTTTTCAATTTTGTCCCTTGTCTCCCGTTAGACATAACTACTGTGCCACTGTGAACACAATCCCCTCTTTTCATTCCCTTTGCAAATGCTCCTGTACTAGTAGTCCAGCCTACCAGCCCGACAGGTGATCCATCTTCTCCACACGCCTTGTACAGAGATTCGTCCGCTTGATGAATTGCCTCAAGAAGCCCATCAATCGTCCATCTGATTTCGTCTTCTCTCTGCTCCCACTGTCGCTCCTCTGGGCGCGGGAACGTCAAGCGATAGAGTAGGCTGTCTTGATGTGCAGGCAATTCGACTTTCCGCACAAGCAAATCCACGTCCTCGGCTTCGACGGGCGATATCGAGCATGCCATTTTGTTGGTTGGGAAAATAAAATATGTTTGAGCGCACGATCCGTCAAGTTATCCTGGTCCCGTAAAACGGCCGGGATGCAAAGGAAGAGAGTAAGAGGCTTCCGGAATCGTGGATCAAAAACTGCGTAAGTCGCCTCCAGGTGGGAAGTTGTAAGGTATTTATCTCAACACGCTGACAATGGTGACACGGAAAATAGTTCCTGCGGTTAGTAAGCCAGTTTGCTTGACCTTTGGCTTGTTAGTGGAGCGCTGGCTTGGACGAATCAAATCACTATCACGAAGTCTCCCTGCTGACATTAGTCTGGCGCGGGAGAATGTCAAAGCTTGTTTGTCTTCATGCCACTGTATGTTTACCCATTTCCCCTCGTGTTATTAGCCAGACCTTGAAGATGTTGTTAACGGCTGCCTGCAGGGGCTCATTAATGGAGTCACAGGTGACTTGACTCGTCACCAAGTGCGGGCTAGATTTGGAAAATGGGCAGAATGTAACCTCGGACAAGGCAACAGGAAGGCCTGGAGGAATGTGAGGATATCGAGAGAGGAGGGAAGATGGAGCACTTTATAAGCGCCCGACCGGGCGGTACGACGAGAGAAGGAGTCGTCAGTCTGCAAAGGGGAGCCATTTTCGGCGTCGTTTTGGTCGCAGGTGGGAACTCGAGGCGCTAAGTTTGGACCATAGCCAACAATGAGGGCCCGGCAAGATGATGACTAAAGGCGCGAGGGTGGGTGCAAAATAGTGAGGGTCCTGGACGGCGGGCGGTGAAGTACCCGCTCGCCCTCCTAAGATACGGGTGGAAAGGCCGCCGTTTCTGGCGTCAAAGGCTGTCATTTTCGGCGTCGATTTCACAGGTCCTCATATTCTAGTTGTAATAACGGTGAATGAAGCTAGGAAATGCCAAATACAACCGCATACAGTGCATAAAGAAACCCTTTTTGGGGCCCAAAGTAGTAATAACCACGCCCGTGGACCTTAGGAGACACATTACCTGAATAGGAGAAGGGAGTGTCTTAGCTGGTAGGAAGGTGTCTTAGTTGGCGGGTGTCTAGTTAGTTATGAGCACGGCAAAAAAAGAAAAGGAAAGAAAAGGAAAGAAGATAAAGCCAGGAATGACGTTGGACCATAAACCATGAAAAGTCCCCGGTATCGAATAGGAGAATAACCGGCAGCTGGCCCGTTCACGGTGCCGGCGATCGAACTAGTTACTTTATACTTTACGTCTGCCAGCCCGAACTGCCTCATTGGCCACTCGAGGGTCTGCAGTGCCGATCATCTTCATAAGCGGGCCGAGTCCACAAGACAAGGACTCCGGAGCCTTGCGCTGGCGACCCAAATAAAAACGTGAATTTGCATTGGACCCAAATTGTAGTTAGCAGTTGCTATGTTTTGAGTAGGTAAGCGCGAAAGCCAAGGGCAGTTGATGCGGTCGGGTTGCATTGAATCCGAGGGGAGGACTCAGGCGATCTAAAACCGCTAAAGGTAACTTGCTCCTTGTGGGTGACCAAAAGGAGGATAACCGCTAAAGGGGCAAGGGCCCCGGCCCCATCTAATAAGAAACGTTGGTCCTGTTCTATAAAGCTCGTGCCTGTCCCTATAGCCTCTGTCTGGCCTTGAGCGATTGAGTAGTGGGGGCCCCGTAGAATAAATCCTGAGCTGTCAGTTCTTGCCCCGCGAGCGTAGAGAAAGCAAACCCCCCTGGGGAAAGAGAGAGTAAATTAGATCCAAGGGAAGTGGAGCCTCGATCCTCCAGCTGTCGCGGGAAGGCTGAGTCAGCGGTGCCCCTTTTCCCCCGCCTCTGGGAATACCGGCCATTGTTTTCTTGTCCAACTCGGGGCTTTGTTTTGCCTTAAAAACCTCCTGGATATTCCCTGCTGCAACGCGCAGCAACTCCTCCATATCCGCCGTCACCCCAATTGAACCCCGAACACCGCCAACATGGGTGGCCAAGTATCCAAGATGATGGGGAAGATCTTCGGTACAAAGGAGATGCGAATCCTCATGTTGGGTCTCGATGCTGCCGGAAAGACAAGTAAGCTTATCCCTTGACTGTACACCTGACAGCTCGAAAGCGATAACCCCCCCTGGAGCTGAGACCTAACTGGTTACAGCTATTCTCTACAAATTGAAACTCAGCAACCAGGATGTCACCACCATTCCCACCGTCGGCTTTAACGTCGAGAGCGTGACTTACAAGAACGTGAAATTCAATGTCTGGGATGTCGGTGGCCAGGATAAGATTCGTCCTTTGTGGCGACACTACTACTCCGGTACACAAGGATTGATCTTCGTGGTGGACTCGAGCGACACGGCTCGTCTGGAGGAGGCTCGCTCGGAGCTGCACAAAATTATCAATGATCGCGAAATGAAAGATGCTCTCCTGCTCGTGTTTGCCAACAAGCAGGATATCAATGGCCGTATGTGCCCCCCACCCCCCCTCCCCCCCCGCAACCCCCCCGGTCCCGTTTGTGCTCTGCTGTTCGATCTAATGTTCCATCTCTAGACTTGACCCCAGAGGAGATCACTCACCAGCTCCAATTGACCAAGCTGAAGGACAAGACATGGTACGTCGCACCTAGTGTGGCCACTGATGGTACTGGGATCTTTGAGGGTCTGGTAAGTTGAATCGCTCTGAATGGCCACGTATACATGGCGCCCCTAGACGTCTCTCGCTAACCGCACGTGCACTTTCTAGGCTTGGCTCTCAAACAATGTCAAGACCCAATCTCCTAAATAAGCTCGCCGTGATTTCTAGTCGAATTTGCGAACCCCAAGGGTAGAACCTTTATTGGGACTGTGCAGGCACGCGCGTGGGCCAGGTGCGCCACGCAGTTGATTGCGCGAGCTTCCCGGTCTGGGACTCGGAGCCCTAGCTTCGAGCCTGAAAGGCGCCAACCACCGCGTCCATCGCCTCGTGTACAACACCGCACCGTCCGGCAATATTTTCGTTTCCTTTCGTTTCATGTCCCTGTTTGATGACAAGACGACGCAGCATTTGGGCCTTTTCTTTTTTCTCGGATCCTTTCTCTTTTGTCGCCCTCTTCCCGCGCCCGTTTCTCTTCTATGATATCCCCTCAGTTCTTGTAGTGGGCTTGTCACGAGCTCCACCATAATAATTTAATTCTAGTGGCTTACATATCATCAGCGTTGCCGTCGTTTGGATTCTCTCGTGTCTTGGTTCTGGTTGCCCCGATGTGTATAGAGTTGACTAGTCTCATAGAAACATGAAAATGACCGATCAGCACTGCTGGAAGATCTCCCATGACATATTATCTCCTTAACCTTCGTAGGTCCTCATGGGGCGTAAGCGCTGCCGCGGAACCGCCATCCGGCGCCACAAGGCTTTCCAGTGAGCTGGTGCCACCGTCCAGGATTCGGCTGGCAACTCCGATTCAGCTCGTCCTTTCGCGATCATATGCTGCTCCCAGAAATGATGTCAAATTGACAGGGGAATCGGAACATCGCTCCTCCTTGTGCATAAATAAGCTAGACATGCTACCGGTGAAGTTCACCTTCAAGTCATCTGTTCGTCTCACATACTCCAGTCACCTGCCAGTACCGTATTCGTATACAGCCACTATTGTGCAATATGCCTGCCTACCATCTTGGACAGCGCGTCAACTACAAACCTGTCGGAGGTGGGAATCATCCTCCCTACCACTTTGCCAATTTAACCTCGAAGCTCATGGTACACCAGGCCCGAACTCCAACACCAGCTCCAGCACCGGAGTCATCCGCAACGAGCCGGATATGAGGACCGGCAAAGAGCCTCACTACGAGGTAAGATGCAAGGTGGCCATGCCGGAACGAGCATTCATAACTGACCACTTGGGTAGATTGAAAACATGAAAACCCACAAGAGTTCATCCATCAAAGAAAGCAACATCATTGGCCCTGCTGAATAGGAGGCTAGCATAACACGCTGGGGGACAGACTTGTATGAAAACACCAAATACATACTAGTACACCCATTCCACTTTCTACGACTATTTCCGTAACTTTGTAGTGTGGGGACCCTGCGAATTGACTCGGCTCAATAAAGCGGGGATGATCCGGTCGACTTGTGTTTTTCCTATCAAATATTTGCCCTTCGGTCCCCGAACAGCGTCCAACTTTAGGATTTCTCTCCCCGATTCTGCCTATCCATATATTTCATTCTTCGCAGTTCACCGGCTGTCTCGCCGGTATCAGCCCCATAATATTCATTTCGGGTTTTTGGGGCTAACTACATGCAAAGGTCCGCATTGACTAGCGAACAAGCATATGCAACGAAACAAGTATCCATACTCTGGTTTAAAAACATGCTTAGAGCAACTCAAGGCTGGTTAGGCCAGATGTCATCGGCAATTTCCCGCACCAGCTTCAGCTTATTGATCATGCCGTCCCAGTCAATAGCATTTCCCTCGCGATGAGAAGCAAACCCGCACTGGGGGCTCACGCCCACCTGGTTCAAGGCAGTTTCCAAAGGCACACCGTTTCCCTCGGCAATGAACTCCGCGGCCTTGATCACCCGCTTCTTCATCTCTTCCTTGTCCTCTAAGGCGGCGAACTTGCTGGTGACGACTCCAAGAATAACGTTCTTGTGCGGCGGCAGGTGCTTCAGAGGCTCAAAGCCTCCGGAACGCTCGTTGTCGTACTCCAGATAGTAGGTGTGTGCGTTTAACTCCCGGAACAGCTTGACGGCGATGCGATCATAGCCGCCCTCCGAGAAGTGTCGGCTGCCGACGAAGTTGCCGCGGCACAGGTGCACGCCAACGTGTAGGTCTACGGGCAACCCGGTGAAGATGTCGTTGTATAGCTTGATATACTTCTCGAACAGGTCGTCGGCGGTGTACAAGTTCAGCTTGTCCTCCTTGAATCCGGTAAGGAATTTCTCGGAGCAGAAGTCTGTATGGGATGTCAGTTCTCGTTTGCATGTCCCTTTCGTTGACGATTTTCTACGGATCATCTCTTACAGGCAAGGTTGGGGTCGTCGAATTGTACGTTGCGGCAGCCTGCATCGTACAGGATCTTCAATTCGACCTGGTAGGCCCTGGCAATGTCTGCGAAATACTCCTCGTCGGAGCTGTACACAGACTTGGGGTAGGCCTTGCCCTCGACGTATCGGAAGTGGTACCAGTTTGGAGCGGCAAGAGTGATCTTCAAGTTCTTGACCTCGTTCGGGGGCACTTGAGTGGTGAGATATTTGAATTGGTCGATGTAGGTACTGCCAACGTGCTTAATTTTGCCTGTGCAGATCACCGTTTCACCGGGCTTATGGCCTGCTTCTAAGAAGGCGGAAATATCCGGAGCATATTTACGGAAAATGTCGACCTCAAAGTCGGTGATTTCTTCGAATCCCTCTAAGCCGGGGAAGAACGTACCCCAGAACACTGATCTTGTTAGCCCTTTCACCGTCAACGACAGTGGCTGTTGCAGTATTCTTTGCTTACTATGACGGCGATACTCGCCATCCGAGATGGCCGAGTACCCAAGCTTCTTCTGTGTCGCGACGACATCGGTGATTTCCTTGTCCTCGACAGCTTTTAGATCGGCCTCTGGAACCTCGCCTTTCTCATAGGCAATCTTGACGTCCAACAGCTTCTTTGGACGAAGAAGAGAGCCTAGGTGCTCTGCGCGGAAGGGAGGCTTCTGGTGAAGTTGAGGAACCATGGTCTCAGCTATTCTGGACTTGAGCAGCGATGTCCGGGGAGGAGGGGAATAAGGCGAGCCCAGGAGATCCTTAAAAAGAGGGGCTCAGATCCAGGCATGAATTGGCCTCACAATTGCCGTTGTTCAGGCTACGCAGGTGGGGCTTTTGCCACTAATGTCTCTCCCCCCACGGATTCGCAGTATATGAGCTTTCGGAGATAAAAGCTTCGGCGACGGGGTCTGTTCGCGAGCGAGGCGGGCCTCTGTTACAGATCCTTTATCGTCAGCGGTAACGTCTATCTCGCATAAGTGATAGTAGCATAGCAAGAATGCGGGGTGTGGCGCCAGCCAAGGTTCACTTTTCAGCCTCTGAAATATCCAGAGGTTGCTACGCTAATCGAGTGTCCGACAGTATAGCTTCTTGCGAACTTTGGAACACCTTACCGAATACTATGGAGTAGTAGGGAAAACCAGGTCTCACGATCCCATTACTAGCCATGAAAGCTACTCGTATACAGAATGTCACTCTGTTCACTCCCGAGGAATTCCCTTCTGTTGGTATACCCCAGTTAGAATTCCTTCAGGCTGAGTAAAGGCTGACAAAGTGTCAAACGAGGGGAAAGCTCACAACAAGTGGGGAAACCCGGCATTTCACCCTCCACGTTCTTCCCGAGACTTCATCTCCATGCCCTGAGCAAGCTCAGCGCGTCGTACTTCCGACTTGAGAACTGCGTCATGCTCCGGTGGGGGCTGGGGCAATCTTGAGCATTTGACCATGTCTTTTTTGGAGTCCCTCCCGAACGAGCTGCTGGATCAGATCATCTTCTTCTTGACCACGCCACCGCCATCAATAGCCAGGATCCATCGGGATCCAGATCTCCAGATTGCCAAATCTCATGCTTGTGATCTCAAACACTTGGCAGGGGTCTCCAGCCATCTCCGAGACCTTGTACGACCTCGGCTCTTTGCACACGCGTGCTTTGACCTGAAAGATGAGCCCGCTTTCCAATCCTTTCTCATCGCATCGGATCTGGCTCGATATGTGACGAGCGTGGTAGTGATCGCTGAGAACGTGGCATCTGACCCGGAAGACCAAGGCTGGTGGCGTCGCCTACTGGGATATCTGAATCCGAGCAGGTTTACCGTCGTTGCTCCGCCGAACTTCATAGGTAACATACTCAATACTCGGATCACGGACGAACATAGCTGGGCGTTTGAAATTCCCCTACAGATTTTACAGCTGGAACGAGAAGTTGCACCTAGCGATGTTAATGAGACATCCGACCTGGAGCAATGCGACAGCCTCCTGTTGGCTCGTCCATGGTCATCAATGACCTTTAACGAATCTTCTTCTATGAAAGCCTATCACCACTACGAATATTTTCTCTTAAGAATACCCTCAGTTCTGGGGGAGTGGGGATCACAGTTACAGCCACGAAAGCCACCTCCTGTCGAGCTCCTGGACATGCTTCGAGGCTTGACTTCTTTCTCCTACACCGCTGTTTTCCCCTTCTACAACCACGTAAAACTAGTCCTTGATGTATTGGCTCGCATGTCGAATGTCAAGGATTTCAGTATCAAATTGATACCCGATGAAGATAACCATGTTCTTGAAGAAGAGGCACGCGGATCGTTGGATCTATATGATCCTTGGGTAGAAATGATGACCTCCTATACCCTGGTTGCATCGGACGTCGGCCAAATTGATTCTATTCAAGAAATAAGGTGTCGAGATTTGGCAATTATGCCTCGGTTAGGAGATACGGGCGTGGCAATTCTTGAAGAATTGCAGCGCCCAAATGAGTTTGGCTACGCCGGGGCCGAGCGTCTGGTTCGTGGATTGCCAAATACCACAGCGGGCGATTCTGAGACGGATTAACGGTGAGGTTCACTGGTATTTCACCTGGGCATCGAGAGTATACTTAGTAAACGATGCATGGTCGTGTTCACGTTCGTACTATGGTTGAATACTATACTACACAGTGTAGTGTGATTATGATTCGTGGCATGATGTGCCTTGATGCGGACTTGAAGCCTATTCTTAAAGATACCACTATGGAATTTGAGATCTCATCTGAATTGTCGAATTTCCCGGCACGTCGCCAATGTTAGAAGATAGAAGCCTCCTGTAGCGCCTCAGGTGCCCGTGGCCGCGGGAAGATGAAATCGCACAAAGCGGTGGATCTACTCCACCTCAAAACATCGATCCAGTTTGTCTGTGGACGAGCCACAAATAAGCTGCTAGGCACGGCGACATCGCTGGTTGGGGACTATGGCTACCTCCAACGTGTATACCACAGAGCCCGCACATCCAGTTCTGGCCTTTTCTCAACTCCAAGAACCTCGGACAAGCAACCAACAGAGAGCCCCCAGCGACCCGGCCGACAGCAACTGGAATCTCCAAGACGACTGGAGCACCGGCATCGAAGATTCCAAGACGAAGGTCTTTCGTTACGGCACCGTGACTGGATTCTCAAGACTGAGAACCAGGACCAACAATAACGATGAGTACATTGCTCAGGTCAGTGGTTCATCAAACCCAACCTGTACCGCATCTCACACTTGACAGATTCCTCGATTTCTCCTCATCAAGCATCTCCAAAGGCTGGCTCCATCAGCTGAGCCTAGCACATTCATCATTTACCCCGAGAATTTCAGCGCGCTCGCCCCTACGAGTCTGTTGAAAGCGCTGCAAAGCGGCCACCGGGGTTTGTCACAGCCTGAAGCGATGAAGCGTCTCGATTCTGTGCAACTCTTCCCCATCCATCATATTTCAACTGCTATCCAGGCTATAGGGCAGATCTCCGAGCAACTGCACCAGATGCAGGATAACCAGGCTGCCACTGATCCAACGACGAGGAGACCTCCCGTCATGGTGATCGTGGTCGGGCTTGATACCCTTGCAGAAGGCATCATTCGAGCATCTAACCCGCTCAAGGGTACTGCCGTACTGGCCAGCACGCTGCGGACTTTGACCCGCCTGTCACGGGCATATGCTTCTTTTCTTTCGGTTCTCCTGGTCAATACTAGTGGCCTTGGTCCTGCGCATTTCACCGAGGATAATCAGTCGCAGCAGTCGAGGGCGGCTGCCGAGCAGTCAAGCATGTCGCGTGCGGATGGAGTGCATTCCATTTTCCAGGCTCCTGGCTCTTCCCTGCTAACGACTATGCTCATGAGGACTCTGGATCAAGGAACGGATACGCATATTCTGCTTTCCGACGTGAAAAGTGCGCATGTTGCTGAGGTCATCAAGGACCGAGCTGGTCCTGGGCTTGGGAGATGGGGGCTGTGGTCGTTCCAGAAATGAGTCCAACCGATGAAGTGGCTTTTCCTTAGCCCCTTCTTTTGGAATACAGAAGGAAGTTCGTGAAAAACATTTAGTGCAACATTCAGAAGTACGTTCCATTATCTGATTTGGGCAACTGTCGCTACTCGTACAATACTGACACATATGACCAGATCCACCACCACAAAAGCGCCGTTGAATCAATGCAAAGGGACCGCCACTTCCATGAACTTCCATGAAATGTGCCCCGCAGAACTCACTGCAAAACGAAAACTCCGATTCATAAGCCAAGCTCCCGTCTCTATTTAAAAACAAGGGTATCAAGCTTTTGGTTTTCATGTCCCTCGCGCCGGCTCAAACAAACCACTTTTATCGGAAATGAAAGATCCCACATTGAGTAATGAAGAAAGAGATATCGAAACCGGCTCGACATAAGGCGTGTTTCCTGCCTCTACGCCCACATCCTTAGAACAGCTCGCTCGTTCAATGTGCGCGATTTCTGTTCATTCTGCGCGAGGCCTTGGTTGACCGCGTTTTCCTCGAAGAAAATATCCTGTTGCTGGACCTTGATCCACTGTTTGTGCCGCTCGCAGCGTTTCTTGCTGCAGACTCCCCGGGTCCAGTAAGCGATCTGGTCGTCCTCCTCAGCCCCCATCGACGCGTCGCCGTCTGCGTCCGTTGTTCGCGGATAACTGGCCGCGAAAGCTTCAATGGTGTTCTGTTCCAGCGCCTCCTTGCCAGCGTCGGAAAGTCGCCATTCATCGAACTCCTCGTCGGACCACGACAGCCGCGAGTCGAACCCGCAGATATCTTTCCACCCGCCCTTGGGATCAAGCTCCTTAAGCTTCTCTACAAGGCTTTTCGCTCGCTGGCGCAGCAGTCCCACGAAAGTCGACCGGGCTGCTAACATTTCCTTCCGGTGAAGAAGCTCTTCTCGTTCTTTGCGGATCTTCTCGAGCTTGGCCAATTCATCGGCGGAATAATCGATATTCTGGGCTTCGACCCCGAGTCCCGGCGTCTTACTGATATTGTTATGCGCCTCTCCATTCGTCGAGCCCTCGGAGCCGTCAGACGGTGCTGGCGTTGCTAGGATCCGATTTCCTAGGTTGCGGAATTCGTCAACTGACTTCACACTCGCGAGAACAGCCTTGAGGTCCCCGGGTGTGATGATCCCTCCCATACTGCCTAGGTCAGGTGTTTGTTGCGGGCCTAGTTTTAAGCTCTCAATCCGGCGGCGCATGAACTCTTGGCCGTGCGCGTCGGAACAATACTTGCTGGGCGGTTTACAAGTAGCGCGTGCCGGTTTACGACAATCGCTGAGGCGGCATTTTGGCCTCCACGTGGTAACTCCAATGCCTTTGTCGACGCAGAGAGGGCCTGGGTTTTCGTCTCAAGTTAGCGTACCGGTTTCTTTCGACCGATTTCTGCTGGGGGAACTTACAAATGTATCTATCGATCAACTCCTCATCCTCGGGAGAAATATTCACACATTTCCCGTGGTACCAGTCTTGACACGGGCCATCGCATGCGACCATCCAGTCGTGATTGTCGGGCTTTTTGCAGATACAGTAGAGTTGATCGTCGTCCTCATCGTCCTCCTCCTCCATATCTACGTCCTCTTCTGTCCGACGTTTCCCGCGCGGCTTGGGCTTTTTCTTCTCTTCCGGAACCGGGGATGAAGCGACTGACACCGAACCTTGTTTCCGTCCCGGGGTCTTGCTTGTGCGCGATGCCGGGGTGTTGGAGCGTCCATCTAGACTGTCCGCATCCACATCATTCAATTTGCGCTTTTTCGGCGCTGGCTTTTTGGCGGTACCCTTCTTGGTCGCTGCTGATGCTTTTTTGTTCGCGGAGAGGTTGACGGAAATAGCTGGGGACGACCGATCGGAGGACGCTCGTGAGGTCCCGTTCTTGCGATTCGACGACCCTGACTTTTTGCCACCGGGTTGTTTGACGGATAAAGCAGGTGACGACCGATCAGAGGCTGGTGACGCTCGTGAAGTCTTCCCGCTTTTGAGGTTTGCCAATGTCTTCGGAGTTGGATGATCGTTCGAACCATCGAAGATAGGCCTATATTGGTAGTCATCACCGCATGGCTCAATTTTCACTGATGGTAATGGGATATCCTCTTGCCGAACCGGATCTGCGCTTTTAGCGTTGGAATCATCGTAGGAATCTGGCCAGTCTGGGTTGTGCCCCGCACCGTTCTTCAATGGACCTGGGCCTGTATAGTGCTCATGAATGACACTGTGGTCGGTAAGAAATTCGTCCCGTGGAGTATGTGATTGGTTGCTGTGAGGATCGGGCGTGTCTCTGGAGTCATCTGCATTTCCGGTGAACCCATTCACATGATTCGCGTTGCGGCTGCTCTCCATCTCCGGCGCCATGGCCCGGGTGGGAATGGTCAAGGCGAGATTGAACTCGCAGTTTTGATTTAGAATCCTTAATAGATTTTGAGTTTCAAGGAGTTGGTATTGCTCAGAGGGTATCGGGAACAAAGGGGGAGGCGGGGATAATTCAGATCCACGGAAATGCGACCGAGGAGGTTGGATGCATCATTGAATTGAATTTGTATCAATTGCCCTGTTGCGCCCAGGATTTGACCATACGGCTTCTCCCTCCTTGCGACGAACTGCGAAAAGTAGGACGATTCCCAAGCCGGCTGTTGGCGCCAGCTGAATTTCTTTCGGAGAATCGCGCCGCTCCACCGCTCGTGTGCAAGGCCGTCACTCTCCCAATCTGTGAGAAGAGCTGGTGAGACGCGATGCTCAGATATTGGAAATCGCGGTATGGAAACAAGCTTGAAACATGCAAAAGCCTCCAAGATCCAGGTTGACGCTGTCCCTGGAATCATCGGACACGCAGGCGTCGCGGCGATGAGGCGGGCAGAGAAATGCGGGCGGTGAAACCCCCAGCCAATCACTCAATATACTGGGCGGTCTGGTATAACCACATTTGTCGTCAGCACGCGACACGCGCCCAGGCAGAAGTTTGATGCCTGAAAACTCCTGTTGTGATCACTTGGACAGGATAGAACCAACTACACCACCCGTGCAAAAGTCCGTGTGCACTCGGTCCCATTGCCATCACCCTAACAACCACCCAGACTTTGATTTTTCTCCTACACCTCGCCTATGGTCTCGATCGCTATCAACCTGGAATGATGTTCTAGCAAGATAGCATAAAGATCCATATAGCGAAAGATACACAGGTTTAGTATGAAGAGCACGGGATGTACGTTGAAAATTGGCCTGATCTGAACCCTATTGAACCGGTCTGGAATATATTAAAGCGTTATCTTTTTCGTATATTTGAAGATCTTATGTAGATGGAAAGATCTGAAGAGGCCTATTTCAAAGAGTGTATTGATGCTGTATGGGATGCGTTGGACCAGACGAAGATTGATATGTATGGGAAGAAGGATCGATACATTGAATACAAACCAGGGCTATTATACGGCAAGGGAACCCTGTAAATAAACGATATTATTCAGTACATTGAAGTTTAGTATGATCCAATAAGGATTGGTGGTGTAGAATATGTAACCATGAATATACATAGGTATTTGGTAGCAGAAGCGGTATGCACACGGACTTTTCCCCCCTCCTGTAGTAGTAGGGTGGCAATGATTAAATCTTCTATTTTTAAGTAAAATATTAAATATAGTGAATGATAACATGAGCTGTAGAAATGCAATTCTCCACAACTTGAAACCGAAAGCTCTTGCTGGCATGATCGGTTCGAATTCCAATATCAGCGTGAAGATCGTATCGAGGACTGGAAATCCTTGTATTAAGCAGCATTTTTGACAGATTGCATGCCGGCGTTCAACGTTGAATTAAATCAGCATTTCTTCGTTTGCCAAGGGCTTCTTCTCTTGAAGCTGCTGTTGTGACTCCTGTGCTCGGTCGACAGTCAATTCCTCCGTGAAGACGCTGGTCAACAGTCCAAGGAAGGCTAGGCCAGCCATGGTCGCCCAGACCACTTTGAGGCTGTCGGCATACGCCTCGATTATCATGGTCTTTTCCAATGAACGAGGGTCCATGGCCTTCACAGTCTCCACCAAGGAACTTGCATCCTTTGAGAGCTGATCAGCATCTGATGCCAGGAGCGGATATGCCTTCAGCTTGATTGCGAACTGGGCTTGAAATATGGCACCCCCAATAGCAACGCCAATGCTCTGTCCAAAGGACCGAGAGAACGTATACATTGAGGCTGCGTACGCGACGTCTTTCTCCTCGGCAGCCGTCTGGATGGCGTATCCGAGGCTACTGTAAAGCATTCCCAGTCCTAATCCAGTGACAAGGTTCATGAAAACCCAAGCCGGAATCGAAGTCCCAACCCCAAGCAAATAGAGCAAACCAAGTCCCAGGGTGCTCAAAATCCAACCGGACCAAATGGCCCATCGGTATCTGCCATACTTCGTTACCAACACCCCTACCACAATCGACGCTGGAGCCACAGTGAATGTTTCGGGAAGACACCCACTCCGGCGACAATTGCGTTGTAGCCTTTCACGCACTCGTAGTAAAGAGGAAGGTAGTAAAGAAGGCACCAGAGAAGAATGCCGTGTATGCAGGTACCTAGGTAGCTGACCAGGGCCGTTCGATGACGGAAGATGGCGAGTCGAATAATCGGATCCTTTGCGATCGTCGCTTCGTAAGCCACAAAACCAACAAGACCTAGCACGCCGAGGACTAAAGGGACAATCGTATGCCATGATGACCAAGGGTACATGACATTTCCCCGGGAGATAGCAACCAAAAGCGCCGTAGAAGAAGCCGTAAGGAAGGAAGCTCCAACCCAGTCGAAGTGAACGAGCTTAGACACGAACCCTCCTGGCACTCGCTTCAATTGGAGAAACCAAACGGTCATCACGAATCCGACGGCACAAATGGGCAGATTGATCCAGAAAATCCATCGCCATGAAGCCGCTTCAGCGAGTGCACCGCCAATGACGGGGCCATTGACACTTCCGATAGCCCACACAGCACTCTGATATCCAAACCATGTTCCTCGATGGCGGAGGGGCACAAGATCGGTAATAACCACTTCTGTCAAGCTGATAATGCCTCCTCCGCCGGCGCCCTGGACACTGCGCCCGATCAGAAGCGTTGTGAAGTCTTTTGCAACAGCCGCAACAATGGAGCCGATCGTGAAAAGGATCAAGGAGAGCAAGATTAAGTCTTTGCGGCCGAACGACTGCGATAAAGACCCGAATGTCAACTGGCAGACGGTGCTGGTGAGCAAGAATGATGTTCCAGCCCAGAAGGCTTCGATTGCAGAGCCATGGATACTGTGAGAGATGATCTACGTGAGAATGGAACTTGAAGTCAGCAATCTCTCGGTGGGAACGGTCACATTTCTCTCTTGACGCGTGGTAGAAGGATACCTACGGGGAGGGCTGTAGACAAAGAAGTTGCATCCAAGGCGGCCGCAAGGATCACCACACAGAGACTTCCGAACGCAACGTAAAAGCGCCGCGATGGCTGGAAGTCTGCTATCTCAGCAGCGCTTGATGACATGGTCTGCTCTGGTGGACTAATTCTGAGACGGCTTTGGAGTCCTGCTCATCCAGCGCAGGAGGAGGGTGAGATCTCGAGGGTAAAATGGCCCCGGATCCGCTGTGCACTAAACCAATAATGGGCCCATCTGGAAACGCTGCGCCTGGGATTAGACAGACCTGCACCTTGGTAACCAGCTGGAGCCATCTGACGTGAGAAGTCGGAAGACCCTGGTAAAATACATTAAAAGACAGTCGACCAGTTAAAGATGTTTCGTCCCACGGGTGCTGGAATCGGATGTTTCGACTTTCGAGAAATCTAGCTTGAGCAATGACCTATAGGATTTAATATGTCTCAATTGCGGAACTGACTTAATTTTGCTCGGCATGGACCTTTGATGTGAAAAATATCATTCATTTGTTCATTAAGTATAGCCAAACAGGGGCATGGCAGTAGCAGAAGAGAATGAACCCAATCAAGCTTAACACAACGCTATGTGAGATGTGCAACTGTACCTGTGCATAATAAGCAACTTGGCACCAAGGTTGGAATGGTTCTAGAAATCAGCAATGGCAGTGGCGTCCACCTGCACCGTATACGCGGTGGGACCAAGTGGGGAGCTTCAAGTCGGAGATTTGCCGGCTAAAATACAACGGCCCGGGAGCTCGGGCCATCTTACGCAAAGAGGTTTACAACGGACGAAAACTCTCGAGGAAACAGGTTGAACTATAAGACTATTGTACAGCCCGGCTTGCATCGAGAATCAGCAGGCAAGGCTCTGGCCATCCCAACATCCAAAAACGCCGAGCCAATGAGGCGGGTTCGGTAAGGACGATAGAGATGAAGCAACAGATAAGACTGTTTTCCCCGCGTAAACACTATTCATGTCAGGCCAGCAGGCCACCATAAAGCAAAGCAAGAACCACCGTGGAACCCATTCCGTTAAGCCCGTAAGTGATAGCAACAAGGAAAAGAAATGAAACCGGTAATAAGCTGGGAAACACACGAAGAACGCCACCTCTGCGTAATCAAGTTGCAGAAACGCGCTTAGGAGGACTCCTCCTCTTCGTCGTCACCACCCTAGGAGAGGGTAAGTATAATGGAAATCGGGGGCAGATTAGGCGGATCATGGGGCAGGGAACTTACGGCCTGGTACTTGGCCTTCTCCTCCTCGTAACGCTTCTTGTCAGCGGCGGCCTTCTCATCGTACGGCTTGCGCTCGGAGTCGGACAGAGCCTTCCACTTATCACCGAGCATCTTTCCGACCTGGCCTTGGAAGGGATTAGATGCGACTCAATGGAGGATAAAGTATTTAAAATGAAGAGGGGAGAACATACCGAAAGAGATACCAGGGTTCTCCTCGCGAACCTTGTCACGGTTGTCATTGGCGAAGAACATGTAGGCGGAGAGACCACGCTTGGGGGCGTTGGGGTCTACGAGGCATATCAGAACAAGAAACCCAGAGGGGCGCATCAATGGCGGGGGAATTGCCATGTCAATAGCTGACTTACCCTTCTTGCGGCGGGTGGCGCGCTCCTTGGTCTTGCGAACGGGCTTCTCCTTAGGCATCTTTTCCTTTGCAGCGCGAGGCATGGTTAGTTGCTTTGAAGAAAAGGAGGAAATAGAGTTAATACGGCGAAAGGCGATGAGAGTGGCTGAAAAAGAGACCAGCAAGGTGGTAGACAGAGAAAGTAGTAGAGACACTGTGTGTGGGGAGGAGAAAGTAGTGAAGTGGTGTTGTGTGGTGACTGAGAGCAGGTTATGGCCGCCCTAAACAAGGCGCGCGTTTTGGGAGCGCGCTCTCGCGCCCACAGCCAATTGTTGGGATCTAATGGGCAGAACGCGATCAGAAGGAACAAAACTCACCGAATAAACTGGTTTTACAATTCAATGGCAACAGGCGACCACAATAATGTCCTAGTCAAACCGGGTTCGGTTAGTGGGTGGTTGCAAAACAATAGACGTGAGAAGCGCGATCGCGACACCGGTCGCGCGACGATGTGGAAAAAAATGATTCAAACAACCTTAAGAATAGGAAAGAAGAGATAAAACAAGTTCAGACAAAAACAGAAGAGGTGGTGGTGTTGGGAGAAATAAGGTAGCGGGAGGGCTTGATATAGATGGGATATGCAGTACCTGGGTTTGTATGGGCAAATAGTGTATGGGCGAGGCCGGTAGTGTAGGAAGAAGGGAGAGAGAGTGAGAGGGGGGAGGACCGTAGTAGTAAGGAATATGGGAGAGAGAGGGGGCCCGGGGAGCCACTGTTTGCTTACGGGACCAAAGGGAAATGTAACGGGTTTCTAAGGGCGAGCCGTACGTTATGTGTGGTACAGTTACCGTATTCTGGGTATTCTGAGTATTCTGAGTACTTCTTCCTGCTGTTCCATCTCAGGGATTACCACAGATTACCACTCCTTACCATCATTGGGGCGGAACTGCAGAACTGACTGTCTTTTGCTGCTTTTAGACAAAGATGTCTTTTATCTTCTCTAATTTTTTTTTCAATTTTTTTTTCAATTTTTTCTAATTCCTTCTCCAGGATGCTGAGAGTGGTACATATTGGTATTGTTTTTGTCTCTTCTATTTTTGGCCACCTTCTGCCGATAAATTTTCCAGCGCCTTGACTACCAGTACAGTGTCTTGCGTCCCTAGTCACGAGTGCAGCCGTCCCAGCGCTGTAACATACTCGGGCCTTCTAGCGGTGGAGTTCCCTTATTGCGAAAACAGCGCCATGGTCGTACCCGGTACCGCTGTAACCTATAGAAAGTGACTCGCCACGCAAGTACCCAGTACCAATTCATTACAATTCCCATTACGACCCCCAACACGTCTAGCAGAATGTATTGAATCGCCTAAGGAAAGCTTTTCCTCTCCAGCCTGGACGAAATATCCATAAGGAGTTGGATCCTCCAATTAGAAACGCACTCTTCTCCATTACCTCACGACCACAGGACGACCCCCCAAAGACAAGGGATGCCACTATTAGGTACCACCGACCACCCATACATACATGGTGCAGCTACGTCTAAAAGGTTGCTTTCACCCTAACATAATTAGATGACCAGCCTGTCGTTCCCTCATTAAAGTTCGCGCTTCCTTATTGGAAGAGTAATAGCAAAAATACGCTCGCACAGGCATTTTGAGGAGGCGAAAAATGATACACCCAATAAGTCCGAGACGGCTACCGGTACACATTGTTTGAGGATGAAAGCACCCTTTGTCTGTGGGGTTGCAAATGCCCGCAAAAGGGCCCTCAGATCGCGGCAGGATGACATGGTGCCATACGGTGTAGGCGGAACATCTCTGGAGGGAAGCGACGGAGAAACCTGGTAAGTACTTCCCACCGCGCTGTACTGAATAGTCAGTCCATCGGCCACTGAATTAGCGCGAGGCAAGGGCCGTCCACTCGCAACGGCAGGGCATATACCCTCTAACCGCCCATTGGAAACTCAGCCATCCACTGTCGTCAATTACCGCCTAGCTGCCATGCAGGATGATGATGAAAAAAAAAAAGGGTCAAACTCGCTAGAGACAGTTGATAGCTCCAGACTTCCATGAATCAGCACAAGCCCTCAAGAGAGTACACACTCTATGTACCGGGTGTACCTGATTATAGTTAAGAGCTCACCGTGCGGATTACGTAGTGCCATCATACAACCAATAATACGGAGTACCATAACCATCGGTTCAGCATTGCGGGATTTTGATCCTCGAAGATCGCTCGAGCCGAGTTGCTGGGAACGGGGCTGTGTGCTGGAACCTCCGTTTCCTTTTTCTCTGGGGTGGTGGATTGTTCAAAACTTCCTTGCAGTAACTCAATTAAGAGTGGAAAGAAAGGTATGTACACAGAGATTATGGTAAATTCCCTTGCGACGCGTCGGTACTTGGAATACTAGAGGGTAACAAACAGCATGTACTGGAGACTTCGTGCTACCAAAGACATTCTGTCATGCCCTGTAGTCTGCAGACTTATGCACTCCCCTGTGAGGGATTGGTGGCCCAGCGGCTGAGCCCTAACGTGATTTAGAGCCAAACGCTCTTGAAGTCCAATACACGATTCCATAGATTTCGAGTCACATTCCGGTTCTGCTTTTACTGCTCGAGTCCCGCAGTGCCCCCTCCACCTGTAATTTACCCGTTTCCCTTCCACTTCCCCCGAGAGGCGTCATAGAAGTCTCGCGCAATAGCATACTTTCTGTGTAATCTTCTGCTCACACTCGACTCGTCCTACTAGACTTTTAACGCGGGTATTCATATCAGATAGGTATACTCCATTTTGCCCCCCCCGCCCCCGTGCATCCTCGGCTGTGCATTTTCCGGGAGTACGCTGCGAATCGAAGTACCAATTCCCTTCTACCCCCTTATCTATCCACTCCGTCATAGCGGGTGCGCAGTGATGTAGGCGTGGGTCAAGGTCTTACACGGCCACACTGGAAATGACATTATTAACCGGTCGTAACATTGCTCGTAAAAATAAAAATGTCCCTGAAAATTGGACAGAAACGCCAAACGCTGAAGGCTAAAATCGGGGCGAGTGTCATAGCTCGCAGCTTGCAGCTCCTTTACCCGGGCGGCTGGGTAACCGCCAATCCAAGCTTTCGAGATTGAGAAACATATCAGCAGGTTTAATCGTCGCTTTCATCCAGAACAAGCGCTCGTAGGGTATCATTATCAGCCCAGTCTAACCCGCTGCCTACAACCATTGCGCTGGCAATACTCTTCATCGTATCCCATTTTGCTTGACTGGTCTTGAGTTCCGCTTCCAGCTCATCAAGCTGCGACGCGAGCTGCGCGTCCTGTAGTCGATCCCTCCAAGAGGAATCTTCCTTGGTAAGCTCAAGCAGTTCGCTCACAAGTTTCTGGTTCTCTTGGTTGATCTGGATATTCTCAACCTCTGCGTGAGAAAGTTGTTCAAGCACGGCTGAATGAGCCGAGGCTAGATTCTCCTGCGCAAGCGCGAGCACGTCGCGCCGGTTAACTAGTCGGAGTAGACTTCTACACAATTTCATTAGATCAGCAGATGAACGGGTCCGAGGATGGACAAACGTACTTTTCAGGCGGAATCGTAGACTTCAGGTGTACCGCCTTGAGAATCGGATCCGTCATGAGCACCATCCGAGCGGCTTTCCTCCTGACGGTGTGGGTAGCTCGCGCCTCTAGGAGCTCGCGTTCGGCCGTCGCGAGCGCCTCTTCCACGTTATCGCCAGAGAGAGATTCCGGCTCTACAAGTATATTAGCAAATAGACGAATCAAAGTATCCATATCGGATAAAACAAAGCAAAGAAAATAGGCCAAAGAAAAAAATTAAGAAAAAAAATAAAAAAAAAATAAGATATCTAGGAGATTCGCGAAAGAATCTCCCGGCCTGGTTGCGCGTACCTTGCTTCAGCAACGCTTTTTCGAGCCGTTGTTCCTGAATCTGGTTGGCGAGCTGCAGGACCAGCTTCTCCTTGTCTGATAGGGTTATGATATCACGCGAGTCATCTGCCGCATAATCCAGGAGGGTGACCTCTTCAGGCCGCAAGTGTGCCCACTGGCCATGTTTTGGAGCCATGGAGGAGATCGCGTGGGCGCCGGGCGACCTTGTGATGACATGGGGAGGCGGTGGGGATGCACCGCGAGAGCTTCAGCCCCTACTACCCACACTTTAACAACCACCTCCCCTCCTTCCCTGGACACCCAAGCTCTGGCGTTCGGTGGCGAGGAGAGGGGAATGTCGTTGCATATCTACATAGCTCACTCTGGTGAGCATCTACTGGCTGATCCAGTATCCTTTGCTTCGTACGCTTATGCTACCCGATCTGCCCTTACATGTTCCCGACGCATGCTGACGCTTCTCTTTCAGTCCCGAGGCCTTGAAATCATGGATCCTACGAAACACCGCGATTCCGGCCCAGAGGCAGATCTTGATGACCGCTCGGGGCAAGAATGTGAAGATCCAGACGCTTGCCACCGAAGTATGGAGCTACTTTGACCCCAAACATGCGCCACCTTGCCAGCCATCCGACAAAACTAACATTACTTTTCTCAAACCAGAACGAGATCTTCGTCTACGATAGACAATTCGTGCTCGAGCCCGGCGAAATCGAGCTTCCAGAACTCCCCATACCCCAACCTTTCAAGCCGACCGACCCTCCGGCATCCCTCACCGATCAAAACGACCTGCAGGCATGGCGCAACCTGTTCATGGCCAGAAGAAGTTGGGCCCTCGAAATCTCTTCGCAATGTAGTGGAGCTGGCAAAGCCTTACAAGAACATAACGAACGGAGTGATGTCATAAATCGGGCTGTCGGCGTCGCGCTGGAGAACCTCAAATCGCACGTGGGAAATCTCGAGCACCGCTTTCAAGAGGCGCAAACCTGGGCAAACAATCTCCTCGAGGAGCAACAGGCTGCGATCGATGGCTGGCAGCAGGCTCTCACAAAATTGGAGGATGTTCCAGCTCGGAAAGATTTCCCTTTGCTTGGACGGCCCTCTACGCCCAAACTCGATACCAACCGACCCACCGGTACGCTCAGTGACTTTATTGATCGAAATGAGGTTCAGCAAGCTGGTACCGATGCAGCAGCCGCTTTTCCTCGTTTCGCAGGGCAGATTCAGAGTCTAGAAAAGACAGTCGGCGATATCGCATCTAGCACTCAAAGCTTGTTGGAGGAAGTTGAAACCGCAGGTGGCGCAGAAGGGGATGACGGTTTGCTGGAGGAGGTGGAAACTATTGCAAAGAAGATCGGCTCCGATTATGAGCATGTTCTTGGCCTGCCCAACAACCAGAAGATGCTGGCTAATGTTTCAAGACTCGCTCTCAATCACACTCAAAATCTCCTCCCGTCTCTTCTTGCCGCCAGTGGCGATCTCCACCAAGCATTGCGATACGCCGTGCAACGCCGTGCGGCCGCCGAGAAGAGTGCTCTACAGCACATGCGTACAATATCGATGATCGAATCGAGACTCGCTGATGCCCATGCACAGATAGGTAGCCTTGATGTTGACAGTCATTCCTTTGACGTGATCTACTCTGTGTTCCAGATGCCCCTGATCTACGGATCTATATTGATCGAGGCTGTGCGGCGGCGCGAATGGAGCGAAAAGATCAAAACGGACTCGATGAATCTTGCAGAAGAAATGGCGATTCTGAGAGACGAAGAGCAACGACGACGAAAGAAGTGGCTTAAAAGCATGGGAGACTATATTCCGTCCACCGAGACCACTACTCCGGGATTGAGGTCAATCTCCAAGGACAAGATGACGAGTGGCCTAGAGTAGATCGCAAGGAAATTGAACTCTACATCGAGGAGCTGCGATCGACACATTCACTAACGAATTTCGCCGATGATCTGTCTCAACAACTCAAGGATCTAGATTCCCCCACTCGCCAGCAGAGGCGGCGAACGAAGGCCTTCAAGAACGGAAGCATATTCGATAACAGTCGCAGCTCAATGCTCCTCCGTGGAGACGACATGGTGCGAACCCTGCAGGAGGAGAAAACAAAACTCGAAGAGCGCCTCAAAGGATCAGATAGTCGCATTCGCAAACTGGAGGATCTCCTTCATCGCCAGAGTCACTTAAGCAGACCGTCAAGCGGCAACTTTGGTGTTGACTTCCCTAGTTCTCCTGCATCACCCCATCCAGATGCACTTTCCCGACGTTCCTCCGTCTCCTCCAGGAGAGTGTCTATGAATCAATCACCCGAAGATCGAGCACTAGTCCAGCGAATCGTCACTTTGGAAGCGGAGCTTTCCGCGGAGAAAGAGACGGTTCAGCGGCTCCATAAAGAAGCCCATGCAGAGAGGCAGTCCAACTCTGACAAGTATCAAGAAGCTCAATCAACCAAGAAAGATCTCATCGGGAACCTCGAGGCCCGACAGCGTGAGTTTGAAGAAGAACGTCGATTCTTGGAGACCGAGTCTAAGAAGCTTCGTTTACGCAACGAGGAGATCGAAGAGGAATTGGATCGGTTAATGGATACCCTTCAACACGAAAAGCAGGACCACGACGAGCGAATTCATCAACTCGAGACTGATCTTGCTACAGCCCACACCGCTACAACGGAAGAAATGCGGAAGACTGAAGACCTGCAGTCGCGCATACAATCTCAAGAGGAGAAGGAGCACGCTCTCCAGACCAAGCTTGATGATTTGGAACGTGATCGGGTCGAGCAAGGTCGCAGAGATACGGAAACCCACAATGCTCTACAGGCAGCCCTCATGTCCTTGTCCCCCGGGGGATCTGTACCTAATGACTTGCCTGGTCTCATCAAGGCAGTCGAAGTTCTTTCCGAAGGGCTATCGATTCACGCCAAGAATGCGGATGACAATGCATCAAAGCTAGTCACTGAGAACAAGATTCTCGAAGAGAAGATTGAGAAACTCGAAGCGGAGGCCGTCGAAAGTAACAGGAAACTTCATGACCAGAGCTCCGATCTGGCTGCCCTAAAGGAGGAGGCTTCCCAGCTTCAAGTCCAGTTAGACACTGCTAAAGCCGAGCTAGAGCAAGAGCGCTCCAAGCTGAAATCTCTCCAGACTGAAATTACTGCTGGAGAGAGTGGCTCGGCTGCACTCCGACAGCAGCTCGCAGAAGAGGAACGGAGAAATGCGGACTTGACGAGAAGACTCGCCGAGGCTGATTCTCGTGCATCCCGGTCCAGGGCAGAATTGGACGAGAGGACCGACACCACTGCAGCAACAGGCGAGCACGCGGTCAGTCGCGACAAAGACCATGAAGCTAGATGTTTTGAGACGTCGCAACAGCTGTATTCGCAGATCGAGAAGTTGGAAAGGATGCTAGAGCAACTAGGCTTTGCGATTATTCAGCAGGATGGCCGTTTAGTTATCCAGCGCGCCTCTAGACTGAGCACTTCGACTTCTGGCCTGGGCGAAAGTCTCGCCCAATCAGCCATTGTGTCTGCGAAACCCGATTCATCGCTCCTTGGCTGGATGCACGCTGAAAGCCCCGAGGAAGAAGAAGCCAAGTTCTCGGCTTTTATGGAAAGCCTCAAACGCTTCGATGTCGGTGCTTTTGGAGACGTCGTTGTGAAGCGATTGAAGGACATAGAAACCCTTGCCCGTAAATGGCAGAAGGAAGCTCGTGGTTATCGTGACAAATATCACCGCGTCCAAAGCGAGGCCCATGACAAGATCGCGTACCGTTCGTTCAAAGAAGGCGATCTTGCCTTGTTTCTTCCGACGCGGAACCAGGCTATCCGTTCATGGGCTGCATTCAACGTGGGCGCACCGCACTATTTCTTGCGCGAGCAGGATTCGCATAAGCTTCAAAGTCGTGACTGGCTTCTTGCCCGGATCTCGAAGATTGAAGAGCGTGTTGTCGACCTTTCCAAGTCAATGAATAGTGTCGCTCCGGAGCGGAACTCGCAAGGCGAGACCAGCGATGGGGCTTCATTCGAAGATGAGAACCCCTTCGAGTTGTCCGACGGCCTGCGCTGGTACCTTCTGGATGCTAATGAAGAGAAACCCGGTGCGCCTGCTACGCCCGGGATTGCCAAGAGCACGGTGGCATCAGCACGAGTTGACGCAAAGGGCAGCATCCGCCTGAAACGCCCGACGGAAGAAAGCACTGTTGCTCAAACCCTTTCCAGGAGCCTCGAGAGCCGACGCAATAGTTCCAACTCCAAACGAGGGACTCCCGCGCCTTCTCAAAGGGCCAATGACTCGGGTAGCGATCTGGTTCGCCCTGCAGAAGCAGACGCTGGCCCGCAGCCGAGAGAGGCTGATCCCATCTTTGACGAGGTTCGCCGCGACCTACTCCTTGGCCCGTGAAGAGTGCGAAAGAATTGCAGCTTTTTTTGAGGTTTTTTTTTTTCATCTCTCCGGGCTTGCTAAACAGATGAAAGCTAATGTTCTCCTGACATCTTGGCTAGACCACAAGCAACTCTCAGAGCCCGGTCCCGCGCGCAGCCCAGGCTTCAACTCCAGAGAATCTTGCGTCATTCCCTGCATCACCGTCGAATTCAGGTCGGCCCCGGGCAGAAGCCGGCCTTGGGAGAAATTATGGTCCCTCGAATACCACAGTGAAGGTAGCCGTCATTAACGGGCATGTTCTTTTAGGAAACTTAGAATATTCCCGACGTTACGTCGACGTTGGTGCTTCAGACTCTTTCTTCTTAGTTCGTTTTCTGGTTTTTATTTTTCTTTTTCTTTTTTTTCTCTTGTTATTTTCTGTTCTCCAGACGCTGGGGCGTGACTGGGGACCTCGCATATGCCCTTGAAGGGATTTACCTCGAGATACCCATCCATGCAATTAAAATGAAACGCGATTCTAGAGTAGCTCTCAATTCCCCATCTTGAATTCTTGTCTTTGGCATTCCCAATGTCTTCAGTTCTATAGAGTAATAAACGAGAGCGGAGATGTCGGAGGTCGCATGACGCGGAAACTCCCTCAAGGTCGCGTGCCGGGGCCCAATGAAACGCTCGAGAGCCAGAAATCCCCCTCATCCCACCTTCCACTTGAGAGCGTCAGGCCTGGCTGTGCTCTCACTTCTGAACAAACAATGTGGCCATGCTCAAGAGATCCAATCTAATCTATCACGGCATCCGGGTGCTCAACTCTGGACAGGCGCCGCCCTTCCATCTCCGCCTCGGGCTCTGCTCCAGACCGTATGCCACTACGTCAGATATCCCAAGCAAGTACCCCTGGCCCAGCTCGCCGATTTTCACCCCGTACGATCTGCTCAATCTCTCCCGCCATGCCCCGTACTCGAAGGCCCGATACTACGAGCTCGTGAAGATTTACCATCCCGACCGACCCAGCAATGACATCTCCCTCGAGCTCCGTCTCCAGCGCTACAAGCTGATCGTCGCTGCGCACGAAATCCTCTCTGACCCGGTACGGCGCAGAGACTACGATCGATTCGGCACCGGCTGGGACCTCCATCGCCGTCCCTCCGACCCCAATTTCTCTGCTGAGGGTCCGGATATGACGATCTTCGCCAATGCAACCTGGGAAGACTGGGAGCGCTGGCAGGCCCGCCACCACGGCAAGCAGCAGCACCTTGTCGACCAGCGCACCTTTGCCCGTCTCGTGATACTGCTCGTGCTCCTCGGTGTCGCAGTGCAGGCGTCGTGGCTCTCGAACATGAACTCGGGGTATGATCAGCGCCTGCGCGAGGTCAGCGGGGATTCTATGCGCTTTTTGGCGGGGAGGCGCGATAAGGCGAATGATCGTTCGCTCTCGCGTGATGCCCGTGTGCAGAGTTTTCTGATTAGCAGGGATCCGACGGGCTCGGGGTTAAAGGATGACGAGCATCCGACTTACAGGAAGGAGCTTCACCCCAGAGGGAGTGTGTACTCGTCGCAGGAGCCGCTAGTGACTCAGGCGGAGGATGCTGGCGGGGAGCTTGAAGAGGCCGGTCCTGACTCGGATGATCACGATAGTCTTGTCTGATCCTTCGGGGTGCTCTTATGTGCTGGTTTCGCGCGGAATGCACAGTTGACAGAAAATTCGAGGCGGACGCGAAGAAAAATGTATCAATTTCCCATCTGTCTTGAAGGACTTTCGATGACTTTGACTACTCGCAGAAGATTCTGGTTTTCACATATCTGCTACCATATTTCCTACCATATCTCCCACCATATCTCCACATACCTTCTCATCGCGGGGGCAGCTCCTGGTTCAGACACACCGAAATCAACATCTTACATGAAGCTCGAACTCAGGCCCTAGACAGTACTCCCAAGTAGTAAAGCTTCAAATGAAGGGCCTCTTGAATCTGGATGCTCCACTCGTACTTGCAGTAGTTATCTCGTGCAGGCCTCCTTGTGGACCCTGATCTGGCGTATATTTCCCGATTTGCGAATGTGGGGACATCCGATCAAAGCAAGGAATTCTGCATACACCTTTGGCAAAGTATTACCGTGGCACTAAAATAATGTATAAAGGCCATATTCCTTGGTCCAGCAGCATTACGTCGAGGGGTCCACTTGTGAAAGAAACCGGGCCTCGGCTCAGCCTCGATCCGGCTCTTGTCTATTGCGTATAATTCAAGTTGGTCTTGATCCCCCACGAACGTAGCAATTGCGCTCCGTTCTGTCCACCATGACTCGGTTCAAAAATGCCATCAAGAACCTGCAGATGATCATCGTCCGCATCCCTCTGCTGCTCCAGACGATTCTGCTGCATGCCATCAATAGGTCGCCCGTCGCAGGGAAACAAGACCTCCGGACGGAGCTGATTACAGTCTTGATTCGCTCCTTCATCACCAGGGATAAGCCACTTCTCAAAGTACAAGAGGGGAGTCTTCGGGACCCTGGCATCAAAGGCCCCATGTGGGTGTCCAAGGTCACTCTGCCGCAACCGGAATTCGATGTCCGCGATGCTGTGCTCCGCGCCATCAAGGACCTGGGGACCGGCGACGAAGTATTCGACGTCCCCGGGGTGACCGCAGTCGAGGCCGAATGGACTGGATATCGCAGCGGAGTGGGCAAATCGGCTACGTTGCCCGATATCTCTGAAGAAGAGAAATATCGCGAGCTCAGAAAGGACGTCACGTCAGATATCACGATCTTATATCTCCATGGAGGCGCCTACTTGTACGTGATCATTCGCCCGGCCATGCTCTTCTTATATTTCCCTTTCAGCCTCTTCCCTAATCCGCCACGCTAACATCCAATTCCCCGCAACAGTATGATGGATCCATGCAGCCACCGAGTGCCCGTCGCACACTTATGCAAGCGCACAGGAGCGCAAGCCCTCTCAGTCCGCTACAGACTAGCTCCGCAGAACCCCTTCCCTGCTGCTCTAGTCGATGCTCTCACAGCCTATCTCTCCCTCATCCACCCACCCCGGGCTCCCTGCACGAGCCCGTCCCCGCCAACAAGATCGTCATCGCTGGCGACTCTGCAGGCGCGAACCTCACCCTCGTCCTCCTCCAGACTCTCCTCACTCTCAAGCGTGCAGATCACAAGATTCGCTTCCATGGCGCAGACGTCCCCATCGAGCTCCCCGCCGGCGCAGCCGGTATCTCCCCTGGTGCGACGTCTCCCGCTCCATGCCGTCAATCGTCACCAACGCTAAGTACGACTACCTGGACATCCGCCTGCAGCAAACGCAACTCCCCGGCGAGGCGCTGGACACCAGCATCCCCTTCGACCCCATGCCTTTCCCCTCTGACTCCATCTGGCCCGTTTCGCCGCCGCGGGTCGAGATCTTCTGCGCCACCAACATGCTGCTGCACCCGCTCGTCTCGCCGTTGATCGTGAAGCCGGAGCTGTGGCGTGATTGCCCGCCTGTCTTCATCTCTGTCGGCGAGGAGTCGCTGACGGACGAGGGCTTGATTACCGCGCGTAGAATGCATCGGGGCGGGGTCTCGGTGGTGGCGCATATGTTTGAGGGGATGCCGCATTGTCACGGAATGATTATGATCGATACACCCGTCGGGAAGCAGTTCTTTACTTCTTTGGCGCAGTTTGTGCGGGATGCGGCCGCGGGCCAGGTTACGGCGGAAGGGTCTTTGACGCATTGGGGATTCGGGCTGAAGAAGGTTGAACGTATTGCGTTGGAGAAGGTGTGCCACGAGATCAGTGAGGAGGAGGTGGAGGATCGGATTGCGACGTCGACGAGGTGGAGGCTGGAGAGGGAGAAACAGTTGCATGCGGAGTGGCGGGAGCGCGCGCGGTTATGATATGATATTGGGGTTTAACAGCTTGTATATGGGTTAAGCTTTACATAGAAACTTATGAACATCACGTATAGCACCTTCAAGGCTACTCCTATTATGAATAAAGAACAGAGAATCATGATATATTTAGAAATACAGAACGAGCAAGCTAGTCCCAGTCCCGAGCTATCCACCATCGAAGTGTGGTCATCTTCCTAAAAGAAAAAAGTGTTCAGATGGGCTCTTTTCGGACATCAAAGGTTTGTGTGCCAAAGCCTCCTCTTTGCGCCGAAAGCGGGGGCCTGCTTTGATTGAGGAGCCCGAGAAGAAGCTTTTCATACTGCAAGATTGCAGGTACTCTTCCGTGGATGAGCCCCGTAAAGATAAGCAAAGTAAAGATAAGCAAAGTAAAGATATGTCACGACACGCTTTGTTTAAGCCACGAAGGCAGCCCCATGGCACCGGGTCCTGAGCCTGCACTGTTGACCGACGCAGGATTTCCTCCACCCGCTGCGCATGGGAGAGGGTCCCGTCAAAGATGAGCGAAAAGCAGATAAGTTTCATATTATAAGAAAGCAATAGAAGTCATAGGTTGAAAGTCTACAGGGCATGATAATTATCAAGATATAATCTGATAGGGCTTCGCAACACAAAGACGATCCTAGAACTAGTAGCATTCTAAAGACCGACAGATGTTCTGTATATGTGCATTCCCGATTCTTAAGATGTATAGTAGCAGCGACTCCTTACACCTGGCCTAGAGTAATGACGGGTTCTCCCCAACCTTATCCATCAACAGTATGGCAGTCAAGTGGCCTAAGGCTAAGGGATCGGTCTTAGCGGTGGCGCACCCAATCATGCTACCACGAGCTCTGGAACCCCATATATACTAGTACCAATACAAATGTCATTTACCATACAGAGCCCGCTAAAGATATACCATATCCACCATCAAAGTCCGACGAGCGCTAGAAATAAGAAACAAAAGACACTAATACCATACAGGGCCTCCTATAGATACTCATCGTCATCCATCGAAGACTCTTCCCATCTGACAGGCGCCTCTTTCTGAGAAGTCCAAACGGTTTGCTGTGGTGGTGCAACACTTCCAACAGTGGGTGGCGCAGATGGCGATTCGAGCCAAGAAAATGGTACTGGGGTGCCATTAATGCGGACCTCGCCCACGAGCCTTCCAAGTTGCGGTGGTTCCTCCACGAAGCCATCCGAGAGACCCAGTAATTGCGCCACGAATCGGAAGAGGGCGACTGAAATAGTCATGATAGGAGCAAGAAGGGCAGATAAATGAGACCATCGCCAGAGCATCGTCACGGTCACCAGGGGAAACTGGGGTGCATCGGTTTGCAAGCAAAAGCTGCCTCGGTTGCTTGTCTGGATTGGCTGGCAGTACAGCTCTTCCATCGCGCACTCGATCACATACCAAACCAGTGACGCCAAAGTGAATTTTCCAAGGATAGTGAGCTGAAGCCGCCTTGAGACAGGGTGTCGAGCCCACAGGCGTGGCAGATCGTCCCATTGCACGAAGTTGCCGCGAGTCGCTGGTTGCAGGCCGTGAGAGTTCACTTCGTTTTGTCCCATTGGCTGCGATGAAATTTGAGAGCCCAAGATGATGCGGCCCTCAAGGTTGTTGAGACCTGATTTGAGATCCTCCATGTGATTTGCCAGAGAGGTTAATTTATCATTTAGTCGGGCGAGGCGGGCACGGCTCGGACCAGCTTCCTCTTCTTCTGTTGTAAGCGCTCTGAGATCGTTCATGATTTTGCGGAAATACTCATAGGGATTTTCCCCGATCTCGAGCTCCAGCTTCTCCATTTCAGATTTCATGTTCTCAACGATTGTGTCAAGGGCACTCTGAGATAATTTTGGTTGGCTGACCTTGAGGGCCTTTTCTTCACATGCAGCTTCCTCTTCTTCTGCTTTGCGCTCTGTGAGCCAACGGCTGTAGACGCTCGATTTGATGTTTGCCATTTCGTTGGTCAGGCGTCCTACTCTGTCACATATTCGGTCGAATCCTTCGAGGGCGCGATCGACGTTGACTTCTGCGGGAGCCGGCTTAGATCTCTTGAGGGCCTTTTCTTCACATGCAGCGTCCTCTTCTTCTGCTTTAGGCTCTGTAGGGTCGTTCATGATTTCTTCGAGAGACTCAAGGGTATCATCTCCCAACTCGAAGTCCAGCTTCTCTCTTCCAGAACGCAGATCCTCAATAAGTGTATCAAGGCCACTCTTTGGTAATTTTGGCCGGCTGACTACCGGTTGGGGTCGTTTTGAAGTTGCTGGCTTCTTCTGCTCTTTTGGGGAATCATTTGAGGTGGATTTTTCGTGTGCTTCTTCGACCTTTGGCTGGTTTCGCTCGACGGATTGGGCTTCTTGTGTCGGAGGCTCGGGATCTACCGGCGCAGGTGCAGGCACAACATCGTCTTTAGTCAAATCATCTGGTAGCTCGGTCACTCGATCGGCCACTCTCTCAGTCAGTGGGGTATCGATCCAGGCTCCGGTAACCCTCGGCGTTTTATCGTATATCTTGCTTTCGAATAGCTTCGGTGGTTCCGGCGTTTTCACCTGGTCCACAATTGGACTTTGGCCAGCGCGCGACACCTTGCCATTCGCTTGTGGCTCTTGCGCATCGCCACTTTGTGCAGCTGTAATCTCTCTCAGAGCAGTTCGGGTTGAAAGGCGGCTGCGCCGAGGGAACGCACACGCATGGGTTCAGGGATTGATGGGTCTTCGGCTTGGGTTGCAGCAATAGGGGCATTTCCAGCTGTCCTTGAATTTTCAACGTCTTCCTGTGAATCAGAAAGGGAGTTCTGGCTAGATTTGCGCTTCCACTGGTCATAGTTGCGTTTTGCTCGGCTTCCCCATCCAGACGGAAGATTCAAAGAACGGCCAATACCGTCGTCATCTTGTGAAATCGGTAGATCTTGCGTTTGTCGATGCTGCTCATATTCTCGCCTTTGGAGATTTTCTGCCGTCAATGAAGCTCGTGTGCCGCTCTTGGCTTTACTGAACACAGGGGAATCTCTGCCCGTCACCCGTCTTAATCGTTCTTCATCGTTGGTGTAAGAGGTCCTTCGGCGAGGTGACGCGCGCCCGTAATCATCATGAGCGGTTGCGTCGGATAAAGCAAGACCACCGTGATACTGCTCATGGTATTCCTGGTCTCTGAATCGAGTCGAAGTGCGGCTTGTCCGACTCGACGAGCGGGTTCGGTTCGGCGCATACCCACCATCTGCCGGCAAGAGATCCCTGATGATCCTCTCTTCGTGCGCGCCCGGTCCAAGTCGTTGAATCCATGTGGTGGATTAGATTCCGAGGAGGAGGAACGCATGGCGAAAGCTTCCTGTTTTCGGCGCGGGCTGAGCTGGATGATTTCCTCCATTGACGCGCGTGACGCTGCTCGATAGGCGCCAGCTAATGTGCTTGTGCGATATCCGGGACGAGAATGAGCGCCATCTTGTTTCGACGGGGTCGGGAAATTGGAGGCCTCGAGATCGAACTCGTAGATGGAGTCGCGGGCGCGAGCAAACGGGGATGGCGGGTGGTGATTACGCGCCAACGAGACGCGATCTGGGCGAGTGGACATGGCGTAAGTCCCTTGCGCAAGGCAAATTGTCAATTCTGGTTGGAGACGTGGCTTGGATTATCTCATGGCCAGAGACAAAAGTCGAAATCAAGTGAACCATAACAAAATAGCACCAAGAATCCCGCATTGCTCAAACAGGCAAGAGCCATCCACGAATGATGTCGCGCATAAATTATTGTGCTGTGTGATTAATCAGCTATACACAACATGATTCTCTGATACGCGGTTGTTATTCACGGGCCCTTGACTTCTTTATGTACTTGACGTTTTGAGCTTAAAGAGAATTGGCGAATGTGTTTCAACTGTAGAATGCTATTTTCAGCAACAGGATGTCTGCGCTGGTATAATAAGATAGCAAGTCCTCGTATGTTGCAGCCATGACCGAGCTACCTTCGGACCTCAAAACCCACGTATGTAGTAGAAAAAGCCATCGAGAAGATCGAGGCCGCGACTTTTCTAAATAGCGGAATCGGATGAGCCAGCACATTCCCCAGTCTCGTCTGAGCGTCCAGGAGCCATGTCGCTCGATATCCAGATTCCCGACCTCACTTACACTCCACAGCAATTTTTATCCACGCTGCACCGACTTGCGCCCTTGGAGAATGAAGCTCTAGTGTGTCTCATTTCTAATGTGAGAAGTGAAAGTTCGGACAGCAAGCCAGATATCTCGACAGATCATATGCTAGCAAGGGCTCTCGCCATGTTGATCTATTACTCGCGGATCAGACATTCTCCCCGCCCACCTATATCGACGAGAACAGCCATCGTGAAATGCAAATATGTTATCGAGCAGCATATCTCATGTCGAAAGGTGACAAGTTACAGAGCCTGAGCTACTATTCCCGGAAGGTCAAGTTCTGTATGTACCATCACGCTCAGCTGTCTCTAATGCCCGATATTACCCATCTCCATGACGTCTCGGAACTCGCCAGGTTTCGACAACGAATAAAAGAAGAAGCATTAGCATGTTGTGATGACCCGTGTGGTGTCTGCTTCGAAGCACTAACAGTCGATACCAAGTTCACGATCCTGGCATGTCATCCGGGCCATCGATTTCATGAAGCGTGCATCATCCCCTGGCTACAACGACAAGACACCTGCCCTATCTGCCGCCGCGTTTGTATTATACGCTGACTGCTTTCTAGTTAGCAGATGACAAGGTAATAGGCCATCGATCAATACCCACCCAACTTCCGTCTTATACATGCTCAATCTGAATGTGCGGACAAAAAAGGAGCATTTCCTGTCCCACCGAGAAACCAACACTCGAAGCCCTTGGAATATGTTCAAAGTTTCTATTGGTTCGTACGAACCCAACAAATAAAGCCGCCTTCGAATACAATCTCCGCGTCTCAAGGCTATCAGTCTATTCTTACCTGCGCTGTGTCCACCAGAAACAGTTATCCGCCGGTGCGGATAGCTGGTCACGTATTTCATAGAGATTACACAATAGAACAGATCATAAATGAGAGTGACATCTCTTAAGTTTCCTTTAACAGCCTGATTGTTAGTAAAGGAATCACCAGGCTGTAGCCAGGCACAGTCCAGCAGAAGCCCCATCTGCCAGGCAATAGTCAAGCTGTACTTGTACTCGTAGACAACCTTGGAAGGCTTGCAAACCGTCCAAACCGAGGGGGCCGATGCCAAGAGGACATCATATGGTTTTGACTTGCTCCTTGGCTTTCTTGACAGATCGACGCGACCCACTGTGGCTGTGTACAATTTGATCTCAGGTACAAATTAACACCACCGTGGGGTTGAAAAAAACTTATTATTGCAGCTATCTCTCATCTGCTACTCACTTCTTCCATCAGGCGCGGAAACCAAGTGACCTCCTCCCGTGACTTCCAGCGTGATCAACGCACACTCGATATAAACCAAGCTCAACCGCCAGGATCCACCCCGGAAGAATTTCGAAACACTTCTCTCCTCCAATCCAGGTAAGAAAGAAAGGAAGACACACACTCATCGCGATGGCCAAATCCTCGCGCCGGCGGATCCCCGCGTCGGGCGCCTCAACTCCCTCCGCAGGCCCGATCGCTCCATTCGTCAAAGCTCCCTCCACCCTCGCATCCTTCCTCGAGCCGCTCTCCCCCCGAGAAGTTTACCTCGTCCACATCGACACCACTCCTATCGACGTGAAATGGCAAGCTTTCCTTGTTCCTTGTGTCGTCAACACCATTGTGACCGCCATCCTCGCACTACGCGTCTGGATGGGCCTCTCGACCTACCCAGCCCTGTTCGCGATCGCCTTCGGTTCCGATAGCTCGCTCAGCATCGACTATTCGCAGACCGGATGGCTCGAGCTAGCCCGGATCATCCTGCAGCGCACCGGCGCGATCTTCATCGACTACTTCCTCGTCACGCAGTTCCTGCACTGGCCTGTGAATTTCATCTTCGGGCCCGTCCTCTGGCGCCGTGCGATCGGGTTCCGCGACCGCGAGATCGTCGTGCGCTGCAGCAATCGCTCCTGGAGTAAGAAGCTGAAGCGGAATACCTGGATCCGGGACGATGAAGCGAATCGCGATAAGATCATTGCGGCGGTTACACCCGAGCGCACGGGCAAGACGGGGTACCTGCTCGTGGACGAGGACTGGAATCTGGACTACGCGGCCATGACCCACGCACAGAAGCTGGTAGATCGGAATCGGAGAGGCGATGGGGTCCAGCTGGACGAGTTCCGCTTGTCGGTGCTGGTCCACACTGACGCGGACGGCTGGTGCATTTGGCGAGTTGCGGACGAGAATGTCTCGCATGACAAGGAGCGCTCTGAGCACCGCGACCAGATCATGGCGTTCAAGGATAAGCTGACTGCTTTGGGTAAGGAAGACCTGTTCTTTCGGTGGGTGGAGATTGTTCAGTGGGAGAGTTCACAGCCTGGTGGCTTTACGCCGGAGCGACAGAAGTCTGCGATGCAGCAAGTGCAGCAGATGTTCAATGAGGCAGGTGTGGACTTCAGTAGCTTCTGGGATGACCTCGGCGGCATGACTGGTTTAGAGCAGTTGGATTGAGTGTGGTTCTGCTGTCTCCTTCGCTCTCGCGACTACGGCGTCTTGTTTTATCTTAAGGTGCATTTTCATGAGCCTCCGGTGGGTTTTCTTTCGGATCAGGTTGTTTTTCCATTAGTTATTTCTGGGACATTTCTTGCATTTCCCTCGAAGAAAAGATATGCTATTGTACAATTAAGCTTCACGAGATCATGCAACCCTAGATGCCATTTTCAGATCGGCATGACCCTTATCCGATGGTCTTCTCTTTGGCTTCCTTGGCTTTGCCTGCAGCCTCGCTGGCTGCACCCTTGGCCTTGCCTTCGACTTCTGCGGCGGTACCCTTTACGTCGCCCTTTGCCTCGCTGAGTTTTTGTTCGGCCTTGGAGGAAGTCTCGCCAGTGGCGCCGCCCACCTCGCTCTTCACTTTGCCGGCGACTTGTGCTGTTCGACGGGAAGTCTAGTCAGCGCCATCCTTGCCAATTTCTATAAGGTCAAAGGTGGATAGGTGGAGATGAACTAACCTCCCTTGTCGATGCCCTTGACTGCGGCATCAGCAACCACCCGGTCAGCCTTCTTGACTGTTTCCTTGGCAGCCTCAACGGGGCTCTTCTGGTATTGCGGCGTAACTGAAATGGATCGAGCTCCAAGAACACGAGTCGAGGGCAGTGCCACGCGGGGCTTGGCCACGGAAATGAATCGCTGAGCATACATAGTTGCTTGGTTGTGTTTGTCAAGATTCGACGTTTGAAGTATAGTGGTGAATACGAAGTTCTTTTGAATGTAAGAAAACTTAAGATAGGAATGTACAAACTGGAAAGTCTCAATTGCTCTCCTTGCCACTGCTTTTATAGCTCCAACTGGACCTGGAGTTGGTGCATGGTGGGCTTCCCCCCCGGATTGACGTCATTGACATCGCATCACTACGTCGATACGCGGTCACTCCGAACGAACCACCAATCATGTGCCCTCACCTTGTTTCGTAGCTTTTAAGTATTAAAACAAGGCCAGACAGGTCATTGCGGCTCTTAAACTTGATTTCGGGCGACAAATATGTTCCACATCGACTCATAAGCTTGGTGGGAGACTTGCTTGGTTAGCCTGGAATGTGATGGCACTAGGCGAAGACTTTCGAACTGGAAAGATGGACCTGATCCATACCATGGACCATAAAGAATACTGCGATTTCAATCCAAGTGGAAATTCTATGACAGAAGCGAATAAAATCACTTTATACCCGAAACAATGTAAAAAATGACACAGGGAAATGTAGTTTATGCACGCGCAACAACACCAATACATGCATTGCCCCTGCAGTCGATATGCTCCAAGACACAGATCGCCGTGCCCCCTCGCGAAAAGGCTTGACAAGACCGAACTCCACATAAAACAACGCAGCAACGAGGGCCATAAAAGAGAATGGTATCACAAACAACCGCCTATGCAACTGGGAATAAAAAGGAAACTATTCAAGCAAGTAATGCAGAGAGAGAAGCTCATGAGAATTGGACCCCGAGGCCATCGTAATTAGGACGAGGGGGGGGAGCTCCCACTCCTTGCACGTGTACCATAGACCTCCAGCGCTGGGGCAGGGGCATAGACTAACCCACCGTCCTGTATCAAGGGACCCGACAGGTTAGGGTGGTAGAGCTGGTATGCGGGCACATGGCGCGGGAGCTGGAGCCGAGCCGCCTCATTCAGGCGCTGACGTGCGTCCCGCACATCGACGCGGTGGCCACCGAAATGCAGAAGCTGCGCGGGCTCCATTTCAGGGTTCCAGCCTGGATCCGCGGCCTGGAGGCGCGCGTCTACTGAGCCAACCCTGGAACGAGAGCCAACGGGGATTGGGTAGAGAGTGTCCGATTGGAGGGCGGATCCTAGGATCGGTACCTCGCTAGCCCAGCCCCCGGTCCCAGACAGAGAAGGAAGCTGCGCTTGAGATGCGATCATTGGTGTCGGGCTACGAGGCATCTCGCCAGGTTGTTGATAATCTGGCTGGTGGAATGTTGGAAGCGGAGAGAAACGAGGTGGGTAGCGGACTGGTTCTGTAGCCCAGGATTGGTGTGAAAGACTCGATGAGCCACGGGAAAGAGCCTCGGAGCCCGGGTGCTCTGGGTGATGCATGGTCTGGGTAATGGGCGCGTCTGTGGGCATCGAGAGTGGGAGCGCACCCGGCATCATAGCAGAAGGATGAGCGATCGGGACAATTTGCGGACGATGGATTGGCGATCCATATGCCGGCCCTGGGGCCGGAGCAGGTATGGGAGTCGCCTGAGCCCACCGTGGGTGACTGGGTCTTGAGACTGTAATATCTTGGTCGTATGGAAGTGCGGCCGTATATGGGAAAATTGCGGGCGTACTAGCGGATAAGTCTCGTAGAGAGTCAATTGGCGCTAGTGAACCTCTGCGAGAATGAAGCTGAGATCCAGGGGCAGTATGCAGGTTCAGGTCAGCTACGGATTGGCTTAGAAAATCACGGCCAGGTTCACTATACGTAGAACGCATAAGGGGCTCTGACGCAAGTTCATGAGGTGCCAGCTCGCGAGCGAGTGGAGAGGCGAAGACATAGCTTGCCTGACTATCAAGCGATTCCACGGATGGTTTCATCTGAAGTCCAACGGGGTCTGCAGGACGAGCAGAAGGTACTGACGCTGGGCGGCGGGGTGGCAGCTGGGTCTCTTGTATACGGCGAGCTGCAACTGTTGCGTAGGACCGCACGTTCTCCTTGTTGGGCTGTGGAGTTTCCAGCATGGGAGGCGTTGGCTTCCTCTGTTCCCCCACAGCATGACCATTTTCTTGACCGCTGATAGATCGACGGAGAGCCGCCAGTGCTCGTTCAGCCGCGGATGCCAGTATTGTCGAGTCGCTTCCACTGTCTTTGGATACTCGGCTGGAGGAACCCCGGCCTTGGACAGGCGAAATCTTGACTACCGGGGTAGGCGGCTTCGTGCTTCGCAGCCTCCGCGGACCTCTAGGCCTTCTTTTTGACTGCCTTTCTCTAATCGACTGAGGCTTTGTTCTCCCTTCCACCATCTGCCAACCCTGCTCATCAGATTGATCAGGAGGGCTCGCCGCGGGTGAGCGACGGGGCTTTTCAGTGGATTGGCTTAGTTGTGAAAGCGCAGGAGACATTCGGGGCGCGACCCTCGCTTCTCCATCCGTTTCGTAGCCTTCAAATTCTTCAGATTCATAACCAGCCTGTCGGAAGATATGTGGAGCAAAAGGTTCTAACTGGAAGCGAGGAGGTGCTGTCATGTCTTCTGGGGAATCGGTTCGAGAGCCATCATCGGTCCAAGGCCAGGTGGACTGGCGTGAAATGCCTTCATCAGCAGAAGAATCGGGATAGGACGAGGATGAGCTACTCGATCGATCAAACACGGAGCGCTGTTTGCGAGCGGACTCCTGGGAGGAGCTCGGAGACATGCGCTCAATCTCATCCTTGAGACTTCTCAGAAGCTCTTGCAAATTCTTACGCGCCTCTCGGAGGACCGGTGGATATGTGGAGCTCGATCTCTTGGGGAAGAGCTCAATAAGTCGGGAAGCGTGCGTCTCGTATTCGCGATAGTCACGAACAAGTCCACAAGAATAATGGGACATTCTCTCCCGTGCAGCCTCATACGAGGTGTACAGGAAGTGGATAGCAACGATGAGCCAAGAGTCATAAAACCCGGCATCATGCGTTGATACTTTCCCTTTTGTTTCTTCATCTCGAATTCGAAGCTCATCACGACAGAATCCTTGGACTACACTGTGAACCTTGACAACGTCTTCGCCGGACTTCCCATTATAGATAGAGAAAAATCCATCTTGGCTATTCCCGGTGAACGATTCCGCTAATTCTGGAACAGTCTTCCCGTCCGAATGGACTTCGTCTGCAGAGTGAGATGCAGAAGCAGAAGTTTCCGTCACGAAAGATTGCGCACTAGTCGTGCGTTCAATCAGACCATAATGAATCAAGGTCCCCAAAGTCGTGTCAAGGTCGGGGTCTTCTCCCATGCTGTTGCTCGTGAGAATCTCCACATTTCTAGCGGACATTGCGTGTCTTCCAAACTGGAGCAATCCAACTGGAATATGATGTCCAAGAAATGAGAGTAGGTTGATGAGGTTTAGCGCTTGGAACTGTTTCAATCGGAACAGATCATTCATGATGCTGAGGAATGGCTCGGCTAGCTTCTTGTCGGTTGGGTGATGTTTCACTTTATGTTTCTCGATGGGCTTGCTCGTTGCGTTCAGCCGATGACCAATAGCATGAATTGCTAGCGGCAAGCATTCGTAATATTCGACAATTTCCGTGGCCCTGGCAGCCTGTTCCGGCGTGGGCTTTTTGATCCCGAGGTCTCTGAACAAAAGATCACAGGCATCTTGAACACTCAGCCGAGAGATTAATATGCAATAGGGCTCAAAAAGTCGTGACTTCCTTCGAAGCGTGGTGTCGACTGAAGTATAGATAATGCTGCACCTCTTGTTCCAAGGAAGGAAAGGTCGGAATCCATTGATATCATCGTCGTGGTCAAATGTGATGCCGTCAAAGACCAAAAGCCATTGGTCCTGCTTCTCAAGCCAGTCTCGGACATCAGTCACATAGGTCCTTGACTCCTTGTAATTCGGGTCCTGAGCCTCTCCGCGAGCAATAATACCTGCTCTCTGGGCAATGTCCCAGAAACATTTATACGCCGACTCGCGTGACTTGGCATCGATCCAGAAAATACCCCCAGGGTAACATTCCCTATATGTAAAAACATACTGCCGGGCAAGATGCGTTTTACCGGACCCGGTGACTCCGGAGATGAGGACAGCCATTGTTCGATCTTTGCGACCTTTTGCTCTATACAAACGGGTATGAAGAACTTCCATTTCTCTTTTCATACCGTAAAAGGTCAGGTTAGGGTGGAACCCTGGTGGCGCAACGAAAAGTTGCGCATCTTTTCTGACCCGTGGAAGGCTATCTGCGCTCTCTGTGAGTTCTGGAGGTGGGGTCCTTTGACCTTCTGACGCAGGCCCAGGGGGCAATAACGGTACATGTGGGCCTATTGAACAAGTCAGCAAGCTTGTCTGACTTCAGGAAAGGGACATCTTTTGGAATGTATCAGCTAAATTGGAGACAAGACGGGAGCCACTCTGATATCAACACAGTAAGCTAAGATACATGATGTAAAATCAAGTTTCATGAACATCTATCCAAAATAACATAGGTCGCAGGGCGGGGTTCAGACGTAACATGCAGCAGAGTAATAGCAGTTCACAAGCATGGGCGATATCTCAGCGTGTCGTTGGTGAGATCGGAGAGCACGCACATCTCATGGAGTCATCAATCGTGTTCAAAATCGCCTGGAAACAAAGAAACAGCAAGAAAAAGCATAGCGCTGTGGTATCAAACAGAAGGCTCCTCGATCTCATAGTGCTTCAAGGTAACTGAGTCTTCCGGGGCGGGGAGCATGTGTTGGTGTGAGGTCTCACCGGTTGTTGGATTAGGCACGCTTTCACTCATGTGTTCTTCTCTGTCTGTACGAGTCAGCACTGATCTATAGTTTCTCGGACGTTTATTCCTACCGCCGTATATTTCTTGAGCCTTCAGTTTCTTGGTGAGTTCACGGGTCCTGTGTTCTTCAACCCAACGGTTGGCAATCACGGCGGGCGCCTCGCGAGAGTACCGCAGAATGGCTTCGGCCACAACTTCATAGCCAGGCGAATACTCATTGTCAAATTTGCACATGTGACTGTGGTCGGCTTCGATACCCATGCGCTCCACGCCATCCATGTAAGGAGCAGCGGATGCTTCGTCAACAATGAGCACACGGGTTCCGCGAACATCCATCGAGCGCGTCTCATGGAAAAAGTAAATATGGAAGCGAGTTTGGATATCAGCGAACAGACTGTTGATATGCTGCAAAGTCTCATTGTTGGTACGAAGCGACTGGACCAGCTGGGATGACCCCTCCATAAACTTCTTGGGCAAAACAGCGGTACAGATATTGTGTAACAGGAGGCCCCATTTTGCAACATCGGAGCCGTTATGCGGTGTGCCAAGGAAGAGGATACCGAAGGTCGAGACGTAAACAGAGCGCAGATGTTCGGTTTTCTCGTTGGACAGGCTGCGACTGTAGATCAGCGCTCGTTTAACGACTAATCCGCCAAGCGAGTGACAAACAAAGATGATAGGGCGATTAGAGCAACTGCGGAGCTGTAGAAAGGATGACAGGTTAGTGTCAGAGCTTCGAGTAACAGTGGAGAACGCGTCGAGAAAAAGGAATGTGGGGATATCTCGAGTCCGGGGAAGTTGCACGTACATTACGGTTGGCCGCAAGAGTGGATGCCAGGGTCTCCGCGTGGCTGACGATCGAGTCGCGCGAGGCCCCGTCAGTGAAGGCAGTTACGTTCGCATTGTAACCATAGCTCAAGATTCGAGCAGAGCCCAGGACTTCAGGCAACAGGTCGGCGGGCCAGAAGCACCCAGACTTGCTGGTCCACGAGTCCTTGGGGTTTCCATTCAGACCATGGACAAACACGATATCCACAGTGGGGGTGGTGCCGCGGGGGGAGCGTAGACCTGCGTCAAGCCAAAAGGCTGGACGAGAAGATCGGGCATTGTATCAGATCAACGGTCCATAATCCAGAGCAGAGTTGGAGGGGGAGGATACAAGATCAATCAGCAGCAGCCACTGTTTATAAAGCGGAGGCAGCTGCAGGTGATGCTGCTCCCCTGACCCATTCAGATGACTTTCCCACTTTCCCAGGTGGATCCCCGGGCCGTCGATGCAGTTCGATCAGATTGGTTGCTGGTGGGAACAAGTCATTTAGTCAACTTCTTGAAGAGTGTGCCCTGCAAGGCTACTCGCCAAAAAGCCCCAACCTCCAATAGATTTGCGAGGACTGAAGTGAACCGGGGGTTGCCCCCTCGAAATAACCTTGGATCCCGGGCGATCGCACTGCGCCACGAAAGGCACCCCCGAACGCAGGAACCCTGGGTTGCATCCGCCCAGAACATCTACTTATAGTTATTGAAGCCTGATGAGTCACAGCCTACATCATCCTCCTCTTCTTTTTGTCTTCAGGGCAAATGTGATGTATCCAAAGCCCGAATACGAGTGCTCAGCCTCGGGCGAAATCTCCCGATCGCCCCTCCAGGGCGTGTGGGGAAGAATGTTACCATCCCTAACCTTCAGATCCTGTGATCTGTAATGTGACCAGGAAGATCATCACAAAGCAACGATCGCACTAATGTAAAGTGTAAATTTATAATGACATTATGCAGCGTTTGACAGGATCCTCATATCCACCCATGGTTCATGTTGCTAGTGTTGACACGTTAGCCAAGGTAGGAATCCACCAACGTTACTTGTTGATCATGGGAAGTATCATTTGATGGGCTTTCCGTCTACAACACCTGCTGCAAGCGCGGGCACGGAACATCCAGCTTAGTAGATCCCCTTCCAGGAATACAAATAACTCGCCAACGTAAAAGTGGCGATGCACTAGGCGCCGATGCTGCGTTTCTCTTGGAAATGGTTCCGCCTAGACACTAGAGATGCGGCTCCGCTGCTAAGAGTATATTGCAGCGTGGGAACTGGTAACAGAGCTTATATTCGAGATACTAGAACTAGAGGAGGAAAGGAAGAAGAGAGGAGAAGGAACTACAACGACGACCTATCTACTCCTTCACGAACCTCCGTCCTATCTTCGCCAGTCTTATATTTAGACAGCTCCCTCCTATTCTTTCAGATTATCGAACAAAACCACTTATCTCATCTATACTTTGGAGCAATTATGTGCCGATCCATTGGCAAACTGAATACACAGAACATTCGACACGCCAGAGATCAGCTATACAGACAAGTACTACAGTCCTTGTTATGAGTGAATGGCAGTAGCTATTTTTCTCATGGCCATACTGAGCTGTCCTACTATATATATTAACATCTTTCATTAAGATTCGGAGCCTTCACAGACCAAGCTCTCACTGACTACACTCTCACCGACCGAGCTCTTATTGACCGAGCTCTCATTGACCGAGCTCTCATATATCAAGAAAGTATATATGCCTTCATGGTCATCTTATAACAAAAATATACCTAAGAGGAACAAGAAACATTCAAAGGCTTCTATACATTGACTCGGACTTACCGCTACTTAACTACCAAAGCCAGCCCAGTCAACTTGGCCAAGACTGCAGAAACAATCTACTCATTCTACAGCCCACGTCTTCTATTTTCACACCTATGCTTGCTAAAGAGGCGGGAGCAATAGACTCCACGGCAATGAACGAATAGTAAACTTCGGAGAATCTGATCTGATCGTTCGGTCAGACTCTCAGCAGTTCATCATTCTTTGGAAAAACCCACCATGAACACCTTTACTCAGCTCCTCCTCGCTCTACTTTCGGTCTTCACCCTTTGACGCCCCGGTCTCTCGTCCTACGTCCACGCCAGGTCCATCAAAAAAGCCTCATTCAGACATCCAGCTCCCTCCTCCAGGCTCAGATGGTAGAGACCATCTAAGGGCAGAGGAGATTATCAAGCTGTTGCGGGACTTTTCAAGCAGCAATGGTGCGTTATACACTATATACACAGATGCGGAAAGTGTTGATTGTATATGAAGGCGGACGAATGGCTTCAGGTGATAAAAAGACTACAGTGTTAGATAGCGGGACAAAATAGGCCGGGGCGTGATTTAGGGTGTATGTATGGTCAAGACATTGTAGGATCTGAGTGAAAAAGTTTTGGACTTGGCCCAAAAGAAAAAAAAGTAGAAGAGAAAAAAGGGGAAAAAATTGGAAAAGAAAAAGAGGGCGACAAGGCTGCGCAGGGCCAACAGCCCGCGGAGGGTGAGAAGAAGATGAGTGACAAGGACTGCGAGAAGAGGGAGGATTAGGAGGAGGCCCACAGTCTAAGAGACATGGAAGTGCATGCTCGTGCTTGAATAGCCGCTGCGCAGGTAGCTCTTCATAGCCTTACAAGTATGGTAGAATTAATAGGCTTCCAATACATCCTGAATTACGGTCATCTTCAAGTTGACTCCCTGGTAATGTGATCTTGAGCAGCACGGTAATCAATACCACTGCCTCTTTGAGTTGGACGCATACTTCTAGACACAGAAAATTTACGCTGAATCACATTACCAAAAAGTAGCTTGTTTTCCATACCCCGGTCCATTAGTCTAGGGGTTAGGACGTCAGATTTTGAGATCCGTCTTCTGAAGTCCCCGGTTCGAATCCGGGATGGACCTTTTTTTGCTCTTTTTTTCTTCCATCTATCTTATTTAGCCGATCTCGATTCCGAAATTCTCTTTGTTTAGGATTGGAGCGTATCTTTTTTTTTTTTCGTCCTTTGGTCTTTGTTTTTTGCGAAGGGGCAATCTAGATTCAGATCTATTGTAGTTTCTGAGGCACCTTTAGGGATACATTTGATCTGGCTTATTCTAACCAACTTCATAGCGATCTACGTAGACCGGAATTGATCGGCAGAATACAGGACACAATATATATACTATATATAATAGATAACGAATCTTGAATGCGATGAGATAGCCAACCAAACTAGTACTAGCAATATCGGGATGCGATATACCGAGGCTGAGCAAGATCTACACGGATTGAACTAGGTTTGTCAATGTTCCTAGGAAAATAGCCATAACTTAGACACAAGACTTCATAGTTATGGAGACCTACCAATCCCCGACGTCACGGTCGCCGCGTAATCAACCTGCATACTTTCAAGGTTTGCCATACCACATCATGCAATTTGATCAGTCCATGGATGATTCCTCATGAATCTGCCTCTTGTATAATAAGCTCAAATCAAATGATATCTAACATTCATCAGGAGAGCCGGAGACCAATACTATATCGACAAGAACACGCTCTCTTTTCACGAAGACTCCCAGAGCATACCATTTCCAACATACGTTCCTCACTTCAACGCCCTTGAAGACAGGCTTCCGCTTCTCCGCAAAAGCCCGCAGCGCCTCGTACCGGTCTTCCGTATCAATAACCTGCTCGTAAGCCGCATTCTCCGAAACCTCTCTTAGCGGCGCCCCATCCACTGCCAACAGCGCTTGCTTGACAGCAATGGGCCCGCCCTCGCAAATATCAAGCGCAAGCTTGATTCCCCTCGCGCAGGACCTTCTCCCGAGCCACACCCTCCTGCTGTGCCTCCTCGGGCTGCACTTCAACGAGCCGATCGCACAGACCCATGAAGTACGCCTCCGGACCAGAAACTCGACGGCCCGTTAGAATCATGTCGCGTGCCCGCGTTTGGCCGATTAATGCGGGCAATCGGTAGGTTCCGCCCGCGCCGGGGATAATGGCGAGACGCGTCTCGGGGAGGGCTACGATTGAGGACGAGCCGAAGACGCGCAGGTGGGTGGTTAGCGCGAGCTCGAGGCCGCCGCCGAGCGCCATTGACGAGACGGCGGAGATGGTGGGGATTTTGAGGGCTTCGATGGCCTTGAACGTGGAGCGAAGTTTCAGTAGGAACTCTTCGACTCTGCGGGTGGAATTAGCAGCGTCGCGCGGTATATCACGGGGCCCCATTCTCTCTTACTGGGCATGGGTCATTTTGGCGCGCTCTTTTAGGTCTGCGCCTGCGCAGAACGACGCATCGACGTTGCTTCCGATGACCAGGGCTCGCGTGCTTCCGTCGCCATCCTCGTCGGCAATTGATTTGATTTGTCGGGTCAGGTTCTCTAGTAACTCCTGCGAGATCGCGTTGCGGGCTGCTGGCCGGTTAAGTTGTAGCACGCGTACATGCCCGCAGTTCGGGGCTGGGACTTGTTGGACCTTGATTATTTCGTCGGAGCTGGTGCTGAACCGGGAGGCGAATACGCGGGTGCAGAGCGCAGGGCGGCCGACCTGGGCGAGGGTGTTGAGGCGGATGAGCCGTGGAGTGAGGAGGGTGGTCATGGTCAGGCGTAGTTATTCAGTCACAAGGTGTATGACAGGAAGAGGAAGCATTGAAGGGATTGGAGCTGCGGATGGTTCAATCAGGTCGGGTGAGCTTTTGGGCGGGTGTGGGGAAAGCTTTTCTATGCCGAGGATTGCCGCGCTGGGCCGCGATTGAGGGGTATCATGCATTTTATATACAGGTCTATGGAATAGAAGTACATATTAAGACGACCGGGACAAGTAGCTCTCTATCTCTTCATCGCTCGGCCATGTCCACCCTGGTGTCCGACTGATAATGTCGTATGCCTCCTTCACTTTCGCAGGATCCGAATCACTACTAGGGTTGTCGGGCCTCTCCAAGTACAAGCGAATCGCCTGCAACGTTTGTTCTCTCATCCACAGACCATTACGACGCTCATCTGCAAGCTCGTCAAGAGAAGCAGATACTTGACTCATCCAACCTAATAGTTCTACCAGGCCTGCGTCATCTCCAGCGGTTCCTAGCGCCCGGACAAAAGCATGGAGCGTACTGTAGAACGGTGTGTGAAAGAGGGTTGGCTCATCGAAGTATGTCTCCTCCAAATCATCAGTAGTAAAGACACTGCGCTGGGCAACTGAAGATATTTCGCGATTTGGGAGGACCAGGCTGTCGAATTTCTTTTTCAGCAGGAAGAGCCCGTTATCGACGAGGCTTTCCAGCGATCCCGAGTTTTCGGACAGTGTCGACCCCTGGTGGCGTAGCTCAGAGGCGGTTGAGAGAAGGTGAGGGTATTTTGTCCCAGCAACGACAGCTCGCGTGAATGCTCTACACAGGTTATGGAACATTTCTGGGTCGGTCCCAAGATTTTGACTTTGCATCCAGCCTAGAATTTCAACGGTCGCATACCACACAATGATACGGTAGAGACATTTGCCTTCGTCTGTGCGGCGCTGCCGAAACATCCTGGTGTACTCAAAGGTGCCAATCAAATTTCGCCAGGCTTGAGGGGAAAGCGATGGAGAGCTTCTCAGCAGATGAATCGCATGGTAGAATAATCCGGGATAATACTTCAGGGGCAGGTCTGCCGGTAAATCAGATAAGACACACACGGGGGCACCGCGCGGCAGTTCTCGGTAGGAATCGGCGACTCCATGGCGCCTCCTTGCATTGATAAGGCTCTGTGGCCGAAACGGTGTAAATACCTCTCTGGCGAGAGTGTGGATACTCATCTCAGAATATCGACATAAGAAGTGTATGAATGAGGCGAATATGAAGCCTGGAATTCCTTCGATAGCATTTACAGAGTGGCGTCGATATTGCCATCCATGTTGCCATATAGTGCACAGCGCTGCAACTTGCTTGTCTGTTAAATCACTGTTCCTCAGGTAATCCAGTCCCGCCTGGAACGTTGGGGCCGTTTGAAGGAGAAGCGCAAGGAGTGCCCCAGAAAACGGGATGCCTTGTGAGCGCATTTCTTCTAAGAAAACCTCTGGGGTTGGCGGCTCTGTTTGTACATATATGATGTCCCGAGCAGAGGAAGGTTCAGGGTAGGTTTCAGGACCATCTCCGGGAAGAGAATCGCTGTGATCATTTGGTTCGGACCAAGCAAGCTTCCTGCCACGAATCAGCCGTTCTGCCATCGCAGCGTACGCGGCCTCTGTTGGATATGCGGCCTCTGTGGATTCCAAGCTAAGAGTCTGATAAGACAGGAAGCAAGCCCATGCTTCACGCACAGTGCGGGTGGCGCGGATACGAGCAGGCCATAATCGAGGGTCATTGACTTCATATCCAGAGTTCAGAAGGCTCCTCGCCCGCGAAACCATTGTCCTGGTCTGTACAGTTGGGCTTGAGTCGGTGTCCCATCCAGCCAGGATTCTATTAAAATCTTCCCAAAGGCGATGCGAATATCCGGCCTCCGTCATCTGAGATAAGATGCTTATTGCACGGCTATGGATACCTTCATTCCCACGCTGAGAGTCGATTCCCAGCCTTTCCTCTTTCCAAGGAGGCCAAGATGGGGCCTTCAGCTCTGCAGACTGGCGTTCTGCTGATGTCTTTTTATGAGCCAGCTGGACAGCAGCCACTCCACGATAGCCCGTTCTCATGATTGGCAAGACTGGCTTATGTGACGCCATGACTCCTAGAAGTTCGAATTGTGCTCGTTGATGGAGAAACATAGACCGAAAGGGATACGTCCTAGACGGATATGAAAGAAGCCATAGACCTTCGTTGAAGAGCTTTGTTTTTAGCTTGTTCAATCTTGTTTCAGCTAAGCCTGTCTTGGCTTCTCGTCGAACAGGCTGCATGTCTCCCCGACCATCCCACTGCCCAAGATACCGCGCAAATGCATGGGCTATGATCGGGAGGGACTCGGTCCACACTTGTCTCGCATGAAAAATTAAACGATAAACAAGTTGAGAGCATGTCATCACAGTGATTTTAGGCCCGAAGGTTTCCAGAGCGTCTTTCTGAACCAGCTCGCTAGATGGGGCCGCTTCAAGAGTTGGCAATGGACTGCCAGTAATTAGATGTAAGGAATGAATAAGTAGTAATCGGAAAGTGTTGGAGTTGATATCCAGGTGCTTTCTCAGCAGAAACAAAGTGATGAAGCCAGGGACGCCTGGAGCGTCCGGGCCACGCCGAGCTCTAGTATCGGCCTCCAAGACAAACAGCCTTGAAACAGCACGCGCGGTGGATTCACTTGTCACAATCCATGCCCACGATATCACATCTTCGACATCGTAGCCTCTCTCTGAGAGGAAGCGAATTCTGTCTCTACTGAAGACATGCGCAATGGCGCTGTCTAATTCGTTATGTCTGCTGGCCACGTCAAGATTGACCGAGAGCAATGGAGCCAGGTGCTGAATGAAATCTGCAAGTATGGTTTGCAATGATTCTCGTACCACGGACCTCCCATCCTTTATGCGGTATTTTGTTTGAAAGTCCGAAATCCCGAATTCGTTTGATGCTCCGCCAGGTCGGGCTCCAAGTGCATAGCCCATAATCTCAAGAGATTCCGAAAGGTATGTGGAAGGTGTTAATCGTTCTGTTTTTCGCAGCCATTGGTTTTCCGGTGCGCTGTCTCTGGAGATGTTATAAGAGGCGGCATATTGAGGCTTGTCTGGCACAAGGTGTGGCCTGCTTAACGTGCGTAGGCGGTTATCCGCTGTAAAGGGCCGTAGGTTGTGTGGCAATGGGCCACTGGGCCGGTACAGGATAGATTGAAGGTCATACTGACACTGCTTATGAGTTAGGCCCAAGCCATCCAAGCTTTCGTCTCCAAATCTTAGCGCATACCTGGCGACAAATAAAGCGATTCAGTGGACGGGGTCTTAGTGCCCTCCGAAGACCTCGGACATTATTGAGAGCCGATGACATCCATGAATAAACAGAGATCGCCTTGTCCAGAGTAACCACTCCGGCCAGACGTCTCAATACAGCCTCGCAAGAGTCCGAAAGTGAAGTGCTCGACAACTTTTTAGATCCAGAGCGAAGGCATCGCGTCGGGGCAGAAAGAAGGCGGAAATAATTAAGCCCACGCACCTTTCCGGAGTAAAACCCACGGAATTCCTCTCTAATACCGGGGCAGTGCGTGGAAAATATGCGGATCGAGGGTGAGTCTATCACGTGATCCACGCCTCAAGCAACACGCGCCATTTCTGCGTCTCACGCAAACGCTGTCGGCCTCGTCTTCCCACCCGTAGATCCGCCAAAAAAAAAAAAGGCAAAGTCCCAAAAACCGGGCCCATTGCTTTTCACCCGGTTGATTTTCCTATTCGAGTTTCCTGCCCATTTACTCCCAGCCTACCCGGGCCTGGGCCTCTACCGTGTTATTCACTAATCGCGATCTCATCCTCTCGATCCTGTCGCGAACCTCGCAGCTCATCCTTCTAGCCTGCAAGATCCGCCCCACAATTCTCTACACAACTATCCATTGACTTCTGGTTAAAGAACCAGCTCGGTCGCAAACCCTCGACTTTCCTTTTGCTCCCCCTCAATACTCCTTATCCCCTCCCCTCCGGTACGGTGGACCGCGTCGAAGAGAGCATCTACCGATCTTGTTTCCGCCGGGAAACCTGCAATTCGCAACCATGAGCGCTGACGAAGGAGAGGATGTTGCATCAATGCCCCATGTAAATGGCGATTCCCATTCGGACGTGGGCGCTGTCGCAACCCCAGCAAAGAGGAAGCGTGTTGCCCAGGATGAGAAGTCCGAAGCCGGCTCTTCTACTTCGCAAGATAGAGCCAACCTCCATGAGACCTTGCGCAATTTAATTAGTCTCCTCCTCAAGTAAGTTTCACCGGGCAGCATTAATTTACTCGATGCGGTGTGCTAATCCTTGATTCCAGGCACGATACTGAGCTCAAACTTCTGTCCTGTCCATTTCCTATCTCTGCTGCGAAGCCCCGAACGAAACGCGCCAGAACGTCAAATGATCCAGAAACTACCACGATCCAAGCACGCGTGGAGGCAGATCATTATGGTACCCTGCAAGAGTTTCTGTCCGACATCGAGCGGGCATCTGCTGCTGTAATCGAGCAAAGCCGAAATCAATCGAATGGCACTCAAGCTGATGGGACTCCGTTGACTGAAATGGTCAATCGCATCGCCGCGTTCAAGAAGCATATGAACAGCCTTGTTGGCCAGTCTTTCGTCAATCAGGTGGATGTCAAGACTGAGGCTGAAGATGATGCCGAAGACATCTCTTCCGCCCCGTCTCATGTTGGTTCCCGGGAGGACAAGCAAGCTCTGACCTTCTTCGGTGGAAGCCAGTCAAATCCAAAGCAACTTTTCTCAAGTTTACAGAAATCCGTGAAAGTACCTCTACAATCTGCCGATTCGACAGTGGAGAAGATCGTCGAGGTGCAAGAAGACCTCCGTGAAGGCGCCTTGCCAAACGGAATTTCGACAACCAGGGTTGTTCCATACAACTTGAACTCTGGTCCAACATCAAAGAGAACATTTGGAGAAGTGTTTGCTCCTCGCTCGGGCTTGCCCAAGTATGAACCCCCTCGCAAGCGACTTCATCAAAGTACGACAGACCCATGGATAGATCATTTCGATCTCCTTCTAGATCCAGGAAACTTTTCTGGTGGTACAAATAACTATAACCTTGCACCGCTGCCTGCCACTCAATGGTTGCAGTATGGTGGAGTCACATCATCGCCGGCATTCTGGACCCGGGTCGAAAAACATAACGCCCAGCCAGACATCGCCTCAAGGCATGCGGATCCAGCTCTGTGGACTGACGAAGACACTTCTCTATTTCAGGGAGTCTACTCGTCATTTGCCCCTTCTTACGATAGCTCGGGGGCAATTGTACAAGCCGATGAGAGGAATGCTGTGTGGTGGAGGAAAAGAGGTGCAAGGCGTCTGCGATCGCTTCTCTCTTTGCAGTACCCGGCACAGGCAGAGGATGAAGTGGATATTGCGGCCATCGACAATATTGACGATTCTACTCTAGAAGAAGTCATCAAGGATGCTAAACCACGCGACTATGCTGAATACCTTGCTGAATATGAATCAACCGAAAAGGAAGAGAAGGATATTGCCGATCGAGAAGTCGACGATGTCCTAGCGGAAATCTCTGGGCTCCTAGAGACCTTGAGCTCCTACCAGAAAACCCGTAGGATCAATGCTCTATTCTCCGGCAAGGAAAGCAAGGAAGAACAGCAGGATAAAGAAGAGTCCGAATCCAAGCAAGCACCCCTTCCAGACTTTGGCGAAGCTGATAAGCCGTCTGATGCGGAACGGGCTGTTTATGAGTCTCTGCAGTCCCGCTTGGTGGCTCTAGTCAGTGCTGTGCCACCTTACATTGTGGCCAAGGTTGATGGCGATCAGTTGGGTGAATTAAACATCAGCCAAAAGATCATTATTGAGAACCCTGATTGGAGTGGTACTATGGAGAAGGATGACTACACCCTTCATCAAGAACGTACTGCAGCCATTGCAGCTCAAACGGCCGCTGCTGCGAATCGGGCCTCCGCTACTCCATCCGCCTCACGGCCTGGCAACTACCAAGCGCCTCAAAGTGCATACGGTCAACGCAATTACACACCCAATACTCGCCCTACAAGTGGATACCAAGTTCCGCAAGGCCGTCAACCCGCATCATCGGTCAATTTCACCCCCGGCTACACTGGCGGTCGTCCACCAAGCACACCGCAGCGCCCTTACAACCCCCAGTACTCGCAAGCGAACCCTCAATACAGCCAGGCCAATAATGTCCCTCAATTTCAGCGTCCCACGCCCAACGGGGTTTCCCAACAGACTCCTCAAGGCTATACACCGCGCCCTGGACAAACCTCATTTAGCGCAACTCCTCAAGCGCGCACACCACAGCTGCCTGCTGGCTCGACCCAGCGGTTGCCATATGCGAACCAGACACCATCTCAGGGCACTCCACATATTCGCACTGCTGCAGAGCAGGCGGCCCTCATCGACCGCAACAAGGCCCAGTTAGCGGCCCAGCAAAACCGGCAAAGCCCTTCAACACCTCAACCCCAGAGTCTCGATGCCCGCCGCTCGGCAGAGGGTAGCTTGACTCCTGGTAGCAAGCCGAACGGAACCCCCGTTCCGTCATGAGAGAGACTGGTATCTATCTATGTCATGAAAAATTCTCGTCGGTTCCGTTAATCTGTTTTCTCCTTCCTAGACAGCTATGTCTTAAGATCCAGGCATCAATGTCCATCTTTTCGCTAAACCTTCAATTCTTCACCCCTGTGTTGTTAATGTCATTTTTTCTATCCTCATATTTCATGGCTTTATGTGGTGTTTTTGTGTTTTCTTTTCTTTTCCTTTCCTTTTCCTTTCTGCTCTCAATCTTTTCTATTTTGAGTTCTGGTATGATATCCCGCTGGAAGAATGCAGTGACTGGCGCGTACGTGTGCATGGGTTTCTACAAGGGTTCTGTCCTGGGTGGTGTGGTTGTTGCCGGCGAATTTGTTGAGCTTTTGCTTCGTTTTATGGTATTCTTAGATGAGGAGAAGCTTGCTTTCGTTTCTAATACGTTACAATGTGTTCCGTGCTACAATAGTTCCGCAATGAACAGCCTCGGTCTGGAGTTTCGTCGCGCGATCCAGTTCGTCGTGGCCTCCACGTTGATCTTAATATTCACAGAGGTAGAACGGGGTAAACGGCATTCCGTCCAACAGAGTTGAAAATTGCACATAACCGTTGGCATTTCTCCTAATTGATACATTCAGCAAAAGCGTCAAGTCCATAAACACCCCATCCAGTCCTCACTAAGGTCCTGCCTTCCCAATCCCTTCGGCCACGTTTCAAAAGACAGGAGTGCCCTGTTCCATGTGGCCGCGTAGACTAAACCAGTACCCAAATACGACGCCTTTCCCTCTACCTGCCTGAGAGTGTAATTCGTTGTCATCCTATTGAGTGCAGAAATCTCAATCGAGAGACCGGCATTTCCGGTTTGTTCAACGACAGAAAACCTCGACAATCCCATAAAAAACCAGAGTAATGAAAACAGCAGGAAGAAGTCACATAGGAGATAAAAGCACACGGGATTCATGAATCATTATAATACTAACCAAGCATAGCCTTAAAGCCAGACTAAGGTATGAACAGCGCAGCGATAGTCATGAAGCCAAAATACCTACGGGCTCCATGTTAGTACTTGAAAATAGAAGCCAACCAAAAAGAAAAAGAAAAAGAAAAAAAAATTACTCACACAGAAGCGCATTTCCAGCCATCCCTCGAGTCAATCAAAGTGTCAATGCCGGCGGAATAGTTGGCCGCAATGGCTGCGGCTGCACCGCCGATGACTGTAACCACGACGAGTCGGCCGGCAAACTCCGCGATCAGGCTGAATGCCAGCAGTGGCATTAGGATCGCCCCCGCAGCGATGAAGGTGGACATATACACAGGGGCGGAGGCCGCCGATGAGGCGAGGCGCGGGGTGAGAGACACAAGATCGGAGCCTCGGTCTAGGAATCTGGTCTCAGAAGCGGCAATGGGATTGCGTTGTTTCATCCAGGAGCGGTAGTTGGAGATATCGTCTTCTGAGGCACGAGGGGAGTGTCTGGATGACTTTACTATAGGAACTAAGGGCATTGTCTGGGATGGTCAGTCATAGCTATTGGAGTGGGTTGGAGGTGTAGATCTTACTATATTGTTCGGTTTTCTGAGTCAAGGCAGCCATCAGCTCCATGCGCCGGTAATGTAGAGTCGAGTAGGCCTGGGTCTGGGCTTCCACGCGGCGAGATGCGGGAACGACTTTGGAGCCTTCTTTCTCGGCTGCCGCTACACGGTGCATTTCCTCATACTCGTCGAGGGCCTGTAAATCTTCCTCCATCTGCGATATCTCATCTTGAAGGTGGAGCAGCACCCGATGATTGACACTTTCGAAGCGTCGATACAATGGAGGGAATGAGCCTTTTTCCTCCGCAGAGGACCGTGTGAGGTATGAAGCAACGAGGCCGTAACCCGACAATACTTCTGATGCACTCGAGTCCCTTCGGCGAGTAGGTATACCGCGATGGATGCTGTCTTCTGGGCTGCTTGGGGGTGAGGGTGGAAGTGGCTGGCGGTGTAAAGCAGTCTCTTTGGATGCATAGTAGCTTTCCGGGCGAGTTATTTGTAATTGAAATTCATCAGGAGGTGGCGATGGTGCTGTAAGTGATTTGGCAGACGGCTTCTGCTGCTTCCGTGAAATTTGCATCTGCTTCCTTGGAGGTGGTGACGGGGCCGATGGTACTGGCGGACGGGAGCCGCTAGAGTTCCGTGATATACTAGTAGAGGATGTAGGGGACTTCTGTGCATTGGCCTTCGATGCCAGTAAAGAAGGCGACACAGGATTTGACCGCGGCTTAGGGGACTGGATCTTCGCGATGGCTGTATGAGGGGAGGATTCTCCCTCCGACGATTCAGAGTCGGAGTGGGACTCTGATTCTGAGGAGGACGAGGCGTCGGTGGCTTCTAGAAATTGGAATACATTGGGGACAGGCTTTTTTTGCGCTGCAGGCTTTTCCTCTGGCACCACCTGCGGTCTTGGATCTTGTTTTGGGGGGGGAGGATTTCGAGGCTTCCACAGGACCAGCCTGTGGGGCATGAGAGGCCGTGGACGAGGTCCTCTTTCTTCCCTCCTTCTTGACCTTTCTGGTACGTAGCATGATGGTCAATATCGGCGATTAAATGTGGTGCATGTCGTAGAAAGCAGAGTATAGATTGGGGCTTGCAGCAGAGTGACCCATATCCTGGGGAATGAAGATTGAGATGGGGTCAATGGAATCTCGGCCGTCTTGAGCCGCGAGGGGTCAGATTCCGATTAGACCAGTCGCCATGGAATCTAGGGGCGTAGGTTCCTGCGCAATGACCTAAAGAGAAAAAGGAAGAACGGATCGAGGTGGGAAAGGGGAGTTTGAAAGGCCATATGATGTCTCAAGTCTTCCCCGCGCCTGATTTGGGACGCTAATGGATACAAAGCAAGTATATGTATCACCCAGGTTGGATCCTTCGAGGTCAATGTATCGGCACGTCAGCACGAAACGAGTTTGGTGGGACTAAATCCAGCGAGGCGTTTGGCCGGGGGATCGCGGCGCTGCAATTCGTGGATGCAGGGAACCTGCGACAACCTGAGGCAGATGAGAAGCGCCGGAGGCTTCAGATCTACCAATGACGGAGAACAAGATGAGATGACCAACGCTGAGACGCCGAGTCCCTGCCGATCTTAATTGGCGGGGGGGGTTCAGCTCTGCTACAGTCTCTCAGGATGAGTTTGAAAGGAAGAAAACCGAGGGAGAAATCGGGGAATCACGAAGTGGGCCATAGCCAGAACGCGAATCGGGCGTGGCTCGGAATGACGCTGCATGTGTGTCTGATGGAAGCCGTGAGTCCTTCATTGGCGACCCTTGTCGATCCTTTCACGCCTTACTTGTGGGTATCTAGCGGTCTGGCGCCAAAGCCCCGTTTAGGTACCGAAGTGGGTTGTAACCGGTCGTGCCACCGTCTCTGCAGACGCCAATCGCCTTGTTTGTATTGCCTGCAGCTGCTTCTGTACTGGGAAGTCGGTGGGACAAGAATTGTGTAGCATTTCTACGAATACTGTACATGCATGGGGTCCAGTGCTTCTCTTGTTTTGGGAAGATAGAAGGACAGGGATAGACTGGGTATTTAACGCCTTAAACCCTAATGAACCTAGCGGGAAGCATGAGTCGCTACTAGTAGAATCGTGAACCTGAAGGATCGGGCGGCTAGACGAACCCCCCCGGTTGGGCCCCATACTTTTGGCGATTTGGCGGGAATCCAGCGACCAGCAGATTCCGATTATCTCTCAACCATGTTACGGCCCTCGCGCGCTACCAACGTGCTCGGCCGGGTTCATGCACTTGGTGCATCACACAGATGCCGACCAACCCTACGCCCATCAATACCCCCCCGCGCGCATCAATTCCTCAATCCGCAGTCTTCAATCCGCGACACCTTCGACAACCTCGGCGGACAGAGTCCCACTCCGCAAAATACTCAAGCAAGAAGCAAAGTCTCTCAAGGCCCAGAAACGACAGCGGAAAGAGAATGAAGAGGCCTCGAGACAACAATGGGAGCTGACCGTTGGCGTGGAGATTCACGCGCAGCTGGACACGGCTGCAAAGCTTTTCTCCCGTACAGTTCCCCCTCCGCCCCCAATCCAACTGTGTTTCTATTGTTAACTTCTCCCCTCGCAAATAGGTGCACCAACCTCCTCGAGTGACGTCCCCAACACGAATGTCGCCTTGTTCGATCTAGCCTTTCCGGGCAGCCAACCGGTTCGTGCCATACAGTTATAGTAGCACCAAGGAACAGTATCTCACACAAAAAGCAGGAATTTCAAGCTGCCACCCTCCTTCCAGCCCTTCGTGCAGCTATTGCATTGAATTGTCAGATTCAGCCCGTCAGCCGATTCGACCGGAAGCACTATTTCTACCAAGACCAACCAGCCGGATACCAAATCACCCAATACTATGAGCCCTTTGCCCGGAACGGCTACGTGGATCTGTTCGACTACGATGGTATCGCCCCCGAGGATGGGGAGAAGATCCGCATAGATATCAAGCAGGTCCAGCTAGAGCAGGATACCGCCAAATCCCAGGAATACCCACCCTCTACGCAACTGCTCGACTTCAATCGTGTATCCCATCCTCTCATCGAAATCATCACGATGCCTCAGATCCACACCCCGGCTACTGCTGCGGCCTGCGTCCGGAAACTACAATCAATACTCCAGGCTTGCGGTGCTGTGACTACGGGTATGGAACTAGGCGGGCTTCGTGCGGACGTGAACGTCTCAATTCGCCGCCGAGGGGAGGCGCCTGGCCAGTGCGAGTACGATGGAATTAGCGGGCTTGGGCAGCGCACCGAGATCAAAAACCTCAGTAGCTTCAAAGCTGTGGAGGACGCCATTGTCGCGGAAAAGAATCGTCAAATCGCCGTCCTCCAGAGCGGTGGAGTAGTCGAGGGGGAAACGCGAGGTTGGACCATTGGCAGTACCGAGACTCGTCTGCTGCGAGGGAAAGAAGGTGCGGTTGATTACCGGTACATGCCCGATCCTGATATTCCTCCTCTCAGGATCGGCGCGGACCTAATCGCCAGCCTTCAGGAGAACCTCCCCACGTCTCCCGACTCTCTTGTCCTCCAGCTCATCGGACCAGCGTATGGTCTGTCGATCGAAGACGCTAAACCATTGATTGAATTAGATGATGGCGCCCGATTGGAATACTATCAAGATGTAGTCGATATTCTTCGTGAGATCCACTCTAGCCCCGAGAAGTCCTCGCGCGATACTCTGGCGCGCGTAGCAGGCAATTGGGTTCTCCACGAGCTGGGTGGGCTTCTCACCAAAGCAGACCGGGCCTGGGATGCGACGGTCGTCCCGGCCCGGTCACTGGCTGAACTGATCGATCATCTCCAGCGCAAACTTATCACCGGGCCCACTGCCAAACAAGTTCTGGCGGGGATCTTCGATGGCGACAGTCGCCCAGTGGCTGTGATCTTAGAAGAGGACAACCTTTTGCTCCGGCCGCTATCGCGCGGAGAGTACCTGGCACTGGCCGAGGCGGCGATCGCGCAGAACCCCAAGATGGTGGAGCAGATCCGCAGCAAGAAGCAGATGGGCAAGCTGGGGTGGTTCGTGGGGCAGATGATGCGCACGGGCGAAAAAGGCCGCGTTGAAGCACCAAAGGCGGAGGAGATTCTTCGCGAACTGATCTTCCAATAGTTGAGGGAATGTAGAACATCTGTATTACTAGAAAGTGTACCGTTTAGATTCGTTGGATTTTGCAATGATACCCTCGTCTACTTCTTCGATTTCTGACGGTTTCCCTTCGTAGACGATCCCAATCACAGAGGCTCCTCCCAAACCTACAGCCCATTGACCTCTGCAGACGTCTTCTGCTGATAAAAAGCAATGCAGATATTCATTACGCAAAGAGCCGGGCTCAGCCCCTCGCTAATTTCCTGATTTGCGACCCAGTGGGACAGACTGCGACCCTAAACGGGGCAGCTCTCCTCGACCTGTACTTAACGGAAGTGATGGAGAACCCGGCGGATCGCCGTGATCCCTAAAAGCAGTTTTTAGCGATGGTTGACCACGCACGTCGGAAGGGACCAGGGCCGGGGAGAAAAAGAGGGTCCGGGATAGAAGGCTATAAAGGAGACCTTGTCTCTTCATTTGCATTATCAACTTGAATGCCCTGATCATACCCCCTTTGTCCCTTGACAACAATCCGATCTTTCCCCTCTCCGGTCCACTTTGATCTGGGTCCTTTATCTTATCGCCGATCAATATCGAGCTTCCCATCCCACCTTGAATTCCCCTGTGATCTACCCTCTGATCTCACCTTTACACATCTACACTGCCCAATGACGCAACCATCAACTATTACTTCTCGTTTCCTCAGCCACCCACAGCAGCTGGGCGTGGTGGCTGTCGGGTTCAATGGCGGCCAGGTGAGAAGGACAGCAGCAGAGATCCGGCTGCAAATTACGCTCGTTCAGAGAAAACGTCATCCACGAGGGTTGCTAACATGGTTATTCCTGGCATCAGATGAAGAAGGGCGTTGAGGCAGCCCCCATGGCCCTCATTGAAGCCGGCCTGCTTACCCAACTCCAAGAGGACCTGGAATACGAAATCCATCACGACAACACCGTCCACTACTACGAGAACGACATCCCAGCAGAAGACCCAGACCACCGGAACATGAAAAAGCCTCGCGCCGTAAGCGCCGTCACTGAGCGCCTCAGCTCCCAGGTTTACAACTACGCCAAGGACGGCAAGTTCGTGCTCACCCTCGGCGGCGACCACTCCATCGCCATCGGCACCATCTCCGGCACAGGCAAGGCTATCCGGGAACGCCTCGGCCGCGAAATGGCGGTGATCTGGGTTGACGCCCACGCCGACATCAACGTTCCCGAGATGAGCCCGAGTGGAAACATCCACGGAATGCCAATGGCCTTCTTGACCCGGCTGGCCCGGGAAGAGAGACGCGATATCTTCGGGTGGCTTCAGGACGAGCACATCGTGAACACAAACAAGCTGGTCTACATCGGCCTACGTGATGTCGACCGCGGCGAGAAGAAGCTGCTGCGTGAGCACGGGATCAAGGCATTCAGCATGCACGATATTGATCGGTATGTTATCTTTTACCTCCCTTCTTCAGGTTACACCGGTCTACCGAGTAACTTCTAGCCTTGGTACTAACTGCTGCGTTTCCTTGTCTAGTCATGGTATTGGTCGTGTTGTCGAGATGGCGCTCGCTCATATCGGCAATGACACCCCCCATTCATCTGTCCTTCGACGTCGATGCGCTGGACCCCCAGTGGGCGCCCAGCACAGGTACGCCTGTGCGCGGAGGGCTGACTCTGCGAGAAGGTGACTTCATCTGCGAGTGTGTCCACCAGACCGGTAACCTGGTCGCAATGGATTTGGTCGAGGTGAACCCCAGTTTGGAATCGGTTGGTGCGGCGGAGACTATTCGCGCGGGATGTTCGTTGGTCCGCAGCGCGCTGGGCGATACCCTTCTGTGATTCCAGAGTTGGACATTTCAGGATTTTCGGTCCCTCTCCGGAGTAGATTTCAATAAATTAGAAAGGAGAATAATAGAAGTGAGGCAACTCGGCCCTTTGTAATGATCCCCGTTGGAATTGCGAATCGTAGCGCGGGTTGACAAGAAGAGGCTAGATCCCCTGCCACCTCAATTTCTCCGAACGTCATCCCCCACTGTTTTTGGTTTTCCAACCTCCCTCCCCTGTTCTTTTTTATCTTCACACTCCTCGTTTTACAGGGGCCTTTCTCGGGTGCTCGGAGACAGCAGGTCGTCCGCTCGCTTTGTTTGCGCCCAATTTCCTACTCCGCGCCCAATGAGTTGTCGCTTATCGCGCCCCTCCACGCCAGCTCGCAATCGAAGCAGAAGTACCTTTCGTACCTGAAGATCCGTCCCGCAAGGGCGCGTTTATGCCAAGGCACTCATAAGGCGATAAAGAAATTACCTGGGCGCACACCACGCGCAGTCATCACTATAACACCGCATTTCCAGTACATGGAACAGCCGCGATAAAGACGGTCCCACAGCAAGACCCCATCGCTTCATACCCTAGTTGCAACAAAACTCTCCTCCGACGCCAATCCTGAATTTGGAGTCAGAATCGGTCCCCGATCGCTATCGCCGCCATGCCTAAAAGCGAGCGCATCGTGCGCCTAAACTACCACTGGCCCGAGATCCAACTCAACATCTGGCTGATTGTCGTCCTCTCGGGCTCAGCAACATGCCTCGGAATATTCGCCTGGTTTATGACGGTGCAGAGCCAAATGGATCTAGGGACGCCTTGGTATGTATCTTTAACCAAGCAAGCTACGACGCTTGCGTCGACATCCCCGCCTGGTTTTCCCTCGGGTTTGTGTATTCACATGCTAACTTGATTGTTTTCGCTAGGCTCTTCCCGTTCATGGTAGTATCCAGTGCCCTCGGCGTATTCTTCATCTTCCTTGTCCTTGGCCTGATCGCTCGCCGACTCTTATTACCGGGGATCTTGATCTTAGGCAGTTTTATCCTCTTCGTGCTATGGTTAACGGGCCTGATTGAGACGGCGCTGCAGTTATACGGCGTGGTCGGGAATGTCAATGACAATTGCCAGATCTACGTGACGGACAACGTGTCGCGTGGGAATAATATCGACACGCTGGCGTGGTTGACTCAGCTCACCATATGTAAGTGACAACCCGGGAGTTCGAGAACGGGGCTCTTGTTTCTGACTGGTTGCTAGGTAATTGCTGGAAAACGGCTTTTGCGTTCGAGGTTGTCAATTGCGTTTTCTACATTTGGATGATTGTGATGTCCTGGCAGGTCCATAGGGATTTCTACCGATAACGGGCTGGGCTTTGTCTTCTGACTTGTCCATTTATGTTTCTTTTCTTTGTCCTGTGATACCACTCTATTTGCATGAACCTGGCGCTAGCTATATGTATTTTCACTGACCTATAATCAATCCTGCTACTTGATACTAACCGGCCCCACAACACTTCCACTCACTTGAGGCCTTTGTTGACAAGGGTCTGATCCGAAACTATCAGCTGAACCGTCTCCTGGCACGGCAGTGGAAACACCTGGCGATTCACCACTGGCCTTCGTCAAAACTATCAGCCCTGCTAAACAGAAGCGAGAGGTGCTAGGCTAGTACAGAGTCAATCCTAGCAGCGATACCAACAAATCCGATCTTAGTCCATTGGCAACCACCAACGTGCTGCCACCCGAAGAGTAGGACTTCGCCGTCCCGAACATTTGGTATGCCGCTTTCACTGGGGTTGTGCTCCCGAGTCGAATCACTTATGGCTGCCGGAGTCGACCGAAATGCGCATTTACAAGACCTATCATCCCTTTTCTCTGGCGTTGTTGAGGACTGGCGCAGTCCGGAAAAGACACACATCCTCCGATATTTCACTTGAATCTCAATCAAACACCTTCACTTCTCTGTGCTGCCTCAAGTGTCTATACATATGGCGCTGGAGTTTATAGCCAATGCAAACGCTGATGCGTATGACGACTGCTTTACTTCATCGCGGTGCGGACCCGTATGCATTAGTTCATTGGTTCGTCAGCTTATCCATATCTTTTCAGACCAGGGTTTCTTTCCAGAGGAACCCAGCGTCGATAATTCGACTTCGAGAAATCCAACTTGTCGATGGCAGAAATATCTTCTACGGCGTTACTACGCAAAGATGAGTCAAACGATCTCCGACACCAAGGAAAGTCGATTCCTGGAATGGAGGGCTCGGACTACGGGTCTGATGGGTTTAGCTCCTATAGCCAACGTTGTGCATTGAACTCAGGCCAATGGAACAATCCGCCCAAGCAAATGGTCGGATATCAGCAGTTTAGACCCGCCTCAGTAATCGCGTAAACTATAAGTCGCTGATGAAGGCCAGAAGCTATGTAAGTTTACGTTGGAAGTGCGATGTATAGGGTAAATGGGGCATCACCCCAAAGTTTTGCATAATGTCCAGTTCTAGCACGGTCCCCAGTATAGCTTTCTCTCAAACAAATGGATATATTTCCAACCAAAGAACGGATATCGTGAACCGTAGTTCGCCACCAAGGCAGCTTTTTTCTATCAGGTTCTTCGAGGCCTTTCTGGTATGTCTCATCCGTCATGTGTAATGACTGCTGACCAGCTTCCAACGTCGTGTTCCCACATTCATTTTGCGCTTACCGAATTGTCGAAAGGTTTCAGGGTAGAAATCTCTAGTGCTGAAGACCAAAGGACTTTGTGAGGCAGCTATCTCTCCTGCATAAGTGTGTGCGCTGCCGGTTCCGGCTCAAGACGAAGTCACTAGTGATGTCGCCGTAACAACGATGTTTGGCGTCGATTGGCCTGTTGGAACAGATTATCCTCTTGCATACTTGTCTAGCTGGACTTCTGGGCAGACCTGGCGCTGAAAACAATGAAAGTCGTACCAATTATCTCTGCGACACCCAAAAAGGTCTTAAGGCATAGCCGTTTACAGTAAGAAAGACTGCAGCGGCGAGTATCATTGCATTGGAGGCTCCAACAAGAATAGCAAGAGTAACCCCTGCTTGGTTGTCGAGGACCCCACCACACTAGCTTCAGATACTGAGATGCCTTGTGGAAGGTATACGAATCCCCAGGGGACTCTGCTTATATCACTTAGATATAAGGGAATTGCTTACAAGCCCTTTTCATGGAAGATGACTGGCTCTTGCGCAACATACACTGTGTATGGCAACGAAACATGCGAGTTAGATGAAAAGGAAGATGCCTATGCGACACATTACAAGTACTCCATTTCTAAAAATGATACAGAAGCTGGGATGACTTTGAAGTGGAGCATGTAATAATTGTCTTGTAGCTCTCTAAGGGTGGTCTTTGTCCATAGGTCATTTGTAGCTCCTTACTAGCCATACTCAAGTGTACCTAGGTACCTAGTGTTACGGATCCACTTGGTTTGAAGGAAATAAGTCAACTACGACTAACCGATCTGTCAAGGATGACACACACGTGACAGGATGTGCCTATCGGTTGACAGGCGGAACCTGTCTCTTGACAGGACCCGAGCCTGTCTCTTGACAGGAAGGACTTGATATATAAGGACACTCATTTGGCAACATGTATTTCGTTCTTCGCGGTCAATCTTGATTTTACAATTTGTTACTTAGAACCACCAAGATTGGAATACGACAACGGTTCATTGTTTTACTTGCCTTGAAGACCAACCCTAACGACGCAGGGGAGATCCATAAGAACCTGACCCCGTCGGCGCCCTCAGCACCACGTCTACTAAGCAAGACCTCCAAGGACTTGAGCATCTAAGGCCTGTTGCCGTGTGTGATCGGTAGGCATTGCAATAGAGTGACGAGACACACTTGGCCTGCAGAGTGACCAAGAGAAGTATACTTTGAGGACACACTCACTGAGACTAGCTAGGAGTGCGTGACATCTAGGTAATGTAGTATTGTATGTGTATTCTAGTCAGTTTGTAGCCGTATTTAGTGCTTGTGTAATGTATTTGTATCTTTGTCTGAATGATTAGTTCTGGTCCTCTTGTCAACGAACAAAGAATTCGATGGTAATCCTCCGTCGAAGTGACATTGGACCCCCTTGATGTGATATCGAACCGACTTGAGTCCGAAGGTGGACCAATTTGGCGCAAACAGAGTGGGGGAAAAAGGACCATTTTGCCTTCATTGGTAGGGGTAGGTTTGGGGCCTAACTTGAGACAGATCCCCTGGCGAATCTCCTTATAAGAGGGGCCAGTCTGTTTTAGCTGAAAGGATAAGCTTTAGTCTTTGTTCAACCGGAGCCCTATTGTCAATTCCCGTCGAATATCATCGTCTTACCTGGTCAACTGGTGACATCTAAATCTGGTCGTTCCCTCACCTCTGTTAGTGTTTCCTGGGAGCGGATCTGTAAGTTCTCCCAGCTCTCATGATAATAAAGCACCAGCTTATTTCCCGAAATCACCAATACGAAGGCGGCCATTTTAGCGCCAAGATAACTACTTTCGGTATCGATTTCACAGGTCCTCATATTCTAGATATAAATATAGTGTTTCAAGGAGATCCGCTAGGGTGGCAGAAAAAGGCAGGAAAAATCGCAGAACTAATAAGGAGACCCACATGCGAAGATTTGCGGAAAACAGTACTGTAAGTAGCTTTTGTGTACCTTGTGTAAAGCCAGAATAAATTTGGTCTAAACTATGTTTCACTAGCGCTCTAGTAGATAGTCCTAGGTTAGGTCTAGGCTTAGTCACTCTGATCTAGACCTCCAGGGCTAGGCCGAGTTGGGTTCGAGGTTGCGATCTTCGACCCAATTTGGGTTTTACGGAAGCCTTCCGGGAGCCCATTTAGTGTGAACGGCCCCCATTTTGGCCCCGCTGTCAATATGACCTGCAGGTCCTACTTTTGAGCCAGCCATCGACAAGGCTTATTTCCCCAAGCGGATCCATCAGATACAATGGAAAGATGGCGTAGTTTACTGCTAGTGACGATTTGACAGACTGAGTGGATGAATGATCTATGCGAAGTGACAGCGAACCTCTTTGTTCTGAATGTAGATCCATATGACTTTTATATAAACAGGCTTCAGGAGGGACTCAGCCTTTATTTAGCTGTTAATACCAGGGGATAAACGTATCTGTATATTTGTCTGATCAAAGGTACGTTTCGCCTAGTTGAATGCCGAGCAGATATCAAACACATAACTACTAACTGTCCCTAAGATCGACTACCTTATCATGGAACCACTCCCTTTTAATCCTTTTGATTAATCGACGACAATGTCATTAGATTGCCAAAGTATACATTAGCACAGGAAATACTAGGTCCTATCATACTAACATACCCAGTCAGCTAGGATTAGACATCATAAGCATCTCCAATCAGAGGGCACTGAAGCTTGGCGTGCCCTATATGGTGGGAAAGTTCCCCTTAATTGCGGATTTTGCTACTGAGCCGTTTCAAAGTGACAAGGAATTTCTCGGACCCCAAGAGCCAACTCATGAAAGAAGTTTGTCGTCAGCACATGGCCTCAAGGTAATCGCCACGGAGCGCCGAAAACGGGCCCCTTCCCTTGGGGACCTTGGCAGAGTAGCCTTCTAAAAATCAAATAGAGAAGAAAAGAGCAAGGGCTTATACCCAAAAGTTCCACACGACTAATCCACCTCATAGACAAGCTTGAACCCGCTGACCTCCTTTCTCCGAATCATTTCCAATCCTTCCAGAATGCCGGAAAATCCGCCCGACATGACCTTAGCTGGGTGGTTCTTGAGCTTTCCCTCCAGTAGAAGCTTCTGGGCTCCATAGTAGAGTTCGTCAGCAAAGATTCGCGCATCAGGATCCTCTTCCCGCCCATAGGGGGCCGCCCAGCCACTGCCGCGACCCTTGACGGTAGAGCCCAGGATCCAGTCAGGCTTGACAACCTTGCGAGTGGCCTGCGCCTCGGGGTACGGGTCCAGCGCCGTGTAGCGGCCGCCCGCGCGGCCAATAGCTTCGTAGCACAGCTTCATCGATGAATCGACGGTTATGCAGTCGAGGGCGTAGGCCAGGGCATTCTTGGTGTAAGACCTGATGTCCTTGGCGCAGTCGGCGGACCGGTAGTTAAACACTTTCTCGGCCCCATAGGAGAGGACCAGCTCCTCGTGCGATGGCGAGCTGGTGGCAATGGGCCGGAAGCCCGCCAGCTTGAGCAGCTGTAGGGCCATGGTGCCCGTCGAGGTGCTACCGCCGTTGACAAGGACGTAGGGCGGGTTGGTGGCCGAGTTGGGTGCGGTCAATGACCCAGGCAGCTTCATGGAGCGAAAGAGGGCAATGCCTGCAGAGGAAAGCGAGGTGCCCATGCAAGCGGCATCAGTGAAGGAAATATCATCCGGCAGACGCAGGGCCTGGGTGGCCACGGTCGAGGCGTACTGGCAGAAGCCGCCGCCGCTAGGTCTCTTACGGTCCATGCTGTCTGCGGTGCCCAGTACCCGGTCCCCCACTTTGAGGTCTTGCCTGGTAACACCGGTGCCAATGGCCACGATGACGCCGGCAAAGTCAAAGCCTAGAATGGCGTTGGGCACAGCGAAGCCCTTGGCCATCTTGGAGTCGACGGGGTTGAGGGCTAGAGCGGCCGTCTTGACCAGCACGGAATCCGGCTCCAGGTCAATGACGGGAACTTGTTGTGAGATGCAAAGAGTGCCCTCGTCATCAATAGCGATGATCGCGGTCTGCGTCTTGGGGATGGTGGCGACCATTGCAAAGGACAACAGTGGTGACCTTGCTGCTATTAACTCGCCAGGCCAAGAAGAAAAATAAAAGAATTATCGGGAATGACAACGGGGAGGAAGAAGTATGGGAATGATCTGTAGTCGTCTTAAACCGGCGACAGTATTGAACTTGTACGTATTGTCTTGATAACAACAATATCGATATGTCCTTTCACGCGGGAGTTGTTGACTTCCAGATCTATCTATATACACGGGGCAATCTCATATTAATGTGGCTTTGGGCGGGCTGAGATAGGAAACAGCACAATTTCTCTCTTCAGGAGATTGGCTGGAAAGATGACCATCGTCGTCCTATTCGGCCATTGCGCCCGGGTCACTTTACTCAGGACAAACCGGTCCACATTCCCACTGTGGTAGTTTATGAGATGGCCGCACGTCTCGGCAAGGAAAAGCATGAGGGTGTTATCTCAAAGAAAAAGCCAAAATGCTAGAGCGGAATATATGGCCAAAAGCGAAATAGTTGTGTGGGAAGTTCGTTGGCTCCGGAGGTCGTACGCATGAGAATCACATTTAGATGCCACTTGGTTGAGGCTTACACTGATGACATGCAGATGGCAATCCATCGCGGCGGGAAATAGATCCATATTAGGTATTGGGGAAAGGTCAGGGGCGAAAAATAAGTGGTGGGTAGTGGATGGACTGCAGGCGTTCAAGGCGCCTAATCCCGACGCATGATTGAGTTTATTATCAGCACTTGTAAACGCCTCAGCCCCGTAGGGTTTCGGGCCCGAAAATCTAGTAGGTTACAGACGTATGCACGTGTATGCTCCTTATTGCCGGGGATGCTAATAACCTTGAGTTTCTTCCGAAAACCTGCCCTGGCAGTGACGGTTTCGCGGTGTGGCAATGGCACAGCTCGGATCTACCCGCAACGCTTAATCGCACATACCGGATTGCCTAGCCTCGTTGGTACGACTGGGGAAGTTGACAATCCTACCGCAGCCACGTGGTTTCTTCCGCCCCCACCGAGCTCGCTAAACGAAGATAGGTGGGGCCCCCACTTAGCTGCATTGGTGGAGACGGAGCTACGGATATCGGAATAATAGATCTATGGATACATTCTCATCTAGTTCCTGAGCCGGGATACCACCTCCGCAATCGAAGGGTCCCCACCGAAGCTCAAGACCTCACCTCAAGGCGAGTCCTTCAGGCAAGCCCTTCAGGCGAGCCGTCTGACATTTGTGAGGGCGAGCTTATGGGTTCGCTGGTTGGAGACCTGATCTGTAGCCGGCAGGTATAAAACATGAAGGCTATCCTTCATGGCATCTCAAGCTAGTCCGTCGATCTTGACCATCAGTGCTTGCGACTGCTTCAAATGCTGTCTGATCCGATACCTGCACCTAGATTTATCAAGTCTTTGACTCCAGTCTAGCTACTCGAACATCTTCAATCCCATTCTTTTCCATTCATCAGACAAGTCAAGCAACATACACACCAAACCTGCACCCCTATTTTGCGTCACCACCTCCGTCTAAATGTCTTCTCCACACAACGAGCCCATTGCCATTGTTGGCACTGCTTGTCGCTTCCCTGGGGATGCCACATCTCCTTCCAAGCTATGGGAGCTGCTCAAAGCGCCCCGAGAGGTGGCCCGGCCCATCGACCGATTCGCCGCCTCAAGCTTCTACCACCATAACGGCCATTACCACGGTGCTAGTAATGTCCGCGATGCTTACCTTCTTTCCGAAGACCCCCGCTACTTCGATGCCCAATTCTTTAACATTCCCCCTGGTGAGGCCGAATCCATCGACCCCCAGCAGCGCACCGTCCTCGAGACTGTGTACGAAGCCATTGAATCCTCTGGCCTGGTGCTAGAGGACCTGCGCGGCTCAGATACGGCCGTCTACGTCGGTGTCATGTGTGATGACTACGGCAACATCTGCTACGTCGATCAGGAGGCGATCCCCACTTACGCCGCTACCGGCACTGCCCGTAGCATTCTGTCCAATCGTGTCTCTTTCACCTTCGACTGGCGGGGTCCGTCAATGACCATTGATACGGCCTGCTCGTCGTCCCTGGTTGCTATTCACCAGGCTGTTCAGGTTTTGCGTAGCGGAAACTCCAACGTCGCTGTGGCAGCCGGTGCCAACTTGATTTTCAGCCCAAGTATGTGCCTCCTACCGATCCCTCTTGCGATAATAATACTTTGAAAACTCTCCTAATACTTGACCAAAAGATATGTTTATCGCCGAGTCGAACCTGAACATGCTTTCCCCCACGGGGAAGTCCCAGATGTGGGACGCCAACGCTAACGGGTACGCCCGTGGTGAGGGTATCGCTGCTGTCATCATGAAGCGTCTCTCCGACGCAATCCGCGACGGTGACCATATTGAGTGCATCATTCGCGAGACGGGCTGCAATCAGGACGGTCACACTCCCGGAATCACCATGCCCAGCCAGGAGGCGCAGACCAGTCTGATCCAGGCCACCTACCGTCGTGCCGGCTTGGACCTGAGCAAGCCCGAGGACCGCCCCCAGTACTTTGAAGCTCATGGCACTGGGACCAAAGCTGGCGATGGCGTTGAGTCCAAGGCCATATACCACGCCTTTTTCCCTGATGGTCACGCTACTGACGAGAGTCTGTGGGTTGGCTCCATAAAAACCATCATTGGCCATACCGAGGGTACCGCCGGTATTGCCGGTGTCATGAAGGCCTCCCTTGCCATCCAGAATAAGACCATCCCACCAAACTTGCATTTCAAGACCATCAACTCGGATATTGCCCCGTATTACGGCAAGCTGCAAATCGCCAAGACGGCGCAGGACTGGCCGGCGCTGCCCGCTGGCGCGGTTCGCCGTGCCTCTATCAACTCCTTCGGTTTCGGCGGCACCAATGCGCACGCCATTATTGAGGCCTATGAGCCCGAGGGCTCTCACACAAAGGCTGAGACTACGCCCAAGGCTGTTATTCCCTTGCCGTTCACCTTTTCCGCCACATCGGAGAAGACTCTCACTAACCTCATGACCAAGTACCTAGAGTACCTGACTGAGAACCCCGATACCAATCTGAACAGTCTGGCCTTCACCCTGCACGAGCGCCGTTCCACCTTTGCGTACCGCAGCTACATTGCTGGCCAATCTGTCAAGGAGATCCTACCCAAGCTACAGAACGCTATTGAGGAACAGCAGTCTGGCAACTCGGCTAGCATCTCCCGCGGTATTTCGGCCAAGAAGCACCTGCTCGGTGTCTTCACTGGCCAGGGTGCCCAGTGGGCGACTATGGGTCGTGAGCTGATCCGCGCCTCCAAGCTCGCCCAGGACATCATTGGCAGGCTCGAGCAGTCCCTCGCCGAACTTCCTGCCCCTGATCGCCCGTCCTGGTCTATCATGGAGCAGCTGATGGCTGACCCGGCCCAGTCTCGCATTACTGAGGGTGAGCTGTCCCAGCCGCTGTGCACTGCCGTCCAGGTGGTTCTGGTCGAGGTGCTTAAAATGGCCGGCATCACTTTCGATGTCGTCGTCGGCCACTCCAGTGGTGAGATTGGCGCCGCGTACGCCGCCGGATTCTTCAATGCCACTGATGCTATCCGCATTGCCTTCTACCGTGGTCGCTACGCCTTCATGGCGAAGGGCCCTGAGGGCCAGAAGGGTGGGATGTTGGCTGTTGGTACTACTCTTGAGGATGCTCGCGAGCTTGTCGAGCTTCCCGCCTTTGAGGGTCGCATCTCCGTCGCCGCATACAATTCCGACGCCAGCGTCACCCTCTCCGGTGACCTCGACGCCATCGAGGAAGTCAAAGAGATCTTGGACGATGAGCGGGTCTTCAACCGTCAGCTGAAGGTTGACACTGCGTACCACTCACACCACATGGTCCCCTGCTCCACCAAGTATTACAAGGCTCTCAACGACTGCAAGGTTCAGATCCTCAAGCCCTCTGGTGAGACCAAATGGTACTCGTCTGTGTACGATGGCAAGCTCATGGAGCCTTGCGAGGAGCTCAAGCACACTTACTGGGTTGAAAATATGGTTAACATTGTCCTGTTTGCTACGTCGCTCAGGTCTGCTCTCAACAATGCCATACCTCAGCCCACCCAAGTCATTGAAGTCGGTCCCCATGCAGCCCTCAAGGGTCCTGCCTCCAGCGTTATTGAGGAGGTGGTCAAGGCTGCGCTGCCGTATACCGGCACCCTTGCTCGTGGCCAGCACGATGTCAATGCCGTGGCATCTACGCTCGGCTATCTCTGGGGTCGGTTTGGCCGCAGCTCGGCCGACTGGAAAGGTTACTCGCAGGTCTTCTCAAGCATTCCTACCAATCTCCGGGAGCTGCCTAGCTACCCCTGGAATCATGACCGTCTTTTCTGGTATGAGGCTCGCAAGTCGCGTGTCAACCGTCTGCGTCAGGAACCCGCTCACGTCCTGCTCGGTACACGCACCGATTCCATCAACGAGCGCGAGTACCGCTGGCGCAACTACATCAGCTTGGGGGAGGTCCCGTGGCTCTCCGGTCACAGCATTCAGGGCCAGGCCTTGTTCCCTGCTGCTGGTTTCCTCGTGATGGCTGTTGAGGCTGCTCGCGTTGTCGGTCGTGACCAGGCCATCCATGCCATTGAGCTACAGAACTCCAAGATCCACCGTGCCCTGGCTATCAACGAGGACAAGGGTATCGAGACCCTCTTCACCTTGTCCAATATCACTACTGTCCAAATGGGTGCAGAGGCCTCTACTGTCACTGCCAACTTCTCTTGCGATGCCTGCCTCCAGAAGGGTTCTGATATCTTCACTTCCATCGCCAGTGGTAAGCTCATCATGAGCCTTGGAACTCCCTCTTCCTCAACTCTGGCTGAGTACCCCAAGGAGGCTGGCCTCGGGATGCTGGACATCGACTGTGAGGAGTTTTACACCTACCTCGCCTCTATCGGCTACAACTACGCCGACCTCTTCAAAGGCATCACCTCCATGAGCCGGTGCTGCGACTTGGCTCAGGGTGAGATTTTCACCTCTACCGCCAGCCAGAGCGGCCCGATGGACGACTTCCTGCTGCACCCGTCCACTCTTGATGTTGCTTTCCAAGCCATCTTTGCCGCCATCAGTTACCCTGGGGACGGTGCACTGTGGGCTCTGCACATCCCCACCACTATCCGCCGCATCGTCATTAACCCTGTCATCTGTCCGATGAACGGCGGTCTGGACGAAAAGGTTCGTTTCTCGGCTACCTCTAACCGCGCTGATGACGGTACTTTCTCTGGCAGTGTCGACATTTTCCCCGTCCATAGCGATCATTCACTGTGCCAGATTGAGGGAATGGAGGTCAGCCCTGTAACTCCCCCTACGGCCAAGGACGATCGCCATATGTTTGGCCACACCAGCCGCTGGCTCTGTACTCCTGATGCCGAGGCCGCAACCAAACCCGTCTCAATCACCACCAAGCAGGCGCAGGAGCTCCAGCTCCTCGACAGCCTCGCGCTCCAGGAGCTCCAGAAGATGGCTACCTCTAATAGCTCGGAGCACGTCAATGTGCGCACCTGGGCCCGGAGTGCTCTGAAAGTTGCTGGCACCGACGCTTCTACTGAGCAGATTGACAGCTCTACCATCACTGTTGACAAAGCATCTGCTGCTAATTTTGCTGTCCTCAAGGCCCTTGGTTCTGGTGATTCCGGTTTACTGAATAAGTTCTACGCCTCGGCATTTGGTGCTGCTGAGGCTCGCAGCTCTTTGATCTCGCTGGTCCACCAGATTTCCCGTCGCTACCCTCACATGCATATCATGGAGCTCAACGCCGGCAATGGTGCCGCTACCAAGCCTCTCCTGGAGACTATCGGTGCCTTGTGCTCTGCCTACACCGTCACTGACTCGACTGACGAGCACTTCGCAGCCCTTGATAAGGAGCATGGTGATGGCATTTTCACCAAAACCCTTGACTTGGACCAGGACCTCGAGGAGCAGGGTTTCACTGCCGCCAGCCTCGATCTTATCATCGCCCCTGTCGGTCTCCACAATGTGCAGGACCGTGCTCAGGCCATCCAGAAGCTGCGCTGGCTTACCAGGCCTGGTGGTTTCCTGTTTGTCCAGCATATTACCAACGCCAGTGCTCCCCACGTCGGCTTGACCGTGGCCAGCTTGACGTCGCAGGCTGAAGTTCCTGCGCTGTCTGAATACGATGTTCTGCTTCAGGGCGCCGGCTTCTCCGGCATCGACTCTGTCACTCAGGACTCTGTCAGCCCCTTCAGCGTCTTCGTGTCTCAGGCTGTTGACGCTCAAATCAACGCCATCCGTGCTCCTCTGACTGCCGGTATCAAGATCACCATTGACCAGATCCTCCTCATTGGTGGCCGCCGCTTCCAGACATCTCGCCTGGTGAACAACATCAAGAAAGCTCTCGCCCAGTACTGCGGCAATATCACGTCGATCCAGAGCATGCGCGAGTTCAAGTCGTCCATGCTGGCGTCTAGGCCTCTTGTGCTTTCGCTCACCGAGCTCGATGAGCCCTTCTTCAAGGATCTGACCGATCAGAAGTACAAGGCCCTACAGACTCTGTTTCTCCGTTCGCGTTACATTGTCTGGGTCACTCGAGGTGCTAATGGCGATGATCCTTACGCCAACGTCATGAAGGGTATTGCCCGCTGCTTGCTGATTGAGATTCCTCACGTTCACTGCCAGATGTTCAACATTGAGGGCAAGATCAAGATTGACCAGCACTCCACCATTCTGGCCGAGCAGCTGCTGCGCCTGCACATTGTCGATAGTTGGAAGAACAAGGTACCCACATACAGCGCCTTGTGGACCTCGGAGCGTGAGCTGATGCTTGCTGATGACAAGCTCTATATTACTCGCTATGACTCCGAGGCCGAGCTCAATGCCCACTACAACGTCTTGCGCCGTCGTGTTGTGGCAAATATCTCCACCGCTGACCGCGTTGTTGCCATCACTGCAGACAATATGCTCCAGCAGTTCCGCCTCAATCCCCAGGCCTCCATTGGTGCAAAGGAGGCTATGGTCTCGATCACCGTCGAGAAGTCTCTGTCTACTGCTTTCAAGGTTGGCGATCTCGGCTACTTCTACCTCAGCATCGGAACCAAGAAGGAGACTAGCGAGACTGTCCTCGCCCTGACTGATCAGCACCAGTCTCTTCTCACCGTTCCAGAATCTCGCCTCCTGGCCGTCAATGTCGCCGCCAGTGATCGTCGTACCCTGCTCGTTTCTGTCGGTGCTACGCTCCTTGCCTCGGATCTCCTCGAGAAGTCCACTGCCAGCGACAGACTTGTGTTCCACGAGGCCCCCATCGTCCTGGCCGAGCTTCTCCGCGAAAAGGCCCTCATGACCGGTGCCCATGTCATCTTCACTACCACCGACAAGGATGCCACTGGCTACTGGCAACACGTCCACGATTACACTCCCACTCGCGAGCTGAGCAAGCTGGTGCAGGCCAACACGAGCCTATTTGTCAACTTTTCTCCCGCCAGCGAGGGCAGCGAGGTTATCAGACGCCTTAAGGCCCAGCTTCCGTTGCGCGCTCGCCGCCGTGCTCTCTCAGATTACCTCCCTTCGCAGTCCATCCTCTACTCTGACACGACAGAGGATCAACTCGCCAAGGCCCTCAAGGAAGCCCATGAGAAGGTTATCTCTGAAGCCTCGTCGGTTGCCTTTGGCCAGGTTGCCAATACCTTTGTGCAGCAACTTGCCGCTAACCAGACTCTCGGTAAGCCATTGAGCACCATTGATTGGACTGACCCTACTCCTTTCCCTGCCAATTTGACTCTTGCGATGGATGAGGTGCGCTTCCGCTCTGACCGCACCTACTTCTTCGTTGGTATGACTGGCAGCTTGGGTTTGTCCACCTGCGAGTTCATGATGGAGCGCGGCGCCAGGCACTTTGCCCTCTCTTCCCGTCGCCCCAACATCGACCAGCGCTGGCTGGACAAGGTTAAGACCAGTTTTGGTGCCTCGGTCAAGGCGTACCCGCTGGACATCACCAGTCGCGAGAGCCTGCAAGACGTGTACAAGAAGATCTGCGCAAACCAGCCCCCGGTCGCGGGTGTGGCCAACGCTGCCCTCATTATGCGCGATGGTCTCTTCATGGAGTCCGACGCGACCACAATGAACGAGGCTCTGGGCCCCAAGATCGACGGTACCATCTATCTGGATGAGCTGTTTGCCAAAGTTGATCTCGACTTTTTCATCCTCTTCTCTTCCCTGGTGTACATCACTGGGAACATTGGCCAGACCTCCTACGCTGCCGGTAATGGATTCATGGTCAGCTTGGCCCACCAGCGTCGCCAGCGCGGCCAGTGCGCCAGTGTCATGAATCTGGGTGGTATTAACGGTATCGGCTACATCACCCGTACCGATCACAACATTCTCAACCGGCTGGACGTCATGGGCTATGGTATCATGTCCGAGCTCGACTATAAGTACTTATTTGCCGAAGCAGTCATGGCCAGTCCTCCCGACTCCGGCCGCGACCCCGAGGTCTCTGCTGGTCTCAGGTTTGTCAACCTCAAGACCGACAAGAACCCGCCCAAGTGGTCGGAGGACCCCAAGTTCAGCCACTACATCATTGACAAGAGCACTCGTGAGGGTGGTGAAAAGGGCGCTGAGGGCGCCCTGTCGACAAAGGCCCAGCTGCAGGAGGCTGCCACCGACAAGGACGCCTTCAACATCATTCTGACGGCGATACAGGCAATGCTTCACAAAAAGCTCGACCTGCCACCCTCGGAGAGCGTCCTGTCTGATGTTGCCATTGTCGAGATGGGTGTCGACTCTCTCGTTGCCGTCGACATGCGCTCTTGGTTCAGTAGCGAGTTTGATCACGACATTCCTATCATCAAGATCTTGGGTGGTGCAACTCTTGCTGACCTTGTCAATGACACTGTTGCGAACCTGTCAATATCTATTGCCCCCAACTTGGGCGGCGGCGGCGCTGCGGAGGAGGAATCCAAGGTCGAGACACCTACTGAGGCTGCCACCGCTGCACCCTCCGATGATGAGCCTATCTTTTCTGATGATGAAGACCCTGCCACCACCGACACTGATGAGGCCTCTATCACTAGCAAGTCTATCGCCGACGAGAAGGTGGAGACTGATGCTGCTTCTGCTGCGCTTAGTGTGGTTCGTCCCGATTTTGCCCACGTCCTGAAGATGAGCCACGGCTGCTCTCGCTTCTGGTTCCTCCGCCAGTACCTCGAGGATGCCAGCTGCTTCAACATCATTGTCCGCACTCGTCTGATCGGTGAAGTTGACGTGGCTCGCATGAAAGAGGCCGTCCGTAAGGTCGGTGCCCGTCATGAGGCTCTGCGCACCGCCTACTACGCCGACGAGGAGGGCGAGCCCATGATGGGTGTCATGCTCGACTCCAAGCTCCGGCTCGAGGTCAGCAATATTACCCACGAGAGAGAGGCCGAAAAGGCGCACAAGGATGTGTCTAAGTACAATTTTGACATCGAGAATGGCGAGGTCATCCGCGTACAACTGCTGACTCTCAGCCCCCGCGAGCACCACCTCATCTTCGCCGTCCACCACATTGCCATGGATGGATTCTCTTTCAACCTCATGATCCGCGACATAACCATGCTCTACCAGGGCAAGCCCGTGCCCCAGATTGCCTCGCAGTTCACTGACCTGGCTATCCAGCAGCGCAAGAACATTGAGAGCGGCCGCCTGCAGGACGATATTGCCTTCTGGAAGAAAAGCTATACCAAGCTGCCCGACCCTCTCCCTCTCTTCCCTTTTCCGGGGGTCGGGACTCGTCTCCCGCAGACCAAGTACGAACACGAGGAGGTTCAGATGGTGCTCGACGCGGCGATTGCGCAGAACATCCGCACCCTCTGTCGCCAGAACCGCTGCACCACTTTCCATTTCTTCCTCGCGACCTTCCGCCTCTTCCTCACCCGCTGGCTCGAGGTTGACGACCTGTGCATTGGTATCGCCGATGCCAACCGCAAGGACATCAAGACCTTGGCCACCGTCGGTTTCCTGCTGAACCTGATCCCTCTGCGCTTCGGCGGCCTCACGGGCGAAGAGACCTTATCCACCCTGCTCAATACAGCCAAGCAGACCTCATATTCTGCGCTCAACCACTCTGCCGTGCCCTTCGACCTGCTGCTGCAGAAGCTCGAGGTGCCGCGATCCTCCCACAGCCCCATATTCCAGGCTTTCCTCGACTACCGTCAGCTCGCGGTGAAGACGCCTCCCATGCTCGAGTCTCAGAATGAGGGCGAGAGCAATTTCGGTGCCACTGCATACGACGTCGTCCTCGACGTCACTGACGACTCCTCCTCGCACATCACAATCAAATGGCAGACGCAGAAGTCGCTTTACAACTACCGCCACACCCAGGCCATGATGGACAGCTACATGCACCTGCTGCATCACTGTGCCAATGGTCCCGCCGGTCCTATCACCTCCGCTCCCCTCTACAGGGACGAGCATGTCATGGCTGCCATTAAGGCTGGACGTGGTAAGTATCAGATGGACTGTCCACTATTCCTACTACTACTGGATCCAATTAACAGGATTGTCTTTGTCTCTATATAGGTGCCGAGATTGACAACCAGTGGCCCGAGACCCTGTCCCTCAAGGTCGACCAAGTCTCTGCCCAATTCCCCAACGATATTGCCCTGCGCGACGGCCTCGGCGACTCCATGACCTATAAAGCCATGGATCGTACCGTCGACCAGATCTCCGAGGGCCTCGTCCAGGTCGGTATCCAGCCCGGTGACAAGGTCTGTGTGTTCCAGCAGCCCTCGGCCATGTGGATCTGTTCCTTGCTCGCGATCTGGCGCAGCGGTGCCGTCTACGTGCCTCTTGACCCTCGCAACGGCCTGAACCGTCTGGCGGCCACATGCGGTGTTATCGAGCCCAGCTCTTTGCTCTGCGACAGCTCCACTGCCGCCGATGTCGCCCAGCTTGCTCTCCCCCCCAGCACCAGCACCATCAAAATTGACCAGGTCCGGAAGGCCAATGAATCTCCCGCTCGCCGTCCCAACTTGTCCAAGGGTGACTCGTCTGCCATTATCGTCTCCAGCAGTGGTTCTACTGGTGTCCCTAAGGGTATCGAGGTCCGCCATCTGAGCTTGCTCAACCTTTTTGAGGGTGACAGCCTGATCTGGAACCTCGGCCGCCCCAATGCCGTTCAGCAGAGCGCCTACAGCTTCGATATCTCTCTTGACCAGATCTTCACTGCTCTCGTCAACGGTGGTACTCTCTATGTCGCTTCCCAGGCCCAGCGTTCTGACCCCCATGCCATGGCTGAGCTCATCGCCGACAACCAGATCACATACACCATGGCCACCCCGTCTGAGTATTCCAATTGGATCAACTACGCCGCTCCCACCTTGTCCAAGGCTACGAGCTGGCGTCGCGCGAACGTTGGTGGTGAAGGCTGGAACGCCACCCTGCGTGACTCCTTTGCCACCCTCAATCTGCCCAGCCTCGAGATCCAGAACTGCTATGGTCCTGCCGAGAACAGCATCTGGTGCACTCGTCATCCCATCGCCTACCCTGCTGAGTCTACTCTGATCCCTGCCGGTCCTGCTCTTCCCAATTATTCCTTCTATATCGTGGACAAGCAGCTCAATGTTGTTCCCACCGGAGTCCAAGGCGAGATCCTCATTGGTGGTGCCGGTACCGCCGTCGGTTACTACAGGCGCACCGACCTGACCAACGAGAAGTTCATTGAGGACAAGAATGCCTCCCCTGCTCATGTTGCCAAGGGCTGGAACCGCGCCTACCGCACTGGCGACAAGGGCTACCTCATGGACGACGGTACCCTCGTTGTGCTGGGCCGCATCACTGGCGACACCCAGATCAAGCTTCGCGGTTACCGTATCGAGCTTGAGGACATCGAGGCCACCATTGTGCGCGCTTCCAACGGCATCCTGTCTCGCGTCGTTGTCCACGTGCGCGGGGAGGGTCAGGAGAGCTATTTGGTCGGCTTTGTCGAGTTTGCTGACGGCTACCCAGCCGACAAGCAGAAGACCTACCTCGCCCAGCTGCTCATCGAAATGCCCCTGCCTCAGTATATGAAGCCCAACATGCTCATCGCCCTTGAATGCATTCCTCTGAACTCTCACGGAAAGGTTGACAGGCTGGCCATTGCTACAATCCCTGTCCACTCCCAGGCCGATGATCCCGAGAGCTCTCACGAGATCACCGACACTGAAAAGGCCCTCTGGGAGCTATGGCGAGAGATTTTGCCCCAGTCCGTCATGGACGGTGTGGTGATCAACGCGAACTACGACTTCTTCCAGCTCGGTGGTAATTCCTTGCTTACTGTTCGCCTCCAGTCTCGCATCCGTGAGGCTTTTGGCGTCGTGGTTCCTCTTCACAAGGTCATCGAGTCCAGCAGGCTTTCTGCTTTGGGTGTCCTCCTCGACAATCTATTGGCTGACTGCGGGATCAACTGGGACCTTGAAACTGCCCTCCCGGATGCAATGCTTGAGATCTCTCCAGCTGATGCCTCCTCCACCCGCAAGAACGTCCAAGCCCTGACAGTCATCCTCACCGGTGCCTCTGGATTCATTGGTCGTCACATCTTGGAGCGCCTCATTGAGGACCCCAAGATTAGCCGCGTCCACTGCATTGCTCATCGTTCCCTGTCTGATGAGTTGCCCCACCGCCAGAAGTTCAACGCCGTTGTCGCCTCTTCTTCGAAGATCTCCGTACACGACGGTGACCTGAGTTCTCGTCGCCTCGGCCTGTCCGAGGCCAACTTCGCCGCCCTCGCCCAGCAAGCCGACATGATCATCCACAGCGGTGCCAATCGGTCTTTCTTCACCACGTACGACCAAGTTCGAGACATCAACGTCCAGTCCACCAAGGAGCTCGCTCTCATGGCTGCCGTTTCCCTACGTGACCACCGTCGCGTCGTGCCCTTCCACTTCCTCTCTGGCAGTGAGGCTGCCACTGTCGAGCCTGCTTCGGACGGTTCCCAGGGCTACGTTGCCTCCAAATGGACCAGCGAGCGCTTCCTCGAGAAGTACGCCAGTCAGCTGCGCCTCCCTGTCCATATCCACCGCCAGCTGCCCGCACCCGAGATTCATGAAGCTCAGGGTGAGAAGCTCGACCAGATCCTCCAGGAGTTCGTAGATATCGCCGCGAATATGGTCGAGCTGCCCGACCCAACCACCTGGGGTGGCCACTACGATCTGATCCCTGCTGACCGTCTGTCTCGTGACATCGTTGGCCACGCCTTCACGGCCCTGGCCTCGACCGACAACCAGATTTCCAGCGACAACGTCAAGCAGTACTCGCACCTGAGCTCTGTTCGCATGGACATTGCGAAGGTTGTCGAGAGACTGGGCTCGCTGCCCGAGTACGCCCAGAGTGACCGGCCCAAGATCCCGGCCCACGTCTGGGTCGGCAAGGCCAAGATTGCCGGCTTCCGTTACCAGTTCAGTACCATGAACATGGTCCTGCAGGATGCGGAGGGCAAGGGCCTCGCTACGCTTTCGCGGTAGAGTGTTGGCCATTCTATCTCGTGTGCTTGTTCTTGGATATAGCTTCACTCATCAGTCACGCGGTTTTTTCCTATGTCTAAAACGCTCATGTTTACATTAGCCTTTGCTTTAGCGATAGAAAGGATCTGATAGGAACCGATTTTCCCCCTTCTGTAGTGATGCCATGGAATGTAATTGCTCGTAAGTTTTACCTTGTTTTCAAGCACAATTTTACTTTTGATGCATAACCTCCGCTAAGGGTCAGAGTAGGCGTAAATTTATCTCATCTTTACCTGGTAGGGACAATTAGCTATAATTTGGCTTCTACATTTCGCGACAGTTGCATTACATGGGATCTGTTTGACGTTGCCAGCGGTCAGTAATCTCTCAACTCAGGCAGTGATAATTTATGTGGTAGGATTTGCATAAAAACTTTACTGGTGCTATATGTTCTGAGCTGTAATCTGTCTAGTCAAGTGTGGATAGTCACAAATATCCGCTGTTTTCCATACATAGAGATTCTGTAGAGGCGACCTAAACTATTCCGAAGTGAAAGTTAACAAGGACCTTGGTAGGCAAAAATTGCGTTAGAAATTCACATCACAAGAGTCTCATTCAGACACATGGAACAATATATATATATATATTTTCGCCCCAGGGCTGGTTTGTTGTGCCCTTTGATGTAGCCACCTCGTCGGAAAATCATCGATACATATACACCGGGCTTCTGTATCTACCCCTGGTAGTCGTAAACGAGTTTTGCTTCAAGTCTCTCGCCATCTTCCTTAGTGACCAGGACCCGCCTGGCGTGGTAGCGAGTGCCGTTGAGGACAATGAAGCCGGCGACCTGCTGGGTCACAATGCCCTTGGATTCGAGCTGCTCGGTCTTGAAGTGCATGACCTCCTCAGTGCCGTCCTCCCACCCCTGACGGAGGTAGTCGTCGTCGAGGTCGGCGAGCTTGCAGATGCGGGAGCGACCGCGGATATTGCCGAGGAGGCCGTGGTGCAGTTCGACGGGCTTCCAGTCGAGGACCCGCTTCTCCTGGGTGACGGGGAGGCCGCCGCTGGGCTTGTTCTCAATGTCGAGCAGGATATTGCCGTTTTCATCCTTCCGCTGATTGATGACCAGAGTGACGCTGGCCATGGCAAGGACCTTGCGGGTCAGCCAGTTGACTCCCTGGGTTTTGAGGATTTCGGCAGAGGACTCGGACAGGTCATTGTTCTTTCGGTTTGATTAGCTTACAGTGACTTGTATGCCATAGGCATGGGAAGTCGGTTATCTCTTACAGCAACCCAAGTACCATTCAGGTCCTGGATGGTCTTGGAGGGGGGCGCAGCCATTGTCCCGAGGTATGAGTGGTCTTGCGGTAGTGTGGAGAGGCAAGAGTGGTGAAGAGAGAATGTGGCCGTGGCGGTCTGATGAGTATGAGTTGATTGTTCGATTGATTGAATGCTCTTTATTTTTTCTGAGATTCTGAAACTTCCAACACGTTGCTCATATACATTTCGTTTATAACACCCGTTCTGTTGGCACTAGGTACGACACATCCCACTTAGAGTACTCAAGTGCGTAGTATGCTGCTTGCGAGTGGGCGGCAGGCAGCCAAAGCTAAGCACCGCGCTATGGAATTCTCCTTTGCCGCGTTGGGCATAGAAAGCCGCCTCGAAGGGCCCCATGCTGGGGGTCAACAGGGGCCAAAGATGGGGTAGCATGGCTGCAAGGATAAGATAGAGGCAAAGTGTCTGCACAGCCGCAGTCATAAGAGTTGCCTCATTTAGGAGCAATGCCCGGGGCTGCAGTAATGAGGCTGGTGAAAGGACAAAGCCACCAGGGCAAAGTTTATCACCTGTACGCTACTAACTCAGATAGGGCAGAGGTGGGGACTAGTGGGGACATGTGGGGACTACAGAGTATGCGGCGACCATATCCCAAAGGGGTATGTAGGATGTTCAGATACACTGCCAGTAGATGCTCTGGCTTTTTTTCTATCCTCGAAACACCGCAAAGATCCTTCCTTTTACCTTCTTCCTAATATCTGATATTCGCTCTCTTGGCCATCGTCATGTACACACAATCCGAGAAACTGCCTATGTATGGGCAAGACGGCATGCACTTACAATCACAATACGACAACGGTGGCTATCAGCCTCAATACGAGCAAGTCCAGTATGGCCCCTCTCAGCCTGGCGGTCCTCAGTACAGACAGCCTCATTACGGGCGGCCACAATATGAACAGCCGTCTTATGGGCAGCTTCAGCCCGGACCTAACCCCATGTTTGGAGGACGACCTACCGACCCCAGATACGACTCACAACCTGGGATGACCACCATGGGAGGGCCACTGCCTCTACCAATTGTGATCCCGCAGCAGCGCCCAGGGTCCCAGGACCGAGGCTTCATGGCCGCCTATGCGCCGTCTCTGGCGTCATGCGGCATCGACCAAAGGTCGTTTCTGCGCTTCATTGATGAGGCTAATACGGCCTTGCAGGGCAATAAGTACCTTTCCGGCGTGCAAATAGTCTCTCTAGGTGTGGGCTTCACTCCCGAAGTCATCGTCATGGGTGTCGCCGCGGCGGTGCAAGCGGGAGCCTGGGTAGCTAACAAGGGCTATGTCAGAGGAAAGTAAGTACAACAAGAAAACTCTCAAGAGCCATGATGCTGATCAGCCCGCGCCGGCTTAGAACCAACAATGTCATGGATAAGTACAACCGTGAGCTCTTCGCACCTCACGGTCTATTCTGCATGATTATGAAATATGAGCCTGAGCTCAAGGAGCCCAAGAATCCCAGCCGTCTCAAGCATCTTGCCTCACTGGCTGTCAATGGCTCGAGCAATGGCGGTGGGAGCGCATGGATGCGCAATCCCGTGTCCGGCGAGTCGCAGGGACCGGGCGGCCTGCTTACGGCCGTCGCACCACTGATCTACATGGACAACCGCCGCGATCACAAACAGTACCTGTCCGAGTCTCCGTCAGAATCCTCCGATTCCAGGAAGAGCGACCCTGCCGGAGGCAAAACTTCCACCAAAGAGAAGGCCAAGAAGGCTTTTGACAGCTTCAGCGACTACCTTGATCGCCGCGCTCGCGCAACGTACGTCAGCGAGAACGGCAACGACGTGCTGAGCGGGCCGGCTGGTCGTGGCTTTAGCAACCGATACCTCGACCCCAATCATCCGGCTGTCAACGGAGGCCTCATCGGTGTGCTTTCGGGGGGCCTGTTGAGTCCTAGCCCGGAGCAGCGTGCGCAGAAGAAGGCCGGCAGAATCGAGGACGAGGAGAAGAGGGTCCTCGACGAGTATAATGACCGAAGAGAGCGCATCTTGAGTGAGCGACGCAGTCGATCCGAGACAGATCGGGAGTTGAGGCGATTGGAGAAAGACTACGAGCCTCGTCTGGAGCAGTTCCGCAAGCAGAGAAGGGAGCTGGAAGGTGGTAAGAGATCCATCAAGAAGGTCAGTCTAACTCATGTTTTGATTCTTCCGGATGACTTGGTGGCTTTTCGTTCTTTCTTTGTTTATTGATGTGTAACTGACCATGGCCTTTTGCAGAACATTCTATATCTGATGATTGTCAACCTGCCTTCAGAGGCCACTCTTGCGGCCGCTTCGTCGAATTTGGAGCAGGAGTATGGGCATAGCGTCATGGCGGAGACGATGCCGCCTCCACCGTACTAGAATTTCTTTCATTATACATTCATATGTCCTTTGACGGTTTTGGTATGATAGCGCATGTTATACGGAGGACTTCTGGTGGGATCTTACATATATCAGAATGCTATTTGATCCTGTGCGATACAATAAATACCCAAATCAATGAGAAATGAAGCCCCAGTGCTACGTCGACTTCATGGTCGCTACTGTTGTAGCCTATCTGCTCTCGATTTTGCAAGACAACGGTCATTCCCCGCGCTAGAGCCGGTAGTTGAGGTTGGTATCAAGAGTATTTTGGTTATCACTCGACGTTTTCATTCACCCGGTATACGCAGTCCCCAGTATATACAAACAGCGTAACCACAAAATGCTCCATGAGTGCAGACGAGGCTGTTGAGGATGATCAATAACGCCCAGATGAACTATTCATTTCAGAGTACGCGCCATTCACTCTGTACCGACATACTGACCCACTATCACAACTTGGCGCCAGTTGCACCCCCCCCCCCCAAAAAAAGCAATGTTATATACGTGTCGAGGAGAGAGGTTTGATTTCTCACTGGCTAGCCTCGTGGAGGCGCACCGTGACCGTGTCGCCAGGGGCGCTCACCAAGGCCAAGCCCCACCTAATCTTCTGGTCGGCATGAACGTCCTCGATCCCGTCGAAGCGCTGAAGCATACGGACGAGGACATAGCCAGCCTCGGTGAGAGCGAACTGCTGGCCAATGCAAATGCGCGGCCCACCGTTGAAGGGGAGGTACTCCCAGCCGGAGCGACGCGCCTCCCAGCGCTCAGGCTTGAAATCACCCGAGTCCTTGCCCCAGACGTCCTCACGGCGATGCAGTGCGTGCACATTATACAGAACGGCCTGGCCCTTCTTGATATACACGGGGCTTTGGCCGTCAGGCCGCCGCCGCGGGGCAGGCTGGTGTCCTTGGCAGCGTAGCGGGCGTTGGTGGGCAAGGGCGGGAACAGGCGGAGGGTCTCGTTCATCACCTGCTGCAGGTATGTGCAGGCCTTAAGGGTGGCAAATGTGATGTTTTGGGGATCCTTGTAGGTGCCGAAGTTGGCGATGATGGCCTCGCGTAGCTTGCGGAAGACCTCTGGGTGGCGGGAGAGGAGCAGGGTGGCCCAGCTCAGCAGTGCGGCAGTGGTATCACGACCGGCGAGCAGAACATTGAGCAGCTGGGAGCGTAGCTCGATCGGGTCCTTGGTGGTTTTGGCCATGGCGTGGACAAAGATGTAATGCTCCGACGCGCCCTCCTCGGGGTGTTTCTTCTTGCTGTGGTCGTTCACGGCCTTGGCGACACACTCGTCGACGAAGCGTTGGACCTCCCGGCAGCAGTCTCGAAACTCCTTGCAGTCGTATATGAACTTCATGCGAGGCAGGCGCAGGCGCTGCGCCATGTACCATTGGGCGCGATCAAAGTTCTTGCCAAAGTCGGTCACCTTGCCGCCGCTCGCCATGCGATCCTCCGAATCACCCATGGCAGCCAGTTGAGAGTAGCAGCTCTCGCCGAAGAGCAGCTCGGTTGCGGAGTCGAGAGTCAGATTGAAGTAGATGCTCTGGATGTCGACCTCTGTCCAGCCGTTGCTTCCAGCGACGGGTATGGCGCGCATGGCGTTTTGGACGTGGTGCTCTTCCAGACGCAGGTCGCTGATCTGGTCGCGGGTGAATTGGGGCCGGAGCATTGTACGCGAGTGCAACCACTCGGCGCCGTCGTTGATGAACTGCACACTGATTGTCAGCCGGGGACAGATCTCCATGCACGCACAAGCACGAGAAAGGAGAGCATACGATTCCCTTGCCCAGCAACGGGCCCATGCATCCCAGTCTCTCGCCGCCAACAGAAAAATCCTTGAATTGCTTGGCCAACATCGCCTGGAGGTTCTCGGGGTCAAAGGTGAGCACGTTCTCCCCCAGGCCTCTCTTGAGACGGAAGGTCGAAACGTAACGTCCGGCTTTGTCGCGCATAGTATTGGTGCGGCTCTCGAGCACCTCTGGCACCACCTTGTCCTTGTCCGCTTGAATGATCTCCAGGATATCGCTGATACCGAGGGGGTCCTTGGACGGTGCTATGGGCGCTGGCTGGCAGCCCAGGCGCTTGGCATTTTGGCTGTGTCTCCATTTCTCACTCACAATACGCGTGATGAAAGCGAGGCCGAGGAGGGCCAGAAGAAGTGTTAAAAGTCCCATGATTATCGAAGTTCTTGCGGACTTGAACTGGCGGGGTGGATGGTCTGAACGAAATGCCTGTGTCAAACAGTCATCGCATACTGCGATTGCGACAAGCCCCCTTCCAATAGCGCCCATACAGAGATATATCTCCTCATGCTTGTTAGTTACTTAGTTTGGCCACCCTTAGCGAATCCCGCAGGAGTTAGTAGTTCCGTCCGAGACTCCGTAGTCAGCAGTGCTCATACTGTACAGATCTACTGTGTTAGATCTTTGTGGAGCCCTGGCGGATCAAAGTGGATTTCCGGCAAAGATTACTCAATTAGGCAAACGTTGTTACTTCGGTGGGCCCCACACGTTCGCCTTGCGCAGCCCGACACAGACAGGCAGCCCCCGACTCCTGATATTTCTTGTTTGTTTGCTAGTACTAATGGTTCTCGCTGCACTAAGTCGGAAGGATTTCATCAGCTTGACAGATAATCATACTACCGACACGTATAATCTTATCGTATGACGTGACTAATACAACTTCCTAGATCCATGGATAGTTACATGTATTTCCTGTCTTCTGCTTTTTACACTTAATGGGCCCATTACTGATCATATACTGCCCAATTATAAGAGAGACAGTCAACTGAACTGTTTGCTACCCTTCTAGGGTACATGAGGTAAATACTATATAACATGCTTACTAGGTCATCATTCAAGACCATATAGGCGCCTTCAAAAGCCCTATGCACTCCACCTCGAAACACTCAAGCCTCTAGCCCCAGGTTCATACTGGATCTGATGCGTCAATTCAATAGGCCTCAGCTGATATTCAAATAACCTCTGAGAAATTTCAAGCTAGTACTGTCCTCGATCAGTATCCACGGCTTTCCGGTAACAGCTTAGTGGCCTCAGTCGTAAGTTCGTAGCTTAAACCAGTGCAGTATCCCCTAGGCTTTCCATGACAGGTTTGATTCCGTTGTGTCTGTCTGACTGTTGAAAGTCTTCTGGTCCTTCCTATGACTGCTTTGTTCAATATATGCCAAGTTATCTTCACTTCGACAGATCTGAAAAGAGATAAAATATTTCGAGATGAGTACGTGGAATTTAGCAATTCCTAGTGTTCTATTATAGTTCTCGAGGCTTGCGCCAAATGGACGGATGCTGAACGCTAGAAACACAACAAATGAAAAGCGGATTTGCCAGGTTTACGGACCTCCAACAGTGACCAACTTTCAAGTTGATCATGGCAATGAAAGACCTCTCGGGAAGTGCAAGACTGGAGGTACTTTATAACGTATGAAGGAGCAGCCAGACCTTACAACGCCTCCGCAATCGAGACCCCCATGCGGCCCTCTTCAGCAATTTTATCCTTGTTCACAGTATCAACAGTGTCAGAGAGGGTATCGCTGGGGGGAGAGGAGTGTTTCTCTACACTGTTGGTCTCGTCCGGATTCGTCGTATCAGCGGCATCTAAGAGTTGTCAGCTTATATACCGTCTCGAACTCATTCGGCCACGTTAAGCAAACGATAATGCTTACCAGATTGAGGCTCCTTGGGCGGGGGGCAGTAAAAGCCAACAGAGAGGCAGATAATCATAAGAACAATCTCCTCGAGGACGCCCATGCAAAGATAGACGGTGGGGTTGGGCTCAAACAGGTTGAACCGCTTGATAGTCGTGTAGTCACCTAAGCAGCCGTAGATTGTGCGCACGATGAGCAGTGGTACACAGGCATAGACAGAGTACAGGATGATCTTCTCGCTGCGAGGCATCTCGTCGCGGTAGATAGTCAGGTACCCCAGAATGGCCAGCAGAAGACCCAAGCAGCCGACGAACATGCCCAAGGCGGCTTGGAGCATACGGGGGATGGTGTAGCTGTCGAGGGCCTTGACAGCGCCAGCGATACCGAGGGCCAGCCCCACTAAACTGACGATGCTGACAAAGATGAAGATCCATTTGGAGAGCTTGTTGATTGAGGCGTTTCTAAATAAGATATACCCAGGTCAGTATCGATTTCACGCCATAGATGCATATCGAATTGCAATTTACACTCTTTGCAGCAATCCCACGGCCGCCAGGGTTAGGGGAGCGATGCCCAGCAAGTCAAATGTGATCTTCATGGTGACTACCTCGGTCGAGTCGTCAGTGATGGTGATGAGCTGGCAAATAGCGCCTCCGATTCGGAGACAGGCGAGGATAATCAGGAATCTCCAACATGATGCCACAGCCTTGAGCCCCTGCTGGTAACACAAAAGAACGGCGAGGAAGAGGCAGGGCACGAAGGCGATGAGCTGCAACAAGGCGATCCCATCTTGATAGCTAAATGTCATCTTGAATGGCGAGAGGCTGCAAGAACGAATACGGCGGGCCGTCGTCTTGCAGGACAAGAATTGAAGGCCCCGGACACCTGGACTATTGACGAAATAAGTATGAAGGATAGGGCGAGAGTCGGCAGTTACTCGAACACCAGCTTCTTGCCTTCGAGAGAGCGATGAGGCAATAATAATTGACCCGTCCAAGGATACGATAAGAGAACGACCTCCCGTGTGGTAGTAGGTGTAAGATCAGAAGATTGCAATAACTTCATGTCGAGCATTGCCATATAGAACAGCCAACGTCGAGCATTCCTCATTAGGGTTAGATTTAGATATGGGGCAGTGGGCGATCATGTGGATCCTCGTGCCTCTCCGGCTAGTCCACTATTGGTAAAGATCCCCCTGTCACTACTTGGGCTCTGGCAGCCCCCATTCCTTTTCCAGTCCCAAGCTGTCCATTTTGGGCAGCTTTTCCCAGCCCCACAACTATCGCCCAGCGGCCCCCTGGCCCTATTGGGGACAATCGAGGCACCGTCCTATAGAATCACGTGCCGCTTTCGTCTCCTTTTGGACAGCCTCAACTTGAACGGGTATTTTCTGTATCAAGCTTAATATCTTACTAGTGTTGACTGCCTGAGATCTCTGCGGTCCACACTACTTTGTCGGTTCCCAGCGGGACTAGCACTCTTCAAGCTCGTTACTACATGCAGACAAGATCAGGCCGAAGAATCATGAGTTAGGGTTTTGTTTCTACTTGTAGCAATCCCTCAGCGGAAGTTCGGGCGACTAGCTAGCAACACTGCTGACATGGGAACGGTATTCTGTCCATATATAAGACAGCAAACCGGGATGCCCACTGTGGGGATGAACATGTTTTGAAGATCCATCATCTCAGCCTTTCCACCGCCCTGGCCTTTCTTATTCTTGACTGACCTGTTTTCCTTTTCCACCAAGAGGCGGAGGGCCAATCTATCACAATGGCCGAGACCCAGCAGCGTCAGCTCGCGTATTGGCTGGAGCAGCTCGAGGAAAGCCAGCCCGCCGAGCTGTTGTGCGACAAGCCCCGACCGGCCATCTCCTCAGGCAAGGCGCAGGTCCACCACTTCGCCCTCGATGGCCGGCTTCACCAGGAGCTCCAGACCTTCTGCCAGACACACCAGACGACTCCCTTTGTGGTGCTCCTCGCCGCTTTCAGAGTCATGCACTACCGTCTCACCGGTGTCGACGATGCCACCATTGGGACACCCGTTCCTAGCAACACCAACCTCTTATGCATTCGTACCATCATCGAGCCAGAGGACTCATTCCATGCTCTCGTTCAGCAAGTCCAACAAACAAACAGCGTGGCCTCTAGTAACCAGGATGTCGCCTTCCAGAAAATTGTCTCTGAGCTGCGTCCCGGAACCGCTGACTTGTCCCGCAACCCGCTCGTTCGGACGACATTTGCAGTTCATCCGTCAGGAGACTCTAACAGCCTATGGCTCGATGGGGTGACGGTAGCCACGTCAAATTTTGACATTGAATGCCATCTCGTCCAAGAGGCTCAGTGCATGAGCGGTCATATCATCTTCTCGGATGATCTGTTCGAAGCTTCATCCATCCGTTTTGTTGAGTCCATCTTTACTGAGGTCCTCGCCCGTGGCCTCCAGACACCCGAAGTCCACGTCTCGAAGCTGCAACTAACCCAGGGCCTCTCAGCACTGGCTGATTTGGGTCTCCTAGAAGTTGCGCGCACCGATTATCCGCGCGACTCCAGCGTCGTCGAGCTCTTCCGGAGACAAGTATCTCTCAGTCCCGACGCCATTGCCGTCAAGAACGCATACTCGTCTTCTCAGCTCACGTACGCGGAGCTGGACCGGCAGTCGGATCAGCTCGCCCACTGGCTGGTTCAGCGCGGGCTCGCTCCAGAGGCCATGGTCGCGGTGCTGGCGCCGCGGTCATGCGAGACAATCGTGGCCCTGTTGGCCATTCTCAAGGCCGATCTGGCCTATTTACCTCTCGACGTCAACATTCCCTTTGGTCGCCTCGAGAGCATTCTTTCCGAGATCCAGGGAGACAAGCTCGTTTTTCTCGGCGCCGGCATCACGCCTCCCGCTCTGCAGCTCAAGGGCGTGAGCTTCCGCCACATTGCCCAGGCCCTGGACGAGCAAGGGCCGCTTATCGCTGGCGCTCTGCCGACACCAACAGCTTCTAGCCTCGCATATGTCTTGTTCACATCCGGGTCAACGGGCAAGCCCAAGGGTGTCCAAGTGGAGCACCGCGGCATCGTGCGCCTGGTCCGCGAGACCAACGTGGCCTCCAAGACGCAGTCAAGTGGCAACATTGCGCATATTACCAACCTGGCCTTTGACACCTCGACGTGGGAAATCTACGCCGCGCTGCTAAACGGCGGAACGCTCATCTGTATTGATTACATGTCAGTCATCGACCCGATCACTCTGGGACGGGTGCTGCAGCGCGAGGCCGTGCAGTCCTGCATGCTCACGCCTGCCCTTCTCAAGCAGTGCCTTGCCACAGCACCATCTGGTCTTTCCGGCCTGGAATTACTCTTCTCTGCCGGAGACCGCCTCGACCCACGCGATGCTGTCAAGGCCAAGGGGATCATCAAGGGCGACCTTGTCAACGCCTACGGTCCCACCGAGAACACCACCTTCAGCACCGTCTACAATGTCCCAGCCAACGAGAATTTTGTGAACAGCGTGCCCATAGGTGTAGCCATCAGCAACTCCGGCGCTTTCGTCATGGATCCAGAGCAGCGCCTCGTGCCCCCTGGCGTCATGGGTGAGCTCATCGTCACGGGCGACGGTCTCGCCCGAGGATACACTAACGCGGAACTCAACAAGGAACGATTCGTACAGGTGGACATCCACGGTAAGTCTATCCGCGGCTATCGTACCGGTGACCGAGTGCGCCAACGCCCTTCGGACGGCATGATCGAGTTCTTTGGTCGTATGGACTTCCAGGTCAAGGTCCGTGGTCACCGCATTGAGCTGCCCGAGATTGAGCACGCTCTTCTGCGTAACAGTTCTGTCAGCGATGCTGTTACTTTGGTGTACCAACCTGAAGGCGAGCCGGCGGAGCTTGTCAGCTTCGTCACTGTCCAAGGTGAAAACACAGACGCCCCTGCTGAGCACAAGGGCCGGTCCAAAGAGTTTCTGACCAACAGTCCCTGCACCATCAAGAGGCCCAAGTGGTCGAGGATCTGCTCAAGACGGAGCTGCGAGCCTCGCTTCCCAAGTACATGATCCCTGCACGCATCGCCGTGCTGGACAACATGCCCATCAACGCCAATGGCAAGGTGGACCGCAAGCAGCTGGCAAGACTGGCGAGCACGTTCGCGAAAGCGACTAAGGGTTCTCGCCAGATCGCGGAGCCACGCACAGCCCTGGAGCGTGCCGTGTGCGAGGAGCTCTCCAGTGTGCTCAACCTCGATGCCGTCGGCATCACCGACAATTTTTTCGACCTTGGCGGGCACTCGCTCACGGCCCCGTGTCTTGTCGCTCGTATCAACCAGCGTCTGAATGCAACTATCCATTTGCGGGACGTGTTCGCTCATCCCGTGGTTGCTGATCTGGCTAGAAAGGTTGGCGAGTCGCTGGATGATTCGCCCCCAAACAACTTGGGCCAGGAATCCGGCAGTGACGAAGCTTTCGAGATTCAAGATGAGGAGGAGCTGCTGACAATGCCGCTGGCCATCAAGCTGCGACATTTCAACTCTCATGCCCGTCCGCAGTGCGTCAAGTCGTTAGGCATCGCCAGCGAGGACATCGAGGAGGTTCTTCCTGCCACTGGTATCCAGACCCGCATGCTCGTCTTCGTCGAGGAAGCCGAGGAGATGAACATCACCAAGCCCTGCATCGAGCACTTTGTTTACCACGTGCCTCAGGAGCTTGACCCCGCCCGTCTCGAGCAGACCATCGTCGACGTCACTAAGCAGCATGACGCTTTCCGTACCGTCTGGGGTGCAGGTTGAGCATCCCCTGAGCCCCTACGCCCAGTGCATCCTCAACCCTGTGCACCCTCGTGCCCAGCTGCCCATGGTCCACAGCGTCGTGCATGAGTACGATACCAGCCCGGATAGCCTCTGGGAGCAGACCATCGGCAACGCCCAGCGCAGTGCCGAGGAGTATATCCGTCCGGACCGCGTCGGTGCCGTTTTCCAGGTCGTGCGCACAGCTGATAACAAGCACCACGTCTTCATCTTCTCCCTCTTCCACCTCATTTACGACGGTATGAGTTTTGACTTCCTACGCCGCTTGTTCGCCCAGGCGTACGAGGGCGTTCCATCCAATGACCTCCCCGCGGTCGGCATGCGCTTCCCCGTCGAGGAGCACTACAGCACTGACTGGCTCGCTACCAGCATGTACTGGATGAAGCATTTCGCCGGTGCAACCCCTTTCAAGGCTGGCCAGACGGTGCTCAAGCGGAGCATCCCCAGACAGTTCACATCGATCCGCACCACTCAGGACACCGCCTGCGAGATTCTCGATTCCTCTATCAGCTTGAACGAGCTCTTCTTCCTCAGCAAAGCCGCCAAGTTCCCCTCGCCCATGGCCGTCGTTCAGGGCGCCTGGGCCATGACACTAGCGCAGACGCTCGTTAAGGATGCTGGGCAGGAGCGTTCCGCCGCCAACCTCGACGTGCAATTTGGCAGCGTCTTCCACGGCCGCCACAGCCCCGAGGCCCTCCGCTGCATGGCCCTGATGCTAGAAGTCTTCCCCCACACGTATCACTTTTGCGGACGCGTACAAGGGCGAAAAGGAAGGCGGAACCAAGAAACGCACTCACCGCGAGATCTGCCAGGAGCTGTTCATGCAGTATGTCGACTCGCTGGCATACTCAGAGATGCCCTGCCCTACCGTCGACTTTGCCAAGCTGACGCGCCGCTTCGACAACACTATCATCTTGCAGACCTATCCCAAAGAGGAGGCCGCTGTCGACGCCAGTAGGTTGGCCCGGACCAGCATGGAGACCTTGCCGGGGTTCACCCGTGAGGAACACCTGCAGACTCCTTGGAAAGAGTCTAACCACGGCTACCCGATCTTGATGGAGCTCTGGCCCGGGTGCGACAGCGAGGATGAGAAACTCCGCCTACGCTGCACATACAACAGACACTGGCCGGGCTACGAGTTCATGACCCAGGAGTGGGCCCAAGGCTTACTGCTGGCCCTGAGCGACGCGCTCGACCAGATCTTGCACAACCCTGAGGGAGAGTTTGATCCTGTGAGGCTTGTCGAGGCAAGACAACAGTAGATGTTCATAATGAGAGATAAGCCAGGATCTCCCCCCGTCTTTGGAGATTGTATATATTTCGGAATTTTGGCTTAGATGTTTGCGTTTGGGAACCGACCATTTTACCCTTTTTGTCGTTGATGATGCTTCTTCGTCTTTTTCTCTCTTTGCCTTGCCAATTTGTTATGACTGCAACTATCATCCTGCTTCGTTCCTAATTGATTAGATCGCTGTTGTTCAATTCTCATCTCCGACGAGGCTAAAGAGTTCAAAGTAGTGTTGTGCATTACAATAAGGTTACTTCTACAACCCTATTGATATGCTGCAATCTTTAGTTAATACACTATCGTACTGTTTATTCCATTATTCTACGTCCAACAACGCTGTGATAAGTGGTGCAGCTGTTTCTCTTTGGCCATCCTAATTGCTACTTCTAGATAAGACCTGCTTGAAGACAAGTAAATACAACCCTATCATCACCTCGTTCCGATTGATTTTTGTCCGTATAAGTTTCCGATACCTCTTTGGGCCCCTGGACACCTATTTTCGGTTGATATTCAACATTTTATTTGTAAATAAACCCTTTGCCTCGAGCAATAAAACCAAGCATGTGAACTTTTTGCTGTTACACGATTATCCATCTCACAAGATTTAGTACTTGACGTCAGTTCCAAGGGAAGTAAATATTCTGAATTTTTCCTAGATGGTAGTTTCCCAGCATCTACTTCTATTGTGAAACGCCTAAACCGAGATCCACGTTCAATCTCACTCTGCCACGGATTGTATTCAACGGTCTTAGAGAAAGGTAGTTCGACACGCATATCTCTCAAATTGATACGCCAAGGTCATACCTCCCCGATAATTCACACCTGGCCCAATCCCGTGACACATATTGCCGCGGTAATAACAATGTAATCTAGCTTAAACTTGGATTGACTGGTATATAATATAATTAGGTTGAGAGCCTCTGAATTATCAACAAATAATAAGTTCAAGGATACAATCGAATGCACAAGGACGGGCTCTCCTTTATTCTTGTACCTATATTTTCAGTGACCTGTCTTTTCCTCGTTCTTGTGCAGATATGCTACCTATCCTAAAGTTGCCTCCAATCAAGGAGACTACGACTTGCGAGACCCGGATATCTGTAGGAATTCCTTGGAGTAAACTTCCAGACAAGGCGTTGCTGTGATATTTTATTTGCGCAAGGAATATACTTGTGTAAGCGTGTGCATATAGTGCAAGCTCTATATACAATTGATCGCTGAATGAAATAACTATTTAATTCATACTCCCCTACCACCCACTCAATGGTGGACGGAGGTTGCTCGATTGGACAAAGTTGGCGAAATCATCTGCCTGCGCAAGACCTGTTTGAGAGCTGATTCTGCGCAACTGGGCGACCGTCCATACACGGGTCTCATGGCTGAGGTTGTGCATGCAGCCCACGGTGAAGAGAGCCCAGCAGGCAAAGTAGCAGCCAACGGTCAAGCCGGGATTATTTTGAGAGCGCTCGTCCTGCTGCTGCTGTTGCAGCTGCTGTTCCTGCGCCGGGGAGGTGGCGCAGCCCATGAGCTGGGGTACGGAAGCGAGCATTTCGTCGCGCAGGCGGACGATGGTCTGGGTGGCCTGGTGCAGGCGGTCGGCATAGTTGTTGGCGAAGAACCAATTGCTATCGGTGTTAGCGCCGCGAGGAGGAGGTGGCTGATGGCGTGGTTAGCGAGGATGCGGCAGATGCGCATGCTGTTCCAGACGGAGGCGATCCAGACATCGTAGTAGATATGGTTGACGTCTCGCTGGATGCACATCGGATCGTTGCTGCTGCTGGGCAAGTTGGACGTGGCAGTGAACTGCCACTCGGGAGGGCACTTGGAGAAGGTGCTCTCAAGGCGATAGTCAATCTCGAGTGCCTGTGAGAGGTAGCGCTCGAGGTGCTCAATCGACCTGTTGGCACCTCTGAGAGAACCGGGGGGCACAGAGGAGGGAAAGGCGGGAGAGGAACCGGAGGCTGTAGAGGGAGAGTTGGAGGAATCGGAAGGATCGGCGGGAGCAGAAGAGGCGCCAGAAGAGTTGGGAAAGAACGAGTAACCGCCGGGGGATATATGCTGATAGAGATCCAGAAGCTCGACCATGCCGCTGCAGGCGACCCAGTAGGGATCGGAAACGCTGATAGCATTGGCGGCCTCGATGCGCAGCATGCGTAGGCTCGAGGGCATGGGGGAGCCGGAGCGCAGGCAGTTAGTCAGGAGCTGGGAGAAGACATCCTTGAAGATTTGCAGGCCGGCCGAGGTGGAGAACTGGGAGCGGCCGCGCAGGTTGAGGAGCGAAATGGCGCCCTCAATGTGGTGCTTCCAGCCATCGATGGAGGCCTTGCTGAATTCGTAGAGGGCGAGGACGAGAACAGAGACAATGGTGCTGTCGTGACGGGCGGTCTGGGGGTCAGCAAGAGCGAGATTGACGCGCTCCATGGAGCGGGTGTACATCATCATGGATCGTGTTAACAGGCCGGCCTGACTAGTGGTGCGAGCGAGCCCACTGAAGCTGAGAGCCAAAATAGCACCCTCGAGCATGTCATTGCCACCGTCGTCTTGCGCCAGCATGGCCGGAACGTAGTCGAAGAAGCCGGACGAGGGACCGGACTGCCGAACGACGTAGTGAGAGAGGAAGAAATCGAGACCAAGGATGACGAGCGGCAAAGAGAATGGAGGTGCTATGACCTCAGACTGACTCCTGCTGAAGTTATTGTGTCGTAGCCGTTCGCCATCGCCGCCGTCATCAGGGAACTGATCAAGAGCCACATCGTCGCCGCCTACGCTAGAAGCGCCGACACGAGAACGACACCTAGACGTCGAATCGGGGACAGGAGCAGCAGATTCAAGACCGTCGCACGATACTGGCAAGATGCTGGGCGTGGCAGCCTGGTGGAGGGAGAAGAGCCCAGCCTCGTCGAGGTTGAACGGATCGTGGGAGCTCATCAACTCGGGCATGAAGTTGCCGGCGAACATCTCGGCTCCTACGTCGACATCCCTCATGGCCAACATGGTCTCGCCGGCGGCATCGGAGGGGCAGCTGGCATGACAGTCCGGTACGGTGTTTTGTTGTTGGATCGGCGCCTGTGGTGGAGTGGTGCGCTTCCCCGCGTGGTCGGTTGGGTTGGCCGCCGACGTCTTCTTGGAGACTTTTGAGCGGGCGCGGTTGATGACCTGGGTGCTCTCATCGCGAAAGATGAGGGTTGAGGGGTCTCTGTACCCAGGGCATTTCTGACCCGCGCGCCAACATTGGCCGCATTCGGGGACGGCTTTATCGCACTTTTTATTGGAGACTGGATATGAGCTACAATGTCGTTTTGAAGGACGCTTTTTCTTCCTTCTTCCCCGACGATTTTCTGTCTTCTGTAAGGGGACGCAAACAGTAATGACTTACTCTTCTCTTCTTGGCACGACAATTGCTGCAGCTTGTTGAAGGACGGCCACAATAGATCATGATGACAATTCTGGCATGTGGTGCTGAGGGTTGTGGATGGGATAGGCGGGTTAAATGTATCGGACATCAGATCCAACACCACACCCCGACTTGGTAATTGAAGAAGAGAAGACCTCACGGCCCTGCGTCGAGACACAAGGCCGCATAAGGTAAATGCCAGGCAGAACCGTCCCAGGCCACTCAGAAAAGCTTATTAGTGTCCACGTGATGTCTTATTTGCATAAATCACCCTGCACGGCTAAGGAAAAGGCTTGCTCTAGGCGCCATGTTGGTAGGGGTCCGGAAGGACCTTCTAGAGCCCGCAAGAGCCCGCAGGAGCCCGCAGGGGCCCGCAGGGAACCAAAAGGCTTCGTTCTATGTGGGCCAATGGGGGCGGTGGATTTGGACGAGCTTCACTTGCACGCGCAGCTCCACTAGGGTATATAAACACACCGAGGCTGATATCCCCTGCCTGGATCAGCGAATCACATAAATGGCTCATCGGGCGTAAGTCAGATCGCTTAACGAAGATAATACTTAGGGGCCAAATGGTAGCCTAGAGAGGGGGGGCGATCACAGCTCCACAAAGCCGCATGGAACAACACATTTCGCCTATCCGCAGAACGAAAAACAAACAACTTATAGAGAAAAGTGACACCCTTCTGTCGAGGGGTAATCTTGTACAGAGGCTTCTAAGTGACAGAAGGAATCTAATCTACCTGGAAAGGGAAGAGGAAGGGATCAACATGATCCTCATTGATGTAATGCATGATCGACCGGCCCATACAGCCGACCCGCACACCATCCCTCTTAGAAATGTTGGAGCATTGAAAAATAGTATGAAGGAAATAAGATTGAGAGTACACACGCCATTTCGGCCTTCGGGCAGAATACACTTAGCTAGAAAGCACACCACCGCCCTAACCGATGCATCGATCCTCATAGTACGCCTGAAATTGCAATCCGAAATGTCAGACTTTGAACTGAGACCAATGATCGTGGGAAGGGAAAAAAAGAAAAAAAAAAAAGGAATCAAAATAAGCAAGCATAAACGCCATCGCTATGCCATCGTGTTGTAACCGGTAGGACCAGGCATCAAACGATGTTCCAGAACGACTTCGCAGGGGATCATGGAAGCAGGGAGTACAGGGAGGTCAAGGGTTGATGCAGAGGCAATAAGGTTACGGATTCGTTCCGGAAAGACGTAGATGGAATCATGCGTCCTTGGGGGTGGCATCTTCTCCTTCTTCGTCTTCTTCTTCTTCTCCTTCATCTTCTCCCCCGTCAGACACGTCATCTTCGAAGGCACGCAACATCTCCGCCTCCAGGTCGTCCTCGTCATCATCAGGGTTCTCGGGGTACCCATCGTCAGCGGCCCCAGCCTCTGGAGCCTCTGCATCGCCCGCCTCTGCACCGATGTCAGCAGCGACAGAGCTGGTCTCGACACCGCCAGCTGAAGAGACTTCGCGAAGGCCGGTACTCCGTTCATATGACCGCTTGATACGCTGCGACAACCGGGAACCCGTCTTTTCAGAGTCGCTTCCGTCTTCATCGTTGGATTCATCATCGGAAGTGCCGTCTTCGCCACGCTTACGCTTTGTGCCGCCCTGGGCCGGGTCCTCATCATCCCCGGCCTCACTCTCGCTAACCTCGGTCTCGCTCACATCGTCGAAATCGTCGCCCAGGAACTCTCGCAACTCGTCGTCCACGGCCTGCTGCTCATCCGCGTCATATGCAATGGGCGATGTGAGGGAAAAAGCTGCAGAGTCGAAGTCATCATCACCGGCAGAGCCCGTCGCCTCGTCCGAGTCTTCAGACATGTACGAAATCTCAGCAACCTCGCGCGAGTTAGGCGAGAGAGGCTCGCCTCGATCATCTGGATGCACGGGTAGCAGATACGGATCTTCCGCAAGATGTGTCCACTGCATGAGCGAGTCGAGAAGCCACTGGGTCGTGACGATCTTTATATCCGGATATCGAGTAGCTTCGCGAACCTTGGCGGTACGGTTACGCCCAGCTACCAGATGAGTCGTGCGATTATCGATCCTCGTGGCGATCAAGACACCGAAACTTTTCGCCCATAAGGAAATGTCGGCATTCTGAGTATCCGTACCGAGAGGGAGAACGCCTGAGAACACCACCACCACTCCACCAAGCACCTGCCGCTTGATCCGGGGCAGAATCTCCTTTACGTCGGGGACAAGCTTCAAATCCACGTCCCGATCTTTCGTTGTAGCTTTCTCGCCCCGCAGATCTGCAACCCGACTCTTCAGCGCATGAGAGCGCTTGCTATCATACTCGTTGAAGAATTCGGTGTGGATCTGCTGCAGTCGGTCATTAAGATGGAACAACTCCAGGTCATGATCCTCCAAAAGATGATGTCGCTGTTTGTTATCTTGCGATTCGTCGACGCTGGAAAATGATTCACTTGGTTCGCTAGAGGAAGGATCATCTTCCGCATCCAACTCCTTCTGCTTCTGTAAAAGAGGGCGATCTTCGACCTGCTGCAAAATTGTTTCCTCTTGGGCATTAGTCTGCTCTCGAAGGAGACTGGGGTTATCCCCACCTCCCATTGTCACCAGCTGCTCCAGCGCTGAGACTTCGGTTCCATCAGCTGTTTTCGCGGTTGCCCCGTTAACATGGTGTTCTTTTGGATCGGGTTTGGCGGGCTTGATAGGCTTGTTGTTCGTCGTGCCAATGTCTTGCTTTTTGGGCAAGAAGCTGGAATTGATATCGCCAATTCCAACAAAGAAGTCGTAGGGAGTCACCTTGATGAGGTTGGGGTTCCAGCGCCAGACGTCACCCCGGTCATCAATGATAACAACCATTTTGGTGTCAACTGGGAACAAGCGCTGCAGATTCTTCGCGGTCAAGCTGCCACTTTCATCTCGGCTGAGAATTCGGTCTCCAAAGAGCTTTCGCGTGGGATCAATAATGTCGGCGATGTTCTGAGCATAGGCTCGAGTGCCCATAGTATAGATGTGCAGCTCGTAGAGTTGGGAGACGTTCTCTAAGAATTCCTCCAGGCCCGGTCGTAGCTTGATGTAGTACCAGCAGCCACGCATGCCCGGACCATCGTCGATCAACTGAAACTGCTTCACGCCCTTCAATGCCTCGTAGTTCGGATTCTCCTTGTCTTCCTTCCATTCTCCCACCGTCGGATCAACAGTAGCATGGATAATAGTCTGGTCCAAATCCACCACGAGCGACAGGCGACGAGATGCCAGGAGCCGGCGCTTCGCATCCTCCTCCAAGCGAGCAGCTTCATTCTGGCTGACGGTCAATTGTGTATTATCATGGGCCATCTGGATAGGAGCACGCATCGAGTCCGTAACTTCAGTATTGTAGCTCGACCTGCACAAAATCACCATTAGGATAAAGGCATCTTTTGGGGGTCGAATCAGAGCCAAGCAATACTTACTCGGTCATATCCTTCCCACATTCAGCACACATGCCGCCGAACTGTAGTCCATGGGAACATGGCTCATTAATTTCCACCACATCAACTCTGCAGGGAAGACGCGGTCAGCTCAGACGCCGAGCAACGGCCAAAGCACAGGGCATACATACGGTTCATCGATGATATCACCTTTGGTGATCCTCCAATCTTCGATCGTGCCATCAGCCGTCGATTCAAAGCGCGTCGGAAACTTGCGCTCTACCTTCACTCTGTTGCCCAGGCCATCACCCTCTTCGACGATGGTCGAGTACACATACCAGAACAAGGCCTCATCGCGTTTGATTTCGTCCCCAGGCTCTTTGAGCAGCTGGGTGACCTTGATCGGATAGTGTAGGCTAGGCGGCAGACGAAGAAGCATTGTTGGCTTCCCAGCTCGCCGGCCGGCGATGGAGTCCACTTGTCCTGGTCACTGAGTCCTCGGATGCGTCCGAGACGCTCCTCGCGCGGATTTCAAGTGTCGCGCGATAGGAGCCGCGCAGTGGTTGATTGAATGTTGGGGTCAGGCGGCTCGTGATTATGGCGCCATCACCAGCACGCGACGTGTGGAGAAAGTGAGTCTGGGGCAGAGTGTGTCGGGGTGCGCGTGAAAAGGTGACGGAGGGAGGATCAAAACATGTATGGGATACTTTTTTTCGTCTTTTTAGGTATCAGAAGCTTTGGGACTAATCAAGGTGCAAAGGACGAAGTACAGTTGCTCAGGGTTCAAAGATGAGGTCGAGTGAAGATTCGCCACATCCAATACCGGGGTGGGAGGAAAACCGCGATACAAAAGGGGCGCGCGCAAGGTGTGGGGCCTCTATAGGGACGAGGGATTCAGCGTGAATGAGATAGAAGCTTTTATTCACGGGAAATTTGGCGACGAGATCATCAGCTGGTGCGGGGACTGTATTTGAGCCGGTTGTTGAAGGAGCTTGGATTACGTAACTGCCTTCCTGATCGAGCGAACGCCAGCCATGGTTGACTCAAACTTTTGTCCTTCCATGACCCCGGAAATCCTGCTGGAATTCGAATGCTTTAGATTGTCGCGTTTGATCTTCATATCCGGTGAAAAGACTGAGAGGCCATAGCGATGCGCATGATTTAACTGATCATAGATTACTGGTCTTTAAGAACATACCCTTTATTCATATAGGACAATCCTAATCCGGTCGCGGATTTGCTTGGATGAAGCAAGAGAGAGAAGATGGCTCGATATTCGGTTTGAAGAATTGCGAGGCGTTGCTATTGGTGCTTGAACATGGCCAACCCCGATTGCATGAAGGACAATTACTACCTGCGTGTCCTCAGAATCCTCAAGGCTCACGAAGAATTCTTACACATACCGAATCTTATCTACGAAATCAAACTACAAATCCTACCCAGGACATTTCTAAAGACGAAGCTAGTATTGAGTTCAAGCGTAAAGAATGCAACATGCAAAATACATCATGTGGGTGAGACAACTTGCAGTATTATCGACGGGTAAGCACAGGGCGCGAAGCAGTGCCACTAGAAGAAAGCAAATGAAAAACAACCGAAGTGTGTTGGGCAGTCGTGACGAGTCACAAGGTCGCGTCTGCAACACCACATCCCGGCTCATCCCCTGATAAGCCACCTGTACAAGTGAGTATATACGAAACACTGTTCCGTTTCCTGGCTTCAGGATCATCCGTAGCTACTGCCCAAAGGACTGCCATGCGTAGGCATTTACTTGGCTTTGGCCAGGCCGACCTCGCTGTTGCCGAGATCGTAGACAGAGTACCAGCTACGCAGGAACGCGTCACCCAAGATGGCCAGAGGACCCATGGGCTCGGGGAAGTCCATGCCCATGAAAGAGCTGATGCAGGAGCCCTGGACCTCCAGAATGTAGTCGTAGGGGCCAATGGTGAAGTTGTGACCGCTCAGGGTGAAGGTCAGGTCGGGAAGGGAGTCACGCTTCTCACATTCCACGGAGTACTGGCCAGTAAAGCCCTTGGTAGCACCGATCTCCTTGTTCAGAAGCTCAGAGAGGGTGGAGGGAAGAGCAATGAGGGAAGTACCGGTGTCAAGGATAACACCGGTGTTGTCGAGAGAAGCAGTCTCGGTGCCGAAGGTAATGGAGTCCAAGTCCACCTCCCAGTAGGCCTTACGGCGGAGAGGGATCTTGACGAGTTCACCAGTGTAGTGACTCTTGTCAACACCACCAAAGGTGGCCTCAGAGTTATCGCCCTCCTTGTCGGCGTTGCCCAGGTAGAAGGCGAAAACAGGCTCATCCAGAAGCTTCTGGTTGAGCATGTTGTAGAAGGGGGAACAATCTTGTTGACAGAGATGGTGTCATAGGCAAGACCCAGAATACCGTCGAAACGGCCGAAAGCGAAAGCAAGGCCGGGCTCGCTGGTAGCCTCAGCGAAGTCCTGGTTCTTGATGGTCAGGTCACCAATAGAGAGGGTGTCTCGTGAGACAAAGCCACTCAGGCTGCCAGAGCCGTACTTGATGGCAAACTCAGAGCCATTCTTCTGGTAAGTGCTCGAAGACGAGGAGTCATACTTGCTGTGGAGGAAGCAAGCGATGGAGGTACACTCAGAAGAGGGGACCCACAAGTTAGAGCTACCGGTGTCGAGGACAACCTTGAAGGTCTGGGGTGGTGTACCAAGGGTGATCTCGGAGAAGTCTAAATCAATGAGATTAGTGACAAGTAACTATAGCCAGACAGGGTGGCAAAATGATCGACGGAGCTTACACTGGGCGTTCAAGAAGTTGTCGACCAGGACATCGTGACCCGCAGTAGGCTTGTAAGAGGTGTCTTGGAAGTCATTCTCGCTGGAGGATGGACGGTGGCCCATGTATTTCTGACCGAGGGCCTGAAGCTGGGCAGGGAAGTTGGCAGTTTCCTGATGAAAAACAAGGTGTCAGTTTTGTTGGGGGGTTTGAACCGGGGGATCTGGGGATGCGTACGAGCTGCTCGTTCAAGGGGACCTTGTTGAGCTTGAGCTTGTGGACCTCCGCAGAGGCGCTGCCCAACAGCGCAGAGGCTGTTAGCAGAGCGAAAGACTTCATGATGGATAGGGAGAGTGATGGGTGAAGACGGGAGAGAGATGAGGAAGATAAGAGCTGGGCCTGGGGGCGGAGTGACTGGGTCCCGATCGGCATAACGTGACGGGATGACGCACTCAATCCGGCGGAATCAGCTGTTGCCGACCAGTGCAACCCACTTGCATTCCGTCCGCTTTCTACGGGCTATGCTGACTATCCTATTCTCCTAAGCTCCTAGTAGTTCTCCTTTACTACTTTACTGATCAAAGGATGATTTCCTTTGTTTCGTATTACGTGTCTCTATGCAGATCTTGTACACAGGATCACCAGAGTTGTTGAGGTGGCTGGGTGCCTAGTCTTAGCGCCTGGCAGAAAAGGAGGGGTGAGCTCTTGTACCTGGCAGCCGTCTGCATGGGCCGGTCGCTGCCGGAGAGGGTGACCAGGGCTCTCAGCGAATTGAATCTAGAATAGTCGAAGCCTTGGGGGCTGCGGACGAGGACCCTGCGCAACGCCATACACAGTGTAGTAATCTTCCACGGAGTCCTCCGCATTGTATTCATCGTCCATGTACCTCCGTATTAAGCAGGCAGTATCTAGGCCTAATCATTAGTAGAGGACCATAGCAGATCATTACTTACTCGGGTTCTCTTTCCCTTGAGTCCTGGCCCAGCCTCCTCCAAGTCGGGCGGCCCACGCTTCGAAGGTCTGTATGGGACGTTTCAGTTACTGAGTCTATGCCAAGCACCTTCTGTAAAATCTTTACGGATCGTCAAGTTTGTGACACCCAGAGGGTAGCTCGGGGTCCCCCGCTGATCATGACCATGCTGTGTCCATGAGCTTAGAGATGCAACCTCAAAGCTAGGCTGATAAGTGGGCTAGTGATGCTCCCAGAACGAGAATATGCCTTCACAAAATGCGCTTGTCTCCTATCAATGTACTTGTCGCGGTCGGCTCTGGACAGCAATGTTTTACCCTACATCCGCCTTTCTATTAGGAAATTCCGAGAGGATCCTACTATATTTAAATAATGGCCTCGTGGATCTTGAGGGGTTGGTGGTTAGGTTCTCTTATAGCGCAGTTGCAAGGGTACTCCTGCCCCATAGCATTCTTCTCCGCGTTTCAAAAAATACGGCAATGGTAAACATAGTGAATACGTTTTGGCATGCTTGGACAGTCATCCATTTATTAATCCCAGTGCAAAACTATCCATATTTCCCAAATGCCATAGAACATTGATAATACAGGCCACATCCGTTCTTCACCGTCACGTTTACCGGTAGAATTCGGGGCTTTGAAGTAATCAGCAACAAGAAAAGCATAATTAAGGGTTTGAGAACGTACCGGTCATCCTCGGAGCCACTCTTCACCTGCGCGGCATATGCATCCTCCAGGTCAGATTGAATGATATTGTAACGGTTCTTACGAACAGCTCGAAGACCAGCCTCCTGCATGACAGCAGCGATCACGGCACCAGATAGAGGCTCATTTCGCACGATAAGGGAGTCCAGGTCAACCTCAGGGGAGAGGGACATCCTGGAGGCAATAGTGGTGAAGATCAGTCGGCGTTCACGACGATCGCGGAGGGAGGGAAACTCGATCTTGCGGTCAAGACGACCGGGACGCAGCAGGGCAGGATCCAAGGTATCAGCCCGGTTAGTAGCCATGATAACCTTGACGTTGCTGGTTTGCTCGAAACCATCCATTTGGTTCAGCAACTCCAGCAGAATACGTTGGACTTCGCGGTCAGCACCGGTCTGGGCATCGAAACGCTTAGTGGCGATGGCGTCAATTTCGTCAATAAAGATGATTGCGGGAGAATTTTCGCGAGCCATTCGGAAGACGTCGCGGACCATACGAGGTCCTTCGCCAAGGTACTTTTGTACGAACTCCGAGCCATTCACTCGGATGAAGCTGGCTGTTGTGCTGTTTGCCACGGCTTTGACCAGCATGGTTTTACCAGTACCAGGAGGACCGTAAAGCAGGACACCGCGAGGGGGGTCGATACCTGTCACAGCGTTAGCAACTAATTGGGTGATGGCAGCCTTCAAACGCACCGATTTGTTGGTAAAGATCGAAATGCGTCAAGGGCAATTCAACAGCCTCTCGGATTTCCTGCTTCTGCATGTCCAAACCACCCACGTCTGCGTATGTCACATCAGGCTTCTCATTCTCTCCCAGCATAGCAATCGACGAGTCAGCTTCGGGAGGAAGTATATCCACCAGAGCGTTCGAGTGGCGATGTAGGGCGACTGAGGAGGAAGGCTTCAGCTTCTCGCGGTCGAGTGTCGAAAGGATGCGGACGACGTAGTTGGAGCCAGTTGAGCTCTGAACAATACCGGTGCTGCGGAATTCCATGCGTCAGTCTTCTGAAAGTGGCTATAGGAGGGGAAGACATACTTTTGATCGATGGCCTCCATGAACTGCCCAATCACTAGCGGCACACTCTGTATCCGCTTGATTTCCTCTTGTGCTCGAACCAACTCTCTCTTCAAGCTCCTATAGCATAGAAGGTCAGGCTCATTTACCTTGCAATATGGCGTTGAGGAGACACGTACCTCTGCTCATCCTTGATGTATTCCTCCTGGAGTTGGATGTACCTAGTGCGGCGTTAGTGCAGTTCAAGATTTTGACCTTGCTGAACTCACTCTAGGTGTCTCTGTAGCCGCTTCAATGTAGCATATTCATCATTTCCATCAGCTCCATTTCCTTCCAGTGAATCCAAGTTGGCGAGTGCATCGAGCGCACCGGGCTTGGGAATAGGAGTAAGGCTGTTCACCGGGTTCTCCACGGCGATGTCTCCCATGATGCTATTTGTTGGTGATGAACGAAGAATATGGGTCGATGATGGTGATAGTTCTGATAAAACTCGAAACGGCGGTGGCTTGCGCTTGTGTGAAGGGGTGGGAGAGGGGTGATCATTGCAAAGCTCCAACCGGCTTGGAGCTCACCCCATCATGTGACCGGAAATAAGCCATATCCCTCGCACACCCACGAAAGCCGAAATCATTCTCCTCATTGGTGTTCATCGTCCTCTTATTTTTTTTTCCTTTTTTTTTTTTCGAAGCACGCCGTGGATTTTTTTGCCCAGGTCCCAGAGCACTTTGATCAGGCTCACCCCCCCAAACTATCCTCAACGTCCACTTCATCCGGTTATCCAACACCAGAACCTCTTCATCGCCTAGAGCCATTCGTTAGCCCTTATATACCCTCAACAATCTACGCATCTACATCATATAACGCACCATTTGCAAAGTCTCGAAGCAGATTGATTAACTCCTCTGGGCTTAGACGGTAATAACCATCTGAGCCCAGAGGAGGGAGCTTGAAGTCTGCATGAGGCTTTTGAAGAGGTTCTGGTGGGACCTCAAGAGGGGGGGGGGCCGGATCACGGCCCCCGGTGGCGAAAAGACTGGACGGCAAGAGGGGAGGTCCAATTCGCTATACATCCATTATTTGATGGTTAGTGCCGTGCTTTCTCAGCTTAGAGGATTTCACATGTGCGCGGTCTTCCACTCAGTAAGACTCAATTGCGGCGAGCCTCATGAAGGCTGGTTGTCCCTCGTCTGAAGCTGAATTGTTCTGATATGAAGACAGTGCCAATAGCCTCGGTCGAGGGCGGCTTGTCTCTTGTCTGAAGTAGAGCCGTTCTGATGCAATGATCAAAGTCTGAGCACTTGAGAGCAAGGCGAGCATGCCAAAGATGGCACCTGCACCGTTGCAGAGATGGGCACGCAACCAGTTCGAGTTGTAGACCGCGCACATGTGTTCAGAGAGCCTACATTGCGTCCACTTACCAAGAGCAAGAGGGTGAAGAAGGAAAGAAAAGCAAGGAGGAGCTGTGTAATACCAAACATGGTGAGATTTCAAAAAAAAAAAGGGAAAAAGTTGAAGAGGTGAGAGTTGATCGGATTAGATTCTACGAAGGTGGCTACTCGTTTATTACCATGGAGTCTACTGCTCCTGCCTCTTTAGCAGGTATAGGTGTGAAAATTGAAGGCGCGGGGTGTAGAATAAGTGGATTGTTTCTGCAGTCTCGGCCAAGCCAACCGGGCTGGCTCTATGGCAGTCAAGTAACGGTAAGTCCGAGTCAATGGATGGCCTCTGAATGCTTCTTTTTCTCCCTCTTCCGTACGTTTTGTTGCAACACAACCAGAGGAACACATGCTTTCCTGATCGGTACGAGCGGAGAGCAAGCCCCAGTCTAGTCCACAACTGTTTGATATGGTAGATGAACGGGAGAGTATTTTTTGTGATTCAGGAAATACAAGTGATTTTTTTTCTTTTTTTTTTTGGACGGGCTGAAGCTAGACTTAAATCCAATCTAGCTAGGCCATGAACTGCGTTCAGATGCTTAAAGCTTCCCACGTGCGTTCGCCATACCAACATGCCAATGTCTATGACACACGTGACCGACCTCGAGCATTGGCCCGTGACGTGCGACCAAGACCAAGTCTCTCTTCCGTTTCGCATTTTTCCATAAACTGGACGTAAAGGAGTGTTCATTTCCTCCCTAAAGATTGTCAAGTGAGGAGGAAAAATAGCCATGGATTGGGTGTCGATGTGCTGAGTTGCCTCGCTTAAAGCTGAATGGCACAGATGCCCGAGAACCGGCGACTAACGTCATGTCGACCCATACAATGTTGATAGAACCCAAGCCAAGTCCAAATAAGGCTCCAAAATAATCGAAGGAATACAAATCTTCCTACATGGAATAACAGACTCACCTCCAGACTAACATGGGTGCAGGGGAAGCAGTATGGGCCAAAGGATGTTTTTGGCGGGTGGTACAAAGCAACGGGAGAACCAACGCCTCAGCCTGCAGTGAATTTCCTTCTTACCATTCTTTACCTCCACTTCCCCTTTCATCCCTAACTGCGCTTTTACCTCTTGTGAACTGTAAGTATTTCCCCGTGCTTTTTTTTTACTTCCCCGCCCTTCTTTTTAGTCCCGCTATTATTTTCCCCCACCCCCTCCCACTGCACTGGTCACCGTTTGTGGCCACGCACCCCCCTTTCGTCCCCTTCCGAGGAGTCCACACTGCGTTGTCTACGGTTCCCCGGCCCGACCTATCGTGACCAAGATCAGCAGTACATCTTCTTTTCCATTCTGATTCGGTCTCCTGTATTGGCGGTCCCCCACCCCTTCAGCCTCTTTCATTGACCATTGCCGCCTTTTCCCCTTCCTGCCTTCCCTTCCCCCCCCCTTTTGCCGCCTCAGGCTACCACCCCACGTGACTCCCGTGACTCCCGCCAAAACCCCAGTCCTCAGTCTCCATCTGCTAATTCCGGGACCCGGCCTTAGCCATCCGTACGCCAGTCGGAATTTGAGTATCCAACCTTGTCGGTATGTGCTATCCTTGTCTTCCCCATCGTGATTTTGTTTTGCTTTTCGTTCTCATGGTTCTGTCTTCCCTTCTTCCCCCCTCATGTTCTCAGATCTCATGAACCTTCCCATTTGTGTCGCGACCCAAGCGCGACTCCCCAAACAGCTCCACCCGACGCGTCTGTCTGGGGAGAATCGTCTGGGGCATCCCATATCATGTTTCGTTGATGGAGGAATGATGAATCACTTGTGAAGCGCGCAATTTTTGATGACGCGCGACGCGAAAAGACCTCGGTTGCTAATTCGCGCCCACAGATGGGTTGGTAAAATCGCGCGAAATGAACACCTGGGCTGTCGACGCCTCGAATCTTCCTGGCCAGGACAATGCGGCCTTCAATCCTTCTACCATAGATCCCTCGGCCGCCTTTCTCCATGGATCGCCTACCCCTGACCCCAACCAATTCCAGCGCATGTTCAGTAACGGCGTGCCGAGGAATGCCTCGCCCGGGTTCCACAACCCAAACCAGGTGATTCCATCCAAAAGACCTCGCCCAGAGGATGGCATGCCAATGTCTCCCCGGGCTGCCCCTGGCGTAACGGGGTCGCGATCTCAGACACCCCAGATGCCGTTCCCCGGCTACCAAGGTCCAGCCAATGGCACACCTCAATTCTCTCAGCACCCGACTCCCTATCAACACCTCCAACAAGGCGCCTCGCCTAATGTTACCCAGTCGCCTGTCATGCAAGAATTTGATCAGAATAGCGTTCGCATGGGAACTGCCTCTCCAAGCCCCTTCTCTCCTGCTGGCCCTCATGTTGGTGCTCAGATGTCCCCTTCACAGTCAGATGGAAGTCGCGTCAATACTCCTCAGAACGCCAACTTCATGCCGGGACAAGCTTTCCCCCAGGGCATGGGCGGCCAATTCCAGCAAGGAGCTGGCATGAGCTCCGCTGCGCCTCAACCTGCCATGCAGGCCCAATTTCAAGGAGGAATGGGCCAAGTGCCTCAGGGCTACCACCAAGCTATCGCAGCTCAGCAACAACGGTTGCATCAGATCCAGATGCAAAGCAGGCAGATGAACAATGCTGGTGCTGGGAATCCGCAAATGAGTCGACCTGTGCCCTCGGGAATGAACCCCATGGCCAACCCCCAGCAAATGGCAGCCTTCCGCCACATGCAGCAGAATATGGCGAAGCCCAATAGCCCCGAAACCTTCATGCGCTCCCTTCAAAAATTCATGATGTCACGAAACCTTCCTCTGGACCCCAATCCTATCATCAGCGGTCGCCCTGTCAACATTGTTCAATTATATGGAACAGTGATGAAAATGGGTGGTTCAAAGAAAATCACTGCTATGAACATGTGGAACGCAGTTGCACAGAATCTGCAGTTCCCACAAATGAGTTTCCCAATGGCTGGGCAGGAAATACGCGACTATCACCAGAGGAATCTTGCCCCATATGAGCAGGCTTTCATCAACTCGCAACAGAAGCAATTTGCTGAGCAGGTTCAACAACAGCAAACGAGCGGCCTTCCCCGTCAGCCAAGTGATCCGTCTGCAATGCAATTCCAGTCTCCAGCTCCTGTGAAACCCAGCCCGGGTCCTGGCTTTGATACGCCGCAACAAATCCCCAACACTCCTCAGAATAATACACCTGTGTCAAACCAGGCTCAGGGAACTCCAGTCAACGGATTTGCTACGCCGACTCACGCGCCGACTCATGCGCGCAGCCAGAGCAAACCCCAAGTTGGCCATAGGGCCAGCATATCTCGACAATCACAACCACCTCTTCAACCTCCCGACGCCTCTGGCCAATTTGCCGCACCTTCTCCATCCCAGCAGACTAAAGCTGTATCAGCGACTCCCTCGCAACCATCGACCCAGCCTGAACAGAAGCCGGAAGAGTTCACCAAAATGCCCATCGAGGATCCCTTCAAACCTATGGTGATCAGTGAGCATCGTCTGCACGGGCCAATCTCGGTGGAAGAAATGTATCCTCTGGGAGATGATGTCTTGAAACTGAAGCCTAATGTGCCTAGCTTCGGTGAATTGGGTATTGTTGATATACATGCCCTGACCATGGGTCTCAAGTCTGGCATCCACGCTGAAGTTCGAGTCGCCTTGGATACACTCACCACTCTCTCCTGTGAGCCTGCAGTCCAGATCTCTCTTGAGAATTGCGAAGACCTGGTGGAGAGCTTGGTTGATTGTGCGGAGGACCAGTATGATTATCTGGTCGACCACATTCCGGAAACGTCAGATGTCATGCAACTGCGCTCTTATGAAGATGTATTAAGAGGCTGCCAGTCGGAATTCACATCACTTGCCGAAGTGCCTGAGTTTGGCAGCGAGGCCTTCTTCATGGACCGCGCAGTGGAGCGGTTGTTGTGCATCATCACCATCCTCCGCAACTTCTCATTCTCGGAAGCCAATCACGGAATTCTGGGAATATCCCCAGTGACTCAAGTCCTTGCTGATATCTTCCGCTCTCTCGGGACCCGACCAAAGTTTCTCCGAACTGATCAAAACACCCTCGACTTCATGAAAGATGCAGTGGTCTTCATGAGCAATTTGGCCCATGGCATGCAGATTCCTGGCAAGGAAGAAGCTCTCAGCCTGCTCAATTTTCTTCTTGCGTTCTCACCTTCTCCTCAGCCTACATCCCAGGCAGGCAAAATTATGTTCTCCCCATTCAACCCTTTAATTCACCGATACACGCCAGCTGCTGTCGATGGCCTTGCAAAGCTGTTAGCCCGAGACGACCCGAACAGAATTTTCTTCGGTGCCATCTTCGCCGGAGATGGCTCCGCGGCCCCTCGACCCGATCTCCTTACAGGTGCATTTGGCCTTGCCATCTGTGCTATTCCTGAGAAAAAGCCTTTGGCGGTTGCTGATGCACGGAAAATCTTCCTTATGCAAGGCTTGCTAGCTGCCGATGTTCTGACGACATTTGCTGATGGCGCAACGGCTCAATCATGGCTTGGATCTGTCGATGGCTTCGCAACCCACCTCCTCCGCCTTTCATGCTTGCTGTGCACGGAACGCCTTCCTCAGTTAACTAGCATACGCCAACGTGGACCACATGAGGCTGATGCCTACGCCTTTAGCGCACTTATTCATCGTGGGTTAGCAATTCTGCGCCGTCTTGCAGAAAAATCCAAGCAGGTTGATAACACTTTCCCACTTCACCTCCCCTCTGGTGTTGTACCTCGCAAAGAGAGCTTACTCGGTGCTCTGTTGCTGCCGAACCTGGATCCCAACATTATTCGCCAACTCCTTACCTATGCCCGCCTCGCAGAGTAATTTTGGATAGTTCGTTTCCTTCCCCAGGCTCTTGCAAGGATGGTGTTCAGGTGTGGCGGGTTGGGTGGTCTGTAATCTTTTACGGGGGAACCTTTTTCAGCGCAGCATATTATGACATTTCTGCTTTCTGCCATGTAATTTGTATCATGTCTCCAATTCATGGTCAATCGAAGTCCCTTTCTGTTTTCGGCGCCAGTGGAAATGGAGTTTTATTCTTATTTTTTGAAGTTTCTTTGGCCTTCCTCCATGTGAGATAACGTCCTTTGTGTGTACAATGCTCAAATACCCTTCAAAGGAATTTCCAACGTCGTCGAGTAACTGGGACGTAGCAGCTACTGTAGACTTTACTAATTAGTGGCCAGGGTGATCCAGGTGCATATGGGCACCTTAGTATAATATCGTACTAGTAGTGGTATGTTCCCAAGCAAGTCTTCCTAGTAGCCTAATAAGAGTAGCCTATATATTGGAAAATAAAATGATGCTTAGAACCATTGAATTAAGAAAATTAACACCAGCACCAGTTCGTTGAGCATATACAGAGATAATACAGGGAGTGGACTGAGAAAACAGAAAGCGCCCGTAACTGCAAGATCAAGCGAGAAAAGCATAACACCACCAGGGAAGCAAATGAGGAAAGAGGAAATGGAATGATATGGAATGAAACAGAGAGAAGAAATACATTTCGGTTCGGGGAGTGGAGAAAACCAAGTCAGGGCGATGACGGGGCTATATGGGGCATTTCGGCCGCTCGAAGCATCAAAGCACAGCATCAGATAGGCAAGCACATCCTCCGCGTACATTAGTGTCTCTCCCTGTCCTGCTTATCCTCCAGCCCCTCGCTCAAATAGGAGTGGCAATGCTTGCTTTTGGGAAAGTCGGCGTCATAAAGGTTTCTGCTCGACGTGTAGATGGGTTATGGGTATGCAACTAGAAGTTTCGCTCTTGCAGGAACTTTAGAATTTCGGGTTTGCGCCAGCCCTGTAGCGTTCCTATTAGCATCTAACTTGATTCAAACAAAGTTCGGTGGCCGTGGTATCACACCACGCGACACCATCATGCCACGGATTGTGACCAAATAGGCTTAGCTGCATACCTTGACAATGATGTGCCCATTCAATCGGTTGATGCTCACATCGGGACTTCGTAGATCGATGCCCAATGTCAGGGCTAGGTCGTTGCGCAGACTATCAAGATCCCCCTCGGTCTTTTGGATCTTGGTGAGTTGCTTGGTGCCGCCCGCTTTTGTGACGAGGTATACAGGCAGTTGATTAGAGCCAGTACGGCGGACAAAGTAAGGGAGGTTGGTGAGTTGGAGGGTTGGCTGAGGCTGCTTGGCATTTTGAGGGAGAGGAGATGCGTTGGCGGGCTGCTCTTTCAGAGCTTGCGCTTGCCGGCGTAGTTGCGTCAGGAACGTGCGGGTCTGGCGGAAAGGACTATGTGATTGGAGGGAGACTTGATTAAGAAGAGAACCGTTAGTTGGTCATTCGTAGCTTCATAGAATGTTTTTCTCTCCACATGGGTTGAGCATGAGGGCTCCAAAGTTTTCAGATAGACGCGATAATCGAGCCTCCAACGATGCTTTTGGAATTAATTCCAAAACTCTCGGGCTCACAGTGCTCATTGGAATCTTTTTGTCGAGTATGGCGGGAATGGTACCACTTACATGATGCAAATCGTGAGGAGGATAATGACGAGAATCGGCTATATGTTGGCGCAGAGGCCATGGACTGGACCAGGCGAGGGCAGACACTCTGCTTGCATATGGCCGACATTGCCGATACGGAAGTTCCAAGAGACGCCATCGAGTCTCCGAGGAATAGAGTGGAGGAAAAGAAGAGAGATGCTGGTTCCTGAATAGCAAATTCCCGCGAGAAACAAGAAACGCAAGTTTCTCCCGTCAGTTCTGCCACCGCCCAGCTCTCCCAATGAGGCTTAGCGCGGCACATCCGCCCGCACACAAATTCAAAGTTCCCAAAGATCGCGAATCTTTGATCAACCCACCAAATTTGCGTTCAACATGGCAGCCAACGCCCCTCCCTCTGCTGAGCAGCTCAGTGGTGCTCACCCTACCGATGCCGCCCCTGACTATGACCTGCTCCGCCGCCTGATTCCTAATCTGGACCGCCACCTGGTTTTCCCGCTGCTCGAATTCAGCGCCGGCAACGATGAGGAGGATACTGAGATTACTCGGGCCAAGTACGAGCTGCTCAAGCACACCAACATGACCGACTATGTCGCGAACCTGTGGCAAGATTTGAACAACTCTGACACCATCCCCGATGAATTTGTGAAGAAGCGTGAGGAGGTTCTTGCAAAGTTGCAGCAATACGAGGGGCAAGTGGAGAAAATCACCGAGTTGCTGCAGGACGAGGAGGTCGTGGGTAATCTCCGCAGTGACAAGGCCGCCAACTTGCGCTTCCTGGAGGAGCAGCACGGTGTCACCAACGAGATGGTCAACAGCCTCTACGACTACGGTCACTTCCAGTACAGCTGCGGCAGTTACGGCAACGCCTCTGAGCTTCTGTACCAGTTCCGTGTGCTCTCCACCGACAACGACAAGGTTGCCTCCGCCACCTGGGGTAAGCTTGCTTCAGAAATCCTGACCACGAACTGGGAGGGCGCAATGGAGGAGGTGCAGAAGGTGAAGGAGTCAATCGAGACCCGCCTGTTCAACAACCCTCTTGGCCAGCTCACCAACCGATCTTGGCTCATCCACTGGTCTCTTTTCCCCTTCTTCAACCATGACCCCGCCCGCGACATCTTGACCGACCTCTTCTTCTCTCCCGCCTATATCAACACCATCCAGACTAGCTGCCCCTGGATTCTGCGCTACCTTGCTGCTGCTGTCATCACCAACCGCAGCCGTCCTCACAAGCACACCGGTGTCTACCAAAAGCAATTGAAGGACTTGATTCGTGTGGTGCGACAGGAAGATTATGAGTACACCGACCCCATCACCGACTTCATCAAGGCGCTCTACGTCGACTTCGACTTCGAGGAGGCCCAGAAAAAGCTTGGCGAAGCTGAGGAGGTTCTGCGCAATGACTTCTTCCTCGTGTCGACCGCCGATGCCTTTGTCGAGGCTGCCCGTCATCTTATCTCCGAGAGCTACTGCAAGATCCACCAGCGGATCGACATTAAGTAAGTTTTTGCAGGGATAACCCACCTGACTCATCAAATCGCTTCGCCGCCCAATACTAACACTTCCATTAGGGATCTCTCTACTCGCCTGGGTTTGAGTCAAGACGAGGGCGAAAAATGGATTGTGAACTTGATCCGTGACACTCGTGTCGATGCCAAAATCGACTACAAGGAGGGTACTGTGATCATGAATCACCCCCCTCAGTCTGTGTACCAGCAGGTCATCGAGAGGACCAAGGGTGCCTTCTTCCGCACCCAAGTCCTCAGCTCAGCTGTCGCCAAATGAACAAATGATTTTGTTTTTATGAGCTGATGCCAACCCCGACTTCTTATATGTTATTATTCAAACCCAATGTTTTTCTGCCTGTCCCCCGCAATGGTGGTCTTCGCCGTGTATGTCACAACACGGGTCTTATTAGGAATTGAGGGACTAGGCAGAGTGGCATCCGGCTGGCGTTTTTAGGTCAAATCACCCTTTTGATGTTTATTTTTTAACCTCCTAGTCCACCGTCTTCTCTTCTTCTCCCATTCCCTCAATTTTTCTGTTCTGCCGTTAGATCCACTCCTATTTCCTTTTCATATTTTCGTCATTACCCCCCCTACCCAAAAGCAGAGAATGGAACTGAAGAGAATGGACTATGGCTTCCTGCCATGGTCGCGGAAACAAAAGAGAAACGGGTTCATTGAGCAGACTCCTGAATGTTGTCAGGTTGGATGGATCTATGCTGTTACGAATGGTCTCTAGAGATGAGTGAAAATGATATCTGACTATATCTGATCTGGTGGTGCCCAAAAGAAACGATCTCCCCATTAATCGAAACAACGATATCCATGTACATATCTTCGCACAACAAATTGGGTCCCTGGCAACAAATGAAGTAGCATGCAAGACAGGCCCATGATGCTTAACACGCGAGAAATAGGGTATCGTACGCTGAAAGAGGACTGGCCCAAAAAGAAAGCTCCGTCTGATAATAAAGTCCATGACTCGAGTTTAACTCCACAGGCTCCGTATCTGTCCAAAAGCCGGGCGGGTTCCAGGCATCCACTGGGGTGTTCTAGTATCTTAAGAGGATTAGAAACAGCAAATTGTTGAAAATAAAATAAAAGACATAAAAATGAAAATAAAATCGAAAATTAAAGCCCTGGAGCTGCCGGGTCCATGAAATCCGGGATATGGTTCATCACCATGCCTTCTGGCCTCCGTGATCCTGGATAATAAACAGCCTGCGAAGACTGGGACGAAAGGTGGTAGGGAAAATCAGGCCTGTTATTCCTTCGAAATAGACCATGGAAAAAAGATGAGCATAAAAAAAAGGTGGAATCTCGATGGCTTCCTTGAAACGGGTTCCTGGGGGAACGAAGGATTATCCGCTTGGACACGCGGGAGGAACTTGTGATGCAAAAGTCCAAGGCCAGTGGTGGGGATCAGGATAGTAGGGGAGATCATCGGGAAATTGATGGTATACCACGTATACCAGGTACCTTGTGGCATCTTTGACGTCTTTTAACGACCCCCTCTCGGGTCTGGTTCACGCCTGCGAGCTCGGGCAGGGTCCACGGGGATGAGCTCGTTGATATAGGGCTCGGAGTGGCGCGACGGGTCGTTTCCCGCATTGGAGGCGTTCTGGGTCATTCGTAAGGCCTCTTGCTTCTCATATTCTCGAGACATGGCAGCCAGATCGTCGATTTGTTCCTGCGTTGTCGAAAACGTACTAGTCAGCCCTTTCGCCCCCCTGGTCTTGCCTATTGTTTCTTTCATCTTTGCTATATGGGCTGTGGTAGAGGACAGACCCGAGTAAGAGGCATGCCGGTAATCAAGTACCCTTCGCGGCCCTTCAAATATATAAGGAAATCTGGTTAGAGCGGGTTAACCGTGGCGCGCAGCGGGTGGCATGGCCCGATATACCTGATAACTATAAGGCCGAACCGATGCGGATGGCCCCAGGAAATAATGTATGTGTCCAAGTACGATATGCCGAGATAGGCCATATCCAGGAAGCCAATACTGTGACTCTCGCGACATCTTTGTCCAGAAGGGAGGGAGGAAGGGGAGGAAGGGGGGAGGGAGGAAATAATAACAATAGGCCAAGTATAGAAAGGGAATTTTATATTGGTATCATAGAGTAGGGGCTCTCGGGAGGTTGATAGGGAGATCGGCACAGCAACACAAGACCAGGAACCTTCCCTGGATACTAGAGCGGAAGCCAGTAACTTGAGTCGAGCTCAGTCACTTGAGTCTAGTCCAGTCACTTGGAGGGGGCCCTTTTGAAGTTTCTTGTACAGCAGCATTGGGATATAAATGGGTATAAATAACCCCGACCACCAGGGCCCGTTCCCCCCTCCGGACCACCGTGACGAACCCCATCCAAAAGCCCCAGGCGAATGAGACCGTCGCCCAGGCGCGATGCTCCTTTCCAGATCCTTTTCGAGCGCACGGCTGGAAGACGATCTCTCGGCAAGTGTCCACACTAGCACTGGAACCCACAATCAAAATCCACCTTCGATTGTTCGAGACACCCTTAGATCCACTCGGTGCATCTCGATCTTCAAAGAACGAGACGGATGCATTGCAGCGCAGATGCCCTGAGCCGGGGGACTTTCCGAGGGAGAGAGATCTCCATGGGAGCCTCTCGAGCCTCTCAGTTGGATTGTCGACTAATAAAATGCAATCATCCAAGCAGATCGGAAGACAGCGTCGGGCGTATCGCAGCCATCGCAGGGCCCCCGAAAACCTAGACAAAAGGCACCACATCAAATTCAACCAACCCGACTAGCCCCAAGGAGGTGTCGGGAGTGGTTCATGATCCACTCCCAGACCTTCCATCTGGGCAAGGAGGATTGAGGACGGAACTGTCGGGGGTTGAGTAGAAAGAGGAAAAAGGGGGTGTGCCGCCTCACTTCCATCTGACAACGAGACCCAACCCTTTGGCGATTTGCCTCCGGGGCGCAACTCTTTTAGGGATTATATTTTTATTTCCATTAGCCTTGGGATCTAATCAGAGAGACATGTCCTCGCCTGGACATATCTCGGATCTGACCAAGGCCAATACGCCTTCATGCAACCCCGTTGGCGAGGACTTCCACAGCCAATGTGAAAAGTGAGGCTTGCAATTTTAGATAGGGTTTGGATTCGGATTAGTTCCATTTCCAACCTATCCCAACATCCGGAAAAGCGACAACGTAGCATGTTCAAATCAGGGTGATGACAAGTGGAGTCAGCCATAGCACCTGAATCTCCCTCCGAGAGCCTAATTTCCCTACCTGACCCAACTGTTCAGAGCTTGCAGTAGCTCCCAAATTTCTCTTTCTCCCGGCCCCCAGATGTCTCTTTCGTCTTCAAATGTTCGTGGAGAATTAAGAGTCTTCCAGACTGCGGCCTCCCCCGCGGAGATTTGCCCAGCTCGTACACCGCACCTTTCAAGGCAAAGCCAATTTGGCTCTTGCTGCGCGGATGTCGTGGCACCACGGAGTACGGTCAACCCTCGCGGGGCCCAACCTGAAGTCTGCAGGTAGTGATGCATCTTGCGCTTTTAGGATAGGGCACCTGTCCGCATAGCGTGTTTTTCTTCTGCTCGATTCATGCCGAACACATGGCAAATGCAGGATGAGAGGGGTTCCTGCGAGGCCGAAGTGGGATATTTCCAAAGGAATATCCCCACTATGAGCCTATTCTAGTCGCTTTGACATGTTGGGGGAGGTCTGGATGCCGTTGGAGCAGTTTCCAGCTTCCATGAAAGGATTCTGATCTTCTCATGCTTCTTTGACCCGCATAGTCGAAGATTCAAGTCTAGTCCGCTGGGGTTGTTCCTTGGGTTGAGCGCATGGGCTGAGGTGAAGGGAGAGAGGGGGGGAAAGAATTACCAGGCGTGATCGGTTTCATGTCCATCGGGAGTCACACTAAGCCTCTATATCTGCAGAAACCCCCGTTTTTGTCCGTCCGAAGCCACCGAATGGCAGATTACGATTGCTAACATTCAGTCACCTGTACACCTTCACGGAATCGGTTGCATATCCTGGTTACTCGAGATGCGCAGTACAAAGTGCTCCGGCAGGCATATACTACGAGTAATTGGCTTATACTTGAGACACTATTATGCATATACCAATAGTGGAGTCGCCTAGGCTCGGAGCGCATCATATAGCATTATTATCTAGTCTTTTTCTTTCATCATTCGTTCGCATAGTCCGCCAAGTTTCTCGTCCCGTCAGTCCACATGCAAGCGCTCTACTGGGGGGGGCACATAAGGGTGGATAAGCATGTCGCTGAACCTGTTTACCGGAAAAAAAAAAGAAATTCGTTAGCAAATCACACAACGTAAGGAGGGGCAGTCCAATCCATTCAAAACTTACTTCTCCAACTTCTCCTTGCCACGCACTTCCTCCACCAACAGTGGCATGCGCACCACATTAAAGTCCTCGTACAGCTCCTCAATCTGCTCAAGATATTTCTGCTGCATCTTCCTCCGAGCATTACATTGCTCACAGTTGTTTCCATCCTTGGGGAAGAGCAACTGGTTCACGACAATCGAGTGGGTGTCAATGGAGTAGCTTGTTAACTCTTGGATCATGCGCTCCGTTTCGTAGAGGGACAAGAACTCAGCAATGCACACGCAGACAAAGGTCGTCATATCCGCGTTCTTGAACTGCGTGTTCACCTCGCTGATAGTCGCGCGCAATGATTCCATCTTCTGTAGCAGCTCATCCATGCTCTGTCCGCCAGGCAGACCACCGCGCGCACCTAGAATCGAGTTCAGCATCGGACCGAACTGCTGCGATAGCTGTGACAGCTTGCCCAGCGCCTTTTCGAGAACTGTAGGGAATTGCAGGAATCGCAGTGTGTGGCCGGTCGGCGCGGTGTCAAAGACAATAACTTCGTAGGAGAGTGACTTCACTTGCTTCAATACTTCGGCGAATGACATTGCTTCGTCAACTCCAGGAATCTGTATTGCGTTCATTCACCAGGTTAGCGGCCTGGGATGGAGAGGTACGAGGTGGATGCCACTCTTAAGACAGGATGTCCACGCTGTCAATGGCTTGGTCTCGACTCACACTAAAAGCTAGGTCCTGCATCATGTTGCCCATCCCCAGTCCAGCCATAGGATCATTATCCTGACCGTCGCCGCTGGCCAACAGATCCTGGATGCTGCCATTGGGATCGATCTCCATCGCACTCAGATTATCGTAACCGTCAATCAGACGAGCCTCCTTTCCGAACTTCTGGCCAAATGCATCACTCAGGTTGTGTGCAGGGTCGGTAGAGATCAGCAGCACGGATTTGCGGGCTTTGGCGAGCTGGATGGCGAGCGAGCAGGAAGTGGTGGTCTTGCCCACACCACCTTTGCCACCGACGAAGATCCAGCGGAGGGTCTTCTGGTTGATGATTGACTGGAGCGTCGGCTCCATGTCGAGGTCGGAGCTCTGGACCACAGCGGATGACATTTTGGTCGTTCTTGTGCGGAGAGAGCTGAGGCGGCAGGTGTGTGGGGAGATGGGAGGTGAGGTCGAAATTCATGATTTGCCCCGCAAGGCGATCGAACTTTCGGGAACGTGGTCTGGCCGTTTGACAGCTACTGGCTGCATCCATTTCTCATTTTGCCTGAGGTAAGGAATGAGGCTTAGGTTAGATAGTTGAAAATATCGAAACAGGCGATTCTATATAGCTCTGTCTTCTGCGAATCAACTAATGCCTTCCTAGATATCGGGCCGTGATCCTCACAACATGTGCCTAATTGTAGAAAGCAGAACTATTTTAGAGTCAGATCCTATTCGTGTCGAAAGTATTCTATTTCGCTTTTTGACTCCCCCCTTAAGAAATAAGATAAAATAATGAAGCTTTGTCAGAGGCGAAACGCGATAGCTCCGCCCATGGCATCCTCCGCATTGCTATCGGTGCTCTCCGATGCCAGCGGCCCATAGAAACCAGAGATTGGAACTTTCCACTTCTCTTCCCCCTTCATTCTTCCAAATAACTCTCTCTTGCGCTTTCAAGCATTCTGTATGAATGGACACCGCCCGCAGGTCTAGCCCTGATCGCACCAACGAACGTCTTGCCCTGTATCAACAGCAGCTCGCGGCCCCGCTCCCCAGCTCTGCTACACACACGCCCGCCCGCCAACCACCTACCATGGCTGCTCGCGACCCCATTACCTGCCATGTCCTGAACACCCTGACAGGCACACCGGCTGCAAACCTGCCCGTCACCCTGACTCTTCTATCAGCGCCAGCTTCGCCATCCAGCCCAGTCACCTTCCACGCAACCACCAACGGCGACGGCCGTGTCGCGAAGTGGACTCCAACGAGCGCTGCGACTACCTTGTCTGTTCCAGAGATCCTCGCTGCTCTCCCTACTGGAGACAGTAAGACCAATTGGGCTGTGCGCTTTGAGGTTGGACCTTGGTATGAGGCTCAGGGCATCGAAAGCTTTTGGCCGGAGGTGGAGGTCAAGTTCACGGTGAAGGGCCGTGGGCGCGAAGGCGTGGAGGGCTGGCGCCATTATCATGTGCCTGTGTTGCTTGGGCCATGGAACTATTCTACCTACCGCGGGTCATAATTGTACACAGAATCTTTTTTCTTAATCAGGTGCTATATAGTTAAGGCCTTGCTTTTTGTGTAGACAGATGTGATACTCTGAATATTAAGCACTAAATCACGCCGTAAAGTTGAAGGAAGATATTACCCTAGAAAACTTATGCAATAGGTCATGATGTCAAGCTTCCTCGTTTCCTTCAATTATTCGGCAAGATGGCCGAGTTGGTCCAAGGCGCACGGTTCAGGTTCACCTGATCCACACATCCGTGTCTCGTTTTCGGGGCGTGAGTTCGAATCTCACTCTTGTCAATTGGATTTACTTTTTTTTTGCCTTTGGAAATTTGGTTTCTTCTCTAGAAAAAACAATTTCACCCACATAGACTAGTCTTTACCCAATTCCTTGGATACCCTGAATAAATGTCGAAGAGGAATATAATTGACCATCGGATGTGCGGATGTATTTTCCCCCGAACTATCGAACGTCCAGATATCATGAGCACTTTACTAGTGCATATATATGCCATGTAAATTTACACCGTGACTGGAGCTGAATACCAGCTCCGGGAGAATAGCTGACTGGGTGGAACATGGAGTTTGTTTGTCCAGGCAGATACAGTAGCACCGGCAGTGCGAAGGCTTTCTGCTAAGATCTCTCTAAGAGGCTCCTAGCACCGTATTCGACTGCTATTTCAGGTTTCCAGTGCTCCTAATCAAGTTCTGATACTTGAAATACATGAAGCCCGCTTGCTTCGGCTTGAGCTCCCCGAATGTACCGTCCCATGGGATGTAGATGTGTGGTCAGTAGTTATTTAGACCCGGGCTGGGGATACTAGTGGCCTCGGCTTAACCGAAGCTCTGCTCAGCTCTGCAGTGTTTCTGGTTCAGCTTCAAAACCGACTATGCTCGACGAAAGGGACGCCAGGGTTTGCAACCTTTACCAATCAGACTAAAAGTCCTCAACCCAAGGAATTGTGGAGTGGGGAGTCTTTGTTGAGAGCACTGTTGGGTTATCTTATTACTGGTAGCAGATTTGAGATTGGGGAGCTTGAAGTAACCGGGGTGGTTTCTATTTATCTGCCTAGTGGAGTTCTATGGGTAGTTCCAGGTAGGATCCCAAAGTCACTTGCGCGCAAGGATATATTCACTGACCGAGGAAGATCAATAACCGTATCAGACTTTGGGATCAGTTAAAGCTCATGGTCCTATTCGCGGGTCCCCAAATTGTGAGAGGATTTTCAATGAGAAGCCAAATATTGAATATCCTGCTTCTCTCTGGTCATCTGATAACCATCTGGTCCCAAGAATCAACCCCAGGTTTAGGGATATCTTACCAGAGTAGCAACCTTCAACTGTTTCCAGGATCTGATGCTGATTTCGCGATCTCGGTGGTTGCCAGATGCAATCTTACAAGGTCGACTAATATATTTTAACCTATTCATCGGCAGATATACTACTCAGACCGACAATGAAAGAGAGTACCAAGGAGAAGAGTGGTGGTCACAATCATTAGGGTTGGAGCCAATTAAATGAGCAGAATCCTTCGAGGCACTGGTAATAGGTGAAGTTGGAGATATAATGAGAATACGTAGTAGCCCTGAGACTGTGGTGTGGTGCCGGGACAATGACAATCCATACTGATGTCTTGGCGTCTGCCTTGGAGGCATGAGGACACATCAGACGAGGAAAGCCACCCAGCGACCGCACCGCACTTGGATCATCTTGTACTCTAGGAATAAAACGCAGGATTCTTCCGATTAGCAGGGTTGCACATTCGTGGTGCCTGATCGGCAGTGACAAGCTCCGCTTTGTTTTGGCGTTGTTTCAGTGATTGACATTGACCGCCCGCAGTTGTTGTGGCTAATCAGCCGCGTGTCTCTTTTTCGACATCCGTACAAATCGCCACGTCTCCCAGGGCTTGACTCACTTGATCTTCCTGACTTACCACCAGACGGTCTACCTTCCAACCATGTCGCTGGGCGAGGAGTTTCGCTCTCGGAATTTCAGTATGTACCCCCCCGGTGCTCCCGCCGCGCGCCAATCAAACGCTCGTGGCTTTGCGAGCTTGCTAACAGCGTCCTTCCTAGGCATCTACGGACAATGGTATGTAATTCATCCAAGCTCTCGGCCTGATGTCGCTGGCCTAGTGGGATTTGCGCTGGAGGGTTGCTCCCCCAGGAAACGCAAGGGGCATTTGTCACTTCTGTCCAGGCCTACCAGCTTCCAGTTGCCTCATATGTGATTTTTGAGGCCGTCTGACGATGTTCAACTAGGACCGGTGTTGTCGCAATCATCCTATGCTTTGCCCTGGGCATTGCGAATATCTTCTCCTTCAACGCAATTGAGATTATCTTCTCAGCCTTATGTCTGTGAGTTGTTAACTGCCATTCGGCGCTACGTCGGCCAAGTATCACGTCGTTCTAACTAATCAAAGCCTCTCCTCCTTCTTAATTCTCTTCATCGAGGTCCCCTGGCTCCTCCGGATCTGCCCTACCTCCTCCAAGTTCGATGGCTTCATCCGCCGCTTCACCACCAACTGGATGCGCGCCGCCTTCTATACAATCCTCAGCGCTATCCAATTCATCAGTCTCTTCAACCGGGTATCAAGCCTCCTGGCTGCCGCGATCGTGCTCATCATCGCGGCTTGTTTCTACGCACTGGCTGGAATCATGAGTCAAGAATTCGTGGGCAGCAAGACCCTGGGTGGCGTCGGGGTTGCGCAGATGATTGTCTGATGTATCGCTCAAGAAGATTCTTTTCCTTCCTCTTGACAAATCGAAAAGTGCTATAGGATACCTGTTGGTAAGCGGCGATTTGGACGAAATGAAGAGATGCTCGATGCGATAGTCTGAAAGGCCTTTGGGCAGTTTGCATTGAAATGTGCCACGAACATTGCTTGCTTTCTTTGTACTCGTATGTTTCTTTTGGTATTAGGAGATGCGCATGATAACTATTGATACTGGTATGTGACGAATTATGTTATGGGTACTGCTGGAAGCCGAACTCTGTAGATAGACAGCCCTAAGGTTGATCCTAATGACTGCTTCTTTTTTAGATATCTTTGGAATTTCGCTTGCAGAGTCAGATCAGCCTGGTGAAGGTAAAGCCAGGTATGTATATCTGCTGGTACATTAGGGGGGCAAAAGTCCGTGTTATACCGCTTCTGCTACCCCATCAAGTACCTATGTATATTCATGGGTATATACCCTGCACCACCAATCCTTATTGGATCATACTAAAAATCAATATACTGTATAATCAGGTTCATATAGGGAGTTCCCTTGCTTGAACTCTTGTATAATAGCCTTGGTTTGTATACAATCTATCCATCCTTCTTCATATACGTATCAATCTTCGTCTGGTCTAACGTATCCCATACAGCATTGAAACACCCTTTGAAATAGGCCCGATTTTCTTCAGATCTTCCTATCTACATAAGGTCTTCAAATATACGGTATAGTCAACGCTTTAGTATATTCCAGACCGTTTTAAGAGGGTTAAGATCAGGCCAGTGTACAGGCTAATCTTCAACGTACATCCTTTGCTCTTTGAACTAAACCTGTGTATCTTTCGCTATATGGATCTCTATATTCTTGCTAAAATATCATTCCAGATTGATAGCCATTGAGGCCATGGGGAAGGTGTAGGAGGAAAAATAAACATGTGGATGGTTGTAAGGGTGATGGCAATGTGACCGAGTGCACACAGACTTCTGCGCGGGTCGGTATACTGGATAGGCACAAAAAGGTCAAAAGCATGACCCAAAACGGGGAAGCCTCAGGTCATATTGGCGAAGTTGGTCGCTTACTTCATCGAATGGCAAGATGGCCGAGTTGGTCTAAGGCGTCAGGTTAAGGCTTACCTTAACACCATTTCCTGATCTCGTTTACGGGGCGTGAGTTCGAGTCTCACTCTTGTCAAATTCACTTTTTTTTTTTCTTTCTAAAACATGTATTATTTTTTTCCACCCCTCCTACTCAAATACGCTCCTTACAGGTAGCTCTGTAGATATACAGACAAAAACTCCGCGCTGTTATTTGGTTCTACCTTGCAGCTCCTCTTGAGAACCCCCATACGACCACGGTGCGCCCAAAGAACAAGTACAAAGGTACTCCACTATCCACTGTCTTCCCCCATCCAAAGCCATTGCATCATTTTCTTGGTTCAGACCGTCCCCCGCTTTCTCCGTCTCTTGCATTTTGCTATGGTCAGTGCCTCGGTAGGATCTTCACCCCGCAATTCAAGTAATTCCGATTGTAGCCATGAGTGCGTTGTGCGCGCATGACTGTTCGATTGCCCAAAACTCAACCCTTTCGAGTCAGGAACAGGATCCACCAAGCGGGCTTCGCAGAATTCCGCGCGTCATACACCCGGTGGCGGCTTAGGAAGTTCTCGTGGTTTCTGGTAGGGTCAGCAAGTCATGAAAACCTGCAAGTTTACAATACGCCAGTGTGATATGACTTGCGTGGTTTTCAGTGAAACAGAATTGCGTGCTGATCTTCATAATAGGCTTTTTTCCCAGTCCTTTTTTCTTGACCATTTGAATTACCTCTATGGAGGGACCCGCTGGTACATCGTACGCAGTACAGAATCGATCCGGTTCACCGCCTCGGCAAGCATGGCCAATCAGGAGCGCTGTATATAATCGAAGTTCTGGCCGAGGGAGCAGACGAGACGGTCTAATGTTCGAGGTTTTCCTTATCGTCCCAGAACGTTGAAAAAACCAATAATCTTTGCCCCTGATTCGCGCAGCCACTGATGATGGAAATGCGCTATTAATATATACTTTAGCCCGCGGTCTGGCCCCAGGGATTATCGGGTTAGTGACCTCTAGAGGAAAGACGAGGGTCCTTCTACTGCACGCTACAACAGACCGCCATCGGTTGCCCCCTCAATTCCAACGATTCTTGGCCACTCACCTTTCCACACTTGAGGCAATTGGTGAAAAAATACCGCAACCAGAAATCATGTAGGAACTGCGCCCTGCTCATTTGTTTGTCCAACAAACCTCTCATAGCAGATGCTGAGGGGTTGAGTAGCTAGGATTCTTGGTATCTATGGAAACTGGAACCATTTTGAAAGGCTGAATCTGTACTTGGACTAGTACAAGCCCGCGAATGAATAATGCACTGGAGATCTCCTGAAGTACGCAGTACAGAGTTATGTAGTACGTATTTTGGTCACGATACGGTAAAGACCCAGCGAAGTGGATGGTTCAGGCGGACGAGAACTTGAAGTGGGCTGTGGTCAAAGCACGTCACGCGCGGGCAGAAAGAGACACTTACATCATCCGCCCTGCCCTTCAATCTCTACCTTGCGATCTTAGTCTCTTGACGTCGTTTCACCGATTTACACGGCTAAACTGCCTATTCCTTTTCAATTGGCATTCCTGCCCCTGTTACTGCACTGTTATCAAACTGGGTAAGCAAATCAAGTCTAGCTCTGCTTATCAGCGGGCCTCGTCCTCAGTCTATACTCGACGGAGTCACCCCGGCCCAGACCTAGTTCTCTCGCATGCATGTCACGGAGTGGGTGTGTCTCGACCTTACATTGTGTCCACAGAGGTCTTGGCCTGCAGAAACTTGCGAGAATAACAGAAAGGAAGAGGCCCATGCTGACCATCTACACGTGGCGTTTGGACTGGCCTCGTCGAACCTAAGCTGATGTTATCGGAACTAGCTTCGAAATTTCCGCCATCATGTCTACCCAAGCTCCTCCGGTCATCCCTCCTCGACCGTCTCGATCCCCTCAAGCGCCCGCTTCCCTAAACGCGCCTGTCATTCCCCAACGCCCTGCGAGTCGCCGCTTAGATCGCTCTGTTTCTCCAATGCGGGACAGCTATGCACCCTCACCCCTCAACGAGTGGAATGGCCCGAGCATGAGCCGTACCACTTCGAATGAAATTGCTCGTCCACCAAGCGTCACAATCCCGTCTCTGGGTGAAGAGGGAATTGAGTATGCCGACCTCGATGTCGGGAAACAGACACCGGAGCCCCGCAACGTGAACAGCGACCTAAAACTCCATGCGCCGCGACCTTCTCTGCCTAAATCAAGTGCCAAGGCCAAAGTCCAGGCGGTAACGCGTACGGACTCCAGACAGGCTGCAGCTGCTGGGGTTGGTAGTGAACACCATGAGGAACCCGAACGCTCAAGTCGCTCCCTGCATTCCCAAACTAATTCGCGAGCGGCATCAAACTCTTCTGACCGTCGTCTCTCAGCGCAGTTTGGAGAAGAGCATGGATTCCGAGTGCCAATGTATCCGAATGCCGGAGACGTTCAGGCTCCTTCTCCTAGTCCGTATCTGGAGCAGGGCTCTCAGCGTCAGGGCCGTAACCACAACCGCACCCGTAGTGGCCGTGATTCGTCTTTACCCCCAGGAAGCTACGGTCTGCATGGACATGGTGTCCAGCATGCTGATAAATTCGAGAAGGCGTGGTATGAAAAGCACCCTGATGAATATATCAAGGAAGAAGGGCAGTATGGCCCCGGCGTGGGCACGCCCCGCCCCGATTGGGCTTTGAGCAGCGACGACCTGAATAAGATCGTTCGAGGTTCAGGCCCAAGTAACCCAGGAGCCGGTCAGTTGACCCTTTGTCGTGGAAAAGAAATGGACGTAAAAACTAACAATGGTAATATAGGCACCGCTCGGAGTGTCCAGGGTACCCCAGACGAGGAGGTCGGTTACATCGCTTCCGACGAATATACCCACCGTCTCGTAGATTCGGATTCGCACCCTCCTGTGGAATCTCCTCTTCGCCAAACGAGCTTCCCATCTAATGAGAAAGAGGCCATTGGCTCTCCATTGCGCCGTGAGAGAACGAGTTCACGTCATGCAGATGGCGAAGTTATTCATATTGATGATCCTCACCACCACCTCCACCACCCAGATGGATTTGCTGCCGCTCCTGTCGATGAAGACGCACTGGAAGATGATGACCATGCTGAGCACGATGAGCCTATTCTAGCGGCCGATGAAGTGCGTCCCGAGTCTGCCTTCTTGCACCCTGCCATCTCCCCCACCCGTGGAGGCTTCGATGACGAGTACCGTAGTCGTACACCCAGTATATCTCACAGCCGTTCGAACAGCCGTTCGACCAGTGCTCAGGGTGGCTCTTATCTGACTCGATTTGACTCGCGCGAGTTGCATGAAGACACCCACACACCACTGGAGGATGTTGAGGAATACGAGCCCTTGTTTCCCGAAGAAGAGGACTCACAGACGCAGCGACCACTTTCCCAGAGTGAGCGTTTCAAGAAACGCCCTGAATCACTCAAGCACCGGTTCCCTAGTGAAGATATCTGGGAGGATGCCCCGAACAGTCTTCAGCATTATACTACGGTGTCTACCCCGGACCTTCCCACCCGCGACACTGCCGAGGTCTTCGAGACGCCCGAGCAGGAGGCTGCTCGCAGGAGGCAAACCGGTAAGATTGACTCGCACGATGTTGCCAGTCACATTCTTGAATCTAGCGGCAGTAGCCCCGCAAACGTACCTAAAAGACCCGAAGGGCACAAGCAGCGCTTCCCAAGTCGGGATATCTGGGAGGATACTCCTGATAGCCAGCAGCTTGTGACGACCGTCGAACCCGCCACGGAAGAGCTTAAGAGCCCGGAAGCCCCCAGCAAACCCAGTATTCCTCCTCGCCCAACCAAGGCTCAACCATCCACATCACCTACCGATAAACGCTCACCGCCAGGGATTCCAGACCGCCCGAAGCCCCAGGTTCCTTCTCGTCCCGCCAAGTCCAGCTCGCCAGAGAAGACACCGGTAGCTGGAGCAGTTGGCAGAGATGCCGCCGAGGCCCCCGCGGTCCCCAAAGCAAAGCCTGCTGTTCCAGCACGACCCGGTGGCAGTAAGATCGCAGCATTGAAGGCGGGCTTTCTCACAGACTTGAACTCCCGCCTGCAACTAGGACCTCAGCAACAGAAGCCTCAGCCGAAGGAGCCAGAATCCCCAGCCGAGAAGCAGCCTCTCAGCGATGCGCGTAAAGGCAGAGCCCGTGGTCCTGCCCGCCGGAAGCCTGCGGTGGAGAAGGCTGATGCTAGGTTACCCACTATTCCAGAAGTCAAGATCACTGAGAGCTGGAATGTCTGGCAGGTCGGTTCTGACGGCAGTCTCACAGTCGGGGGTGAAACGAAGCACGCCGATCCTGTTGAGGCCTCTCCTTCTATAGAGACGCATCCCTCCTCAGATCCATCGCCCGCCCCAGAACCAGCAATGGCTCCTAAGCTTTCCAAGAATATTGCTGGAGAGCCTACAGACCCAGTTCCCGTCAAAACAGAGGCAGATGCAGAGGAGGCCACGCCACCTATTGTGAAAGCCCCTCCCCAAAAGGAAGACACCGAGCAGCCTTTGGCAGAGAAGGTCGCCGATACGAAGGCGGACACCAAGGAGGCTGCTGAGCTAGCTTTTTTCGCCAAGGTGAATGATACCTTGCAGGGTGAAGCAACAGAATCCGTTCAGCGCAGAGAGACCGAGGGCGAAAACGAAACCACTACGTCTTGATTTATTTTGTTTTCATTCGTTAATTCTTTGTCTATGAGCTAGCTATATGTGGGAAATACGCGTGGTCGTGCAAGGCGTCCACTTTTCCAAATCACATGGTTGACTGATCGACTAATTGTGCAAAATGACATGAATCAGTGTAGTAGTCTACTTGTTCCCGAAGCCTTAGCGTGGTTTTTCTTTCCTTCTTTCTTTTCAAATGAGAGTTTAAGCAGCCGGCTACTCGTATGGTTTGTTCGTTACACAATGTACATGAGAAGAGGCATTCAGGTTCATGAATATTTTTGGCCACTCTCGGGTCGCTGATACTGTGATAAAAAGTAACGATGCAAGCTAAATCAAATTCATTCAACTTAATACCATGTCTACGAGTAGCTATTCTGAGCTGATTTGAGAAAATACACGACTGGGCAACACAAAAATGTGGACTCATTTCTTTTTGGTTGTACCTAATCGCGACGGAGAGGCCTGGGGAATCATAACGAAAACACAAAACTCAAATCTTCAAAATCGAGACCATGATACGGCGGGGCTCCTCGCTGAATTTTGCAAGCCAGCAGGCAAGCAATGGGGCAATGCAGAGCGTCTAACTGACAGGAAGCTTGCTCATATCACCCTTGCCATTCTTGATCCATTCGGCATCGACCAGCTGCTCTCGCTCCGCATACAGCTGCTTGTAGGCACCTCGAATGGTTCCATCACTGACGCCTACGACCTGGGAGATATCCTTGGCAGACTTTCCGTTTCCCATCAAGTAGGAGGCCATGTAGATGCAGGCAGCAACGATCGACAGCGGGGAGCGTCCGGCCAAGTAACCCTTCGCAGTGACGCGGTCTGCCAGTGTAGAGGAAGCGTTGGTGACCGAGTACGGCAGCTCCAGCATGTTACAGAAACGGTTGCAAAGATCACTAGGCTTGGTCGAAGATGTGGCTGTGTAGGACGGTTCCTGCGTATCGGCGAAAGCGCTGGTACGCGGGACGTTCTTAGACATGAAAAACTTCTCGAGCGTCTTGTAGATACGGCCAATTTGTGTGCGGCTGACCTTGGTCACGTTGAAAATCTCGTTGAATGTACGAGGGACCTTGCATTGACGGCAGGCAATGAAAATACACCCAGCGATGATCACTTCCTGGGACTTGCCCTTGAGAGCCTTTTCATCATCCACGAGCTTGTAGAGATACTTGGCGGTATCTGCCACGTTCTTCTGGATGCCCCAGCCATCACAGAGAGCACCGATTTCCTTGTAGGCTGCCAGGAGGGCCTTGTTCGCCTTCTCGTTGGACTGCTTGTTTTGAGCACGGTAGAGGTCACGAGAGCGGCCAGTTGCTCCGCTGGCAATCGAGGTTTCCAGCTGGTCTCCGTTGAGAAGAGGGTTCATCGCGTCTCCGACACGGGAGGGGTCATCGTTATTCTGGTCATCATTAGAGAAGGTTCGCCATTCCGAGTGCTCGTCGATCCCGCGGTCGGCCAAAACCAAGCCGCAGGAGCCGCAAATGGTATCCGCATCGGAGTAAATCAGGTTTGGAGGATTTTCCGCACACTCCTTGCAGATAAGACGAGCGCTGAGGTCTTTCCTGTATGGCACAGACGTGTCCATTTGGGTTACGTGGGTTGCCATCTTGTCAGTAGGTGGGTAGCTTTAGGGGTGTTGCAAGCCGCTTCCTGCGAATAAGAAGACGGATTCCTTTCTGGAACCGAGCGAAGATCTCCTCTTCAAGTATTGGAAGGTGTTGAGGATATTTCTCTTTTTCGCGACTTGACGGAGTGACACTCCGCTGAGAGTTCCTGAGAGGAGCGATTGAGTCACCGATACCACATACTTGTGAGAAGTCTTCCGAGGCTTTTATTACCTTTGAGATATGACTGCCTGAACAGCAAGGATCAGATCCACCCCCCCCCAGGAGAGTGTGAAAAGGTCTGTAACTCAAATCTGCGCTTCCTCAAGACGAGAAAATCACAGAGCGCCTCGATGCCTCTGCTTGTCCGACCGCGATGAACCAGTCAAGGTCTCCGTGAGAAAGATCTCACGGAAAGGGGTCGTAGAACCTGACGGATTGCTGCAAGTATGCGAAGGCGCAAGTGGCAACGTGGGGAGTCGAGTTCCGGTGACAAGCGAAGGAAAGGGAGAGAGTTCGAGGTCCGGGGGAGAGATGAAATACCAAAGAGACCGAGAGACCAAGATTAACAATCCAACGCAACCGTGCTGAGATAGTGAATGCGGTCACATGACCATGACTCAGCGCCAAGCCTGCCTTCCGAACAGAAGTCGTTCTGAACCTCAAACTGCCCGGAACGACGAGAACTCCTTCCTGACGAGCAATTCTCCCCGCCATTCCCCCCTCATCCATTCACTACTTCCCGTCAAGATGATGTCCCAGTCTCTCCGGGCTTCGGTATGCGCTACTTACTTGAATCACATCATGGTGAACCCCCCACTAATGCGATAGCCAGCGCTCTCTCCTCACCCGTGCCTCTCGGCAACAGGTCCCGGTCGCTCGCACCTTCCTGACCTCCGCTGTCCGTCGCGGTATGTATTCACCACATTACTCGAACTAGCTGAAAGAGGAAGACCTTCTTTCGATCGGACCGACCTGCGCAGTACGTATCGCTAACTGATGTATCCGACTTTAGCCGACCCCGTTCAGGACCTCTACCTCCGTGAGCTCAAGGCTTACAAGCCCACTCCCATCAAGGCCAGTGACGCCGACGCTCACGTTCACAAGTTCACTCCTCCCAAGGCCCCTGCTTCCCCAGAGGAGGCCAACCTCGCCAGCGAGCTGTCCGCCTACGAGAGCCAGGTTGTCGAGGTTGAGGGTCAGTCCGCCGCTGGCGAGGCTGCCCCCGTTGAGGAGAACTGGTTCGAGGAGGAGGAGGAGGAGGCCCCCGCTGCTCACTAAATGCCCTTTATTTCTTATCTCAAGGTCTGGGGAAATATTGAGAGCAGCCAACCATTAGCCATGCATGTCAGTGTGAGTCTCTTGGCCGCTTCGCGGGGTCCTGAAGCTTGTAAATTAGACCGCCTTTGAAATGTTCAATCACTTTTTCCTTTGTTTTTGGAAATCTTCTCCTGCTTTAGGCCCTGCACTATCTGCGGGATTTCGCTTCTGGGTTCTGGCAGTGGGCAACAATCAATGTAACTTGTCTATCCACACGCATGGGAAGCGAACTTGTCTCGTCAAGGCACCAAAATAATATGCGCCTTTGGGCCAACTCTAAATTCTTCTACCCGTCGGCAAAGCTACGAATAGCGGTAGAGCATGATATGTTTGCAGAGACAGTAATAGTTCTAGGCACGGCATTGTTCAACACGTTTTGTTTAGTTTGAAGCTTTTCTGAAGGCTACATGAGCGCTCAATGGATGCTGACACTACGCAGTATAGTACATTGGCGGTATTTCAATTCTGTGGTTGCTGAGTATATTTTGTTATATGTTTGTGCTCCTTCGGCAACCATGTTCAGTCTATACTGGCACACACTAGTATTGATGCCAATGTCTTTTATCTTTCAAAATTTGCTTCTATGTCCAGCATGCCCAAGCAGATTTCCTCTAGACCAAATAATCTTGGTCACAATGCACTTGCTAAAGAAGTCTACGACGGACAGAAGCCCTCTTCTGGCAGTCACCGCTGTACGTTTTGTACGAACAACCCACGTAAAGTCTAAGGAAAACTGCCTCGAAGAACTGATGTAAGGCACCGACTTCTCGGCCACGACCAAGCCTTCTGCAATTGTCTCGACCTTGCTGATGAGAAATGCGCTGCCCCTCAGCTTTAGAGATGCTTCGGCTGCGATTGAACTCATTGTATCGGAAGCCTTTGAACTCGGGCCGACCCCCTTCCCTGCAAAGCCCGAGGATAAGGAGTTCGCTTCCAAGTTCTGCGATATCGCTGAGAAGCTTTTGGCAGAAGGCAAGGTGAAGGTGCACAGGCCTAAGGTCTCTCCAGGAGGGCTGAAGGGTGTTTTGGAGGGTCTGGAGCAGCTGAAGCAGGCAAAGGTTAGCGGTGAGAAGCTTGTGTATAACATTGCAGAGACGCCTTAGTTGGTTAATATCCGAAGCGTATTCATGAATATCAAAATGTGGTGCCAGGGCCAACAACTCAGTTAAGAATATAACTAGGAATGTTAGTGTGTTACATCTAACCTTGAACAGCACGATGCTAGTATTAGTATGCCGTGACGTGTTAAGCCAGGATTTCGTATTTTTTTCCCTTTTTTTATTTTCTGGGTCCATTGCCTCTGTAACATAGGGGGTGCCTTAGTTAGTTATTCCCGACTTGTGAACAGTATCTGATTGAAGTCTCGATCTCGCGATGCTTCTCCACATGTCTTAATTGAGACGAGGCTCCGTGTGTCGGCCTCAGGCTATGAGAACGCCCGCCCTGAGTTCGATCAGCCGTGACGAGATTGCGACAATGTGTCTATTAGTGCATGATATATAGCTGGAAGCGAATTTTTGGATTAATACGTATTTGTGTATTAGTATGGAAGATATAATTTGAAAATAAGGGGCTTGAAAATTGTCGCGGAAAAAAAAAGAAAAAGGGGAAAAGAAAGATAAAACAAAAAGAAAAAAAAAGGAGTGGAATTGACAAGAGTGAGACTCGAACTCACGCCCCGTAAACGAGATCAGGAAATGGTGTTAAGGTAAGCCTTAACCTGACGCCTTAGACCAACTCGGCCATCTTGCCATTCGATGAAATAATTTTCGAATCTTTGACATTATGATGAGGGTAACCTTTTGTCTAAGCGGGCCGAACGCCCTGCATGCTATGGCGCCTAATGACGTGTAATGTGTCTAAATAATGGGGGAACCGGCCGAGCTTAATTCACGGCTTTAGCTTTCCTTTTTTCCCCTCTTTTTCTTTTTTCTTTTTCTTTTTTTTTGGCGCTTCGCCTGAATTTTCCCCAGAGGCGTACTGCCAAGCCATGCACTTGGCATATTCGTAGTACGTACCCGATGGTGTAACTATTGATCTCCAAACAGTCTCCTGTGGGCTGGCCTGTCAAACCCGATAGAATCGATCGGTAAGGGCCAATGTCTAGCAGCACTTGGTTCACGCCTGTGCCATGGAGAGAAAGTCTGGCCCTGCGATACACGAAAGGGGGACACAGCCAAACCCAAATCTCCACGGTCTAGCCTACCTTCCCCTCGACCTCTCTAAGGAGAAAACCCCTGCAGAGCGGGCTGCGATAGTCGAGATGTTGCGATACTTAATATGGGCCAGAGTTGCATACATACATACCCCATGCGGAGTCCGCAATGGATGTTCGATCTATCCTGATCCCGGCCCTATGCTGTGGGAAACGATCATGGTACGACTGCTTTGTATAACGCGGCAAATGTAAATATTTCGTCTCTTTATACCCCAGTGGAATGTGGGGCACCATCTATCGTGTTGTTTTATTCTTGTTGTTATCCCCCATGCCTCTAGGGCTTTTGAGGCCTCGGAAGTGTTCTATCCGTTCCTCCCGAGGAATCGTACGGGGCCCTTGGGCTGACGGTGGCCAGTCGGAGAACAGCGAAGCTGCATTCCTATGGTTATCAGGTCGGAATGCGCCCAAGTCCAGGAATGGGGGGACACGCAGCAGGTACCGATGTACATATGACAGTACACGGGTGGGGGAAAGCTGTACAGCTGTACATGCTCCATTCGATGCGTATCTGCCGATTAAATGTCACTGGGAGGCGAAGCCCCAAGGCTGAGATGTTTTAGCGATTTGCTTTATGGCGCATCCCCACTCTCTTTGGTGATCGGCGATGCCGAATCATCTTGAAAGGCTCTGGGTAGTCCCTGGCTATGGGAAACTTTATTCTCGACTTACGGCGATTATTGTAAATAGTCGGAAGAACATCGGAACACGGCGGATCGGGTAATTTGTCAACAAAATCCTCAGCTCCTCACGCTCTAAATCCTCCGGAGCACTTGCGATTGGTACGGGGTGTGCTAGGTTACAGTCAGGCCTATAGGCAGCCGGGCTGAATCACGAACCAGCCTCGTTCATGCAAGTGGCACAGAGAAGTCCAGGATTACGCGAGAGTGATGGCTACTTGGGGAGCTCAGAGCGGAGCCGTGGATTGGGGCTCTTGTCGCGGTGGAGACCATGTCTCACCGTCGCATGGGGAGATTGGAGGGCTTAATGGACGGTGGAACTGGGTCAACTAATCATTGGAATAAATGACACAGATGGAGCCACAATGGGTCCTCTTTAAAGGGGCTGAGGACGTGAATCAGATAGAAAACGCAGGGAGGTGCTCCGGTCTGCCTCAGCCCTCTCCCTGCAGCCCTCCTTCCGTTTTCTCTGACCTCATCTCGAAATTTCTTTTTTTCATTTCGCTTCTTCCGTTTGGTTTGTTGTCCTCTAACCGTAAACCTCGTATTCAAGAGACTTTGAAGTCAGTCTACCCGGATTGCTGTCCATTGTACTTATTGGGGAATTCTTCCCCCCTAAAACCATCACCCGTGCATATCCAGCGCTTCCTGCCCCCTCCCCCCCCTCCTGGTTCGACTCACCCCCTTCCATAAATAATTCCTCTTATACCTCACGTCCCTCCCGTTTCCCCACGAACGCGGACCCTTGTTCTGCAACCCGAACCACCTGTTTGACGACTGAGGCCGCCGATCACTTGCTCGTTTGGCCACAGTGGCGTCGTCTAGCCGGGCAAGCAGCTGCATTCGACGAGAGATCTATCAAACTGGGGTGACCGACTTGTCGAGCCTTTCTTTTTTATTTTGTTATTTGTTTCTCTTAGTGAATGAGTGCTCGCAAGTCTGCTCGCCAGGTCCTATCCCGTGAGAGAAGGGTGGTCTATTCCGTCCTAGCCTCCATTGGGACATGCTGCGTGTCTAAGATTCGCTATTGACCTGTGATCTCTTTGGGGTGCATGGAGAAGCTGGTCTTCTTCCACACAAACCTCACGCGCCTGCGGGAATTTCCCTGGAGGAAATGAGTAACCGCCGATAGCTTCTTGCAACCTCACTTGCCCAGTAACATGTCGCTCTCGATCGACACTTCGAGGAGCTACCCTAACGACGACGGGAACGCGCTGTTCTCCCGCGCTGCGAGCTATACGGACCTCCCCAGTCAGGCTGAAACCGAAGCTGCCTCACCCTCGTTAAGACGAACCTTCTCCGATTACGTCGTACCCACCGTGTCTGAGTCTCCGACCAAAGAATCTGTGGCCGCTGGCAAAGACATCCTCCGCCGCACATCCCTGCGCTCGAAAGCCAAACCCCCACCCACTGTCTCACACTTCACCCTTTCTTCGTCGGAGGACCTTCAGGAGATCACAACACAAGATGTCGAACCGAAACTACTGGGACATCGAGCTCCGGAACCTGCTGCGCGGCCATCGAAAGGGCGCTCGATGTCGGGACGAATAGTCAGTCTGGCGAGGAAGCCATGGGGCTCCTCCTCGAGATCCCCCTCCCCTTCTGCCAAGAAAACACAACAGAAGCTTGAAGATCAATCGCCCACGCGAAAGGGATCTCGAAACACGGAGGAGTCGGACTCGGACTCTGCACCACCGAGTCGCAGACGCTCAATATTGTACAAACGCCCGCGTCGCCCAATGCTCGCAGTGGTGGCGAAAGGCGATGATGATCCTCCTAGTTCACCGGTTAGCCCATCACAGTCGCTCCGAAACAGGACTTCATTCGAAAAATTCAGCGCATCGCTGTCCGTGTCTACCCCTGTGCTCCCGCCGATGCCGAAGGGCGCTGCAGCAACAGCAGCCTCTTTCCAGAACAACGGAGCCGACCAGTCGCGCAGAAAGGACGAACTCTGGGGGGATTTTCCGCGGGCTTGAAGCGGATTTCCAAAAGTGAGTAACATGAGCCTGGGATTCGCTGAACAACGGCTGAGACGCAAGCTAGGTTTCAATCCAAATCGAGCTCATTGAAGGCCAACGTAATTCGCACCTCGCTGCTGCCATTTCTCGGTCGTCATCATCTTCATGCGTCCTGTAAGAACCTCAGACCAGAGGACTTGGATCGACGGGTGAATATTCTTAACAAGTGGTGGATTGGGATGCTGGAGATGCTCAATGGCAAAAATAACCAATCGATTTCAGGAACCGACCGGCCTGTGTTTTTGGAGGCTGTCGTGGGTATCATGACCCGACCCGAATGGCGCATTCCCTTTCCTACTGCGCAGCAAGGCAGTGGGCCTACGGATTCATTGAAATATGCATCGACCTCAGTGTCAGAATCATCAGACGGGTCCGCTTCAACAGCATCGGACTTCCTAATTGAGTCGATTCACCATAACATTCGAAATATCTTTGTTCAGAATCTCCTGTCGCAAATGGCGTTTGTGGTGGAGCGAATGTCCATGCGACATGCTCCCGCGAGCTTGGTGTCTTTCTGTGGCAAAGTTTGCGCTTATGCCTACTTCTTCTGTCCAGGTGTGGCAGATATCATGGTTCGCCTGTGGAACACACCTCCGTCTATGTTCCGCCGGATTATGATCGGATCGCCGCAATCTCCGGCAGGGAATACGCGTGCATACACCCAAGAGCTTGCCTTGAGCTTCCCCCCGGCTCTTCGACCTCTCGCATTTCACTCCCCTGCGCTCCTCCTTCGACATCTGCGTCGCAAGCCCGAAGCACCTCTCAACACCTCCAACATTGCGTGGAATGGCCCATGGAAAGCCCGCTGGTCCGGTCGTGACACTGATCTGTTCTTCGTCTTTGTCAAATATATCCACATCCTCTATGCAGAGTATCTTCCTTCTGAGACAGAGAAGGACAAGCGTATCCTCGCTCCAGGGCTGCTCCTTGTTCATGCCCAGATGATCGTCGCATTTGAGGATATAATTTACAAACAATCTTCGCACCAAGCCGCCGAAGCCGCTCATGCAGCAACTTCAATCACGTTCGACGATCTGATGGAGGCTCCGGATGCATCGGCTGCCGCTTCTCTCCCCTTCGGAGCTGGAAGGCACAGCCATCGTTCCATGGCGGAGAGTCGTTTGGTTATCCTCGCTCGAGATTTTCTCTCAGAATCTTCCTCTGAGCCCAATCGCGCTCGGCTCCTTTTCGCGGAGAGCTTTTGTAGTCTTCTCAAGGTGGCGGCCCAAAAAGTTTCTCTCTTTGATCATAATGCCTGCTTCCTTCTTTGCGATCTCCTTGAAGAGGTCATTCCGATCATCACTCGATACGCGCATTCCATCGATACAGAATTGTTCGACTGGGCTTTCTGGCAGGACGTCTGTGGACAGATGATGCAGAGTCATAACTCCATGACCGAAGTGCGTGTTTTCTCTTTCATTTACTGTGTTTGGGGCACATGGGTCTCAACCGAGGAGAGAAAAGCCAATCTCTGCCTGGACTTTTTGTTGCACGAGCCTATTTTCTTCCATTATTTCAACCACTGGAGTCCAATGGTTCGTGCTTATTACCACCGCCTCCTTTGCTGGAGAGTCGGTCGGTTCAATGTGGATCCGTCTGCTCTTGACTCAACCATCTACGAAACGCTTTCGGACCGCCTTCTGCGAGTGTGGGACTACTACGTGGGATTCCAGTCCAGGGCAGAGGACGGATTAGTTGCCCCTCTATCCTCGGCACCTTGCACCCCGGCTCCTGGTCGCCGGATTATCATCATCCGATGCGATAATCAGATATCTCCCGTCAACCTTTTTGTCTCGTTTGATGGGGTCGCTCCTCAGAGTTCTGAGCAGAGTTTGACCCACCGGAGAAGCGGCTCAGCAGATTCCACGAACTCGGATGGCCCGCCTGCGAAGAGACGGTGGGGTCTTCTTCGTTCCATGTTTGGTGCTAGCAAGGGGCCAGATGGTACCAATGATGGCAGTACGGGCGGATCAGAGAGCAATAGCCCTGACCCGACCATGGTACCTCAAAGCAAATGCATGGACGAGCATGACCAAACTGGTAACAGCAATACGGACGATCTGGCTCGGCCCAAGACCGCGCATCAACCATATTTCTTCAAGTTCTCACTCGAATGGATGGACCGCCCACAGTGGCCAACCAAGAACAAGCGCCTTTTCCCGCCTTGTATTCCCGTCGCCTCGCAAGTTCATGTGCAGCAACAGCGTTCACCCTCCAAAGCTGAGGAGATGGAGGAGACCTCTGAAAACGGCTCTAATGCTGAGATTATCATCCATGAAGCCACCAAGTTCCCCGAAATCGCATCCCAGGATTCTGATCTCAAAGATCCATCGGCAAACCTTCCCCCCGATACTCTGTCCAGGGAAATGACCACCAAGGACTCGCCGCTGCCTGAGTTACCATCGCAGCCGCAGTTCGATCATCTTGTCCCCAGCAAATACTGTGGTCGAGCCTTGGCAGAGTGGGCACACATTGTTTCCGAATGCGACAGTTTCTTTGCAAGACGGCGTGACGAAGGCGTCCCCTCTGATGGGACAGTCGAGACACCCACTCTTGGTGTTGAGACCTTCCGGAAGTGAGGGCTCGTCTGTGCATTATACCTCCAGCCCCAACTCCTCATTCTGCCACACTCTCTCATCTCAATTATAGACCTTTGTGGTCCTTCCAAAGGATGTGTTCCATAATACTACCTCCACCCTTCCCGGTTACCATATTCTTGTTCGATTCTACTTCCATACTGTGCCGCGTGCATCGCAGGGTTGGAGCATAGGGCAACGGCGTTTTTGGAGCTCTTAAATTTAAGGGCTGGTTTTTCATTTCCCAAATATCCATTTTTTTTGTCTCGTATGATAGCGATGAACCAAGGCGATAATCTTAATGGAGACGCCCAATTGAAGTCAACAATGGAAACAAATCACACCATATCATGCGCCCCTGGCCCCCTGTAGACTGATTTTTTTCATACTATAATTAGGATTGCAACCCAAATGAAATATACTCGTAGCAGTGGAACTTGAATTGGAGTGAACCATTTTAATGTTGGAGATGCGGAACCTTCCACACTGGCGTTGGTAAACGCTTCCGCGCTTCCCCACCTTCACCATCGGCTCCGAGACTTTTGCAGTGTATCGACGCACAAGTCATGGGTGACTTGACCTCTGATCGTGTACTGCAAGCTCAATTGGTCCGATTCCGATGAGCTGCGAGGTATAGAAATGCCAAGCCTGCAAATAAGGAACCTGGTTCCAACCAAAACGAGCGACGCGAGCTCAGATAACATCCATCCAGCTCAATGACCTCGCGACTAGCTGCGTGCGAGGCCTGCCGCAAGGCCAAGCTTGCCTGCGACCACCATCAGCCAGTCTGCTCCCGCTGCCAAAGCACCGGTGGGATATGCATCTACCGAACAGCGCCGTTCAAGCGCAGGCGTATCGAGAAACCAAGGTAAAAGTGGAACCTGATGCTGCAAGATTCGTACCAGTTAGCACTAGGTCTTGATACTGACAGCATGAAGCACACTTCCCTCGCCTGATCCATCGCCATCATTCACTCCCCGTCGCAACCCGTACCCCAATCCGGGCTACCTAGGGTTGTCTAGCCATGCCGCTATTTTTGAGCATATCGCCACCGATAAGGGAGACCATAGTTCGACACGCACATTGCCGAACAATGAAGCTCCAAGCCCGCAAAGGGTAGGCGATAACCATCTTCTACTCCAAGGGGCAGAAGTCTTACGCCATCTACTCACGGCCTACCCACTCTCCGCTATGAAGGAGCTTGCAAATTTCTGGCTGGCTAAAGGCGCTAATCTCGCGCTAGCAGAGCCATTCGTTGCAGACTGCACAGAAAGCGTTAGCCAGCTCTTCAAATCGCGTGACGAGAACTGGCATCTTGTCTATGCAGGGCGGCTGCTGCAAAATTCTGCGCAGCCGCTGCATTTTCTTTCCGCAACCCCGCTGTCGGAGTTTTCGATGCAGTTCCTTGGCCACAATTCCCGGTGGGAAACCCTCGGGATATTTTTCACGGCCGTCAGCCGTGCGACAATCGATATCCCTTTCTTTCCATCACTGTATACTTCGGAGGAGGAACGGTATCATTTGAGGAGACTCGCGACGAAGCTGAGTGATTTTGCGCTGGAGATCTCGTTGTCACTCGACTCCTTGAATGACTTGCAACTTATTGTCCAGTATGAGAATTTCATCGTACATTCATACGTTGATGGCGATCAAAGTGAGTGCTATCCCGCTAATAAGCCTGATTTCTGTACCAGGATGATTAATCTGTTCAAGGCTATCATTCATGGCGTAAGCTAGGAGATGTCATCTCCTCTACTTTCGCCATGGGCTACCACGAGGACATCGAGGCGAAGCCCGATATTCCTCAATTCTTGATTGAGCTGCGTAAAAGTGCGTTTGCTCGAATATACTCTGCTGATAAGAACATCGCGATCTTCCTCGGTCGACCACCGCGGATGAATAGACGATTCTGTCACTTCCAGATCCCGTCCTGCCAGATACGTGACCTTCGCTTTGGTACTGCAATTGATAGTACTGTGCAAGATAGACTTGCATGGGTCCCGGACGCTATCATAGGCTATCGGGCAGATACACGTTGGTCTGCGTTATGCGCCTATCTCAAAGAAGAAGTATGGGAGTTGTTGCAGGATAAGCAGGATCTCGGATGTGCTAAGAAAGCGAGGTGAGCTCCTGCAGCCAGTTCAGATACTGCCACGGTCCAGAATTCTAGACCCGCTAACAGTCTCCAGTTCAATCCAGCAAAGAGCAGAGGCACAATGGCAGGCTCTCCCTGCGCACTTTCGACTCCAGAGCAGCCTCAAACAATGCGGCCAGGGTCCCTTCGAACGGGATTTTGTCGCACACGTGCGACTCAATCATTTACATGTTCTCTTCCTCCTTCGTCTGCTATTGTTGAATACCCTTGCCGAGCCGGACATACCCATCATCGAAACCGCAGCGCAGATGCTTGCTCTCGTAGTAGAAGTGATCCTCCTCCGAGACCAACTGACCAATTCTGGAACCGGACTTATCTGGAAGGTATGGGGGTTTCCCTGCTGGCAGATGCCATGGGGACATCGATTGAACGTCAAGATCGCAACTAACTCACGCAAAACCCTCTCTAGGTCGCGTATTACGGCCTCCCTGCAGCCGGCATAATCCTCCTCGCCCTGCTGAAGCAACACTCGCTTACCCCGCAAGGTGTCTCGCGCACGAAGATCCTGCAGGATCTAAGCGTCTTTGTCGCCGAAGTCCAGATCGGAACGATCGTGCAGCCCGGCGATCCTAATTACGCGCTTCTATCAAAAGCCGCGCAGACTATCCAGCGATTTCTGGATTCCATCCACTCCGACTCGGTGCAGGTACAGACCGTCCCTGAGCGGGACGAGGGCAGTGATGACTGGACTGCGCTGCTCAGTCAAGATCTGTGGGACTTTGAGGCGGGCTTTTGGCAGAGCTTGGCGGATCATCCGGCGTTGCTGGTTGATTCGCCGCTGCCGGGTGTATAGTTTAGGTCTTGAATCTGAGATGCATGACATGTTACTTGAACGAACGGAATCAAAAGGCCTTAAGGCGTACTTATTGACATCTGTAGATGGGAACAAGATCTATGCTATCTCGCGCCGTTGCCACCACGAAGCGAGGAAATTGGTTGGTGTGATCGGAAAATCAAGGATCTTTCATCCTTCGATACGCAAAAATGAGATACAGATAAGAAAAAGCAGCCGATACAGACTGTACATTGTTCGGGCTGGGGAAGATAAAAAAAGGCAACGCTGCAGAACTAACATGGGAGGTGTAAGGAGGAATAGAGTAAGAGAGAGAGGGAGGAGGGAGGAGGGAGAAGGGGAAAGGTAGGTAGGAGAGGAGAGGAAAAAGTTGGGCGGGAGACACGCGGTTATTCGAGCAGTTTGGCACTGGCATCTCGAATGATGTGAGCAACACGATCGATCCAATGTTGGGTGAGAGTCAGATCTCCTGTGCTGAAGCTATCTCGGACGGCAGGGAACACAGAGGCGCCATAGCCAGACGAAAGTTCAGGTCCGAAAATAACATGGCGGAACTGAGTGCGATTAGGAATCTAGACAAAGAGGTTAGTTAGCCGTGATGAAGCGAGAGGAGCTGAGCTAAACATACGCCACCGCCTTCCCCCAGATCGAGGAGATGGGTGTCAAAACTGGCCATCCGCAGATTGCGCTTGACACGCTGCACGGCCATCAGGTTGCTTTCGTATCCACCAGAGCCCCATACAGTATCGTGCCAGACCTGGTTCCATGATGCAAATGCAGTAGCATTGGTTTCAAGATCTTTGGCCGCATCGTACAAGGGTCCCATGTTAATATCGGCCTTGGAAGCCTTGAAGTGATCGTCTAATTGTTGCACCCATTCAGTGATGTATCGAGAGTAAGCCTCCAAATCAAATGGAAGCACCGGGTTCTCCGAGAAGTCCAGCAAGAGAAGAGCCCAGAACTGGGCGAGGGCTTTGTGGTACTGAAAACCGGGATCTCCGAACTTCTCCATCCAGTCGAAGTTCTCGTAGCAGCTATGATAGGGGTAGCGATCACCCTCAAATCCGAAATCAATGCTTGAGGTGCCTGCAATATCTTGGAAAGCGACGTAATCACTGCCTGCTCCCAGGGGGCTTAGCTTTTGGCCCTTTTCTTTCCAGATGTCTTTTAGTGTCTTATTAGCAAATGGGTCGGAGATGCGACCTAGAATCTGGAGCATAGAGCGTTCGAAGGCGGGTGAACCTGCCGCGCGAAACTCCGAGCCAGCCACCCCCACGTCCACATTAAGGTAGGCGTATGCGTTCGAGCGAAGGGTTTCGACATGATCCTCGACGTATTCAGTGGACCCGATCAAATTGTACTCCTCGCCATCCCAGCTCACAAACTCAATGGAACGAAGGGGCCGCCAGCCGTAATTGAGAAGTTCACCAAAGGCACGCACGACTTCCATGAAGACCGCAGTGCCGCTGCCGGGATCAACACTTCCCAAGCACCAGGAGTCGCGGTGATTACCGACTATGATCACCTTATCGCGCTCTTCCAGACCCAGGATGGTTCCACGGACATTGTAAATTGGCATCCGCTGAACCTCGTCCTGTAGGTTCATTAATTGGACAGTTGGTGAACTATCATCACCGGTCCACCACTCAATTTTGGGTACACCGCCGATCCAGTCCTTGGGAACTTTGCTTCCGTGGCCTTCAAGTGCCTTTAATAAACGCTGCGCATCACTCCAGGAAAGCGGAAGACTCGGAATTTGGACCAGGCCAGGACTATCTTCGGGAGTGAGCCGACGACTCTCGCCAGGAGTGGATGCGAACCCGGGGCTCAGAACATCACCGACAACCTGAGACATCAGACTAACAGCGCCTCTCTGAACCCCGTCAGTTGGCATAAAACGACCCTTCGGATAGGTTGGGCCTTTGACGAAACCATCATCTTGAGGGTCGGAGTATATGATGCATCCCACAGCCCCAGCCATTTCAGCAGCCTTGATTTTCAGGGCCCGGTCTGGCTCAGTTCCATAATAACGGACAAGAGCAATCGACCCATTGAGTGAAATCCCATTGTTCGCAAGCCACTCGAAATCCTCCCGGGATCCGTAGTTGGCGTACACTAAAGGCCCAGTGACATTACCAGACTTCGAATGTCCATGAAATGCCGGAGTGCCCGCATCGTTTCCTTCGAGAGACGCTTCCCACGCCAGATAAGGAGGGTCGATGATGGCCACCTTGCGACCATCCTCTTTGGGGTAGTTAAGGTAAACTTGGTATTCTTCCCACTTCACGTGATCGAAATTGGCTTGATGGAAAGCTGACTCGATCCATTCCGCCAGAACAAAACTGCCCTCGGTGCCTGCGATGTGGGGGAATTGGGTGATATGCTTTAGATTCTCGGCAATGTTAGTCTCGTTGATATGTCCTTGGACAAAGTTTTCCACAGAGGATGCGCTGTACGTCTGACCCATGATCATACGGTTGTTCAAGTTGAAGATATCTCCGATAAAGAAGACATACACCAATATCACAACCAGCATGAGGGCGAAAAGCCGTAGCAGCATTAAGCACCCCTGATCCTTCATGCGCGCCCGGGCATCGTCGATGCTCACATTGAAGCGGAGACCGTAAAGCCGGGGCAGATATCGTTGGAAAGGACGTTGGATTGCAGAGAGGGTTCGCGTGAGGCTAGAGAATCGCTTGGAGAACGAGGACCGTAGTCGGCCGCGGCTGGAGACACCTTGCTCGGAATCATCGACGTCCATCTGGTCTATTTCCTGGCGGAGTTGCTCTGCGGACCCGCGAGAGGAGCCCGATACCGACGAGGCGAGATCATCGAGGCTGCCGCGCACGGATTCGACAGTCGGGGGTTGGTAGTTAGAGGCGTCACGCTGGAGGAGCCCCTGACGCTCGGCATCGTTGCCATCGGTGTCGCCCACATCAGAACGCGATGAAGAGGCATGGCCGATGGCCTCTTCGTAGGAGGGGATCGGAAGGGACTGATAATCGTACTTCTCGTCGGGCATGGTGAGGTGTGATAGGCTCCTAGGAGCGACAAGCGGAGAACACGAATGGCGCGATCCGCAAGATCATGGTCTGCTTGATTAAGGGAATGAATGAGCGTGCCACATCCTCCCCGATGAAATGAGAGATATGAGGGGGAGCTGAGGGTGGAGATCGTAAGCTGGGGTGGGTTGTAGAGAAGGGGGATGGGGAGGCAGAAAGTCATCGGTCGTTCTCGTGGCGCAGCGACCCACGCCTTGGCCACTGTTCCTTTCGGGGCTCGACGCGCGTTACAGTGTCCCCAATTTCATAGACTCTAAGGACGTCGGGCAACACAGCTGTATATCTAAGTTCCCGAAAGGCTCTGTGCATTTGTACACACCCTTGTCCTTTAGAACAGTCCAGCCTGTCAAAATCCGTGGCGATCATTCCACTCCCCACCGGGGAGCATGTTCACCGCTACGTATCCACCAGTAGCAAAGCAGGGTGGACTTTGGGAGGGGATTTAGAATCATGCATCAAGAGCATTGATTCGGGGAAAAAAAAAAGGAAAAGAAAAGAAAAGACAACCGTACTATTCCAATCTGCTCCAATATTATGGATCTCGTCCTAACTCCAGTATCGATGCTCCAACCCCCCCCCCCAAGTCGCAGTATTTTGGGGGCAGGATACTGTACCAGGCAACATGATGCAGTGGCGATCTTGGAGTCCTTGAGTCCTTCCGTCAAGTAGTTAACTAATTAACTAATGGTCGTTTGTAGGTTGTAGAAGACTCGAGGTCCTGGACTAAGGACGGCAATATTAGTCCTCCGCGGGTGCCATATGCAGTACCAGGAGTATATCCTCTCCAACCAGGAACCACTTGACGAAGTTCCGCTTTTCAGATAAGAAACCCAGAAAGAGAATAATCTGCCGTCAATCGGCTCAATGGAAAATAGAGCGAGGATCCTCTTCCCCACTTTTCTTCTTATAAACCGCCAGGAGAAAAAAACACGCGGTGACTGATCGTACAGTGTAGATCCGAGTACACAATCGACTCCTTTTTGCCATTTCAATACTTTGGCCCCAGAGGCCTGGCATTTTAAAAAGAGCCCTGTTCTCCTTCTTCCCCTGGACTTTTCTTCCCTCTGTGTTGGCTTTCGATCCTTCAATCCTAAATAAAAATTTATTTACCCCTCCCCACCATGTCTGCCCGTCCTCAGAACATTGGTATCAAGGCCATTGAGGTCTATTTCCCTTCTCAGGTTGGTGTCCCCTGGTGTGTGATGACCTTCAATGCCGGAAATTCTAACGATCTCTTAGTGTGTCGACCAGGCCGAGCTCGAGAAGCATGACGGTGTCAGCGCGGGCAAATACACCATTGGTCTCGGCCAGAACAAGATGAGCTTTTGTGATGACCGTGAGGGTATGTTCGGAAGCAAAACCACGAACTGAGGAGAGCAAAAGATCGAAAGCTAATATCGTGACCTCTGCAGACATCTACTCCATGGCCCTGACCACCCTCTCCTCCCTCCTCAACAAGTACAACATCGATCCCAAGTCCGTTGGCCGTCTCGAGGTGGGCACCGAGACTCTGCTGGACAAGTCCAAGTCTGTCAAGTCTGTGTTGATGCAGCTTTTTGCTCCCTCCGGCAACACCAACATTGAGGGTGTTGACAACGTGAACGCTTGCTACGGTGGTACCAACGCCGTCTTTAACTCCATCAACTGGCTCGAGTCCTCGGCCTGGGATGGCCGTGACGCAGTGGTCGTGGCGGGTGACATTGCCCTCTATGCTGCTGGTGCTGCCCGCCCTACCGGCGGTGCTGGTTGTGTGGCCCTCCTGATCGGCCCTGATGCTCCTATTGTCTTCGAGCCCGGTCTTCGTGCCTCTTACGTCACCCACGCCTACGATTTCTACAAGCCCGACCTCACCAGCGAGTACCCCGTTGTCGACGGCCACTTTTCCCTCAAGTGCTACACCGAGGCCGTTGACGCCTGCTACAAGGCTTTCAACGCCCGTGAGCAGACTCTGAAGGCTACCAACGGCGCCCTTGAGGAGTCCCAGACCGGCCTCGACCGCTTCGACTACATTCTTTTCCACGCTCCCACTTGCAAGCTTGTGCAGAAGTCCTACGCTCGGATGCTCTACAATGACTTCCTCGCGAACCCTACTCACCCCGCCTTCGTCGAGGTTGCCCCCGAGCTGCGTGACATTGACTACGAGTCCTCCTTGGTCGACAAGGCTATCGAGAAGACCTTCATGGCTCTGACCAAGAAACGGTTTGCTGAGCGTGTTCAGCCTGGTCTCCAGGTCGCCGGGCTCTGCGGTAACATGTACACTGCCACTGTCTACGCTGGTCTTGCCAGCTTGCTTAGCCACGTGACTTTCTCCCCCAGCGAGCCCAAGCGTATTGCTTTCTTCAGTTACGGAAGTGGTCTTGCCTCTTCTCTGTTCAGTGCTAAGATCGTGGGTGATGTCTCCCAGATGGTTGAGAAGCTGAACCTGAAGAGCCGCCTGGACAACCGCACTGTTCTCGAGCCCAAGGCTTACGATGAGATGTGCAAGCTCCGCGAGCACGCTCACCTGCAGAAGAACTTTAAGCCCTCTGGCAACCCCGAGACCTTGCAGCCCGGCACCTACTACCTCACTGAGGTGGATGACATGTTCCGCCGCAAGTACGAGGTCAAGGCCTAAGCGCGCTTTTCTTCTCTTTTGCCGTTGGATTATTATCCGTTGTTTAGACGGATCACAAAAGATTCCCCCCCCAAAGCGTTTTTGATTATCTTTGCGTCGCAATAGACCTCTCCTGTAAAGCTATGCTTTGCTAATACCTTTTATTTTGCGTCTTTCTGTTTTCGGGAAATCCTTTGATTCTCGTCCTGGATGAATGTTATGAAACCAGCTAGATCTTGCGCCTGGCGTATCGAGTCAGGTAGCCAATAATGACATGAAACATTTGAACAGTCCTTTGGGTTCTGAAATTGGTACATTGCAGAATTTGCTAGCAGTATGGGGACGTTCAGGGCTTCTGTCAGGTACTAAGCACACCACGGAGCTACTAACCAATTAACTAACTAGTGCTTAGTCCATCTATGAATCAAGTTTAGTGTGCTTACGTGGGGTTCTGTGTTTAGACTCGTGGACCTTGGCGATGTACTGTGTATAGCACTGGGCCTATGTAAGCTACCGAATGGTGACCTCGGGAGCTGCTACAAGTTTCCATCGAATATAGACTAGGGTGCAAAGGAAGGGATTGAATATTTGAGAGAACATGCCGAACACATGGAACCAAGGCTACGTTGATGATCAGACGAGTGGCACTACGTATGAATTTGGGGGCGAAAACAAAGTGGAAACGTCCAGAGCTTCAGCTCATTACACTCGAACGTCGAACATGCTTCACTTGCACTGGAAGCAATTCGGAAGGCCTCCACATCATTTCGACTCCGCTCCACAAGCGTCTCAGCCTAGGGCCCGAGTGAAATCCTTGTCAGCCTCCACTAGTTCTGCTTGCCATCGATCTCATACATGATGGGGAGATTGACGCGGCATAATCCGTCTAACCCCCCGGGCCCATTTCCTTTTTAGGCATTGCGGAAACACCTTCGCTGATGGCCAATGGAGCATTGGGCAGCTGGTATTCCTGTCGCGGGGATTTTGATGGAAAGGCTCGATTTGCCCTATTACCAATGGGCTGACAAGGCTCGGGAATACGACCCTCTACGATTTAAAGAGAGCTGACGTCCGCCATGTCGATTCATAAGCGAGACCAGTCATGCCTTCGAAGGTTGCCCTGGTCGTGTGCGCCCTCGTCTGCGGCTCTGTCGCTGCAGTCCTGCCTAAGCGCGACAAAACCATCACCATCCCAGATGATGTCCAATGGCACCCGGAGACGCAGGACATTTGCACTGCGACGCAATATACCGATGTCATTAGTTTCTTCCTGGGCAACTACTTGACCCATGCGGCTACGGTGGTCAAGTTCCCGGGCGAGCCTTTCTGTATCACTCTCTTGAACATGGTCCTAGTCATTCTGTTCCCCTGCTTGGGCGCCGGCCGTGGGCTTATGATGATCCTTCGGCCCTCGGTCAGATTTAAGCACCCTCTTCAACGGGCGCTTCACTCTTCAGCGCTGGTTATGGTCATTCGGAGTCGAGAATGGAAACCTAGAGATGGTGATTTACTGCGTTCCTTGTCATTGCGCCCGGACAAGGTCGATAGATTTGGAAACGATCCGGACCAGTATTGGAGGATCGCTTACGGGAGAAAGAATCTCATCGGAACATATGAGAAGCTGTACGTGAAATCTACCCGACTCAAATTGCCCTTGGACTCGGAGTTGCTGACAGGTACAACAGCAAGAACTATTCAGGAAAATTCAAAATGCTCACAGAAATTCCGCCCTGGCTTCTAATGAACTACGGATGGACTACGCGACATATGCACGTGCTCAAGAACTACAAGGTCTCGGGGCACTACGAGTTGCCTGAGGGCTACGGGCTGGTTTATGTCCCCACCAACGCCCTTGTGGAAGATACGCTTGGCCGTGAACAGCTCGACCAAATCATCACCCCGTCCTATGACTTGGCGGGTGGTATCATCGCCATCATCCAGATCTTTTTTGCCTGCTCTACCTTATATCAGTCTCGCGGATACCAGATTAATGTATATGGCTATGCGGCTTTTGGTTTCACGGTGCTACCGTATCTCTTCATGTCGCTTGTGAATCTGATAGCGAACTGTGTCGCACCCAACTATTCCCAACTCCATCTCGTTCATACAGAGATTATGGAGGAAGCTATCCAACGAGGTGGCAATTTCACTCACGTGGTGGGCAAGCTGGAGAGTGAGCCTCTCCATGTAAAAAGCCTTGTGGTTTTCCTTGGGGCGTTCCGACAAAATGGGAATGAGATGCAATGTCGCCTCGGAGAGAAACTATACATGCATAATTCTACTGAGCCGATGTCTTGCGATTCCTTGTATAAGTCCGAGCATAAACAGTATCTTGATACAGATACATACAAGGATGCAGAGAATAGTGTTTCTGCACTGCCGTCCGAGAACACGACGAGAGGGAAGGAAAGCGAGGAAGAGAAGAAGAATGGAGAAAACAGATTGGAGCTAGACGCACCGGTTTGCCCCATCCTCATCAACCCTGCTTGTTACTGCTTCAAGCTCGCCTACCAGAATACATCCTCCACGAGTATTTTGCATCGCAATCGACACTATGGCCCAAGGTCGACCTTGTTCGCGGCTGCGGTATGGGTCATCGCCGCTCTGTCCCTGATTCCCATCGGTATCATGTCGGGCTTCAAAGCCAATGATAGCACCCTGGCTCAAAGGGTGTGGTTGATGGCTTGGTATGCTGTCGGCATTGTTTCGGTCTCGAATCCCTTCTTCTCCGACTGGATTGTCGGCCGCGGATATGACAGAGCAATCGAGATACGGAGCCACATGAAGGAGCATTCAGGCACTAACAAGACATCCACCGGGTTCACATGGATAAGGGGGTCTATCTTTTCGATGATCTCTCTTCTAGGCTATCTTGCTCTCTTTGCCACGCCGGCTATTGGGCGATTCGTGGTAGTGGGGCAGCAACTACTGGCCTATGGATCTTGCACTGGACTTTGAGCGTGGCGCATGTTGGACTAGTACAAAAAAAAAAAAAACAGCTCCTCTCTCAGATGGTGAAATGATGACATTGGGAAATGGGATAACACCAGGAAATTAAAGGAACGGTCTAGTAAGGAATATGGATATCCAACGAAACCAAGAATGCAGAGGCTCGCCTGCGGGCCAGTTCTAAACTCCTTGTACATGAAGAGCGGGAGGCTTATTTGAAGGAGTGGGGGTGGGAGTATATGAGCCTGTGATTGTCACTGACATCCAGTTCAGATCTTTTGGAGCCAACGTGCCCTGCACCTCCACCGTTCCGTGCGCGGCCCGACACGATGCAGATGTTGTCCCCGCAACTTGGCAGGAGACGGTGGCCGTGCTGTCCTGAACGTTAGCAAAACTTCATTCAATGAGCTGTGGGCAGAATACCTACTATCCTGATTCGTCGACATTCACAATCGAAGCGGCAGTTGGGGCGGCGGTCACTTCCAAGCCCTTGCCAGGAATGCCGCACGGCGTGCTTCGTGAGGTAGGGCAAGTGACCATATACGTCGCAGTCTCGCCGACCTGGACAACTGTCAGTATGGACGTTCTGGGCAGACACGCGATCAGATAACGCCTACCGAGCCAATGAGACCTGCTTCAAGCTGTCTGCCGTGAAACCCGGGCAAAAGAAGGGTCACGACCGATTTACTCTGGCCGAAGCCAATAGAATCCAAACATCCTGTCAGACTTCCAGTCAAGAAAAGAACGACACCCAGGAAGGTAGCCCCAATGCTCGCCAAAGCTGAGAACAACATTCTGAAGCGGATAGGTTGAAGAAAGACGAAAAATGACAGCGAACTGAGGTAGAAAACAACAGACAAGGCGCTTGCTGAGGGAGACAAAAGTGGGATAATTAGCTATTATTAACTGATCCTGAGACGTCGATTGGCATCGATTGGCGCCGGGCGATGGATGAAATCAGAGTAAAGTTCCCTGAAGGAGTTTCATCCAAAGGTACGTTCCTCATGCACGTCTATGACTTGCGGCACAGTGGGCTGAATAGCGGGCTAATCCTGGCTAATCTGGACTAGAGTGGCCGAAGATGGGATAATTAGGCCTGGAAACACGACCTGAAACATGAACAGGTGTTCTGAGGAATTGGGGCAAATTATGGCTAAACTGGAATGTGATGCCGATCGGGCGCGTAAGACTGTCGGAGTGCCCATTCACAGCTGCATTTGTAGCCGCCGACACTTCTCATCACATTGCTCCTGGGTTTCCCCCCCCTCGAAGCCACAGCGATATGGTACCAGTACTATGGAATCGAGTTTATCAACTGATATCCTGCCTGCCAAAGCTCCAGGCACATCTATTTTTATCCTCCCCGTCCCCCTCTGTAGCCGCCCAAGCCCGGCGATTCCTGAGGCATGGCGCCTGCTGCTTCCCCCCCCATGGCGCCCAGATCCCCAAACCACTTACTCCCCTAATTATCCTGGATTTGCAACTTAATTGTTGCTGAATTTAGAAAGTCTTCAATCACCGTGCAGACACGCTATCCCAAACAGGCCATCTGAAGAACACCTGCGAAGAAGATGCAAAATATAGTAACACCTTAACGCGCGACAGTCCGCTGAAACCGCACTATTCCCAGAACGAGCGCCTTCATGGGGTTTCAAGCTCCCCCCGGCGCGCGACCTCAGGCACAATGCTCGGCAGTTTCGCGTTTCATCGTCTGGTGTGGACCTGGATCGGAGCCTAGGATCCCAAAAAAAGATCTGGAGCCTCCCCCCTGGCGTCACCGTGGAGCTTTTCTCCATGTTTCAGGTTGTTCAAGATCCCCTTAGCGGTTCGTCAGTGGGCCTGTCTACTATATCGGCCATGCTTTTAGGCTTGTTTGATCCTTCTCATCGTCAACATTTAATATCCACGCATTCTCCATCTAGATCATGACTCTGCTTTCTTCACGCAGGTGTCTTGATCTAACCGGCTTGCTTGGTCCATTGTTGGTCCTCACAACCAACCTTCATTCGTTTCGCAATTGGGAAGCAGGTCTGCCTTCCTTTCTTTTCGAAGCACTGCTTCACCGGTTCATTGGTGACTCGATCCTCGCCATGTCTCTTCAGTACGCTCGCTACCAGCCAACCACACCGCCGGGCATCGCGTTTGAAGAGTGTATCGGATCCGCGCATAGTCGCAACCCATCCGCTTCCTCGGTCCATTCAGGCGAATCATCGCCGTGGTCCACCATGACCGGAATCACGAGCCCGGGGACTTCGCCAACGCGGCACCATCATGGCCCGGCTCTTCTGCCGAAGATTCGTCCTCAGGACGTCGTGATTGAACCTGTTTCTGCAGGGGGACCTCTGCGTACTCGTCGAGTCTTGTCCAACACGCGCAACCCGCCTGGTTTCCTTCCATATCCTCCTGCTCGTCTCTCTGTGCACCGCCACCACGTGGATATGGCTAGTGGACAGGGACTGGCATCGCCCATTTCTCCGATTGTCACAGCTGCTCCACTTAGCGCGTCTGCATTATCACCCCCGATGTCCATTACTTCGCATAAGCGGAGAGCGGGTGGTGGACATTCTCGCTCTGTATCAACCTCTAGCATTGACGAAGCCACTCTGAATCGATATGGGTATCCAACCTATCGACAGCTTCCAAAGTACATGCCGCACATGCAAACACACACTACACCCACAACCCCTATAACCCCAGTGACTCCTAGCATCATGCTATATCCAGCTCAGCCGCAACCACAACCCGCGGAAATCACTCGGCATGCGCCGGTGCGCGCACAGCCTCCATTGACAGTGCCAACGCCCCAGTACTGCTACACCCAGCCATCTACTGCACAGAACTCACCAGCACATCTGATCAGCCCGCGGGAGGAATTTATGCCTCCTTCAACTAACTTGATCGCTTACTTGACTTCCCCGACTCCCGCTATCAATTTGGTACGCAATGTTAGCGTTGTTCCCACGCGTGGAATGCACGACTACTTTTGGTGGGACATTCGAACTTTGCGCAATTGGTCTTCCTTCTCCTTCAACACTTTCGACTCCGAGGCCATGAAAGACCTCACCAAGCTCCTCAGGACGGAAATCTCCAGTGACTTCACTCCCCAAGTGGCAGTACCTCAATCACGCCTCTCTCCCGAATCAGAGCCGTCACTGGTCAATCTCATCCGCGATCTCTACGCCCCGCGAGTCAATGCAGCATTGGCTGTTTCCCAAGGCTCAGATCACCTGCAATTGTACGCCGCTCCGGACATGCGGCACACCGGCCACAAAAACCACGGCCACCCGCACTTTCTCGCAAACTATGTCACCGACTCTGACCGAACCCTCTCCGGTCTCCCTCGGGGCCGTCTCGTCGGCATTGTCAAGAGCTTCGACCGCTGGAACACAGCAATGCGAAACGAGGCTCCTCACCGCCGCGTCGAATATCTCAATGGCCTCGCTCACCTCCAGCGCTGCATGCGCGAGCACTCCTGCCGCTATGGCTTCATCATCACCGAGATCGAACTCGTCTGTGTTCGCGCCGGCTGTGACGACGGCTGCGATATCCCGTATTTCGGGTACCTCGAAGTCGCGACACCCATCCCGCTCAAGACGGCAGCAACCCCCCATGCACGACACGATGCGTCCGCGCTCGCAACCCCTATCAGCGCGCGCTCGTTCTCTTCGTCATCGCACGGCTCCTCTATCTCTCACGGATCGCCGGTCTCTGAGTCAGAATCTGTTGACGATAGCTCCTCGACCCCTATGACCGCGAGCCTGGCATTGTACTTCCTTCTCATGCTCTCCAAGGCTGTTCCTCTGCCTCAGCAGCCATCTGCTCACCTCAACGTTGGTGGGCCCGGTGCACTTACCCGGCAGCGCATTCTGCCTGAACCAAAGGATAAGTGGATCCCGGAGCCGCAAATCGGCGAGAAGCGCGATGCAAAGAGGGTGAGAGGCTGGGTTTGGCCTGAAGATGCGTGGCACCGGCGAGAAGGGGGTGGGGCGCCACGGGCCCTGAAGCACGAGATCAAGGCGAAGAAGTGGCCCAAATAGGGGGAAGTTCAGTTCGTTTCGGCATGCACCTGGGGAGTCTTGGGATTGGTATTGGCGTTTTCATTTGGGTTTTTTGGTTTTCTTTTTTTTTTCCTGGGGTTGTTGCATGGGCTGCTCTCTGCTTTTTCTTTTAATGACTTACGTCGGGTCGGGGTTTTGATTGGGCTACTATTCCCCATTCTGTATTCATTTCTTCTTGGGACTTATTTAATACTTTAAATAATTTCTTACTTTTTGGCTGTTCTTCTCCTCCTCCTCCTCCTCCTCCTCCTCCTCCTCCTCTTCTTCTTCTTCTTCTTCTTCTTCTGTTTTATTACCTTTGTTTTCTATCATAAGAGTCGGTTCCCACGACTGAACGACTTTCCACGAACATTCTCTGCCATGAACCAACTTGTTCCCATTTCCGCTCGCATAGCTGCTCTCCCATGGCCATATACAGTGGCACGCTATAAGATATCTGGGATGAGATTTGTTGAAAGCAATGTTCATGACTAATATGGCAATCCAGCTGGTGATCAACGAGATCAACTCCAGTGGAGAAAATTAGCCCCAGAATTGTAGCGAGCAGACACCCCTCAAGGTCCTCGTTATCTGACAGCTGCCGATCAGGAGAATGATTGGCTCACAACAACCATGTATCGCCCTCGGCAAGCCTCAAGGACCTTGGGGGATAGAGTACCTCGTGAGAAAGAGGTACCTATGGGGACATTGCAAGAGATGGAGCCACACCGATTATGTAGCGTATAAAGGCGTCCATGGCCAATTCTGGCGCGGTTCGAGTGTACTTAATTTTCCCCCATATCTTCACCATAAACCATTCTTAAAACCCTTTTTCTAATAGAAGCCGCAATAATGAACGCTGATCCCGAGATCCACGATGTGATTATCGTAGGCGCTGGGCCTTGTGGACTAGGCGTAGCAGCCCGCCTCCACGAAGAAACTCCCTCAGCCGTGTTCACAGACGAAGAGCACCAGCGGTACCATTGGATCAAGAAACACACAGGAAAGATGAACCTTGTCCAAGCAGGCAGTAAGAAGAAGGGCGTCCGAGCCCAGAAATGGAATCGCGGGCAGAAACCACCCCCAAGCGAGACCGAAACCAAGCACGAGAACCACAAAGAGCGTCGAGACTCAGCCGACTCCGCTTCTTCCGTCCCATCTCTCTCTTCAGCCTCCTCTACGAGTTCGGCTGGGTCAATTTCAACACTTGTCTTAGATGGCTCGGGCGACCAGTGGATGCAGCGGTGGAATAATGCGTTTCGCACGCTCGAGATTAAGCAGCTGCGAAGCCCGATGTTTTTCCATGTCGACCCAGGTGACCGCGATGGCATGCTGGCGTATGCGCAGGAGACGGGGCGGGAAGATGACCTCTGGGAGATCTCCGGGTGCGTGGGCAAGGAGATGAGCAAGCACAAGAAGAAGAAGCGACGCCAGGGTGGAAAGAACCAGTGAGTATAGACGTGCTAAACTGTGCAGCCCCCTGGGTCTGGCTAATGATTGGGACATTTTTAGAACAATCGGCGGTGTTGAAATCGACGAACGGGATCGGAAAGACTATTTCTCGCCGTCGACGGGCCTGTTTGCCGACTACTGCGCTTCTATAACTCACCGATATGGGCTTGACGAGCCGGGGACCATCTTGAAACACGAAGTCACCGATATCACTTACGACTACCTTCCGGAAGATGGAGATTCTCCGGTGTCAAACTCCAAGATCTTTACATTGACTACCTCTTCCGGTCAAAAATTCTACAGTCGCGCAGCTGTGCTCGCTATTGGAGCCGGCGGGGCCGGTATTAACAAGATCTTCCCGTGGAAGCCCTCAAGCAAGGAAGAAGGCGCCGAGGGGTGCTGTCATAGCATGGAAATAAAGGAATTCCCCAGTCCTAATGTACGACAGAAGATCTCCGCTCGGTGGCAGACGAATGTGGTGATCGTGGGAGGTGGGCTTTCGTCTGCACAGATTTTAGATATGGCTGTGCGGAAAGGAGTAACCAAAGTCTGGTTATTGATGCGCTCAGGGTTTAAAGGTAAGACCAATTGCATATATATACGCTTCATATTGCTAAGGGTTCGAGCAGTCAAGCAATTCGATATCAGCTTAGCGTGGATGGGCAAATACAAGAACTGGGAAAAAGCGGCCTTTTGGTCAGCAGACACCGACGAAGGTATATTTAGACACAAGCGATATCATTACGAAGTGCCAGCTGACATTTTATTTTTTTTTTCCTTCTCAAGAACGCCTTGAGATGATCAAACATGCAAGGAACGGCGGCAGTATCACCCCCGCTATACAAAGATTGTTAAGCAGCACGCTGCCCACGGGCGTGCTTCAATCCACCCAAACACGGTCATCAAATCCCACGAGTACGATGTGGAAAGCAAAACCTGGACCTTGACCACCGACCCACCTATCCCCAACCTCCCCCCAATCGACTATATTTACTTTGCTACCGGGGCCCGTGCCGACGTCCTCGAGATGCCGCTTCTTGATCACATCAACGAGCAGTACCCAATCGAAGTCATCGAAGGTCTACCTTGCTTGACAGAAGATCTCATGTGGAGAGATGACGTGCCATTGTACATGACCGGGCGAATGGCGGGACTTCGTCTTGGGCCCGGAGCACCGAATCTCGAAGGGGCCAGGCTTGGCGCCGAAAGAATCTCCTGGAGCTTGGAAGAGACACTAGGGAAGAACCGGGAGGTTGGGGAGCAGTGCGAGGGGTTCTGTGGCCTTGGTAATCGGTATGCTTCGCTGCTCGAGGAGGCGGGCGAGTAGCGATTCTAGGGCTGAACTTCCGCGGGGCTCGGGCTGCTGGCGGCTATAAAGAAGTCTTCATTATGATGAAGCTTCTGAAGATCTCAACCAATCTTGCATTAACGGCATTTGCTTCCTGTTTAACGGTCGTCTGACGTCCCTGGGTCTTGTAGTAACAATCCGCGATGCTCATTCCTCCCTTCATTCCACCTTTCTCCGATAAGTAGGCGGCCACGCTCTCGGGGTTCATGAACCAGAGACTAAAACGTGAAGAATGTGGAGAATTCCTCGCTCAGCAAAAGTTTAAAGGGAGCTCCGATGTCAAAGCTTTAAAGCTTGAAGCTACCTTGACTACGTGGAAGGGCTCGCACCACGCTTTCGCCACGATGGGAAAACGCACTTGTGACAGCAGCTTGACGGATTCCACCATGGTGCAGACGGTCGATCCAGATTCCCCAATCGAGGTGCTGAAAGCACTGCCTAATAATTCGCAGAAGAACTGGCTGAAGGACCCGGGGCTGCGTCGGCTAAACCTTGGTATTGTGTTTTTGTTCTTTTCCTCAGCTGGAACGGGATACAATGGGAGTTTGATTAATGGATTACAGGTCCTACCAGAATGTGAGGGTCATTGTTCTGCAATCAAGAGAATGAGAATGATACTAAATTCTGCGAATGGCTAGTTAATATGATCATTGGTGGTCTCGATCCCAATATTGTTGGACTCCTGATCGCCGCCACATCCCTGGGCGCATTCATGTCCTTCGTACCAGCATCCTATCTGGCAGACATATTTGGCCGCCGAGTGTGCGTTGCCGTTGGTAGCTGTCTCAGTCATCATTGCCTCGATAAGCCAAGTCGCTGTGAAAGACCATTGGTCTTTCTTCGGCTTACGCGTTCTAGCAGGACTCGGGACTGGCACTGCACAGACAGCAGCTCCGCTACTTGCGACGGAGGTCGCTCATCCCCGCCAGCGTCAAACAGCCACGGCTCTTTATAATGCATGCTGGTGCTGGGGGTCAATCGCTTCGGCTGCCATCTCCTTTGCAACTTTGTACATCTCCAGCAGCTGGTCGTGGAGAGGCCCGTGTATGCTGCAAGCATTCTTCCCTCTTGTCCAGATCGTGGGCCTCTTCTTTGTGCCGGAGAGCCCGAGATGGCTGGTATCCAAGGACAGGAAGCAAGAAGCCCTCCAGATCTTGGCTCGTTATCATGCAAATGGGGATGCAGATGACGCGTTGGTTCAACACGAGTTCCACCAAATTTGCAACAATATCAACACGGAAAATATGCAGCCGGGGCACTGGAGCACATTTTTCTCGTCCAAAGGTGACCTGCATCGTCTTTCCATCTGCGTGATTGTAGGACTCATGCAAGAGTGGGCTGGAAACGGTGAGTGAAGAATCCAAGTTCGGAAGGAGTCTGTCACTAACCTTCGAAACCTGGAAAAGGGATCATCTCGTTCTATCTCGCGCCCATTCTGGCCGATGTTGGAATTACGAACGCCGCTAATCAAGCGGGAGTCAACGTGGGCATGCAGGTCTGGAATCTCTTGCTCGGCGCGATAGGAGCAGTCGCCTCTGAAAAGTATGGGCGGCGTATCCTTTGGCTCCTTTCAACATCCATGATGCTCTTTTTCCTGTCCATCACCGCGATCGTCGCGGGTCTCTTCTCCGAAAAGCAGATAACGGCGGCGGGCATAGCGGTTGTACCGATGCTTTTTCTATTCTTCGCTTCTTTCGACATCGCATATGCCCCACTCTTCATCTCCTACCCCGCGGAGATTCTTCCTTATCAGCTGCGAGCGAAGGGGCTGGCCGTGACTTTGACGACAGATGCGGCGGCTTGCTTTTTCAACCAGTATGTCAATCCCGTGGCATTCTCAGCGCTGCATTGGAAATATTACTTTGTATATGTGGGCTGCTTGATTGTTTTTCTGCTACTTGTCTATTTTCTCTTTCCTGAGACGAAAGGCCGATCACTCGAGGAGGTTTCCAGAATTTTTGAGCGTCAGCCCGAGGCCAAGGACATTGATGATCAGCAAAAGGTTGAGGAAAGGGATTTCAACCGGTAATGCCCTAGATATAATGCGTATATAGATGGCGATATTAATGGACTGAATAAAGATCGTCTCAGGTGTCGCTACTATACTGGTAGTTGGCGTCGGATCTTGTCGGATGAATCCATGTAGCGGTGACGGGACGAAATATGCTGATGTTTGCGATAATGAAGTAGAATATATTAGAACTACTCCTTGAATACAATTCAATTTGATAAGTGAGTGCTTTATGGATCTTCAGAGTCAAGTTTCTCCTCGGTATACATTGACCAGGCTGATTATGCCTCAACCTGATCCTGACCCTGTCTCTAGAGTATCTGCCTCTTTCCATAATGAAGGGGACTGTGGGGCTCTACCTCCAGTGCTCCCCCCAACAAATTCCGACTTAGACAAGTGGTTCTGGTCGGTCGACTTTTAAACGCGGTAACATACCCAGATCGCCCATCTCAGCATAGACCTGAAACAGGGATTCAAATGTATCCACAAAGCCCGTCCAACCTAACCGTCGCGCCTTGTTCATCGACAAACCGGGCACCTTGGCGAAGGCCTGGTCGCCAAAGACAAAGTTCTCTTCGACGTCGTCAAAAGGCTCTGAACGGAGCTGGCCACCAGACTCCTTCTGCAGTTGCGACCATGCTGTCTTGTTCTCCGGCTTGGAGGCCCAATCTACCAACGAGAAAGAAGCCCGATGTACAAGCGGTGGGCCATATCTGGATTTCCGGGTCAGTCAAGCCTTCAACTTAACGCATTTCCATCATCCCACTTACCCCATCGGTGTATCCGCACCCGCTTTCCCTACCAACTCAGTAAACTTGGACGGATCCTCTTCAGGCGGCACAACGCCCTTTGTAACCCCAAACCAGCGGGCCAATGCCTCGTAGAGTCTATCCCAGGTCATAGACCCCGTGTCCTGGGCGTTGAACGCCTCGTTCGTGGTCTTTTCTTCCAAGACCGCCCACTCCGAAAGGTACCCCGTCAACATGGCTGTCGAATGATGCGACTCATACTGCCACATCTCCCAGTCGCCCGGGAAAGCGATAGGCTCGCCCTTGTGCGCTTGCACAGCGGCATATATCGCCACCGGGAGGAGGGCATTCATCTGCGCGTTATTCACGGCGCCGAGCACCCAAGCCGGGCGGATGACATTCCACGCGCTACCCTGCGCCTTGCAGTATTCGAAGAGGGACCGTTCTTGCGGATAGTAGAAGTTTGGCTCCAGATGCGACGGCTGCGGATCCGATTCGACGGCTGGCGTGCGGACGCGACCGATCTGGATGCCGTAGTTCTTTGCGCCAGTTTGGAGGAGGAACCGTTTCGGGGTGATTCCGGCAATAGTGATGGCTTGGAGGAAGTTGTCCAAAAGAGCGGAGTTGACTTTGACGAGTTCGTCGGCGTTGGACCAGGCGGCGGCGCCTGGCGGGGGCTTGGGCTGGAGATATGAATAGAAGAAGATGTAGTCGGCAGTGACTTTGTTTGCCCTGAGGACATCGGCGATGCTCGCGGGCTCTTCAAGAAAGTCCGCGGCTACATGTTGCACGCGCGAGCGCTGCGATTCGGAGAGCAGGCCCATCATCTCCTGCGGCGGAGGGCGGCGGGACAATGCATAGACCTTGGTCCATCTTTCCGGGCTTTCGAGGAGTACTCGGAGGGTGTGGAAGCCGGATATCCCATTGGCGCCCGTGACTATAGCTGTTAAGCCGGTGATCGATGGGTCGAAGGTGGGGAGGTTGTGATAGATTCCGTTGTGATGCACGGGGTAGCGCTCGGAGCCCATATCGGATGAAATTGGAGGGCAGACTGGTGATTTCTTAGAGACGGAGGCTTTGCAAGATCAAATGATAATTGCATCTACTGATTCATAGCTCGGTTTATGTACAGAACTTCAAAGATACAAGCGAAACTGCTTGCCAAGCAGTTTGGTAACCGAGCACGCGAGTAACAGTACCGAGGGCTGCAAAGCGACCAGGACAGTCGCCAGTCGCCACCGTGACTTCTATTCGGTAGCTTACTGGCTTCATCACTGGCAAAGTCGCTCAATGAAGGACGATGAGATCAGTTCTGCAGGCATTTTGCCTCGTTCCCCCGCATGCATCCGAACATGTCGTCATTAGAGGAAGACGCAGGTCTTTTCCGGGTTCCAGATCTAAGGTGTTCAGACAGATCGGAAAAACGTTAAACAGATCTGCATGGACTTATCTACGGAGCGACTTGTACATTTATGCAGTCCCCCTGTATCTCCCATGCTCGGCCAAGGTGTCTTCTTAGATCCGTGAAGAAGAGATGTTTCAGAGTGCAACCTCCCGTGGACCCGGCCGTTGATCATAGGCGGATCCAGGGAACGCGCCCGCGTCCATCCCTGGTTCGCCCTGCAAACTAAGTGCAGGGTTTAATTTCCCCTACGGAGTACTGCACGGGAATCTAGGAAATTACGGTCGTCATCGGGCCTTATCTAGCTCAATCGTAGATTTGTCGATACAGAAGGGGAGAGCAGGGATCCGTTAGGCGCGAATTCAGATCGCACGCACCTCGCCTCGGGAAGGGATTCGTGATTATTATTAGCCTCGATCCTTTATGCTCGTATAGCCTCAAACCATTGGACTCTTCTATTCTTAGCGGTGGACAAAGCTCGATATTCTCGTTTACTCCAGCACACAGAAGGCCTCGACCTAGGCGCCGAGGCGGTCTGGCTTTAAGAACCGGATATTACGGAGTACGGAGTACAGAGTACAGAGGTTGGACCATTCGCATCGGATCACCTATGGGGAGTTGTGATCTTTTCAGACCGTGTGGAGTCAGGTAGACCCCTTTTCGGCGCCTTTCGAGGGATGGGGCAATAAAATCTCCTTAAAATTGGTACCTTGCCTCGCACGCCCCTTTTGCAGGGCAAGGGCGCCCCCCATTTGCCAAGAATATATGGGGGAGACCGCGCATCGTGTGCCCGTTGGTCGATCTGGCCCAGACCACGGCGCTAGAAGCACTGAGTTGTTCTATCGGGACAACTGTCGATTCACGGAATTGACTGGTTGAATCGAAGTCATTGGTGATCTGTTCGGGCGCGTAACATGGCGGTGGGAATGAAGCCGGAAGTCTCGGTTGGGTTCGAACCCTAACTGTCTGAAACGAACACAACAGACCCTGCAGAAAGCCGTAGGGTAGGGCTTTTCCCTCTGGCAAAATAGGGATTGTCCGTGAGACACGTAAGACCGGGGGCTCAGAATCGCACCGATTGGCCTCGATCGGGCAGTGTGGGGAATGCGACAAATGGCATGGTCGTTCAGGGCCGGGAGACAAAGGGTAAACAGGGCTTAGCTGTTCAGGGCCTTTCCAGGGCGTTACCAGGGGTCAAGGGAAGTGGTTAGGAGTTGGGCATGGAGTATTGAGGCTATGGAGATATAGAAAAGTCAGGCACATTCCAGTTGTCGAGCATTCCGATCGCAACACGTGTATGACAAGTCGAACTCTTCAAAGTGAACAGGGGCCGGTTAAGGAGCAGACGTGACTGTGTACTCCGTACCCTGTTTACCAATTACCGGGTCCGGGTGCCTGAGCCCACAAGTAGAGAGTACACGCACAGGCAGCGCCCATTCACTTGGCGGGGAGGTACCAGTGACTAACCGTCGTTCACTCTGACAGAGTCTGGCCCAAGGTTCCACTGGGGCCCTCCACCAATCAGCGGCGACCGTGGCTGCATGGCGTTCAGGAACCACTTCACTCGCACCAATCACGGGCGCCCAGCCCCTGATCCTGATTTTCACTATGGGACTGTAGGAACTCGCCCACATCCCTAATATCAGTAGCCCCCATCCTCCCTTTTCCTTCTTATTCCTACCCATCGTCACTCTTTCTGAATCATCTGGGAACTTTCGAGCGTTTTTTTCTCGCTCTGTCACTCATTATCTTCTTTCGTTTAAAAGATTCCCAACATGCAGTACAAGGGTTCCCTTCTTTTGGCCGCTCTCGCCGGCTCGGCCATCGCTCGCCCTCACGGCCATGAGCGCCGCCACGCCCACCCCAAGGCTGCGATCGAAGAGGTCGCCGCTCCCGCTGTGACCGACGTTGCTGCCATCGAGGAGCGTGCCGTTGGTGATGTGGTCTATGCCACTATCGACAACGTCCTCGTCTCCTGGATCAACCAGTGGGCTGGCGATGCTTCCACCACTTCCTCCACTTCCACTCCCACTCCCGTCGTTGTTTCGACCGCCACCGCTGCTCCCACTACCACCGCCAAGGCTGCTCCCACCTCTGCCAGCTCTGGTTCTGGCTCCGGCTCCGGCTCCGGCTCCAGCTCCAGCTCTGGCGGTGACTGGACCTCCTACCCCTCCGATGGCCAGTTCTCCGAAGAAGGCTTCGGTGCCTCCAACTACGTCGCCCAGGCTCTCGGAATTGAGTGGAAGGGCAACACGGGTCTCCCCTGGGGTAGCAACATCATCGAGGTTGATGCCGCGGACGCCAACAAGTACCGCAACGTCATTCGTTTTGATGGTGCTGAGTCCGGTGACTGGACTATTCTGTTCTGGAACAAGATGGGCCCCGACAGCCAGATGACCGGTTTCTTCTCCCCCAACAAGGCCCTTGACTTCACCATCCAGCCTGGCGAAACCAAGTACGTTGCCATCGCTGACCAGTCCACCGGTGGCTGGACCGCCTACAAGGGTGACACGGCTCCTCTCTCCAGCTATGGCGCTTACGCTGCCACCTGGGGTGAGTTCACCATGCGCGCTGCCCCCGAGTTCAGCTCCTGGGATGTTTCCTGTATCCAGGCCCAGAAGGCTGGCAAGGAGATCCAGGGTATGAAGATCTGCATGCACGACGGAACTTCTTGCTCTTCCATCACCAACGGCATGGGCTCCGTCATCAATGCCTACACCGCCGCCGAAGAGGCAGTGAACGGCATTGGTGGCAACGTCCGAGACGAGGCTATCCGTCTCCTTGTCAACCTGGACTACGCCTAAATGTTGAATGGATCTACTTCAATGTCAGCGTGATCTTGTTTATCTTGCGTGCGCACATGGTCTTTGGTCGGGAATGTCTTCATGTGGTGGAGCCTAACCGTGTTGACTTTTCCCGGCTGCTCTTCCGCGGATCCCTTGTCTGCTTGTTCTGAGGAAGCGCATACATACATATCTGGTCATGACCTGCGCCACTCTTATGATTCTCTGTACATATACCACCTGAGTTAGTTGATATGCACTTTTTTTTCCTTTTCATTCATCCTCAGGGTTTTGGTATCTCGTACCTCTTGTATTTTTCTGTGACACCCAATTTTAATAGGCTCGGTCTTGGTGTGGCCAGGTTAACTGTTTCCCTTGTAGACTCAGGGAGCATAATTCGATGACTCCCGAATTCGATAGCTATCTGGAAGCCCCTAGATTTATTTTAGTCCCGGGCTCGTGAGACTGCTGAGTCGCTATTAATATTCCATTCCAAGGTCCCTTTTATGGAAACTCTGTTAGCATCATAATACACGGTTCTTCTGGGAGCTCATGGTGAATTTTGGGTAGTAGTTGATTTGTCCTCACGTTTTGAAGAATCCTCATGCACTGCCTTAGTAGTGTGCTCATCCCTGCTTGGTGGACGTAGCCCGTTAGATGATTTGGGATGTAAGTCGATATCGACCAAGGTGATCGAGGATGACTTGCTTTGCGGAGTAAAAGGTGGAATCTCTGGATTAGGAGAACCTGCACAATATGGAGTACTAGGAAATCAGGGACGCTTTCCATTATCTTATAACAGCACCCAAAGAATCCAGCAAACTGTGCAAAATACTGACCACCCACATCGCGGCTCAGAATCGACCGGGCCAGATTCATAATTATGGAGACCTATGGAGTCATGACAAATGAATAACAGGGAAACAACCAGGATCTTGACGGTGCAGCGGCTACTCGAAACCGCTGGTGTTTTGTTTAGGGGGGGCCGAAGTGAATAGTCTTGCAGATGCGGGATAATCTACTTGGTGCTAAGGCGGAGCTAAAACGGCGGCGCTAACTCAGCGCTCCCTACAGGCTCAAGGACTACCCGCCAAGGCTGATTCGCCTATCGACCCCGCCTGCTGACCCCGCCTAATTGAGCCTCGCTGCCCTCTTTGCCCTCGTTTATTTCAAATAAACGCGAGTTAGACAGCAAGCAGATGTTGCATATTCTCTATCCGAGAGCTATGATGCCTTCTCCTCTTGACGGAGAAATCTATGGTGTAAGAAGAAGCCTGGGGGATAGATATAAAATGAAGGACCAATGCTAACCTTCGGCAGCAGGGGTCTAATGCAAGTCTGCACAGCGACTTTTGCAAGGGTCGTTCCATGGGTGGTCCACATAGCGCTTGAGGTGCGTCTAGAACAATCATCTTAGTGGTTGATGCAGATGTCCACTAGATTTTGTGATAGGGTCGGTGCTACGACATTGCCCCTCTTGGATGTTACCCAGTCCGACTCGGAGACCTTGTCGCGGCTCTGGCAACCCCGCTTGCCAGCTGTGGATTTTAATAAACATAAGGCGCCACCCACTATGATTTCTCATGAAACAATCTCTTCCTCATCTATATGCCCTTGTGGCCTATCGAGAGGACCGCTTGATGGCCCCTTTATGATTGATTATGGATACTCGACAGTATAACACGGCCGAAGACCGTGGTCTTCTGGGTCGGAACCCATTATTTCTCCACCATGTTCGATCCAGCCGGTCTGTTTCATCTAGTGGGACTTATCACGAAGACAGAGATAATTCGAGTGTTAGTAGTCTGGGGCCAAACGAGGGCCAGCCATTAGACCAGCCCTTGGAGGTTAACGGGGGTTTCTCTGACGTCGACATCGATCCACAAGCATCAAAACCCGAAACCGCGAGATGGGCTCCGTATACGTTCAGCCCCTATTTTTTAGGTACATTGAGTATTGTTGCACTTGGTCTTTGTCTGACTACATTTCTGCTTTGGTGGAGATCCTCGACGAACAATGGCTTAGGGCCTGATGATGGGTCCTCTGCTGTCCTATTCGGATGGCGATACAGCCCTACCCTGATCACCGTGATCTATATCCAATTGACGTCGATGTTATTCAATGATGTGAAGCGAACCGAACCATTTGCTCGATTGGCAAGACCTGAAGGCGCAACCGCTTCTACAAGCATCCTTCATACGCCCGGCCCCTGGTGGGTAGCTTTGTACGATGGATTCGCCAAGAAGAAGAACGGATCCCGCAGCTGGATCTTGATCTGTGCTTCTTTTGTCAATATAATAGGCTTTCTGGCCATTTCTCCACTGTCGTCCGCCTACCTTTACTCCGAAAAAGTCCACATCCTGAAACCCACGGATTTCTTCCAATTATCCCCGTCCGCCCAATCGCCTCTCCCTCTCGACCAAGACCGCACCACCAATTTCCGAGCTATCGCCAATCTGTTGCAAAATGTCTCGACTTCGCCTTGGATTACAGACGATTATACTATCCTCCCATTTTGGCCTGCCAGCTCGCCCAAGCCAATAAACACACTGCCAACATCCCCTTCCGAGACATGGAAGGGACAGACAACCATGTTCAAGAGCGAGCTCAGCTGTACGAAGATGAAATTGGAGGCGGAAGCCAATAGCTCGTATTCTTTCCAGGAACACACCTCTGCTGAGCCGGCTGTTTCCATGATGTGGTCAGCACCCAACGGGTGCAAGTACGGAATGGAAGTTAGCTACCCCCTATTTGAAAACGGTGGCGGGAGCTGGTCCAATGCTTCATCATTTCTCTACGCGGAAGACTTAACTGTACTCACTGGTCAAGTCTCTTCTCGCGTCAATAGTACAGCCGCTTGTGACGGCCATGAACTTCTCATGGTCACAGATCCTTGGACTACAGTTGAGGGCACGTTTACGGCTCAACTGTGCGAGACCAAATACTACATGGCGAATATTACTGCTTCCGTTGCCCTCGCGGGGACGAGCCGGAGATAACTTTTGACGAGAAAGAATACAGACGAAATAAAGTGGCTATCCCAGAAAGTCTCATGAACACCACGCAGTTCGAAGATCTATTCTTGAGCGCAGATTGGTCTTCTTACATGATCTCGATCATCTGGTTAAATTCTGAGATGCTTGGCGGCGCTGCTGTCCTTCTTGGTGCACTTTACAACTATAACATGACTGAGCTAGTCAATGATCCTAATCTTATTCATTCGGCAGCAAAAGCAAAGCAGAGATATTTCGGAGAGGTACTGCAGGCAGCTTTGGGTCAACCTGGTTCCTCTCAACATATCAGCACCAAGGGCCATGTGAATGCCATTGAAAGCCGTGTTGTAGTCCAAGCTGGACCTGCGATCGCGCTAGGGGTTCTTTTCGCTATCTCGTTCTTTCTTTTGGTTGCAGTCTGGTGGCTCTCACAGCATCGTCGCCGACCCTTGAACCTAAGAAGGGACCCAGCAACGGCCGTGGGAGTTGCTTATTTGGTGACGCAGAATGAGAGGTCAAGAGCTGGGTTCCAAGTATTACGGCAGCCCGACTCGAAGTATTTGGAGGAAAAGATCGGAAAAGAATATTACTATATCGACTCCCAGGGACTATCCAGAGGTGACTCTGAGCTACCACAGGACCACGATTCTATACAATCAGAGAACGGAACTCCGGCACTCCTTCGTCTTCCAGTCCTTCTGGTGCTTGTTCTCATCCTGGCTCTTGTGATCGTTGGAGTCGCCGTTCTTTATCACTATGCTGAAAGTTACCGGTTATATGGCAAGGCCTTCGTGTACCAGGTTCAACTATCTTTCCTTGGCAATGGCATGTCTTCGGTGGCCCCTTTCTCGATGATCCCAACCGTCATAGCGACCCTTATTGGTCTCTGGTGGGGTGCTATCGATGATAATTTTCGTCGTCTGCAACCATTCTTATCCATGTCAAAGAATGATCCTCCTTGCAAACAGGGCGCAGACTTGTCGTACCAATCCTCCTACTGGATGTGGGCGGCTGGAAAAGCGGCCTTCAACAGACATTGGTTACTCTTCCTTGTCGCTCTGGGCTCTACCCTATCTCCCGTCTGTAAGTGACCAGGAATCTTGCTTCGAGCCCCGTTTGAGACTATCGCTAATGATAAACTCATCAGTCACTACCACAATGTCGGCTCTCTTTGAGAGAGGCACTGGCAATATCATTCGGCCGGTGGACCTTGAACGTCAATTAGAAGTTCGTGAGATCCCTTTCATCTTCGAAACGATGCAATCAACCTACCCTGGCGGGCTCACAACGAGCGACTATACGGCAACAATTCTTGGAGACCTTTACAAGAATATCTCATCATATTGGATGTATACTGCTACCATTCAATTAGCTTTGAACGGCTCTGAGCCTGCTTGGAGCAAGGATGGATGGAATTTTGTCCCACTTGATCTTTCCAACATCACATCTGCAGATTCCTTGGCCAGTATAGGTGCCAGCAAACCAGACAGCCTCAGTTCGGAGACCCAGACAAACGTGACATTCAACACGCCAGCTATTCGTGGGCGCATCGAGTGTAGTCAGCCTCCTGTAGAAGCTCTTGCTAATGTGAGCAATTGGCTCACGCCTACTTATTTAACCAATCACAAGCTCTACAATCAGACTACGGTCCCGGCCAACCTCGAAGGAGGTTACGAGCTTGGCGCTTCCCATGGGGTTGAGCACCAAGCCTCTCAAATTATTCCGCTGCTGCCATCACAGAATCTGACAGAATGTCCCGGATGCACAAATGTCTTTGTCAACCCATCCCAAATCATGTGCTGCGGAAATAGCTCAACCAATTCAAGACAGGGAGATGTCGGAGTAGGCTATTGGTCGCCGAACCACGGTCTCGCCTACATGCAGTCCACTCCTCGTCAATGGCAGAGAAATTTCACCACTAAATGGATTCACGGGGAGGCTGTCACTGGCATCAAAATCGTCGACACCTTAGGGTACCCCGATCCAGCGCTTCTGTTCCCCGAGCCCCCGTCGATGTCACTCTTCAACTGCAGGCCTATTGTCGAGAGCGCCAACGCGAAAGTCACAGTGGACTCGTCAAATGGCAATGTCCAGACTTTCAGTATCCTAAGTGATATCCAAGAAGAGACAGAGCCCTGGTTGGATAACTTCCTCCCCATAATGGCTCATCAATCGTCGATGATTATGGCTATATGTCCTACAATGTGACGCTTAGGTAAAGAAGACCAATCAACGTTTACAGTCTGAGTATGCAGAAACTGACGACTTCGTTTGGAAATCCAACAGCTATGGACGACTTTTCACAGCCACGATGCTCTCATCAGCAGACATCCTTCACATATCCGGATCAGACCATTCCATTGGGTATACGGTGGAAGATCTCCGCGACAACACATATACCATCCGAGATCAGATGAAAGGCCTGAACATGGATTTCATGACCTACTCCATGTACTCGATGGCCGGGAAGGATCCGAAGGCCCTTCTGGACCCCGACACATTCACCCATCTGGCGCAAAAGACGTACACGACCTTCTTCCAACACTTCATCAGCAAGAACATCTCCATGGAAACCGGGGGCTGGGGCTACCAGAAGATCAACGCAAGCTTACCCGCTAGTCTCCAAGAAGTGGTGGATATTGATCAACTTGGACTTCCGGGGAAGACAGCTTCAAAGTACCAGGATAAAAAGCATCCCATCTCTCATACGAATCGGACAGTCCAAGTCCATGTTTCGCAGGAGGTCGAGCTGCTTCAGATGAATACCGTGGCGGTGGGGTTGAGCATTGGTATCCTTGGATGGCTGGTCTTGACAACTGCGGTGGTCGCCCTTGCGCAGAAGCATTACTTCGGTTCTCTCGTGCGCAATGTGGAAAGTCTAGGCGATGTTCTAGTTCTGATCGCGGGAAGCGCCAACTTCTTGCAGGTGGTGCGGGAGATCGAGGCAGGGAGGCTGTCGCCTGATGACTATGAGAATCTCAGAACACGACTCGGATGGTTCATGGATGAGGAGGGGCACCTGCGATGGGGGATCGAAATGGAGCAAAGCTACGGCGAAGGGCCCGATGTCAATTGGGTTACGAAACCGACCTTTTCCAAGGAGAAAGGCGCGAGTACGTGGAATCTTGCCGATGAGCAGAACGTGTAAATAGTCCACGGATGCAGATTGTACATATTTTTTTTTGGTATATCCAGGATAGAAACGCTGAATGATCTGAAGGAAACAAGTAGTCATCGTCTATAGTAAAAATACAGATTTTTTGAAGGGATCTATAGCCCTCGCTCAAAAACACAAAACATACATCTTCCGAGCGGAAGACGCCTTCCGCGTTAGATCTGGGAGAGATTCGCACTGCTCAAGAAATCGGTAGCGACGACGTTGTCAAACGCAGCGTCATTCTGAACAATGTCTTCTTCTGCCTCTTCTTCTTCGTCGTCGCCCTGCACTGCCAAGCTCAGTAAGCCGGTATGCATCACGTAACCAACGAGCGCGGCGGTTCCAGCCACCACAGTCGCAATAGACAAGTACATATCTTTCTTTTGAGAGTCAGCATACGTTGAAACGATCTCCTTCTCCTTCTCTGATAAGTCAGAGTCGGACTCAGCCGCCTGCCTAAGGCGGTCATTCCCCCGAATCTCACGCAGGAAAGGCGTGGCGTCGGCTAACGTTGACAGCAGGGTGCTCCCAAACAGCAGCCAGGGAGATCCGGCCAGGTGCGCGCCAAGGCAGCGGCGACGGAGGGACTGACTGTGGTGCGAACGCATGGGCAACCTCCACAGACTCACTGCCAAAGCAGCGCTGGCGCAGACGCTCGGTGTACGCCGAGAGAAGTGGGGCCTTGGCGCGCATGGCGTCCCGAAGCCACGGGAAGGTCAGCTCGGGAATGAGCGCCAGGGCAAGATACCCGAGCGCGATGCAGTCCAGGCTTGACGGCAGGTCTGTCTCATCTGAGGCGAGGAGGAAGGGCTTTTGGCCGAGCATGGCTTCGAGAGGCTCAAAGAACTCGCTTGTCAGGGCGTCGATGCGAAAACTGTCCTGTTTCGCGGTCCGGCCGAGCAGGGTGGACACGGTGTCGCGAGGTCGGGGGATCAAGTTCTTGGGTACCTGACCCGTAGCGGCGGCGGCAGAGTGTTCGCGCTCGCGCTGTTCTTCGAGCGCTTGGAGGTCCAGGGACGAGAAGCCCAGATGCCCGGTGCGGGCCTTAGCTGCGCTATGCAGTTTCGGGGGTAAAATCCATTGGTTGGGCCATTGGAGTAGATTTCCGTATGCAGGAGAGGTATTTCCGTAGTAGTTCTGGCTAGAGACGTACAGGGAGAGATCGATGAGGGTTTGGCCGCGAGATTCGATGAAGGAGGAGAATCTGTAAAAACCCGCCACCATTCAAGTTAGCAGACCGATCGTTGCCAGCGAAATGTAGCCCATCACTTGTATCTTCTGCTTTGACGTACGCGAATTTATCGGCTTTTTTTGACTCGTCCAGTTCCTGGTCTAGATCCCATTCGCCTTGCGAGTACTGTCGGAGATAATCGACAATGTTGCGGAATCGGCTCACCCACACCGAACCATACTGGAGTGCAGGGAGTTCACCTGGCAAGCAATCAGGATGAGTTAGCTTTCGCTTTTTTTTTTTGGACTCAGAAGCATCAGATCCCTGCATGTGGCTTGGGGTCCCGAGGGCCATCACATCAACTTACCGGTAGGGGACACGGAGGGATCGCTCGTTGCGACAAGCTCCCACGCTTGTCTGGGGAGGGCCAAGGAGCAGTATGCCACTGTAGCAAGACATTGCGCATCAATTGAGGGCAGACCGAAGGCCGGTCCCCACACATGCAATTGCAGCTTCATGGTGGTTTGCGCGTGGAGATGGAAACAGCAGCCGTGGGTGAGATGGGCCGCAAATCACGTGTCTACCTCCGCAAAGTATAGTACACTCGCCGACGCCTGTCGATCCTCTGCACGCCCGCATCTTCTTGATTCGCAGGGTGACTTTTCTTGGGTCGGTTAGCTCGATCGGACAGATGCTGATAACCATGGTTCCAGTTGCCACTTCTCTCTCGTTTCTGGTGATATTTTCCCGGCTTCTAGGCTCTAGGCTCTCAGGGCTGGGGATCCCGCTAAGGATTTCCCCTTCTTTCCAACATCCGATCCATATTTGCAAATGAAGACGGACACGGACTTCGTAGAAACTTCAACTTACCCACCTGTAATTAGGGGGCCTTAACTCTGCTTCGCAACTAGGCACCATAATTCAGCCCCTCGGATCCACAGATAATGGCAAGTCTATTCAGATTACGCTCGTATTCTACCTGAGACACGCAAACCGACGTGCGTTGCGTATAGACGGGGTGGTTTATGCTCCGTCCTATCCGCACGACACGCCAGCATCTTACCCAGGTAAACGACCCGGTGGAGCCGACTCATCTGGAGGATCGATAAGAGCCCGTGACCTCACAGAACACGTGGCTGCGCAAGAGCCCCCTCTTCTCTTCAGCTGGAAGCCATTGGCGTCCTGGGCTGTTGGGAGTGGAGTCCGAGTCCAAGGCGCCTGAGTCACAGCCCCAGCATATGCGGAACTGCGCCGATTATCTCTCGGGGCCGAGGATCCAGTAGCAGGTTCCGAGTACCTGGACAAGGAACCAGGTTCAACACTTGGACTAATCACGAGCGCTCGGACATTCGGACTTGCCTGTCGACCCCCTCTTTCCCCTCGCCTTTTCAGGTCTTCCTATGGGGCCATTTCCTGCGGATGCATGAGGGTATCTCATATCGCAGCTTGGATGCGCGATATACTTTACCTTGATGCCTTTCGCAGCCCACTAAAACACGCCATGCATACCCATACACCACGGCCCTGTCCTTCGGGTATACCGCTAACTGGTGATGCGAAGAGGGGCAGTCTAGCTCGCTGGTTATCGTTACTGACTTCTGTATCTGTTCTCAGACGATATCTGCCTTGTTTTTCTTGCCTTTCTTTCTTTCTCTCTTCCGGGGAGGGGCCGGATTGAGGATAGCTGATACCCGGGGAGCTTCCCCCCCCCCACTTTGAGACAGCAGGTCAAGATCAATGCGTGATGCCTTGAGACGATAAGATTGGCCCGGATGCATTTGACATCGGCCCCAATCGGCCCGTTTTGACGTCAGATTCTTGCGTTTGCACCTCAGCAATCCAAGGTTTGGATTGACAACCTGGGCCACTCGCTTGGCAGCATCCCTGTCGTGAGGTCCGATGCAACCGTCATGGTAGCGGATTCTGACTGGTGAAACGGGGGTCGAGCCGCCGACGCGTTTCATCCTACCGCGAAAGCAGTCGTGCAGGGGCGTTTACCCACTAATCTGGAGCCAAGACTTGGGCAATGTACTGGGGGTGGATAATATGCACGACATTTGAAAAAGATGAAACAGATTGCTTTGCGGGGGTATATATTAAGTCTATGATACATGCCGTTGATTCAGATTCGGCCCGATGCATGCTGCTAAAGTGCAAGCGCGAATAGAAAGGACAGCCAAGAAAGAAGAAGCCAAAAAAAAAAAAAAGTAAACAGCAAAAAAAAATCAAAAGCCAAAGATCGTCAAAATATTACAAAGGATTGAATGGGCCATGGCCAGGCATGACATGCAAAGTAAAGATGAGGTATACGATGCGTGGACAGCTCGTATGATGCAAGGTGACGCAAAAGCGACGGAATAAATGCAAAACGGGACGCTACCAGGATGCAACTCGTAGGCGCATGGCCGGTAAGACCGTCTTATGCCAATGGCCGTGCCCCAAATTGGAGCTTTGATTTCTCCGCACCTGCGGATCAAAGCCCATGTGTTCGAGCCCAAGAGGGGCCCAGGGGGGGGCCGGGTCTCCCCGCCCCGTTGACGGGCCAAGATAAGGGGAGCTGGAAAACGCTGAAAGAACCAAGCTGAAGAGGCTCCCCGGCGTTTCCGGAGTCATGGGCAAGAAAGCAAGAATAACAAGGTCGAGCTTGAAAGAGAAGCCCTTTGTGGCGCCGGCGCCAAGGCCTTCGAAGTGAAAGACCGGGGTAAAAATGTTAAAATACGAGAAAGAAACAAAAAAAAAAAAAGCAATTCTGTCTCTTGGCCTCGTATTGCTGGAAGCGAGCTAACAGCTCCTCGTTTTGGCCGGAGGCGCGGGTCGGGGATGTATCTCTTTAACCATAGCGGAGGCTCGAGGCAGAGCGCTGCGGCGAGGACCCGGCAACCGTTTGAAAACCGGGAGGGCCGAAGGAGACAGGGTAGTAGATCAGGATAAAGATCAAATGCCGAATCGAGGTCAAAAAGTCGTCAAAGAGCCGGGAACCAGGTCGAGATCGAGGTCAGTCGTATCCATGAGGTAAAGCCCTCCCCCAGGTCGTGGGCGTCAGTTCAGAGCTGGCGCCAAAGTCATCACGGTCGTTTTGGGAGAAGCCACTCTATTTGGGGAGCGGAGGCAGAGGGCCCTTGGGTGGGGGACCCGGGCAGGGAGGAAATTGAGAGGTTCCGACAGAAGGCATTGTGTGGAAGAGGCGAGGAGCTTCAAGTTGGGAAGAATAGAAGAAGCTGGTAGTGGAAGTAGTAGTAGTAGTAGCCGGTATCTTGCGAGTCGACGGAGTTTCGGAGATTTGAAGTTATGGAAGGAAAATTCAGAAAGCTAGCGAGAGAGAGAGACGCTCTTATAGCAGAAGGATCTCCCGATCCCCTCCCCAAAATAATAATAAAAATTAAACCCCATTACGGAGACAGTAGGACTAATTTACTCTAGTGCAGTGCTAACCTTCCCCCCATCGAGCATCCCTGCCATGAACAGGAGGCTGAGTATCCACCTCATCTGACGTAGTGTATTAAATTGCGATTGACTTAGCGGGCCCATGAGTAATACTGCCCATGCCCCAGGCACTCCACCCAATGGAAATCCGCCTTGGAATTTCTAGAAGCTCCCCCACCCGTAATTCCCTAATCCCGTGTGGCGCAGGCAGGTCGTGGGTGAACGGCTAGTGGATTAGGGTAAAAGGGGGTGGAGTGCCCTGCGCTCGGCAAAAAGAAGGATACTGGGAATGAAAAGAAAGGAAAAGAAAGAGAATGAAATCATCACACCTCCACGGGTTCTGCTCTTTCCCTTTTCGGAGCACAGAGGATGAGACATGGGTTCCAACTGACTACTAAAGTATGCGCTGAGCCATGCGCCTACTAAGCTATAGGTGGAATGCCCTCTTCGTTAGGCTTTATCCTGGTACAGATGGTTTCACTTCGACCCCGTAAGAGTAGTAATCATCATGAGACCACGCGAGGTGACAACTGGGAATAGACAATCTCCCGCGGCCCCACTAATGCCTCCATTGGGACGGTTCCTGCGGTGAACGGATGGAAGGAGACTTTTTTTTTTTCGTTTTTCTTTTTCCTTTTTCGTTTTCCTTTGTTGGTTTTCTTGCCTTTTTCTTTTTTTACTCTATTTTTTTTTTTAATAATGATCATTTTGCTCTTAATCATCTTCCCCTTATCCGACAATCATATTCGACAGTGACATGCCCTCGTATGCTATTCTGTGTAACCTCAGCCCTGTTGTTTTTGTCAGCTCAGCCAGATTGAACGGCTCAACGGTCTCCGTCAAGGGTGGTAAGCTGACTCACCGGGTAAAAAAAAAACCCAAACCACTGGGGCCTCATAAGGGGCCAAAAAAGGATGAACGTGAATAAGGTCCAGCTCGGACTGCAAACACACGTGGATTGTAGATCGCCAGATTAGGGATAGCTGTCGGCCCTGAGAACCCATGGATTACAGTTGCGCATCAACGCCGTTCCGTATTGTGACCAGAATGCCGGGATACCAAGGCTGAGCAAGGTTCAGGCTTCCAGCTGAAGATAGGTGACACGCACAGCCCTGATTCGCGGGTAAAGGGCGCATCAGCATGACGCTTATGCTATTCTATGACCTGTCCGGTCCTTCCAAGGTTGTCAAGATAACGCTCAGGCAGACACGGGTCGCACAGTTCGGCTACGACAATCATCTTGCAAAACGTGTTTTCTTTTTCAAATCTGACACTAGGGGGATCAGTCTCATCCCCAAGGACCCATTGCGTTCCAAGGTTCACGGTCAGGTACCCGACGGTAAAAAAAAAGGCCAAAGCACAGTAAAATGCGGGATGAAAGACAGGGACGGCTCCGCGGGGCTTCGGAGCGACGTGCCCGTGCCTTCTTTCCTTTAATTTCAGTGTCTTCCCGAGGATCGTGGATTCGCTTACCAGCGATTTCTCCAAACCCACCTGTACTTAAAATTTTTCGCTCAAATTTGAGTCCGGACACCCCGTGAACCGAGATCTTCGCTGTGGCTAGTGTCCCTGACTGTACGGAGTAATCCTCCGGAAAAAGGGGGCCCCTGCTGCATGATGCATATCCTAATTTGAAGATGCATCTCAGGATGCCCGGGTTGCATATGCTATGTTCACTTGGGGGCTTGGAAGATGCTACTTGAACGCCCCTGATTTGCCTGATGTGCCCGCTTTGTGGCTCTGGAGCTCGGACGGATTTGCCACCGTTCGTCACAGATAAACCCCGGGGTTGATCATGCACATCACCGAGGCCCAGTGTTTCATCCAAGCTGATCTAGTCTGCGTGGCGTCCATTGCGTGCTCGGCCTTCAGTATCAAAGGGAATGAAGATTAGGGTTCGATTCCAATGCAATTACCAAATTCTACTTCGTACTGCTATCGGCTATTCTTCTTTGTCTTCCCCCCTATTCTTTGCATCTATCGCCACATGGTCGGCAAACTTCCGCCTCCAGTTTTGGTGGGGAGCGAGTTGCCAAGCGGCATCTAGGTCAGAATTACGCAGGTTGACCAAAGCAGTTCCAGGAACCGAGTCTCATGACAGCCCTACCAGGGTGGCATCCAGCCGAACCCGGTGCAACCGGGTGAGACAAGCAGGTGTTAGGTTGGTACCTGCTCGGGTACCTGGCATAAGTCCCCTTTTCACCCAGGTTGTACGGCGGTCTGTAGTGGAGCGGTGGCAACGGCAGAGAGAAGGAGAAAAAAAAAAAGTCTTAAAAAAAGTCTTAGGGGACGCTAAAGCATCCTAAACTTCAATAATTCGTCTGGTACGGTTACCCAACTCCACTCAGGTTGGGGTTGGACTGCCGTTCCGCGCCGTTGGAAAAGAAAAGGTGGGTTTGTCGGGAAATTTAGACACCGGTCGTCTTTCTTCCTCTCGATCTTTGAAAAGTCTGTCGCAGGATTTCCCAGGATCGAAAGGGACCCGCAGTGATTTGCCTTATTTGGCTGCCGCTGGCCCAACACGTGGAAAACCTTGAAGATTTCCCCGATTCGCGAGACTTTGCCTTGTTTGGGTTAGCGGAGGCTTGCTCTATAGTATTAGCCATGCTGGGCTGCATGCATGCGGTGTCGGGCATACAGAGCAGAAGTCCATGCATGTCCGGGTCATGGGGTGTCATGGGGTCAACTTCACCCCGAGCAGTGAAAGCCGCCCTTCCATTCACCATTCACGGTAGCCAGCATTCATCCTGACGGGATTGACTTGGACGGCGTTCCCAGTCCGTCCCCTGGGGATTGCGGGAAGAGTGGAGGCGATCCACATTTTTCATTTCTCCTAGAATTTCTAGAAAAAGCCCCTGCCGAGGTCTCAGGAGGATTCCCCATGTTGTGCAGCCGAGCCGCCAATACTACCACCGGTGGAGTTACGGATTAACGGAACTTATCCTTCAGTCTGGCGTCTACGCTTCGGCAGTTGCCGCCGCGACTCTGGAGTAAAAGGGGCTCAATATCTTGATATGGCAGGTCCTGAAAATGTGTCTCTGATGTAATCAGGCCAATGTACGGAGTAGAGGGCATTGGATTGCCAACTGGCCCGAGACAGTTTGAGCTCCATCATCTACATCTATGGGTTTTCTATGGGTTTAGGAGATTACAGAGTAAAAAAGGGGTGACGGTGCAAATTCCCCGATTTGCGTGGCTTACGTTACGTGGACTTCAACAAGTACGCTCAGCGCCCAATATAGATTCAACAGAATTGACTCATCCTTGCTCGTTCAATCTTGCACGCTTGATACGAGTACAGCCACTCAATGTTTCGCGATCTCAGTGCTTAACTCTATCTCGACATCACAGTGGAAGGGAATTCGCTTCGCGGATTTCTAATGCCTACAGTTTACTTTTACCCGCACGCCTGCTGTGATCTTGAAAAACAATAATCCTGCTATGAAGGCCGTTGGGGAGCTGAAGTCCCCGTGAGATCATGAGCACTCCCTCAATGACCAGCTCGATGGCGACGACGAGCTAAGGAACATACCTGCTCAGCCAAGCTAGTTACATGCAGAAGTTAGGCTATGTGTGTGGATGTCTCAGCAATTATACAGATGATCTTCCTAAGACAGCTTGGTCATAACAAGGCATATGGTCGAATATTCCCCAGTGGTCCAATTATCTACCACATACGATAGGTGTACGAATAATCCCCCCTAATGTCTCTATGGCGGACACGTTGTATCAGGGACCGATCAATAACACTACTGCGCGAGGGGTTGGACGGAAAGAGTGCGGGCCTCGAGTATGGCCAGCAAGAAATACATACTGACGGCATGAACCTGGACGGGTACTACTGTACCAAATACGGCCCGGGAAAATGCAACGTCTTCTGGTCAGAGCCAAGCAGTGGCGTCGAAAAGGGGAAAGCGACGAGCCTGGCTTATTTACAGATGAAGGATGAGTATTGGAGCACAACTACTGATGCAATGCTACCGGGGCGGAAGTCCTGAGAACGTGTTTCATGCAATTATTGCCTAGTTGGATCCTCAGATTGCCAACCGGCCCAAGACTGTTTGAGCCACGGCATCTATACTTAGTACCCTACTAGAGCCATCCAGGCATGTACTCCCTATGTCTCGCGCGGTAATGTGTGCATGGATCCGGACTCGGCAAGAAAAAAAAGTTTCTCGCGGCAATTGGCATCCAGGCTGGTCTGGAAATTCTTTTTTGAGCTTGATTCAGCAAGTGGGGATTACTAGTCTAGCCGCCACCTGCGTAAAGTGTCTTTGATCTGTGTCGAATACTGTTGGCATGTACGCAATAATCTGGCTGGGTTGTAGAACCCCCATCAAGCTAAATAAAGGTCTAGTAATGATGCTGCAGCAGCCCGTGGATGACAGGGTTCACGTTGAACCCTGCATGAGGGGCGGGACCACCTTTTTAGCCTGTTTTGCAGGTTGGAGGTCAAAAACATATTCGTCAAGACGCGGCCACTGCATGCCTCAACCGGATTTATCAAAACGCCCTGGCTTATACAACTCTGCAATTTAGATGTGTTACAGCCTCCCGTTGAATCATGCCACTCGGTTTGCTGGGGTGCGGAAGAGTTTGGCCCCGACGAATCCCCCTGATCCATGTTTCAGGTAACCGGGGGGGATCCCACCTTAGACCAAGGCGGTCGATCAATCCTCCTCAAGGGTAGTTTGAGCTTGTGTTGATATCCATTCCTCCATGAGCGGCTGTTTTGGCTCTGCCGTCGTGGCCCTCCCTGCTTTACCGTCTTTTCGTGTGATCAACAAGCAAAGTACCCAGCCATGAATATTGAAGCTCTCGTAGGTGGTGCTGAAGCCGAGCTTTTTCTCATCCGTCCCTTCGGCCTGGCCATCTTGGTTATCTCTTCCTTTGCCCCTCCGTGTTCTTAAATCACTTTCTCCAGTGCCGTCTTCGTTCGCCGGAATATCGTGCAAATCAAATTCCGGGTCACTATCGCTCTCGGGAATCACTTGGGCATTCTCTACGGAGTTGGCAGGCATGGCTAAAGAACCCTCATCATGCTCAGCCTCGCTCCCCTTTCCAGAATTATGAAATGTCTTGGTCCGCGTTAGCAGTGAATGACGCGTTCGCGTTTCACGGAGGAAGATTGCGACTTCAAAGTCATCTATAGAGAATACCCCACTTAGTTAACAATCAAGCAGTTCCAAGGCCGAATCAGCATACCTTCCTGAACAACATCTTTGACAGGTTTGCCCTTCTTGCGAGTCCAAAGGCGTATGTTTTCTTCGCGCAACTTAGGAAGGACCAGGTGCCGGATCGCGTCAAATACGCGAGGAAGAACCGGATGGGCAGAACTTAATAGCCATCGGCTGTCGGACGGGTTATCCAAGTAAATCCGACACTCCAGCGCCGAATGTTTGGTGATACGAAGGTAGCGACGGATGGGAGCCATCACAACCGTCAAGCTAGAAACCCCGTCGAGGACCAGGTGGGTTGGTACTTGGGGAGCCGCGAGACGGGACTGGGATGTGATGAGATCACGTCGCCAAGCTTAATCTTGAGCCTCTGATTGGCCGTTGGCCAATCGCGCTCGCGCAGGCGCAGAGCTCGAAAAGTCTCGACCGTGAAGTCCCCAACGTCGGACCATCCTCAGCTTACTGAGCCTCCCGTCCCAAAAATGCAACTCTCAAGTCTTTCGGGCTTTTGCTTTGAGTTTAATCGCGCCTTCAGCGTCGCATTGGCCCCACGTGACGGCCGTCCAACCGATGCGAACGGAAAGAGACTGACCGTCCCCAAGGTCCTCATCCTACGGCTCCGAAACCACAAGTAGTAGGTACTTAAATCCACACCCAAATTATGTGTATCTTTAAGTATCCAGTACCTGAGATCTATAGTTTGACGTCGTCCACACCCCCAAGGTCCCCATAGAGCCCACCCTGATACCCCCGCTGGGTGAGAGACCGGTAGTCGGTTCCGCAAAATTTGAACTAGAGGCTTTTTTTCTTTTTTCTACCTCTGAGATAGTGCGCGCAATTGCATCTTCTCAGCAAGTTTTTTTTTCTCCATCGCCGTAGAGTGGTCGAGAAGCGCGCCTACAAGTCAACGGTGAACGTTGCGCCGCTGAATTAGTTGGATTCCTTCGCATCTCTCAGCAATTGCGCAAACCTTTCTCACCGAACCTCCTACGTGCATCGCCAAGGGTCCGGACGTTAGAGAATCGGGGGGTTTCTATAGGCCCAGCTGCTGCATCCTCTGTGATTAGAGTTACGTTCGACAGGGCAACCCGGTCGTTTCCTGTGAAGTTCATTGGGTCATTCTGCATATCGAGGACCTTGGGGGTGACGGGCGCCGCAAACTAGCATCCACCCAGATTAGCGAGCAGGAAGCCCCTCCTCTTGACTGTCTCTTCTGATTTGTGTCTTCCTTTCTACCAAGGTGCTCGCTTTTCGCTAAAGTTGATTCGACGTCAGCTCAGTCTCGGTGGATTATCGATCCTACTCAGATCTAAGTGCTCCAGATCTTCCATCAGATAACGGTTCCACAGATCTTGCTAGTCCAACAAAAGTTCTGTTGATTGCGCCTATCATACGCGGAATGGAGCCCGCCAACACCCTGCTTAGAAGGGATGCCTGTGACACGGGAAACGACTTCGATGGCCGGATGGGCCTTCGCATCTCGTCTATCTTCGTCATTCTGGTCGGTTCCACTTTCGGCGCCATCTTTCCTGTCCTTATGAGACGTTATAGCGGCCGTGGTGGTGCGCCTAAGTGGCTTTTCTTCATTGCAAAGTACTTCGGCTCTGGTGTCATTCTTGCCACTGCTTTCATCCATCTGCTTGCCCCAGCAGAGGAGGCGTTGACCAATCCATGCCTGACCGGTCCCATCACCGAGTACAGCTGGGTTGAAGGCATCATCTTGATGACAATAGTAGTCTTGTTCTTTGTGGAGTTGATGGTTATGCGATTTTCTCGTTTCGGCACAGGCCATACACATGACGAAGAGGGTGATTCGCACACTGTAATCGAGGATGAGGATATCGTGTCTGAGGAACCTAAGAATCACATCCCTGGAGAGGACCATCTTGGTCACACACGTGAACACCACGACCCCGACGATGCTCAGGATGACCGGAAAGCCATTGAGGACTATGCTGCACAGCTAACCTCCATCTTTATCTTGGAATTCGGTATCATATTCCATTCCGTTTTTATTGGTCTTACTCTGGCTGTGACTGGAGCCGAGTTCGTGACGCTTTATATCGTCCTCGTCTTTCATCAGACCTTTGAAGGCCTCGGATTAGGTGCCCGCCTGGCCACCATGCCCTGGCCGAAGTCAAAGCGACTCACGCCCTACTTCCTCGGGTTGGGATTCGGCGTGTCAACACCCATTGCGATTGCCATTGGTCTTGGTGTTCGCCAGAGCTATCCACCCGAGGGACGAACGACTTTGATTGTCAACGGCGTGTTTGATTCCATCTCCGCCGGTATCCTCATTTACACGGCTCTCGTCGAGCTGATGGCCCATGAATTCATGTTCAGTCACTCTATGCGTCAAGCACCCGTCCGCGATGTGCTACTGGCATTCTTCCTGCTCTGTCTAGGTGCTGCTTTAATGGCCCTTCTTGGTAAGTGGGCTTAAAGTTGTCTCCTAAAATTGCCTCATCTCCTACGGGGTTGACGTGTCTTTATTCTCTATTCTTTGTTGATTCTTTGTTTGATCTGAGCTGGGGATATTTATGACAGTAGATACTTTGATTTCCCGAGGCTTGCATCATGATACCCACGACTTGTCATTACATGGTCGGATATTAGGCGTTTACTTCGAGTGGCATAATTTTTCTTTCCCTGGATGCCTTCGATAGCATTCCGAATATAACGAGTTCTGCATATGTTCTACCTTTTGTTCCCGTAAATCACCTGAATCCAATTGATGTTTTGTTTGGGAAGAACCCTATTAACCGCGATTTGTGCTACGTTGGGCTTCGCGGCACGCTTCCCGCTTTATATCCTTCTGAGCCCTTGAAGCTTCATATATTCGTACTGCCCTTACATCTTTCTAGTCTTTCCAGTGCCATTTCCAATCAAGAGGTTGCCCATGTGAAGCGCCCTTATGGCGGGAACTAATGGGCTCGAGGTGAAATTTTCTCCTAGTCCTGGGACTTGAGCCCGGTTGCTGCTATCAAAGATACCATGTCTCGTGCTAAAATGCTTCATTATCCTCGATATCGGTAACAAATTACTGTACAGCACTGCATGGCGGGTTTGCTGGCATCTGGCTGCTCTCGGTATCCTATTTCCATATCGAGAGGCCAAATCCTAAACCTCGCCCTCGTGGAGTCGTGGAGCCGAGGAGATAATTTTCCCAGCCGCAGCCATCGTTATACACGTATTCTAACTCTGCCAAAGTTGGTGTCGGAGAAGTGGACTTTCCTTATTGCAGCCATTTGCGGCGTAGTCAGGATCATGGTCACGTAGTTCTCTGTACTTAATCTCTTCAAGACTCGCGCCCACCAGATGACATTCCCCGTATCCGGAGAGGAAGGACTGGGGAGAACCGATAGGAGAAGACGACCTACAGGCCCTTGCTAATCAGACAATGCCGCCAACCGGGTGTCACAGCGAAGATGGCTAAGTCATGAGAGGGATAAGTAGCGATGGGAGCTTGCTCCAACGTTTGATTTGTACGGCATTAGTCCTTAGCTAGGGAGGTTTTTCCAAGCAAATATCATCAGGAATTCCAGCTAGTTACATCTATTTGGCCCGATGTTATACTTCAAGCCAACCGCCATCGCAGATTAGCCAAGACCCACATCTCCGCACCCGTCCACGTTGCCTCTGCTCTCCCCACCTCTCTAACTCCTATTAACGCCTACCGTGAGCAACGACACATACTCTCTCAGACATACTCCTGTTTCGGAATTCCTCAGTCTCACTCGCCGCGCGGCCTCAGTTATGCGTTTCACAACCATTCTCCTCTCCTTCGCCTCCCTGGCTTTCGCCGCCGAGCTCGGCATCGAGACCACTCACAAGGTCGAGTGCACCCGCAAGACCCAGAATGGCGACGGCGTCTCCATGCACTACCGTGGCAAGCTGCAGGACAGCGGCAAGGAGTTTGATGCCAGCTACAACCGTGGTGTGCCGTTGAGTTTCAAGCTTGGAACCGGCCGTGTCATTAAGGGGTGAGTGGGAATCAACGCGGCTGCTTGGCATTGATGCTAATTTATTCGTCTCTTTCCTAGTTGGGACCAGGGTCTTCTTGATATGTGCATTGGCGAGAAGCGTACCTTGACGATTCCCCCCGAGCTTGGATACGGGGACCGCAACATGGGTCCTATCCCGGCGGGGTCTACTTTGATCTTTGACACTGAGTTGGTTGCCATTGATGGCGTGGACAAGGATGAGCTATAGATGCATAGCTTGAGCGGCTGCATAGGGTCGAAATGGTTTATGAGGCTACGCACTCGGCACCCAGGATGATCGAGTCATCCGTGACTTCATGTTGATACGAAATCCTATTTACGAGGGGGGGGTTATCTGTCGGAGAAAATATTAGTACATGTCATGCTCTGCCCTACTCCAATTGTCTGAAAGATAGTCTCCGCACGGACCTGAAGAGCATTCATCCTTGAAATTGGTAGAATTGATTAAGAGTCGTACATTATGATTAGACACTCCTGTTCTGCTGGACTTTCAAATAGAAGGCAGTGGATATCAAATATTAAAAGGAAAGAAAGCCCGCCAGGTTATCCCACCTTCCGTCCTAAGCTCTCTTCAAAATCTGCCCTTCGGGATCAAGCACTGCCTTCAAAGTCTCCAGCGGCGCATGGTTGCGAGTATTTTCCATCCGGTAGCACCACGAGACCTTCTTGCCACCTTCGCCATTCGGCTCAAAGAGGAATTCTCCCCCAACCTGCTTCACATCCCCCGACTTCAATAGTGATGAGAAAGGCGCATTCCTGATAGCCCTCACCATGCTCTTGATCGCATTGCCCACCATACCCTCCTGCGAATACTCCGCGCGTGGCCCGAGGGCCATCGTACGGGTCATGCCTAGGTCGTCATAGAGCTTTTGGGTTGGATCAGCGTAAAAGGCGAAAGGGCATTTAGTCTCGGCTGCGTAGAAGTCGATGAGGCTTGGGTCGCCGCACCCAATCACGACAACAGAGGTGCCGGGGAGCTTCTTGATGTCATCTGGTGGAACGGTCTCTGTGAAGACGCGGATGAATTCCTGGCATAGCTATGGGTCATAAAGCGGTCAGTGAATCATTCTCGTCGTTTCTTTTCTTTGACCTCGAAGCCGTGCAGAAGACTTTATGGGAATCGCCTTACTCCGCAGAAAAAGTGTCGGATGAAAATGACCAGCACCCGGTCCGTTGCAGCGGGGCCTTCGAGAATACTCTTGAACGTGTGCTTCTCGCCCTTGCGATCCAGGACGGTGTACTCGCCGACTTTGTGCAGAGTCTCGGCACTGGGGACCTCGGCCGACGTCATTGTTTGGCTGGTCTTGTCATTCACTTCAGGCGCCGTCGCGACAGGTTCTGGTTGTGGCGCTGCCTGTACTTCGGTCGCCATTATGAAGGAGTAGACTTGCGATTGCTTTTTAGGTTCTCAAAACCGGTCGATCACGGAGGGGGGCGAACAGGGGCTTAAGGCAAGAGTGTACTGCTGTATGGTCCGAGCGCTCGTTCTCGGGTGCGGAAACCTAAAGGGAGATCCTCGTGCAGATCAACTAGATCTACATAATGCAAGGCGATCTATTGGCTCTATCTCGGTGCTACTATGGACAGGAAAAGAGCTAGTGTCTGTCGGCCCTTGGGTTTGCTATCCACAATTTTGCATCTTCCTGAGAACCAGAGGCCCTTTAAGAGGTTTAATGGATCTCTAGCCACACTGTTAGGCTAGGATGTACGAATCTCGGTACTGTCCCAGGGGGAGCCAGGACATTCTGGCTCCTAACCCAACTGTACAACCAACACCAAATTTCAGCCGGGTAGCAATATGCCGAAGTCTGACAATGCGGCGAGCTTGAAGCTCGCCGCAGCTCTCGAATATTTGAGAGGCGAATCTACAAGATTCATATTATTTCTCGGAGAAGGTTCAGAGGAAAGGTTTACATGACCAGCATATAGACCGTCCATAGACCTCACCTAGTTGAGGGATTTAGTAGGTAAGTGCCTCAATCCATTGCATCCAACCTATTCTCAGTTGGTGTGTCCTCAGACACCAAGATGCCAATCAAGCACTCGTTGAGAATACCATCCCAGTTGACCCAGGGGTGCACCTCCTGGAACAACTTGCCGGAATCCTTCCCGGCGCCACGCAAAATCTCGCCCTTCCCACCAGGGTGGTAGGGAAGATACGGGCTAATGTTGTAGACCTTGCCCTGGTAGGAAGTCCACGCATCCCGGCCTTTCCGACCGTTGTGCGCCTTGAGCATCGACGGAGTGACCCGAATGAATTCACTTGGGACATCCTCGCCTCGGAGCTTGTTCTTGGGATTTGACGCGAACGCAGCCCAGTCTCAGAGGCGAGTAGCCCGGCGGCAGAATAACCCGTCGTGAGAACTCTGATTTCTTGCCTCCGGCGAGAGACTGCGGGGCGAGATTACTGACGCCAAGGCTATTCGATCCCCCCCGGTGCAGAACTCAGGCGCGCTGCTCCTGCGGCTGATAGAGGTGCTCGCGGGGAGTCGCCCACACGAGGCGGCTGAAGACCACCTGGTGTCCGGTTTGGTAGCGGGGTTTGGCGCACTCGAGGTACAGGGGCAGCGGGTGGGGGCATCAAGGACGAGGGATTTGCAGAAGGTGTCGGTGCTGGCTGAGGAGTAATTGATTGGGGGACGGTTGGCTTCGAGGTTTCTGGTTGCGAGGGTCCATGGTTGCCTGTTGCTGTGGACTTCTGCGATATTTGATTCGAATTCTGCGGTGCAGGTGATTCTGTCGGGGCTGGCGGCTCCTTCTGGTTATCAGTTTCATTATCGAGGCTTATCGTCGGGGCGATGAGTGTAGGAGGCGCTGGCACTGAAGACGGTGTCGGTCGGGATTGCTCCGGGGATTGAGGGGCGGATGGTTCAGGCGCAGGGTCCGTGGGCTCGGAGCTAGGGTCCGTCCCGGAAGTGCTCCGGTTCGACGGCCATGGGAGATAACGAGAAAGGAGGTCCATGGCAGTGTGAGGAGGAACCCTCCAAAAGGACGAGCATGCGAAAGGTGTTGATAAAGTGGACGGACATCGTGCCGCCGATAGGCCGCAGAACGCCTGTGGCCCGTGCGCTGCAGTAGATTCCGATCTAAAGGGGATCTAGAGACGAAAGCAGCTAGGAAGACAACATGGCAGGTCAGGGTGCTGGTTTTCACCGTTTACTATTGGTGTATGTGACTATGTCATGATTTATCACATGCTCGTAAATTACTGCCGAAAGAAAATGTATGGAAACCATCAGCAAAATGATCTCCGTCATATAAGAGCTCGGAGAAATGCATACTTCAAAAGAATACCAGGCTGACCTCAGAAAGGCTGTAACATCTGACCAATCAGTATTCTCTGGGACACTCGCTAGCCGATCATGTTCTAATCCTTTAACCCATCTGCGAACCATTTTCATGAGCCTAGTACTATTTACCAATACCATGCATTATTGTGCACCGACAAGATATTGATAATGTCCGGCTACCACTATTTCACCGCAATTTGCCTACCATCCCTGAAAATCCTGATATCGTAATACTAGCATCACTATTGATGATTCACATTATGTCCACGCTCATTTTACACCGTCATAGAGCAACCAAGGGCCCCAGCACGGGATCAGTTTGCGCCAAGGGGCAGACATAAAACCTCAGCTCTCAAATGAAATATGTGCTCAGAGAGAATAAGAGCTGTTTATTCCTCAAATCCATTTGCCATAGGTGTAATATTGACTGGAATATTGACCATCCATGATGTCAGTCTACCATCACTGTACGAGAGAGGCGGAACTATGCACAGCTCACCGGACTAGAAGACTACATTCGACTGCTCGTCATGGTCCTAGCTCACAGAGTGCTGAGGCCCGATGCTTCGGAAGGCAGCCATGGCTAGTCCCGAGACAATTGTGCTCTCCGATGTAGGAGCCGGTCAGGTAGACAGTCCTGCAATACAATTCCCTCATCATTTGACTGAATTGCGCGAGACAGGCAAAGGGAGGACGAGATTCCCAGGAGGACCGCTGTACAATCATCTCACCGGACCAGTTCCCAGCTCAAACGGATGAAAAGTTGGCGTTCTTTGCAGTCTACGATGGCCAGTAAGGTAGCCCGCAAAACTACTCTTATTTTCCCTCCCATTAATATGCGCTCCCGCAGCGGTTCCGAATGGGTTGCAGAGCACGCGAGTCAAAACCTGCATGGACTCGTTGTCAAGCGATCGGAGTTTGAGCAGGGGGACTACGCCAGAGCAATCAAGGGAGCCCTGTCCGACGAGGACAATATGCTGTACAAGAGTTTCAAGTTCGAAGCTGAGGAGCCCGCTTTCGCTGGATCAACCGCGGCGATCTGTCTTATCAACCTCACCCATGGAGAGCTAATTGTCGCGAATCTGGGCGACTCGCATGTTATTCTGGCCGAACGAGATCCCGCAACGGATCGTCCATTCCACATCGTACGCATTTCTATGATCCAATACTACAAACCCTTCTTACGTCAAAAGACTGATCAAGGGCTTAGCGACGTCTCACGGAGGCCCATAAGCCAGAACTACCGGGCGAGCGCCAACGCATTGAAGAGGCGGGAGGGAGTGTCACCATACGCAATGGGACGGCCCGCGTCGGTATGTCTCGGATTGCACACCATCATGGTGGAGAGAACTGACTGGGGGTCATTAGAATCCCTGAACATCTCTCGAGCGCTAGGAGACCTGCAATACAAGAATCCGATGAATAGCGTGAGCGACGACAATTTCATGCCCGCGACCGGCGTGCTTCATCCTTCTCCACAGCGGTTCGGGGAGATTTCCTATCCAATGAGCCCTTTACATCCAGGCGGACTCTGCATTCCGAACGCCAGTACGTCTTGGTGATCGTCTCTGATGGAGTCAGTGACCGGACAGACGACGCGATCTTGATGCAACATGTGATGAAGCTCGCAATGCGAGGGATAGGAGCGGACCAGATTGCTCAAGAGGTCGCTTATAAAAGTAGCCGGCATCCCCATAGTGACAACGCCTCATGCATTGTTGCGCTGCTAGAAGGACAGTCGTGATCTTTCCGAATGGCTTGGAGGGCAGATTATAAAAAGCACCAGCGGGCTTGCAGAAAACTGGGCCGGAGCCCACTCGGAGCTCGGAGTGTGTTATGCATATTGCGGAACCCAATCACAGTACAAATCGGGTCCCATCCACCTCAAAGAAGAAGGTGCTTTCCACTTGCTTTTCAACGGAAGAGCGGGTCGTCCTCGGGAATTCCCTGATCCCTTTCTTTTTTTCTTTTTTTTCCTTTTCCTTTTTCTGGTTTTCTGCAATTAAAATCTTGAGTTAAAGCCCAATCCGCCCCTCTCTCCGTGAGCGTGGCCCCCAATAGAACACGGGGAGAACACCCAGACGGACCCCTTGCCTTATAAGGAAGTTGCGAGTAGCCCCTCAGTGGCGCCGTCGTATCGCATTCGTATACTGTAGATAAACTTCGTGATGAAATGCGAGATGCGAATGGCGACTGGTCAAGGGAGGATTGACAGCGAAGCTTGAATACCGACCGGAGCCATCTTGCATTTGCTCATCGCCCATCGCCCATCGCCCATCGCCTCGGTCCCCACTTCGAGGCGAACGGTTATCTCCAACCAAAAGGCGCCGTGGTCATATCACAAGTTCTTGTCGCTTCGTTCCGTCGGAGTGGACCGAAGGCTTGCTCCCTCCACCAACCAGGAGTGGCAGAGTGTCGGTGCTATGGTTGCACGCTTGACGAAACCCCAGAGGCTCCAACGAAGCACCCAGATCCTTGGGAGGCTGTCATCCCGAATCAGGCAGGCGGATGTATCCCGTAAAAGGTGGAGATTCTAGAGGAATATCAAGCTATGAGACATTCGCTTCTAACCACCTTCCAGAAAGGTCAATCCTGAAGGGGATCTTGCCATCCAGCCTCGGATCATTCAAGAAACCCTGATTCCCTTCTCTCCTTTCCCCGGCCACGTTCGGGTTTCCTTTTGGTGACCTTCCTCCTTCCCTTCCCAATGACTTCAACAATAACCCATACCAAATCCAACATGGCTGCTGGCTGGAGTAACTTCCATGTGGGAAGGGACTGTGGCCATGTCAAATGGTCTCGCAACAATAAGCCTAAATTAACCGTCACTTCCGGCCAGACCGTCACCTTCGATGCCATTGATAGTAGCAACGGTCAGCTCACCTCGTCATCTGATGCGTCCGCTATCGGAAATCTAGATCTCGGCATCGCCAACCCCGTCTTCGGTCCGATCTATGTCGAAGACGCTCAGCCCGGCGATGTCCTCAAAGTGGAGGTCTTGAACCTCGAGGTCTCCGACTGGGGATGGTCTGCCATCATCCCAGGCTTCGGTCTCCTGGCCGAGGACTACCCCGAGCCCGAGATCAAGATCTGGTCTTTAGACCGAGAGAAGGGCTACGCGCGGTTCAAGAACGTGCAGATTCCTCTCCGTCCGTTCTTAGGCTGCATGGGTCTCGCTCCCGGTGACGATTCGGAACTATCGACGGTTCCCCCAACCCACCATGGCGGCAACATGGACTGCCGCGAACTCGGTGTCGGCTCGATCGTCTACCTCCCTGTTCAGACCGCTGGGGCCCTTTTCAGCTGTGGCGACGGCCATGCTGCTCAGGGTCACGGCGAAGTCTGTGGTACTGCCATCGAGACCCCCATCCGTGCAAGTCTGCGCTTCGAGCTGTGCAAGAACCAGCCTTGGCTTACCGCCCCCCAGTACCAGACCCCACCTCTCGCTCAAATACAGAATCAGATCCCAGATCTCGGGTCGTACGGCACGCTGGGCATTGCGCCCGATCTATTCGATGCCGCGAAGAATGCCACCCGCAGTTTCATCCAATGGCTTGTTGCAACCAAGGGACTCACGCGCAGTGAGGCCTATATGCTGGCCAGTGTTGCTGGGGACCTTAAGATTGCCGAAATCGTCAACGTCCCCAACTACGAGGTCTCGATGAGTATTCCTTTGGGTGTTTTCCATTAAGTCAGAAGTACGCCCGAGCCTTTCAGCATGCATTTCTTTGGATGGAATTACGAAACGACCTTCGGCTTGATACCCAAAGATGCCGAAACATCATGACCTGTGTATATATCATGACCATATTTACTTGAGCCTTTTCTTTTTTTTTTCATTTTGTTTGCAAAGCATGGCTCTATTAGCAGCTACCTTTATAATAAATCAAGCCCAACAATTCTCTCTATATCAGCTCATACCTCCTCTTGCTTCCCACCTTCGACTCGTAATGAAGTGAGAGAAACAGCGCTTGTGGTGGCGGACACTTGCCAGCGATCAGCCAGGATAATGAAAACACTCTACCAAGCCCAGTGTGAGAATTGAAAGCCAACTATGATTGGATGCACCTCCAAAGTAAACTGGAATAGTGCACTTTATTGAGCAAGCAAATGATCTATCAACTTGCAGCCCAGTTATGCTTCCCGTCACATGACACCGCGTGCGGGCGCGTCGCAGAACACCGGCAGACAAGCACCAGATCACCTCGGATCGCAACAATGACCGCGTGAACCATGGATCTCATCCTTGATGGGTTGAATTCTGCGCAGCGCCTGGCTGTAACATCGCCAGATCCCATCCTCCAGGTCCTGGCGCCTCCGGGGTCCGGCAAGACCAAGACCCTCACGGCACGCGTCGCGTATCTCCTCTCCCACCACGGGTACTTGCCTCAGGATGTCATCTGTTGTACGTTTACGATCAAAGCCAGCCGGGAGATGCGGGAGCGGCTCTCCAAATTGGTTGGTGAGCGTGTCCAGTCGCGGCTTATTCTGGGTACCTTTCATTCGATATGCCGGCGGTATCTTGTCAAGTATGGGTATCTGATCGGGTTGAAGAAGGGGTTCGGGATTGCGGACTCGGATGATACCCGGGCTATTCTGAGGGTAGGTTGGATACTGTTCGAAGCCTTCCTTTGCAAGGAAATGGTTGCTTCAGCGGGCCGCTAACTGGAGCACAGCGAATCATCAAACGGCTGAATGCCAGTATCGAAGTCAAGGCTGCCCAGGGCCGTATATCACGCCATAAAGCCCACGGGCTCGCGCCGGATGACCTTGCCGAGAGGGCTAAAGCGGAAGAAATGGAATTGGTCGATGTTTACCGCCAGTACGAATTGGCCCTTTCGGCGTCCAATCTCTTGGACTACGACGATCTGCTGCTGCGCTGTGCGCAACTGCTCAGAGAACACCCCAAATGCGTCTCCAACGTGCAGGCGGTTCTCGTGGATGAATTCCAAGACACCAATGTCATCCAATACGAGCTGATGAATCTCCTGGCGGCTCAAAACAGGCGCATCACTATCGTGGGGGATCCGGACCAGAGCATCTACGGGTTCAGGTCTGCGGAGATTCAGAACCTCAAGCGCATGCAAAAGCGATATTCTAATACGTCAGTGGTTCTCCTGGAATCGAATTATCGGTCCTCGGCCGCGATCTTGAATTCTGCCCAGGAGGTCATTGAGCAGGATACGACGAGGCCGGATAAGAAGTTGCAGGCAACTCATTCCTACGGTACAATGCCTGTCCTGCGAAAGCTACCTCATGCAAATGCAGAGGCGCAGTGGATGGTCATGGAGATTAAACGATGTGTGGCGATGACGGGCGGTGTTCTACGTATGTCTGACTTTGCAGTCTTGCTACGATCCGCGTCGCTCTCCACACGGATTGAATCAGCGTTCGGGCGGGCGGGGATCCCGTACAAGATGGTCGGAGGGCGAAAGTTCTTCGACCGGACTGAGGTCAAGACACTGTTGAATTATCTGCGCGTAGTAAGCCATTCAGAACACAACGATGCACTACTTGGCATCATCAATGTGCCGCCGCGAAGAATCGGCGAGGAGACAATCAAGCAGTTGACTGCAGGCGCTGAGAAAGCGAAGGTTCCACTATGGACATTCATGAAAGATGTCATCCAAGGGCGCCGCTCAACCGAAAAAAAGTTGCAGAAAGCCGCAGAGCAAGGGCTGTGCTCTCTGATGAGATTAATTGAAGCAGCCAAGCAAAAGCTGCAAGAGTGTGAGGATGCATCTGCTCCACGCGTCTTACTGGAGCATATCACGGAGGGTCTGTCATTCCAAGAGTACCTCATCAGAACGTATCCGCTGGACGAAGATGGTCGCTGGGCGAACGTCACCGAACTGATGGGCCAAGCTAGTGACGCTGCTGCGGCTACCGGAGACCCAGGTCAGGAGGAGGATCTTCCGGAGATTGAAGGCGTGGAGCAACAAAGAGCACACGCGGGAGAAGAGGCTTTATCACGATTCTTGGCAAACGTTGCTCTCGCAACTGAGGCGGCTAAACAGGACGAAGGGGAGGAGGCCGGCGAAACAGTCACTATTTCCACCATTCATGCCGCCAAAGGGTTAGAGTGGCCCGTTGTTTTTATCCCAGCGGTATACAATGGGAGTATCCCTCATTCGCGGGCAGAAGTAGTCGATGAAGAGCGGCGGCTTCTTTATGTGGCTATGACTCGTGCACAAGCCTTATTATACCTCAGCCTGCCACTACGGCAACCCCGAATGGGCGAAGGAGAGGACGCCTCAACGACACTCACACAATTCCTCACGCAAAAGCTGGTCAAGACTCGATTTCGACCATTAGGGCCTCAATTGCTTGAGAAGGTAGTCTACTCTATTGCGGATATCCTGCGCCGGCCGCGTCCGGCTCTCGAGGATATGTACAAGTCGTTAGAAACCCTTCCTTCGACCCTGGACGATCAATGGACCGCGGATGGCGAGGAAAGGCGTGAAGCAAACACGGAATGGAACACATTCACAGGGAATGACTCCTCTGACGAGCCAAATCCAAAGAGACGGCGTGCACGCAACAATCCACCCATGGCCACCACCTTCATGGCTGCGGGAAATGCGATGGCCAACACCAGTGCGTCCAACTTCATAGTCTCTACGACACTTTCTTCGGGCTTCACCTCCGCTCGTGACCTTGCGGCAACCGCGCCAGCTGACTCGGCACTCACGGCGGGGAGATCCCAGCTACCAGCTGACGCGAGGGCGCCACCGACAAAGGCGAAAAGCACTGACCGCAAAGACGGGCTTACGCAGGCCAATATCTCGAACTTTTTCGGGGGCTCGGGATTGTCGCAGAAGAGAGAGTCCCCGGTGGCCACGAGTCAAGGCCTAACCTGGCCAGCCCAACGGAGCCACCGGACGACTCCCCAGGCCCCTCCAGCCCCCAGTGCAGTCCCGCAGGCTCTCTCCTCTCACCGTCTCCCGCCACGCCCGCTTCACCCTACCCGGCCGCCTCTAGAACCGGCTGAGCCTAGCAATTACACGTGGATGGCGGCTCCATCGCGACCTGCCGTGAAACCCGCTCGAATGATGAGCCAGCGGCCGAGTGGAAACAGCGTAGCGGACGCAGGGACCGGGCCGGAAGTGAAACAGGGGAGCTCCACCGCTGGCGTCCAATCCGTGATGTTTCATAAGACCACTCTGGAGACCGTTCGTCAGCAAGCCCCGGCGTCGGGGCGACGGACGCTGGGCATCCGGCGGAGTATGAATGGATGGGAGGAGCGGATGAAGAAAGAGGGCGGTGGCCAAGTCCGTTGATGGTGCGACGGAGGGGGCGTTTCCGGAAGGGCAACAAGGCTTTGTGACTGGTTATACTTAGTATGCTATAATGCCCAATTGATACAGACCCGGCTTCCATTGTACACGTCTTGCGGGCTTCATTGTCTCTAAAGGGTGGAGCTTTGGAAAGGGGTTAACGGAGGAACAAACGGAGGTGTATTTTCGTCCTTTGACGCAGTCCTCTTTGTGGCAGGGTGCTTTGCCTGTGCCCCGTGGTTACGAGAAACTTAGGCTTCAGCCTTGAGCAGCAGGAATCTCGGTCTAGGAGGAGTGACGTACCCGGAAGGTCTCCTGGCGCTAAGGAAACACATTTCCTTCTCGGGGTATGAAGTGCATTGCATGAGCTATGTGTTATGCATCCAGTCAATTATCATACACATTTCCATTCCGGGCTCCGTCTGGACGTACGGAGTACTCAGGACAGGTACTTCGTTTTGAACAAGTATACTCCAGTCCTCCGAGCCGAGACAAGATGGACGGTCGTCACTTAGTTACGCCAGCCAAAACAGAGCTCTCCAAGACCCAGAACTTCCAGCAATAGTATCAAAGCCTATGAGACTGATGTACAAGGATCAACATTGATGAACGAGGATCGGGCGAGAGAGAAAGATCTGGACCAAAGTGGACCGGGAGGGGGGATAGACAGGGACTGGGATGTCGGTGAAGGGCCCCTGGATCATTGACATCACCAGGGCCAGACCCGAAGATCAGTCAACGCATCCCTGCTGGGGATCAGGACGATCATGATTGGATCCAGGACAGGGTAGGGGGCAACCCGAGCGGTGAGGCTGAGGAATCCTCGTTGAAACAATGACAAGAGCCCGCAAGGAAGTACGGGGAACAAAGCGCAAAGCGCCTTTCGCGTATACGCCTTACAAGCCACTTAGGTATGTGCCGATAGAGCACCGCACCCTTATTATTCCCGTGGTTTAGGGGGGCTAAACATGGAAAAGACATCCTCATATGGGCCCAGCCCGCCTATACTCGTAACTATTTATGGCCGGGAATGGCTGACTCATCATTATTGGGTCCACCTGTACGACCGGGCCCACTGCGTACGGTAATACGGGCACTGATTGGCTGCCCTGCCTTCTCGAGAGCCTCACACCCAATAATTGGCGTCTGCGCCCGTAATACCAGGCACCAGATACGTCAGGGGGACGATCCATTCCCGTGGAAGCTCATGAGCTCCCTGGCGACGATACGGTTCTCCGCGATGCGTACGCAGTAGATCAGATGCACGCTCAATTGGGAATGGCCCGGGGTATACAAAAAGGGCCGTCCTGCTTCACTTCGAGCTATAATACTCCCATATTCTGGATCAGTCTTTTCTTCCTCCCCATCACATCATCACTCTCATCACTTCGGATTACTTCAGTGCCATCATTTATAGATCGCGCTCGCAGTTCAACACTGTGATACTTCTGGCAGCTATCAAGGCATCAGCCCCAGAACACATCCGTCCCATCGATCTCTCACTACGAGCGCCACTGTATCGTCTCATCTCCCTCTTTTCTACACCTTCACAGTCTACGCCCATCATGCCTCACAAGATCACCAATGACTCCAATTCCACTCTGGCCAGCGGAGGGAGTAATAACGACCAGGTCGTGGCCACTGAAGTACGAGGTATGACGATCTACCAGCCTGGTGCTGTTGGCACCCTTTTCCATCCAATCTCAGCCATCCACGATTCTCCTCCCCCAGACTTTCCCCATCTTCTCCCTTCCTTCTCCCCGAATCGATCTCCAGATGCAGGCCGGCTAATGCAGATGTGTCCCCGTTAGTTGCCAATCCCGTCCGCAAGCCTCCGGTTATAATCCACAATAAGGGCGGCCAGATCTACGACGAGACCCGGCCATCGGACTGGGACAAACAACGTTGGAAGTAATTCCGCGCAGGTCCCAGTCGCAGCAGCACAGCCAGTTCGTCCCGTCTAGGCGGGTTTGGGCAGGGGGTCGTGGTCGTTTGTGATCCTGTCCCAGCCCCGGTTTCTTTTTCGCCTTTTGTTCTTTGACCTTTTTTTGGTTTTTTTTTTTTGGGGTCCTTTTCGTCCTATACGGGTTATCCGCGCGGCTTGCCCGGCTCTCTCCCTCCAGGTGACCTACGAAAAGGGAAGAGGCGCCACCGGCTTCAACCAAAGTGAGGCGGTGATCGGCCTGGAAAACAGAAGCTAAGATGGAATCGAGATTAGGGGGGAGTGGGTTTGTCCAATGGTTTTCATCGCGATGGAAAGTTACGCGAGAGATCCAGTTGACCCTATCTCTCTCTCTGTCCCTTTCCACTTTCGTGTTCTCTGGTTCCGACTCCAGTCCAGAGAAAAGGGATGGGGCGTTGTCTTTCGTCACCGCTTCACGAGGATCACCCCTGACCCAATCCGGCTAGGCGGAAATCGGGTTCTGGCCCTTTCGACGAACTCGTGCTGTCTTTTTTTTTCTTTTTTCTTTTCTTGTGCTTTTGCGAGACCTTTTTTTGGTTGTCGGCTTGGGAGCTGGTCCGTCATTGCCAATCGGATGATCAAGCTCTGTCCTCGCTGAACTACTTGCTGCTGTCTCTGGGATTTTCCTGCCCCGGATTTTGGGGAAGCTTTGGGCACTGGGGGAAAGAAAGGGGGTCCACTTGGCCCCCCTGCTTCTTTTACCCTCTTGCTCTGGGCTTTCTGCGCCATTGTATCATTATCTGCGGAGTTTTTTCGGGCTGGCGTCCTCTCGGTCTGGTTTTTTTTTTTTCGCCTCTCTGTTCTACCATTTTGGCCTTAGGTCTTTTGACTTTGGCCGCATTCGTTTTTGTTCCATCCTGGACCCTCTTATCTCTGGACTCGTGAGCGTGACAAGATTGCCCTGTCCGTTCTAGTCTTCTCTTCCTCTTTCCCTCCTGATCTTCATTACGTCTCCCTCTCCATTTACCCATTTACCCTCTCCTGTTGGCTCCCCGGCGGTTTACGCCCTCAGAGAGTTACACGTGTCACATTATTCTATTTCTACACCCCCAGTCCGGAGTACTGCAGGGCGTATGTCTGAGCGCTCTTGTGTCGAGACCTCTGACCTGTCCTTTCACGTTTGATTCGTTTCTGTTTTTCGTTTCTTTTTTTTCCGCCTGCTGAAGGCTCTGCATAGCGTGGGATTGGGTTCTGGGCACTTACAATGAGCGAACATTTCTGTATTTTGGACCGTGTGTCAACTTATCTCGAGCCTCTCTCGACTTGAACTGGAACAATGTAATACGGCCTTCGGCCATGAACTATATGCTGTTTATCTTTCTCCTGTACGGGGCAGACCCAGTGCGGAGACGAGGCTTGCCGGGGCTGATTGGCTGGAGGTCAGATGACCCGTGGTTGGCTTTCATTCCAGGCCCACCGGCCTTGAGCTAAATTGATGAGCTCCAATTTGAGCGGTTTGATTGCCAAGGTTAGGAAGGATTCTGCGGGTCTTTTCAAGCCATAGTGACGTGCTTTCCCCCCTTTCGGCTCAACATTCTGGGCGTACTAAGTCGGTAACTTGGGAACCGTGGGACTAGTAAAATGTAATGTGCGTTCCCTCAGCCTCGGAACCGTCACTCTTATTATACTGTGGACTTGCATTCTATCCCATTTCGGAACGGTAGCTATTCTCATCTCTTTCAATTTTTGGCGGACGCTCGAAGAACCGCTAGGAATAGAGTTTCCAAAAGTCTCCGTTGCGAACACTAGCAGGAGCTGGTGTGGAGCCCCCCCATCGTGGAAATATATCGGGGCCGGAGCTCCAACGTGAACTGGGCCCAACCGGGACCGCCCTTGGATTCTCGAGTTCCCGTCTAACGTCTGCCGGGCACACTGCCAACTACCAGTGGATAGCAAGAGCAGTGAAAAGGATGGAAAACAATTGACTACCATGGGGAGAAATCAAATGGCCGTAAAAAGGCGGGCGTAAAGGTGGCCCCGGGGGTGAATTCCCGTTTCTTCCTTACCATGTCAATATCGTGTGCCCGCGAGACAAGCCACATAGATTGGAAAGTGATAGACACCCTCCTTCATTACACCGGGCTACAGCGAATATCGGGTGTGTTCGACAGCGTAAAGTCTACGGGACGTAGGACGTATATAGAATACCAGCTACGGCAACCTACAAAGTCAAAAAGGTAAAAAGGTCCACTGCAATGGATATCATTCGTGGGCTATGTGGCACTCTTACATCCACATAGAAAGAATAACAGACAGCACCCGCCTCCGCGGTCCGAAGACCGAGGAGAGACGGGCCATGTTCAAGCTAGGTACACAAAGGGGGGGGGCAAAAAGGGATCGGGCGGTTGTGTCAATCTTAGGTCGGAAGACCTTTAACCCCAGGAGACCGCAACATTGTTTTTTGCAGGTTTTCTCTCTTTTTTTGCTTTTTTTGTGGCCTATGACCTACCAAGCCCTGGAAAAAGGTGATCCCAGAAGCATGGTAGCCCGCCTAGTTGCACAAAGTAAAGAAAAGGACAATTTCAGCGAGGCGGGAAGGCTAGACACATTAAAGGCTTTTCTGTTTTTATCAAGGGCTGTGGGGGGATGGATTCGAAGCAGCCGAGCTGCGAAATGATCGTCGAGGGTAGGTGGTTGATGCAAACGCGCAGCGCCAACAGGCGCGCAGCTCAAGAAGAATGCTGCCAAGGGGACATTTTTATTTGTTGCCCCAGACAGAAAGAAGTGAAGAGTGATTGGGGAGAAACAACTCAAATGCAAATAGAACTCAGGGTGGTAACAGTCAATCAAGGCTCGCTCTTGCAATGCTATGTGAATAAAATCGAATCAAAAAATGCAGGTGATATCCCAAGACAATGGGAACAATACAAAGGAAGGGTATGCAGTTTTTGGAACAAACAAGAAGAAGATGGCTGGTCTCGACTCCGGTTCTGTAGACCGAATCCGAATGCAAAGCGTAGGGGGAGGCGAAGGGGAGATGGTGAGGTCAGGATCGAGTGATTATGGCACAGGGACGGCGAAGAAGCGCATGGAAAGATTAGGGTGTCGTATTAAGATCGAACCAAGGCGAAAGCAGATGCTCCTTCGAATGAATCAAACGAACAGAACGAAAGAGGTGCACCGTAGAATTATGTGCAAGACTCCATAAAACACTTTTTGAGGAGACAAGGTTCTTCCGTTGGGCCGTAGCAGGAAAATTTTCCTGGATTTTGTTTTTTTTTACATCGCACCAGCATAGCTGGGTTCAACCACCATTGGCGCTGGGGGGTATTGCTGCATTGCCTGTGACTGAGACATGTACATCACCTCCTGTTGTTGGTAGACATCAGTTGGCACATACTGCATCTCGGACGATGGGCAGGCGACGGCGAGCAACCACTCATGGCCGGGTGATTGGCTACATGGGGTGCAATGTAAGCTGCATTCTCGGGTGTGATCGGCGGAGTCAGGTATCCATGCGCAACAGCTGTCAACTGCGACTTCTGAGGGGTAGCAAGGCCCATCTCCCCGGCATAGGGCTTCGACTCCACGGGAGTCTCGACCGGCGGGGTAGAACGAGAATAGCTGGCCAGAGAAGCTTGGCGGTTGAGGAAGTGCTCCAGCACCTTGGAGACCCGCGAGTAGTGAGCCGAGGCATACTTCCGGGCAACGACAGTGGATGGCTGATGGAGTTGTTGGGACAAGCCAACAAGAGTCATCGAGTCATACTGAGAAGCCCAGTGAGTGTGGCGTGGCTGAGGGCGGTTCAGGATGCAACGAGAGAGCGCCAGGGCGGCCCGAGCGAGTTCGGACGACGGCTTAGACACGAAGTCACGGTGGAACAGAGCAATCTCAAGGATGTAGAGAGCCATGTGTTCCACCTCCGGGTCGTAGATCTCGTCCAGGACAGCGATCTGGAGGAAACTATCCACAGTCGGGTGGCCGATGGTCCAGCCAAGGGTCTGCAGGACGTGCCACTCCATTTGGATGAACATGTCGTCATCGTAGAGGGAGCAGCACATCGATTTGAGCTCCTTGACGGTAGGCACCCGATCCTTCTTGTCGTTATACTTCGCGGCAATGAGGAGAGCTGCGCAGCCGACCAACTGGTAGTGTCGCTTGTACACAACACGCTTGGAGCAGTAGCGATCCAACAGGTTGATGGCAAGAAACAATGTTGATGGAAGGAGCTGGAAAGCTGTGTGAGCCTCAATGAGGAAGTCAAGAAGGTAAGGTCGCATGAACCACTGGATCTCTGTTTGGATATCAATCGATTCGACGTCCGGAAGCGTTTGGCCCTGAACGAAGTAGATTAATAAATGTAGCCCCCGAATGAAGGAGGGAGTACTGTCTTACATCCATTTCCAGCATGTGGCTCAGAACATCATCCCGAAGTTCATCGCTGGTGAGCCTGGACAGCTGATCCGCGATAGCATATTGCCGTTCACGAGCAACAAGCTTATCGTGCTCCTGTTTGGCTTGCTTCTCGGCACGCTGGCGGTAGTCATCTTCGATGAAGAAGGTATCACAGGGCTGGAAGCCGGAACGAGGACGAAGGTAATCCATGGTGGCGGGAACTCGAATTGACCGTAAAAAGGGATGGGGGCGAGGTGATTAGCTTTGCTGAAGAGAGGATGAGCCTGAATGAGCGAGTTCAGGCAACGACGGGTATTAAGAGAATGACAGTCGTCAAGTTAGACGTAGTTGTTCAAATGAATGACTGGAAAGTAGTTGGATGAATTAATGAATGGACCAGCGTCGAGACAATAGTCTTTGCTGAAGAGAAGACGAGCCGAAGGCCGGGAGGAAATCTTCAATAGTGAGAGCTGTTGGAAGGAATTAAAGGATTAGTGATGACCGTCGACAATATTAAGATTAGAATTAACGTAAAGAAGGATGGCAAGCAGATGTTGTCAATGAGGGAATGGGGGTGGGAAAGAAAATGTGAAGGTGCAAAGGATGGAAGGCATTTGATATCAAGAACCGGTCAAAGGGTGGGCAACTCCTTCGGAGAATACTGACCCAGATAACAAAGCCTTCGGCAGAGGGTATGGTGGAACCCTTACCGTGATGGCGCTGGCATCTAGGCTAGGCAAGCACGCAGGAATGATCCGTTGAATTAAGATTCTGTAGGATACCAGACGGAGAGATGGAGCACGAGCGAACGTCTTCACCCCTAGGCCTGGATAGTCTGCGGAATGTGGAGGTGCAGAGCACAAGACAATCCTATGCAGGGGGGCCACCACGATCGTCAGGGGGAGGGAGGATATGCAACAAGAATGACAGACACATACACTTCACGAGTTAACGTGTTCGAAAAGAACCTCCAGGTGATTGGAAAGAGAAAGTCGAGGGAGACAGGTCGTTCAACGACAATCAGTGTTCATCCACATGAAAATGCAAATTGACACAAGAAGTCACTTAGTAGAGCCGCTTCTGTACCAGATGACGATTAGCATCAGATCAAGCAATCGCACTAGTCGCCCAGAAGGGGAAAAAGGCATTATTAGCGGCACAAGGTATGTGTTGCCCAGGTGTTGCTCATCCCCAGTTCTCGGTATGTACGGAACACAGGATAGTGACGACCCCTTGATTTGAACCTTTCGTGCGGATAGGAGCCTTCACCACCGTTTGAATAAAACCCTGGGGTTCCCTTGTGAGGAGACATGGACATTGGGGATCCTGGAGGAAAAATGCATTCCGCAACACTTCCCACCAGACTATAATTTCCCCTTTATGCCACTCTTTTTCCTTCCCAAGGCCCCCAGAGTCAAATTCAACCGGGCCTGTACGGCTCTTACCAAACGCCTACTGCATATTTCGGCAGATTGCACAGTATGGTGAAGATATCGCAAGTTGGTATATGAAGACCATCAACATTGCCCGGTCTGTCCGCACAAGTCCCAATTCTGCCCAAGACCCAGAATTCCCATCTCTGTTGGATAGTCAAGAGAGGACTGTGGCCCCATGAACATCCCAGTCACTTCCTTGAACACAATTCGAGAGGGTCTGATATACCGGGGACGTCGGCGGGTTTCGTGAAGCCCCGGACCTGGACAAAGCACACTGCGCCTTGAAAATTTCAATATTCCACTTACCCACAATAGCAATCTCTGAACCCAATCAGGAACTGAAAACACAAAGTTCTCGTATCATCCGAAGGAAATCCGAAATGATGTCCCAACACTGTTGCTCGTCTAACCGGCAGGAGCAGAATCAGGAGGGGATTCGTCGAGGGGGACCGTGGATCAGGAGGGCACCGCGGGACAAGACGAAGGGGGGTCGCCGTTTGAGTTAACAAACGTCGAAAACCGGGAGGATCGTCAAAATCGAGGAGGGGATTCGACTCGACTGGAGGTCTAGTGCAGCGAACTGAGATGAACGGGGATTCTTCTCAGTCTGTCAGACCAGACTCCGTGCTCTCCACTAATTGGCAAGGGGAGGGAGAAAGGATGAAGAAAAGGGTATAGAAGAAGAGAAGGGGAGAGGGAGGGAGGTACAAGGAGGAGGAATTTGAATCTCTCTCCAGGCGGGTGTGGGAAAGAAAAGAAGGATTGAGCTGAGACAAAAGACACGAAGATACAGCTTAGCTGTGCGGTACCGTCATGACGAGGTTGCTGGTGGAGGCTGAACGGGGTGGAGTTGCGCTGGTACGTATCCCTCGTACGCAGCGTACAGCCCGTCCGGAAGCCCCGTATTGCTGGCGGTTTTGGTTATGACCCTGTATGTTCCAACTGCGTCTCCCCCCCTAATTTACTGCAGCGGATGCCACCTCCTCTGCGGTGCCTCCCCGTATTACCCGCGTAATTCCCTTTCGTAAGGAGGCGGGGGTCAATTTCGGCTCTGGCCCTGCAAGGACGATGCACAGTGCGTCGCAAGACTCAAGTGGTTTGAAACCGTCTTGAAGCATTGTCCCAGTACTGCTTGCATTGGTGGTCTAAGGAAAAAAAAAATAAAAATGAGGGGGCGCTTGCTAATAATCCCTACCTACCTCTAATTTAATTGATTTCACCCTCTGAGCTTGGGATGAGCAAGCCATAGGCATTGAAATTCGCGAAATATCCTCGTAGTTGTTCTTCGTCCCTGGGGCCTGTATTGATTACATACAAGGTACGGTTTACGCCGGGCCTCCACTTCCAGCCCTCATCCATGGCTGAGCGTCGCCGACCGTTCCTCATATCCAGTCAGAAAGGTAGAAACCGATAGCTATAGTTCCACGCGTGGCTGTGATAACTGCCTCATATCTATGGCGTATTCAGCTGGGGTTGTTGATTATTTCCTTACCCTTCCACATTCCAAATCCCCCTTATCCTCGGCTTGAAGGAGGAAGCCTCAGGAGTTGTGGCCTGAGCCCTGAATGGTCCTTGCTCGCGTGGGAAACCGGGTCCATTACGCCCCCCCTGGTCAATCGTCGATGTATCTACTTGGCAAGGTTTGGATACCCTTGGAACCAGCCTTTCTCTTATCACTAGTTTGCAACGTGCGATGTCCAGCTATGACCCTGCCGTCCAGGTACCTCGAGCGAGGTACCGATAGTCGAAGTCTCCCTTCAATCACAGTTTCGACCGTCTGTCATTATGCTCCGCAGACGCTAGAGTATTTCGATCTACTAGGACCACTGAAAAGCAAGATTTAAGATTCTCGAAAATCGCCCAATATGGAACCTTCTCCTGTGGGACTGTTTCCTTTTTTTGTCGCCCGCCTCTAATTAATGTTGGATTATCACTTTCTTATCTAGGTCTTGGGCCTTGGAAACTTGCCCTGGCTTTCCGGTCCTGGGTCGAATGCATGCTACGAAGAAGCCCTACTGTTCAATAGTAGGCGGGATTAGCAGGTTTACCCGGAGCGGGTTGAACAGGTTTAGTATGTACTCCGTACCCAATGCATTGCATAGGGACACAAAAACACATTCGCGTAGATCTAGCTATGGCGCTCCTCTCGGAGTTCCAGCTCCCAGTAGCTTGAGACTGACTGCTCTTCGGTGTCCTGCAGGTCTGAAGAGAAGATCGCGAATCTGTCTTGATTGGTCTTAAAGGAGTCGTGGTCCTTGAAACGGCGGGAGTTCACTGAGGACCAGCATCATCCGGCCCCAGAAAGCTCCTGATCGACTTGGACCCGGGTATCAGTGCGAACTTTCTCCGGTTGGCTCGCCATCGCCCTTCTTGGGCTACTAGTGCAGCACCGGCGTGAATGGTTCACCACTCTAAGGCCTCCGATACGGTCGCGACCCCGGGGCTCCTGCGCGTTACGCCCGCTGACTGGCCCAGAGCCCAGGATTGCCCTGGCATTGACTTCATCGCGTCCCCCCCCAGGCCGCCTCCTTCAGCTGGTGCCCGCTTGGCCAGCCCACTTGCCTTGCGCTCCTCCAAATTGCTGGCCCGCAGCTATTTCACGCCTCTTGGTCCCGAGCCTCCCTGCTCTTGCAGGGAATCTCGCCTGCCTTTCCATGTGGGGGATTAGGTCTCGCCAAAGCAGGTTCTCTGGACCCAAGAAACCTACCCGGCCCACGTCCCCCGATCCATTTTCACGGAACTTGGTTCGATTGGGAAGCTCTGGTATCGCGTCTTGTCAGCTTGCGGATTGCGATTGCATTTTGCGTGGCTCGCTTCCCACGATCGCAGCCCGTCTCTGCCGCCCCAGTGAGACGCAACACGATCTCTTGATTTGTCCCCGGTTTCGCGACCCAGATAAGGTTTGTAAATGGCTAGATCGCCGGATACTTTTATCCATTTCTTCCCTCCCTTCTTCCCCTTTCCGGCCTTTCTGCCAGATCAACCTCGCACTGCATGTCTAGATCTCATGGCAAGGGCTGTCAGCCACACTTCCTCCTTAGGTTAAAAAAAAAATTAAAAAAAAAATTAAAAAAAAAATTAAAAATTAAAAAAGAAATAAAACTCGATAACCCGCCATAACAGGAAAGCAGACCTTTAGACGACTCTATCTCAGTGTACCCGTAGCCAAACTGAATAGATTGAGTTGCTGTCACTCCACACTCTCATGATGCAACATGGGTTGTACGGGGGGGGGTCCCCTTGCTTGCGTGCCCTAGCAGGCGCTCCTGTAGGGTCGCTGGAGGCTTAAACTTCAGCCACTCGTCGATTTTTCACTCCACATCGACTCTTGGGGCATCATGCTACTCGGCCGTTTTCCAAATGTGAGATCATTGCAACTGATTCATCGTAAATCCGATCTACAGCTCATGCCCGCCAACTCCCTCGTGGGTGATTTGTGCAGTATGGTGTCCCCCAACCGCCCCAGAACGCAGATCCAACGCGCGGGGGCGGTTCGCCTGTCTTGGACTTGCATTTCGGGCCTTGACACGTCTCCACTGACAAACGAAGAATCCGAGCCTCGTGTCCGAGGAGCGAAACGTCCCAAGTCCCTTTTTCTCTTATCGGCGAGCCATGATGAGCGGTGTCGGGCCTGTAATACGTACAACAACGTGCCGAAGTAAGGGACATCCCATAATTAGGAGAAATTTGAATGTCAAGGTAGATCACAAACATGCTCGGCCCATTGCAGATATGCTGGACTTACATTGAATGGCCTGAATCCTGTAACTATGACATGTCAGGGACTCGCAAAAGAAACAGAGACCATTTACTCTATTTTGGAGTCAAAGCGTCTCTCAGGATTGGTATTCGAAGCTTGAATCGTACGAGATGCGACTCGCCTTAAAGCACTGCATGTTCGAAATTGCGAGTCGCGTATGACTGTTCGCCTTCAAACGCGAACTTACATCAGCCCTTCCCTCGAAAGGCTGGGCATCATGCAGCGCGCCACGCCGATCAAGTTTCAGGGATCCGTTTCGAAGATACAAGTACTTCCGGCAGCTTCGTACAGATTCTGCTGCGCTTGCGACGTTTCTTAATGCGCGGTAGCCGAAACCTTGTACATTGCGGTCTTTGCCGTCTTCTTCATTCCTAGTACTACCTGAATTGATGGCGGGATTTATTGCTCCGTACGGAGACATGGGCATCGTGATCACCACTGGTCACGAAATTCCGTACCACCTGCCCCCTTGAAGCCTAATTCCCAGCATTGTCAATGCACAAAAAAGTACGGAGTAGAGACGCCTGACATGACTATTCTGTCGATCCATCGTAGCCATTGGATAGCGTTGTACTTTTGCAACCCTATCCAAATCGCGTAGTTTAAAGAAAAGGGGGAGGGATATCTCGGGGACTACGAGGCCGAGTATTATGTAGCAGGCACATCTTTATATGCAAGCGCAATACTTCGTACTCCGTACCTAATACTGATAATACGAGAAGGAAAAGCCTAGCAATAGCGGCCACGGTTCAGGCTATCCGGATGCCTTGGAAACTAGTACTGTTCGGTGCTGACTCCTTATGCGCCCACCCGGTTTCCAAGGTCGCAAGGGCCAGGTCCCCATTTAAGGGGCCGGCGACACGACCGTTTGGCGGACTCTGAGACGATAGCGTGCTATTTTTGATCTTCCATTTGATTCCCTCTCTTTCCGGGGTTTCAACTATCGGTCTCTTCTCCCTGCTACTGGGGATTTCTCATATATAGCGCGCATATCATCGCCGGGTCTGGAACGCTATGGGGCGCCTGGGATCTTCTTCCCTAGCTGGGTAATGGAGTGACAAATCCATCCCCAGCACCCCGATTTTCCGTGTTTTTCTACCTCCGTAAAGCCGTCAAAATATTAGCGATTCATATCTCCGGTCTTCAAATTCTGCGATGTAAATAACCATAGCTTTTTTTTCCCTGCCTACGTACTGGATGTTGGTGCTTGGACTAGTTTTTGCATTATCGGCAAACAGATCTCGCAGCCTGGGGTGAAAGCTTAATTTCGCAAGCGCAATGTCAAATGCAATGAATCCAAAGGGTCCTTTTCTAGGGATTGCTTTAATCTCCATTACAACACGTTGATTCGACGTTATGGATGGCTAACTTCTCCCATCTCCCCAGTCGAGCGAGCATAGATATGTGAGCCCTTGCGTTTGGTGGGTCAGGAACACCAAACACATCAGCCTTCCTAGGTAGGGTGAGGTATTCCCGCCGCTGCTCATTGGCTCTGCATCCTTTGCGTTCCACGGTAGTTCTTGATATGTTTCGCGGGGAATTTGATTCTATGAGAGTTCATTCGCCGGGTTCGGTACTGCTAGGTATGGATAAAATCCGTACCTCGATTCTCACCGACCAGGGCTAGTGCAAGGTACCTTTGCCAACTCTACTCCGTACAGCTCATTCAATTCTTCCTGCAGTTCGCTCATCATGACATACCGTTCCCTTGGCAGGTAAGGCTAATTGGTATATGCGAGTGGCAAGTATTAATGGGTTCCATACCTCGTATGCTGTTCTGTTACTGCAGTACGGTCGAAGCAGTGGATATGTACCCTGATACGCGGGTACAATTGAACCGGAAAGCAATTCGTTTACCAGTATTGTCTACGCCCCGAGACTTGTGATTGATCCACAATACTTCGTTCGTCCCGAGTCGTACTGCTAGCCCACTCTGAGCGGTGAGCTAGATCTCAAATCCTTATGGACGTTGGTAGTGTACTGAGGTTTGTTTGCGTACTAGAATGGATCCTTCGCATATGTCTCTGATAATTCGACCCGTGGGAAACGGCTGACCTTTCCGACTGCACAACCAGAACTCCACTATCTCAACAACGGTTGTCTAGCAGGCCTGTCCCGGGTCTTAGAATCCATAGTTAGCATGGATGCTGCGTATTTTTCCTTCTTTTTTCCTTCACTGCATAATAGCGGTGCGCCAGCAACAAAAACCCTCACGCCAAAGCCCTTGTGTTTCCGCCCCGCCAAGATGACAGTTTTTCGCTCCACTGGTTTTGACCTGAAAAAAAAATCAAGCCGCGAACACCGGAAGTCACGGAAACGGTACAACTGGAAGTGCCAAGCTGAGCGCTTTAGGGCCAAGGCATTCATGCTGCTCACGATGATATAGATGAATGCCAGCATGCACTTCATGCCACTGTCTTTTGCCCGGAATAAAGTTGGCAAGGGTTTCTAGCGTAGCTAAATTTCAATATATCAAAACCAGACCACTTGCTGACGCCGCGAGCGGAGGTGAATTATATTTATTATAACATTGGCAAGACTTGAAACTCGCAGCTACACTTGTCTCTGAAATCCTTATGCGAGACGATACGGACCATCGCGGACGTTACTTGACGGGTGAAAATTTTTCTTCTTCACTGCCCCTCTGCGGAGGTCTCCAGATGAAGTTTTCAAGTTTTTTTTTCCCCCTTCTTGCATCTCGCATGGTGGAATTACTCCACCACGTCCAATATTACCCTTTTTGGCGGTCCTTAAGGTCGTGACAACTCTGGGGTCGTCGACGTTAGATCCTGACATCACACCATCCGGATTTGGTCCCATGAAATAAATACACCAAGTATAGGTTCAAAACTTGCGGCAAATAAACGCTACGGCGAACGCACTCAAGAATTCCTCATTACCTGTGCAATCTCTTTAGCTTAAAAGACGGCACTTCGGAAGAACGTGCCTCGCGAGTCTCCCGTCGAAGCCCGGAGCTATTAGCAAAAAGTTCTGCTGAGAGCCCCCACAACGAATTAGAGTGTTGCTAATTGGAAACGCGTACCATATAGCCGGCGGCGTATGACCACGCAGAACGACCGGTTTGGTATAGCTGAACATCCCTGATGGGGCGCATGTGGAGGCTCAACCATGGGTAGCAGGTAATTTTGATCTCTCCTTTTCCCCGCCCCTTTTCTTTGCATGTTGATCCTTAAATCCGGAGTTGCCGATACATCCATCGGTATGCTCGAAGTAACTGATCAGACTGTAGGGGGAGATGGAGTCTGTAATGAAATGCTTGCATTTGCAATCTTTCCTATTGATATATCGTGGATTCTGTGCCATCTTGAGACCGCAAGGCAACTGAAGCTGTAAGGCTGTCCGTATGCCGCTAAACTATACCTGGCTTAGGGAAACGTACACTGTGGAGAATACCTGTCGTGTAAAGAATAACGCTCCACACTGCCACGAAGAGTTAGATCTCCGTACAGATACAGATTACTAACCAGCCCACTGCCCCAAAGAGGATAAATTGATGCAGAAAGGATCTAGTCGCGCTGTGCGTTGGTAGTCACGATATCTTGGTGAGATAACTGTTGGGTGGCTAGAAAAGCTCATCACGAGTACATGCGTCTCTTTGCAGGCGCAAGCATAGTCGAAACTCGGGATTGGACCCGTAGGCACCTTTCTCTTTGCCTTCATGTTTGATCCCTGCGATACCGAAGTCAAGCCGTCATCGCCTGCACCGCATCCCGCACCTCGGGGTTATTATGTTTCTAGTTCGTAACTTTTGCATGGTCGCTAGTAGTTGCTATGAAAACGGACATCTCCAATTTTGGGATTTCAAGCATCAAGATCGATTTTGATGGCTGATAGGTTCCCAATTTGAAGGTGTTTCCATGCGAACCAAACTTCAGATTCGGCCGAACCAGACAACTCGTCCACGCTCGGCTTTCATTTCAAAGGAACCTCTACAAAGGCATGCTTGGTAGGTGATCATTGGCGCGTGATGATTCGACAATCGCGTGAGATTGATGATACTCCGACCCTCACGCGTATATTAATCGCCGATCATGCTGGGCCTTCTCTACCGAACCAAATCTCAGTGGCTTGGCTAAGCTGCGATGTATTAACTTATCAGGCGTCCACGGCTTCTCTCTCCTCTTCCGGCTAGGTTTGGGCGATCAAAGCGCGGCGCAACACTGGCAGCTGGAAGCTCTTGTGGATACAGAGTCCAAAGGTTCACTAATCCGGGGCCAAGGCCCCCAGCCACCCGGCTTTCTCTTCCAAGGTTTAAATCGGATCCAATGCATGCGAGCTTGTGCGATCGACATACTCTTGTCCTTGCAACCGAGATGAGCTTGCGATCGGCGTGTAGTTCTGTATGCTCAATTGGTTAGCAAGGCTCTCCGGGAATCAGTTGGCCAGGAGCAGTCGAGATCAGGGTTCTTTGGCCGGGAGTAGAGACCAGGGTCGAGATCCAGCGAGTTCCGCACGACACGAAGTGGATCGGGCAATCTAATCCACCCAGGCAGTGTACGCTTCGAGCACGAGTTCAACGCCCGACTGCGCCTCTGTCAATGCCGATGGAACGCCACGGGCATTACCCATCGCCTTTCGTTACTGTGTACTCCGTTGAGAGTAGTGCTTATGAATTCGGTGGCGAGCTGTTAAGTTGCCGGTGCGCCCGTGTCTGAAAGCTTGGAAGGATCACCCCGCAGCTGCGCCGCCAAATCAAGTCTCTCCGATTCACCCTATCTGCCATTGTACGAACTTTGGAAATGTGTTATTGCAGTCGTACGCGGGGGTCGTCCGCTTGGATTCATAGGCTGTGGGATGGCAAGAAAAAGATCCAGGCCTGGAATAGTGCTGAGGGGTCAAGTCTGATTCCCCTCCCCTCTGACAGGCTGTGCAGCGTATGCCGTAGATCCAGCCAATCGCACCGCAATGGTCCATTTCTGGCCTGGTCTGTCCTTTCCCCCTTGTCGCAGCACTCTTCGCTGCCCTATTGGCTGCAGCAATCGTCAGCGGGCTGTCTGCAAGTGCCAAGGTCAGTCGTGTCCTATCAGAGACTTTAGCCACTCGAGCTACTCAAGAATCTGATACATAGAATAGCAATGCGTGAATAAGGGTGGTCGCTGTGACTCGCTGCAGCCATGTTCAATCGTCGAATGGGGCTGCTTCTGACGTGGCACCTATCCAGTGGGGAAGCAAATGCATGAAGACGAAACAACCCTAATGTGATGTGGGCAACCCGGCATGTCCAGCAATTGTGGATTGGCTATGGAGCCCGGAAACTCGTGGGCTTCGATGCAAGCCAGCTGAACCTGCTGCACCAGCCACTCGCATAGCTTGATAACCTGGTTCCTTACTTCTCACTTGACATGTTGCCTCTCACTAATCTCCCATACCATGGTTATCAGTCATGAGAAACCCAAAGGATCCTTGCCCACGCCACTGGCGCTCAGATTATTATAAGATTGTTACCCAACGTCCCGGTCGAATGAGACCCAACACTCCCCTCCGGTGTCCACTAATGCCTCCCATGCCCCCTGATTTGGTCGTAGAACGGACTGTTACTTTGGCGATCAGCATATACTCTATCTATATCTGGAATTGTTCGATAAGACTGTTACCCCCCCATATTTGCGTATATTTGGATTGACGCCGAGCTTCCCATGCCTATCATTTCTGTTACCTTGGAATGTATTGTATTCTGTTCTCGAATACGAATACCAAGAACCTTCTGCAAACTGTCATAAAATACTTGGCTAAGAATCTTAGGCCGTAGTTCTTTCTGTCTAAATGCTTAATTCGGATTGTTGACATGGGTTCTTCCATGACAAAGAACTCAAGTAGTCCCTTCCAGATTTATTGAGCCCAAAGTTGCTACGAATTCCTAAAATTTATCAAGATAATGAGTATACCTTCCTCAGCCATAGATATTAAGCATATGAATAGCGATCTCATTCCATGCCTGACTCATATTCGAGATTCAAGATCCAGCTTCTGCGCATCTACAGATATGCCTGATTTGACAGGCACCAATATCGGCCAGCCCACGCACGTGATCAGCACCTCTCCGCCAAGATATTCCGGCCCGCTAAAATTTATCTAAAAAAAAAAAAGTTGATCGCGCAGACGACCACCTTGTGTCGCAATAGATATCGTCAACCAAAAAGGTCCGCGATGAGTGCGTAAGGGTTTGCATTGCAACCCTGAACTGGAGTTTGTTCGAATTGGCCATTAACTCTGACGCCTCAATCTTCTCTATCTTTTTTGCTCTTCTTCTCAGGTATTAGCTCCGAAAGCACGCTTCGAGGCCGAGTCACCTCGATACCCTAGTCATGGATATCCACCGTTGTCGTTTCGTGTCCTACAACCCCCAGGAGATCAACTCGCTCGCATTTTCACACCCACCTTCCGCCGACCTTGCCGGACGAGGCGTATCCACTCTTCGACTTGCTATCGGACGTGCCAACGGCGATATTGAAATATGGAACCCACTTCGTGGCGCTTGGTTCCAGGAGTCAATTCTGCGTGGAGGAAAGGACCGGAGCATTGAAGGCCTCGCCTGGACCCTGGACCCTGCCGAAGACGGACCTGAAGGCTCTAAGCTGCCAGGCAAGCTGCGCCTGTTCAGCATTGGGTACTCTTCTGCAGTGACTGAGTGGGACCTCGGGAAGGGACGTCCTCTACGCCATTCTAGCGGGAACTACGGCGAGATCTGGTGTATTGCTGCCCAGCCGCGGTGGCAGCAGACGAAGCGAGGCAAAGATGGGAAGCTCTTGCCTCCCGCCGAGGGAGAGTTTACCGGCCAGAATCTCGCAGTGGGATGCGCAGATGGGGCCATTGTGGTCCTGTCTACTGCTGATGACGACCTCAAGTTTGTTCGCTTGATGCGCCCGTCGACTAAGAAGTCTCGTGTACTCAGCGTGACCTTCCAAAATCGTCACACAATTGTTGCTGGCTATGAAGATAACTCTATTCGCGTGTACGATATTCGCAACGGCCAGCAGTTGAGAACCATCTCTCTCGGAAAGGGCGTCCAGGGCGGTCCCAAGAATGTGCTGGTCTGGTCAGTCAAGTGTCTCCCCGATGGTACAATTGTGTCCGCAGACTCTTCGGGTGAAGTCAAATTCTGGGATGGCAAGAACTACTCACTCATCCAGCGGATCTCATCTCATACTGCGGACGCCCTTGATATTGCCGTGAGTGCCGATGGTGAGACAGTTGTGAGTGGAGGCTCGGATCAAAGAACAGTGGTGTACCGCAAGACCAATGGCGAGAAGGGCGATAAAAAGGGTCGCTGGGCGGAGCTTTCGCATCGGCGATACCATACGCATGATGTGAAGACATTTGCTGTGTACGAGACCAAGGACATCAGTATTGTTGTCTCGGGAGGTAGGTTCTTTCTTTCCCGCCATATTTTAATTGAATGCTGTTCTGATCTCTCTACTTTGTAGGTCCTGATGCCACGCCGGTTGTCTTGCCTCTGCGAGAGTATGGGAAAGAGCACCACCGCAAGCTGTCCAGTCTTCCTCAGATCCCCCAACTGTCATCGTCTCCTGCCTCTCGCTTGGTTATGAGTTTCTGGGATAATGAAGTTAGTCTATGGCGTGTATTAAGAGGCCCAACATCTCCACATGAAAGTCTCGAGGGCCAAAGGCATAAGCTTGTTGCAAAAGTCTTGATACAGGTAATGCGAACACCAATCTTCAATTTTCAACAGTATGCTAACAATGCTTCTTGCTTAGGGTGAAGAAACCATCAGCTCCGCGAGCCTGTCATCGGATGGCAAAATCCTTGCCGTCTCCACAATCTCGGATGTCAAACTCTTTGCCGTACGCCGGCGCAAGGGCGATGAGAAGGGTGCGCTTCGGATAACGAAAATCGACGTTCCTTCTGCACTGTCCAGTGAAGGCGCTCGCCTTGTTACCATTTCCCCGACTGCCGATGGCTTTCTGTGATCCGCCCCACAACGATGTCTATATGTCAAGGATTCAAATTTCTACGAACGATGAAAACCCTGAACTTTTACCACAGCTCGCCCAGCTCAAACGCATCCCGCGGCAATTCCGTCGCGAGAAAGCGTCACATGGAACTCTGGGTGATTACGAAAGGGTAATTCGCTCTGTCGTCTTCTCGGAGGATAGCAAGCTCCTAGCTGCTGGTGATCTATCTGGTTGCGTGGACACTTGGGTTTTGAGCAGCGCGACAGAAGCTGCCAACGACCAAACGGAGAGTAATGGAGCGATTTCTGACGACGAGCCGTCCGACGACGAAGATGAAGACGAAAGCGTTGCCATCGAGGGCGAACGCTGGAAAGTGCTAGACTCAGAGTCGGCGATTCCCCGGATGAAGACCGGCATCACCTTACTATCCTTCCGTCCTAATGCTCCATCTAGAACCCTCACCAACGGTGCTAAGTACACTTCTTCTACTGCCGACGATAGATTGATGGTACTCACGAGCGAGCACCAACTCATTGAATTTGAAGCTCGCAGCGGAAAACTATCGGACTGGTCACGACGCAACCCCAAAGCCTACCTGCCAGCCGAGTTTCGGGCGTCAGAGACCGTGCTATGGGCTGCATTTGGGACATCTCCGAAACTCGTGAGCGTCTGTGGCTCTACGGAACTTCTTGGCTGTGGATGTTCGATCTGCAACAAGATTTCTCAAATCCTGAAGAGATCGAGGCAGATGCTAAAAACTCTCTCCAACTCGCAAAGGCTTCGAAGCGCAAGCGTGATCCCTTTGACGAAGATTTCAATGAACGCAAGGATAGTGGTGCTGGCGATCGCATACCTCGATCACAAATGGACATCCACCTTGGAAGCAAAGTCCGCAAGATTGTTGGAAGTGACGAGTCGCAAGGCGAATGGATCTCACTTGAACCGGAACGCCCCCGGGGGTTGGGGAGGATGACGAAGACTACGAGTACGACGAGGACTTTGCAGCTGGCAACGAGACTACTCTGGCCCGTCTCCGACGTGGCGTGGAGTCTGCCGAGGATGCAGAGATGAAGGACACAGCTACTACCTCGACTAACCAAGTGGTTGGGGCCAACGGAACGTCATCCCAGCCTGTCCGCCGTTGGTGGCACACATACAAATACCGGGATATCCTTGGAATCGTCCCTCTCAATGTGCAAAGACCCTCCGGCGACCAGACCGAGAGCGGGAATTTGGAGGTGGCAGTCGTCGAACGGCCCATGTGGGAAGTCGACCTGCCCGAGAAATATGCGAAGCAGTATGAGTGATTTGTTCAAATGCCCCCGGGGGCCTATCTTATGCATTACCATGTCACCTTCTCTCGGCGCCTTGTATATGATCGTTGTATATCTCGTAAAATAGATCCTCCTTACCTGATTCGCATAATTTCGAGTATTAACCCGCTTAAAGCCTGCGGGTCATGTAGCAGGTGATCGCCCCGATCCGGTGCGGGGCGCCTTAAAAGCAATCAGGACCTCCTTCCACCTTTTGTCTGCCTCACAGCTTCTTGGAAGTTTATACTTCAGCTCTATCCCTCCTTTCCACTGATCCTAGGATCTCTAGTAGCGCCTGGTGACCTGCAGGAGTTCGGTAGCGCCTGGGTTTCTCTTCCGTGAATCCCGCCGCCTCGCCCTTATCGTGCGGAGATCTTATCGTCCCAAAACACCTCACCTCCTTGACGTCCATACCACAGCAGTCCAGCTACAGCAAAGGCCACTCAGTGGACTTGGGTGATCCTAGGCTAGATCCACGTGACGCATACAAAGGGGGTTGATTCCCTGTAATAGAGTTGGAGGCGGGGTACGTCCGATAGAGCAACGGCAGGTCCGGGCACTGCTCTGGATAACGCAACACCTCTCGTGTCGACTCTCAGCCTTCTGTTCTTCAAGCTCTGGGCCTCAGACACTCCTCATTTACCGCTTACATTGTCTCCAGCAAAAGCGTGAACTCCGCTTCGCACAACCCCTCTCAGAACAGACCTCTTCCTTCCCCTATCTTCACTTTCTTTGCAGCACCGCAACCGCTCAACCCGCCAACATGGGACTCACCTACAACGTCTACTTGACCTCCAGCAAGATATTTGGCTGCAAGGGTTGCAAAACACATCTTGCGGACTACAATGACATCATCAGTCGCGTACGTCGTTAACTCGGACTCCCTTGATCCCGTATCCAATACTGACCCGGGCTATTCGAATAGAATTTCCGTGGCCAACATGGCAAGGCCTATCTTTTCAATACTGTCGTCAACATCACACAAGGTGAGCCGGTCGAGCGCAGTATGACAACTGGTCGCCACATCGTTCGAGACATCATCTGCCGACAATGCCGAGTAACGGTGGGGTGGAAGTACGACAAAGCATACGAAGCCAGCGAGAAATACAAGGAGGGCAAATTTATCCTTGAAGAAGAGCTCCTCTGCATAGTATGTTAGAGAAGACCTGATACTTGGCTACGAGGTCTATGGCTCGACCTTGATTTGCACTTGCTTTATTCCTCTTTGGCCAGTATGGCCCCCGAAAGAGTGCCGCTATCAGCGATGATATCTTGAAAGCATATTTTGCACCAGACTGATTACTACCTTGGGATTTCTATTTCGTTCATTTTCTATCCCTTCAGCTTTGGTGTTCTCGAATGGCGTTGGGCGGAGGACATGATTTTGGCGACCGGGCTTATTGCTATCCAATTTTACTCTTTCAAATTGCAGAGAACTTTCCTTTATCTGATGTGCTGAAACCAAGCTATTGGACGGATCCGAGTATCCTGAAGTTGTCAACATGTTGTAAACATGCTGAATCTGCGCATATACGAAACATCTGTAGACATCTGTATAGACTAGAGTTGAAAGACGGCTACGTTAGGGTAGAGCGAGATCTTCCAGCCCTGTCCCTTTTGGCTTTAAGACCCGGAATTTGACTATGGAGGGATCATTGGTCTTGACATAGAATACCAACGCGGTCGTCCATTTGGCGATTTCCCTATAATCTGAAGGCCTCGACCCGTAGCTGACAGACCCACCACACAGAAAGCCGCGCAAAGCCGCGCAAAATCTGCGATTGATCTCCTTAATCAAACCAGCCAGAAACCTGCGTGGATCTTCGGCTCTTCGATTCTCACCGCGGCTAACCCCGAAGATCCTTCAGTGCCAGGATCTGCAGGTGTCAAAATTTTCAGCCCTACAGGATCCAGCCAGTCCAATGGCAACTTCAACTACCGGAACGATGCAGGCTGTGATCTTCCATGAGCCCTACAAGGTCGCTGTAGAGCAACGGCCCATTCCCCAAGTGCAGGATCCGGAAGATGTGGTGATCAAGGTGGGATATACCGCACTTTGTGGGAGGTGAGCTCAAACTATATGAACTACGGACTACCAAGGTACCCGGGGAAGGCTTTCAACTAATGCGACTACCCAGTGACCTGCATACATACCGGGGTATTGAGCCTGCCTCTCCGGGCTTCATTATGGGCCACGAGTTTATGGGAGAGATTGTCGAGGTCGGCAGTGCCGTTAAGTCTTTCAGCATAGGGGACCGTATCGTCAGTGCCTTCACCACTTCGTGGTATGTATAAGAAAGCTGTTGGGATGTGATTTGCTTAGACGTCTACTGACTTTGCTCTAGCGGCCGCTGCTTCTACTGTCAACAAGGTTTCTCCTCACGCTGTGAGAAGAATACTCTTTTCGGCTGTGAAGTGCTGAACGGTGGCCAGGCAGAATATGTAAGTTACGAACGCACTCTGTTGCCATGAACTCCCAAAAAGGCATACTAATTCAAATCGCTGCAAGGTGCGGATTCCGCATGCCGAAGGTTCGGCTATGAAAGCACCAGAGGGTGTTGACGATAAATACCTTGTTCTCATGGGCGACATCTTCCCTACCGGGTGGTTCGCTGCAAACAATGCATTCAAAAGCTCCACGCCTGAGCAAATATCTGAGCAGACCGTTGTCGTGATCGGCTGCGGTCCCGTCGGCCTCTGCGCGGTCATCAATGCACTCGAGTACAAGCCCAAGCATCTCTTGGCAGTGGACTCCGTGCCCTCGCGACTCGAGCTTGCCAAGTCGCTTGGTGCCGAGCCCTGGAACTTCCTGACCGACCGTGAAGGGTTAGACAGCCGTGTCAAGGAGCTCACTGGAGGCCGTGGAGCAGACGCCGTCATTGAGGTTGTGGGTTTGAGCCCTGCATTGCGTATTGGGTTCGAGCTGCTACGACCCTGGGGCACAATTAGCAGCGTGGGAGTTCATAATGCGGAGGTGAGCCCGGTTTATTCAAGGGGTAGTCCAGATTTCAGAGTGCTTACCACAGGCGGCGTTGGATAATAGATTCCCTGGACGGGCAATGACGCATACAACAAGAATCTCACTGTCCAAATGGGTCGATGCCCTGTTCGATCGGTTGCCCCCCCAGGCACTCGCAGTATTGAAGAAGAATCAGCATAGGCTTGGGTAAGTGTTGTCTTGACTTACCATATTGGGCCTGCTCTGACGTTACCGCAATTAGATTCATGGCGGAGAAGGTGATGCCGCTGTCGCAGGCCGCGGAGGCATACGACTTGTTTAATACCATGAAGGTGCAGAAGGTGATCTTCTTGCCGGATCAGTAAAGAGAAAAAAACATCCTCCAGTAAAAAAAAAAAAGCAATAGAACATAGATTAAGAATGATAGATCGAATTGCCGAAAGTGGGGAGTGAAGAAATCCGGGTCAACTGGCGTCTCCGCTTAAGTCACGAAACATTCCCTCTTCTTCTTTTCAACGACATCGCTGTGTTCCAAACTGCCCCAACTCCCCCCCTCCCCCCTCCAACTCCTCTTTCCTCTTTTCCTCAATCCCCCTTCCCCCTCCCCCCTTCCTCTTCGCCTTCCCTTCTCTCTATTCCCTCATCTCTCCCTCTCTTTCCGATACCCCTCGGCGTTACGCCCTCGCTTTTCCCCCTCCCACATTTCTCCACTTCAGTCTCAGTCCCTCCATCGGTAAGCGTCCCTCTCATTCTAGTGTCTGCTTTGACTGGGAAGTTTCTGCTCTTTGTTCGCCTACGTGCGCACTTCGGTCCACGTCATTCGCGGGCGTCTTCGACTGATTAGTCTTGATCTGAAAGCTAACCAACCTAATCAGCGACTTCCCCTCCCCCCTCCGCCGCGACCGTGTGACCTCTAAAACCTCCTACATCCCGCCGCCTCCACTCAACCCTTGCATTCCTGAGCTCTCGAGATATCGGCACAATGGAGAGTACCGAAATTCATCAAACCGTGGTTACCGAGGAGCCCATGACCGAAGCTTACCCCGAGGACCTGGTCGACGGCGAGCTGGAGGCCACTCCTAAGACTGAGGAAGAGTATGCGCAATCCATGCTGACTCTGCGTGCTATTGTCTCCTCCAAGGAAGCCGGTGTCATTATCGGAAAGGCAGGCAAGAATGTGGCCGACTTGCGCGATGAGACCGGCGTGAAGGCCGGGGTAAGCAAGGTCGTACCCGGTGTCCACGACCGCGTGCTCACTGTCACTGGTGCTCTCCAAGGCGTCGCCCAGGCTTATGCCATCGTGGCAAAGGGTCTTCTGGAGGGTGCTCCTCAAATGGGCATGGGTGGTGTCGTCTCAAACAACGGAACACACCGTGAGTACTTTTATCTTTTTCTTTCTCCCCAACTGCGACCAAAACTCTGGTCGCTTTGGTATTTCGATATTTTGTTTCCAGCACACGAGTGGAATTTCCCGCTCTATTTTGCTTGGTGACCGCTTTACTAATGCTTTCTTAGCTGTCCGACTTCTAATTTCCCACAACCAGATGGGTACTATCATTGGACGCCAGGGCCTGAAGATCAAGCACATCCAGGATGCTTCTGGCGTACGAATGGTTGCTCAAAAGGAAATGCTTCCCCAATCAACCGAGCGCATCGTGGAGGTGCAGGGCACCCCCGATGGCATCGAAAAGGCCGTTTGGGAAATTGGCAAGTGCCTCATCGACGACTGGCAACGTGGCACCGGCACTGTTCTTTACAACCCTGCAGTTCGCGCGTCTCTCGGTTCCCAGCCCCTCAGCGGCAGCAACAACAGCAGCGGTGCTTCTGGAGGCGGCAATGGCGGTTACAACAGCCGTCAGCAGTACCACCGCACTGGAAATGGCGCTGACTTCAGCGATGGCGGTGGCTACACCAGCCGCCGATCCAATTCGGACGCGGGCACTCGTGGATATCCGATGGTGACCGATGATGGTGAGGAGATTCAGACCCAGAACATCAGCATCCCTGCAGACATGGTCGGGTGCATCATTGGCCGTGGCGGCACCAAGATTACCGATATTCGTCGAAGCTCTGGAGCCCGCATCTCGATTGCCAAGGCGCCCCATGACGATACTGGTGAGCGCATGTTTACCATCATGGGCAGTGCCCAGGCCAATGAAAAGGCGCTTTACCTGCTTTACGAGAATCTCGAGGTTGAGAAGACTCGCCGCAGCCAGCAGCCCCAGGAGTAAATGTCGCTGCGATCTGCAGATCCTGGCAGCGTCTAAAATGTGCCGCTTGGTCGGTTCTTTTGTGTTTCTTTGAAAATTACGACTTCAGAGACTGTCGGTCATGATCAGCGGCGGTCATGTGCAAGCACATTTCTTTTCTTCCTTGTTTTCTTTCCCATACCTTTTCTGTCTTTTTCGAATTCCTGCCACCTCTACCTTTGGGGCTCCGAGAGGGGTTGATCTGCCCTTCGGTGGTGAAGATGTGTTTTCTTGAGCTAGCCTGTCATCTCAGTCAACTATATCTTAAGTCTGAGCCTGATCGCCAGCATTTCTGCGGTTTGACTCTCTCCGAGTTTCGCCAGGACATCGCTCAACTATCACGGCCGATCCAACCCCCTCCTCCTTCCTCCCATTGGACTACCTTTGTCTTGGTCTCTACCACGTTCCTCCTCGACCTGTCCTTCTCCCACCGCCAATCATCCCAGGGGCTTCATCTTCTATTCTCATTTGCCCGGTCCCTCTTTCTAATTTCCTTGTCCTCCCCTCCCCTTTTACCTCTTCATTATCTTCTCTGCGTCTCTTTGTCCTATCCCGCAATTTCCTTGAAACCCGCAAAAAAAAGATCCGTTTCCTCATCTTTTCCGCTCTCCTAATGATCGTCTTGAAACCGCCATTCTATTTTTATCTACCTCCGTGTGCCCCCCTTTGTTTTCGCTCTCCGCTTGATATCTTACGGCTTTTGAATGTGACCGCCACAGCATATCCAGAGTTTCTCTTAAATACTTCAAAAGGCGATACCCATATGTATGGGTGGGGATACACTATCAAACTCAATTTCCGTTGTAGGGTCAGCCCCCCGGGCGCGGGGCCAGTAAATCGCAACGCCTCCTTTTGAGCCTCCTTATCAGCCTCCCTGTTCTAGCGATGTGGAGTATCAGTCGAGGCGCGAGAATCCTGCCACTAACCTCTTCGGCTACAGTCAGGTCTCTGGCGGCTTCGAAGGCGCGAATCATCATTGGCGGGTCGGGTATAATCGTCTACTAGCATCTCGTGTGGCTTTGCTTGGGTAGCAGTAGCATATCGATCTAAAGCGACTCCACTCAGTCAAGTAGACTTCGTGCCAATTATAACTCGAGCTGATTCCATCACGGCAAGGGCCCTGTAAATAGTGTTCGCTTTCTTTGTTTTTGAAGAGGGCCCGCTGTCGCCCCTATCTTTGTAGAAGTGGTTGTCCTCACTTGATTACGCTCGTTCTCAACGTTCATTCCAAGCAAAATGACTCGCCTCTCTTCTTTCTTAATGGTGGCCTTCGGCCTGCTGAGTAGTGCTAGTGCCACTGCAGTCAACCTCGCCAGGGAAAATTTCGATGCTAAATGCAATGCGAGTATTCAGAACCCAATGATGTGACCAGGCCGTGCTAACGTCTTGGCTTCCTATATCTGCTGCTTAGCCAAAAGCTGTCCTGCGACCACCCTCATTGGTGAGTGAGTCTTCCCCTGGTAAATGGTTCATTTGGATAAGGCTAATAGGGCGCCTCCAGCTTTCAGAAGCGCTGAATTCCCAAATGAGCGACTGCTCTCAAAGAAACATGGCTTTTACTTTCGACTATACCGCAGCTTGTGGGCCCATCCTGCTCACTCCTACTACCTCCAAGCCGGCGCCCTCCACGGCTACAAGCAGCAATACCTCTACCACCAATAGCTCGGCCATTTCGCAGAATACATCCGCTGCTTCTTCTACCGCTACGTCGGATGTGACATCGGGCACTAGCTCGTGCGCATCTATACCGTCGCTTACATCCAACGCTGCAGCGATCCACGGATCCAAGCTAGAGGCTATTATTGGCTTGGCCGTTGGGTCTATGATATTGTGCTGATCATGATATTGATATGAGAATGAAACATGGCCACTGATCTGACCCCTCGACGCTCGTTGCTGACCTACGTCTTTGTTGATAGATGGGACATAAGTTCCGCCCCAGGAATCAATGGCATATACTGGTAATAGTAGCAGTAATATAAGGAACTGATTCTATATGACCGCAGCTCCTCATCTATAAACAACAGGCGAAATTGATAGACTCGGATCCCGTCTAGGCTCATAATAATCCGCTTGAATTAACCAAATGATTAATGTTTAAGAAAACTACAAGTGGCCAACATAAAGCCCTCTTTGAGAGCGACATGAACGTCATAAAGAAACTTGTTTCCACTGAATTCCTCCGGTAGTCTCAAACCTTCAAGTTGTCCCGCGTGGATATTAGAGTTTGCTTCACCCCGGTTTGCTTCTTGTGCCCCATTCAAGTGGACTCTGGGATTTCATCTCTGGGGCCACGCTTGGCGCGGTGTGAACACACGTGATATGTCAGCATAGTTGTTTCCCTGTAACCTATCTTGATTCTTTAGTTCGGGGACTTTTTCTCAATCTACACTATCATCATTTTCCTAGATAAAATATCTGCTGGCTAGGAATAATCTAGGAGTTCCGGGTTGTTTGTCTTCCATATGCCTTCTACACGCCGCACGAGCTCTGCTGGCGCCAAAACAAGCCGCAGGGCCAAGTCAACAGACACGTCACAAGGACAGGGAAAAAATTCAGAGAGGACGGGCAAGATCTCTGATTTATCTAAGAAAAGCTCTAAACAAAAACATGGTACCAGAATTCTGATTATAGGGTTGAACTAGTCATACCGGGTTTTGACACCTGCTTACTTTGTCCCTTAGAGCGCCTACCACTTAACGAAGTGCCTACTCAGGTACTCGACGTCTATGTGTTTGGAACCAACTGTTACGGTGAGCTCGGCCTGGGGGATTTGACGAAAAAGTCGGAAATCCTGAGGCCAGTCCTCAATGCCAAATTGGCAGCCAATACCGTTGGAGTTGTACATGTGGCTGTGGGAGGCGTCCATTCTGCAGCTCTTACTCGCGACAACAAGATCCTCACCTGGGGAGTAAATGACGAAGGTACTTTGGCTAGAGACACGAAGCCCGATGAGCCTGCAGATGCGGATAACGCACGAACTGCGAACGGGGATACGGAGTCTGATGACAGCGACGACGATGAAGTGGCCATCAACCCTAAAGAAGCGACGCCGATGCCGGTGGACTCGGCGCTTTTTCCTGAGAGAACCGTTTTCACCCAATTGGCGGCGTCAGATAGTGCGACTTTTGCCTTGACGGCAGATGGATTGGTATATGGCTGGGGAACGTTCCGAGTACGATGAGCCGAATATTGTGTAGTTTCCTCTCGCTAACAACCGTAGGGAGCTAATGGCAGTATTGGCTTCGCCGCAACAAAGAAACAAGAGCAGCGAGTGCCTGTTCTCATTCAGGACGTTCCTCCTGTCATCAAAATTGTTGCTGGGGCACAGCATGTCCTCGCGCTGACTTCAACAGGTACCGTTTTCAGCTGGGGCTGCGACGAACAGCATCAGCTTGGCCGTCGACGTGCAAGCAGACATCATGATTCGCACCCGCTCGTGCCTGAACCATGCGCTCTTCCTACCGGGGTTTCGGATATCGGGGTTGGACTTTATCACTCTTTCGCCGTGTACCCAAATGGGACGGTCTATGCGTGGGGATCAAACAACTTCGGCCAAACCGGGGTCTCGATGAGCGCTGGTCTGAACGACGCAGACGTGGCCTATCCCACTGAGGTCCGCTGGCTGAGGAAAAATGTCTCCGTGGTCTCGATCTTCGGGGGCAAGGACCATAGCATGGCTATCACGGATGATGGCCGGTGTTTTATATGGGGCCGTATCGACAATAAAGCCCTCGGCATTGGATTGGAGCACGTCTCCCCATCCGATATCATTCATGACCAGTACGATCGGCCGCGTATCTTGAAGCAGCCGACCTTGCTTGAGGGCATCAAGGGCAAGATCATATTTGCGACGGCGGGTACGGACCACTCGTTTGTCATCACAGAGTCTGGCAATGCTTATAGCTGGGGCTTCAATGCGCAAAGCCAAGCTGGTCAGCCTGGTATTGATGAAGTGGAACGCCCCACACTTCTTGAGAGCAAGTATATCAAAGGAAAAAAGCTGGTAGCAGCGGCTGCCGGTGGTCAGTTCAGCATCGTCCTTGGGCTTGCAGAGGAATGAAGAATCGGTTGCATCTCCGATATTGTTAAGCCAGTGACCCCAATCAATCCATATGAACATGGTGCAGACCGAGACCGGCATCCAAGTCCAGTGGAGTGAGATCCTGCCCCAACACTGACAGTCTGACATCTCCAACATGGCTTTGCGTTGGTCGGTTCATTTGGGGGAGGCAGTGCTGTGCGTATTTTCCTAGTCAAGACGATTCGTCGATACGAGAGCATGAGGCTTGAAATTGTAATATCGTTCATTCATAAGACAAGTTTCGTTCCATATCAGCGTGTCTCCACGCTAGATTTCTCAGAAAGCAGAACAGCCCGAACATGAACGCCAAATAGAGCAAGAAAACAACAGAAAACGAGAAAACACCAAGGCAGATTTTCACATGCACGTAAAGATGGATGGTTGACACAGACGCCGACGGTGATAGCTTTTTGTACACGAATCAGAATGCAGGATGATCACCTTCCTCTTCTCAGGAACAAAAAGCACGAAAGTAAAGTGACACAGAATGAGTATGGGGGTAACCCGGATAATCGGAAAAAAAAAAACTCGTTCCAGCTTCCAGGGGAGTTGATAGCTGGCGGCGGACTGAAGATGCGTCATGCGGCGTAGATTCACTTGCATCGAATGCGCCATGGAGTTGGGGCCAGAAAATGCAACAAAAGGACTCCAGACTGGGATGAGTATGCGTACAGAAACAGGAACGCCGAACTAGAGCCGAAATCTCCGCAACGTAGATGCAAGGTCGCATAAGAGGATCAAAGGGGAGAAGCTGCGGGGGCACATGCATTCGTGTCGGGTCGATAAAGGTAATGATACGTTGGAAAGAAATTCTAGTCAATGCTGTCATCAAAGTTGCTGGCATCATCTTGGTTTAATGTAGAGTGACGTCTGAGACCGAATCTCCGAGTCCCCAAGCTATTGGTGCGAAGGCGGGGTTGGTGAATAGGGGTGTAGCTAGTAACCGACTTCGCAGAAGGAATACTGATACGTGTCTGGGGTTGCTCGGCCTGAGGGGAGCGAGGGCTTGCTTCGGCCCCAGGCCCCAGGGTTGCATTGGAAGGGGTGTTTGGTGATAGACCGTAGCGTCGCGATCCAGATTGAATGCTGGAGCGTGGGGTTGCTAGCGAGAACGCACCAGGAGACGCATAGCTGCGACGGAACGGCACGCCCGATTGCGAGGAAGCAGTGGGAGTGCGTGGTTGTGATGCAGGCATCTGGGAAGGATCCGGCGACTGGTATTGGGGGGATGATTGATATTGCAAGGGACGAGGGGAAATGCCCAGGCCCGGCTCTTGCTGAGCCCCCGAAATCGAATGTGAAGCCGAGTGGCCATGGGGAAGGCGCTGTCGCGGTGAGACACCCTGGCCAGGACTTGGAGTTCCCAGATCAGTCGTGGCCCTTGACAAAGACCGGGAATGCACACTCGGAGTCTCCGTCTTGTCATCATCGGCGGGCGGTGGCCTACGACTACGAAGAGAAGTAGAAATGCGGTGAAGACGGCTTGGGGGAGTGGGCAAGCTAGGCGATTGAGCAAGCTTCGATTCAGCTGGAACGCCTGTCGGCGGGTTGGCGACCGACGCCCGACGCGCCCCCAGGCGACTGGAGATGCGATTGGTGCTCTGGCTCAAGCGTCCATCGGAGACTTCTGGTTCATGGCTCCCACTGCGCTGGTAGGACGAGCCCGGTCGGAGCGTATCGTTATCTCCGTTGCTGTTTAGTGGTTGTGTGGTAGCTAGGCCCCGGCTAGAGCTAGGTCGCTTTCTTTTGAGCTCCTCGTCTGTCAAAGCCAGGCATAGCTCCGTGAGACTACGGCAAACGCTGTCAGCTTTGCGTCGAGCTTGCCGCTCGGATGAACTAAGGCCCCCGTTAACCACGGACACGGTGCCTGACGGAGCCGTATTGACGCCCAACATTGTGGACATGGCGATCGCATCTGTGATCGTCACCTCCAGTGCGGCGTACACGTCGCTACTTAAGACTGTCTTGGCTTTGGCTAATGCCGACTGCAGAAGCGGATGCACTTGATTCGATACACCCTCTGTCTCTGCTGATGGAATGCTCGCTTTGCGGTGGTGTCGGGGGGAGGTGGAAATAGCAGTCATCGTAGTCGCGGCCGTCCGCGGTCTTTCATTCACAGACATCGACATGGCTTCTTGGGATGACGGGGGTAATTTCCCCGTCAGCTCTAGTTTATGGATTCGTGACTTCAGGTCATCAAGTTCGTCCCACAGGGTCGAAGGCGCGTTAGTGGACAATGTTGATTCAGTGCCATCGGCGCGCGGTTTCTCATGCTCGTCGCGACCGCGCTCAGTAGCTTCCGAGGCGGATGGCTGGCGACTGCCTCTAATGGTAGATAAGCCCGAATGGCGGTTTAGACGTGACTCGTACAAAGATGATCGGCGTTCTTGATGGTCGCCATTCACAGTCGGGGCTCGGGGGGGAAGCATCCGGGCTGGTGCGACTCAGTCGACTCCTGGGGCCGCCAATCGACGATCGCGCGCCCGAATTTAAACTCGAGTAGCGGAGGCGGCTGGAGTCGTCAAGGGGGTGAGCAGAGGCGACAGGTGTGTGAGGGATTGAGCTGTATGGTGTCGTTGGGGAGGGTATTCTGCGCAAGCAAGGGGTCGACATTGCTGAAACGCTGATCTGGGGAAGGAGTATTCTCTGTGTCATATCGCGCGGTCGGCGATTGCAGGGTTTGCCCGGAGCCACCTAAACGCGACTGAGATCGCAGAGTTCGCCGTCAGTATCCCTCCCCATGGTCGCAGAAGGACATGGTGCCATGGTCGTCCACAACCGGAACAAGGCACTAGGTTGATCGACTCACTCGTCTGAAATCCGACCGTCCTACTGAGTCTCGACGGCGCGAGTCGCTCCTTGCAATGTTCAAAAATATATCGTCGTTTTTGGGCCGGCCGTCGTCTATGGTCGCAGCCCTACTCTCCAGTCGAGGGCCGTTCAAAGAGCGACTATGGCCACTCGGCAAGGTGCGAGTTTCGGAATAAGCCACACTCGATGGCATGGCTCTCTTAGCATCAGGACCTCGTGAATGAGGATGCGGTCGTTTCAAGGCATTGGGGGAGACCTTGGGAGCACGATTTGCGGCCGAAGGTGTTTGGGTTTGGAGGCTGGGAGAGCGCAAGCTTGGAACGGATCGTCGGGACTGGGTCAAGGACCGTCGCTGGGGGGTCAGAGAGCCCAAAGGCAGAGTCTCTGCTGTTTCACGACTGGTCGCGGTGGGGCCCGTCCGGGCCTTAAGGTCAACACTAGACCGAGTCGACCTAGTGTAAAGAAGTGACAGGCTGCCTGGAATGCTGTCGATATCGAATGTGCCTCCCCCGGCGCCCACACTGGGACCCCAAGTTACTCGCTCTTTCCCCTCCATGGCGACGGGCGCGCACGAAGGCGGGCCACCGCTTGTTCTGCGCTCTGAAATCTGCGATCTGGGGCGGGGGCTACAGTGTGATATGCATCGTGGATCACGTTGGATATGCAAGCCGTATCGCTGGGATCTTGGAACTGATTTGAACCGGAGTGATGGGAAGTCAAAACATCGAAAAGTATCAAAAGTAAAATACCGAGTTGTGATGGCAGAAAGGGCTGGGATGAGAAGAGGGCAGATGCCGCGGTGATGGTTGGGTTTTGAAGTGCGGTGACGCCTGAACACGACAGCAGTCTGCTCCTCAGATCTTCTATGAATTCTACGGAAGGTCTACGACTTGATTCCTGGGACTTTGTGGATGTCCTGCGGGATATGCATGATGTGGTTCCCTGGATGACCCCATACACAAGTACATAACTTTATCTGCAACCCCAGCAGAGCAAAAGTCGTTGCTCGTGGGCCAATCATAAGCCTGGCTTCAAATAAACCAGTCGCACCCTTGAAAATGAAGTGTTGCAAGCCTCCAAGCTCCATCTATATGGTCTCCAGCCCGCTCAAGAGACATCCATGGATATCTTATCATGGGGCAATTATTACCTGGTCATCTATGTTTACGCGTATAAGAGTAGCCTGTTACGTGCAAGTCCTCTCGGGCGGTGATGTATCTCGACATATTCCCAAGGTTGTGCCTGCCAGTCTAGCCTCCCACGGACGACATATTGAACAAGTTATTCAATTCTCGGGGTCCAAGGCCAACTCCGAGCACCGCAAGGCTGATCCACAGGGATTTGGATCCGTGTGTCCATCGTCGGTAAACAGATGAAGCTGGACCATGGAACCATGGAATCTGAGCAGCTCTGAACCACGGTCCCGCTGATACGCCCCCGCAGAAGATTACAGACTCGGCTTGATTCCTCCGAGACAGTGTATATCTTCAAGTTCAACTTGGGGCGCCTTTGGATCATTAGCGTCGGAGCTCGGACACAAGCCGCGAATTATCCACAGAAAACTTGACTCGATTTCCTCGAGACTTCTCTAGTGCTGTCCCTGACATCCGGTTCCAGAAGGGCAGAAAACAGGACTCCACAAACGAGTGCAAGTTTTTTGTTGACGGATCTTTCAAGGCGAATAGCCCGTAATGCCGAATGTACGTCAGGTCCCCTGATCTGAACCTTATTGGTAATGTCCATCACACCTGACGGCCACCTAGAGATCGTTATTGGCCGCCACTCGAAGGGACTAGAAGGGAAAATTTATGGGTCGAATGTTCTATTCAGCTAGCTGGAAGAGTCCTCGGAGCCGCCTTCTGGTAGACAGTTCCAGCCTCGCTCGGATGGCAGCTGACCTTACTCCCATTGTCTCCTTTTGAGTGGCGATGCTGAGGATCCCTGCCAGGATGGGGCTTTTTCGGCAAGTATGGAGTCTCCAGGCATCTTCAATGTGATCTGTTGTGACGGAGTTCATGTGCTGAATTTCATTTAATGACCACCCGTGCAAGGTTCTAGAGGTCTATAATTGGAAGGAAGGGCGATGGAAATAAGTGGCTGCGTGACAATGTACAGCTTCCCACTGGCATATTCCCTAAAGAATATAGATTATATAGATTGCCCCGGTAACACAATCCTTATGAAGCTGTTGAGATTGAATGGGGGTAAAGCGTCAAGTGGCGCGGTCCAGTTGGCCCCTGTAGGGGTTCGGCGCCTACCGCAGGTGTTGACTTTTGAAATGCCATGGTGAACAGGGAAACATCTAGACGCAAGGCAATTTATTGGATTAGAAATTAAAACGTCTATGAAACGGTTGGCGGGGAGCCAACAGTAACGGCTAATTGTCGCGTTGCAGGCGCTACCGGGCAAGTCCGCGTATAATGTGGCAAGAGTGAGGCGAAAGCGAGGATCCGAAACACGATTGAAACACGAGCCCACGTAAGCCACTGGCGGTCACCGCTGGTTCAGGGGCATTATTTTTAGAATGGAGAGCAGGCTCTTCTCATTGTGAAACGGGTCGAGGTCACGGAGGATCCGAAAGGGACGAACCGCAATCAACCTGTTACATCGCTATGAGACGGAACCCGATCGGGAGAATAGTCACCGGTAGTTATAGTGAGCCGTCTACTACGTCTACAAACGACGGAAGTCTACTTCCGTTCTCATTGGGCTTTGCTGCTGTGGGCTTCCTCTCCGCACTTGGTTTGGAACCTTGACAGGGGAGCATGGGCCAGCAAGCATGGACGAGCTTACAAGGCTCAGCCTCCCCAGCCAAGGCCATGCCTAGAAAGGTTGCAGTTGTAGCAAGAGGTCGTCATGTCAAACCGAGAAAAAAAAAATAGTTCAAGAAAGGAAAAAAAAAACAGAAGGGATGCAAAGGCACCGCCCTTTCCTCGGCCCAGGGCATGGATCGTGCCTTGGAACAGAGCAAGATTTCATGGCTTTTGGCCGAGTCCACGTGGAGGTCGATCCAGCTGAAGAAAACGTTAGCCTGTGAGTTCTCTACCGCAATTCTTTTGCTTCTAGGGCGAAGGTAAAAATGCGATGTGCAGGCCAGCTTCCATTGAGGGCGACTGCAGTGGATAGGAGTCACGTACGTTGGAATTCAAATCGAACGGGATATGCGCCTTAAGCCAGATCGGAGAGTCGATCGACCCTAAAGCAGCAAGAATCGTCCCATGGTGAGCACTTGCGATAGGCTGTGCGGGCAACTCCACCCAGGAGGCACTAGCGCCAGCTAGTTGCGGTTTGGCGTGTTTCAGAATGACTCCAGATCCATTGCCCCTCTTTCCGTCCCCGGAGTTTCATGTTTTCAGGAAAACACCCATCTCAGCAATAAGTCGAGACGATCGAGAGGGACAAATTCCCGAAGGAGGGGAAGGGTGAAGGTGTTTGGAACTCACGGGGGAAGCTTTTGGGGTTATGAAGGGCAAGCATTGACATGTCACTGCCCATCCAGAGAACAGGGAACCGTGCACCAGGGACGGGATTGGTCCGAATTTGGAATTGGGGAGCACGGTCCAGAGAAGAGTACGGGGTGTACCCAGACTCCACTGCGTCCTTCTGTACACGATGTACTGGACTGCTGTCGTGAACATCTAGTAAAAGGGCAGGGGTGTCACGACATGGAGTATCCTCGACCCACTGGATCCGGAAGGAATCACGCCCAATAGGACGCCCCGTTTCTCCCAAAGACAGAGACAAGAGCGAGGAGAGAACATCTTCCTTTTGCTCAGCTGTGCCTGTGTCAGTGGGACTGCGATCGGTGGACCCGGGTTTTGCGGTTTCTACAAGAGTTTGGTTCAGCAACCAAGTGGACCAACAGAACCAACAGAGCCGGATCTGGGTGAATGAGTATGAAAGAGGGAAGGCTAGATTAATACTCCGTATCCGTACTGCGTACAGGGTCTACAGGGCCTGAGGAGAGCTCGGACGAGTGTGGGATTGCGTAGCTTGTGTACGAGGGTCCTGGAGCCCTAAGCTCTCTAGTCTTTGAAGGGTTCATGTGAAAGACAAGAGGCCATGCTCAGACTCGTCCAGACCCTGGGACTTTTCAAATCACCTGTGCCGACAGCACAAGTAGCCTCTCATCTGCGAGGGTTTGGCGCCGAGCCAGGCAGAGTAGCCACAGTGGCCAACAGCAGCAGCAGGTAGCAAGCAGCTAGCCAGGAAGAAGAACGTCGGCGGCTAAATTTAGAGGCTACAAGTGATTGGCAGGCGGTTTACGAAAAACGGGACCTACGCTCCACTGCAGCCCGTCCAACTTGCTCCATTTCCCGGCTTAAACCCAAATGGAAAGTCCCAAGCCTTTTAATTTGCCCTTTTTTTTTTGTGCTTGCGCTTTTCATTTCCATTTTTACCCGGTGGACCGGCCATCTCTAACATGTATCAAGTACAATTCAAATCTAAATAAAAACACCAGGGTCCATTTCCTTCTCCCGGCCATTTACTTCGTCGTCTTGACTTCATCCTTCCCTCCCCCCCTTTGCCCCTCCCACCTCCTTCGACCTCGACCACTCTTCCTCTCCTTCTCCTTCGATCCGTTCCCCGGAGGAACGACTTTGGCCCCGATTCCTTCTCCTTCCCCCCCCGCCTTGCTCTTCTTTTCTTCCGACGTGCATACTTGACTTCATATTATATTCGATTTCTGTCACTCCTTCAAATCCATCCTTTCAATCGATTTCCGACCTTGAGACTTTTAGGTTTCCCACTGTCACTTCCAGATATCGTGGTGGCAATATACTTCTAAAAACGATTAGCGACATTTGACTATCTGGGATCTTCGGGCCTGTGATTTGGTATGTGAGGCCTGGTCGCACTCCTGTAATTCGAGATCCCAACTTTGTACCTGCGTCACTGCTTCGTTGCATCATTGCATGGCGATCATTGAATCCAACCCTTGCAGACCCGCCACTTGAGACCGAGCTAACCTCAGTTCTGGGAGAAAAGAAATTACATACCCCGGTAGTAACAGGGCCTCGCAATCCGAATGAGTCTCTAGTCCCCGTGGATACGTGCACCTGCGACGTCCGGTGGGTTGGAAGAACATACGCCTTTTTTTCCCGCTTCATTTCCAAGCCATGCCGGTTCAAACAAGCCCACCGTCCTTCCCGGACTCGTTCCCCTCATTTATGTCCGTATACGGTGGTCTACAACGCTACGAGGATAGCTCCGTCTCCCAGCCACAGGGCCACCGCCGTCTCCTCCCTTCGCCCCACCGCGAGAGCGTTTCGTCCACGGCTTCTGCTTCTACGGAATCTTCCCCCACCACGACTATCTCCCCCTTCGATTCGCCCGGGGGAGGGGACGTCTCCCCCAGTTCCTCGCCAGAGTCACCCTCTGCTATGCCCCTGTCATATCCCAAGTTCTCCTCCCCTGCTCGCGCGATTGATGTTGCGTCGCGACCCATCATGCCGTCCGACAGCTCCAGGCTGCTGCCCGCCCCCAGCAACGCGCGACCAGATTCCCCCAACCACCGGTCGCGCAACCTAAAGAATCTCTCATCGCGCATGCCGCCTCCCTCATCGAACCGACCAACTATCACCACGGCCTCTTTTGTTGAGACCGGCTCAGGCTCCCACCTCTCGGCCCCGCCATCGCCCATCCAGATTCCTCCCAAGACCTCCCGTCGACGCCCTGCGAACCTGACTATCCAGACCCCAGGCTTTGACAAGAGTTTCACGAAGGGTGGATCAGACCTGGCACCACCGACTCCTATGGGGCGACAAACTCTTCGACACTCCGAATCGTCACCTTCCCTTGCTTCCCTCTCATCCCCGGCATTCGCTCCCCCGGGCGGTATGATGCTACCCCGGCCAACCACATCGCATAGCGGGCCACCGCGGCGCCCAAGTGGATTGTCAGATGCTCCCCCCTCTACCTACAATCCCCGATAGCGCATCCTTTGCCCAGCGTGGTCTGCATGGACTCCAGGAAGAGGATGATCACATCGACTCTCGCGAGTCCTCGAAAGAGAAGGAAAGAAGCTATCCGGATGGGCCCATCCAGATCTATGACTCCGGCGTTTGGCTGTACCTGGAGCCCACTGCAGAAGAAGCAGCAGAGTTCGATGTGATAGTCAATGTTGCCAAGGAAGTCCAGAATCCGTTTGATGCTCCCGATAGCCGCCTGAGCGATAGCGTCATGAGGGCTTGGCGAAATGCAGCCGAGGCGTCTAAGCGATTTTCCACCATGTCCAACAGCGAGCCTGCCACCGGTGCGTCGGATTTCTCGTTCAAATCCGCCTTTGAGTTCCAACCCTTGAAGCAAGATGATTCTGGGTCTGGTTCAGCGACTCCAACCAGCCCTACTGCGAAGCCTCCCTCGGTCCCAGAGTACATTCACGTTGACTGGGACCATAACTCCGAAATTTTAGATGATCTGCTTCCTTTTTGCGAAATAATTGATGAACGCATCTCTCAGGGCAAAAAAGTTCTCATCCATTGCCAGCTGGGCGCCAGCCGATCTGCATCATTGGTTATTGCTTACGGATTGTACAAAAACCGCCGCATGGATTTCAACTCCATGTATGAGCAGGTAAAGGCACGAAGCCAGTGGGTCGGGCCTAACATGAGCCTGATCTACCAACTTACTGATTTCCGGGGTCGCTTGATGCGGGGATCTCCCTCAAGACCTGCCCCGGAAGAGTGGTTCACTCAGCGTGGACGACGCAGCTCCGAGCCTCAGGCTACTCGCGCAGAGCGAGTAGCGGCGGCACAGGCCGCTGCTGCGAAAGAAGACACCTACCAAACCCCTTTCCGTGGCCTGGCACAGGCCCCCATCCCGATGGGCAATCTCACAGTCCCTTCATCACACCCATCCCGCCCAAAAACCAGCGACAATGGAAACCGGTCACCAAAACGCAGCTTATCGCCCCGCCCATTACCTTTCCGACAAAAGTTTCAAACCCTGGAGCCAGCACCGGGACAGGGACGCCCACGTGGACTTGCCCGAGTGAGCAGCTGCGAGCCATTATTACAGTCCCATGTTTTTATGCGAGACGGGCCTGATCTTGGCGCGGGACTCTTCTCTCCAAGGACCTCTGGTTTCTTGGCGCCCCATGCACCTATACTTCCGCCCTCACGAAGGGCCAGCGATGCAGTGTCTGAAGCCCCGAGTGCGGTGGAATACGCTGCCGAAACGGCTGATCCTCGATCTCCACCGCCTCCGTCAGGGAGTGATCGCCTCATTATGAGGAATATCGATGAATTCCTGTAACACTATGCCCCTCTCGCAACCGAGGGGGCCTGCCACGATCCCATGACCACCCCTTGCACGTCTTATTGATTCTCGATTTCCGAATCATACTTCCTTTCACCCAATAGGCTTTACTCTTCTGGCCATTTCCAACCACTTCGTTCCCCGGTCCCATACCCCTTCTGGACTGGGTTGATGATTCTATGACCAAAGCGGGCTTTGCTGTCGCTCATCGCCTTTTTTTTTTTATTTGCATACTATTCTCTTCTCGATCTTTGCCAAAGGCCACCCACACATACCCAGGAAATGCTTATTTCGCATGATTTGGGCTGTCTCCATCACTTACCTCATTGTTTTCTTAAACCATCACCTTCGGCGTCAGCGCAAAATGTGTCTTCGACTTCAAATAGGGTCCCCCGAAAGACTACTTTTATCTTTCTTGAGCCCAGTAACTGTAATACTATTGCTGAGGACGACTGGAATGCAATTTTACTGCATTGTTAACCACTTCCAAACAACCTTCGCTGGTCTCATTCTTTTATTTTCGTTCCTTACCACACCTTGTCCAAATGACAAGTCCTCTTTCTGCCCCCGGGTCTTGTTCTGGGTCTTGTGCTGGTGCCTTTTCTTTGTTCCCTCTTTTTTCTTTTTTCTTTGCTTTTTTTTTTTTTTTTTGACCTCGGTCCGTCTGTTCAGGGCCGGGTCGGTTTTCTGGATGGAAGGAAAGCGATGATAAATACCCCTTACGCGCAGTCTCAATAGAACAGACAGCTCCAGGCTCTCTGGAATAATTTCTCAATCGTAAACCTGTACCATGTAGGAATTGGATCGGTAGCCGGTCAATGCCACGGTCCTTATTGTGCCTTGATAATTGGTGTAGATTGATAACATCGCCCGATAAGGATTTCCCCCGCAACACAGCAAATTTTCTTGCGCAAAGCAGCATCATCAATTCAATTCATACAATGGCCGAGGACAGTCACCCCACTTACCTCTCGCCCAGCGAGCTGGGCACAAAGGATTAGTGAGTGTTACCGACCCATTCCATTGCCTCTCCAGGCTGTGTCCAGCATTCATCACCAAACCCACCATGCCCTATGACCCCTCCACGGAGTCAACAGGCGCAATCGCGACTCCCACCCAAAATGGTATCCGTACATACTCTGAGATTAGACAGTCATTTTCATGTAGAAGGCCATACTAGTATCAACCGCCGAGCTAACTTGTTCCATTTCTAGCTGGGAAACATACTACGCACGCACGCTCGCGCACATCGCTAAAACACAAGACGAGACCACCTCCCCCGCCGACGAAGGCAAAGAAGACTCCGACATCAACGAGGAAGATGACCCCGGAACATCATGGTTCTCAGAACACAACGCCCCAGAGAAAGTCCTCCGGTTCCTAAAAGCACGAACCTTCCCCCTCTCACCACGCAACACACTCCGACAACAAGAACGCAGGTCCACCACTCCCAACACCCAGCCTAGCATTCTGGACCTCGGCACCGGAAACGGGAGTATGCTTGCGCTCATGAGAAAGAAAGGAGGGTTCACCGGTCCAATGGTCGGGGTGGACTATTCAGCGCAAAGCATCGAGTTAGCACGCGGATTACAGAAAACTCGCGGCCATTCCGCGTACCATACGGAATCTGAAGACGAAGAGGATGAGCAGGAAGACGGCGAAGAGGAGAAGGGCTATGTGGACGCTGAGAAAGAAGCCGATCAAGAGGTTGTGGAGGTATCCGTGGGGGCTCATGGTGCTGCGCCAATCCGGTTCGAAGAATGGGATATTTTGGGCTCGAAGGCGATGCTTTCGCCGTCGGGGATGGCGGTGCAGGTTCCTGAAGGAGAAGAAAGGTTACCTTGGTTTCCGTACGAGGAAGGCGGGTTTGATATTGTCTTGGATAAGGGGACTTTCGACGCGATCTCGTTGGCGAGCGACGCGAAGGAGACGAGGGTTTGTGAGCGTTATCCCGATATCGTGAGGCGGTTGATCAAAGCTGGGGGGGTTCTTGGTTGTTACGAGCTGTAACTGGACGGAGGATGAGCTGGTGAAATGGTTTGCTGGTCCGGCGAGTACGAGTAGTCCAGACCGATTGGTGGTCTGGGGACGCGTTGAGTATCCCACCTTTCGCTTTGGGGGGCAGGTAGGACAAGGAGTGTGTACGGTGTGTTTCCAGAGGGTGGTGGAGTTTTTATAGAAGGCAGGAGCGGAATATGAAGAGCCGTGTTCATAGAGAAGACATGGCCAAGTCATACTAGAAGTCATATCCAGAACACCTGCCATTGAAACCATTGGTTGCGGTCGCCGCTACTTGATGAACGAATCTATAGAATTCCAAAAGACACGAGCAAATATTCGAGATCTTGCTCCCCTTTCAAGCTCTTCCTGAACCCGAGGAGCACTGGCAAGAAAGTTCATGAATGTCAATGTTTCAGAGTCTGCCCTGCTGGAGATATGGGAAGTATGGCGGCCTGACTTAAGCTATGCTCGAAACGCCTCGTGGTAGCATGTCGCAAGGTCCTTTGTCGTTCTCTTTTATGTCCGAAAACCTTTCCATGCCCTTGCTCTGTCTGGACTTTTATCTAGCTCCTAGATGAATGAGCCATTTAGATCGATGATTAACTGCGCATACCCCCCCCCCGCCAACAATCCAGATGGAGGTTTTACCTTCAGCGCCTTCGATACTACCCTCACGGTGGTACATTCCACGGAATGTCAGTTCATCCAGGATCCCATCTGTCTGGTAATTGAGCCTACTATAGACTGGGATTCAGATAACGAATCACTTAATTTGCCCACCGATGGCTGCTTTGGTTGCCCCAGGCCGGATTAGATTATATCCCTACTAGTGACAGAGTTGTCTGATGCATTTACATGAAACTGAGCGGCCCTTTGGTTACGAAGTGGTTTGCCTTGCCTCAGAATGGCTGCCAGTCAAGCATTGACACAAGAACCTCTGATCATCCGCCTTGCGACCATTTCAACAGTTAAGACCCGTTCGTCCTGCTGAGGGATCCATGCTGCATAACTCATAGCTGTATATTAAGTGCAAGCGGATCAGGACTTGAGATTGGCCCCTGTTGAATCGTCATTCGAGTGCATCGATTTCTTCTTCTGCATACTCTGCCACTTCACCACCAGGCCTTCCCATTTGGACTTCTTATCTCCTCCTCTCGAGTGCCGCAGGATCCAACAGAGCTTATCTAACGGTCCATGGCAGCCCGCAGCTAAAGCGCAGAGCTTTTTCTCACTCTCAGTCCATGGAGCGATGTCAGGGTCCAAATGCTATGTGACAGCTGGCAGATCTTCAGCCAATATGCTAAGGCGTGTATTTTCTGGGGTCATACCATCGCCAGTAGACAACACCAGGTTATACAAAAAACCAAAAAACGATGACGCCTGAATGTCCCGGCTAGACCGGTCGCTGTCAGGGAGTCCATGCTGGAGTCTAAGATGCTGCGAGCCACACGGAGAATGGTGAGTCGAAGAACTCGAGGCCACGAAGTGTCAAATGCCAGTGTCGTAGCAAAGTATGCATCTATCTTGTTCTCCCTTTTCGTCTTTGGGAGCCCTCACTGGCAGACTTGTTGCAAGAGCGCCGTCATGAAGATTGTAGCCACGGGAGATGAGCGATGCAGAGTGACGGGGCCTCACTTCTTGCTCCAACTGTCATTTTCGATGCGCCCCTTTCGTTCTCTCTGGTCTAGTCTATATACTAATATCAGATCTCATTGCTGCAAGGGCGCACCTGAACATCTCGATAGGTTTATATCGAGCTCAAGGGTGAACTCTTGTACATAGTAGTGATGAACTCATCCGAGTCGTTGTGCTTCGTTTTCCTTTCCACGAATGACGTTTAGGGCGTAGTACCGCCCCCCCTCTAATGCTGTATGGCCTTTCAAGAGCCCTATTCTCCTTTCCGCTTCAAAACTGAAATTACACACCAGCGTTTGCGATTTTCAGGGCCCTCGCCTTCACGATGAGGCATCCAAGCCCTTCTGACCTCTTGATCGTCCTCCGTCCGCGAGACCAGATCTCGTTCGAAGATGAGCTCAATTTCGAAGCCATTCGCCAGCGCGATCTCGAAAAATCCCGCGACAATAGGGCGCCCTGTGTGGAACCCGACCACGACCCATACTTTCCCGCCTGGGGCGAGGAACCATTGCATTGTGCGGGCAAGATTTTCGTGCTGCGAGCGCATCCAGAAGCAGTCCGCGGCTACTATACGGGTGAAAGCACCCTTATTCTCTAGCGCAAATTTGTCATCTAGAACCCCCCCATTCGTGAGGCTCAATTGTCACATTGGTCGATGAGGATCGGTTGCGTAGGTTATGTTCCATGTTAAATTGGATTGCGCCGGCCAGGGCGGGCGAGGATGGATGGTCAGTGGCCGTAACCCTCGAGGCATTTCCCAAGGCACAGATGAGAGACGGAAGAGCGGCGCCTGAAGAAAGATGGGTATTGAATTAATACGAGCTCGGAAGGATCGCTGTATCTGAAGGCGTGGGTTGTTCGACCCATCGGCCATTGTGATCTTTGACCACACCAGGATGCAGGCTGGGATGGGAAGAAAAATAATATAAGCAGAAGAGGAACACTCACCAGCACCAAGCTCCAGTACAGTCTCGCCCTCCACATTCCAGATCCCACGGGCCTCCTTCTTCGCGTCTGAAGCGGACGCCACCTCGGATGCGGGGAAGTCAGCATCCTCCACACCCTCCGCAACGACCATAGCAGCACTCCACAAAAAATGCGCAAACAAGCGGCGCCCCTCCTCCACTTGGTTGACTTCGCCGTCCTTCTTTTCTAGCCCCGCAGCAATCTCCTCCGAGTGCTTGTCGCTCTGGGCCGGGTACGAGGGGACCATGATCTCGAGATCGCCATAGCGCGGAGAGGCATAGGCAAGATGCTGCCCGGGATCGCCATGGAAAGCCGGGGCATCGTCGGGAAAAAGATATGGCAAAAACGCACTGAAGAGGTCTTCGGGGTCTTCTTCGCCGTCAGGGTCTGTGTCCTCCTGGAAATCGGGTGCGGGAGCAGCTTCTATAGGCGTGGGATTGCGGCGGGGCAGAGGCCGCAGGCGGGCATGAAGCATGGTGTTCGGGGCAGTGTGCGTACTTGTGGGGGTGTTTTGGGCCTATACAAGAAGTTGCTTGGCAAGTTGCTGGCTATACTGGCCCTCCAGTCTTGAATCTCTCTTTCTATAGATCGAGCTGGGACCCCATTGGCCGTGACGAGAAAATCCATGTTGATTTTCTGATTTTCTGATTTCTTATCGGGCGGTTTGCAGTGTTTGCAGGCTGTGGGGAGATTGAAACATCGGACGATTCACGTTCTGCCTGGAGTTCTGAGATCGGCCTTTTATTACTTCTTCTGGAACCGGATGTTCTTCCATATTTGCTGTGATAAAAATAAATTTTATAGCATGAGGCTTTCTTGTACAATTCCCTTTCTTTCTTTCCTTCTTTCTTCTTTTTCTCTTTTTTTTTCCCCCAGGTCTGGGTTGAAGTGGATCAGCGCCAGCCACACCAGCCACGCCAGCAAACCAGCCTAATGCTACGAACCGAGACCAGTAAGCAAGTACCTGCTCTAGGGCGAGAGCAGTGCATGGCATCAGCCGCAGGGAACTTAGGGAGGAAGCTGGTTTCTCCAGGCATACCACCGGCCCGTGGAATGTGCCAGAAAGGAATGAGGTGTTTCCAAGTTACGGAATTGAAGGGCTGCAACCTCCGTGCGACTCCGGTAGTTCACCAAAATAATTCAGCTCCTCAGCCCCGAGCTCCTGCAGTTGCTAGACCATCGGAGTAAGGATCCTCAGCGGTGGCCTTAGTGCGCGGACGAGCGCGACCAGAGGAGATCTGATCGTCGGCATGTGGCCAGTGCCTCGAGGGGCAGAAACAAAAGGGAAACGACGCAGCGCCCTGTGATCAGACGTATGGGGGTCCTTTAATTATTGAGGAAATGAATTAATCATTGGTAACACGAATGATTTCCGATAAAGCGGGTTTCGTAGAGATAAGGTTGGGCGGATACTGATCAATTGACCTGATGGTGAAGAAGATACGGGTAAAGCACATTGGCCGGATTCCACGAGCTTCTGTGCCAATTGGCAGGATGAAGACAGACATGAGGGGTGGTGCAACTCGGACTACTCCATAGTGAAGAAGTACTAGTAGTACTTAGGTGGTACCTGGCATAGAAATCACATCATCCAGGCGCTGGCTACTCCTCCCAACAACCCTGTCCTGCGTATTTGAGTATCCTGAATACTCCGTACTGGGGGACCCTGACCTGGCCACCTGAGCCAATGCCGTGACTTCTCCTATCAGGTGCTCAAGGGCCGTGGCGTTAGCGGGCTGGATCGGGCCTCAGACTAAAATGTTAGTGATTTGGCGGGAGAAAGAGGCCACCTGAACGCGGAGTTACTTAACAGCCCCCCCGACCCACCAACTTCCACTGCCCCAATCACCCTAATCAACCCAATCAACCCAATCCAAGGCAATTGTGCCCGGTTTCTCCTCCAGTGACATCATTCGCCCCACAGCCACCACGTCCCAGACCGGTCGATGTGCTGCAGGTGATCGGATTACCTGATTCTCTACCCGGTATGTCCTTCAACACCTGATACGCTGAAGCCGCCCTGGGAAAGGTACCTGTGCGCGACCCGTTGCGCGTACTTGTCTCGTCAGGAAACCATTTCCTCCCCTGGTTCCTTGTGGTAGCGGATGATCGGCAGGCAACGGAGATATTCGTGCTCGGCATCAACGGGCCTGCTATGGCAGATATCAAAAGAATGGGAAAGGGAAATTGGAATTGCATGATATCATTCGCTTGTCGCGAGCCATGGGTTCCTGGCTCCCGCAGGCTGGCAGGCGACCCTGAACTTTGCCCTGCACGGAACGCCAACCGAAGCGTGGGCGTAGAATCCCAGTTAACCCTAGTAACCTTCTCTGGCGCTTCCTGGTCATGCTGGTCCTATCGGGGCTTTCTTATGACCTTCACGGAATGACGAATCCACGAAGGGCCCAAGTGGACCCGTTATCACAACATCCACGGAGGGCTGAAAGGGCTGAAAGGGTCGCGCACAACCAATCTGACACCAAAGCAAGGCCCCATACCCTATAGTATAATTCAAGCCTTTGTACAGAGTAAAGCGTTCCACGAAATGGAAGAGAAAGCAAAGTACGTGTAAAGTAAATCCCGAGCTCTAGACCTAAAATACCACCGTGTTACAAGCGAAGATCGCCCCCCGCATGCTCAAAGGGAAAAAGCCCCCGCAAAGTAATGAGCGATTTTGGTGGGCCGCACCATACCGGATGCCTTGAGTACCAAGTTCTCCTTCCTTTCTCCTCTTTTTCCCTTACTTTTTTTTTTTGGAAAACCGTCACACTCCTCCCATTCTTCTCTTTCTCTTCCAACTTTGATTCTCGCTTTCATTCGAATTCTCAATTCTCTTCTCCGACTATTCATCTCAACGCTCTCCGACGTCTTGACTCACCATACCGGATACCCGTCTCTCCGCGTTATTCCACCAGCTTCTACACCGAATTGATCCCGATACACCAATCGAAAGGCTTTCAAAAAATCTATAGATTGCCAGAAAGTCCTTTATCATGGCCTCATTCAAGGTACCGTGCAGGACCTGGTCGCCTCGGCCCTCCCTTTCAATCTAGTGACCCAATGTACTGATGATGTGGCCTCCCTTGGTCCCCGTAGGAATTGTCACTCTCGCGCCCACTCCCCAACCCCAGTCAGCGACAACATTCCCACTCAATTTCGCTGGGTGCGGTCAATGCCAACCACCGCGTGACGCGCCGGAAGAGCGTCACCACTTCCGTCGCCAATGCCGCCGCCGCGATCGCCGCAACTATGAAGGACGGAGATTCCGCCTCGCTCCCGGCCTCGCACCGCCGCAGCCTTGGGGGTCGCAAGGGACTGGAATCCAGCTCACTCGGCGCCACAGCTGGATTCAGTTCATATCTTTCAAGGAGCGTGAACAGTCCGAGCCAGGAACCTCCGATTCCCCGCAAAGCTTCTCCTAGCAATTCCGACTCTGCGGACGGCAAAGCCTCCAACGGTCGCAACCGCCGAGCCAGTGAAGGTGCTCAGTCCAAGACCGATGGGAAGCGTATTCCAGCGGATCTTCGTTGTGACCGCTGCGGGAAAGGGTATAAGCATGGCAGCTGCTTGTCCAAGCATATGTGTGTATCCCCCATCCCATTCGGCCGTCTTCTCTCTGGTCCGGGAGCATGCGCCATGTCGGCTCTGTGCAGGTCGCCCTCGTGGTCATGGAATTCCCCCCATCTTCATCTCCTCTCCCCATATTCATTCATTTTCGGTGGCAGTCGGTTGACATTGTTTCTTCTTCGCGGTAACTTAGGTGGGAACATGACCCAGCATGGGCTATTACCTCGAAACTCCTTATCTCCAAGCACCAGCAGGTTCAGCTCCTCGAGGCTGCTACAGTGCTGGTCACGATGAACCAGGACGACCCGGAACACTCGCCGGAAGCCGATTCCGAAGTTTCCTCCCCTCCCCCGATGCCTCGTCAGAGGTCCACGATGGCCTCAGCTCGGCTGAGACAACGCCCCCGCCGATGGACGAACAAGACGAAGACGATGACTTTGAAATGTCTGGAGTGCCGACCAACTGGACCAAGCGACCAAGCATTAGCAACGCCTCCGCTTTCTCTCGGTCCTATCAATCGATCCCGTCCAGCTCGTACAACGACAGTGCTCCTCTGCACTCCCCTACCTTCTCTCATTTCCGCCAGTCCAGTGTTGACACCCGTCCATCGACTGCTGACACAAAACTACACGAAGATGATGAGGCCGATTTGGCTGCGGCCATTGGATTGTGCAACTTCGGTACTCCACGGACTGTGCCTGTTTCTGTGACTCCGGATGTCCCGCCCGTGCCTCCCTTGCCTGCGCGGTACTTGGACGCGGGCAGCCACCCCGGCAACCGAAGCGCGTCTTTCGCCCACTCTGGTCCCCAGAGCGAGGCTTTCCGCCGAGGTTCCAACGCGGATATGTTCCTTTCGCCCTCTTCGCTCAACCCGTCACTCTCCTACAAGGTGTCCGACATGCGCGGTGCGCCAACAGGAGAGGCGGAGGCTCGCAATGGCCGCCAGCGTCGCAACGCGGATGTAGACTTTGGTAGCCGTACGGGTCCAGTGGATGACGATGACGATGGTGTCTTCGGCCGCATGGAAGAATGAGTTCACTCGATGTTCCTTTTCCAGGCTTGCTCACAGCTACACATCGGGTTTTCTCTGCAGCACCTGAGCGCAGAGAAAATGCCCTCTTCACGATAACCCACGAGCCTGAGCGTTCTTTCTTTTCTTCTTTCGGATTGTGATCCTTCTTGTCTACACGTTGTTACATGCACGCTGCATAATGAAGGAATGTACTCTTGGCCGAGTTTGTGACTTGGACGATAGAGTCTACTCCTCGCACGATGTGTCTTAAGAATTCGGGACCCTACTGCACTTTGAGAGATCCCATGTATCATGTCTCCTTGGCCCTATTGTTGTCCTGAAGGTTTTGGTTCTTTTTTTTTCTCTTTTCTTGTCTTTTTTCCTGCCGCTCCTGTTTTTGCCTTTTCCTTTGTCTCGGAAACATCATAAATGGCCCTACTATTCGGCCGCGCATATTCACCATTCATATCCCAATCTCATACCGTGCCCTAACCTTTGTCCTCGCTTACTACCTTCTTCTTGCCTCCGCCCGAACATACCTCATCTCGAGTCCTCATCTCCTGAGTACCCCTTTCCATTCTCTCTCAACCTCGTCTCCTTGCCACACTCTCCACACCTTCTCTGTGTACTCAATGACCGTTGGACGGGGCTCACAATGAATATAAATCATGACAGAATCCTGGTCATTCATCGTAGTCCAATGTAGTACCACTTCCGAGGATAAACTCGAATTCACCAGCCTCAAACATCAGCCCTGGAAGTTTCATATGTAACATCAAGGCTGCTAGTATTCTTGCACAATCATAGAGGTAACATTGAACGTGGTGAAGCACACCTCCCACTGGCCAAAGCTTGTAATGTAGTTTCAGTCATAATGTGTCAATGTTCGATCCACATTTGTCCACGGATAGGCCATATTATGAACCGTCAAACCCAATACTGATTAGCCAACTGACGTCGAAAGTGGAGGGTGAATTCTGCGGAGGTGGAGTTGTGAAGAACTATTTACGACTAGTAGGACGCGTGTCGTGGAAGCGTGGTGCTCTCGGACTGCGAGCGGGTAGTAGGTCGAATACTCCTCTCTCCAAAGGAGGACATGTAGATGCTCCAGTCGATCGCCCTGGATTAGAAGACTGCTATTACAATTCATTCTACGGCACAGAAGTCCTACTATTAGATTAGTGCGCCTTGAGATGCTATACGGGAGGTCGGCCTAGCCCATTCCCTTATCCGTAGCACTCGAAATGGGCCTGAAAGATGAAAATATTTTTGAACCGTATGGAAGTTTTCCAGTCGTCTGTTGGATGTATGTAAAGCAGGTGATATCGATTGCTTTTGAAGGAACACCGGGATAATAACAATGAAAATGCAAGCCCAACTCCGGAAGGTCGTATCGTAGCGGTCGAGACATGAAAACAGCAAGCCATGGCAGAGCGAAGAAAACGAAGAAAATACCGACATCAAAGACCCGATAGAGGGAAACAGAAGCCTCTTCAGTCGATATCCATCTCCTCCTGCACACCGCCATCCACCAAAAGCCTCGACTTCTTCTTCTGCTGCTTCTCCAACCTGTCCTCTCCGTGAACCCGGTTGGCAGCCTTGCTTTGCTCGGCCACCATAGGCCTGCCCTCCTCGCGCTCCCGCAGCTCCTTGCGAATAAGATGCTCGCCCTCCGCAACAACCTTGCGGTCCGCCTCGCGCTGGCGGTCCCGGGCCAGCTTGCCGGCCAGGCGGCGCTTGGTGAAAACTCTCTCTCGCTTCTGTCGGATCTCCTCCACACGCTGCATGGCCTGGATGGTGGCGGCCACCACGTTGCGATCGTACTTGACGGGGACGTTGCGCTTCTTGGCGAACTGGGACAGCACAAGCGATGAATCGACGATCATCTCCTTGCCCTTGGCGGCGCGGTGGCTCTTGGTCCACTTCAGCTTGCGCGGCTGGCGCTTCATCTTGAAGTTCTTGTGGCACTTCGACCGGCAGAATCGAAATTGGCGGGCGTCATTGCGAACGAATGTGATGCCCTTGCCCGGGAAGGCCGGACGTGAGCAGAAGTGACAGGTTTCCACACTATAGAGCAGCTTGTTAGGAGACTGTACATGAAAATTGGGGGCATGGGAGCCATGGCATACCGCATGATGTTGGATGGGTGGGGATGTGATGGTTCGAGTTTGTATCGGAGAACTTTTTTTTTTGAGCTTTGCGGGAGGGATATTGCGCTAATCCTGATTGGGCGGAGCGTCGCTGACTTTTCCATCCCGCCTTTTTCCAAACCGCTTTCTCCGTCTTTCCGGTTGTTCGACTTGCGACCCTGTCCTCTGCTCACTACATCCTCAATATGGCTTCAACTCTTATGGTTGGTCTTGGTGTGGCCGGCGCTGCCTTTTTGGTAAGTTTTGCATGCCGGGTTTCTGCCCCGCCGCCTAACTAACATGCTTCCAGGGTCGCGCTGGTCTGGTCGCCTACCGTCGCTCTCAGGGCGGCGTGAACGCTGCTGGTAAGGCCTTTTTCAAGGGGTGAGTCAAGAATCTCGATTCCAGAATTGATACTTTAGATACTCTCGCGAAGGAACTGTTGCTGACGAATGTTTCTGTAGAGGATTTGAGCCGCGCATGAACCGTCGCGAGGCTGCGTTGATTCTCGAACTTCCGTACGTTGACCCATCCACGGATACCCAGCTTCGATGCGCCCTGGCAGGAAACAAAACCTAACCGGTTGTGAACAGTGAACGAACCCTGACCAAGGATAAGGTGCGTAAGAAGCACCGTCAACTCATGCTGCTCAACCACCCCGACCGTGGTGGCAGTCCCTACTTGGCTACCAAAATCAACGAAGCCAAAGAGTTCCTCGACAAACACACCTGAGATTCGAACCGTCTCCCAATTCGAGATTGGTCATCGTTTGCTTTACTCCCAAGGACCCTCGGAACGATCGGCATCCTCCCGGTGGCAGCTTGCATTGCGGCGAGGTCAAGGGACTACCATATTTTAGGCATAGCGTGGCGTTATTTGGTTGGTCATTTATCAGATCGAGATGTGCCAGTCTCGTTTCTGATTGTACTATAAACACTACTGATATATCATGAGATCGCCACTCCTCAAATGTACTATTTTACTATTCTCATAAACTCGCAATCCGCGGCGTTCGCAGCATGTGAAGGACAGGCTACAAGCGCCAAGACTACAGACAGTGTATCCGAGTATTCGCATCAGTAACCCAAACCAGTTAACGCAGGGTTTTGCAAGCCCACTCCTGCGCAATTTCTCACCAGGCGCCGATCCTGTCCGGTTCGAGCCAAGCCCGCGTGCCACACTGAAGTGCTGGACCGAAGTCTAAAGCCAGTATCACGCCAGCGTTCGGGCCTCTCTAGATGGTTCGACTTAAGGTAGATCTCTAATTTTCAGGCCAGGGATTGATTCGTTTTATTCCTCGGGCATATTTCCATGACATCCGAGAAGGTTCCAGACACCAGAAAAGTAATTAGCCGCTCCTTTGAAGAAAATTGGATGGACGGTCGGGGCGAACTTCAGATCGCGCGGCCATCGGGATCGGACTGCCTTCCTTCCGCTTAGTAGATTTTTGAAACTCCAAGGCAGCACTGGTGTACCCCGTCGATCAATCTTATGCTCCATGCTTCAAGAATCTTCCGACATAGTTTAGCTCAATACCATAAATACGCGACTGCTGGCAGCACAAATCCAATGGTTGACTCAGCGGATGACCTAAAAAAGTCTTGCAGCCTCCCCTCCGTATGCGTCATCCGCTTTTCACCTGAGGCCTCTCCCCTGATCTTCAACTTCAGGGCAAGCTGCGGCTAAAAGTTCACCTCCGCGACCTCGAGCCCCGCAGCTTTATCTGCCTTACTTCCGCCTCTTCCTGCTCCACCCCGCGGAATCTCCGATCACCGACTGTGCCCACAAAAAAAAAGTGAGCGGGACGCAAATGCAACAATGAACGGCCTGGGGAATAACGGTGGCGACGGGATGGGCTTCGATATGCACGGCCAGCCCTCCATGATGAATCAGCAGCAGCTCTTCGGTGGTTATTCACACGATGGCTCTGTATCTGGACTTTCTGGAGGCGCCATGTATGCGGACGACTCTGTATTAGGCATGGGGGATGATGCCAACGATGCGAAGAGGCGCCGAATCGCGAGGGTACGTCAACGATCCCCCGGACCGTTTTGGAATCCCCCCCCTACTTACTTTGGTTTTGTTGGTCTATATAGGCATGCGATATGTGCCGGAAGAAGAAGATCAAATGCGACGGCAAGATGCCCAAGTGCTCACATTGTATCAACTACAAGACCGACTGTGTTTTTACGCAGGTTGAAAAGAAGCGGAATCCACCAAAAGGGTAGGTTTGGTCAAAATGTCTACCCACAACGGGCTCATGAGGTCTTGCCTCTGGTTGAGCTGAGGCTGACGAAGGATATTCAGAGCCAAGTACATCGAAGGCCTTGAGAACCGCCTCGGGCGCATGGAGTCCCTCCTCAGACTGTCCGGACTGTTATCCGAGGAAGACGATGGAAAGACAGATCTGGGCACGCTGGAAAAACGACTGGCCGACCGAACAAATGCCCTCAACGCGGCGAGAAATACACCTAAGCCTCCTGCCCAGAGTGCAACCCAGCAAACTACCACCACCTCTCACAATACCACTCCTCGCATGGATTCGCACTCTAGCCCGCATACCGCTGCTACGTCCCCCGAATCACAACGAGAGTCTGAAGGCGAAGTGGAAGGGTTATCTGATATGATGTGTTCCTTGGTCACAAACAACTGCGGAGAGACTCGATATATCGGTAGGAGGATTCTTATCTATATTTATAGATCTGACTTGCATTGACCGTTTCTAGGCTCTTCATCTGGCTTCTCTATATTTTCGCCAAAGGGTGTTCAGTGGGTTAATGAGAAAAACGGGTGACACCTCGTTTGAAGACATGATCTCTTCGGCTTACGTTGACGACAACAAGTGGATGTATTGGAAACCAGAGATTTTCAGTGACATCTTCGCTCGTCGTGTCTTCAAACCACTGCCTCCCAAGGAGGAGGCTTTATCTCTTTTCAAGGATTTCTTCGAGAATTTCAATTGCATCTTCCCATTGTTCCATGAGGCAACGTTCATGCACTTGGTGGACAAACAATACTCCCGGGATCCTTACGAAGGCTCTGGATGGTGGGCCAGTATCAATGTGGTGCTAGCCATCTCTCATCGACTGCGTGTTATGAGCAACTTGGTACCACAAGAGGAGGACAAGAAAGCCTGGCTCTATTTGAAGAATGCCATGGGGGTTTTGACCGAATTGACCATGCGGAACACAGATCTTATGAGTGTCCAGGCACTTCTGGGCATGTCGCTCTTCTTGCAAGGGACGCCTAACCCCCAGCCCGCTTTCTTCCTGGTTGCTGCAGCTATTCGCCTCTCGCATAGCATCGGATTGCACAAGAAAGGATCCGCTTTTGGATTGAACCCCGTTGAGGTGGAGCAAAGGAAACGTGTTTTCTGGATCGCATACTGCCTCGATAAAGAGTGTGTACTCTGTTTCAATTCGTTCTTTTTCTTTTACCCAAATGTCAAGGCTAATCATGTACAGTATCTGCCTCCGATCCGGCCGACCGCCAGTACAAGATGATGATGACATGAACGTTGACCTTCCCAGCGGGAATCCGCCAGATAACGTGGGCAATGTGCCACTCGGAGACGGGAAGAACAAATTCAATCTTTTCAGAACTTTTTGCGAATTTGCTACGATTGAAAGCAGGATTTACAAGAGACTTTATTCGGCTACGGCATCCCGGCAATCTGACGGTGAACTTCTCAACACCATTGGTGAGCTTGATAAGGAGTTAGAAGATTGGAAAGAGAATATTCCCATCGACTTTCGACCCGAGCACGAAATCCAAGCCACCCATGGCCCACTCATTCTTCAGATTGTCGTACTTCATTTTTCATACTACAATTGCTTGACTACCATTCACCGCATGTCCGTTCATCATGGTTATTGGACTAGTCGACTATCCAATTACGCAATTCAGGGACTGAATGCTCGGCCTTTAAATCCAAGGGTCTTCTTATCTGCTTCACTTTGCGTGTCTGCAGCCAGAACAACGATCCACTTGATCAAGTACATCCCTCAGGGCGATTTTGCCTGCGTGTGGTGGGTGCCGGACTCAATCGCTTCAACGGGATGCTTGAATATGCGCTGATATCTGAAAATAGGTTGATTGTCTACTACCCCGTCTCTGCTTTAGTGACTCTTTTTGCCAACATCCTCCAAAATCCAAATGACGCCCGCGCTCGTTCCGACGTCAAACTAATGAATGTTGTGGTTAACTTCCTGTCAACATTGGTATCCGATGAATCAAATGGCAGTATCAAGCGAATGCTTTCACTTTGTGGGGAATTTGAACGAATCGCTAAGGTTGTTCTTGATAAGAATGAGAGGGAATCTCAGACACGCAAGAAGCGTAAGAACGCTCCGGAAGACCCAGTGTCAGCACAGCCGAAAAAGGAACAACCTGCTTCATTTCCACCTACTACCGCACCTCAGGGGCCTTCCACAACCTTGCCCTTCTCTCCTAGATTCCCTGGTGACACTGCTGCACCATCCACGCCGCAAGGGCTCGGCACCGACTCTACTATGCTCAATAGTGTTTCTCAGGATTTTCCGAGCAATGTTCAAGGGATACATGGTATAGGACAAGAATTCTCAGAGATGCTGAGTCCTACTCAACTGGGCAATGTCGGGTTTGGAGAACAGCCTTTTGGTACCGCCAGCCCGAACGTTGCGCCTTTCCAGCAGCCGTTTGTCCCACAAGACTTATGGCAGATGCCAATGACCATTGAATGGGACTGGGCAGAAATGTCGTCCAATTTTTCTCCTTTCGAGGGTGGAGGTCCAAACGGTCAACCCCCTCCACAATAATCATGGCCAGCCTTGGAGCTCAAGTCCGGAACCAAAAAAAAAAATCATTTGAGAATTCTATGCATTCTGCCTAGATATTTTCTGAACCCAAGGCGTTTAATGAGGCGGAAGCTAATGGAGTTTGGGTTTCACAACTGATCAAAGCGTCCAACTGTCCCCCCCTCTCTATTTTCCTCTCATCACTCCATGTAATACATATCTCCTCTTACCTGTACATTGAACGTCTCATTCTATGGTGGCAGTTGCTGCAGCAATGAGACGGGGAGGCGTGAGCATTCAGGAACCTCAGTCCCACCTAGTGCTAATAAAATTCTCATGTTGTAACGAAAGATACTCTAGGATTCTGGAGTTCGAGACCGGGCGGATATACTAATACAGGGGCCCAGACAACACACGTGATGCGATTACAGTGCATGGTGATATATGGATGCTCCACCAATTTAACGTGATGCAAGATTTCCACGCTTGGATCTTAGAAGAATCGGAAGAGAAATGACATTAGTAATATTGTATCATGAAGAAAAATATGTAACAAAGAATCTCAGGTTAAGCCGTCTACACGATCCCTTTCGACGGCGTTCGGATGACTCATCAACGGAGGTGCAAATTTCCCGTGCCGAAACTGGCCGGAGCTCTGCAGCTTCTCACGCAACCGCTTGATGGATTACATCCAGGTGTCTATTCACCCACACCCCGATTGATCACCCTTTCTCCCACGTTACCAGCCCGTAGGGCTCCCTCTTCCTCGACCATGGCCACCCTCCTTCGAAGGCCAGGCAACCTTGCTCGAATCTCGAGGAGAGCCACACTATCCATCACTCGCTCAGCCTTCGGACCTGCGCGGACCGCTCCTTCGAGTCTGGCTTCTATCATTGCATCCCAACGCCTACGAACGTATGCTACAAGTGGGTCTGGGCCTCCGAAGCCCCCGAACGACAACTCTGGGGCCTCCCAGGATCAAGAGCGCTCGGTCTTGAGCCCGCAGGAACAAAAGGATCTGGACGCATTCGTGAAGCGTCTCGAGCAAATCGCCCCGGAGTCCCAACATGAAATGATCCAGGAAGCGCGGAAGCAAATGATGCGGCAAGGAATCGCCGACGAAATCAAGCCTTACCTCAGCAGAGACCAGCCCGCGTCATTGATGGATCACATGCGGATGGTGCGATTTGTCTTGAAGTTCGCGAGCGAGCAAATTGATAAAGAACTAGAGCGAGACGGACATATCACACGCGCTCAAAAGGATGTTGATTCGACAAAAAAGACGGGTGACGATGCCGAGGCCCTGAACAACAAGAATAAAGGGGAGGAGCAGTCTCAGAAGAAGCAAAATGGGGAAGAAGAGCCTCCTCGCAAGGACGAAGAGGAGGAGCGAATTCGTGAAGAATTGCGCAAGAAGAAAGAACAGGAGCAAAAGAGAAAGCAGCAAGGCCTACCCCCGAATGCCCGCGTCTTCAAACTCAAGCTTGACCCTACCTCCTTTTTTATTACAGCACTCGTTGCCTATTACATCTACCGGAGTTTCTTCCCTAGTGAGAGTGCCAGCAGCCGAGAAATTACCTGGGAGGAATTCCGAGCAAACTATCTCAACAAGGGCCTGGTGGAGAGATTGACAGTCTTGAATCAGAGCAGAGTTCGGGTTGATCTCAGGCGAGAAGTTACTGACCAGACGTCGGACTCTAGCGGCCAGCCTGTTTCCCACGTGTACTTCACCATTGGCTCCGTTGATGGCTTCGAGAGAAAGCTTGAAGATGCTCAAGAGGCACTGGGCATCCCACTCAATGAGAGAATTCCCGTTGCTTTCGTCGAGGAAGTCCCTTGGGGTAGTGCTTTGTTGTCATTCGCCCCTACTTTGCTTATTTTCGCTAGTATCTTCTGGCTCTCTCGTCGTGCTGGCGGCGGAGCCGGTGGCCAGGGCGGAATTTTTGGCATTGGCAAGAGCCGTGCTAAGAGGTTCAATCATGAAACTGACATCAAAGTCAAGTTCTCTGATGTCGCCGGTATGGATGAGGCTAAGGTTGAGATCATGGAGTTCGTCAGCTTCCTTCAGCAACCCGAGCGATTCCAGAAGCTCGGTGCTAAGCTTCCCCGTGGTGCCATTCTCTCGGGCCCTCCAGGTACTGGTAAGACACTTCTTGCCAAGGCCACTGCTGGTGAGTCCGGCGTGCCTTTCTTCAGCGTCAGTGGTTCCGAATTCGTTGAGATGTTCGTTGGTGTTGGTCCGTCCCGTGTCCGTGATTTGTTCGCCAACGCTCGGAAGAATACACCTTGCATCATCTTCATCGACGAAATCGATGCTATTGGCAAATCCCGTGCGAAGTCGAACTACGGCGGTGGAAACGATGAACGTGAGAGCACGCTCAACCAGATTCTCACTGAGATGGACGGTTTCAACACTTCTGAACAAGTTGTGGTCCTGGCTGGTACCAACCGCGCTGATGTCCTTGACAAGGCTCTCATGCGCCCGGGCCGTTTCGATCGTCACATTACTATTGATGCGCCTACTATCGACGGCCGAAAGCAGATTTTCCGGGTGCACTTGAAGAAGATCGTCACCGATGAGGACCTGGACTACTTAGAGGGCAGACTTTCTGCTCTGACCCCTGGATTTGCTGGAGCTGATATTGCTAACTGTGTCAACGAAGCAGCTCTTGTTGGTAAGTCTGATCAATCCCACAGCTCAAGAATATCTGTTCTAAACTTCTTATAGCCGCGCGTGAAAACGCTGATAAGGTCGTCATGAGACACTTCGAACAAGCTATCGAGCGAGTCATTGCTGGCTTAGAGAAGAAGTCACTGGTCCTGTCCCCCGAAGAAAAGCGCGTTGTTGCCTATCACGAGGCTGGTCACGCTATCTGTGGCTGGTACTTCAAGTGGGCCGATCCTTTACTCAAGGTGTCGATTATTCCGCGTGGCTCGGGAGCACTGGGATACGCTCAATATCTTCCCGCCAACGGCGACACATACTTGCTGAACACCCGCCAGATCATGGATCGTATGGCCATGACTCTCGGTGGCCGTGTTAGCGAAGAGATTCATTTCGACACTGTGAGCAGCGGTGCCAGTGATGATTTCAACAAGGTTACCCAATTAGCGACTGCCATGGTCACGAAGTACGGTATGTCGAAGTTGGGCTTCATTTACTACGATGAGTCCACCACGCAGCAATATACCAAGCCCTTCTCTGAGGAAACCGGACGCAACATCGATATTGAAGTCCGCCGGATCATCAACGATGCGTACAAACAGTGCAGTGATCTTCTGAAGGAGAAGAAGAAGGAGGTCGGTCTCGTCGCTGAAGAGCTCCTTTCTAAGGAGGTTCTCAGCCGTGATGACATGGTTCGTCTGCTGGGCCCCCGACCCTTCACTGAGTCCAATGAGTTCAGCAAATACTTCAACAACCGCGATGGCACAGTCATCGCGCCACCAGCTTCTGAAGACCCCGAAGCAACATCTGGCAAGGATGGCCGAGACCAGACGCCCATTCCTTGATCAATGGCTGAAGCTCCGCTTTCATCGTGTACTTGATCGGACTGCATTATGGGAAGGCTTTATGTCAAATCTCAGTCGGAGTATGATATCATCGTGTCTTCTTTCATTTTCTCTGTGTACTTATGGACTTGCATCTCAAGATGTCTTTGTTCTTCTATCTTTTTGCTCACCTCATTACTCTCCCCCCTCAGGACTTTCCGTCTCACATTCCTCCGCCTTATAAATCTCCCCTTTTGTTTCTTGTGGTACTCAGAGATGGAGAAACTTCCAAAGACGAAGGAACTTCCGAACGTTTCCCATTCATCAAGCCTCGTTTCAGAGGCCCGTGTACTATCTCGTGTGATAATGTATACTATGAGCTAGAATTTCTCCGCCAAACGTGATGTAGCAATCCTTTGTAGGCTTAGGTTTCACGAGGTCTCCCAATCACCTACCCAGTCAACCCCCTTTTCTTCATTATAGTGCGAGATTGAAAATACATTCGGGCCTGATGAAGTGGCCAAGTTGATAACGAAGGATCATCATTAGACTGCGGTAGTTGCTGGAGGTAAATGCTCCTCATAGGAGGACGATAGATTATTATCACTGGTGGCACCCCCTCCAGCTGCGACCTTGACCTTGACACTGACCTTGTTGATCTCGATTTCAAGTTCGTTCCTGGGAATATTTCATATACCCTCGTCTACCTTCTCAATCAAGCACGCTGTCCCATAGGGCACATATTTGTGAGAAGGCCTCAAAGCTCGCAACATCAAATGGCAGTGCAACGACTGCGTTGCCTCCTCTGCTCATACACCCCCCACAAGTCTCTCCAACGCTTCTTCGCACGATGTTCACATCAGGTTGGTGGAGAAGCGGATTTCACCTCCAACAGCTGATCGCATAACAGCGCCCAGGTCTGCATCCTAATTACGTGTCCGCACGGTGATCCCGGAGACGGTGCTCAGGGCGCTTTTTGGTTTTATAGCCCGGCAGATCGTTCATACTCGACGTCATCGCGCTGTGGGTATCTGTGAAGCAGGAGGGAATGTCTTCGCCAGGCTTTGACTTTGATTGACCTGTCATCTTGCAGAAAGGTAGAAAGCTTGGTGTGATGGACCAACGATGTAGATGTTTGCAAGAGTGAAGATAGCTCTGAATTTAGGCCCAATGGTTAGTACCTTGGGACGGCGCCTCATACGAAATACACTTGAAATGAAACCAAGGAAGATGACACAGGGGGCTCAAATGGGGTTCAAAAATACACCAGGGCGCAGAGGAAGCTCGACCTCGTATCGAGGTTAAATGACGTATCCACTCTACTAGTATGGGTTCAAGTGCCACTTTGAACCACTAAGCCAGGGGATTTATAGTGCTTAACTGGCTAAAAATCCAAAAATTCTAGAGTTGTGCGCCCAGCGAAGACGTGTTAATATGACTTTAAATTAGTAGTATGAGAAATTTTGACATCCCAGCAAACATAACAACCAAAACAGTAAATCCAAAAACATCCAAAGGGTATGCCCATTACAAGATAGCTTAGCTGAAAAATGATAGAATCAAGTACTCAAATCCGAAACTTAGTTGCTCTTCTTAGATTCTGCGCCAGTGATGGCCGCAGGCTTCTTTCCGCTGGGTTCGGTCTTGGCCTCAACCGACCAGCTGGGGAGGAATCGTCCAACCCGTGCCTGGTATTCGCGGTACTCGGGATACTTGCTGGCACTGATGGCTTCAGTCAGAGGAGTGCTGGCCTGGAAAATCAGCACATAGCCCAAAGCACCAAGGCCGGCCCACTGGAAATACGTCTTCGTGCGGAAGGCTGCCCAGAGATACAGTCCCACCCAGATGGCTTGCTCGCAAAGGAAGTTGGGATGGCGCGACCAGGACCAGAGTCCGCTGACCACAAAGCCACGCTCCAGGTCCTCCGGGCTGTATTGGTCCTTGTAGATATCCGCGACACGCGCATTTTTCTGGTAATCGCGCTTTGCGGTCTGGAACTCCCATTGCTGCTGGTCGGCGAAGTACTCGACAATGATCAAGAAGAAGAGGGCCCGGGAGATAGCCAGGTCAGGAAGACCAAATACTTCGGGGTCTTGGCTTTGCGCGAGAAGCACGAAAACGTAGGTGGGAGCAGTGATGGCCACGAGGAGCAGGTTCTGGAGGAAAGAAATGAAACCGAGGTTGAAGATGGTGAAGACAAAGATGTTGTTGACCTTCGCTTTCACGATCTGCCAACGATAATCTTCAGAACCGATCGAATAACCGCCTTTGCGCCAGTAGTTATATGTCAAGCGCACCTAGTGAGGAAAAGAATCCCATGTCAGTACATTAGAGCTGCGGCGCATCGGGCTCGGTGGGGTCACTGTACACTCCAAATAATGCTGATCACAGCGATAGTATCCAGCGTCTGAGTGCGAATGCCGGCCAAGCGCGCCCAAACAGCGAAGTGAACGTTGTAAATAGTCGGTAGGATGCTCCAGAAGCGATCCACTTGGGAATAGTTGCGATTAATCTCAGAAACCAAGAAGAACAAAACCGCCAAAACTCCGCTGAGTCCAACAGCAGAAACCATGGGGTTGGTGGCGAGATAGACAGCTTTTAGACTCTCGACGTCACGACCCGCCTCGTGCAGGCTGGCGGGGAGCCACTGCAGCTGGGCAAGATAGGGAAGCACAGTGTGTTGAAAGGAGGTGGCATCCGCAAGGGACCCGATAGGTGGGAGTGGAAGATCGGACATTTTCCCGATACAATCTATACCAACAATACGATCAGGAGAGTGTGAAGGGGAACTTCGTCGAGTCGATCCGGGGGGGGTTTGCGATTTGGGTTTATGTTTGGATTTCCAGTTTTGGATTAGCGTATTAATTATGTACGCCTCAGGCACAACAGGCGCGTCGTCCTGAGGCATCCAGATCCGCTCGCGTCTCCAGTATTTCTCGATCAATCAAATGCTTCCATCTCATGGATGATCGCTGTTTGATCGTGCTGGGCTTATCATGGCTCGCAAGGTCCTGTGTGTAGCAGAAAAACCTGCGATTGCGCGTGCTGTGGCCACGCATCTGTCCGGTGGCTCTTTTCAAACAGTAAGGCTGCTGTGGATTTCAAGGGACCCCCTTTGCTGATCGTGACATAGCATGCAATTCGAGGAAATAAATATGTCAAAAATTATGAGTTTGACTTCAACTTTGGCGGTCCCTGGGGCAACTGTTCCGTCACCGTGACAAGCGTGCTAGGCCACCTTACTGGATTAGATTTCGAACGTCAGTACAAAGGATGGCTTTCTTGTCCACCGGGTGCCTTGTTCGAAGCTCCTGTCAAGGAGGAGGTTGATAAGGTTTGAACCTCAAGTGTCCCATCTGAACACGGTGACTAAAACGTGTACGTAGGACAAACTGCCAATTGCAGAAAATATCCGAAACCAAGCCAAGTACAGCAAGGCTCTGTTCATCTGGACTGATTGTGACCGAGAAGGAGAGCACATTGGTACAGAAGTCCTCAACCAGGCCAAAAGTGGAAACAACCGGATTGAGGTCAAAAGAGCCAAGTTCAGCAACACGGAAAGAGCGTAAGTTGCTCTCTCATCACAGAGTCAGCATACTGAAAAAGCCTACAACAGTCACGTTCTTCGTGCCGCTCGGGAACCCATTGACCTTGATGAACATCAAGCCAATGCCGTCGCAGCGAGAATCGAGCTGGACCTGCGCATCGGTGCTGCCTTCACTCGACTACAAACTCTACAACTACAAGCAGTAGTAGCGGTTCTGAAAGAGAAGGTCATTAGCTATGGTATGGCCTCCTATAGTGCTTTGCATCTTGTTCCTGCGGCTCACATTACTCAGGGTCTTGTCAGTTCCCAACCTTGGGATTCGTGGTGGATCGATACCTCCGGGTCAAGAACTTCAAGCCGGAAACATTCTGGAGTATTAAAGTGATGCTGCAACGAGAGGGCAAGAAAGTCAATTTCTTGTGGAAGCGCGTTCATCTCTTCGATCGTGCAGCAGTCACGATGATGCTCGAGCGGTGCCTGGTTGCAAAAGAAGCAAAAGTTACCAAAGTGAACCAGAAACCCAAGAGTAAATGGCGACCCTTGCCTTTGACAACGGTCGATCTTCAAATGATGGGCAGTCGGTATCTCCGGATGGACAGTCAAACTGTCATGAAGGTGGCCGAGGCCCTTTACACGAAGGGTTTCATTAGCTACCCGAGAACAGAGACGGATCAATTTGACAAGGCAATAGACTTGCAAAAGTTAGTTGAGAAGCAATACCCGGATAGCGCATGGGGCCAATATGCCCGAGAGTAAGTAATCCTGTGCAATGGGGGTCGCTCTGCTCGCGCAATCGTTAATCGTGTTGAAATAGTCTCATCGAGGGAAAGTTCAGAACCCCTCGATCTGGTCGCCATAATGACCAGGCGCATCCGCCCATCCATCCTGTGAGCTGGGTCTCGCCTTCGTCACTGAACGCCAATGAAAAGAAGGTGTATGAATTCGTTGTGAGACGCTTTCTTGCCTGTTGCTCCGAAGACGCAAAAGGCCAAGGTACCGAGATTGAAATCCAATATGGGGACGAAACTTTCCATGCCAACGGCCTGATTGTTCTGGAACGAAATTACTTGGATGTCTACGTTTACGACAAATGGGAAAGCAGCCAGCAGCTTCCCACCTTCGAAAAGGGTGAGCTCTTTGAGCCCACGGAAGCCAACATCGCGGAGGGCAAGACCACTGCTCCAAGCTTCCTGACAGAACCTGAACTCATCGGTCTTATGGATGCCAATGGCATTGGCACCGATGCGACCATGGCAGAGCATATTGCCAAGATCAAGGAGCGGGAATACGTTGTCGTCCACAAAAGAGGAAGTGGGCGAAACGCGGTCGAAGAACTTATACCGACCCGCCTGGGCATTGCCCTGGTAGAGGGATATGACAATGTTGTGGCGGGTCTTCCGAACAGTATCTCTCTTAGCAAGCCCTTTTTACGAAAGGAGATGGAATCGCGGATGCTCGAGATTTGTTCAGGCACTAAGACCCGCCAGGAGGTCGTGCAGCAGAGTTTGGACATGTATCGCGAAGTTTTCATCCATACTCAGCGGCGCATTGAGATGCTGAAGACAGCCTGCCGAAAGTATCTAGTGGACGAAGCGACAGGATGAGGACACGACTGCATTATAATCTTTCATATACCCCCGAGGAGCCCTCAAATACATGGACAAGCTTATACATACCTCCTGCCTTTGTAGTGCATGTGGTAGCCGGACCTTCTTCCGAGTCCCTTTCAGTTTGTTGCGGCCTTGACGCATTCTACAGGTCTCTGTTGCAAATATACGCACCTGTTTCATGGTAAAACAAGACTGGGCCTACGTATCGTGGTCTGCGCTTCCTCCCCACTGCCTCTGGGAGGGTGGGAACTGCTGGAAACCACGTTGAACTTCCCCAGCCTTTGGCTGAGCCGCCTTCTGGGGCTGTTATCGGAGGTTCCATGCTGTGACCTCTTGCGGCCCCCGAGAAGCCTGGACGGATCGCTAGGTCCCTTCTAGCTTCCCCAACCCCATAAGGCGTGGTATTTGCGGAATCTTCCTTGTCATCTTTTGAACCAACTGGACTTGTCCCTATAAGGCCCCTGCCTTCTACATCCCCGGAGTCGAAAGAGAAAGAGTCAGCAAATGGACGCCTCCCACTCTGGTCGGCACCATATTTGATCCCGAGAAGGACATTGGCAGGTTTCATGTACGGATTCTGTTCATCCGTGTCTTCTTCGGTAAATCCTGCATTCATTTCTTCGTCGAGCTCGAAAGAATTCGTGTGCCCCTCTCTCTTAGATTCGGCACCTACAAACTCTGTGTCCATTAACTTAGTTTGAACATCAGAGTACCAGAAATCTTCATAATTGTCATCACTTTCGTTTTCTTCGCCATATCCGTATTGAATTGTGCTGTCAGGAGGATACCCAACATCCCTTTCTTCGACATTATTCATGTCAAAGGAAAGGGACGTTTCTTCTATGAATCCTTCTTCCCGAGTTTCTAGAAAAGGAGCAGTACCCTCTCTGTGCTTTTGTCCCTGATTGTCATTTTCAACCTTGCGTTGAGGTCTCAATCTAGATAAATCTCCCTGTATGATCTGGGGAACGTTGTAGCGGCGTCTCAAATGGTGATTGCATTTGCTTCGGAGTTTGCGCATAGCCACAGCTCCGTCTCTAAATACACGGATGAGAACTGGCCTAATAGTACCGCGGCACACTGGCAGAAAGCTCACGATGAGCATGAAAAGATTCACGCTATAACTTTGCAGTAACATCGAGGATAGATCTCGACCCCATCGATATCCTTCACCGAAGGCTTGACCCAAGGCGTGCCCTATGGCAGACCCAATAACTCCGCTCATGTCCTTGAGAACCTCCCAGTTTGATTTCTCAGACAGGTCATAGTCGTCGCGTGAGAGAAATTCCCATATCTCGCTTTCAACACGGCATACGTCGGGCTCGGAGATGACGCGACAGGCAAACGCAAAGGGCGTTACAACGACGCCCACCAGAGTATTCTGCGGGAAGCTGCCAGTATACTCCTCCGCAAAGTTCGCTAAAGGCTGTGCGGCGGTCAATTTGGAGACGTCAAAGGCGGCGGCAATTTCAGGGAATGTCCGTTCAATAAAATCGCGCGGTAGTTCACCAGTGATGCGATTCCTCATCGCGCCTTCCTTGGCGACCGACAGGATGGATCGGCCATAGAACTTGAGAAACGAATAAGCTTCAGAAGAGTACGGGAGACACCTTGCGACAAAATTCTTTGTCCTTGCATTAAACCCGATCTTCTGGACGCTTGAGAGCGTTAAGTCTGTCATCCTTTGCGGTAGACCCGTTGCGTACATCGTGTTCGCCAAGGCAACATAAATAGCCACTGGTGCGGACCGAATGAGGAACCCTTGTCCTCGAGGGCTGATGATGAAATGCCCGGCATCGTAAGTCGAACCCTTGGAGTCGGTACTAGTATCAATGCTTCGTACCTGAGAGCCACTGTGAGATTGAGAAATAACATCTAAGTAAGCAGAGCCTGAATAGACCCCAAATAGGCCCGCGCTAATGAAACCCATGACAGGTATGAGGAAATGCATATCGTCGACTTGGGTACTTGTAAGAAATCGAGAGTAGACTATGTGGATATATTGTAGGAAAAAGGTAGAAATAACCTAGGGTTTGTCATGAAAAAAGATGGAGAATCAGCTGGAATCACGGTGAACTTCAATGGGGAATAGTAGGAGGGGATGCTCGCCAGGCTGTTTCGATTATACTAAGCCTCACAATTCTGGTGGTGACTGAGAGGTAATATATCTGTCGACAAAAAAAATTATGAGGTCTCTGAAGAAAGAAATTGAAAAAGACATTCAATGTATGAGATACTCTTTCGAGCTGTAAACACAAAGCGGCTTCGAATTACATTTGCTTTGTGGTAGGTGGAAGCACCGTTTCATTCTCATTTACTAGCACGGGGAGCATCGCTTTCATGTCTCATTGCACTTTAGGCCGTTCAGCTCCAGACAGCCCTACCTACTCGTAGACATGCCGGACGGGTGGTATCCCCCAACGTTGAGGCCTTGTCCAGTACTAATACTCGGGTATATATTCACGCATCCTAGATATTAGAGCCTTGATATAGGATTTGGCATTCCCTCTGGGGCCGTAATTGCTGGCGAGTGGTCTGAAGAATGATGTTTTTAAAACTGCCCCTGCATGGTTAGGCCCCGGCATGGCTAGGGGCCCCTCCGTGGTTAATCTCATGGGGCGGATGCACTTTTGCTGCCATGCCATGCGTAGGGGTTCGATAAAAGTGACTAGTAAATTGAGACCGATGCCAAGGCTCTTGGCTAGCCTGGCAGGGCTCAAGCGAAGTCATCACAATATCCAACGCCCACTTAGATCAAGTCTAGGTTGTATACTTTTCATAGGTTTGGGGTGCCCCTTGGCCTTGCCTCCACCTGCCTCCACCAACACAGGGCAGACTCTCTGGTAGACCCTCTTGACAGTCAAAGGCAGACGAGCTGAGGCCGTACATTGCTAGATACAGAAAGGCCTGGGAGTCCAGGGATGACAAAGTGGGGGTCGCGGATGTAACGCAGTTTGTACGGGATCACGGTAGAGCCCATGCCGACGCCTCTGAACGGCCTACCCGGTTTCCGTTAGCCTTGGTTGGCTTGGGAGGACGCCTAATCGTCAGCGGCTTTTGATTCCCAAAGTATTGGATAGCATTGCACAACATGATGCCTTGACATCGGATGAGGTTCTGAATGACTCTCGAGCCAATGGCACTGCACCCTCTGGATATGCAACAATATCTTCCACGGTCAAGCCTCGTATTTGACTCATCGGACGGCCCCGTTCCAAGCAGGACAGAGGACGCCACGCTGCTGCTCTGTACGATTGGTGCCAAAGCCATGGCGACCCACTGGATCATCTCCACGGCCCACAATGGTCCACCCCCGGACTCCCGGATTTCATCGCTTTCTGCCCCTCCACAAAAGAGCATCTTCTGGCCCGTTCTCTCTGCCCCGGTTCTGCGGGGTCACCTTGACTGGCTGTGGGGGCAGTGGCTCGAGCAAGGAAATCCTCTCTGTCTTGGGAAAAGAACGCGGATGACCGCGCTGGCCCCCACAAGGAGCAGGGATCTGAGGCTTCTGCGATTCGTCGAGACTTACTCCGTATACCGCAAAAGAGTCGAGTAAGCCCGAAACCGTGAATCAGAAGCAGAGTCCCGGCCCTTTTTTAGTTTAGCCTGTATGTAAGATGTCAGGCCTCTACGAGTAGTGTGCTGAAAGACGAAGACCCCGGAGTCGGAGAAATAAAGGGAAGCTCGCCCCCCCCCCCTGAAGTCCACTTTTCCTGTGTAGTATAGAGTTTCCCCCCGAAAGGAAACGTACTGTGGATTGCCTGGCCTAGTGGGCACGATTTCCGGATATCCAGAGCCTGACAATTGGCGCCATGAAGGAAGGCGACATTGGGGACCCGGTCGAGACCGCCCACAAGGACGACAGTCCCCCTCCTACGCCTACATATATCCACAGCGAGAAGAAAGGGATCGCCCATGATGAATTGGAAGGCCGCGGACGAGACAATCTGAATGCCGTCTTCGAGAATCCCCTGGCGGGCATTCCTCGGGATGAGCTATTCAGAAACGTCGAGGAGTTCTGCACCAAGTTCGGCCTGCTGGATGATCTGGAAGTCTTTAAAAAAGGCGCACTCATCTCACAGAGTCCGGCCACGGCAGCCAGTCTGCCAGAGCTCAACGAAGCCGAGCGAGAGGCGCTGGTGCGTGAGCATACTCATAAATGGCACCAGCCATGGCAGCTGTATTTCCTGACAGGTAAGCTTTCCAGTTCCTGAGACCGTGTCAACACGGTGGTCGTATACCGGTAGCTCATACTTAGCCGCTCTCTGTTCTTTTAGTTATGTGCTCGCTCTCCGCTGCTGTCCAAGGAATGGATGAAACCGTCAACAACGGTGCCCAAGCTTACTATTTGAAGGTAAACAAGACCGAGGCTTCGAGAATGGTTCACTAGGGAAAAAAAAACAAAAGGCTCAGGGGGTTAACTCATCTGCCACAGAAATTCGGAATTGAGAATAGCAACAACCTGACCGGCCTTGTCGTTGGCGCGCCTTATTTGGCTTGCGCGATTCTTGGCTGCTGGTTGACCGAGCCCTTGAACCGATACTTCGCTCGTCGTGGAACAATTTTCATCTCTTGCTTCATCGCCGCTGTTGCCTCTGTTTGGGAAGGCGTGTGCAATTCATGGGTCAACCTGTTCATTGCCCGATTTGTCCTTGGCCTGGGCATTGGCTCCAAGTCGTCCACGGTGCCCGTCTACGCCGCGGAGTGCTCTCCTGCACCAATTCGCGGTGCGCTGGTGATGATGTGGCAGGTATGGACTGCATTTGGTATCATGCTGGGTAATATCATGGGAGTGGCCTTTGCGAACGTGGGACATGACCTGAACTGGCGGTTGATGCTGGGGTCGACGGTTGTCCTTCCCTTGATTGTCTGCGCTCAAGTCTACTTCTGCCCGAGTCCCCACGATGGCTCATCCAGCACAACAAGATCCAAAAGGCCTACACAAACTTCAAGATCCTGCGCCCAACCGAGCTGCAAGCCGCTCGAGACCTGTATTATGCTTATATCGGGGTCGAGCTAGAGCGGGAGATCAACAAAGGAAAGAATTTCTTCAGTATGGCGCTGGAGCTGTTTACGATTCCGCGCAACCGCCGTGCTACGTGGGCTTCGTGGATCGTGATGTTCATGCAGCAGTTCTGTGGAGTCAACGTGATTGCCTACTACTCAACCACCATCTTCCAGGATTCGGGATACGGCCTCTCCAATGCGCTGCTTGCTTCCATGGGCACCGGCATTCTCAACTGGGTCTTTGCCTTGCCTGCGGTCTTCACGATCGATACCTGGGGGCGCCGCAATCTCCTCCTGTTCACGTTCCCCTTCCTGGCGATCTTCCTCCTCTGGTCCGGCTTCTCTTTCTGGATTGACGAGAACGACGGCCACAAGCGTATTGCTATGGTCACAACGGGAATGTATCTCTTCGAAGTGTTCTACTCCCCCGGCGAAGGGCCGGTCCCATTCACCTACTCTGCAGAAGCATTCCCTTTGCAAGTTCGAGAAGTCGGTATGGCCTGGGCTACCGCTACGACCTGGTGCTTCAACTTCATCCTGTCTTTCACGTGGCCCCATTTGCTGAGCACTTTCAAGCCGCAAGGCGCGTTCGGTTGGTATGCGGCTTGGTGTGTCATCGGCTGGTTCTTGGTCTTGCTATTTGTTCCGGAGACCAAAGGTTCGTAATATCCAGTCTTTTCCACCATCCTATGGTTACTAATGTCTCTTATAGCGCTCACCCTGGAAGAGCTGGACCAGGTCTTCTCTATTTCCACCAGAAAGCATGCTAGGTATCAAATCAAGAATGCGATCTGGCACTTCCGTGTCTGGATCCTGCGACAGAAGCTGGAGCCCCTCCCCAAATTTTACCAAGGCGCTGAGCGTCTTGCTGAAATTGGCGATGCGGCCTCGCAGTAAGCCATGGATCAAATGATGCGCGGAAGGCATATGGCCAAAGATCTGGGTTAATTTAGTTTGCGTCGATGATATAGTGAGAGTTGTTGAGTTGACTTTGTGTTAGGTGCCACTTTAATGGTTTAATGAGGAAGTTCCAAGCTACAACCCCTTTCATCTCTTTCTCACTGCCTAATATAGCTGCGCTATATTTACGTACCAGCAAAGATCGCAAATAGATCAAGATGAACCCCGCTTGTCAGCATTTGATTATGAAGGTGATGCTAGTAGCTGCCCCTCTTGAAGGGAGTACAGTACATCATCAGCGCGAAAGAAGAGTACCTGGATAGGAAAGCGGATGCTATGTACAAACATCGGAAGCAGTCATGTGTCACATCAGCGCTTTTCTTACTGCAGTTTCTTGCTCAAGACCGCACCGTAGTAAATGGTAGCAATGAAGCTGCCAAGGTTCACAAGACTGGAAATGCCGTGGATCCGGCCGAACTTCTTGTTCAGTTCGATCATCTCCTTCGAGTGAGGGCCGGCGTCGTAGCTCTTCTTGCCATCACGGGTTTCTATGCAAGTCCAGTTAGCGTTGAGCTCATGAGAAAGATTCTGCAGAATGGTATCCGATCAGTTTGGAAACACTTACCCTGTTGCTTTCGCTCATGCATGATGTTCACAGTCAACGGACGCAGGATAACCTGGTTGATCAGTCCGGTAATGGCAACGGTAGCTAGGGGGATCAGCGTGCCCCAGCGGTTCTCGGGCGCAGTCAGGCCGGAGAGCCCCAGAAGATGGCGACCCTTACTGGCAGTCAAGGCGACTACCACGGGCAGCGCGGTCTGGAGGGAAAAGTAGACGGGGAAGATGGCAGTCTGCAAGCTGGCAAACTGAGGGCGCGGCAGAGCGCGGAACGCGATAACACCACCGACAAACGACTGGAGTTAGGTTAGCTATATTCCAGATGATCGAACGCGAGGAGTCTCCACTGCTCATTCGAGTTTTGCCTTACCTGGAAGAATTGAGTGCCCAGCAGGGTACCGTAGCTGTGAGGAAGTTAGTTTGGCTCTTGAAACTTCAATGTGCCATCGTATCTCGGACTGTCGTACCTGATAATGTGGTAAGGGCGTGGGTCAGACATCGCGTATGCTGCAGGGAAGGATATTGACTGAGAGTGTAAATTGTTGTTACAACTTAAGTTGGGTAGACGTGGGGGAAGCTCTATATAAGCTGGGATGGACGGAGGCACGTATGCACGGACCATCTGGGCGGAATTTCCTTATCGACACGCGCTGTCTCAAGCATATAATGTCGCGCTCTCATTATGAACACGCACATCGCTTATACACACGAGGATCATATGATGTCATGTGCGCGCGCGTGGAGCTAAACCAAACGGGCAATATCACGCGTCTGCCTGTTGCTTCTGCCTCATAAAGTCCGGCGTCCTCGCCCCCAACTGATTTATTTATTTATTTTCTTTTTACAGATCAATCATGGCGGAGAAGGAGGCCACAGTTTACATTGTGGATGTTGGGAAGTCCATGGGCGAGCGCCATCATGGTCGCTTAGTCTCGGACCTCGAATGGGGCATGCAGTATGTGTGGGATCGAATAACTACTACAGTACGCGAACCTAAGTTGTTGTGGGCTGTGTTACTGATCCATTTGATTAGGTAGCTACAGGCCGAAAGACAGCTACTATTGGAGTAGTGGCCTTACGATCGGACGGTATGTCTATCAAGTATAGCTGAAAGCGAACATGTCTAATTTGTTCATGTACAAGACACGTTGAATGAGCTTGCAGACGAGCCCAGTTTCGCGCATATTTCGGTTCTCCAAAACCTTGGCCAGTAAGTTATGTGCTCAGTGCTGCTAATGGACGAATGATTTGGCTAATTCCATTGAAGGGTACTTATGCCCGACCTTCGGAAGTTGCGAGACTCGCTCAAGCCAAGCCATACGAACAAAGGCGATAGTATGTCAATACGTGATTCCTAAAATCCTATCATCCACTGACAGCATTGAAGCTATCTCGGCATTTGTCATTGCGATTCAAATGATTCATGCCTACTGCAAAAAGCTCAAGTACAAGCGAGAGATAGTGATGGTGACTAACGGCAACGGTTTCATCAACGGAGAGGACTTGGACCATATCAAACAAAAGGTCAAGGAGGATAATATAAAATTGACGGTGATGTACGAGCCGCCCCCGTTTTCTGATGATCTCGCCATGTTAATTCTAGTAGCGGGGCTGATTTTGATGACCCGGACTATGGAGTCAAAGAAGAAGACAAAGACCCACGAAAGGTGAGAACTACGATACCAAAATAAGCTTGTCTACCTTATTGACTAGGAGTATTAGGCTGCAAATGAAAGGCTTCTTCAGCAATTTGTCGAAGACTGCGATGGTGCGTATGGGACACTCGAGCAAGCTGTCACCGAGTTGGAGATCCCTCGCGTCAAAATTACCAAGAGCATGCCATCGTTCAAAGGCTTCCTTCAGCTTGGGGACGCAACGAAATACGAAACCGCAGTCCGCATTCCTGTAGAACGCTACTTCAGAACGTACGCCGCCAAGCCTCCGTCTGCTAGCTCTTTCGTTCTACGCTCTGGAGGAGAGCAGGATGGAGATTCGGGAACGGCCACAAATCAAGCACCTGGAGAGGGCGATGCATTGGCAGCGGTGCGGACATCACGGACTTACCAAATCACCGATGAGTCTGCCCCGGGAGGAAAAGTCGATGTTGAGCGAGATGATCTTGCTAAAGGTTACGAGTATGGACGGACCGCTGTCCACATCAGCCAGACAGAGGAGAACATTACAAATCTCGAAACTTTTGCTGGATTGGAGATTCTTGGGTTTATCGCAAGTGAGAAGGTATAATAAGGTGAAATAAGAGTCTTTTCGATCAAAGCTGACGAGTCTTTTTCTCCCTCCATAGTACGATCGCTATCTGCACATGTCCAATGTGAATGTGATCATTCCTGCAAGAGCCGACGATAACGCCTCTCTTGCCCTGTCTTCCTTTGTCCACGCTCTTTTTGAACTATCGAGTTTTGCTGTGGCTCGATTAGTGGCCAAGGAAAACAAGCCTCCACTTCTAGTGCTCCTCGCTCCGTCAATAGAGCCAGACTTTGAATGCCTTCTCGAAGTTCAATTGCCATTCGCTGAGGACCTTCGGTCATATCGATTCCCTCCGTTGGACAAGGTCGTTACTGTTTCAGGCAAGGTTGTTACAGAACACCGCAATCTCCCTAATGACGACCTTCAGAAGGCAATGGACCAGTACGTGGACAGCATGGAGATGGACTTGAAGGACGATGATGGGTAAGCGTGTACTTGCCGCTCGTTCTCGTGGGAGAAGATTGACTAACTTTCCATTCAAAAGGGACCTCATTGAAGGCCTTCCAATCGAACACTCTTTCTCTCCACTATTGCATCGCATAGAAGCCGCGGTGCGGTACCGTGCAATTCATCCGAACGAGCCAGTCCTTGAACCCGCCGACCGCTTGACTAAGTTCTCTCACCCCGACGAAGAGCTTGTGGAAAAGACCAAGAAGGAATTGGAGAAGCTTATTGCGGCTGCTGATGTCAAGAAAGGTGAAGCAATAACGATATTACTCCTCCCATACACAGCGGCGCTAACTAAAATTCAGTTCCACCCAAAACCAAAGGCCGCAAGCGCCAGCGCGAAACCGAAAAGCCCCTCTCAGGCTTGGACATTGACGCACTTCTCAAGCAAGAGCCTAAGCGAGCTAAGATATCCGCACGAAACGCCATCCCAGAGTTCAAGCAGGTTCTCTCTTTGGCGGACACTATTGAGACCATCCACGATGCAGTCCAGCAGATGGGTCAGATCATCGAGGACCAGATCAAGCACAGCCTCGGCGATGCGAACTATGACCGTGTCATTGAAAACCTGGGGACAGTGCGCGAAGAGCTACAGGATTATGAAGAGCCGGCTGCTTATAACGATCTCATTCGCCAGCTCAAAGAGAAGATACTCAGTGAGAGTCTTGGGGGAGATCGGCGAGAGCTATGGTGGCTGATACGTAAGAGCAAGCTGGGGCTTATTGACAAGAAAGCCTCCGAAGTGTCGACTGTGTCAGAAGAAGAGGCATCTGAGGTGAGTGCGATGGTGCGACTCTGTTGCCAGTTTTGATCTTGCTGACAATCGACAGTTCTTTTCGACTTCCTGAAATCCTTTCTCGCGACAAGTGCTCTTCACTCTCATGAGTTTGTCTGACGGTATAAGGAGGAATGAGGTGCAATTCTAGCGGGAGTTCGAGTGTCTACAATCATCCATAGGATTCGCTTAGCGGCAAATGAGCGTTGTAACTTGCAATATTGCTATCTCAAATTGATTATATCAAGATTCGAATCGTATACTCTATTGTCGCTTGTGCGGAAAAGAATGTGCATGAATGTGCATGCGCCCGTTGAACGCTACAGAGAATATAAATCATAAGGAAACGCCAGACATCGACCGTTCTGATGCTGCGCATAGAGAGGGGTTATAGTTATCACCTGGAGCAACGACGCATCTTTATGAAATTTTGCCAATGCGCTTCTTTCCAATGTCGACCTTAGCCTTCAGTCTGTCATGAAAGGTCAGCTTCAGATCGTTTTCAAGAGAAGAGAGTGTAGAACCAACCGGTCGGTATCCTCATCTGCCAGCTTCAATAGCTCATTCTGTATCAACAACTCCTCATTGATCGCAGTACCAAGCTCCCTCTGTCGAATTATGATTTTCCTCAACTCATCGACATTGGCATCTTGGTCCCGCATAGTCTGCTGTTGTAGCTGCAGTAGACCAGCGTTATCCAGCTCACGCGTGCGCTCCGTCTCCTTGCCGAGGACCCTACCAGATCGGCCAGGTCCCCGGCGCGCATTCCCGCCTGTGGGCCCATTTCCTCCCGCCTTGAGGAGAGCATCTTTGTCTTCGATGGAAGCCACTGTTTGATCCAGTCGGCTCTTGGTCGTCATAGCCTGCAACAAGTTCTCAAGCCCGTCCTTTTCTTTCCGCGCGTTGATAAGCAGATCTTTCCTTCGGCGCAGCTCGCCCTCTCCGAGACTCGATAGAGACGTTTCACCAGACGAGGTGCGGCGGCTGCTGACATTCCGGAGGCCTTCTTCCAAAGTGGTGATCATGGACGCCGAGCGGACGAGACTGCTTTTAGCAGCAGCGGAGCTTTCATGCTGTTTTTGCGGAGTCAGCTCTTGATCACGGCGGGATAGTTGGAGGCGCGCATCGTGAAGGTGGGATTTCATGTCGCGGTAGTAATCGAGCCAGAGCGTTGGATCGGCGATTGCGGCGACATTATCGGCATTGCCGGGATCAGTGATAGCAGCGTGTAGCCTCGTTGATGTATTTGATGTGCCGCTGGAGCTGGCAGCCACAGCAGCGGTGGGGAGGTTGAGAAATGCTCGCCATGCGGAGGAGGTGCGCCAGCGGCCGTCGGGCGCTTCGTTTATTGCTCGTAGGTACTTTTCTAGGCCTTGTCGACGCTCTTCTCGGAAGCGATCGTTCGAAGTAGTCTTAGCGAACCATGACTTTGGGGGCAGCGGCACTGGTGGTTGGGCATTGGTTTGATTGACCAGAGTCTCGTGGAAGCGTGAGAAATCGGAGTAGCGTTTGGCAACCGTGAAAGATCGGAGGGGCAGCCTTAGGGTGATATGGTAGACAGTGTGCGGAGGAGACGTTGGGGAGAGAGATGTTGTCGGAATGGCAATCTCAACATTTGGTGCCATCGTGAGATCGTGGGGATGTTCAAAGGAAAGAAACAACCGAGCTTGGAGTTTGGAGGTGCACCCGATAAGACCGCATGACGCATGGATCCGAATCGGGCTCCACCCGCGTTGATCAGGCACCGCGAGCACTCGACTCGTTCTAGGATAGGCATCTAGGATAGGCATCTACGACAAGGATCCTTGAAGATTGGAATTACACACAGTAGCAGGTTTTGCATTTATTCACAATGAGGGGGTATCGATCGTGCTTTGAAGGAAGCATCCATAAGGCATGCGGATGTCCTAGCTGCTCCATACTTCGCGTTCGACGAGAAGGTCCCGTTGGCCAAAGAATTCTCCCACAATGGTGATGATCATGTCAAGTAGGACAAAGGTTTGTTTCTGGATGGATTCAAAATCGTCCGACGCTGAGGCTTCCTCTGCCGTGTCCAGGTATTGGGCCTGTAGTTGTGCCTTTGCTGCTTCCAGCACGTCCGATCCTGTAGTGTCAGGCATAGGCGTGTCTTGTGCATCTTTCATATCTCCGTCAGCGATGCCCGCTTCCGGTTCTTGCTCCTGATCTGACTCTGAGTTGACGGACGATGGTGCTCCGTCCCAATCTATTTCACCCTCATCATCCGAGTCCGGGGCGTCTTCCTCCACATCAAGGTTGTGGGCTGCCTCGCGCATTTTCCGAGAGATCGTCACGGCTCTCTTCCCGAGATCTCGCACTTCGCCCACATCTTCAGTTCTCATTTCCCCGAGTTCAGGACATTTCCCCAGCAGGCCCCAGGTCCAGGCACTAATGCGCCGGATCTGTTTAGTGTTTTCACTTTGCAAGACGCCGGAGATCATTCGAGCGACGATATTGAGCACCCCCAACACACTCCCCGGGTCCATGCATGCTAGCTGCGCCATATGCGGGTCCACTGACATGACAAGTCGACGCCATTCCTTCCGCGCAGCTCCAACTCGAGGGGGTAGACTGATCGGGTGAGATTCATCAAGGTTGGCGATTGTGGTTGCTGGGGGGAGCATTTGAGAGTGGATCTGAGGAGAATGAACCGATGGTGGAGGAGGGTATAATAAGATATTTGAGCCTCGGGGTAGGTAGGGTCGGTTGGAGCGTCGTCTCGGTTTATATCCACCGGCGCAATGTAGGCTTCATCATCGTAAAAGCCAGTAGGGAGGGCATCGATTCGAGGACCTTTTTGAACAGACTCGGAAACCATCTGCGAGGTAGATGGGTTCGTGGACGGTGCGGACAGCAAGCTAGGTACTGTGTTCGCCTCGGATCTAGGAGCTCAAATGCAGCAAGGTTAAATTTGTGCATTTGAAGCAGAAAGAGGTAGGGGACAGATGAGCCACATCACAGCATTGAGTGGAAATTCAAGCAAAAATCTCGTAATTTTTTACTCACCTGACCATGCGCAGATACTCGAAAGCGTCCATTTGATCGTCATAAGAGAGCTCCTCGTTTTCGTCGGTCAATCCGGGGAACGCGTTCCTTTGACCATAAAGAGGATCGGGGCGTGAGGTTTCCACCAAAGGCTCGACGGGTGGTTCAGAGCCATCGTCCTCGTCGATACGCGCACGTTTTTCTGAAGGGGGGTGACATGGATGCTTTGCGCTTGGAGGCCATGTCAGGTATAGCGTTGGAGGGAGAAATTCGCGTAGGCCTAAAGGAAAGCTCCAACCTTATCCTTATCGAGTCCAATCTTATCTCCTTATCTCCTTATCGATATTATCGATGAGCGAATGTGGAATTCCGCAACTCCGACTACTACAAACGGACTAGTGCGGCCTTATATACGTCCACACTCGTAGGCCTCGACATCCATGGGGCCGTGGGAGGGTTGTGGAAAGCTGGTGTTTACACCATCGTGATATCCCTAACCATCTATTCTGCATATGGTGAAGTTACACTGATATCCCTGTTGCCCAGTTAGCCCGTGCCATACCTCTACACCACTACCCTCAGATCTCATGACCCGGAGGCATGCTCAGAGATGTTTTCCAGTTTTGCGGCCGACCCCGGGAGGAGCAGCTCCTCCAGGCCTCGTGCGAAGCGCCGACAGGTTGCACGGGCTTGCGAGTGGTGTCGAATCAACCGAATCAAATGCGACGAGTCCCAGCCTTGCAAGAATTGCCGGGTTCGAGGATCCCACTGTAGTAACAGCACAGAGAACAAGCAACTCACGCTGCCGGCTGCCTACCGGTGGGTCAATCCATCGCCTATATATATAAATACACAAGTACAGGCTCATGTTTGATCACCCTAGAGAAATCCATCGTCTTCGCAGCACTATCCAAGAGCTAGAGACTCGATTAAAATCACGCCAAGCAGACCACTTGCAATCACTTACAGAAATACCGCCACCCTTATCAAAGCAGTCCGGAAGTGTCTCTCACCCTCACGGGCTACCTGGCACTGGCTCAGAAGTTAATCAATCGAAAATTCCGTCATCAATAGAGTGGACGGGAGTCCAGATCCAGATCCACCATGACCAGACCGCCGAGGCAACGTATTATGGCCCGTTATCATCAGCGTATTTTGGACATCGCATGCAAAAGTTCTTGATAGATTCCCTTGGGGGCTCCCCTGTTCAAAACTCCCTTGCAGAAGCTACGCTGCTCGAAAGACCGCCTAATATCGCCCACTGGCAATCTCGGTCAAAGCCCAGCACAGACGAAATTTTGTGCACCAGGCCAGAAAAGCTGTCTCACACTCAAGAAAACTACTTTATTGACCTCTTCTGGCAGTCGTTTCATTGTATCTATCCCATAACCCTTGAAGCAGAGTTTCGCAACTTCTACGATTCTGTATGGGCACAAACGAATGATCAGACAACTCGGCAGTCTTCACCTTTGGTAGACAGCTTGCTGGCTCTGTGTATCCAGTTAGGAAGCGCATTTCTAACGAGCGATGCCAGTGCCAACGGCTTTGAGATGCTGACCGGTCATATCGAGTCAGCGCTAGAGACAGCTCATTATTATTTCCGTCGATGTCAGATCGATCTTCTTGATGAAATGGAATGTCCCTCCATCATGACTCTGCAGAGCCAGATATATAGTGTTGTCTACCTGGTAAACCTCTCTTGCTTCAATGCCGGACACGCAGCTCTAGGGGCTGCGGTAAAAACAGCTCAGGCGTTGAAGCTGCACCCGCGCTCCAGTCAAAGTACGGTACAGGCCCAGCAAGAACTGCACATCCGCATTTGGCACACATTGCTTGCTTTGGACCGTGAGCTTTCGATGACCCTTGGCGAGGTCCGATTATCCCAATCCAAGATGCCCCGTCCAACTTCCCTGGAGATGGACATGAGCATGCGTTGGTCTCCGGGTCGATCTTGTTCAGCCCTAACCATAGTGACATCTCCTGGTTGAGTTTCCATAGACAGCATACCGAGCTATTAGCTAAAGCCCATGCCGTTCAAACTTCATTCTACCAACAGGCCATACAGAAGCTCGAGCAGCGAAACGGCGAATCTATATACGAGCATCCTGCTTTAGTGGAAGAATTGGCAGGCTGCCTGGGTCGGGAGGTGCGTATTATATATGACTGGGCTCGCAATGTGCCTCAATCTCTGAAGTGCTTTCGCAAAGGCTCAGGGGAGGCCTTTTCGACAGAACGTACGGCTCTCGATCTGGACAGCTTCAGCCCACTTTGGCTTCAGCGACAAAAAGTGCTCCTAGAAGTGCTGTATCACCATGTCCAGTTGTCGAATCTACGCTCTTTCCTACGCTTCCCCCCAGGCTCCTGTTCCATCACCCCTCTATCCGACTGCCACAGCATCAATTGTCTGAACCACGCGATTATTTTGACGAATATTCTGCACCAAGTGCTCTCAGAAACAGACATATTACGAGGGTGGCCTTCTATCTTACATTACCAGTGGGACGCAGCGCTCTGTATCATCGGATTTGTGCTCGCCAACCCCGTCTGCCCGCCTACCCCCGCTGCTCGCAAATCCATACAGACAGCCATCGCGTCGTTTGAATTTATGGGCAGATACCTTGCCGCGGCAACAAAAGCCGCCCAAATTGTACGAGAGGTGGGCGCACAAGCCGAGCTTCTTGTGGAGAGATTTCACAGTAGCTTGTCGACTCGCCCGCCGCCGGAGAGTCGACGCCTGGCCACCTCTGCAGCTGTGCAGGTTAAAGCCGCCCCAGCATTGACACCAGAATACCTGCAGGGACTCACGGTTGATGCAGAATTTGATATCTCTGAGTTTATCAGTGACGCCGGTCTACCAGCTGGGGATGCCGGGGACCATGTTACCCTTAGTGAGTCGACCCTTGCAACCGCGGTTGACGATATGCAAGCTGGGACAGCAATGTCGTGGATGAATGATCCGATGATATTGGAAAACCTGGGGCTTTTTGCGGGATAAATGGACGAGGAGTAGTTCCTATGGAAATGAAAAGCAAATATCTCAATTCTCTATCTTAACGCGTCCTATCCGTCGTGCGGGCCTCGAGCCGCCCTATTAGTACTGACTTGGGATTACAAAAATTGGTGTCCAGATCTCTTTTGCTTAGAACACAGCTTCGGCGCGTTTGCAGATCTTAGTCGCGTCAGGGATCATCGCGAAAACTAATACGAAGTGGGGATAAAAGGCCGCATTCCCCACGTGTCAAATCGCAAAAATTGGAAGAAGCAAAAAAACCCCCCCCTAACTTCCACCATTGTTGGCGCCCCTGATCAAAGTAACTGACTGGGACTGGCGGGCGGGATTGGGCGTAACATTTTGTTTCATCTACAAAGTGCAAAGCCCCTCGAGGCCCAAAGAGTAAAGATGCATGGGGAAACATCAACCGCAGCCAACATGTTCCAATTGGCTGGCCTATACGCGGTGCACTGTCTAGTTCCAGCTATCTTACTCCTCACTACGCCAAAGCACTCTACTCTCCGATATCTCTCGGTCCCATTCTTGCTATTGACTGCGTATCAAGGTGTGCTTGTTGCGTGCGCATTGGGCCCGGGGTACGTGTGGTGCGAAGTAGCCCGCCTCCTCTTAACGGTAGTCTTCCAAGCCCTAGATGTGCTATTCATTCGCCCGCGAGACGGAAGCGACGTGCCATTGACCCATGGGCAAAGCTTGATCGCTCGTCTTTATGATGCGACGAAGCTGCTGACACACCCTCGTGGAATCAACACAGGGCATCAGACCAAGAATGTTCCACCACAGCCAGCATACTATGCCCGGAGGAACATGGGCAGCCCTCCGCGGGGTCGTTTCCTGCTTCGACAGAGCGCGATCGCCATCTGGCAATATCTCGCCCTGGATCTTTTCTCCACGGTGGCGTTGCAGCAGGCATTGGCGCAGGACGCCCATGAGAAACTGCCGCCGGTTGTTCAGTGGAACCTCTCCGTGGAGCAATGGGTTGAGAGACTGATTTCGAATCTGGTGGCGGGCGCTGTGGTTAGTCGCATGATCATTGACCTCCACCACCGGGTCTTTTCAATCATCATGGTGGGGTTGGGCCTTGAATCTCCATCTGAATGTCCTCCCCTCTTCGGTCGCATAGCAGATGCTGGCTCGCTGCGTGGATTCTGGGGGTAAGGAGAATTCTCAGTTGAAAGTGAAGTTCATAAGAAAATAACTAATTTGCGCCAAAAGGAAATTCTGGCATCAGATGCTACGCCATCCTCTGTCCTCGGTCAGCGAATTTCTAGCGCTCGATGTCCTTGGGCTTCCCCGAGGATCTTTGCTTGGACGGTACACCGTCGTATACCTCGTGTTCTTCTTTTCCGCGGGGCTTCATGTGGTGCTGGACCTGGTGCAAGGCATCCCGCTGCCAGAATCCGGTGCGTTATTATTATTCACCCTGGCCCCACTGGGCCTGATGATTGAAGACGGGGTCAAAGCTGCATGGAAAAGGTCTCGTTCACCGGCAGGTCAACCCTTGTTCGCATGGACCAAAGGACTCGGACTGCTCTGGTCCATGGCATGGCTGGGCATCACATCCACTTGGTTCTTTTACCCGCAAATGTTGCGCCCGCAAAACCAGAATCTGGTCCCGCTGAGTTTGGCACAGCGCGTCGGGCTCCCCGTCATTGGAGGCATCGCTGTCGTCTGGGGCGTTCTGACGGCGCTTGTGTTTGAGGTGGAAGTTTAACGGGGATGTGCTGATTTGGAATTCTCCTGCCAGGGAGTAGTTAGACGATGGGCGGAGACACACGGACCAATCCGCCAATTTTATGATGCCGTTGCGAACCCCGGCTTGCATATACGGGTGCAGCGATGTTCTAGAAATCATGACTGCTAGGCCGATCGAAGTGCCGATTTTTAGGGCCGCGCTATTTCTAGTTTTCGGCGTGGCGTTCCTAAAACGACGATCTACACTGATTTGCGCCATTTTTGGTCCCGGAGCTGTAGCGCCAATCAAGTATCTTGTCCGCGTCCAAGTACATAATGCGACAGTTGATCAGACTGGGCGAGATGTGCAAATCCACTCGGAGCTTCACCGAAACCCCTCATCCAGCTATGACGCACAACCGACGTTGAATGTGTTGAATTCAGTAGAGACACCTGTCCAAATTTCAGCTGATTAGGTGCGATTGTGATGAGGGGCCCAACAAAACCCACTTGCCCGGAAAGAATATGGGGAACCGAAAGCAAAAATGTCCAGAGACGAAGTCCCTTGGGAGTCATGGGGAGCCCCATAAGAGCCCGCCGGCTTCTCCCGCGGGAGAAGCCCAGGCGATCGTTCTCTAAGTAGTTAGAAGCAGTAGGCCTCCTCCCTGAAAAAGCCCAAAAGGCGCCTCCGAGGGGCAATTCCTCCGGTGACTAATCGCGACTTCTGAACTCCCCGGATTAAAAGCTTCGACCCCGCAAAACAAAATAATTTGGGACACCTCACCCGGTAGAATCCACCAGGACTCCCGGGGTGCGAGATGAATCATCCCCCCAAGAGCCCGGCGCCTCGCCGCTATGGCTTCGCCTGTCTCATGTGCAGGCGCCGGAAGATCAAGTGCGACGGCAAGAAACCGAATTGTGCCAACTGCATCAAGGCCAAGGAAATCTGTAGCTATAAGGAGAGCCCCAGTTACAATGCTCACCTTGTCCACCAGCTGCAGCGGTCCAAAAGGCGCATTGATGAGCTGGAGGGCCAGCTGCGAGATCTAGCGGGTCTGGACTCGGAAGAACGTGATCGCAGGCTGGCCGAGATCTCACGCGACTTCGACCATTTGAGCATGGCGGATAGCTCGCCTAGTGGGATGACCGATCTCATCCCAGCCGTACGAGACCGATAAGGATCACGGGGGGGAGGACCTGCCCTATGGGAAGCCAGCCGATTTTAGCGTGGGGGAGCATGGCACGGTGAGTTCCTCGGTGGAATACCGATCGGGGGTGCGACAGAGCATGCACTGACCTGTCAACCATACAAGTACTACGGGGCTACTTCAAGGTTTCACCCTCTGGAGGCTGCGGATAGTCGCTTGCTGAAGGTTCCTGGCCCGGATAGCGGGGATCACAAAGCGAGCGAGGAGTACCACCGTAAATGGCTGGCGGCAAACTCCAAATTCCAGGAGTCCCTGGAGCATGTGGCCATCAAGAATCTCGAGCAGTATACAGATGTCCCGCTCGACATTTGCGCCGTCTTGCTGCAGATCTACTGGACCTGGCAGGCCCCCTTGCACAGTTGTGTCTACCGCCGATGTGAGTCGTTAGACAAGAGCCAGTTGCAAAATAAAGGAAGAAACGAAACCCTGAACCCATTGGGCTAACCAAGACCCGGAACAGGCTTTTACCGAGACTTAGCATTAGGTGGGCCTTACTGTTCCGCGTTTTTGTTAAACGTGATCTTCGCCCATGCATGCCGGCATACGAAGGATGACGATCCTAAGTTTGCGGGGTTGGAACGGGGCAAGCATTTCATGAATGAGGCGAAGCAGCTCCTCTTGCTTGAAATGGAAGAAGAGAAGCCCAGGATCCCCACTATTCAAGGACTGCTCATCCTCGGCGGCCGGCAATGCGCGATTGGGAAAAACAGTGAAGGGTGGCTGTACACTGGGATGGTGAGCTTCAAGGTTTCTTTGATTTATTTGTGCTTGTGTATATCTCGGCTTACCATATGCTAGGCGATTCGAATGGTCACCGACCTCGGCCTGCATCTGTATAAGGGGAACCTGGAGGGTCTGGAAGGCTTGGATCCCGATGACTTAGAGGTCAGGAAGCGTCTATACCTCTCCGCTTACATTTGGGATAAGTGAGTCCCTACCTTGCACACGTGTCGATCATCCTCTAATCGGATCTATGTGTTCTAGGTCCATAAGCTTGTGTCTCGGGCGCCCACCCTCTCTTGTCGATCTCCCATACTCCCCCGATAGCCTGTGTAAGCCATGGATTTAACATTGGACTGAACGGTGCTAATATTTGGTCCCAGTTGATACGTCGGACAATGACCTCGAATGGAGGCCGTTCTACTTAAAAGAAGCGGAGACTTCCTATCCATTCACCAAATCCTCTAATACATTGCATATCGTTTACTTTGGCAAATTAGCACGCGTGAGTAACGTTCTATGCCAAGGTCCACGATCTAGCATGCTGATTCCGTAGATCATCAACGAAGCGTACGACAAGGTGTATAGTCAAAGTTTACAGAATCTCAAATTACAGAGTATCTCCGAGCTAGAGGCCAAGCTTCGGTCCTTCCATGCAAGTCTACCGGACCAACTTCGAATACAAGCCCCGGAAACAGAAGTGTGCCTCCCTCCGCATCTCTTCTGTCTCAAGTAGGTCTCGTCCCCCCCACCCTTTTTTTCCCACAATTTGGGAGCGGGAATCAGGATTGGCAATTGACATCTTCTAGCATCCTATACCACACTATGCTAATTCTGATATTCCGCCCTTTCTTCGCGTGGTCGAGGCACGAGCGACTTCGAACACACCCTTGGCCCTGCGAGCACACCAAGTGTGCATTGAGGAGGCCAATAATGTAAATGAGCACTTTCGACGTTATGGTCGGACTTTTAACTTCCAGAACCAGACCTACCTTGTCTCGTACTGTGTCTATACTGCCGCGACAATTGATATCCAAGAAATTCGGCAAGAGGACCCGGCCCTGGCTCAGGCTGCTGCCAATCGGCTGTCCACCACCCTCAAAATGCTGGAAACAGAGGCCAAGCAGACCCCCGGCATCAAGCGCAGCATTGAGATTATCAAATCCCATTTAGCCCAGCAGACCGAGGACCGAAGCCAGAAAGTCCAGAACCCATTACCCGCCAGGCAGGTTCAAATCAACAGGGAGATTCGACAGCAGCTTCTACCTCCTCCTACCCCTCTATATCCTCAAGCACCCTCCTACAGCGAATCCACATTATCCACACCTCCATCGCAGGGCCCCCGAGAGAGCCCCTTATTAGGGCGCCACTCGAACATGGGTGTCGGCAGATTGCCGCCCCACCCAGGCGTCTCAGGGGGCATCGATCCCGCAAAGGCCCACCAGCTCGTGGAGCAGGAGCCGATCCCGGAGGAAAACATTGGAAGTTTGATGCATCAAGCAATGGACGTCGACAACAACTGGAATGAATGGGAATTCTTCAATGCGGGGGGCGGATTTGTACCGGATACCGGTGGATGGGCACCGTTCGATCCTTCTTACCCGTACAATAACATGTACTAGAAATCCATTGCGCAAAGATTGAATAGAACTAAAATGCGGCTAATGCAGAGTGTAAATAGCTTGCATGGCAGAAGAAAGTTTAAACCAGGGTGTGCGCCAGCCCGTTTCGTGCTTTTTTCCAGGGTTTCGCGGCTGCTAAAACACTCCCGCCCCAGCTGATTGGGCGTGATCGACAAGGCGCGATGAAGTTCCCCCTTGTCCAACTAGTCAATTTGCGGACTGAGCCGATCAAGCGTGGGTCTGCAGGGCTTTTGGGTAGGGATCGGCCGCGTTGGCCAGCACGAATCTCGCAACATCTCCACATGCTGGGCCAATGATCGACCCGCGGACAGATAGCGAAGGTCATGAATAGCATCACGGAAACTTGGCAAGATTCTATTTCGGGTTCCCTACGGGGCGATCCGACCGCGACTTCTCAAGCCTTTTGCGGAGAGATTGGGGATATAACCGGGGATCGACGTTGAAGAGACTCGCTTGAACCAAGCGCGTGCTCTCGTCACCCCTTCGATCGCCCTTCTGGATCGCCACCGTCCGCTTCACAATGGCAGGATCATCGATGGCCAGCCAGGAGAAGTCCGATGCTTTTTCAGCCCGGGGGACCATGCAGGATCATGAAAAAGAGAGCACTGTGCCGGTGGAGTATACCCCGGAGGAACTGAAGAAGGTGGTGCGGAAGATGGATTGTTGTCTTTTGCCCCTTTGCTTCGTGCTGTACTCCTTCTCCGTGCTGGATGTAAGTTCGGCAATTTGCGACTGCATCTCTCCCTTGCGATCAGACACTCATCCGCTTCCTTCCTTCCCCAGCGAGCCAATCTAGGAAATGCGAAGCTTGTGGGATTAAAAGACGACATCGACCTGTCCGGCAACCACTATGACTGGCTTGGGAACATTTTCTACATCAGCTACATCATCTTTCAATTCAACACTCTGGGGTGGAAGATCTTCAAGCCCCATAAGTGGGTGGCGTTTGTGGTGCTCTACTGGGGAATCGCCAGTACCCTCCAGGCCGCTGCCTTTAATTGGAGCGGTCTCATGGCTTGCCGATTCTTCCTGGGATGGGCAGAGACCATGTTCGGTCCTGGGATCCCCCTCTATCTCTCCTATTTCTATCCGCGCGAGACTGTCGGCACCCGATTTGGCATCATTCTTTCTGGCTCCGCGCTGGCTAATGCATATGGTGGCGCGCTCGCCTATGGACTGGGCCATGTGCATTCCAGTATCTCCAGCTGGCGATTCCTCTTTATTATCGAGGGCGTCCCAACCGTATTGCTTGCCATTGTGAGTTGGTTTTGGATCCCCGATTCTCCGTCCACGGCACGATTCTTGAATCTGCGCGAACGTGAGATTGCTCAAGCATATGCGAACGCGCAGCCTGGGGATTATCAGAATGAAGGCCTCCAGTGGGATCAACTGGGCGAGGCCTTCAAGGACTACCGAAGTACGTGTTGAGTCATTCTTTTGGGACCCAGTCTGGTCCAGTTAACCGGGATCGTCACCTTCAGATTGGATGTTTGCCCTGCAGAACTTCTGCAACAACGTCACCTTCGCCTCGCTCCCCCTTTTCTTGCCGACTGTCATCTCCGAGATCGGGTCATTCAGTGGCGTTGAATCGAACGGTCTGACCGCACCACCCTACGTGCTTTGTTTCTTCCTCATCATTGCGGTCTCGTTCCTCTCAGACAGGCTGCGCATGCGCGGGCCTTTCGCTGCCTTTTTCGCTCTCCTGGCGGCCATTGGTTTCATTCTCCTGGGTACCACCGAGAGCATCGGGCCCAGATACTTTGCCGCATTCTTGGTCGTCCTGTCGTTTGTCACGACTTCGCTTGCCTTGATCTGGAACTCCAACACCAATCCTACGGGGTCGAAGAAGGCAGGTGGGTTATGGATCATGTTTACGATCGGGCAGTGTGGACCCATGTTAGGAAACAATATCTTCCCTAGCTCCGATGGTCCCTATTATCGGAAGGGATCTTGGATCTGCTGCGCCATTTCCTTATTAACTGGCGTCACCGCCAGTACGTTGAGCTTTCTGCTTTGGCGGGAGAATAAGCGCCGGGATCGCCTTTACGGACCCGTCGAGGAGAGCCAACCGATTGACATGTCCTCAAAGGAAAGTATAGAAGCTGGGTTGCGCTACATTATTTAATTTTGGCATATAATAGAGCCTGAGAATCAATTTCGTTTTTTCCCCCCGGGTATGTTTGAGCGTTGCCGCGTCATCTGGGACATAATCATCCAAATGGAGTATCTTCGTTACCAGCACTGCATCGATGTTACTCATGTGGAGTCGCAGTCGTACGGTTGGCAGACGACTTTTAGGTCTTGAGTAGTTTAGCTTTGCTGAGCTTTGCTGAGCTTTGCTGAGCTTTGCTATAAGCAGCTCAGGTTCTGGAGTACATCGTGTCAATTGCAGATGAATTGCAGATGCACTGGCCATAGAAGTCCTAAATTCGATTCCTAACTCGCGAACACGCTTTGTAACAGCTATCCTCGTATCCGTAGGCATCCAAATATCCCTGGAAAGGGTCTCCTGTCTGCAAGCCACTAGTATGTCCACGGTACCTGCGTGGTCCTGTGGCAGGCCTGGGAATTCGGATATGGTAGCCTAAGTGATAGGGGTTTTATGCGTAGTCAAAGAGCCATTTCCTTCCAGTACTCATCCTGCTTCTTCCGTGAGCCCTAGAGATAGCTTAATCCTATTATAGTAGTATTACAGTAGTAGGAAAAAAAAAGAGATCCCACCGAGGTTGCGGCATGGCAGGCAGCCTTATTCCGTATTTTCGCTGCCTAGAGTGGCCCGCGAGTAGTTTTTAGCAGCAATTGCGAGCAAATGATTTTCCTCTCACTAGCCGGGAGGAGACTAGCAAAGTCGCCTGGCCAATCAAGGCTACGGGCTCTTCAACCCAAGCTTTTTGAGTGGATCGATTCCCCTGGGATTAGCAGAACGGCTCCCCCGTCTATAGTATAAAACCCGCACTGGCACACAGCACAGAACTCCCCCCCCATTGAAATCAAATCGACTGTGTCGCAACTAGCCATATTGCGCTTGGTAGCCCTCGTGCTCCGTAGTCATTGTGTCGTCGGGGATGGAGTATCTTGCCAGGTTTCGAATTTCTCGTAATACTGTATTCACCTCACCCCCTCGAACGGGGCTGAGTGCAAGCCACTGGAAGAGGTGGGTTTGTATGGATCAAGCAAGAGATACGAGATCCAGAGATTGTACGAAGATGAGACGTGTTCAGCACCCACTCCTCGCCCTTCTTTTCTTTCTCATCTTCGTGTTTGCCCGCTACACCCGCTACACCCGCTTCGATCGTGGGACACCGGGTATGGGAGTCTGGCCTTTAGCAACTTGAACTGGATTCTATTCATTCTATTCACTCAGTCCTTCATTAGCCTCTTCGGAATAGACAATCCCCAGTCTTCCTCAGGAACCAGCCACTCATTTCCCCCCCCTTTCTTCACTATGCATTCCCATCATACCACGAGTCTGCTCCAGAAGCCGCTCGAACCCATCTCCAAACTCGTTCCTTACTCTGCGTTGATTCTCTCTGTCATTCTCATCATTCTCTTTCTGATCCGTTTCTATCTGCTGGAAGGCTTCCTCATCCAGCGTGTCTATGGCAGAAGCTATTCCGACATGAATGAAACCAACCGCCGGGGCTTCATCAACCACCACATCGCGGGCTTGATGAAAATCACCATCCTTATTGTGGCCGCATACCCATTTTTGACCGTCGCCTTCGGCAATTCGACGTTCAACACCCCCTTTTCCCATGGATCCCCGGTCACCAAAGGCGACCTGCTGGTGGTGGTGGCCCAGATGTTGATTGCCATCTACGTCTTTGAGCTCCTCTACCGCGTGAAGCTGTCCCCTGTCGCCGTGCTACACCACGTGGGCACCATCATCATTGGCCAAACCAGTCTAGCCATCAGTCTGCAGCTGACCCGCGAGCCGGATGCGGACATCGAATTCGTTCTGTGTACAATTTGGGGTATGTGATATGCGGTCTCCAATGCTCCGGCACGCAATGCCGTGTAAGAAATATACTGACCGTCTCTCAAGGCGCATTTGACACTATTTCGGAATTATTCCCTCATGTTGCGATCATCCTCTACCGCGTCTACCCAACCCGCCATTCCTTCCTGCGCCGTCTCTTCTTATGGTCCTGCTGCATTACGGCGATCGGTACCCTCTGTGAAACCATCGTGACCATGTCCCTGTTCGGGCTGTTGTGGCATCAGTGGCAGATGGCATTCAAAGTGACCACGCCGCTCCTGCACATCGCCTTTTCCGCGGCCCAGATCCATGGCAGTCTCGTGTTCTGGCGTCTGTATCGAAAGCAAGGGGAGTATCTGAAACGTGAAAAGGAGGACGCAGAGATGCAGCATGATAAGATGGAAATTTTCAAGCTGGCAGAGCCACCTAAGGCGGTAGTCACGACTCAAGACTCAAGAGCGTGTGTCGATTGGCCATTCGCGAAGGATACATAAGTCGATGGCCCGTACGGTTGGACCCGTACTGTCCAGGACGACTGCACAGCTCATTCTATTTCAGACTTTAGGCCTCCTATGTACTGATTTTCATAGCCTTGCCCATGATACACCAGCCCTCTACCCTATTGCACACCTGTCGTTGACTGTACCAATCATTGCCATTCACCTGTACCTATATTGCTGATTGGTAACGCTATATACCTCCATTCCCGACGAAACAAAGAGTTCTATACTTGCCTTCTTTCAATCCATCCATTTCCTGGCCGCCAAAACTCAAACTACAACAAGGCACCAGCCTGCGCCGTGGTATGGCCTAGGATCTTGTCTAGAAAGCAGATACCGAAAAAAAAAAAGGTCCCCGATAAAGAAGGAATAGTTTCTTTCTTTATTGACCAGAAGATATCTGCAAAATGAGAAAAAAACAGACACCAACCCTAGCAAAGTCGACGTTGCTGAGTAGATCTGCTGCTGGGCGTTTTACCCCATTGAGTAAACGGTCCAACCCCCGCAGATCTGCCCCTCCACCCGCCAGCCGGGTTCATGGTCCTGCTACATCTGCCATTTCTGTTTCTTCCAGTCGAATTCAGAGCTATTCGATCATCAGGATGGCCGCCAAAGAAAAGCGACCGGAGCTCATCGCCCTCGCGCGTGATCTGAACGGGGTGCCTATGTGTGAGGATTACGAGAAGATGATATCGGGCATGCTGTACGTATTCTCCCAGCCCCCCGGCAGAATAAATGCTCTGGGACCCCCCGGGCACTGTCAGTGAAGCGAATCAGGGATTAATGAGGGTGAAGGTATAACCCGCTGCTCCCGCGGCTGGTGGAAGGCCGCCATCGCTGTCGGATCCTCACGGCAGACTATAACCAGCTGGACCCACGGACGGTGTCCTACGACAAGATCGCAGAAACCCGGTTTGAGCTTCTGAAGAAGCTGGTCGGGCGGGTGGGCGAGGGCACCTTTGTCGAGCCACCATTCCTTCCGGATTATGGCTGCAATGTCGTCATTGGCAAGGATTGCTTTATCAATTGGAAGTAAGTCGCTGCGATTCAAACCTCTGCGTCGTTCCTTTCTCAAGTTCGGTGCGAAAATGACTCTTGCAGTTAACAATGCCTTCTCAGTTGTACTATCCTGGACACGTCCCTGGTGATCATTGGAGATCGCGTCCAAATGGGCCCCAACGTCGGCATATTCTCCGCTGGGCATGAAACAAGTGTCTTGTCACGGCGGAAGTTCGTCGAATTCGGCCATCCCATCAAGATCGGAGATGATTGCTGGATCGGAGGTAACGTGCTCATCCTTCCAGGCATTACAATCGGCGAGGGTTGCACGATCGGCGCGGGTTCAGTGGTCACAAAGGACATTCCTCCGTTCTCAGTAGCGGTGGGAAGTCCCTGCAAAGTCATTAAGACTATCCAATCGGCAGAAGAAGAAGAAAAGGATCCTAGCAATCCTTATGCGAACATGGTAAGAGAGCTGTGATATTGGAAGACACTAGCATGAAGGAGAGGTACCTCAATAGAATAGGACTATAGAACACTAGGACAATGCAGGACCTAGAGGAAGCCATCCCCAGTGTAGCTGGTAGTAAGCAGTGGCGTTGGTTAAGGATAAGACCATCTACATGCTGGTACCACGTAGGACATGGCGCCCGCGCAGGTCATGAAAAGCGACAAAAACATACTAAGAAGTAATAAGGAACGAAACTCCGTAAGTCTCTCGCGCACAGCAGCGAGACTCGGAGGAGCCAACGATCGATCCCAAGTTCTTCGTCCTCCGTATCCAACGTGATGACTGCCATGTCGTCTTCTCTGAAGATACAAGCTTTGACATATCCCAGGTCAACTAAACTATTCATTCATGTTTCGCCGCGAACCTGCCTCTTAATTCTTTTCGTGCTTCTTGGACATGCGCTGCTGGTTAATCACTGTCGACAGGTCAGTCAATCGGGGGGATGGGGAAAAAAGGGGGAAACTCGTCAGAATTCAGCCAATTCAGGGTCCAACTTACTAAAGTCTTCCCACGATCGCTCGCGGGATTTGTGTCGGAAACTTCGACCGTGCATCACATCGTCGAACCACTGGGCCTGAGCGAGCCAGAGATACATTATTGCACAGACAACACTGACTCCAACCGAAAATACCCAAACGCGGATCACGGCTACAAAGCTCGTACGAGGGTGCTCCAAGACGCCAAATCCACAAGCAAGGGTCGCGGCCACGTCCACCAAGAAAACAGCCAGGAAGAGCTTCAGTGATGGGAGCCGCTGCTTCCATCCAGAGCTCTCGATGTCAGGGTTTAGTCGAGTGATGAAGATCAACCAATTTTGAGTCAAGGCAATCTCGAGGAACAGGACCATGTCCCGTGCCCCGAAGTTCTCAACAATCCCTCCTCCCTCTCCGTAAACCAGAATCGTTCCCAATGCGAGCCACGACCCGCCCGCTAGGACCACACCCAAAATGACAGCGATCCCCCAGAGCTTGGGCTCGTTCCACTTGACTGGTGTTGACGAGTAAGGCGCTTTATCGTAGGCAATAGCAAGTGTGGCAATGTCTGCACCGATCGCCAAAAAGACCACTAAGCGCAGATCCAGGCTTCGGTTGAGAGTGACAATCCATAAGCCAAAGAACAACATCAAATGAAGAGACAATGCGATGCGATAAATCACATAGGAGTACATCCGATGGAAGATTTGACGGGAGGCTTTGATGGCATCGACAATTGCCGATAGCCCGGGTGCGAGGAAGACGATGTCTGAGGCAGATCGCGCTGCATCAGACGCACCTTCCACAGCAATCCCGGTGTCAGCCTTCTTCAAGGAGGCAGCATCGTTGACTCCATCGCCGGTCATCGCGACAAGATATCCGCGGTTTTGGAGCCTTTCAACCACTGCATACTTGTGCTCCGGATAGACCTCCGCAAAGCCGTCAGCGCCCTCCACAAAGTCATTGACTTCAGATCCCGGAAGATCTCCAGCCCCGGTAACTCCAAGTTCTTCAGGCTTATAAATGTTGGTGCCAAGCCCTAGCTGACGAGCTGCCTCCTTGGCGATTGCAATCGCATCTCCAGTGAGCATCTTAATTGACAGTCCAAGATGCTGCGCCTCCTTAATCGTCGAGGCGGTATCGAATCGCGGCGGGTCTAAGCATGGCATGATTCCAAGGAGTTCCCAAGAGCCAGCCTCACACTTGCGGGCAACGCCCAGAGAGCGAAATCCACGCGACGCAAATTCCTTGACTTTGCTGTTGTATGCGTCGATAATACTGTCCGGAATGGAGCCATCCTCCATGGCCGTGTTAAGAGCCACGATAGGAGAGCCTTTGACACAAATGACTCTGGTACCATCAGAGGCCTCCACGACTGCGGTCACTTTTTTCGACACAGGATCGAAAGGATGATATTCAACAAGAGCGTATGAAGGTATCTGGCGTTTGGCCTCAGGGTAAAACCTCAATGACTTCACGAATGCCCGATCGATAGCGTCCATTCCCTTCCTTGTCCGATTAGCGGCTAGACAAGCGGTGATCATAAGGTCGTCTTTGTCGACGCCAGGAGCTGTATATGGATCTCCGAGGGTAAGCTTGTTACGCGTTAGGGTTCCAGTCTTATCGGTGCAGAGGATCTGTACTCCTGCAAGTGACTCGATGGCAGTTAATTTCTGAACCACGGCAGATTTCTTGGCAAGCAAAGAAGCTCCCACGGCCAGAGTCGTTGTTACAACGACCGGTAGGCCGACCGGTACGCCAATGATTGTGATTGCCAGTGTAAACTCGAGGATGTCAATGATGTGGCTCGATCGATAGAAGCAAGCGATCCAGACTATAAAGAGCGTGATGAGGACAAGGATCAAAAGTATCATACTGATTCGACCAAGGACAATGGTGAAGTGACCCTTCCCTTGGGATGCTTGGTTCACTAACGCAGCGGCTCTCCCAACGTAGGTGTGGTCGCCGATAAGAGTGACGACGAGTTGAGCAGAGCCTCGTTTTACGGCGGAGGACGCAAAACAACGTTCCCCAGCGTATTTGTCGACCGCTAATGATTCCCCGGTAACCGAAGACTGGTCGACCTGTAGATGTGCACTCGGCGTGACGATAATGGCATCTGCGGGGATGATCGTACCCTGGAGAAAGTCAGCAGATTCGATTGGCCATATTGGCGGGCAGATCCCTACATCTTCAACTTCGATAACATCTCCAGGGACGACGTCTTCCGCTGGGATCTCCTTTCTCTGGCCATTACGGATCACGGTTGCCTTTAAAGCAAGTGTTTTCTTCAGATCATTGACAATGTTGTCAGCGTGGTATTCTTGACCGAAGCTGACGATGGCATTGAGTAACAACAAACCCCAAATGACAGCAAAGTCAATCCAGTCCCGTAGACCAGCCGCGAGGAGTGTCGATAGCTTTGTGACGTATTGGTTAGCCGGCTACCTTCGACCTCGAGGTCGAATGTGTATTCCATGAAGCATGCTTACCTCCATGACAAACTGTACAGGCCCGATGAATAGCATGACGAACTTCAGAATGGGACTGCAGCGTTCTTCTTTGAGACTATTCCAGCCAAACTTGCGACGTGAAGAAAGGACTTCTTCATCTGTCAACCCCATTGAAAGGTCAGTCTTCAGTAAACATGGGTCGGTGACTCGATCGGTTCCGGGGCCAATCGTGACAACTTCTGGGTCGGGTTCTTTGCCATCCTCTTCTTCCAGTTCGGTAATCAAAGCATCAATAGTGGACGTTGTCTCTTGACGTGTGATGTAAAGGTGGTCCTTCATTTCTTGGTCAAGGCTTTGCGTAGACAGGTCATGGAGTGTGAGGTTTAGTGGCTGTTCTGGCTGGTTCAGACCCATCGTCCCGGTCAAACTCGAGATGGCAAGAAAAATGCCGGTAGTTAGCCTTCAGTAGAAAATACAAGACACCAACAGATGAGCTATAGTGATTGGGGTAAGAAAATGGACGGAGAATATGCTGAGACAGGCCGAGAAACATAAACCTGAAGATAATTGAAGCAGAAAATTGGCATGCCGGCTAATCTTTTGAAAGCGGGTAATTGCCATCAATAGACATGGAAACGAAGGTGCGACTGCTTCTCATGAGATTCCACGAATATTTCCAATGTCGTCACTGCAGATCTGGAAAGACCTCAGACGGAAATGTCGAAGTTCATGTGGCAGGAAAGACCGAGATTCGTCGAACTATAAGACGGTCGATGCCTTAGGCAGACGCTTATGTCACGACGTCACGGCTTGAAATCCAAAAATTTGCAGCTTTTATTGACGTGAAAATGTTAGACTTTTCGGTCTGAAGAAAATTGCCTGGAAAACGCAGTATTTCAAGCCGACACTGACATGTCACCTGACGCGTCAATTCGCTAGTCCTTGAGCTGGAGGCTTCTCGGAGCGCGTTGCATCCTCTCAAGCCATCTTCCCCCCAACATATTCACTGCGATGCTTCCCCCACTTTGAATAATCGGCCTTCTTTAGCAATCTTCTGAACTTTGGGATAGGCAACCTGGAACATCCCACTTTCATCATATTGAACCGCCTCTCACGACATCGCCAATCTGCAAGATGAGTAGCCAAATCCCCGGGTTCTACTTTGGTATGCACATCACCAATTCGTCAGAGTCTTTTACCTTGAAGATAATTGTTGACATCATTAGACCCCGAAAAGAAGAAATATTTCAAGATTCAGCCTAATCACATCGCGCCTGCGGGGGCTTCGTATTCTCGCGAATCTGTCAAGAGGCGGCGTCTGGAACAAAAGGTACGTGTCAACAGATTTGGAATGGGATGCCACCACTGACCCAATACAGGAAAAGCAGAAGAAGGCAGCTTTCGATCAGCGAATCGCTCGAGAGAGAGTGCGCAAGAATGGCTTCCTTCATCATCCTCTAATCGGCGCCGATAGAGAGGTCGGGTCGCAGCCTACCTCTAGGAACCTTAGGCAAGAGCAATACGCCCGTATCTATGTGAGCCAGTTGGGACGGAGAAAGGTGCATGAGTTCAAGCCCTGGCCAGATGAATACTCCATTAGGAATTTGATCCGGCACCAAGATTCGGGGATTCTCATTGCTGGTGGGCAACGAGGACAGGGGTCGGCGGTCTCGTAAGTACTCACAACTTCCGAAGGGTGCTTGAAAGCTCACCAAGGTAGATTGTGCTTTCCTGATGTCGAGAACGACAACTGGACCTACAACCAGGAAATGGAACGTGTTCTCCTCAAAGATCTATACCGAGTTCGTCTCAATCTCTCGAAGACGCTCAAACACTACGCTGACATCTCTAATCCCAGCTATCATCACTCTCACAAAGCCACACAGGATTTCTCCTGTTGGTTTCCCCAAGCTGCTTGTCATATTCTATTTGCTGACGTATCTGCAGAGCGACCATGGATAGCGGTCCGAGAGGCGACTCATTCCTTGCTCCTCTCATGCTTCCAGCTCCTGACCAAGGAGGCGACTACTCCCAGCCCTCGAACCGTAGGTTTCCCATGGCCCCATAATATTCCTTCGTCATCATTGAACACACCAACTACAGTTATTCACCCTATCCGTATCCCGGGAAAATCGTCACTATGGTGTTCAGCAGCCTGCCCAACAGGCCCCAAGGCCATATTTGCTATCGGTACATCAGAAGGACTCTGCACTCTTGAAGGCTACGGGAGTCGCTGGGGGGTTTATCGTAAACAGTTTCCCCCGGGGACAGTCCGCCGAGCCCGTGATTCTTCTCATGCCGAAGTTATGGGTTTGGACTGGATTTCGTCGGACGTCATTGCATGCGGGCTGAGAAGCTCGGCCATTTTCCTGCATGATATGCGAAGTAATGGGAGCACAATGCGGCTCCAGCATCCAGACACCATTAAAAAGGTCCGCAAGCTTGACCCATACCGACTGCTAGTTGCCGGATTCAATTCCGTACGTGGATACTCTACCCTTGAAGTAGAGCCGATCAACTGACTGATATAGTTGCAAATGTACGACCTCCGTTATGCCCCAAATGGCATCCAACCAATCCCATTACCACTGAGCCGTTCTCATACTTCAACTCGCCCTTACGTGACTTTCCCGGAGTACTCGCCATATTTCTTTCCAGACTTCGACTTGAGCAGCGAACTCGGTCTGCTAGCAAGTGGTATGTCACCTGAGCATACTGCCCTTATTGGCATGTGAATTCTGGACCCAGAACCTAATCAATTTGATGGTGATAAAGTTTCGAAGGACCACCGAGTACAGTTGTTCTCATTAAATACTGGGAAGACAGTTCCTTCACCCATCTCGAACTATCGCTACTCGGAACCTGCCACCTCCGTCCTCTTTGAGTCCGGCGATGAAGATTTGAGTCCGTACGGGCCTCAAAAGCCCAGTCTCCTGGTCGCCTCCGAGGCACAAGTCGACCAATGGATCTGGAAGTAGCCGATTTGTCAACCCCCAAACCTGCAGCAATCCTGCCTCTAGGCCGACCTAGGCAAACTATTTGATTCGCCTATCTTATGGAGTCTTGGTCTTTTACCAGCCAGCTACGCGTTTGTTCTACCCACGAGTTACATTACCGACTAGTCGAACACCTAGAAACCAGAACCGGGTATAATTCATTGCGCCATGTAGGATGTAAATACCATGCAATAACCATCCGCCGATGCATACGGAAAGAGACATGTAATTCCAGATCATGTTTCAAGAACCTCAAATCAGTCCAAACCACCAGCCAGCCATTCGCCAACCTCGACACCGATTCCTTTGGCCAGCTCACCAATCCAGTCCCCTGAAATGTTTACACACCATTTCTCACCAGCATCAGCACTCGTATTCCCGCTGCTTGTACTCGCAAACCCTGCATGCGAGCTAGACGCGGGAACCACGAGCCGCAGTCGGCGTAACGTGGCAAGTTCTGCATAAATTTGATCTGCAACAGCAGTCGTGCGGATCGGGTTCGCTGGCGGGTTGGGGTCAACGGCATGGTAGATTGCGAGGAGGCGTTCTAGTGGGAACGGGCGTGCTGTGAGGATGGTAGAGGGACCAGTAATTCCAGCACCGCCTCCAATAGCAGACGTAGTTGCCGAGGAAGTGGCAAAGGCGGACGAAAGTGTCGATTTGGTGATGCGAGTCTTGACTCTCTTGCCCTTCTTGGGGGTAGAGCCGCCACCGTTCGCTGCTTCTTCGGCTTGCGCTTGAGAGAGGACCTTGAGACGCCGACGATGATGAGCGCGCTTGTTTCTGGCGGAGAGCGAGGACGAGGAGAATTTGGAAAAGAAGATCGTGTCCAGTCTCTGCGGGGTGTGAGATGCTAAGTATGCAGAGGTCAAGATGAGTGTAGAGAAATATGGCAGCGACGGGAGAGCAGAAGGTGCTGCGCTCGGCGCCAGCGGTTTGCGGACTTTCTGATCAGCACTCGAGGATTCTTCTGGCACAATTCGATGCACCAGCGCCGATTCACCCTGGTGACGGAACAGCGCCCTGTTCCTGACCAGGAGACGTGTGAAATCCCACTGTTGCCCGCTGCCACCCGGGGGGAGTTTCGCCTTGGATGATTGGAGCAACAAATTTCGGCCACAGACGTTCGCATATAGATTTGAAGACTGGTACGGAGCCAGCCGTTGGTCCAACCAAAGTGTCGTACACAGTGGAGACAAAATGGGGATATATTTCCAAAGTTTCCTCCATATCCAATCCACCGAGGGCAGGCGGCGGAGAAGCCAGTAAAATGTCAATTGCTTCTTTCCGAGTATAGGGAGGGAAGCTGACGTGGGGAACAGATGCGCTCTGCAGGAAAAGCGGGCGTGGAGTAGAGCTGAGGACGAGGACGACGCAAAGAGTTGGTATCTGGAATGGTACGAAGATGATTAGCAACCATTACAGAGGTTATAAAGGTCCATGTAAGCGACTCACAATCTCTCCAAGACGGGCTAGTGCCGAGAGAAGAGTAGGCGCCGCTTCTCGCTGTCGATCAATCTCGTCGAGAACCAGCACAAACTTGCCTCGCTTTTCGATAGGTCTAGCAGCTAGACATTCCTCAAGAAGCACAGCGAGCGAGCTGATATGTTCACATCTGCCTTTGCCGAATTTTTCCCATTCGTCCTTTTGGCCCAGGGCATCGAGTGTGTTCCAAAGGACCTTGGTCAACAGATGTCGCCCAGTAATGCATTCGGTGCTGCGAACCACTGCGTGCGGTAGCCTTAGAGTCGAAAGGACGCCATTAAGGATTGTTGATTTGCAAGTAGCAGAGATACCATGAACAACCAATGTTGGCGGGCTCGGCACAGTGGGCTATGTTCATCCAGTGTTAGCATTGATCGTAATCAGCAGACTTTTGGGACTTACATGGAGTAGACTGGCGAGCTGTCGGGATTGAACATGCCTATGAGGCCATTCGGAAAGAGCCTGCACAACATCCGCAGGCTGCATAGTCTTGATTGTGACGATTCAAGTCCACCTGGGCAGGCTCAAATTCCCAAGTCTGGCTTCACCAATACAAGGAGTCCGCATGGTCGATCCGCGGATTCGCAGGTTGTAATCACGTGACACCGCGACGCGTCGTGTCACTACAGGTAGAAACTACTTACTGGCTTTACGAGGGCGATCATTCTCGTCAAACTAGTCCTAGGGTCTACAGCCTAAGATAGAGAGAGGAGTAAATGCATAGATAAAATAATATGTGGCAATTGAATATCAGTCCTAGGCCTAGAGTACAGCCTCGCATGGAATGCAGGATATGAGTCTGTGAGCTTCGAAGCCAGCCGTATCCTCCACCGAGCGACCCCAACGGATTCCCCGACTACAAAACGATAGGTTCTGCATGAAGTTTCCGAACGGGGCGTCCTCAGTACAAGTCGATGTCAAAACTCATAAGAATCAAACCAGCGAGACGAGAAAAAGTTCAAAGTACAGGAATTGGTTGGAAACACTGAAAGTGGCAAAATGTTGGGTAAAGACATGGCTGGAAATGAAATGGAAATCATCTGAGCACTTCAGAGGAGCAGACGTGGCAGCCATCGAGTTGAAGAGGGCAGTTCCATGTCTCCGCACACCGAAGGAAAAAAAAAAATCCCAGAAGATCCATGAAAGGAACAGAAAAAGAGGGGAAAGTACATGATCTGAGGTTTCCGAGGTATGCAAATGCAACGCGTGGATCAAAATTGGCAGATGATGAGATTCTCATGATGCATAGCAGAAAATATGTCGTAGTCAGATGATCGAAAAGGGAAGGACCGAGGATATTCTTGAAAATGGTCGCGTTAAATCATCAAAATATCGTGGCATCATGGGCGATATGGGTACACGTAAGGGAAGGACTGCAATTTAGCTTTCCAAACCCCACTTAGAAGTAGGCGTAAAGCTGAGCTTGGGCAAAGTTGTTATTCGAGGGCGTCACAGGAGTCCCAAAGGCCATGTTGCTCTCGTTACCTCCGGGAGGTGTATTGGCAGTAGAGCTTGCTGCGGGTGTAGGGGGCAACGGGAAACCGGCTGGTCCAGGAGTGGTAATCATGCCCTTCTGCAGCATGGCCTTGGGAAGCTGGTGGGCGTTGTTCATTTCATTGGCAGAGACATGACCGTTGGTAGGGACACCTTGGCGGGTGCTGGTCTCAGCAGCCATGATCTTGCCGGCAATACGACGTCCATGAGGAGTTTGGCGAATGGACGGCAGAATGGGGCGAACAGCCTCGGTAATATGGTTGCGAGTGTCAGCATCAGAATAGTCCATGGCGGTCTGGATGACATAGTTCGCAAACGAGTCACGCAGCATCTTCTCGAGCTCATTGCCGGAAAGCATCTCTTCGACCATTTCGCGACGGATGTGAGGATCAGCAGTACGCAGGCACTTTTCAATCACGTTGGAACTGAACTTCTGCTTGGAGAGAGCTGGGATATTCCCCGCAAAGTTGCGGCAAAGAGGGGTGGTGAAGTTCGGTTCGGCCAAGTCCAAAATGTACTGCACAACATAATTCCCGAATGGATCCTGGACAAGCGCGAACGAGTTGGCGGTGATCTGAGCAATGAGGCGAGCCTTCTGATCACCCGAGGCATGGTCAATGCAACGCTGGAGAACACAGCATCCATGGCGGTGGGTGCCCACCGTCACACAGTTCGAACCAACAGCGTCGTAAATAAATTCGGCATCCTCGGCCGTAAGGCGGTTGAGACATTTTTGGATGACATGATTGCCGTTCAGATCCTGGACAAGCTCAACCACATGATTCTCGAGCGCGTGGATCACGGTCTGAGTCTGCTCGGGAGTGGAGATGAACTCGATCATCTTCTGGAGGGCACGGGTTCCATGCTGGTTGAGAGCAATCTTGACAAGCTGCGGAGCTGCATTGTTGATGAGGGCAGTACGTTGCTCATCATTCGAAAACTCGAGCAACTTTTGGCACAGATAATTGCCGAACGGATCGGTCATCAACTCAATGACATGCATGTACGTCTCACTGAAGATAAGCTGCACGTGGTCGGCATTGCGTTCCTCCAACTTGCGCTGAAGGTAGCGACAACCATGCTGATCTTTGCACAGGGTGTACAGCTCGCCTTTGTAATGCTCCAGTGGATAGTTAGTGAACCGACCCATCTGCGAAGCTTCGCCCTCAGTGGTGTTACGGCGTTGACCAACGACCCGATCAGGGAAACGGAAGCCATTGAAGGGAGCGTAAGCACCGTAGGCATTATTATTGGTCACGAAGCCAGGCACTTGGTTGGCGGGTTGAGGCACTTGGCCCACCGGATACCCGGCATAGGATAACCGCCGTACACAGGCATCTGCATTCCACCGGGCACAGCGGATCCAGCCATTGCAGGGGTGGGAGCAGTCGAAGTCAGCTGTGGCCCAAATGGAGCGGCGCTTGCTTGGAGCATGGTTGAGGCCGGCTGGGAGTTCTTGTCACTGTCAGAGACCGGGGATTCCCGGGAAGTCCGAGGCTGCTGAACGACGCCCGAGGGGATACGGCCCATGCTGGCATTGTGTTGGTGAAGGTGATCCGCATGGGTCTTAGGCGGGGTAATTGCAGCATCAAAGCCAGTGGTTCCCTTGATAGTGGGAAGGTCGTTCGTCGAATAAGATGACTGGAGCGAGATGGGACGGTTTGATTGAACGTGAGTTGTCGTCGCATCGGTGTCCCGATCATCGGAGAATCCGATCCCGCCCTGGAGAGAGCGACGGGCATGATGACGGGATTGGGTGGCAGCACGGTCACCATTCGAGTCAAGTCGCATCAGGTTGGAAACATTCTGGGGCATGCTTTGGTGGGTGGCGTGGTGTCGACTGTGGAAAGCATAAGGCCCAGAGCCGGCGGCGCGGGGGTTGGCCAGATCATGAGCATCAGGGTTGGCAGACAGCTACAAGATAAGGATCAGTACAAATTCCGAAGCAGATACGAGATATATCACTCACAATGTTCGATCCACTGCGGCGGGAAAGGATCGGGAACTTGTCATCAGGTTCGGTCATCGTGATAATACCTTTGATATCAGGTGTCGACATGCGGTCTTCATCATTCATCAATGGCTTTTCATCATCACCGTGGAACAAATGCTTAGCCGCAGCGAAAGAGTCAATTGCGGGGGTAGGATTGAAGCCACCCATGTTTGCACGATACTGGGGGCCGCCGCCAAAAGAACTGAAGTCATTCGATGGAAGAGAGTACCGATGAAGACTGGGAACAAACGTTAGGAAGAGCAGTTGAAGAACATTGAAGATATGATACATACGAAGGGCCTGGGCGGAACGAAGAAGTAGATGTGGTGGTGGGCTCGCCAGAAGAAGTCGTCCCTCTCCGAGTTACGTCGAGAGCCGGGAAGAGAATGTCCAACGAAGCGATCCACGGACTGAGAGTGGGCGTGAGACGATTGAAGTGGGGTTTGCGGAGAAGTCAGAGCTGAGCCTGCGAAAGCCCCAAAGAACCCAGGAGAAGAAGTGACGCTTGCGTTGGGGAATCTGGCGTGGCTAGGACGCGAGGCAGGGGTAGACATGATCGATTCTCCGTAGTCTCCAGGCGGGGTAGTAGGCTCGCTGACGCGACCAAGGTGGGGACCAGAGCCCGAACTAGACAGGCCTGCTTTGGCAAGAGAGCGAGCAAGCTGATCCATTTCAAATTTTTCTTTCTCGTGTTGCAGGTCAAGAAGTTTCATATCCTCCTCAAAGCGTCGTTTCTGTTCGCGCATATATTCAATATGCTGACGCTTCTTCTCGAACTGATGAAGGGGCAAGGGTCAGAACGGGGCCTCTGAGGAAGACTAATTCAAAAAGAAGACGCGAATAAGGGTGGATAGGGAATAAGCTCGATTAGGGGGATCTGAGGGATGTACCCACGAGGCGCCAAAGACGCTCGCGAGCAATAAATTGGGTGTAGTAGAAGGATGAGCAAGGTGGTAAGGATGGCAAGACAAGGAAAGGGATGAGAGTCGAGGACGGTGGAGGAGGAAAAGAAAGAGCTCGGAGGGGGAAGTTGGGGATATTTATATGGATGCAGGAGGTGCGCGGTGCGCGGTGCGCGGTGGTTAGGCACTCGTTTCACTGCGATCACTTCACATGAAAGCTCCTCTTGTAAGAAACCAGGCAAACGCCCTGTTCTCTAAAGTGAAGAATTCACGTCCCACAAACGGTCTTTCGCCGTGTCTAACTTTTCGTCGCTTCCACCTTTCGTCGCTTCTAACCTTTTGTCGGGTCTAACCTTTTGTCGGGTCTAACCTTTCGTCGGGTATCCCAACTCGAGTCAAAAGCTCCAAAAAGTTCGAAAGTCTCAGAGCTGGCCAATCACAGCGAACGGGGCTTGACCATGTGCGAGAGTCGCGAAAGATTTGCGACTCGGTGAAAACGAGGGGGAGATCGTGCTCCAACTTGGAATATGAGACCAACGGGCAAAGCGACACGCTCGAGAGGTACGCTTCGACTTGGAATACGAGACCAACGGCATGGCGGATCGACTCGAGGGATCTATTCCCGGTGCGGTCTCGCTTCCAACGTCTTCTTTGCAACAACTCCCCACAGGTAATGTCACGATGTGGCTAGGACCCTCGAAAAAAACAATTTGGAAATCCACGGAAGATTATGAATAGAAAAAAGGCACTTACAGAAGATAGTAGGTCAAGCGCGTCAGGCATCTGGGCTGGTGTCTGGTTCAGATAGCTCCAGCTGGAAAGTTTACTCGAGTCTGTCGTGAAGCGGCGTTGCAGATTGCCCCGTACATCACTTCCAGATGGACGTGAGAAAGCAGATGCAAAGTTCGAATGACCTGGCGATAGCGAGCTATACCCGGGAAGGTGGATTCGGACGGCGGCGAACGAGGAGATGGGAATCGCAGCTCGTCGAGGCGTTCACTTAGCCCATTTTTGAAAGCCATGATGGGCACGGCAGCAACACAATTCGACTATGAATCCAAGATATCGACCCTGGTCAGCAAAGATCGGTTTCCAACAAAGAGGTTTCGGTGTGCATATCACTTTAAGGCACAGGTCCAACCCGAACCAGCCTCCAGCAGAGCCACAAGCCTCCCCCAAGAGAAATCCGGTGCTATGACAGGGAGTATCGGCTTCCAGCAAATCGTGGGAAGCTGGCGGTGTGCTATGTCCAGAGCTCACGCAAGGGGAGGGCGGAGGGTGGAGGGGTTGGACCGGGGGGGTCTGCGTTGGCAAAACAATAACCCACTCACATAAATGAACGCCTCTGGAGAAAGGCGGGCGCGATGTTCAGGTTCCAACAATACAAGGGGGGGTACAAGGTCATCTATGGTGAGGTTGTGGGCGCGAAAAACAATAGGCGACAAGTGTTCCTGGAAATGCGGAGATCAGCCGCAGGGGGCTTTTGGCAGAGTGGGATGGGACTTACCGCTAATCCTCCAGCTTAGCGAACACTTCAAACGAATGTGTGCGGACAAGCAAAAGACCAAGCACAGGGGCCTCACGGTATCCGCAACAAGACAAGCTGTTGTACAGGGAGGTGGGGGGAGAGAAAGAAAAAGGAAGAGGGGGAGTAGGGGAAGAGAAAGAGGCTGGGATAGGAAAAGGGGCAGTTCCCAAGCACAGAGCGGGGAGCCTGCGAAACCCTAATCGGGAATGGTGGGTACAGCCTGGACAATTTCGTCGCAAGATTTCCAATGTTTCTAATGATTACAGTCTTGCAGCCTCTGGAGGTTTTATTCCGCTTCTTCCCTGGATTATTGTCATCAAGCAGCAGAGAAATTGATGGCCTTGGAGCCTACCGGGTCCAACCATGTTCCGATCATTCTTAGGATCCATTCGCCCCCAAAATCTGAGAAATTACGGCTATTGATTTTAAAGGTTGGCGACTAACCCGCTAGGTCCATGTTTGCCAATTATTTCAAGGCCTATTTCAATACTCTTTTTTTCGGGGGGGGTTTTTTTTCCCTTCATGTTTCTTCCTTCTACTTCCTGATTTTTAAGGAAATTGACCACTGCAGATCGACCACGACCACTCGGAAATAGATCAAGATGCTGATTGGAGACGACAACATCTGTACGACCAGGGGGTGTTAGCTATCATCCCCGGCAAAGACAAGCTCCAGGGTATTCACAGAGTCCCGCGAGGCTCGAGTTTCCCAGCCCTGAGAGTGGTCAATCTTATGCCGGGCTGGTGAGAGGTGTCTCTACATCTTGGGACTCATGCGCCGAAGAGGATCCGGGCGCAGCAAGGGGCAAAGAGCGGATAGCCCTATTGTGCTAATAAGTTCTCAGGAAAGAAAAGTGCAAACCCAAAAATTCAAGGGTGCGTTGTACCCCGAGAGGCGTGGCAGCTGCAGGTGCGCCTCCGTAAGCCAATGCGGGCGCCACTGTATCAACCTAGCCAAGTGGGACCCACGCGACGTGCTGAGAGGGTGTGACAGCGGATCGCCCTTTGACCACCGCACGAGGGGGTCTGTACCTGGATCGGAGCCTACAGTAGTCGCACTTTTGGTGGGCACCTATCTCGACCTAAGGTTTCGGCTCTGTCCTGCATGGGTTTCATCTGTCTGGCTACTACCACGGTAATTGGACGAGGGGAAAAGTTCTGGAAAATTAGATCTCGACGGCACCCGCGCGCGTCGAGTGGTTCGCGCCGCGGCTGGACAACCCGTTCCCAAGGTTCGGGGCTCCTAGCAAATCTTCAGATCCACCGACAAAAGGAGAACCTCCAGAAGGGCTACGGACTACGGCTTGTATGTAAAGGCACAACTCTGCTGGTCTCTGGAGATGGTGAGCTGGGGGGATTTTTGCTACTTCTAGGCTTCCCATTTGACGCGATTGGGGTTAATTTGCGTCGCCGATAAGGGTTGGCCAGAGAAGCGGTGAGCATGACGATCTTGTCGTTTAGAGCCCCTGACCCCACCCGAATGACGAGCATGCACTCCGTGCAATTCGTGCCATGCTGGAAGTGGAGATCTGTATCGCACGTAGCCTGGGCTTTTCTTTACAGTAGATGCCGGAGGAATGATCGCCGATCCCCTATTTGCCCCTCCTCCCTCGAAGGGACTGCGGTTGAAGATCACAGCCGACTGGGTATGCCCCTCCATGAGGAACCCCTCATTGATGGATCCCTAACCCCGCTGGGATAATATTGAACTCCGAGGACGGGAAACGGAGAAACGCGGCGATCATTCTAAAACACGGTGTGGGATAACCGGAATTGACACATCCCAAGTTAAGGGGAACTAGCGTTAGTTTGGAAGCGAAGGATTGCCGTGGCCACAATCGTTTGGCGCCCTTTTGGAGGCCCGAAGCCAAAAAGATGGCGTCTTTCCTGCCCAATGCCAACGAATCGCGCCTCGACCGATTGGCAATGATGGGTCACACTAGGTATTGTTTGGTGTTAGAGGGGGGACACCTTTGTTCGAAGTGACTGAGACACCCAAAGAACCTTTAAGGAAGCACAAAGAGAGTAAGCCATGCCAATTGGAGGGTTTGAGTCAATAATTCCTTCTCAATTATCCGGGCCCGGAGGTCTTTCTTTCTTCCTTGTTGAGGTGGACGGAATGGAAACCGAGATAACAAAACGCATAGTTCTGTATTTCGGACTTTAGTGCCAGCCGCTACGGTGCACTTGAAGTTCCTTGGTCTTTGTGGATTTCTTACCTTTTGGTTCTAGTTGAATCGAATCGCCGAAATACTTTTTCCACAGTGTTAAACGGGACTAGCGCCTCTGGATACCCATGTAATAACTCTCAGTCGCTACGAATATCAATTGTGTGAAATTCTAGCGACCGTATCCTGGCGGGTGTCAGCCGTTCTGGGCCCATTTGCCTATGCTCCTCGCATGCCCCTCTATGCGGAGTTGCGTAAGATGTACAACGGTCTCGGTAGCTCGACAAGTCACGCAAGAGGCCGGTTCGCGGCGAAATTGCACGGATTGCAGTCTGGACGAATTCCATCCTCGGCCACGTGTGCCAGATTCCATCATCATACGGCTTTCTGGAGTACAGTCTTTGTTCAAGCTGCATGGATTGCCCCGAGTGGAAATTCAGCACTGCGGTAGGGCTTTTTTATTCTGTGGAATCGACCGGGCAGTAATTTCAACTTCATCCTTTCACCAAGAGCCCGCATTCCCAGTATACTCAGATGTGGGTGTAGTCTCCGAGCCTAGGATTTACTCTACGCCAGGCCCCAGGGTGGCGATTTTGGGAGTTGCGGTCAGTCAATTCCTTTTGCCACAGCGGTATATGTAAGCTAGAGAATGATTTTCGCGCTCGAGGCTAAAAGATGCACCGACAAATCAGAGAAAGGTTCCACAGGTGCCGCCACTGTGGGACGCATTGTTCCTCAAATATCGCAGGCTGTCTCCGAATTCTCCCCCTAAGACCCCACAACTTCCGTCGCATAGAACCCAGCGCTGTTCTTTGTCTAGATGAGCAAAGCCCCGTATGAGCTGTATACTTGTCGGATGTGCGCTTTGTGGGGGGCTTTGGTGGAGTGTGCGACTGTGAGCGATAAGGTTCTAAACCGGTCGTCCGTGCAGAGTGCAGCATCTGGAGCCACGCCTGTACGAGGGATCTCAGGGACCCACCGATGTCATCAGATCTGGGTGCACCGTCATTCAAGCCATCCTCGATCTTACTGGGCCACAGCTCCTTCTTTCAAGATCTTGTGTATTTGTACATGCACTCGGATGAGCTGATGAGTAGCACCTTGAATTTCAAGTTGAGTCTGGCAACGAAGGACGTCCTATACGTGCTTGGCACAAGCGATTTTGTGCTACCCGTTCGAGCTTCACGGTCACGCCATGTAGAAAGGTGTTTCTACGACTGTAAAGGCTATGGCTATTTTCCTTGGACCGGATATCAAACGCGCTACTAGCAGTACCTACTTGAAAAGCCCGAATGGTATCTGAGAGATCCAACGTTCAAGTTTTGCTCCCCCTACAAGTCAGCCACGACCCGCACTCTTGGTATGTATATACGCAGGCTCGAGATGCAGTTTAGTTTTATTTGTATCGAGCAGTTCGGAGCCATTAAAAACGAAGCACATGTGTTCCATACTATGTCGAGAGGCACAAGAATTTGATATTCGATTTTGAGGCTTGGCCGCAATAAGCCCATATTCTCCACGGACATTTGTAGAACCTTCAACTCTTCTGCCATAATGGCCATTTTTTAAGTATTTTACGCCTCAGGCAGCACTTCTTCACTTCGCGCACTAATCCCAATTGGGATAGTTAGCGGCTTATCTAAGCCATCTCCAAATTCTCTCCCCCTCCATCGTCTTATCAATTGTCGAGCAGATCGTGATCACTTGTCTCCCAACGGACTGGTCGGGGCCTACAAACTGCCCGGCTTTGGACTTCTTGCTCAATGGCGCCTCCCCGGAAGCCGCATCCTCCTGCGGCCAGCCAGGCCCGAACTGCCCGGCGCCCTTCAAAGGTAACAAAACTTTTTTTTTTTTCCCGCAAGATATGAACTTCCACGCAGAGAAGCCTTTTTGCTGACCGTTGCCTCAATTTTCCTCGAACAGTCTAAAGCCCCGCAATCTACCGAGCCTCCGAAAAGGAAGCGGTCATCCGTAACTGGGCCCTCCGAACGCCCCGAAGCTCAAGAGCAGACTGATCAGAATGCGTCGAAATACCGAGCTCGAGATCCCTTTGATGCGCTCTTGGAACCCTTCTACTACAGCAAGTCCCTCACCGACCCCATCGACACAGCGAAAGACAAGTGGAACCTACTACCGGCTTTTCTGAAAGTGAAAGGGCTGGTGAAGCAGCATATTGACTCATACAACTACTTCGTCGAAGTGCAGCTGAAGAAGATCGTCGAATCCGCCGGGGTCATTCGCAGCGACATCGACCATACATTCTACATCGAGTTCACAAACATCTATGTGGGCTCCCCATGCCGTACCGACGAGTCGCAGGATAATAGCGGCAATTTCGAATCCGATGTGACTCCACAGGAATGCCGACTTCGTGATACAACCTACGCCGCTCCTATTTTGGTTGATTTCGAGTATATTAGAGGGCGGCAGCGCATCATTAGGCGGGGCGTTGCGATCGGCCGGATGCCGATCATGTTACGAAGCTCGAAATGTGTGTTGGCAAACAAAACCCCGGCTCAAATGACTGTCCTGAATGAGTGTCCCCTGGACCCGGGTGGCTATTTTATTGTCAATGGAACGGAAAAGGTCATTCTAGTCCAAGAGCAATTGAGCAAGAATCGTATCATCGTCGAGACAGACCCGAAGAAGGACATTGTTCAGGCTTCGGTCACTAGGTATGTCATAACACAGCTCTTGCGCCTGCCCCTGCACAGATTCTAACACACTTTGAAGTTCCTCCAACGAAAGAAAATCGAAGAGTTATATTGTCCTGAAGAAGGATCGGCTCTATGTGAAGCATAATATTCTCAGCGAAGACCTTCCAATCGTCGTAATGCTGAAGGCCATGGGGATTCAAACTGACAAAGAGATGCTGCAACTGGTCGCGGGCGATGATCAGTTGTATCAAGATGACTTTGAGATCAATTTCGAAGAAGCGTTCAATCTGGGGATTTCGACACAGCAACAAGCCCTGGAATGGCTGGGTTCTCGAATCAAGATCAATCGGAAGATGGGAGCTTATCGCAGGACCCATGTGCAAGAAGCTATTGAAGCAATCGGATCCGTCATCATTTCTCATATCGAGGTGAAAGACATGAACTTTCGACCCAAAGCCATCTACGTGGCGAACATGGCCCGCCGGGTTTTGATGGCGAAAAATGACCCTTCGATGGTGGATGACCGCGACTACCTGGGAAACAAGCGTCTGGAGCTGGCCGGCCAAATGCTTGCCCTGTTGTTTGAAGACCTGTTCAAGAAGTTCTGCTTCGACATCAAGATGAATATTGATAAGGTCTTGAACAAGCGCAATAGAGCAGAACAGTTTGATGCATGGGGTGTCGTGAGTATGCACGGCAATCATATCACCCAGGGTATGAATCGGGCCATATCTACCGGCAATTGGAGTCTGAAGCGATTCCGCATGGAACGTGCTGGTGTGACCCATGTTCTGAGTCGACTGAGCTACATCGCAGCCTTGGGTATGATGACTCGTATCAGCAGTCAGTTCGAAAAGACTCGAAAAGTCAGTGGTCCTCGCGCGTTGCAGCCTTCGCAGTTCGGTATGCTTTGTCCTGCCGATACTCCTGAAGGTGAAGCGTGTGGTCTCGTCAAGAACTTGGCATTGATGACACACATCACAACGAACGACGAAGAAGGCCCCGTCCGGAATCTGATATTCATGCTGGGAGCAGAAGATATTTCCACTGTCAGTGGAATAGAGCTCTATGCGAAAGGAACCTATGCTATCTCGATCAACGGTACACCGACCGCGTTGACCCGGCGCCCCAAATACTTCCTTGACTCCTTCCGTCGATTGCGGAGAATGGGCCGCATCTCGGAATTCATCAGCATTTACATCAATCACCATCAACGGGCCGTGCATGTCGCAACTGATGATGGCCGCATCTGTAGGCCGTTAATCATTGTAGAGAATGGCAAATCACGGGTCCGCCGATATCACCTGAGAAAGCTTAGAGATGGCACTATGTCTTTTGACGATTTCCTCGCCCAGGGTTTGGTCGAGTATCTGGACGTGAACGAGGAGAATGACTCCTATATCTCCATCTACGAGAAGGATATCAATGAAGCTACGACCCATCTGGAAATTGAACCCTTCACTGTGCTTGGGGCTGTTGCAGGACTTATCCCGTACCCGCACCACAACCAGTCCCCCCGAAATACATATCAGTGTGCGATGGGTAAACAAGCCATTGGCGCGATCTCGTCCAACCAGTTCCAGCGTATCGATTCGATTCTCTACCTTATGGTATACCCCCAGAAGCCAATGGTCAAGTCGCGAACTATCGAGCTTGTCAAGTATGACCAACTCCCCGCTGGACAAAACGCAACTGTCGCTGTCATGAGTTACTCGGGCTACGATATTGAGGATGCTTTGGTTTTGAACAAGGGCTCCGTCGATCGTGGATTTGGTCGCTGTCAGGTCTTCCGCAAATATGTCACAAATCTCAAGAGCTATCCCAACGGAACAAAAGATTCACTCCGCGCCCCCGAATATTCCGATGGTGTTCCAATTCGCAAGCACGCTCTTCTGGACTACGATGGTCTAGCTTCCGTGGGTGAGCAGGTCAACGCCGGAGAGGTGTACATTAATAAAGCCACCCCTGACCAAGCACATACGTCCGGTATTGTCGGGACAGAACAAAACACCAATTCTTTCCTGCCAGCCCCCATGACCTATAAGCTACCCGATCCAGCCTATATTGACAAGGTTATGGTCTCAGCTACAGAGGGTGAAACGCAGCTCCTCAAGGTGTTGACTCGACAGACACGTCGTCCAGAGGTTGGCGACAAGTTTTCCTCTCGCCACGGACAGAAGGGTGTGGTGGGCATTATCGCTGATCAAGCCGATATGCCCTTCACAGACCAAGGTATCAACCCTGACATCATCATGAACCCTCACGGTTTCCCATCCCGAATGACGGTCGGCAAAATGCTTGAGCTCGTCGCCGGCAAGGCCGGTGTGCTTTCTGGACAACACGGGTATGGTACTTGCTTCGGCGGTAGCCCCGTCGAGGAGATGTCGCAAATCCTTATCGACCACGGCTTTAGTTATGGTGGCAAGGATTTCCTCACGTCTGGGATTACCGGTGAACCGCTGCCGTTCTATGTCTTCACGGGCCCCATCTACTATCAGAAACTCAAGCACATGGTCCAAGACAAGATGCACTCTCGAGCACGTGGTCCGAAAGCTACGCTGACTCGTCAACCTACCGAGGGTCGTTCGCGTGACGGTGGTCTCCGTCTAGGTGAAATGGAGCGAGATTGCTTGATTGCCTACGGAACTAGCCAGCTGTTACTCGAACGTTTGATGATCTCATCCGATCGGCACGAGGTTGATATTTGTGAAAAATGCGGCTTCATGGGATTCTTGAACTGGTGCCCTGGCTGCAAATCTACTCGCTCCGTCGTGAAGATGGTCATTCCTTATGCGGCCAAGCTTCTCATTCAGGAACTGATGAGTATGAATGTTGCCGCTCGTCTGAAATTGGAAGACGAGTTCCCAGAATCCCGAGGCAAATAAGATTATTCATACGAGGATTTTTGATGACAAGTCTAAAAGGTATTATGGGGTGACTTCAAAAGAAAAAACAGAAATGGCATAGCGCGGCGGTTTACTTCATACAATGCGAGTATTGGAGACATTGTAAAATAAGAACCAATAGAGCATCAAAATTCAAAAATTAAGAGTATTTCTTATCAGTAGAAATCCAACCCCCCGAAAGACCGACCATTATAGGTTCAGGACCCTCGACTCGAACGCGACTTGCTGGTACCGCATAAAATCGATCAACGTTTGCAAGACATCCAACCGCGTTTCAAGTGCTTCAGACAAGGACATGGGCATGTTGCCCTTTTTGTCTTTGTTCTCCAGAGCTGCCTTGGCCATGGCCTGTTTCAGGTTTCCATCGTCCTTCATATCCAGTGTCCAATCCAACCTCTGAGGCGGTATGTTAGCAGTCGAGATGATTCGGATATTCGGATCGACCAGGAAGAATACAAGCATCCGAGTATGACCCGGTTTCGTCTTGTCCTTCAGCTGGAATCGTGTCATGCGATGCTGTATCGTGCTAGGAAACATGATCATGCGTCCGATTTTCGACCGAATTGACCCAGTTTGCTGGACTGCCGGCGCGCCGTTTTCAAGCCCATAGACCTGCTTTAGCCAGACGAAGTCATTAGGCTCGTGTTCCACTTCGTCTAGTGTGTCTGTATCCACGATATTTCGAAATTCCATCATGGCGCCTTCCATATTCTCGCTTTCGAAAGTCAGGAATCCTGCAGCGCAAATGTGCTCATTCTAGAAAGATTGTCATTAGGAAAAAGGGGAGAGAAAGACGAAACGAGAAGACCCGCTTGGGTTATTTCGTGCCTGGTTCCGGCCATACGGGGGGATTCTCTCACCATTTGCCCTTCGACATGCCAATCGGTTTGGTAGTCAGGATTTTCGGGGGTCAAATCTACACCCAGTATGCGAGTGATAACTTGCAGCCCACGTTCCTTGTAGTCCGTATTCAAGTCGACGCCTCGCGTAATCCGCACTGCAGCAGGGAGATCCTCTGGCAGCTTGGACATCATGCTCTTCGGGACAGCCCAAGGAACGAATTTCCCCACGTCGGGTTGGACAGCACGATAATGTTCCATTCGCCATTCCTCGTAGCGGAGCTCGAATTCACTTTGTGCCTCTTTCCCCTGGATCTTGGGGGCCTGATCGAGGATTTCCTTCGGCAAAGGATAGTATTCTGCCTTGCGGTATTCAATGCGTGTTCGTGAATGTAGCATATCCTTCAGCGGAGTCATGGTGGAGTTCCACTGTTTGATGACGCAATTGAATACATCCTCGATGATCTTGTATAAATTGCGATGCTTGATTGGATGCAGGTTGTTGATGTATGTCAGTATACGCCACCGGCCGTCATCGCCTAGTTCCCAGTCCGATGGAAGATACTGATAGTTGCGGCTATATGGCCGGACTTGGATATCTGCTCGCTCCGATACGCGCCAGGACATGTCTTCCCGAGTAATGCCCGTGTCACCTGGTATAGGGATCACTTCGCCCTGTCCAGCGTGCCGGAGAGCATCATCAAGCCCAATGACTTTGTCTGTCAGGATGCGACTTTTGCCGTAAACGAGCGGGTACAGCGCCATGGCAATCAGGTCTCGTTGTCTGCCGAGCCTTCCCGGGTTATAGAACTGAAGTTCAGGCTCATCGTACTCCAGTACCTTGGCGGCCGTTTGAAGCTCCTTGATGAGCTCCGGTGGTACATTGGTATCGGATTTGGTCACATCGCCATTGTAGAGCGCCACGCTTTGATACTGTTCGTATACCATTGCTTTGAATCGAAGCTCCTCAATGATCCAGTCGGCCATGTTTGGGGAAATGTCGCGACCACTGTTGAAGGCTTGGGCCTTCCATTCTTCTGCAACTTTTGGATCGTGGACCTATTCCAAGTTGGCTTGAGCGAGCACCAGAACCGTAAAAGTGGGCTTTTTACCTTCTTCCACCACTCGGGAATGTCAGTCAGAGCTTCCATCACCTCCACCATAGCGATCTCTCGGAGCGTCTGCGCGGGTTGACTAGAGGTTGGCTGTCAGGTCGTCGTCTGCCTGTAGTTCAAGAGGATCACACGTACTCGGTGTATCCATCCTCAATATCGCGATCATCTAGAGCGGAGGGAAACATGCTGCGGCTCTCCACGCCATAGATGTTTTTCTCCACAGGAAAGTAATCCAAAGGGAGGCCATATCCAGGAAGACGCAGACGAGAGTCTTTTTGATGGGTTGTGATGATCTGGTTGGCTTGGTGCTGGAACATTGCTATTCGATCAGAAAGGGACAGGAGAACTTTTCAAACGGGGGATGAAACAATTGCTCGGAAAGGTCAAAACGAGAGGCAAAGGACGAGGAAGCTGGAGGTCACCAGGAAAAGCCGGAACGACATGGGATGTGAAGAGTGATGATGCATTGCTGTCGTCGGTTCCCGTGATACTTCCTGCCCTTCTGTACAGTCGAGGATTGCCTTACCAGCGGAACAATCTTCCGAGGATCCTCAAGTGAAACCTACCAGGAGCTCTAGGGTTTATCTGGATCATTCTAGCAGGGGCGACTCTTGACTTAAGGCCTGGGTCATAGTGACGAAACGTTGATCATCCCAATTAGTCGGTATAGCCGGACAATCCCTTCATTTCTCGAGCTCTTTACTACTACTATGTGTACCACGTACTATGAGGTTGGTCGTACAAATGGAGCAAGCCTCGTCAGATAAAATGCTGAGTAGAACTAGCTATTTGCAATAAACGGCCTGGAAGCATTGTATTACACCTTCTTAGGCTTAAAGTACTTCTTTACAATGCCCCAGTATCGGTCGGGGTCCATAATCATATGAGTTATATGCGGGGTGTCGTGGAATTTCTCCTTTCTAACAACAATGCCCGCAGCCTCAGAGTCCTTGATGTGCTCTTCTACTTCATGAGGCTTGACAATGGTGTCGTTATCAGAGTAGATGTAGCAACGAATCAACCCCTTCTTAGCCGAGGGCTTGAAAAGGGACCTGTCATTTATCATGGCCCGCGCAACGTCCATGGGATTAGGGATGCGAGCCAAGGTAGCGATTATCTGGATTCCATTCAGAAAAAGCCATAGTGCGGCTTTGCCAAACAGTCGTAGGATCGGGTTCTCTGGCAGCTGGAAAGATAAAGCTTTCATGCCTGACTCAGCTGTTGCGACTCCAGGAGCACTATCATGGTAGTGATTTTATCAGAAGCTGTAGATCTTTCCGGAAATGTTTCCAGAACGTACCTGTCCAACAGCATCGAAGACACCGGTAACGCCTCGCCGGTAGTCTCCTTGTATGCACGCAAAAGATGGGCACACTTATGAACCCCACCATTGCTGAATAGATGAATGAAAACCGGGTTTTCTGGACAGGCATCACGCAGTGCATCAACTGCAGATGCCAGCAGGGCTGCTTGAGTCTTTTAGCTGGAAGCAAAAAGCAGAACGTTGGACCCTGAGCGGCAAAAGACGATGCGAGAAGTTGGTGACATTCGGCGATATTCGATAATAAATCTGTGGCGCCAAAGCGTTAGCCTTGAACGAGAAGGCGCCTCCTTGACGCGGTCGCATAGTATTACCTAGCTAGCTGACCAGCGGGCGCGTTCATCCAAAAACCCAAAAAGACCAGACGTTTCTTGAAGGAGCTATCTCCATCTTGCCGCTTTGGGTCAGAGATACACCACCCGCGCAAAAGTCTGTGTGCACTAGGCCCCATTACCATCACCCTAACAACCACCCACATTTTATTTTTTTTTCTCCTACGCCTCCCCTATGGCATCAATCGCTATCAACCTGAAATGATATTTTAGTAAGATAACAAAAAGATCTGTATCGCGAAATATATAAAGGTTTAGTTTAAAGAGCATGGGATGTATGTTGAAAATTGGCCTGTATACTCACCTGGTCTTAACCCTATTAAACCGGTCTGGAATATACTAAAATTCGAACTTTTTTTTGTATATTTGAAGACTGATGTAGATAGGAAGATCTAAGGAGGATAGAGCCTATCTTAAGGAATATGTTAATACTGTATAGAAGGTGTTAGACTAAACGGAGATTGATATGTTAATATTAGGTATGGGAAGAAGGATAGATAAATTATATGCGAACTAGAGTTATTGTACGAAATATTAAGTAAGGGAACTCTATATATAAACCTGATTATTCAGTATATTGAATCTTAGTATGATCCAATAAGGATTGGTGGTGTAGGATATGTAACCATGAATATACATAAGTATTCGATGGGGTAGGTGAAGCGGTATGCACACGGACTTTTTGCCCCCCATTGTATATACTCCCGGGCCTATCTGCGACGCGAAGGGCGCCAGCGCTGCGTCAGGGTCCATTAAGCCGATTGCCTGCGGGTTTGTGAAGAAAACCCACCGTAAGAAGTGAGCTGTATTTACGAGCTTGGGTCAAATGGCCCCAATGGGGCCAAAATTGAAGCCTCGATGGTAATCCTTGGTGCAGCCGAATGACGTAGCTATCCAATCCAAGTACCAAAGTGCGCCTTTCTTGTCCAAGTCCATCATTAAGACCTACTACTAGTCGTAGCGCGAGCTAAAAAGGACTGCTAAAGATTGATAGTATCGTGACTTCTTTTCTTTCTCTCGAACACAAACTAAAAATAAATAAACGACGGTCAGAATCGAATTCCCTACTCCTGTTGAACGCCCGTAAACCTCGCTATGTGGAGCCTTTCAAATCTAGTGATCAAGGTCATTCATGCCTAGAATATGGTCGTATTGTCACTTGCCTATCATCGCTTACTATCCCGAAGGGTTCGTCCGCCGCCACTCTTCTTCTCTTTCTGGTTATCCGCCTCACTCCCCGATGTGGGGGTCCCTGTACCTCCCGCATCTTTACGCTTTCCTCGCAGCGTCTGGCCAATTCCTTGGAACTTCGGTTGGTCTTCTGGCACCAGCTGGCCGTTCTCGTCACGTGGCTTAACTGGCTTGATGGCATATCCGAAGAAAAGTTGATTGGGAGGAAGCCGCAGAGGTTGGGGGCCATTGGTTCGTCGCACCGGCGGCGGGTGCTGGGGATTCGTAGCTCCCGGAGCGGGGGTCGAAGGTTTGGGGGTAGGCGCCTTGCTTCCCTTCTTCGCGTTCAACCGCTGCCCTCCAGACAAGAAATTCGATGACACGGCGCGGGCGCCGGCCGCAGCCTCAGTAGCATCCGGCGCGATGGCAGCATAATTAATAGACTGGGCCATAGTCCCATGGGGATGAAGAAGGCCACCCGCAGGAAGCTTCCGATTGGCAATACTGCCGGGGGTGCTGGCGCCGCTGGTGCGTTGGGGTTCTTCGTATCCGACGGGGCAGCAAAATCCACCTCCAAGTCCGTCTCTAGCACAGAAATGGCATTCTTGGACCCTGACGGTTTTGTCTCGAGCACAGCCATTTCATAAACTTGGTCATTGTATGAAAATGTGAAAACATCCCCTTTGGTGAGACACGAGAAGTTCCGGAAGGCATTCTCAAGAACAGCTTTGGGGTCACTGATCTCGAGAAACGATGTCGACTGTGCCTGGATCTTGATAAATTGCCCAGGTGGAAGATCCGTGGATTTGATTTGGAGAAGGTCGCCAGGCTCGAGGAGCAGTGTTTGCATGAGCTATCGAATAAAAGTGACACGGTCAGTCCTAGTCAATCAACTTGTACCCGGTGGGGAGGGGTTGCTAGTTGCAACGGGCTGCGAGTTCGCAACACTAATGGACTTACCCAGAAGGGTAGGTATATCTTCCCCTCCTCAGCAATAAACTCCAGGACACCGGCATGTGTCATTCTCTCTTTCGCGCCGTTGTGCAGCTCGAAGAGCATCGGATAGGTAATGTGGAGGCGAGTAAGCTTATCGAGAGCACTTGGCGGCATGATCACTTTGCCGCCGTGGTTCACATTTTCTCGTTCTGGTCCAGGGAGCATAGCGACAGGGTAGCAGCGGTAGTATTCATCGAACCGACGTGGGGTGGCGCCCGCACGAAGCATGCCAGCTCCTAGAACACCATCCATGGCGCCGTCACCCCAGTAATCTGGGCGAAACTGAAGCCAGGTGTGAGTACATCTAACTGAACAGATGAAATACTAAACCAAGCGGGGGGGGGGGGGGGAAGCTCACCATGCTGAAGAAAGTTTCCTGAAAGAGCAGATACAGAGAAGTCTCGAAGGTCAAGGGAAGCTAAAAGTTGCTGTCGTCAGGCCAAGTGACGCAAGTGGGTGGGTTTCCGCCATGATTTTCCGCCTCCGACCCCAGACTCGCCAGGAGACCAGAGCTACAACACAGCTTTAGCAGCTCCCTATCCTCGCCTGTGAAGGCCATTCTTTTCGCATTTTTCGCCATGGCAAGCTCAACCCCACGCGCTAAACGCACTGGCGGAGACTATGGCCTCACGCACTATGAACAAGACGATGGCGGCCCCTCCGATAACAAAAAACCGCGATTTGACTTGCGCAACCCGTCTGCTCTAGCTGCTGATGACTTGGAAGAAGACGAGATGCTTGATGCTGATGAAATCGGACGGCGCGGTCAGAAAGTACGCCGCTCAGCGATCAATCTCGACGGCTACGACTCCGACAGCGACAACGAGGGTTTCTCGGCGCGTGCGCACCAGGAAGCGAAAGATAAAAAAGCTCAGGAGAAAGACGATACAATGCTTGGAAATTTGGACAAAGACTTCAGTGACGATGATGACATGGCTGCAGAGTTGGACAAAGACTTCGGTGACGAAGATGAGATGGACAAAGACTTTGGTGACGAAGGAGACAACGATGGGCCTAACAAAAACAAGAAGTCTGTTCGATTCCTGCAAGACAGCGAGATCGAAGGCCAAGTCGCCTCATCGAAGGGAGGAAAGACGCTGCGCGCAGACTTCAGCAAGGGCGCGGACGACTGGGATCCCGATGCCGATGACAGTGAAGAAGAGGATGTTGCGGAAGAAGAGCGCGCCAGGATTGATCAAGACATGGATGCAGAACTTGGAGCCGGTGCAAAGAAAAAAAATGCGCCCCTGATTGATGCCTTCAACATGAAGGCAGAACAGGAAGAAGGCCGCTTCGATGAAGCAGGTAACTACATCCGGAAAGCTGCAGATCCAGATGCCCAACACGACTCGTGGTTAGAAGGGGTCTCTAAAAAGGACATTCGCAAAGCAAAAGAAGCTGCGGAGAAGCGTGAAGCTGAAGAAAGAGAAAAGGAACTCAGGGAGGATCAAGTATCAACATCCGATGCCTTGAAAACCATCATATCTTACCTCGAGCGCGGAGAGACTATCCTGGATGCCCTGGCGCGTCTCGGGAAAGGCCTACCTCGGAAGCCTAAATGGCAGAACAAGAAAAAGACCAAGCAGAGCAATGCCCCCGAAGATACAGAGATGTCAGAAGAGAACCCTGTCCATGTCAGTAAAAGGAAGGCTATCGAGGCTCTTACTGGCGCCGCAGACATTCTCATGGGACAAGATCAACCAACAATTTATGATACAGAACGGGAACTCCTTACCAGACAGTATCGCCGTGACACTGGTGAAGATTGGGTGGATCCCCCCCGCAACTACTGACGCGCCACTGGAGCAAGGCCCAACCATGTGGGAGTTTCGATGGTCTGATGCTCGAGATGGAGGGGACTCCCATGGTCCATACGACGGTGCGATGATGAGCTCATGGAGCAGTGCTGGCTACTTTGGCGAAGGTGTAGAATTCCGCCGAGCGGGAGACACTGGACCTTGGAGTACTTCGGTTGAGTTTGTATAATGTTAACAGCGCAGCTGGATTACAGTAGAAATCCATTATGAAGAAAATAGTTATCCAGAGTAAAGACCACCTCAATAAGCGCCAACCCTATTCGTACATCATTTGATGTGGCAATGAAAGAAACAAGTTAAAAAGAGAGTTGGTAACACCCCAGCGTTTTTTGTTTCTCAACCCACTACTTCATCCTCCGGGGGCCCCTTGGCCGGCTGAACCAATTATCAAAAATAGGGAACCTATGAAAGCTCCATGGCGTCACCATTAGCTGCTGCCGCGAAGTTGACGGTCCCTTGGTCTCCAATAAACCGCTGCTCGTATTGGTTAACGAACTTGACGCTACGAGCGGGATCATAAAACAAGCGGAAGCTGCGCTGAACGTCGTCGACGCTGACCTCCTTTGCTTTGCGCTTTTGGCTCAACAGATGAGAAGTCGTGATGATGTTGCTAGCATACCGAAGGTTTGACTCCTGTCCAATTTTGGTCAGAAGAGCCAGCGCATCGGGAGATACGTCGATTTCTTCTTCCTGAGCACGGATGGCCAGAATTTGCCGAATCTCCTCGGACGAGTATGGCTGAGTGCTGACGATGACCACTCGATCAAGGAAATCTAGCGGCAATCCATGAGGTGATGTGTAAGTGGTACCTCGGATCTTTGCCTGGCCACGGTTGCTGGCCATGATGACAATTGGGGCTAGTTCGGCCTCAAGGGCGCGGTTGATGTAGGAGAAGCATTCAATGTCGAGCATGTGCACCTCATCGATAAACAATACTCCAGGAATGATTTCTGCCTTGCCTTCTTCCTTCCACTCGGCCACCTTGGTATTGATTTGGTCACGGACCTCGCTGCGGATCTCGCCGGTGTCCCCTGAGAAAAGAGCCAAGAATCCTTGCGATCGTGAATTTATCACATCGATTTCATGCAAGCTGACTGTATGAACGATCTCTTTGCGGACTTGAAGTTCTCCCTCAGGGCATTGAACAAACTTCGTATCAGCACCCATGGCGTCGTAGTCGCGTGAACGTGCGTAAGAGCGACCAAGCTTGGTAATCTTGCCCGAAGACTTGTCGATTGAAATGACATCGCCGGCCATCACACGCTCCTTGGTCATTGAGTCAATCATTTTGGTGCCCATGTCGTAAATCGTCTCCATGTCGGTGGTTTTAATCGTGAGCTTTCCTTGTTTATTACCCTGGTGGTGATATGTTTGTTAGAGGCTGCAATGGAGAATCAAAGAAAAAAAAGGTGTGAAAATGAAAAGGAAAATGAAAACGGAAAATTCGCCGCATGAACACTTACCCCGGTGACACTGCGGTCGATTTGGATCTCGACAACCTCTCCTTCAATGATTTCGCTTTCTTCCTTAATTCGCACGCCAATAGACTTTCGGAAGGCCTGTGTGAGCGCCTCCGTCTTAGACATCTCCATGGAGAAGATTTCTGACGATGCGAGCATAGTAAATGGAACATCAGAACCCAGCGACTGCGCCATGCCCATTGCGATTGCAGTTTTGCCCGTGCTGGGAGGGCCTGCGATCAGGACGGCGCGACCTGCGATCTTGCCCTCTTTCACCATCTGCAGGATCACAGCAGCTGCCTTGCGAGCCTTCTCTTGACCTACAAGGCCTTGCGAAGAGCCCCGAGGCTGCAAAGAATCAACATCCACTCCAAGACCCCAAATATGCGAATGGGCGGCGATGAGGTTCAGCCCCAGAGCTCCTTGCTCTCAGCGACGGTGGAAATTGCCTAGGCAAGGTGATGTGTTAGTGACGCGTGACAGGGGAGGCGAAAGAAGGAAAGCATACAGCAGCCATTGTCACTTTGGTTTCCGCAAGGCTTTAATCTTGTTGATGTAGAGGTCCACGGATGACACCAGAAATCCAGCAGCCGAAATCAAAGCTGCTAGGGAAGAGACAGAGCGGTCAGCACAGGCAGATTTCTTTATAAGCCCAAGTGGGTTTAGCGTGTAACAGACAGATTGTCACATGCTTGTAATGCACTTAACACAGGCCTCTCGTCCCAATGTGATAGATCGCATTTCCAGGCGTTCGTGGCTCTCGCTGGAATTGAAGTCTTTTCTCGTCGGAGTATCCTATGGTCTCTTTATAACCTCAGATCCGCCTCTTCATGTTCGTTTGTTTTGATGAGCTCAAGCAAGCTCAAGAAAGCTCAATTGAGCCTAGAATATCACCCAATCTGGAAAGTTGAGTATTGTAATGGTGCCCAAGTGTGGGCAATCTTTACTGCGTACTGTAGTTGTCGATATCGAGTATCAGCCCCCGGCGCCAATCTTTGTTTGCCCACCTCTTCTTCTGTTGCCTCCCCTTCCCCCCTCCTCCTCCTCTTCTTCTTCTCTCTTGGTATATTACTTCATACCGTTCTCTCTTTCCTCCATACCCCAAACTTCAACTCGCGCGTCTCCCATTACTGCTTTACTATCAATATTTCCAGTGACTTGTCCATGGACGCACGCGTTTTCCTAGAAGATTAACCCCTCCCATTTCGCGACCTGACATCCTGCTGTTTCCCATCGCATAGGAAACATCAGGTTGAAGGGAGCATTGAGTCTGGTCTGATCCTGGTTATTGCGCTTGTCCCTGATCATTAATAAACTACCAGAACCACCAGTCGCGCATCCAGCATTCTTGATTGAACATGAATATCGCAGATTCGCCTTAAGCCGGCGCGTATCGTGATCATGACGGATGTTGATTCAGAACCGCCTCCTGCACGGCAGGCGGGACTCGATCCCCGTCGGCCGCCGTCTCGCCCAAACCCTCAGATCCCTTTCACCACCGCTACCTCCCCCACCCGTCTATCGCTGAACTCTCCACGTCCCAACACTACCCGAGACACTGCGCGTGATATCACATCGGGGCCGGACAGCAACAAGCTCTCCCTGGATATTCCTCAGGGGGGCGATGTTATGGAGCCTATGAAGACATTGCAGGAGCTCATGACGAAGAACTTCGAAATGAATACCCTGGCTGCGGAGTGCAACAAAACGAGGGATCTAGCATCTAAGGCGGAGAAGCAATTGGCGTATGCGAACATAACCAAAAATCCCTATCCAGCTACCGTTGAAATGTTCCAGAATGAGTACAAATTGGCCCAAGAGAGATATCTCAAGGCCCAGGCGGATTATCGGCAATCGCAGTCTGATTGTCAGAGCTTGTCCAAATCTCTTTCAATGCAATGGCTTACTCCTTCCTCGCCTGTCGAGAATCCCAACTTACCTACTAAGAATTCAAAGCTCACCCAACTCGAGCATGAAGTTGGGAAACTGAATGAAAGACTCGATCATTTTCTTCAAAAGGAGCGGGAATACGAGGAAAAATTCACGGGCCTGGGCCGGGAGATCAAGGGCCTACAGGATCGCATGCAGATTCTTCGCGAGAAAGATTTGGAAGAGCGTGCGCAATTTTTCGCGAACGTCGATGCGCAGTTCACAAGCCTCAATGACATGAGTAAAACCACAAAGATAGGAATGGAGAGCTTCTCTGCTTCTTACGCTTATCTGAAATCCCACGTTGAGGAAGTCAAGAAGAACGCAGAAGACATGGACAGCAAGTTCTCTCAGCTCCAATCCGAGATTCAGGCTGTCAAAAATCTCTCTAGGGACAGCCTGCCACAATCTGATCCTGAGCGATTCCACAAAATGACAGAGCAGGTCTCAACATTGATGACAGCCGTCAGGTCCCTTGAAATGCGGTATAACAACATTTTTACCGATGATATCGTGAGTTCTATGGTCCACGCCATGAATGAAATGTATCCGAATTTCCCGGGGCGCGTATTTGATCAGTTGAAAGAGTTGCGGCTGCAGATCCAACAAGTGTCGTCTAGGACTCCAGGGCAAGACATGCAAGCCACATCCCAACTCAACGAAAAAGTTGAGAGCGTCATGTCTTCTTTGGAGTCTTTGAAGAAGTCTCAAACCCCTCACAGAGAGGCGATGGATCGAGACATGACGAAGATCCGCAATGGCCTTCACGAGTTACAGGAGGCTTTTAAGGCCACATCGAAGCCAGGCGATGATTTGCGGATCATAAATCGAGACCTGATGAAGATTCGTAACGATCTACACGAGCTTCAGAACCAAACTGCGTCACGCCAGACAGCCTTTGAGTCCTTTGGCGAACACTACCAAGAAGACCTGACTCAGCTGACACAAGACGTAGAATCAATCAAATCGCAATTGAAAGACGCAATCGCTAATGCTGGTTCTCTTGTATGTCATCCAGAACGGATCGACGATTCCCACCCATCGGCTACTCAAGCTGAGCAAGCCGCGGGTGTCCGTGAAGAGATACCCGAGGATAGAAGTGGAGTCGCCCAGCAACTAGAACGGGTGAACACAAAAGTGCATCAGAGTCCTGAAGGTCTGACTCAGCACCGTTCAAATTCCCAAATCCCGCGCGGGCTATTTAGTCTCTCTAATCTGAATGAGCATCCACCTCAGCGAGCCCTACCCAGTGCCATCGCAAAAAGAAAGCGGTCTCAAGGATCGGATAGGGGGGGCCGCCTCAAACACTCCACAAATTCAGCCATCGACTCTATCATCGACTCTGTCATCCGAGAAGAAAAAGAAGAAGGGCAAGGATGCTTAATGATGGAGCGAGCGGTGGACCGAACCTTGTATTGAGCTGTTGCACAAGACAGCAGTTCCTGTGATTCTTTGGCTCTACGCTTAGACTCGAGTCAACACTTTGATACCCAATAGCGATCTGACCTATCCACTTGATGTATGTACCTCGAGATAATATGGATCGAACCATTTCTTTGTCACTTCAGCTACTTAATCGTGTGCTGTATCCATAACCATCATACTCTAAATGTAGAGGACCCTAACAAGTGATGAACTTTGAAGGGGCGGCTCCTGGGAATAAGAGAATATCGCCGAAAATCTGCGTCCCAAGAGAGACACCCACATTTTTTATTTGTCCTTCAATACCAATTTTGTGGTCTCTATAGCTATTAACCTGGAATGCTATATCAGCAAGATCAAGTAAAGATTCATATAGAGAATGATACATAGGCCAAGTTTGAAGAGTATAAGATATATGTTGAATATTGGGCTATATACTCGCCTGATCTGTCACGGATTCCAGCTAGAGGGTGTGCTATATAAGACGTGTCTAGGCATATCTGTACTTTATGTGTAAATATGGTAGTCTTTTGGCTTAGTTGATGGAATATTAGCCTAGGAATGTTCCTACATATAATCTCAACCCTATTAAATCGGTCTGGAATGTGCTAAGGCGCTGACTTTCTTATACATCTCTAGACATGATATAGATAGAAAGACTAGAAGAGGATTAGAATTATTTCAAAAAGTACGTTAATCCTACACAGAATATACTAGACCAGACAAAGATTGATACGTTAATATTGAGTATAGGAAGAAGGATGGATAAATTATCCGAGAACCAGGGCTATCATACAAGATATTAAATGAGGAGAATCTGTATATAAACCTGATTATTTAGTATATTTAGTTTTAGTATGATCCGATTAGAACTGGTAGTGTGTAACCATGAATAAACATATGTATTTGATGGGGTAGGTGACAGGGTAGGTGACAGGATAGGTGACGGAAGCGGCGGAGACTTTTGCCACTTATTGTATCATTCCCATCGGTATCATTGAAGACAAATCCAGTCTGATGCCGGATCTGGAATTCTATACTCTATACCAGACGAAGCGCGGATTGGTTCAAGGGCGTCGATGGTTTGCAAGAGTATGGCGGGATGACTTGATGGAAGATTTCAATCCGGTCTAGGCTCCATCGAACATGAAGCATCATGACCTCATGTTTAAGTTCCCCCGCAGGGCGGGAATGTCCATGCTAGCATTTATAATCCGCTTGTCGCTCATCAATTCATCTTCCAAGTTTTTCTTTTTTGGTTTCTATAGTGACTCGTATCCGCGTAAATTCTCCAAGTTCCTCTTTATGTCTGAAATTCGAACATACTCAATCTCCGTCTCGGATGATGCCCTACAGCAGCTTCAGCAGCGTCTGGCCTGGGCAAAGCTTCCATCGCAGCTGGAGCCTGGACTCCAGGAGGATCATTGGGACTTTGGTGTTCCAGTTTCCGAAATACGACGGCTGGTTAATTACTGGAAAAACGGGTTCGATTGGCGAAAGGCAGAGTCTCAGCTCAATGAGCTCCCGCAATACCAGACTAAAATTGACGTAGAGGGGTTTGGTGCTTTGGACATCCATTGTGAGGAAATCGATCTCAATCCCGTCTCGAGGCACTATAACTCACATGGCACTATGATGTGGCAGTCATTCATCAAGTCAGTCCAAATGCGAATGCCATTCCGTTGCTGTTCTGCCACGGTTGTAAGTATTAGGATGTCTAGCGCCCCTCATGTGGGCATTGTTGACTCCGACCAGGGCCGGGTTCGTTTATCGAGGTCATAAAGCTTCTCCCCTGTTGAAGGGGAATGACAGCGAGCCAGCATTTACCGTGGTGGCCCCTGATCTCCCCAATTTTGGGTTCTCACAGGGTGTACAAAAGGTATTACTTTCCATCCTGCCGCCGTATATGAAAATAAGCCTAACCTGGACCCCAGAGAGGCTTCGGTTTAGGTCAATACGCCGAAGTCCTCAATAAGCTTATGCTCAAGCTTGGATATGCCCAATATGGTACGTGTGACGAGCGGCACCTCTGAAGAATCGAGCTGAACTTTTTTTCTATGCTGACGACTGATTCTGCTTCCTGTAGTAACGCAAGGCGGTGACTGGGGGTTCTGGATCACCAGGTGCCTTGGGTTGCTCTTACCCGATCATTGTAAGGCCTCGCACATGAATATGGTGGAAGCAACGGCTCCGACATTCACTTCCAGCCCTTTCCTTGCCGTGAAGCATGCGATCATGCCATACAGTGACCATGAAAAGAAACGTCAAGAGAGGAGGGCTTGGTTTCGCCAGGAAGGATCCGGCTACAACAAACTACAAAGTACGAAGCCGCAGACCATTGGCTTCGGGCTCTCTGATAGTCCAGTTACTTTACTTGCGTGGATTTACGAAAAATTGCACGACTGGACCGACTCATATCCATGGACCGACGACGAGATATTGACGTGGATCTCCATCTATTGGTTCTCTGTTGCTGGACCCGAAGCGAGTGTCCGCATTTACTATGAATGTCACCACCCGGAATCTGTCGGGGGGATATATCATCCTCGACTGATGGAATACATCCCACATGTGAAATTTGGGTTCGCTCATCTTCCGCGAGAAATCAACACCGTCCCCCGTGTCTGGGCGTCGACCCTCGGAGAGGTGGTGTTACAAAGCGAACACGCGGCTGGCGGTCACTTTGCAGCGTGGGAAGTGCCCAGTGTGTTAGCGGCAGATCTTTCGACGATGTTTCGTCCAGGCGGACCGTGCTTTGGGCTCGTGGCCTCTAGGAGTGGCTTGGAACCTAGGAGTGGCTTGGGGCTGAACGGGGACTCGTAATGTACATTAAGCAGCTTCCAGAAAGAATTTCCTCTCCGCAGGGTATTTTCCCCGTGCTCCAGGGTCCGGTGGGGAATCATTACCAATCGCGGAATAATTCGCATGCCCCACAGGATCCGTCATCCAATTCCTGTGCGCTCGTAGAAGGCTGGAGATGTCATGACCTGAGTCCAAAGTACCGCTTCGCTGCGAAGATCGTCTGCGTTAGACAGCCGAATCCTGGATCAATACCAAGCTCGGCTAACTCAGGCCTTGCAGCGGCACGGGTGAATCCACTGAAGGACTGGCATGAATCAGCAATTATGAAGCCCCGGGGGGCTTAGCGCCAAGCAGTCTCGTCTCATATTCCTCAAACAGAATAAGCTCTTCTCCAGAAAAGAAGATGATCGACATGATGATTGTACCCCATTGGCGTGGAGACCCAGGGTCCAGATCATCCAGCGGCGTCTCGCACCTCTACCGGATCAGCGACGGGATACGACCGTCTGATAAGTGAATCCCCCAAAACTAAACCCGTCTAGGGACACTGGGGTCTCTTCGACTCGCCTTCATCTTGGAAGAGCTGACACTGGCATCATGTTTGGGTTGTAGTGTGTAATATTGGCTGTCTCTGAGAACCTAGTAGCCGACGCAAATCTACCCACGACTACTGGAATACATGTCGAAGAGCCTAGCCCCCCTTAGTGGATGCACCTATCCCGGTGAGAAGGATCAACCGAATCACACCTCTAATGTTTTATGCTCCGAATTTGGCAGGTCGCCAACTCAATTGCCAGAATATTCTATACAGGTCTATAAACAGAAATCCGACAGTTGGACGCGTACTTGAGGCTTTCGGGGATTACGTAGGTCTCGTCTTGGGGACATGAAGCTGGACAGCAGCAGCCAATAAATTCATTGGGTTGTCGTCTGGTTTTGACATGGAAAAGTAAGCTGATCAAACAAAGTTCATACATGTTGGGCTCAGCAAGGCGCAGCAAACGGACGTTAGGCCCTTTCAGGTGAACCTTGAAGGTCTCCGCCAAACCAGCCACATCTCATATCCACAGTAGTAGAAGCTTGGTTTGAAAAGATCTCAACGGAGTGAAGATTATCATCGGACCCGCCATCGGCGAAAAGTAAACGTTGGTATATGGCTTAGCCCCGGTCCACTGCCCTGAAAGGGTATGTCGGCACCCGTCCGTTCTGCAAGACCTGCGATGCGTAGCATATAGTTTTGCGACAGGTAGTGGGGAAATCTTCCGTCGGTTATCAGATTAGGAATCCGCTATGTCTTCATCAGGATGTAGATGCCTAAACGGTGGATCCCAGATCGTGGATCCATGTCTACGAAAACGAGAGCGATCTGGGTCTGCGAAAACGCCGAAAGTGAGTCCTGATGATGGGCACAGCCAGGATACTTAGGTATTAGGAGCCTTAGTGATAGACCATGGTGGGGATTGCTAATCTTATCTTCGTTCGAGTGGTATTGATGATGCTCGCTAAGACTTAGCGCGGCATCCTGGTAATCAACAGGGCACGCCAGGGGGGAGACATATATAAAACCGAGTGCCTTCCGATGAAGCATTATATTGATAACCAAAAATTGAGTACAGCACTTTCATCATTGACTGAAATTGGATCTCTAATGGAGTCTGAAGCCCTTAGCCTCTCTCACAATGCGTGGGCGGCCAGATACTTTGCGATAGCGATTGGCGCCGTTATGGCTATAGCTATTGTAATACACTGGACAGGGAATCTGTTTTTGAGATATAATGGCAAGGCATCACTGCCAGGTTGGTATCGGAGCACATTTTATGGACTGAAGCGGTATGTCGAGGCCGATCCCATCGCACTATGTGCTCCATATCTAACCAACGTTCTCCAGTGGTACCGCGCAGTTATTGGGATCTAAGATCGCGGGGATACACCTTGAAAAGCTATCGACTGTCTTCCTGTACTGGAGCCTTCACCTCATACTCATTTTAACGAATGTCGACTTGATGGAACCTTCAGAGGTATTTCTCTCCTCAAGCGCGCTGAAACAACGATTCTAACAGCGCACATAGGTTGCGAAGCGCCTCGGCTGGTATGATGAATCGAAGGATCTCAGAGTTTTAGAAGGTCGAGGAGCTAACACAGAGATCTAGGATGACCGTCGCTAATCTTGTCTTCCTCGTTTTCCTTGCCCTTCGTCACACCCCTCTCGCGCCTCTTTCCGGTACTTCATATGAGAAGCTCCGGCCGTTGCACAAGATGGCTGGCTATACTTGCATTCTCCTTGCTGTAGTCCATGCCCTGATATGGATTATAACCTCTGCAAAAGAAGACGTTTTGTTCTACCTCAGGCAGAGAGCAGATATAGCCGGAGCAACCGCTGCGCTCTCGATGGTCCTTATATTCCTTTCGACTCTTGGACTTCCCAGGTGGTCTTATGAGACCTTCTACGTGATCCATGTAACTTTGTTCATGTTGATTCTCATTATGTTGGGGTTCCACCAGCCGGACCTTTCTATAGGGGTTCTGAAGATTGTCATATTTGTGGCAGCGCTTTGGGTCCTGGAACGAGGATTGCGGCTTTCTAAGCTTCTGTGGAGATTCTTTGGAAGCTATGCCACTCTCACCCCGGTAAATGGAGCGGTTCGAATCAAGCTCAATCGTTCTATCCACAGTCGTCATGCTGGCTCCCACGCTTTCCTATGGCTGCCATCAATGCGACCCTTCGAGACACATCCCTTCACGATGATAGGTACTGACCCCGTCGAGTTCCTCGTCCGGCCATACGATGGTTTTACACGGGATCTGTACAACTTCGCCTGTAAAAGCCAAGAATCTGGAAAGGCAGCGCGAGTGCGTTGCTCCGTGGATGGCCCCTATGGGCAAATACCAGACTACCTCGACTTTGATCGAGTTATCCTGGTCGCAGGTGGCAGCGGGGCGACATTTACTTTCAGCATCGCCCTGGACTTGATAAAGCGATACGCTGCGACAGGCTCCAACAAGACAATCGACTTCATATGGACTGTGAAACATCATGGTCTGTTCCCATCATGACTCTTAGCATTGGTATATTGAAGGCTAACCCATGCACAGGGTCATTGGACTGGTTCAAAGACGAGCTCAAAGAGCTCCAGTCCCCATTCGTCAATCTCCACATTTACGTTTCTCAAGAAAGTAGTATTTCGGCTGATTCTTCCAATCTGGAGTTGCGAACAGAGGGCGATCTGGAACAAGGAAAGGACGAAGAGTCACAGCAGTTTTATTCTGTGGATACACGGAAGGGAAGACCGGACGTTGAAAGTTTCATCAATGAATGCATCTTACGAGCAGACTCCGCTCAACTAAAATTCGGTATTGGTGCTTGCGGTCCCACCGCGCTTCTTGAGGCGACTCGGGCGGCGGCGATGAGCCCCCAACACGACGGCGGGCCCCTGCTTTCCCTGCACACCGAGGTACGTGCCTTCAGCCATTCCGACTCCGGCATAGTACTGAATTACCCCAGGAGTTTGAGTGGTGAACACACGAGGCACGGTTCCACGATTATGAAAAATAGAAGTTGGGAGGAAAAGGTGCTGATCAGGGTGGAAGTGGCGATCTGATGGCTCTTCTAGCTCCCGTATTGCAAGCACGCAGCCTTGTGGCACTGACACCCGCAATGAATACTATAAAGAGCTTATTTCCGCATGAATCTGAGATTTCAAACTACGTTAAGCGCATGAGGAATGTATTTCGTGTTTTCATTTCAGTTCAGATCAACGTGAACCATCTACGGTTCCTCTTGAAATTTATCACTAGTAGTATTCCTTAATCCAATATCTCATCATGGCTCCAACGAACTACATTGAGAAGGGCACCATTTTGAGGTTATGTATACCGTCGCAATCATCCTAGTACGTTCCGCTAATGCAAATTGCGTAGGCGGCTGGCCATAGCGGCAAGTTCAGCGTCCAGCACAGTTTGGGACAAGGAAAACACACGGTGACTGCATTGGCGGAGGCTGAAACAATAAACAAGCTCCCCAGCGAGGTTGCGCCGAAGGAGGTCGACCATAGCAAGCCTGAAACTATCATCGACGCTCTTCCAAGGCAGAGATTATTGATTAAGATTCTAGGTATTGCGAAGGACATGGGGGAAATAACTAAACAGTGGATCCAGCTCCGTCATTAATTATATTTGCGAATGGATTCGTGCCACGCTCAAGAGTGGGCTTTCGTTCAAGGTACCCAATGCATCACCTGGATGGGGACGTGAAGATGACTGTAAATAAGCATTGAAGAGCCCTTCACTTATCATTTCTTCATAGAACTATGTAAGATGCTGGAATATACTCGAAAAACATGGGAATGATACATTCCTAATCCTTCAAATTCAGGAGGAAACGTCCCCGCGTCCCCATACAAATGGCGCTAGTCTCAATCGGGACCATGCGCCGCGCCACGAAACCATCTGCAATCAACATCCCAAACACCAGGCACTTATGGCCTCCTCATTGGATTTGTCTTCGAAAGTATGTCTCGAGTCCGAATATCTGGGACACCCGCCTCAGAGGAAGCTTCAGTCTCCAACGTGGGTGACACAAGCAGGCCGCGACGCGGTGTTACTTTGTCATCCGCAGAGAGACGCACTTTGATCACGCTCTGCCTAGAGAACAGGGACGGTCTTTCATTTCAGAGCATGAAGAAGTCATTTTGGACTCAAATGTCAGCTGGGCTTCATGGTCTTACAGGCAGGACGTATTCTTGGCAATCGTGCCGCCGATGTCTATTGAAATGGGAGTTGGCGCATCCGAGTCCTGAGGGCATTCCAACCCTCCTGAGCTCGAATGACGACGCGCCCGGGGCTTCGCAACGTCCCAGAGACACAGGCCGAATTGTAGTAAATGAGAGAAACAGTGGCCTGGTTGATACAATCGGTGAAACTGCCGAGACTGAGGATGACGGCCGTGAATTGTCCGAGTCGCCAACGCGTTCAAGCTCAGAAGCAAATGACGCTAATGATATTCTCCCGAAAACTCCTATTCAACCAATTCGGCGTGACCTCAGCCGTCCTCAGTGCCAGATGGTGGAGGGAGAAACATGCGAACGTACTTGCGAGCAGATGGAAACTACGATGGACAATTTCCGGTCTCAAATTAATTCTCTGTCCGACATTCTCCCGATGGACCCAGAGGAGAGAGAGAATATTCACCGGGCATTTGAATTACTCAACGATCAAGTCCGTACAGCGTTGAAGAGGTATCAAGGGGGAATTGATTGATTCCCAAAGCATACCGTTTCTTCCCCTTCCATCTCATACAGCAAATTCGTCAAGACTGGTTGGATTGCTCGACTATCTTGAAGAACAAAACTCAGGGCATCGCTTCATCTTTCGCCAAAAGAACATACAGAAAGAGGTGGCTTCAGATTCCGCCGCCAAGAAGAAATGACCACCATCCTAGAAGGTGTAAGGACCAGGATGCATTAATACCCATTAGTACCCAATCATGGACAGAAAGTGTCCTCTAAACTAAACATCAAACGTGAAGAAATCCTGCTCAATCATACCGAGCCTGCGGTTGCTGGGCAGGCTGTGGTGGCGTGGACGATGCCCATGGTCCACTGACAAACTGCGGATGCGACGACGCCGTCCGAGGACGACTCGGACCTGTGCCAGGCGGCTCGTGCTGCTGCTCCATGTGATCCTCTGTCGATGGATACACAACTCCTGAAAAATCATTTGCATGGGTCACATGCCCCTGCTGTGGCTTAGGAGGTGCATATTGATGAATACCGGTTTGGATGATGGGGTCCTGGTAATAATGGGCGCCATGTGAGTCAGAGGTGCGGGGAAATACCATTGAGCTGAACCCTGTCCCCGATTCTGTTCGGGCCATATGCATTGCCGGATACTGAGTCTGTGGAGTCACGGTTTGCGTCGGATATCCATTGTATGGACGGTCTCCGATTGCCCCATACGCAGAGGCACCTTCCCGAGGAAACCCGTTGCTGCTCTGGTATGAATGGGATCGAGACATGGGGATTCCAGACGGATGATGCTGATTGGTGGAATTGGCAAGTTGTGAAGTTGAATATGATTCCCTAGGTGCTTGAGAAAGGCCTTGTTTGATACCAAATTCAGCCGCGTGAAAGGCAGCATTTGACGCTTGAGATGGCCGAAGAGCATGGTCCGATGATGCTTGTGGCGTGGAATATGGATTGTAGTAGTCTTGCGATGGATTGGAAGAGCCTATCCCGGCAGTGGCGTTTCTCGGCTGGGACGTACCAGGATAGTTCTTCTGTTCCAATTGCCACTGAGGTTGTGGGACTTGTGCTCCGATGCCCAGGATTTGAGAATGTCCGCTTGTCAAGTGTGACGGAGGGAATTCAGAGATATAGCGTGATTGTAGAGGGTCCGCAGGATTTCCTCGAAACGGGCCTTGGTGTTGTTCATTCTGCTGCATATAACCACCTGCTGGCTGAGCGTGGGGATTTGGCACATGGGACCAGGGCGATGCGAGATGATTTGCATTATGTGTCTGATGGTGGCTCGGGTAGTAGGCCGCTGAGTCCGCCAAGTGGTTTCCCAGGGAGCTTTCCGGATGGAGGCTCTGTGGAATCTCGATTAATATGCCAGAATCGCGAATGTAAACAAAGACAGACCTACCGGCACATAGCCCCCTCTCCCAGACCCATCTCTGGGGGGGAAGCCAGGTCCTATGTTGTGTCCAGTATTCCCTGGGTACCAGTTGGTAGCTCCTGATGGCCCCGATATGGGGTTCCCCGAATGCTCATTGAGCTGCGCATCGAGGGAGCTCTAAAGTGCTATCAGTACCACTGTTCTAACGCCCGTCTTGGGCACATAGAAGCTAGGTCCATACAGATGCTCTTGACTTTTCCACCGCGGCTTCGATTTTCTCTGCCAATGTTTTTCGTACAAGGGAGACTTGCGGACTGTTGGTGGACGGTCGCGACGGCGGAGCTTGCGAAGGCCCAGTGCCAATAGATGTTGGCGTCGTCGAAGGCGTCAGGATGACTGGTTCTGTCGGGATCTCCCATTGTGATTTGCCTGTGGCTCGCTGCACATAATACCACTTGCGCTGGACGCCCTCCCACTGAGGAAGCCTGGGCACAGATACGTCAGTATCGCGGGGAAAGATAAAAGATCGCGGAGTCCGGCTCACCATCCCTCGGGGAGTCGAGGTGGGGGAGACGACGGGCCTGCTGTGTCTGCCGGCTCATCCTGAGGCATTCTGTTGGAAGGATGAAGAGGGCAGAACAGCTGCGCAGAGGACAGGAGGGATGTGATGCCCGAACGCGCTTGGGCGATCGCTGTGGGGCCCCAGGCTTGGCTTGGCGATCACAACGCTCGCCCAACGGCGATGATATACTTGTAAGTTTTGAGAGAGAGGACAAGGGGAATATAATCAATTAAAGCAGTATCTATAACTCCATTGGTAGGGTATCTCCTATTTCTTAATGCCCAGGAACCCCATGGAAGTCCTCCCTGCAACCCCCAGGAAAAACGCCGCTTCTACCGCAACCCCGCCCTGATAACGAAAGTGCCAGCCATGAAAAATACCAGACGCCGACAGCAGGAGAAAGACAAAAAAAGAAAAAAAAGGAGAAGAAAATTGAGAAATAGCAGACAAACATGCCCTAGAAATCGTGAGGCCACGATGAGAATAAGTAAGCAACTCGGTGAACTTAAACAGCGTAGACAAATACAGATGACATGGCATGTTGGGCGATCAGGTCCAGGCAGGCTCATCTGCTGGTTCATAATCATCACCATTCCAAGACTCATCACCACTGGGTTCGGCATCCAGGAAATCATTCTCGGTCAACTGGGTATCAGTGGGGCGCCGGTTATCAATGCGAATGATGACTTGGTCGCACATGCCCTGCCTGTGACCCGCGACCTGAGATTCATTCGCAGTCTCGCCAACAGTGGTGAGTTCAACGAGCCGCTGACTATGACGGGTAGGAGGTAGATGGCTGCCACCCTCATTGGTATCGGCTTGTTCAAGGTTGTCTGCGGTGGAGCTACTAGCAATTCCAGACCGGTGGCTCTTCCGTAGGGACCGTCGATAGGGGTTGGGGGGCGGGCTGTGGCGCAGGAACACTTGCTCAAAACGCTCGATCCAACGCGACCGAAAACGAGCACGGTCACGCCAGGCGATCTCCGGCATCGCACTAATTTCCAATCGTCGGAGATCTTTCAGTTGAGGAGCTGCATCGACTAGTGAGTTGAAGAAACCCTCCGCACTTGCAGCATCCAAATGGCGCAGGTTAGCCAGTTGGAGGTCCTGTAAAGTTTCGGGCCAGGTGGGCACTTGGCCGGGCTCGATCAGAGAAGAGAAGACGGGCACGACATCGTGGTAGACAGATGTATCACGCGCAGATATGTCCACCCGGAATTTCACAAGGTGAGGACATAATTGGCCCAGACTCGACACGAAGGACATACTCATATATCTGTTGTGGTCCAGATTCAGTTCCCGAAGCTGGTCGCCGCGGGCTTCTAAAAGGTCTTGGATACTAAGCGCCGTTAGACGATCGCAATTACATATTGTGAGAAACCGCACCCCTAAGGGCAATTGCGTCAGGATCGTATTGGTCAACAGAGTGCATTCGACAAATTCCAAACGTTCAAGCTGCGGAAGACCCTCTAGCGCACGAATAAGGCTTAGCTCGGTCGTGGGATTCACCGGTATTTCATGATCGAAGTCGCCCGAGCCTTGGAGACGAATCATCCGAAGGTCCTTCATGCCATTGAATGACAGAGCATCATGGCAGGATTCTATACGGGGAATCGGATCATCGTCAGACTCGGAGAAAAAAACGACCATTCCATTCCCAGCGCCGGAGTCGAACGCCACAGCTTTCAATAGCAGCAAAGAGACTGTTCGAGTAGCTCCACTTCGCGGACTTCAATGCCCAGGGAGGGATCCCTATGATTTTGTCATCGGGATGGTAGATTCGCAATGTGTGGAGTGCAGGACATCTCGCGAGCAAGTCTTCGAGTCGGAAATAACCCAAAAGCCGACCACTCTTGTAGGTCAGGATTGTCTCGGCGTCTATATGAAGCTCTTTGATCTTTTGGGCATAGTTCATGAGAAGTAATTCGAGCGGTGTCGTGAGGAGAATCAACAATCTATGCGCCTGATATGGAGTGGTAATAGGCGGCGAGTAGTACAAAGCAGCCATTGCTGGTTCAAAGAAGGCGCGGCATAGTCGCGCTATACCCACTAAGGTACTGGCTAACTTTGGGTCATTTCCAAGTGGGTAGGATATGTGGAAGAAGATATCAAGCAGGATGTGATATGGCAAACTTTGCCACGGAGGTATGACTTCAGAACTGACTGTCGGCACTGTGTATTGTTTCTTCGGCAGCGGTGCCCTTGAAGGGGGGCCAGTCCAGCCTCGCTTTTTCGGGGTGGTGCTTGTCGAAGAACGAGTTACGCGACGCGATTTATTAGCTGGCGCCCGAATTGGATTGGTAGGACCTGGTTCATCAAGTCGAGTCCCAGGCTCAAAAGGTTCATCGCTTTCAAGCTCAGCATCTGTAGACTGTTCCCGGTATTGATTATTCCTTCTGATGCGCGGACGCAGAGTGACAGAAGTCGACTCCTCGTCAGAGATTTGTAGGTCGGATGAGGAATCCTCATTGTAAGATGTGACCCGGTTACGGGACTGGCGAACAGGGCGCGCGGACGCTCCGGCTGAGCGCCGACGCGCCATTTCGGCAAAAACCGATGGGGCTCCAATGGCAGCTGATGGTGGGACGGATGATGCGATGAGATATTCGGGGGGTACCTGCAGTCGAAAGGACAAGAAGCAGGGATAGAGGAAGGTGATTCAATTGTCTACAGATGCCAGGGAAGGCGCTATCATTTATCGTTATCGATCTCCCTTATCGATAACAAGGTTCAGCGACGCTAGCCTTAATACAGACTGGCGCTTTGATGCATTATGGCCTTAAGGTTCAGGCGTCCATCACACCCCGCTCGCTGGCACTAGTGTATTTGGAGCTTAAAATAGAACTCCTAAGCTGCGAAAATGAGACGCGCCTCCCGAGTTCTTGGACTCTTCCCTGTACCTGCATCCGCCCTCCTCTATGATACATTGAGGCTTCCACCTCCTCTTATGCCAGAGACCCTCATCGGGCCTTGATTTATTTGGTCCTGGGAGCTTGGCCGCTCCGGGGGGCTGGGGGTTCGGTGCGAACTCCATGGAATCCACGTTCCCGGCCGTCATGGACTCCAATGATCGAGCAAACCGGGGTGAAATGGGTGTGTCGCCAATGGTGCAGTATGCCCGGTATCCGCCAGCACTGGAGTCCTCTCTAAGGAGTGCCTCCTCATTGGGGAGTGCTCGGAGCCAGGCTGAAGCGAACAAATCGCCCCCGTTGCATCGCAAAGAAACTCCTCGAGGCATACGCTCAGCCATCCCCATCTCTGCTGCTCGCTCAGGTCCATCGATGTCTCCACCGGCCTTTGATGCTATGCGCCATCCTGTATTGAAAGACAATGATCAAGCGGAATCTCGCATTTTACCTTCACGGGATATCACCGATGATACTATCGACGATGCCTATGTGATGTTTATCCTTTATTGCAACCCTAATGTTCCGTCTTCTGTCGATACCTCTGAGCTTCGGAAAACGTTTCGCTGCCCGCCGCGCAGTGATGGGAAGAGTTTCAGCGTCTTCACTCTATTTGAATTGATTCGCAAGCTCGATAGTAAAGAGCTCAAAACATGGATCCAGCTAGCAATTGAGCTCGGGGTTGAGCCTCCGTCAATGGAGAAAAAGCAAAGTACACAGAAGGTTCAGCAGTACGCTGTTAGACTTAAAGTAAGCCTCATCGTCCGCACATAATCACAATATACTCACTGACTTCAACAGCGATGGATGCGAGCCATGCACGTGGATGCTTTTTTTGAGTTTTGCCTCGGACATCCTCATCCTTACTTCACACAACTTCCTCCATCCGGGGCATTCATAAGTGAGTCTCGGGATGGCGTCCCATTAGAGGAAGATCTGGCTCTGCGGGCTTTGGTCCCAGAATGGAAACCTAAACGTGGAAGGAAGAGAGCAGACGAAAGGGATCTCGAAGAAGACAGATCTGTCAAGCGGCCGTCTTTGGATACCTCTGTAGGGGGGTTGCACCAAGGCAGCTTTGCGAATCATTCGGTCACTTTCCCTCAGAGTGCCATTCCATTCAGTGCCTTCCCCGAAGATGATCCGTGGATGACTGCGACTTCATCCTACCCCTCCACCCAGCAATTCCGAACACCAGGGGCAAGACTTACGGTGGAGGATACACGACAGAGAGCATTCGCCCGCATATCCCCAATCCGCAATCATCCCTAGAAGCCACCCGCCGACAGATGTGCTCATGTCTGCCGAACCTCGTTCTGCGATTACCCCATCATCCGGCGAGAGAGCTCGGTCAAAACGGAAACATGGACCGGCTGTCTCGTCCGCATGGCCCAGTAGCAACGGCTTGGTTCACGGCAAAAGTCGTGGTAGACCTCCAAACAAGCCTAGCTCAGGATCATTCAACACGTTCCAGGTTCAGCCTACCCGGGACCCATCATTGGTCCCACCAAATCCTACCACCCAGTCTTCGCCACTGGTGGTGGATTCTGAGGCAGCCGTCCATGTCGTATCGAGCTCGTCATATGATCAATCACCCACTCCAGCCCACCAAGGGAGACCGGGGAAACTCCAGTTACAGGTTCCGCAGCATCTAGGGGCGCCGGTCCGCCTCGCCACCCCTCCCACCGTGCTCGTTAACGGAGTGAATGAAGTCATGGTGTCCCACGGTCCCAATGACCAAGACAACCGACAATTGAACTCTTTAAATAGGTCTAACAGACAAGGCTCCAGTGCGCTCCCGGCCATCGCGGGGCCGGTGGCCAAAATTTCAATGGACGACATCATTCGCGCTGTTTCCGCTGAACTGATGCGTGCCGGGCTGATTGGCAGATCGACACCATTGACTTCTGACGAAGCGCATGTTCTTGCCTCCGGACTGGTGGCCAATCTTTCTCCGATGTACTCCCAATTACCGCTTGATTTTTCATCGGTCCTTTTGGCTTATCAACTTGGAGTGAGCCATCATTTTGGACTTGGACCCGCTCGTTTGACATCTATAGTCATACGTTTCGATGATTCCATGGATGTGACCGGTGGGAGAAGCAGAACTCCGCGACCAAACGAACATAATGATACTGGACCGAGATATAATGTCACTTTTGAGTACAGGTCCTCTGGTCCATTTTGCATGCAAATCACTTTGGGTGACCTCGAACCTACCACTTCGAATTCAGTGCCTCCGTCGAAGAACAATCATGATGATAATTTGGGAGACCTGGACTCAAATGAAGGGGATAGCGACCATCCCACTTCCGAGGCTTCCTGGAAGCAACGATATTTGAAACTCAAGGCACAGATGCAGAAGAAAGAACGTGCTATTTCTAATTACAAGCGGAAGATAGTGGAATCTGTTATGGCTGACATATAACGACTGCAAACGAACCTAATGCACTTGCCAATTTTCTTTCACCTGCCTTATCTTGAAGCGCTTCTAGTGTTGTGTTTTGTCCATTTCCTTTTCACCCTTTCGCATGAGATGATACCCCTTCCATGGTATATAGCGAGTTCCTCTCGTGGAATTTTCTTTTCCAACTTTTCATATCACTTCATTGTTATCTAGCAAACTCCCATTCTGGATTTGGGCAATACCAGTTGGCTTCAATGAATATTAAGGTTCAGATAAGTACTGTGAGACAAGTAAACTCCACAAGGACTACTAGCAGACTTTCTACTGTGTAACAGTATCTGATAGTAGTGCCGGAAGTCCTCTACCGCCACTCAGCGTTGATAAAGACTTGGTCAGTCATGCAAGCGGACTGCCAGTGGGGGCTTTGGGAGTTGCTAGGAAGAATCCTCGGGTGCACCAACTTTGCGTGATTGGGGGACATCGTGGGGATAGTCAAACATCATAGACCTCAACCGAGAAGGTCCTATTTCATTTTCTAAAGGCCTTTAGTAATTCTGGATGCTTTTTAGCTCTTTGGAATGAACCAAAAACGCCCAGCAATGCCTTATGTTGCCATTATGTGTGCTAAATCCGAATATGCAGTCTCCTGTGGGAGAGTAGATGGAGAAAAAAAGCCAATCATTTGACTAGAAACCCAATATTCACTTCCGGATGTCCATTGTACGCTCACCATATGAAAAGAGTCCAATGAAAATCAAAAGCAATGATAAAATTTCACCAACGACGTATCGATTTCATGGCGAGCAAAGAACTGCAAGGGAATTAGTCAGACTCTCTTGGTAGTTATACCTAGATATATAAGCTTGGTTCATTCCATTTGAAAACTTACGGATACTAAGAGGCGCACGGAGACATCATAGACAGCCTAGAAATGAGCTTACGCGATGTCTGGAGATGCATCGTGATCGGTCTCATCAGGCTTGTCGTCATCGCTAGGAGGTTTTGGGCCACGCTTCCGGCCCCGCGCAGGCTGAGGGGGTTCAATGCTCTTCGACACTTGTGTGTTATGACTGTCCTGCGTAGGGTATTAAGGACAGGAATACATACCGGCCTTCCAGACGTCGCGTCCAGCTTAAAGCCATGAGTTCTCTTCAGAGAATTCCAGCGGTTTGCGGCAGACTTTGCATTCGTGTAACCCAAAGCTGCGGCAACAACGTCGATGTCGATCTACTAAAAATGATGCTTAGTTAGAGACCCCAGACGTCTTTCGCAAGAGAACACTTGAGAACTAATTACCTTCCCTTTGCTCGAATTGAATGCCTTCAAACACTCAAAGACGAAATCCTTATCCGTCGGATGGGGATGATCCGAAGTCAGGGCATCAAGAGCCATCTTGGAGCTGAGTGGGGTAATCGAAGAATAGTACTTGACGTGGCTTAGTTAGTTTGTGAGGGTGGGTGCAGACGGCGTTGAAAAGGAGAAGAATGAGGCGGGTTGGGGATTCTTAATAACACTGGCAGGTTACCTGCGCAGGTCAAGGGAGCTTCTGAGAAGAGGACTACTGGTAAGCGTTCTGTGCAGCCAACCAGATGATATTTCTATCTAAATAAGCCAGCACCATCTTCTTTTTGCCACCTTGAACATTTATGTCACAGTCCAAATGCAGTTTAAAGTAGTATTGCCTTTGCGAAGGAGATTTACTAGTACCACTATCTCCAGGACTAGCCATTACTTTGTTAATGAATGAACAATATTATACAACAACGATATTATAGCAGAAGTATGGGGGCTTCACTAACGCTTGATTGTATATATAAGTTCTCCGGTAAAGACAAGGCTTGTAGAAGGTTCTATCTCGCAAGGCCTTAGAATTATACGCAAAATCGTGGATTAAAATGATTGAACCTGCCCCACTGGAAGTTGATTTTGAGATTCCACACACAACATACTGGGGTTTGACGTTCATAGATAGTAAGTACCCTAAGCTTGAATCTCAGGCATATTGAAAAATATCAGGAGCTGCAAAAAAAGGCAAGTTGGTCTAAAGACTCAAAATTGCCATGGCATCACCCAGAGCCCCGCTCTCCGACTCATTTGGACTCCTCTGCATGGTCGCCCGTGCTGCCATGGTGCATTTGTTAGCTTTGGAATAGTTACACATTCCATGCTGTGAAGCAGGTCCGTACCATAAATCCGAGTTGCAGCAGCAATCGGCTTAGGCAGCCTCGAAAGGGTCTTCGAGAGCTGGCGTCAATTTGGGTCTTTCCGTAGAGTCCATCAAGCCACCAGAGGTATCACTCTCCATCCCTTCAAGGCCTTTCATAGAACCTGGAGACGTCTTGGTCTTGGATTTGGTCATACTTGTTGTCTTCGTCGGTGTCCGCTTGGGCTTCGTAACCTTGGAGGGACCTCCTCCATGCTGGGGCTAGATGAGTATCTCCAACGTCTGGTTCGTGTTTGCGATTCATACCTGGGCCTTGTTAAAAGTAACTTTGATGGTGAACCCATGCTTTTTCTTCAGCGCGTAGAACTTCGACTCAACTGACTTAGCATTCTTGCCCAATTGCTTGGCAACCGCCGTCAAGTCAATCTAGACATGGTGATTAGTAAAGAATGTCGAACGGGAATAGTGACGCGAATATAGCCGCGGGATTTCCGTTTACCTTGTTAAGGTCGTTGTCGTAGCAGGCCATGCAGGCAGCCATGAATGTCGCGTCGTCCTTGCCATGTTCAGAGGTCGAAAGAGAAGCCATGGTGAGCTCTTTCAAATAGATGTTAGCAGGTGAAGCTTAATAAATCGGTGGTTTCGATAATGAGGCTGGAGCCAGTGTGTGAGGAAAGGGAGTCTGTAGAAGAGGAAGAAAGAGAAGGAGGAAGAACCTGAGGTTTTGGGGGGAGGGGAGGTTGCGACTCTTATATCACTGTTTGCACACAGCGTCGGAAGTTGCCAGGGAGCCTTGAAACTTGAACAATTAAATACATTGTGACTTGTTTGATGCTTGCGCTGCTGCCTTCCCAGGCCTAAAATCATAGCCGGCTATACCTACGCCCGATAGTAGTACTTTTTATACATGACAGCCCTGGACGACCAGATAAGGTCTACCGGCGTAGACCGCGTAGATCCTACTTTGGGTCTGATAGGTCCGTTTAAGATGTAGAGTACAGAAGGCTCTCTATTTGATCATTATCCATGAGCTTAAATATGGGTAGTCACGTTCTAGTAAGTCCACTTGGAACTATATCTATAAGATCATCTATTTGAAGTCTTCTAAGGCGCTCTCATCTACTGCAAAGCGGTGAATGGGGCGGTCTAACCTAATGTAGTGGGCAATCACGACTCCCTGGGTGCGCCCAGTTCTATGAAGACTCCAGGTCAATAGGTCAATCACTAACAGGTCTCTATATATCAGAGTAATCAACTGGCCATACTCAGTGGTCGGGGAAATTTGATTTGTCATGGCTTTGGTTGCAGTGGGCGCTTGCTATATGGACACGATTTTAACGTTTGTCTCATTCTTAGCCTCACGTACGTCAACTCCAAGGGTTAATGCATTAAAACATTCTTGTAGGACACCACACTACCCAGCTGAGGATGAAAAACAACGGGCAACGAGTATTTCTCGTCGACGAGGGGAAACTGTCCTAACACGCTCGAGGTCCTTCAGCAACTGATAGCCGCGTCATATCAATCACTTTCGCTGCACCTTGTCTCCGTGTTGCCTGCTAGGTTATCTTCTGCTTCACAATACATCATTTCAGATTTGGAACCGGGAGTCCAGCTGAAGCAATGTATATTCCGAGAGGCATCGCAGGAGCCAGCTTCGTGTTACATCATTAAGAGCCAAGCTACTGGCAGCAGAACAGTAGTCAATCATAATGAGTTGCCTGAGATGACAGTCGATGAGTTTATCGAGAATGTCCAAAGGCTAGAACCCTGCCCGACATGGGTTCACTTCGAAGTATCGTTTGAGTTGTCCTGAATTGAGGCATATGTCCGAGCTGACTCTGGCCATAGGGCCGCATCCCCGAGGTGACTCGAGAATGTATTCGATACGTTCAACGACAATTTCCCTCCGCAAGCGTTAGTGTTGAGATTGAGAGACCAGGTCGCCCGGGCCTTCAGGAACTCGCGAAACTGGCAAATGTGGTTTTCTATGCAAAGTCATGGGCACTGGTCAGTATCCAGACTCCGCGAAGCTGAATTGAGCTACAAGACAAATACTGAGCTCAACGTAGCATTGCGGATATATTTCGGCTAAAGATTGTCTTCTCAAGGAGTCAGTGAATTGTGACAAGGCGTGAGTTTAATTCGGAACGTCGGGAAGAAATCAAGATGAGGCATAGCGCTAAGGAACCAAATGACACTGGCAGGTCTCTTCTATGTTGCACTTGGGGGGGAAGATGGAGCTGCTGCATTCGAGCCTCAGAGGGGCCACTTGATACATGAGCCGGCTTATACGAAGGATAACTTCGAAGTCGTCGAGTAAGACATTTTGTTGCCTCTTTCACAGAAACTTCAAGTTGCTAACTGACTAGTCCGGTTGGAGCTGGGGATACGTTCATCGCAGGGATGTTGTACGCGTTGAATTGTCATAAATGGAATTTGACTCAACGACTCAAATTCGCGAACCGCGTTGCCGCAATGAAAGTGTCGCAGGAAGGATTTTCGGGGCTGGCCCGCGCTTTGCAGCCTGAGAACATTCACAATTGATGATGTGCGCCTCATTCCCTCAGTGAAATATGAAAGGAGACAACACTTTACGCTACACAATACCCCCCAATTCTTGTTCTGCAAAAAAAAGAAAAGCCGGTCTCAGAAATTTTGGGCAAGAGGGATGAACTTGCGAGTATGTGACACGTGATGTAGATACGCAGGGCGGTGTGAAATAATTCTGCCGTTGATTTTCAACTTTTTTCAACTTTTTGCGCGCCGGCGATTCGAGTAGAAAACTGCCACAACACTACCCATCACCATGGCTGCAGTTTACAAGACGGTCTCAAAGAAGAAGTCTCGGCAACCTGTCGAGGGGCTGGATGAAGAAGAGCAAATGGAAATTGACGAACTGCTAGACGACGCCGACGATACCACAGACAGTGAAGAGGATGAGGATGAAGGCGATCGAGTTGCTGCTGCCAAAAAGCAACTAGCCCAGGGGTTCATGCCCAAGACTCGAGTGTTGGTTCTCACTTCCCGCGGTGTTACACACCGGTAAGTAGCTATGCCGAGTTTCCTCCAATTGCACAGATCGTTACTGACTAGCCCACAGCCACCGACATCTCTTGTCTGATCTCTGTGCGCTGCTCCCCCACACCCACAAAGAAAGCAAGCTAGACACCAAGAAGAAGACAGCTGGCTACAACCTTTTGTTGAATTCTCTTGCCGACCTCCACTCATGCAACGTGATCTTTTTCCTCGAGGCGAAGAAGAACGGACAAGATCTCTACCTGTGGCTTTCTCGCCCTCCCAACGGCCCGACAATTAAGTTCCATCTCAACAACTTGCACACCATGGGCGAACTTGGTACTGGTTTCGCAGGCAATTGTCTGAAGGGTGGCCGCGGGTTGGTGGTCTTCGACAAAACCTTCGACGAGCAAGAAATGGGCCCTGGCAATGAGTACCGAGGTTTGATCCGCGAGATGCTACGAGGGGTTTTCTGTGTCCCCAAGCGCGGGGTCAAGGGCATGAAGCCTTTCGTCGATCGTATTATTGGTATCTTCGGTGTCGACGGCAAGATTTGGATCCGAGTTTATGAGATCCGCGAGTCGGAACCAGGCAGCAAGAAAAAGGGCGAAGACGAGGCCACTAAGCCTCTGCCTAAGGGCCAGCAAGGCCAACCCGAGGTCTCACTGGTGGAGATCGGGCCTCGATTTGTTTTGACTCCGATTGTCATTCTCGAGGGCAGCTTTGGTGGTCCAGTCATTTACGAAAACAAGGAGTACGTCAGCCCTAACCAGGTTCGTCGCGAGATTCGGATGAGCAAGGCGGGCCGTTACTCCCAGCGTCGCGATAACCAGACAGATCGCGTGGCCAAGCGGACCGATCTTGGCTTGACGGACAACTCTTCGCGGAAACCCGATGCCCTGGAGACTCGAAAGTTATTCGCATAGAGGCGGAGTGGGTTTTGATTATGGCATATTCTGTTATTCAACGAGTCTTCATTGACTGCATGTATATTTGACGGCGACGAATGGCTTGCTTATGGCGTCAAGGCTTTATTTAGTTTGATTCCCAAAACAAAAGTAATCCGGATTTCAACAACAGTCCTGCCAAATGATAGAAGCTTCATTCAGACTTGTGCTCGTAGAATCAATCACCGCCACGGGCTCTTATCGGGGATAAAAGATGCCCATCGAAGGTTTGCCCCGGTGGAGCTGACAGGTGGGCCCAACTCCCGCACGGGGGGGGCTCGTGCAGCCGTGAAGTCCCCCTTTCTTGTAGGTTTATGCGCAAGCTTTTGGCTAGAAATCCCAACAGAAGGCTATAGAAATTCTTCCTAGTATGGCATCTAGGTCGCCGATCTCCAGCTTGAGGGAGGGCTGGATTCTACACGGCATTTGGGATTTCAATGACAATCAATATACTGATTTCCCGGAAGGCTGCATACAGAGCCACACAGCCACACAGACGCCCGATCCAGGTCATTGCACCGACCGCAGAGCACCAACGAAGGAACATAAGATCGAAAGAATAAGTCTGGAGTAATCAATTTCGTTGAGAAAATGGGGGGGGAACCACGCAGTAGAAAAGAAGTAAAAGCAGAGGGCGAAGAAAGAAGAAAGAAGAAAACAAAAGGTCCGACAACCAAGATGTCTGGGGATACACCCATCTTTCCCATGCTCTCTACCAGATCCTGCCTGTGTATTGTCTTCGCCCTTTCAAATTACAGAATCCGTCACCGATCAAGGTCGTTGTAATATCTTGTTGTGAATCAAAGGACTTGTTTGCGGCCGGTCCCCCTTAAGTCGTCTAGCAGCAGCCCTGCTTCTGCTCGTTGTCCTGGGGTGTGAACTCGATGACCGGACGGCGGTCACCAGGTTGGTTGGCTCCAGACTCGCCAGAATCGAGGGCCTTACTGGAAACAATGCGGTAGATTTCTAGCGACATGTCAGGTAAGCGTGCGCCCTAGTAGAGTTGGGAGGCTTGGCAGGTGCCACGTCGAGTGGGGCAAATTTACCTGTGAGGATATTCTGGAAGGCAAGCTCGACGTTGCTTGCGTCAAGAGCGGAGGTTTCGATGAAGGAAAGGTTGTTTTCACCTGGAGGTGGTGAAGAACCATGTTAGCCCCGATGTTGCTGACCTCGATCGGAATGGGGTTGAACATACTGGCAAATTGCTTGGCTTCTTCGGTGGGAACCGCACGAAGGTGGCGCAAATCGCTCTTGTTTCCAACGAGCATAATCACAATATTGGCGTCGGCATGGTCTCGCAGCTCCTTCAACCACCGGTTGACATTCTCATAGGTCTGGTGCTTGCTGATATCGTAGACGAGAAGGGCACCGACGGCGCCACGGTAATAGGCAGAGGTGATGGCACGGTAACGTTCCTGACCGGCGGTGTCCCAGATCTGTGCCTTGATAGTCTTAGAGTCGACTTGGATCGAGCGAGTGGCAAATTCCACGCCGATGGTGGACTTGGAGTCTAAGTTGAACTCATTGCGGGTGAATCGACTCAAAAGGTTGGATTTACCGACACCCGAGTCTCCGATCAACACCACTGGCTTGTGCATTAGTCTTCGAGAAATCGCTTGTATATTTCGGTAGGTTTTCCGGGAAGGAGGGGAAGCCGCATCGTCATGTGGCATGTTTATGAGGCAACAGTACCTTTGAAGAGGAACTGGAGATTGTCAGTAAGCGCAAGAGAGAAAGCAACCGGCAGGGATCACTCACATCGTATTCGTCGTTGGCCATTTTGAGGGAAGGAAATATGGAAAGGGAAAGGGGTCGGGAAAGAAGCAAAAAGTTGGGGCTTAAGCAATACAGCGATTAGGGAGAGAGGAGGGCATAATGTCCACTTCTCCTTTAGCGGGAGTCACGTGTTGGGCCTCGCCCGCTCGGCGGTTTTGCCGCCCTTATACTTGAATACACAGTACACCACCGCTGTCAACTTGCGGCGCCTTCCTACGGTCTCTTCTTGCGCGTAATTATCTCCCACAGGACTCTTAGAGGCCGCGTAGTAGGGACATGTGTCCATGACTGGCACTGTATGACCCGTGGGGTCAAAGGTTTAAGGTGACTGCTTTGTTCTAGTTTACGTTAAGGGTGTCTCTTTCCTATCTTTCGCCTTTATTTCCACATCACCACCTCTGCCAGCCCGTGTATCCTCATTTCCACCTCCAGAAGATCTGTCTTTTCCAAAGTTGGTCTCAGTTTGCTGGAAATTGGCTCCGAACTATGACACCGGCTCCGAAAGACTCCAACTGGGCGGACGCGGATGAAGATGACGGCAGTCCTGAGGAATCCGAGGCTGGGCAAGAAGGCGAAGGTAGCGATGAAGCAGAGGCCTTTACCATCGAAGCAATCCTTGCGGAGAGGGTGCACGATGGCACAACTCAGTATCTCATCCGCTGGGAGGGCTGGGATCTGTTATGTGCAACCTGGGAACCCGAGGAATCCTTCAACGACAAAGATGCCTCTTTGAAAACGTGGAGAGAGGCCAAATTGGAGATTCTTGCGGGCAGGAAGCCCAAGTTCAACGTGGAAAAATTCGACAAAGATAAAGCCAGGATTACCGCCGATGTTTTGAAACGAACAGGATCAACCTTGGAAGCCTACAACGATCATCTCCAGACCAATATAGATGATTATTATCTGACTCCAGCAATTCGATTTCCAGATTCTCGTGAAGAAACTCGCGCAGTAAACTCGTCAATGAAGTGGCCAGCAAATCGTACCCAATATTCTACGCCCGACTCTCCATCAACCTCAGCCATGACCCAACCCGCCGCTCCAAGTCATCACTCCAAGCCATTTTCTGCATCTGGCCCCCAGACAGAAGCAGCTGGGCCATATATGCCACCCCGTGAGGAACCCGAGGGAAATACCAAAACCGCAGGCTTGGAGACTACGCGAATTCCTGCAGATGCTTCTCGATTGCCGGGCCAACCAATGCAGTCAATATCTGAGCATACAGCACAGAAGCCTCAGCGGCCGCAGCTCTTGATTTCAGCGAGCGGAGCTACTCCCCGCGTTCACAGTGAACCAAAGACAACGGTCAATAAACCCCCTGCGACCAATTTTGGTACTGGCCTTGCTGTCAGAAGAGCGCCGCAAGGAAAGTATGATCGTGCACCACTTCCTAATGAGGTATCGCTTCAAAGGCCGTCCGAGGTATCAGGCAGACTGCCCAGAACATTGGCTATTCCATGGAAGCCTGATTCAATCTCAGTCCCATCTGATACAGTTGAATCGATCAATGACTCTGATCTTCGCAATTCGTCTCTGGCATCAAAAACCTCAAACCTTCAATCTGCTCCTCCAACACTTGGAGGACATTCATTTGATTCGGAAGCTGTGAATGAGCCACCTCCAGGCTTCCAGTCCTCCACAGATCAAGCGACCGCAGCCGAAAATGCAGACTCTATTCTGCAGAAATCCCTAGCTCATGATCCTCCCTCTCATTTTTCTCAGGGCAGTAAAATCGCTCGCCCTGAAAGACCGCATCATGCATTTCCGATACCGTTTGCTTCCGGTCCCTCACCACCTCCCGAGGCAATCATTCCGTCTATGATTTCCACGGAAGAGCTTCCTTCTCGGCTTCGTGTTCTAACAGGGGCTACAAATCCGTCAAGAACTACTCGAGAAGAGCGACGGTCCAGGTCTCTTGGTCCCCGGTCTCGCTCTGGGTCCCCCCCTCTTCGTTCCCCAGCATGCAGAAAAAAGACAACGGGTATCCTCACCAAGGAGGAGCGAGCCTCATAGAGCCGCTTCTCCCCATGAATGAAGCCGGCGGGCATAGGGTTTCCGACGAACGTTCTGGTTTCTCGAGGCCTCTGGAACGAACACTGAGCAATTATAATCCTCAGCGCTCTCAATCTCTCCACTCTGGGGCTCTTCCATCTGACCCAGCACTTACTCCATCAATGCCGCAACCAGTGATTGTTTCAAATAAGTCACATTCCACGTCGCCAGCGTCAGTTCCGCCGTCAAAAATTTCTTTCTCTACCTGCGTTGAGGAGAAGGCCGCGAATTTCCAAGCAAAGCCCCCTATGGCGCGTGCTCGGTATTTCAACAACTACTTTGCCAACCCTGGGGAGATTCTTGTTAATCTTTTCTTTGGCCCTGATAAACAATACCTTGGGATTTTCAGGTTATGTGGTGCTGGGTTTCATTCGAAGCAGAAGCTCCAGTCCGGGGGAACGGAGAAGTTCCAGAAATGTGGTTTAAAGACATTTGCACCGGTTTTGAATACGCTTCCATGTGTGACGAGGTAAGAATGGCGAATACTTAATTACCTCCTAATGAAAGCTAATCAAGCATCATGAATAGCTGAAAAAGAACGTCATCTATGAAAACGCATGGATTGAAGCCTTTCCAGAGTCAGCTGGAGGCATGTTCCATATGGAGGAAATTCTCGTCAAGCGGGGATGCCTCAGTTTGTTCACCCCCAAGGAATCTCCTCAGAACACGTGGCTTGCATACAGTAGGTCTTGCCCAGAGCTCTATAAGCCATTTTATCGCAATCAAGTCTCTACAGATGCCGTTATCATCTTCGCAGTCCGAAGTGGAATTAGACCCCATATCATTGAACGTGTTCTTGGAGAACGATCGAACCGGCCGGGACAAGGTTCAGGGAACAGATCGACACTTCAACCTGGTTCGCAGGTTTTTTCTCAGCCAAATTTCATTGAAACGCAATCTGATGCTGGCATTCCAGGCTTACTAGGGCAAGGGAACCCACGAAAAAGATTCAATCCTGATCGTTCGCAGTGGGGCTCTGAGCTGATACTTTCAAACGGGGGCAATCGTACATCGCTTACTCGACCAGAAGACGTTGATAGGCCCAATAGGTCCGTTAATCCCCGTCGTCGATTGTCAAATCCCGAAACCTTGTTTCAAAACGCGCCAACGCCTATTGGTCCTATTGGTATCAAGGAGGCAAATACCGAGTTCACCGCTCGAGTCCATCAGATGATCAACAAGATCAAAGAGAAGAGCTCTGTCCGTTCCAGCAATGGGAGCCTCCACCATGTAGTTTTTTTTCTATCTTCATTTCCCTCCTGGTTCGGAAGACAAGGCCTTCCAGGAGCTCCTACTAGTTGAAGCTCTTCTTCAGAAAGATGGCATGAAGCTCTTTACTAACCGGGCCAAGGAAGGCTGGTCCAGGTTCAGTGACTCTTGTAAAAACGGAGCAGTCATTGTATGAAAACCCCCCGTGGTCTCATTTCTCATCAAAAACTAAGGCTAATCTTTTCTTAGTTTCATGAGTCCTTTCAGGGGTATGGTAGCTTGTCCCCGCCAATCCGACGGCTCATTCGAAATGAGACATTTCATTTCTGGTCAATTAACCTCTCAACTCCACTTCAATTTCCAAGTATTGCGGAACGCGGAGCGGATCATTTTATGCAACGAATCTTCCCCCGTGGTGGTGATGGTGTGGTCCTCTTCACAGAAAATATTCTCTTTGAAAATTTGCCCCAGGCTGTTCAAATAATAGCATGGTTCAAGAAAACAGCTCCTTCGATGAAAGGAAATTGGAAACTCGTCTTCTGGCCTAATGTGATGGAAAGTTTGGAGGCCGCTCTTCAGGACCCGGGGAGAAACCAGGATGATGATCGGCAGTACGTCATAACGCCTTCCTTCACCTTCTACTGAACTCTGACCAATAGTTTCTAGCATTTGTATGATCCTGGCTTTGATCCGCAACTTGAACTCCCGTGCCTCTTGTGGCTTTCAGATCGAAAGCCTGGACATTGCGCAAATGGACCGGCGAAATCATGTTGTCCTCTGCCTCCCTGTTGTCAACTATGGTCAGAGAAATCATCATAGCCACGATGCGGTTCCTAGCGGACTAACACAGGCTGAGATAAATACGGACCACCTTGTGGAGGCCTTTGCTGGATGGATACAGCATCATGCTGCTCGATTTCAACATTGCATTGCCTTAGTCAAGCTTGATAATAAGAGGCTTTTCGACCGTTGGAGCGCGTGGGGTCACATCACTATTAACGACATTGCGGGTTTCTTCAAGACGATGAATCTTGGACCTGATGCCTATCATGATTATCTCTTTCCCCCACCGCAAGTTGAACGGGATGATCAACAAGCTGATGACTCGCCAGCCTTCCAAGCCAAACCCGGTAATCTTTCCCGCACATCTCAAATACCTGCAGAGTCCAGGACGCCTGTTGAAGGCAGCCATCCCACGATTTCATCTAGGGATCCTCGCAAGGCCAATCGAAAGACTTGATTTTGAAACCCGAACGGTCATGAGTGAGAAATGCCACCGATGGAAAGTCCCATTCTCCCTTGAAAGTATACTCCTGCGGCTCTCCCGGCGCGTTTGTTGACTTAACGTCTTTATGTTGATACCCAGTCTGCTGTTGTATGAGAGAACATGACAATCCTCTTCCGAAATGGCAACTATGTTAGAGTGGTCATCCCGTGGGGGTGTGATTGTATCTGTAGGGTGAATTCCTCTTTCTAGTGGGTAACGAGATGCCCTTTGGACTGTCGTATGCTCAGGTTTCCCCTGGTAGCAGCAAGGGATAGCAGTCGAGCCCTGGAGAATCCTGCTCTCCCTACGCGACGAAAATCAAATTTCCCAACGATCAGTCTCCTCGAGTCGTATATCTTGTAGTACCATTCCATAATACTTCGGCTTGTCTACTATCCCAATATGAGTACGTCAATTTGGGTCTCAAGTCGGACAGACAACTGACTGCGAATAGGTCCCAAAGTACTTGATCTGACCCTTCTACGCACGGGGTATTATAGCGTACTAGTACTCTCGGAAGTGACATGGCATTGAAACCCCCGTAACGGAGCATCGCGAACCAAAGCCGAATCTGGACATGGAATGCTAAGTTGCTGTTTAAAATATGGAGCAGCTATTCAACAGGAGGTATATCATGAATCGCCATAAAAGTAAAAGATAAAGAAAAAGAAAAAAAGAAAAAAGAAAAAATGTGTACCAGCTAGTGCCGGAGGAGCTCTATTTCCCATTGACGAAATCTAACCAGCTGCACGCTTGCGATATTCCTTGAAATTGGATGCCTCGGCGGTCTCGCTGGAATCAGAGTTCGCCGCCATGCGCTTATTTTTATCTTGTTTTTCACGGCGCGTTTTGTCCTCCCACTGACTCTCTTCGGCGGAGATCATTGCATGGAACTTTCCGCCCTGCCCGCGAGCGAGGTAGACAGGCTTTTCGTCACGGTTAGCGACCGCTTCTGTTACGAGAACAAACTTCACGCTCGAGCCCGGCACTTCATACATGGCGTCGCTCAGGATGGTCTCCATCTCAGTGCGGAGGGCTCGTGCTCCTGTGCCCATTTTGAATGCATTGGCAGCGATTTTGTGAAGGGCTGGCGTGGTGAAGCGAAGCTCGACACCAGACAGCGAAAAGAGAGTGGCGTACTGGGCAATCAGCGAATTGCGCGGTTCTGTGAGAATCCGTAGGAGCAAAGGCTGGGTCAAGGTGGAGAGGGCTGCAGTCACCGGGATTCTCCCGATCAACTCCGGGATGAAGCCATATGACTGCAAGTCTGCTTGTGTTAAAAGATCCAGAGCATTAAAATAGGTCGCCTCATTACTCGACGAGCCGTGGGAGGCTGATGTGAAGAAAGGTAAATGCTTTTTGTACAAGGCCTCTTCTTCTGACCCGGGGAGGATTGGCTGGGGCTCGTCTGCAGACGATGCGTTTGAAGGGTCGAACCCGTGATCCAATCTCGATGCAGAACGGATTGGCTGGCCAAAGCCAATCGAACCGCGCGAGATGCGGTCCATCACGACTTTGTGCAAACCAACAAACGCGCCAGAGAAGATGAACAGAATATTGTCCGTGCGAACATTGTACGTTTCGCCTTTCCCACTCGGTGGCCCGCCATTTGGCTGGAAGGGGCTGTTTCCGAGAGGGCTGTTGGACGGGTATGTGTTTGGAGGGCTGGTTGTACGGGGGTTCTTCTCGGACTTTGCTTGGACCTGGATCGTGGTTCCCTCGATGATTTTCAGCAATGCTTGCTGCACACCTTCCCCACCAACATCTTTCCCATGGCTAACCTTTGCCGAAGCAATCTTATCAATCTCATCAAGGACGATTATGCCCCGTTCTGCCTGCTCGACATCATAGTTGGCAGCGGCTAAAAGCCGGTGTACACATGATTCGACATCTTCGCCAATGTAGCCCGCCTGTGTGAATGGAGTGCAATCCGAAATACTGAAGGGGACGGAGAGCACTCGCGCCAAAGTTTTCGCCATGAGGGTCTTTCCGACGCCCGAGGGCCCGAGTAGCAAAATATTCGATTTTTCTAGTTGAAGCGGCGAGGTATCGAGCGGCTCACTCTGATCCAACAGGGGGTTTGGACGAGGCTTGGTAGATGGCAGTCCCGTACTTTGCGGCTGACCCGATAATTCTTCTACATGATCATCTTCAGTTAGTTGATGCGATCTGATCAATCTGAGAGGCTTGTCATTGCGGACCTTCTAAGTGGCGATTGTCAAGCGCCTCCCTCCTTTGGCGCTTTGCAAGCAGCTCCGCTGTCTCCTCTTCTCGCCGAATGATTTCTTGTGCGCGCTGATAATGGTTGTATACCGCCACACTCAGAACCTTCTTTGCACGCTCCTGCCCCACAACATATTGATCGAGGTATTGCTTTAATATCTTTGGAGTGACTGTCGGTGCGCCAAAGGCCGGAGTTGACCCCAAAGGCCCTGTTGTCGGAAGGCCTGGCTCATAACTTCCTGTGTACGGCTGGCTTGTGAAATCGGACCGGTTGAACTGGGATGCAGTCGGAAATCGAGTCGCGCCACACGAAAATTGGCGAGTACGGCTAGCCAGGGACGGCCGACATCGGATCGGCTCCAGATGCGCCCAGGCAAGGGACAGCCGGCGTTGAAGGGGCCGCCACAGCATAGGCCCACGATATGTAGAGCGCGTGAAGATTATCTAGAGGAAGGGAAGAAGGGAGTGAAGTGGAGATGATGGGTGTAACGCGATGGCGAGCTCATCAGATACGGAGCTTTCCCCGCAGGCGATCTTATCGGGTGAGTCATGCTCAGCCCGTCAGCCACAATCTTGGCACCTGGGCAGATGCCCCAGAGGAAGTCCTATACTATGCTGTTCTGTGATCATTTGGGAAATGAGAAAGCCAGCCGCAGTCCCTTGCCGGTATTATGCTAGACTGGACACCGTGCAAACGTAGATGTTCCATTTATGGAACTAGCCCAGGAATCTCCCAGATACTAGTACAAATTAAAAGTGGGTTGCTTGGCCCTATCTTCCACGGTTCGTAGCATGTTCGCAGCATCCCTCTTACAGGCTACACGAGTCCAGAGGCGATGTGGATCTCAAGTGCTGACACTAGCATCGAGCGTGGCTCAGTGGTAGTACGGCAGTGGCGTCGACGCTGATGAGTACTAGTATGGGGCAATGCGGCTTCTCTCGTAGGAAATGACCCAGTAAAGCAATTTGAAGCCTTTTTAAGCCCAGAGATGTCCTAGACCCGCAGAGAAAGAACCTTCTAGACTATGTTGAGAATGTCGCTGCCCACAGAACATGTTTACAGGGGCGAATATCGCTGTACTCGGCATAAGTTTAGCGTGCTTAAGATGGTCAACCTGTTCGTTTCGCCAAATCCTACAATCTGTGACTCGCCATCAGAATCACGGTTTTAGCGGTCATTCGAAAGTCCCGGAATCGTTGCAGATCGACCCGCAAAGTATGAAGAATATGTCTGAGGTCGATAACTTCTTGTCAAAGTGCACCAGGACTCGGATTTGTTCTGGATACTCTGCGGTGAAGGAGACGATACCTGTGGGGCGTCATCACTCGAGTCACAATTCGAATTGGTCCCAATGTTCCGGGGTCTTTTATAACATAAATCTCAGAACCAATGCCACCAATCCGGCGGTCTGGGATGCATGGACCGAATGACACACTCAGCTTCCTTATATCAATGATGCTGGGAGCCCGAGCTACTATACGCTGCCTAATGTGCCATTTTCCTACCAATCTGAGTGCTGCAACAAAGGTATGGCTTCTTATCTTCCCAGAGAAGACTGAGCCCTCCGAGCTCAAGAAGCTGTACGAGCCGTTGCGTGTAAAACTGGCAAAGGTGCCTGGGTTGAAGAGCCAGAAGGAATCTATCCCTTTCCTCAGTATGAGCCCAACAATGTTCGACTTTTCTGCTGGCTGGAAGCAAGTCCGATAGCACCCGTGGGATTTCCCTTTGGCTTTACGCGTGTTCTCCAAGAACCTCGTTCGCTCCAAAGATGGCCCCAAGCGTCTCACACGGGCTGGAAGAAGATCAAGTGGGGTCGCTCCGACACCATCACACGCCACGTCGTAGCTGGTGGTACAGTGGCCGCTAATGGAGACAAGATCGACAGTGTCGTCAGTCCTGCATGGCGCAAAATGGTGTCTCACTTAGGCTTCACTAATTCGTGGGCGCAAGTGCGACTTTCGCCGAACAACGCGCCCTCCTTAGGACCATGGCAGAGGTGCAAGTCCCAATCCTGCGCTCTGTAGGGAGCGAAGAAAATACGGGGAGCTTACTTGAACGAGGCTGGTGGCTAAGAGCCAACCATTCTAGGGTGAAAACGGACCCCGTCTTTACAGTATCAAGTAAAACTATGATCCAACCGGCCTCTTACACTGCCCACACAGATGTAAGAATGGCGGAGTGTATAGGCGGTACCTAGAACAAGACAAGCTCCCCTACATCTTGCTTGTTATCATTGTCTGTCCTCCATACTTTGGTTCTTGTTTCTTATGTACATGGATATGATTTCTTCATTGTATATAAAGGATATTGAGTGCTTGTCTCTTATCCCGAATGGCCTAGAAATTTTCAGGGCCGCCGTTGAATTCACTCGCATTCGATTGGATTTGTTGGTATATCGATTTGCTGCAAGATTGCAAGGCGATGCTGTGTTTTAGGGGGTTCGATTATCGACAATCTTGAGTATTTGAAATCTAGATCCGAGGAGCTGGGATTTCTGGGGTTCGAGAGCCACGCATAGAGAACCCAAGCTCCCTTGCACATGCTCCTTCGTAACCAAGGTTTTGCTTGCCGGCCGAATTGAATGTGTTGACCATGCAAGGCTTTTGCTTAGTGTGTTCATCTACGATTTCGGTGGACTTCGAGACTAGGCCGCTGTATGAGTGCTCTCATGTGGCGAGTTGCTTATTTTGTCGTTTGGAACACCGGTTGTTGTTCCATCGTCTGAGAGATGAAGTTTCTCAGCGCTGACCATCGGTTCCCGGTTGGATTCAAAGCCGCGCTTTCACCCGTCGCACCTGCACTTGACTGGAGACTAGACATCTGAGCCATGTTCTTCGCGAACCGCTCTCGTTCCACCTTCTCGACTTTTTCGCGGCGCTTCATGGCTCCGGGTTTATGGCGGAGGGTGGTTTGTTTGATGATATTGACTTGACTGGGGGCATTATGAGAGTCCTCGGCGGCGTCCGGCAGGGCATCTGCGAGAGATTCCAAATTGGCAACTAGTTTCTTCGACGCTCGACGACGTTTCGGGGGTTTGGCCGAGCTTTTGGCAATCTTTGATAGAAAGGTCGCATGCTTGATCTGCCGCTTATCACGCTTGGAGCGGAACTCATCTCCAAAAACAGATGAAGAGGCAGGTCGACCGGGAGGTTTGGATTTGGCCATAATGGGAAATATAGGGGTGTGGCCGGGAGAAGAGGCAAATGGTCAATGTGGATAACGAGAATGGGTCGGAGACTGCATGTGAGATCAACGCGAATTTTGCGGGCTTTTTTTTTTCTTCTGCTCTCCCCCGCCTTCCTCTCCGCTCCGCAACGGAGCACCCTCTCCGGGTCCAATCACCCAAAAAAGGGGGCGAGATTAGTAAAGCGCCTGAGGAAGCCAGTCCGGATTCTGCCGGGCGGAAAGCCTCTGGCTTCCCTTGATTCACGGACTGGATTGTACCTTATGGTCAAGACTGGCGGAACCACTGGTTTCCCGCGTTGGTTAATTGTGCGCTTGGTTGCCCCCACTTCCGAGTCCACTTACTTAACCAGGGACAGCAGACGAAAATGAGCTTGCGGTGACGTTTATCTTTCCCGCTAGTCGCTAGTCTCCTTTAATTGTCGCAGACCGAGTCCACCTTTCGGGTGAACACTCACGCTCTGTTCCGGGGGTGACATCAGACCGCAGCACAATTGGGGACAGAAACTCGGCCCGGTCTCTTATCATTGGATACGCTGCTCCCCATCTGGATGTGTTCCCCAACAGCAGTTTATCGGATCTTCCTTCCTGGCTATTCCTCTGTCCTGCCTCGGTCGCCGCTAGCGACTAGGTTCCAGACTTACTGTGCTCGTGCCCGGTTGCCCCCGTCCATTTCGCAGATCTTTAAATCTGACCTCACCCCCTCGTCCGCCGCTCCCTATCTTAGACCCTTTTCTTCAGTTTCATCGGTCAATATGGGTTCAATCACTCCTCATCAGCGCAAGCACAAGGTGACTGTGGTCGGCTCCGGTAACTGGTGAGTTGAGTTTCTTCGCACACGATGACGTCGGCGGGTGCAAAAACTAACTTCATGCTCGCGTGTTCCCTACAGGGGCTGTGCTATCGCCAAAATCGTTGCCGAGAATGCCGCCAGCTACCCAGACCTCTTCGAGGAGAAGGTGGAGATGTGGGTGTTCGAGGAGAATGTCGAGATTGGCAAAGACTCCCCCCACTACAACCCATCCAACACCGGTCCTCAGAAGTTGACCGATGTGATCAACACCTACCATGAGAACGTCAAGTACCTGCAGGGCGTTCAGCTCCCCCCGAACCTTCACGCAAACCCCTCGCTGGAGGAGTCTGTGAAGGACAGCACCATCCTGATTTTCAACCTTCCCCACCAGTTCATTCTCCGGACCTGCGAATCCATCAAGGGCAAGATCCTCCCGTATGCCCGGGGCATCTCCTGCATCAAGGGTGTCGACGTCGATGAGAACGGGGCTCATCTCTTCTCCGAAACCATTGGCCGGGTTCTTGGTATCTACTGTGGTGCCTTGTCCGGCGCCAACATTGCCAACGAGGTCGCCCGGGAGAAGTGGTCCGAGACCACTATCGCCTATGCTCCCCCCTCACCTGGACTCCAAAGCCCCCTCGACGCAGGTGTCTCCTTCGCCTTCCCAGACAAACTTGGTCGAGTTCGCTCACAAGGATGTCTCGGGCAATATCTCCAACGTTAAGCTCCAGGCTCTGCCCTCGGAGTATCCCCCCGTGGATCACACTGTTCTCAAGACCCTTTTCCACCGCCCCTACTTCCATGTGCGTGTAGTCAACGATGTTGCGGGTGTCTCCATCAGTGGCGCCTTAAAGAATATTGTTGCTATCGCCGCCGGTTGGGTTGAAGGCATGGGCTGGGGTGACAACGCCAAGGCGGCTGTCATGCGTGTTGGCTTGTTAGAAATGTCCCGCTTTGGAGACAAGTTCTTCGGTGCCACCATCGACCAGCGCACTTTCACAGAGGAGAGTGCCGGTGTCGCGGACTTGATTACCAGTTGCTCTGGTGGTCGTAACTTCCGCTGTGCGAAGTACAGTATCGAGCGCAACCAGTCTATTGAGGAGGTTGAGAAGACTGAGCTCAATGGCCAAAGCTTGCAGGGCACTTTGACCGCCGTTGAGGTCAACAACTTCCTGAAGAAGCAGGGCATGGAGGAGGACTTCCCTCTCTTCACCGCCGTTTACCGTACGTCCCCGGTTTTCTTTTCTTTTTTTTTTCAATCCTGCCCTTCCCTTCCGTCATCACTAACAAACTGTATAGGTATCATGACAGGCAGTATGAAGGTGGCCGACATCCCTGCGTACATTGAGCGGTAAACACCCATATCTGATTTTGTTGCACTGTGATATTAATTGCGGGTTTTGCTTTTCCTTTCATAGACCTCCAGTGCCGCATGGCTCCGCACGAACCTCCACGGGGGCTTCTGATGAAAGTGATGACGGCGCTCGGTTTCCCGCTCGGCTTTGAGCATAGATCTACGACAACTCGAAAGGGCGAAATACTTCTAAAGATAGATTTTACGACTGTACCTATGCATTGATATAACGGAATTCCAGATCTGCGCGCCTTCAAAGTTCTTCTCCAGGTTTGATGGTCCTCTTCCTTCCCCAACGGTTCAAGATCAGTAGTGTCCCTCCAAAAGACCAGCATGGCTTCATTTCCCAGTTCCTGTGGCTGCCCACGCAGAGGTATTCTTCGCCATCCCAAGCCGATATGGGCACGAGCATTCGATGGTGCATCATGTTCTGCAGATTGCGTGGGCAAGGCTTATCGCCGGGGCAAGAGCCGTCTGTCCGTTTAGTTCGATCTGGGCTCGTGCCTTCCCCCGAGTCATTCATGTACGTGCAATCCTTTATCCAGCGAATGGTTCCGCCATCTCCGAGTCAGATAATCCAAGGACTTTCTGATCGCTCATGGAGACAAGTCAATTCGTTTCAAGCTTAGTTTGTAATTCGCTGTTGAAAGCAAAGTTTTGTGGGGGCGTCACTGCGCTAGCTGCCGATCCTCGTCCGGTTTCTATGGTGAATATCAGCCGGTTTCGCACTCATTTCGCATGAATATTGCATAATGCAGCCCCATACACAGCGTCAGCCAGCTCCTATAAGGCGAGGGCCATTACGCCGTATCTGGTAATAGATTTGATAGATTCGTTGCGATCCCTTCCCCCAAACCCTAGAATCAGATGGGTATCCGCATTGTAGTGTAGGCCGTGTGATTGGAGATGAGATCGTGCATAATCCCACTCGTTTCTGATTTGTGGATGCAGATCACATCCACTTGCCAAATCACAGTATTGTCTGCGAACTGAGCGGAAACTTATAAATGGGGCTAACCGCGCTATCACTACAGTTTCTCCTCAACCGCGTTATACCTAAACACCGCACAACATGAAATTCGCCTTCCAATTCGCTCTTCTCTCAGCCCTTTGTAACGCCGCCATTGGCCTTGGAGACGGCCACTACCTGATTGGATCCAAAGCTTTTCCATCCCAGGTTCTGAGCCAGACTTCCAAGGATCCACTTCACTTTGCGCTTCACACCAAAAATGTTACTCAGAAAGAGATATGGAATGTTGCCAAGAGTGAAAAGCAGGACTATTACTCCATCACAAGCTACCACAATGGTGAATTCATCAACAGCGACCCGCTGCTGGGCTCCACCTGCCACCTGGGGCAGCAATTCCAGCAATACATCGCAGAGTTCCAGGGCGACAACAACTACCAGCTTGTTCAGAACGGATCAGGCTACTTTTTGCGTGCTGCGGATGACGGCATCCTCGAGCTTGCCGAATATGACACTTCTAACAACGAACTCTTCACCTTCATCGCTCTCCGTACGTGCCCAGGCTGGTAGTTCCCCAGCTGTTTAGCCGGCGATCATGCTAACACCCGTGAGACTAGATAAATGAATAATCTATCCTAACTTGACGGACCATAAATGAGGCTACGTGGAAGGAATGGCGTGTTCTAATTTTGTGATACCGCCCGCGCTGGCGCGTACAGAATGGCCACACTGATGAAGCTTCAAAGTTTATGACGGATTGGAGTCTGTTAAATTCCTCCCTGATCGCATTTGGTCTCGTCTTTATTGGGAGTACTAGGCTGGGAGCTCACGAAGCTAGATATCCTCAAGCTATTTCTGTATATGGAAATACCCAATTCAAGATAATGCCATAACACATACGTTCTATCTTGGTACTAATACATATACTAGGATCAATCGTACGTTGACCCATTCAAGTTCGCAGAGGGATACTAGTAGGACTAGATTTAGTGTAAAAAGAAACTCGAAAAAGTTGTCTAATGATTTTAAAACGACAATGGATTTCAATTTCTGATAAGATGTCCATTCGCTAAACTATGCTTGTTGAGCTGCAACATAACAGCAGGATATCATAAAGTAAATCTCAGGCACGCAAGATAACACTCAAATTCAGCGTTAAACGCCCCATCGCATTCCCAACTGAATCGCCAAAAAAAAAAAAAGACCATGTCAAACCCTCTTTCATCTCAATTCGAGCTGTGCAAAAGACAGAAAAGAACTCGGGTATCTAGCAGCATTGATAGAATCCGTCCACATTTAGCTAGTCTTGCAGACCGAGTGGGCCTGGGGAACATGGCTCGCGCGACCAGTGGATTCGTCAAAGATATTGTAACCATAATCAGCCGCATTCGGAGGCGTGTACACTAAAATCCATTAGCACTTCCAATTTGGGTCGGTTGAGGATTGGAAAAACTTACAGTGGAGTGAGACGGCAACTCTATTGGGGCTCGGGTTATGAACCCGATGAAGACCGATATCGTCAGAGATGTAGGTCACTTCGTTCATGCCAAAGGTCTGAGACGACTTGATGGACAGGGGCCTGGGCGCATCCCCTTCTGGCGAATTGTAGACCGTTTCGTGGAGCTCGCCTGCCAGAACCTTCATAATGCAATGGGCATCGGCATGATCATGTATGGGGGACCCCTTTCCGGGATTCCATACTAAGAGAAGCTGTCTCGGTCAGTAAAACTTGGAAGCGCGGATACCAAATGAGTAACATACAATATTCGCCTTGTGGTTGATGTTTTCAATGCAGTTTCGGGTGTAGTTCTTGGATGTGTCGTTGTGGAAAAAGTCGATCCAGTCAGCTGGATCACTGATGTATTTCCTCGCCAAAGAAATCAAGTATTGTGAGTCCACCTCGTCTGAAGATATACCTCCTGACTCTCCCAAATGCTCCTTGATGTCCTTGACCAAGCTCTCCAGGTCATATCGTGCCTTGAATGGCTGGTAGCCAGGAGCCAGGCCTTCCGGCAAAGCACTTGTGGAAAGGACCTTCGACGACATTTTGCAAGCTGGAAGTACAAATCGGGCAGGTTGCAGAGATGGTTTATAACTTGCAGAAGTATTTGTGTTGCAAGTAAATGGATCGGGGAATATATAAGAATGACTGGCCCTTTTCGAGCAGCTCAAGACAGGACTGATAACTCAATCTCCGAACGCGTAATGCGATACTGTTATTTACGGCCTGTGTGATCGGTAGGCTTACGCCCTGGATTCAAGGGGGTCAAGAGCGGCCTAGGCTACCTTTGGGGGCTTCTGGTAGGCAGTGAAGTGCGAGGGGACCGTGGGCGTACGCGTTCTGAACAGCCCGGTCCCGTAATTCGAATACACACACGCCCGATGACGTGCCGCTCAATCGGCGATTGATCCCTTAGTCGCCGAAGGCTCCGACCGCTGCATTCTTCCGCCACGACTGATCGTTTTCTCTTATCTATTGAAATGGGCTCTAAAGTTACACCTGAAGAGGAAATAGATAAGATCCGCCACAACCAATGCAAATAGTTATGATTGTCTCGAAGAAGGCCTTCAGAGGCTATCTGCGACAAGCCTCGGCCGCTTTGTAAATTACACTCTGGAGATATGAGGGTAGATCATCCCTGCCCTAGTAGTTACTGGTAGATTGCACCCCAACCTTGGTAAACTTTGACAATCAACTCTCGATACTAGTATTGTTTCTATCTGAGCTAGCGGATTACGCCTGCGCCTCTCAGAACCTACAGTAGTTCATGTGATACTACGCAGCGCTCCACATTCCAATCTGCAAAATTGGAAACAATGGTCGTAAGGGGGTCTGAAGCCAAAGACTACGTCTTCATGGAATTTGAAGCTTAATATCCACTACTTGAAAAGTTCATGAGATGAACAAACTCAGGAGCTAAGCTCAAGACGAAGCATGGCTGCAACGAATGCTAGTAGAACCAATATTCCCCCCGCTGTGGCTACCTCAATCGAAGAGCCCATGGAGAAACCTCTGTATCAATCGATACAAAGCTAAGACCAGCTACTAGTCTCTTGCGATGGGCGGGTCTGCAGATCAGTCCTGGATAGAAGTGTCCAAGACTCTGACGTCTCCACACGCAACGGTGGGGGTTGAACATCTGGGTCGAGACTCGTACCAGTGCGCTTGAGGATGACGTCTGGGCTTATGCACGGCTCATTTGAGATGCTGATTGCGACATAATGTATATGCAAGCCAGACCAGTCGACATTATGAAACATAGGGTCAGGCGCGCTAAGTGGAAGCCTTATCATGATATGGCTACGAATGACTCGCAAAATACATGATGCTTATTGTATTCGGACCACAGGCATAGCAATAAAAAGTACACTGGTGGCTTTGGCGATTTGCGTACAAATCGCAAGGATTTTCGAAAAGATTCTAAAATTACAATTGGCTTGGAGATACGTGGCCAAGCAGCGGTCAATGGAAGGATATTTATGGAAGACCCAGCTCCAGAGTCCAGAACTTAACACACCGTGCTTTTGTCTGATTAAAATTGATATGGCAATCTCAACTTGGGCCTCGTTCACAGAATGCACCCTTTGTTGAAATTGGCGGTCTGTTCTCGAGTGATGTCGGTGGACATGGTCATTCGGCGATTGAGCATTCTGCCCCAGATATGCTCCTGGGATCCATGCAAGTCGCAGAGGTCATAGAGCTGACTTGCATCGACGATGTATCCTTCGGTAGCAATTTGGAACCTTCTCCTAATGCCAGTGCCTCCACCGTGCTTGGCAATTGGTTTACCCCGTCTCCGTCGTCCCACGAACTGTGAAGCTGCACATGACTTGCGCAGTGCAGTAAAATTTTAAGTACTGATTTACATCCTATTTAAGACTGCTTTTAGGAAACTTGAATCGAATTCAGTGGTACATATCTACTAGATCTGTGAAGCCTCTGGCTTAGGTTTGGGTCTGGTATCAAACCCTGCGAGGACTATGGCACTTTTTATTTCCTATCCTCGCCATCCTTTCGTCTCAATTATATGGGGGGACGGCATGCCAGATATTGAAAACAAGAGAGAAGTCAAGTAAGCTGTTCAAGAAGAGTATCATAGAGATGAGGCCAAGGAAGATGCGAACTTTCTGGAGAATACAACACCACGACACATTCTGATTCTGCTAATATCTTGCCTCTTATGTTCTTTCGAGGCTGGAATGCTCTATTCCACCACGCCTATTGGGAAATTTATCAGTAGGAGCCGACCAAGAATACCATTGAGTTCAATACCAGACTCTACCCTCTATTGCTGGGCCTCTCCCTACATGTCGATATCTTTTTGTATAACCACTATTAGTAGTAGCTCCTATCTAAGATCAACTCAAAAACCACATAGAGGTAGCTTGGAGTCCACCGGTGCTACTACGATATGCCAGAATATTATGATGCTGTTTCAATAAGCCGATTGTCAAGAGAGGCCCATGCTGCTACCGGTCATTCGTCTTCCCAACCAATGCTGAGGTTCCCTGCTGAGACCTAGGTAGAACTAGTGCGGTAGCGTGTTCGCATGAGTGATTCCGAGGCTTCAGGTTAGTCTCTCATTCCAAAGGTTCCACGATAGTTTTTCATGGCTTGATTGACCACGTATTAGCATGAGTATGACTAGTACAATTTGTCCACTTCCAATGGCAATAGTAGTGCTGAAGTTCAAACTCAAGTTCCAAAAATGGTTCAAAGCTTCGACTAGATACGACTGCTATACTAGTAGTATTTGAAGATTGAAGTTGGCGACTCCACGGTATCATGGGGCTAAGAGTTCTAAGGTTGTATATTTATACCGGTGCGCACCTGCCAATGGCTTTTTTGAATTCGTGCGCCGCCTGAATCTACACCTGATTGAGACTGGAGAGAGCCTACTAAGACGCGGTTATGGGCTCCTCAGAAGGTGATATTTATTCTCTCCATCCGGCAATAGCTCTGTTCGACCCAGGTGCCTACGAGCGTTTCGATCTCCAATGAAGACCAATCAGCGTGCAGCTGATGCCATTCGGGTGGACCGGGTAGTCTTGGAAACGGGATTGGGCTGCGTAGAGGCAAGACGGGCAGCACCACGGGTATAGGAGGTCGTCAAAAAGGCGCATGATAATGTATAGAGATAGCATGCCAATCTAGATTGCGCATTTTGTGACCAAATAAATATTAAGAAGCATCGTGAAAGGCGCCTTCCAGCACCCGATGGCGCTGTTCCGAGAATTCGCGGTCACGGTTTTCACCGAAAGGGAGCGGCAGCCAATCAGAGTGAGTGTTTTACGATTGGCGGCCCCCCCAAAGCAGAAACTTGACCTGCGGAACTTCGACCTCACCTCCAGCACCTCCTGTGCATCAACAGCCCACATCCTCCCTCCCTCTCCCCTCTCGCTCCTGCGATCCAGCCCTTTCCCATCAATCCACCATTGGAGGGTCTGTTTTCGTCATGCTGGCTCGTTCCCTCACGCGCGTGCCCACCCGGGCCATCGCTCGCCAATCGCTCGGCAAGTCCACGGTACGTCTAACGTCTCGCCCAACCCATTGAGCCTCATCGGAATGGACAACCGCTTCGCAATGCTTCTTTGAGGCTATCAACTGACATTCGGGCTGACTTTTCCTCCAGCGTGCTTCATCCACTGCCGCCGGTGCCGAGTCCGCCAGCTCCCCTTTCTACCTCACCCTCACTGCCTCTCTCGCAACCGCCGCGGCCGCCGGTTCGACCCTGTGGTACTACCATCTCTATGGCAAGGAGGCTTTCGCCATGACCCCTGCTGAGGAGGGGTGAGTTTTTGTTCTTTCTTTCGGTCGAATTGATCGCACCTATTCCTCCCCCGGTCATCCGAACCGAGGAATTTTGCGATTATCGATTTATGTCAGTCACGGAACAATTGGACTAATACGCCGTTTCCACTCTTTCTAGTCTTCACCCTACCGCTTACCCCTGGGTCCACGAGCGTTTCAATAAGACCTTCGATCACGCTGCGTAAGTGTGGCCGACTCTTTCCTCCATCCATGAGGTGACACTAACATCTCTATGACATTCAGCCTCCGTCGTGGTTTCCAGGTTTACCGTGAAGTTTGCGCCAGTTGTCACTCTCTGACCCGTGTGCCTTGGCGTTCATTCGTCGGTGTCATGCACACTGTCGATGAGATGAAGGCCATGGCTGAGGAGCACGAATATGACACCGAGCCCAACGACGAAGGCGAGATCGAGAAGCGCCCCGGAAAGCTTTCGGATTACATTCCCCACCCTACAAGAACGATGAAGCTGCCCGAGCCTCCAACGGCGGTGCTCTGCCCCCCGATCTCAGCTTGATCATCAAGGGCCGCCACGGTGGTTGCAACTACGTGTTCTCTCTGCTCACAGGTTACCCCGACGAGGCACCCGCTGGTGCTAGCGTCGCCGAGGGCATGAACTTCAACCCCTACTTCCCCGGTACCGGTACGTGATTTGTTGGCATGGTTGGTCTGGCTGGATTTCATCGGCGCAACTCTAATCGCTTCATTCTAGGTATTGCCATGGGCCGTGTCCTGTTCGACGGTGTTGTTGAGTACGAAGACGGCACTCCCGCCACCACTTCCCAGATGGCCAAGGACGTCGTTGAGTTCCTGAACTGGGCTGCCGAGCCCGAGATGGATGACCGCAAGAAGATGGGTGTCAAGGCCGTCGCCCTGCTGACCGGTCTCTTCGCCATTAGCGTTTGGGTCAAGCGCTACAAGTGGGCCCCTATCAAGACCCGCAAGATCGTGTACAGCCCCCCCAGTCGCTCCCCGCCGCTAAATGCGATGTGGCAAGGTCCGCATCAGTTGGTTAACGAGAGAGGCCGAACGAGGCCGTTTGACCCATTGGGCATTCCATGTACTATTACCCCAGTATCACGTTTGCCTGGGAAAGGGTCTCTCTCGTTATCTTCACTTTTTTTGTGTCAAGGGTCGTTGCCTTGTCTACCTGTTTTGTTAGATCCCTCCTGAAACACCTGTATCTGTATCCTAGATATATTCCTCTTTTTTTACCTTCCCGAAAATCGTGTGCTCGAGGAGTCTGCTGAAATCTAATTTCTTTTGTGAATGCAACATGACCTAGACGTTACGACTTTGATGGATCGCGACTTCGAGTTGGGATTCTGGGACCTTTTATTGCCTACTCGTACTAGCTACACGGTCGATAGACGTATGGTCAAGTTTATTCTCCCGAAATTAGTATGTTTCGCATTATGACGCGGCCTAAAACTGGGTATCATTGATCGTCCGCTCGCCATCCCCAAACAACCATTTATAGAAATAGTCATAGGCATGCCACATCAGGAGTTGAACTCCGTTCTGGACAGCTGCCAGCCAGCCTGGCATGCGTCCATCGGGCCCTGCAAAAAGCCGGCCCAACTTCAATAAGGAAAGGAGAACGGGTCCCCACAGCCCGCCAAACACAACTGCACCAACCTTCTGGCGGCTAGTAGTGCTGTGGAAGGAATGAAGCTGAAGGAGATATTCTTGATATGAGAATGGCAGCTCATGCTCTTTAGCGCCCGATCTCAGCAGATTCAAGTAGCGCGCCGATGGCTGCGCCCATTCTGGATCAGGGCGTAACGGTACATCGATTGTCCAGACTGACTGATTGTAAGGACGTACAGACACCGCAGATGGATCAGATTTCCCTTCAATCCGCATTTTCTTCCGCTTCTCATCTGTATTGGGAGAAAGCAGAGTGTGTGCCTTGAAGGCCTCGGTAGATGGAAAGTTGGGTACCGGATCAGTGGGTTTGAAGCCGTCCACAAAAGGATAGCAGTCAACCACCGTGTCTCGGTACCCGCGGCCTCCGCCCTCTGTAGCGATGATTTTTGCGTAGTCGGCCAACGTGACTTCGTACACCACCCCAACCAGCGGTTTGTGCCAATGGCGCCCAGTGTAATCCGGATTGCTCTCGCGTATGCTTTCCACCAGCCCAGTCTTCTCGGCGAGGAGTTCGCTCTCTGTGACCAACGTTATGTCTTCATCGGATTCGGATTTGGATTCGGCTTCGAAATCGCCAGGGGCCGCGGGATTGCGAAGCGCCGTTGCGGCGAAACAGGGTTCGATATATGGAATGCCGGGCATGTCGAATGTCAGGTGCAGCTCCGGAACGAGGACGGAAATCTGTGATAATGGCTTGATGCCGCGCATGCCGAGAAATGTTTGCGCAGCCAGATTGGACCCGTACGCCAAATAGAGTACGGACTCCTCCTTGGATGACGGAATGTCTCCTACATCGGTCCCATACTGCTCTTGTTCGTGCACTCTTTCAGGGAGCTGGCTATCCTGGTCGAGGAAGCGGCGGCAACGGATGCTTGGCGACGTTCGATTGAAGTCTTCGGGATCGCGTGGACATCGATGTCGACAGGAACCTCATGGGGACCGAGAGGAGACAAACCGGGGAGACGGGCCCACAAAGCTGAGGCACTGAACCACCCTCTTGGCGGAGTTTTGGTAGAACTGGCTGGGGAGTGATCCACGGTCATTTTACGCCCGAGCACTGCACTCCGCAAGAACGAGTTGGGCAGATCAGATGAAGTAGATTAACAGGATAGATACCTGTGTTAATGCGTATGGGCGGGGGTGTTGCGCCTGATATAGTTGGAGGCCCTGCAGCTGCGATCAGACTAATTGATCTCACCGTCCAGCTTTCGACCCAATGAACCTTCAGTTGCAGAAAATATTGCTAAGCCAGGCCGCGATTATTAATCGGGGTTCATGAGCGCGGGGATCGGATTTCTTGAGCTCCGGGGTTCAGCAGAAACGGGCCTCCGGGGACCAGGATTCATCTCGAGAATTGGAACGTTCCAGATCCAGATTCCAGGGAGAGGTGCCTGTGGGCCTTCATGAAGTGGAGCGAGGAGCGCATACTCGTAGCGCCATCGCCCATGCACATTCAATGTGGAAGAGAGGCCATTGGAGATCATTATCTTCGTCTCTTCCCGTCGTAGTTCTTTTGTAGTCCTGGTAGTCCAGTTCATGATGGAACGCCGTCATGTGATGCCGGCTAGTTTGCACCGCTTTTCTGGCAACGCACTTCCATTGTCAACCAGAATCATCTTGGAGTCATCTCAGCGCCATCTCAATTTGGGGTCTCGACCTTCAAGCCAAGTGCCCCTGAATTCCAGTCGTGGGGCTTGTCGATGACCGTGGGCGCACGTTCAACTAGGTGACAGTCTCTTGACCAAGTGAATCGGGGCTCTACCACGAGAAGCAGTAAACCGGTCCAGCTTTCTGAAAAGATGAAGACAGGAGGGAGTTACATTTAAGTTATCTCTGGCTCTTACAAGATATTTGCCATTGGTCGATAACGAGCACGCCATCCCGGCTGTACGACGGGTATATTCGGGATCACCAATCATGTCTAATCTGAAGCGATTGAAACTCTCCTCCCCCCGAAATCCCAGAGGGTCAATTCCTTCTCACGAGACAGTGGAAATTCCAAGGAAGAAAAATTCTCTACGCCTCAAGACAGAAGTAGACTGGAATGAGGATCTTCGCCCTACTGACGATGAACACCAACCCCAGAGTAAGAGCGAGATCGAGAGTCCATCCATTCCATCCCAGGAGCTATCCCGTGAGAGTGAAACAAAAAAGACCCATGATCTTCGGAAAAGTGGTCCAACGCCTCTAGCGGGGTCTACCAAGCGAAAAACCGCGAAGAAACGCGAAAAAATGGAGAGAGACCGACCAAAAATCGGCACACTGCCCCTAACTGCTTTAACTGCTGCTTCGAAAACCAAGTCCCGAGCGAAGATTATTGGCTCAGACCGTAAACTTACACCAATGTTGCCGTGTGCACAAGGCATCATCGAAATATCGAGCGTTTCTTCCGCCAGCTCGAGCTCAGCCAGTTCCTCCGATGATCTTAATGCACCCACTGTTCACCTGAAACGTTCTCTTTCAACGACTAACGATGGCCGAGGTAAAGCAGTTGGCCAGAAACTCGCCCATGCTCTTCGGGAAGCTGATCTACCCTCAAAAGCCCGGGATTTACCTGGGCTTATGGCTCTTGATCAACCTGTAGCCACCGAGCATGGCCAAGAAGAGACAAAGAGTCCCCCTTCACGGATGTCCTCCATCGATAGCTCAGCTCATGCCTATATTGACCAGGTTCAAATGCTACTCCATGGCCAAAACCGGACAGCTTCTGCTACGGGGAACAAGCAGTCTCCAGGCCTTAGTCCTTTTCGGTTCGCGGCGCTAACTACATTGTCGCCAATCGGGTTGCCGGATGATTCACTATCAAATGAACAACAACAGCAAAAAAGGGCAGACGGCATTGAGCGTCATCTTTTACCTCAGAATTGTTCGACTGATACGACTGAGCAAGGTCCAATAATTGCTCACGAACATCATTCCGGAGCTACGCAGACTCCCGAGTCTCAGAAGCCGCTACTCATTCAGCAGACGCCGTTGCCCGAGAGTCCGAGGACCGGTCTCACTAGTGCTGGACTCAAAAGTAGCATTGTTGATCAAAACGGCAGCCCTCGCCTGAAGGATTCAACCGTCGCAAATCCTAGTTCTAGAATGCTTTCACATGACCAGCTGACAGAAATGGATATCGATGGCAATCCGACTACTGCTAATTTTTATTACCTCAGCGAATGCTCCGACAGTGACTGCTCTGACTGCTCTGACTGCTCTTCAGATGATGGGCCCATCCTTCGGTCTAAGCTCCCATGTTCCAAGTTTATGCGCACTATGCTTCTCGAGTACGGACTTGATCCTCTCAAGGCCCGCGAGCAGCGAGATTGTGAGCTGTTGGCGGGCAAACATGATGCCCCAGCCGATTCGGACCCCATGGGGCCATTCGAAACTTTTTTCTATCCATGTCCAGAAGACGACTCAGCAGTCCCTACGCAAGACAGCCATGCAACTAATCCTTTCAATATCACCAACAGACCAAAAGAGCGCGCTGAAACGACGGGACGAAACTCTATCAAGTATCCCTCAGTTGAGCGACCGCGAAGTGCTATTAATCCATCAAATAAAATAATTCCTCCACTCCCAGCTGCCTGCCAGCCCGCCGGTCTCGATTCAACGGACTGGATAACAGATCTTCAAACCGCGCAAAGCTATGCTCATAGCCTGTTGAACAAAACAAACCAGGTATGCTTTCTCATCGGAATGCTTCTGCACGGAAGCACAATTAATTATACCTTGAATGTAGAGTCTCTCTAGCCAGCTTGCGACAGAGCATGAAGCCGTGCGTCACATCCTGGCACTGTATCAGACCGGGTGCCACCGCATTCTGGATAGCATTGCCCGGGCACAAGCTATTCGAATGCAAGAGGTGTCGACTATGAAAAACAGGATTTACCAGGATATTAGCTCGGGCTTGCAGGAGCTGACTTGCCGAGTGCAGGAAATGCAACAGGAGTAGTTTCGCCCGGGGAGTTCGCCGGGAAATGGAAAGCGAAGGCAGCCTTGGTTTTTTAACTTTTTTTTCTATAGAATTATGGGGACACACAGTTATACGATGTATAACAGGAGTGTATATTTAGAGAAAATGTGAACTGTGTCGGCTGCAAGCTCCCTTGTGGGGGGAAATCAGTCCACCTGGGACGATTACAATTGTCGAGGGTTCTGGGCTTAATTATATACACAAAACATCGCCTTCCCTTTCCTCGCCCCCCGATTGGCACACTCTCACCGATGATCACGTGTGCGTGATTGAGTCATTATACGGCTTTTTTTTTTCTTCGACCTCACGAAGTCTTCCTTATTACTTCCTACGATAATCGCTCCGCAAGACTTCCTTTGCCAGTCTAGGATATTCTTTTCCTCCTGATTCTGTGGCATCAATCTCCGCGAAGCCCTGAAGCCCTCGTCTCCTGCCCCGCCATGTCGGTGAGTTCGCTCCATGTGATCAACTCCGAATACTTCAAAACATTGACACCAATTGAACTCTAGTTCTTCATTGAAAACCCCAATGTGGGTAATCATAGTCACCTAGAAGACTCCCGAAGTTCGTCTCTCCCATCAATTCCTTCAATGGAAGCTCCACGCTAATTCGAAGCCAGTTCTCGGCTACAATCCCCTCACCCCACCAAACCTCCTCCAGCATGAGATCGCCTTGACAGAGAAGTCACGCCAAACCGTCCTTCAAGGACGTGAGGAGGCAGTGGCCATTGTACACGGGACTGATACCGAGAAGCAACGTCTGCTTGTCGTAGTTGGCCCCTGCTCGATCCACGACCCAGACATGGCGCTGGAATACTGTGATCGTCTTCTGAAATTAAAAGAGAAGTACGCCGATGAGCTGTTGATTGTCATGCGATCCTACCTTGAGAAGCCGCGCACCACAGTCGGTTGGAAGGGCTTGATCAACGATCCCGACATCGACAACAGTTTCAAGATCAACAAGGGTCTTCGTACTTCCCGACAGCTCTTTGTCGACCTAACCAACAAGGGCATGCCCATCGCCTCGGAAATGCTCGACACCATCTCTCCCCAGTTCCTTGCCGATTGTTTATCGCTCGGCGCTGTGGGCGCCCGTACTACTGAGTCACAGGTCCACCGCGAGCTGTCCTCAGGTCTGTCCTTCCCTGTCGGCTTCAAGAATGGCACCGACGGTACTCTTGACGTGGCTGTTGACGCTATCGGCTCTGTGAAGCACCCTCACCACTTCCTGTCTGTGACCAAGCCTGGTGTGGTGTCCATTGTGGGTACTGTGGGCAACCCTGATTGCTTCGTTATTCTGCGGGGTGGTAAGAAGGGCCCCAACTACGATGCCGCTAGCATCGCCGAGGCCAAGTCCAAGCTCACTGCGAAGGGCTTGCCTGCTCGTTTGATGGTGGATTGCAGCCACGGCAACTCCGAGAAGAACCACAAGAACCAGCCCAAGGTTGCGGCTGTATTGAGTGAACAGATCGCGGCCGGTGAAGACGCTATCATGGGTGTGATGATCGAGAGCAATATCAACGAAGGAAACCAGAAGGTTCCCCCCGAGGGTAAGGCTGGCCTGAAATACGGTGTCAGTATCACCGATGCCTGCATCGGCTGGGAGGACACCGAGACCACCCTCGAAACTTTGGCACAAGCCGTTCGTGCCCGCAGACAGAAAACCAACGGAGCAAACTAAGACATCTATGTCTCGGGGTTTCTTTTTTTTTGATTTCAGTATTGGCCCTTTTGCTCGAAATTTTTGTCTTGATAATGACACATGATTGTATCAACGGAAGGGGCATTTTCCGAGCGGTTACTAGAACTAACAAAAAGTTTTGAAATACGATGATATCCATGGGTTCTTAGCATCACCTGGACTTACCATGCGCAAGAAATATAGAATCAAAGTGATTAAAAAGTCGGGTTGCCATTGTCCGCCAGTAGCTCTATTTTGGGATCCAAGTTCTGTATCCTCCTGCTCGTAGCTTCGTATACTACGAGCTTGAAATAACTATGGGGTATGAACATCACTTCAGTCTACTAGTGAACGCCTGAATGAATATTGAATGGGAATATGTGAGCAAAGGAATATATGACAAAGATCTTGCAAATGACCGAGTGGGGACATCCACTTCGGTTGAACCCAGCTAACATGCTCATGAACCGAGGCTCTTCCAAGGCCCTCTCCGTAACCCCAGCTCAGTAATCTTGAAGTCGACAATACACGCAGCGAAAGCAGGCCGGCGCATAGAAGCAGCATCATCACGGACGCCGGCCGAGTTGCGTTTTCCTTTAACGGAGGGTGCGGACTTGCGACAGCGATCTGCTCCATATCGACCCGTAAAATCAACTTGCAGCTGGGAAAACTTGCGCTTCCTGTTGGGTCGAGACAGTGCATGTTGCTCTTCAAGGCTCATCAAACTAACCGAGTCAATGAGACCGCTTGGACCGATATTCACACGCTTGCAGAATGGAGCTGCAGTATCTTGGGGTGCTGAGGTGTCGATGTCAAACAATGTCGCCTTTCCAGAAGCGTCGAAAGTCCAGATTCTCGCGCCACCGTTACCTGTCTGGATCGCCAGATCCACCAAGTTGCTCACCCGACCTATCTCTTTCCCATAGACCTTGAATGGCCACATCATGGCCGTTGCTCTGTAACTGACACTCAGTAGAAAATCCCAATCCCCGCTCTGGCTTTCGGCGAGACTCTCTTGGTGCTTGCGAGAGTGATCGGAGTCCAAAAACCAGTCGTGGGCCAGGTTACTGTCCCCCATCACACCGTTGACCAGACGTTCACGCTCATTCCGGATCACGTTGAATACGTCGAGGGGTATAGAAAACAGCACTATGCGGTCACGGTAGGCAGCGACGACACGTAAGCCCCAGCTCAAGTCTGAGCCGACTGCAAAGGCTGTTGGTGTATGCGCATCTTTGGAAGGGCTGCATCGGCCTTTCTGCAATGGAGGAATGCATACGAAGGCTCGGGTTAGACTGGCTGGGCCACCAATAGGGGCGTCCGAGCCAATGCATAAGAGACCGGTCCGGGGCTCAACGAAGATCATATGATAACCGTCATTTATTGGCGCTGCCCGGTAATGGTGGCAATGGGTAGCGCGGACGAGGTTGAGTGATGATGACCTATTCAGAGAAGCCTTCCGATTGCAGGACCTGTTGTTCCCAAGAAAGTTGAATTGGCATTTCTTGGCATGACCAGAGAAGGAGGATTGACGACATGCACACTCGGGTATACCGGGCCCAGCCATCGAGGATATAAGCCGCAGTTCGTCGGGGCTTTCGGGAGAGCTTGCCAGAAAGTGCAAGACTTCAGAGGGCTGGGACATTGGGAAATGTCGACGCTGGTCTTTCTGTGTTGCTTCGTCGACCCAGTGTATCTCGATGCCAGCGGCGCATCCGAAAGCCACGCAGCGACGACCTGGACAAAGAGCCATGGTCTGAGGAGGGTGATCTTCAGAGCAAACATTATAGTAGTAATGAGGTGATCCATTTGATGATGATGATGATGATGGTCTCGGAGCACAACCTTGAATATCGTTTCTATCATCGCCGTAGTCCCCTATATCGCATATCATGCCGACACGATTTCGCAGCAGTGCAGCCACCACGAGGCGCGGCGTACTTGTATCTAGAGTTGCCGATACAACCTCAGAAGAACAGGATATGCTGGATATGAGGGTTATACCGGTATCTTCCGATTTCGTCGAAGATATGGCCTTGGATCTCCTGTCATCGAGACGATAAGTGTAAATCATGTAGCCGCTGGTAACAATAACGTAGCCACCACATCCGCTGACATTGAAACTTTTGACAGCGCTTGAGGCTTTGCTTTGCGGTGTTGTTGAACAGAGACCCTGGGAGCCATATCTTCTACTCTTCCGGTGTGACCCTCGCGAGAGTTCCGAAAAGTCTGTTATAGCAGCGATCTGGAAGCCGGGCTTTTCGACACCGACTTTTCTTCCAGAGAGCAGACATTCCGTTGCAAAACGCTTGCTCATTCTCCACACTTCACTTTCATGGCTCAATAATGAGGAGGCCTTCTGCCGTGCATTGTCCTGCCGCCATGCATCCCACCACCCGGCCCTCCTTAGCATTATCTCCAGGAGTCTCTTGTTTAGCCCGACTCTCATCCATTGCGAGCATGTCCTCCGCGCGTTATCAAAGTCTCGTGGCGACAATAAAGCGAATATTTCCAGGAGGATCTCCGCTGGGGCAATATTGGCAGCTGAAGATGATGGGGTACCGACCACTTTGTTGACTTTTAGGGTGCAGGGCTCTGGTGTTCGCAAGACACGGTTGGTGTGAGACCTTAGGGTTGGCATCCCGTCACCTAATCAACTCGGTATGTTCCGACATGCACTACCGTCGATGAAGAGGTCTGCTTTGCAAAGTGCTTGCGCGGGTGCGTTATCTGGTGTATGGAGGTAGGAAAATATAAGAGACCAGCGACTGTCGTTGATTAAATCCGGATTTGCTGCGTACGGGATTCATGCAACATCCAAGAGTAGAAGACTCCACCCAAGAAATCGGCCGATGAACCGCTAATGTGGGGAAAATTGACAGAGTCTCGATCGCGCAAGACCCTCAATCGATCTATTCGTCCTAATCTGGTTCAATGGGACTGCCAGCGGTAGTATTACCGGATTGAGGGAATTCGGGGAATCAGGGCACACAACTCGGGCTTTGAGAGGGGACGAGTATGTTGGCAAGGTTGTATTCCCACATATAAAGAAGACAGTGATACTGAAAGCGGTGGATCAAGAATCTGATACCTGCAATCCTGGAATAACAACAGTACATGGGCAGGAGATGACTGGAGGCAAGGGCCCTCGGCTGCATGAAAACACAGTATTATACGGCAAGTTGGAAAACCTTCGTTTGCCATCTCGGGGGCGATGGCGATCTGACATCGCCTCGGCTGAGACACGAGCCACGTTGATGGCAGAAGACCGAAGAACGTAAATGTGGAGGTATCAGGCCTCCGAAAGGTGTTAGCCGCGACAACATGGCCCTGTTGCCTTTCGAATCCATCAAAATGACAGGTCGGATATGAGCGGGCCTGCAGAATGGAAGAGGCAACGTCCCAAGGCGTGCTGCTCGGGCCTGAACCGCATAGGTCACCCGTTCAAGGCATCTGTAACTCTCGCATCGAGTAACAAACCCATGTGCATTCCTCGAAGTCCGCGATCTCCGGGCTAAGGAATGTGGGCAGCACAGTCCGAATGCGGCTGTGCGAGCCCTTGGCAGAGCCTGTCACCGGGTTGACGAGAGACAAATTGGCTCTATAGACTGTTTACGAGCACAACAACATCCTTGTCTCACTGGAAGAACGGCTGATTGGCAGCGGGAAAGAGGGAGAAGCACGGGGAACATTGTTGATGCTCGGCGCAAGGCCAACCCCCCAGGAAATCACCAGGAATGTGGTGTTGCACGCCATGTGGACCGTGGATTCCAGAAGCATACAAGTCTGGCTTATTTAGGTGATTCCCCCCGTTTCCATATGTTTTGTATGCTTTTTTTCTCTTTTTTTTATCCTTTTCAAGCGAGGCGGGGCTTCGACCAACCTGACGTGGTCATCCCTTGCAATGGCCATCTGCCGTAGGTTCCTTTCCAATCATCCCCTAGAGTGCTCTCAAGTTACTGAATACTACTTTGGAGCCAAATTCTATGCATTTCCATTATTAAACTATGTCAAGGGTAGTGGATATCACAGTCGTAATCATTATGTACCAGAGAGTGGAGGGGAGAAGAAAAAAATTCACAATAAAAGTCAGATGGACATTAATGGGGAGCAGAACGTTGTCCATTGCCCTGAGGAGAATGGCGACCCGGGAGCCATGCATCATGCAGCGGCACGATTAAGCTTGGGTTCACATACTTCTTCAGCCGTAGCTCCAAATCGCGCCCTCCAATATGGATAGGCATCGCGTCACGATCGAGGCCGGATGGTGGTGAAAAGGTTGTCGAAGGGGAGACGGGGATGTCTCGCTATTGTCTGGCTGATCTCGGTTGATGCTCTTCAGAGCAATGAACTTCATCAGCGGTTCGTAGGTCCCAGAGAACCAATAACTAAACCAGACGGTGAATGCAAGGAGAGGGAGCAACACCAGCACACGAGTCACGTATTGCTGAAGACCCAGAACACCGATCATGGCAAGTTGAAACACGACCAAACCAGCAAACACACGGTTGCAAATCATCGGCCACGCTCGCCCGGTAGAGTGCTGCTGGTGATCCATCGCATAGAGCAGCTGATATTTGTAGATGAACATCCCTATACTGAAGTAGACAAGGCCGAAGATGCAAATCAGCCAAGAACTCGGGAACACACTGTACACAATGCAAATGATGAAAATCAAGATGGTCTGTGGAATGGAAAGCCCGTAGCTGAACTGAGGCGGCGTGGACAATTCCGCGTACTCCCGGGGAGTGCTCGCCATCATGAAACGAAGTGGGTAGAGGGCGACACTACCGAATTCGAGAAGTCGGAAAGGAAAGAGTCCCAAGCCTTGAAGGACGAGCAAGTTGATATAGAAAGGGGCAAGGCCTTCCAATGAGTTGGCCAAGGCGAATGCGATGGTCTCTGTGTCTTTGAAAGCATCACGCAGGTTTTCCCAGAAGCCGAGAAACCCACTAGCTGTACCGAAGACTGTAAAGATCAGGAATAAATTGAAGAACGAGAAAAAAAAAGTTTTTAGAAATGACCGAAAGCTCAACATCCCCACGGGACATCATGCCTTGGTTCTTGGAAAGCCCTAGCGGTTGGTTAGGATGAGTAAAAAAAATGTTCTCTTGCAATCGTAGAGAGGTAACTTACACTCATATAGATATGGCACCGCGATCGTCAACAGCGAGAATGCTAAGGTTGGGAGACCAGTCTTCACGAGCGACTTCAGGATAGGGTGCTGAGAGAGGGCGTCGGCAAGGCCTGGCAAGAATTTATGCAATGTCTCGAGGTCCAGGAGCGAGGCGATCGGCAGGAGAAGAACGGACCAGAAGATAGTCAGAAAGCCGATCATGATGCTAATCGACCATGACTGGAACATTCTGCGTGGACGAGAGAGGTATGTATTCTTCCAGATAACATCAGCGGGAGCAGGGGCAAGGCGAGCGAACATTTGCATAGGGTGCGGATCAATCGTCGCCTGGACAAGCATTTGAGAGGCTGCAATCGACTCCATGGTGACGAAAGCAACGCTCGTTGGGGGATATTCCTTTTCTCGAGCTGCCAGGATCTGTTCATTGATCTTGCGCAACCTCTCCTCATAGTAATCGATGGCGTCGATACTTCGGTGCTGAAGCTTGAATAACCCATACCATACTCGGACCCGCGGTCGCTCATTGGTATAGTCAGAAATGTAATGTGGTTGCTCGACTCCCGCTAGAAGTCGTGAGCGCTCATGATCTTCGTCCAACGGAGGCTGGTAGGTCAAGGGAAGGATATCCCCGTCTTGCCGCCGCTCATCATGTCGACGTTTATATCCGATATGCTTTGTCCAAGCTCTTTCCAGAGACCGAAGAATTTCCATGCGTTCGTCGATCAGTCGGTCTAACTCTTCCCATTTTCGGCACAGAGTGACCGTCTCCACTTTGCCGACTCTTAGACCTTCCACAAACTTTTTGATCTCATCTTCCGATTTCAACTCGGTTGGGATTCCCGAAAGGCGAACCGTGCGATCCGTAGTGCTTGTCTGGTTTCCAAGGTAAGACTGTCGAGTACGAATGATCTTCGTTGTTTCTTGCAACAAGAAATAGAAGGCCAACCCAGTGAAGATGTAAGGGAAGACCACATACATCCACAGATAAGGCGAATCAAATAGCTCGTCCTTGTCCTTCTTCCCCTTTCCCAGAGAAGAAGTCGTACCATTCTCGGGTGGAACAATATCGTCCCATCCCGGGACTCCGTATTTGCCGGTATTCGCATAATGTAAAGGTAGGATAATAGTCAAGGCGAAGATGCACACGGAGAATAGAAGCCGAATAGCGAACTTGAAGAACGACAGGAACTGAATGAATCATGTAAATGGTTAGCAGGTCCTCCTTCCGCTTTTGAGAGTACTGTAGATTACCACGTATGCGTCCAGCCCAGCGGAGTGTAAGACTTCCTCCTCCGTAATGCGATAAACGACTGGTATCCAACCGAAAAAGCTATCGGGAAGCTCTGGCAATTGCGAAGCAGCATTTCTCTGTTTCCTCCGAGCAGCGTAGAGCTCAGTCCATTTAGGTCGCAGTACACAAAAGGCCAAAAAGGCTCCCAGGCCGAGGGCGAAACTAATCACAAACTGGGTGTACAGATCGCGTTGCCCGTCGGTCGGAGGTCGGCCAGGCCTACCATCATCGGGAGTCTTGGGGTCTTTCGCAAGCGCGGTCAGCATAGCTGTCGCCGCAGATGTGGTGAAAGACATTTTCTGGATCAGAGGGCGCCTTGCGCCTCCGCGATATTGGGGGGAGGAATATCACGTCGAGGAATGCTCCAGGCGGTGGTTTCTTCAAGTCATGCGGCGCAAGGGGTTCCAAGGGGAGGGCAGCAACGGCAGAAGGGGTATAAGGGAACGGCAGAACAGTCAGCGTCACAGTTCACCGGAGCCCTCGTGGTTTCAAAGAAAAACAAAGGAGTCGAAGAAGCAACTTGTTTTGGCCGGCGATGACGATCCGGGTGGGCTGCCCATCTGAGTCAGCATGTGTGGAGCCCTGGAGCTAAGCTTCCACCGGATGCGTTTCAGAAGGTCCCCAGTGCGCACTACTTCTACTGCTCCGTTACGAGAGATTCGAAGAAACTTCACCAAAGCTCAAAATTACTTCCATTAATTGTTAATAGCCCACAGATATCGATCTATTCTAGTATGCAGCTGGATATGCAAAGACCAACTTCGAGATAGGGAGGTATGATGGAGCAGGATTGGATTCGGGTTAGAAGAAAATGCAACGTTCGTATGAGAAATTCAGAATAGTATCATGTGCAAGTCCTGCAAGAGACAGAGACCAGGTCAATGATATGCTTAGGAAACTTGGGTGGCATCGTAGTAGAGATCCAAGAGACAGCCAGCAGACCAGGACTGGGTAGGAGACTGCCACAAGTTAGCGCATGATTGACAAATCGATCAGTTGAATGAATTGGAAGACTCACGGAATCACGACACTCTTCGCCATTCTTGTTTGTGAGTTCATGTAGTCCTCTCCATGGGCTTTCTCGCAATGCTTTCTTGCATCCATCAAGTCGGCGAGTGATCTGCTGGAATGACTCAATACGGCCCTCCGGTGTCTCACGGCGCTTGAGGTCAAAGTGTAGAAGAGCACGAAGGAAATACCCGCGCGGCCATACCCATTCGGGGCCTTGATGATAGTTCCGGCCCTTTGCGGTGGCAAAGTCATCAGAGTCGTCTGAGTTAACGTAGTATGGGCGATAATTGAGGTCCGAAGGATCCAGGGTTGCCACCCCAACAGGTCCCAGAATAGCCTCGTCAGCGATGGACAACGCCTTCAAAGCGTTCTCCGGGGTGAAAAGGGATGGTGCGACTGCCATAGCAATGGTGAAGTTCGACCGAAGCTGGTAATCCTCAAAGGGCTTTCCAGACTTGTACAAATCCTTATAGATTCCACGTCTGTTGATGATGCTGGCATCCACATCGTATTGGCTGTCATCCTTGGGGTTAGCGGGGACAAAATAGCACCGTTCAAAGTTACTCTTGAGCTTGTCAGCCCAATCCTTGAAGGTAATCGACTTTCCTTCGCCGATTTCAACGCCCTCGTGCGGGTAAATCTTAGATTGTTGTAGCTCGGTAACCCAAGATAAGGCACTGTATAAGAGTCCGGTGATCTCAATAGCAGCCCCATCTCTAGGTGTCCCGGGAAACCTTTGTTACCGGCCTTGGCACTTTCCCCCATCTTGTCTTGCCAGGTACCGCAGTTCCATTGGCTACCACCGAAGATGATTCCAGTTTCCCAGTCGACTTTGATCTCGATGTCAAACCCTTCTGGCTTCATCTGGACGTCGAGAGCAGGCCCAGCATTGTACTCCCGGAAGGACATACCCCGCGCATGTCTCTGGAACACTTCTTGGATGATTTCCAAAATAGTTGAAGACTGAGAATAAGCCCGGGGGTCATCATGGGGGAACCAGGTGTCGTCATATGGAAGGAAACGCCGCGGGACCTTCTCTTTAAGCAGGTCGATCCCGTTTGGAGCCATCTTAACATAGTCTTGGATCGTCTCCAAGAAGAACCATACGGAATCTCTGGAATTGTACCTCGGAAGTTTGCCACTGCTCAACAAGTTTGGTATCATACCGTGTTTCAACACACTGGCAAAAGCAAAGATATGTTCCTTAGCCTCTTCAAAGCGGCCGGTGCAGAGGAAAAGCCCACGGAGCGAGATGAAGACATCCCGACCCCAGCATCTCGCCCAGTCAACAGCGAAATGGGGCAACCCTGCGGCAAGACTAGGTACCTGCTTCGTCGGCCACAGGGAGGCGGAGTTGACATATCCTGTTTGCTGGATACTGACCATCGCAAGCTGATGAACGAATTCCTGGCCGTGGCGTACGTTGTCGCTCAGCTGATGAATACCCCTTTTCCAGGCGGCATTGTACGCAACTTGCACGATTATCGCGAAGTACCGGGGAAGGAGGAAATTGGGCAACCCCCTAACGGCATCAAACTTCTCACGCAGCCAGGCGCTTGGCTTGTTTAGGCAGCGAAGCCCTCTTTCGAAGCCACATTGGCCATGCGCCCGACGACATAATCTAGTGCCCATTGACCATCTCGGAGATGATCACACAAGGGATGTCCGAGCTGGTTATACTTAATGATATCTTCAAGAACGCTCCACCAGCCTTGAAGACCAGCGTAAACAAGTGGACCGTGGTTGGGAATGGTGTACACGCCATCTCTTCCGTCGCTAGAGTCTCTCTCTTCTGCGTCGCATCGATAGAGAACAAAGTTCAAATCAACAAGGCTCAGCTCTGAAAAGGCCTCGTCAGCTCCGCTCGAGATGAAGTTTTCCAAACCGTCGGCATGCTCAGTACTTGGGATCCACGTTTCGAATAGGGCGATGGAGCCAGGAACCAAGCTCTCAAGGACGGTGATTGTGACATCATTACTATCGCCTTCGATATTGGTACCATTGACATCCCTTGTATGGCTTGGAAGGCCCTTTAAGAGCTTTTCATCACTCAGAACCTTTGACTTTGTATCATCACCGGCATCTACAGCAAGGACCCAAGAGCCGAGATGCTTAGCTTGGGTGCCTGTGATGTGTGTCGGAGACAATCCAGCACCACTTTCATTGCCGGGGAACGCAGTGTGGGCGATCAGGAAGATTCCCTTTCTGGTCTTTGGGTGAACTCGATGGACTGTAATATACTCCCCATCGTGGTGAATGTGGGTTTCGTCATAGCCCTCGACTCCCATCATCGTGTGAAGCTGATTCAATAACTTCTTCACACCGCCAATCCCGTCACCGGCGCCAATTTGAAGCTCCTGATCACCGGAGAATGGCGACTCGTACTGTCGGGTCTCATGAACCAAGTCAACAAGCTTCGGATACACCTCATCGTAGCCCATGACACTTCCAATGGCTGAGGCGCACATGGCAACCAGAGCGGCATTGGGTAGGGTGTCCCGTGGGTCACGCTTTTGAGCAGGGACCTCGTTGTCATGAGTGCAGTCCATGAACAGTGCCTGGACAGGGGTGGGACGAATATGGGTGATATTTTCTTTCGAGCCGCCAGCCTTAGCGGAAGCGATAGCATGGCTACTGCCTGCAGTGGGTAGATCTACATCGAAACTACCGATCGGACGGCCGCCATGACGATGGACCAGACGACTCAGTTCAGCCGTGCTCCAGGGCTGCATAGCCTCTCGAATGAGAGCGCTGATACCCAGTCTCTTAACAAAAATGTAATCTGCCTCTTCGGATCCTGTGAAAAGTTCCGCGAAAACGGTCAAGTTCGGACGCACTTGTCGTGCTTCGTCAAGCAAATATTCCGCGACAACTAATGGGGTAGAGTGGCAGTTGTCAATGCGGAATCCCGAGAAGTATTTGGCCATGAGCCGGGTATACTTGGTCATGAAATCCCACAAGAAAGGCGAGTCTTTTGGTGAGTTACCGTATCGGAGCTTGACACAGTCACCCCAGACAATGACTTCTCGACGCAGGTAAGCCTTCGAATCCGGTCCAGCATTGTCGCGCATGGCATCGGCATTCCAGATCCAGCCATTGTTCGCCAGGGCAAGGGCTTTGGGATTGTGCTTCTTCGTGACTTCGTTTATTGGGAGACGAGTGAAGTAAGACTCAATCAATGGGCTCTCCTTGGTCACAGGGCCGAGCTTTGGGCCGTGATCATCGATTCGGAGATATTTGGTGCGATTGAAAAGTTGATCGAGGATATCAGCCAGGTCCGTATCGTACTCTTCGTATAGAGGCAAGTTAACGGCATCGAGTAACTTGGCTAGTGATGCTTCTGCATCTGCCAGGTTAGAGGAGCTTAAATCATGGTCGCCATGCAGAATAGTCAAGATAGCAGCACCGAACGAAGCATCTACTTTCCGCTCGAAGCGGCCGCGGACTTGCTTATAATTTGGGATTCCATGTTCACGAACAAGTTGCGCTTGGTCCTTAAGAGACATATTCTGGAAACCAGAGAGGAGATCGCCTTGAACGATGCTCTGATCAGCCTTACCTTCCGTCCAGGCAGCTTTGATTTCACTGGCGCTGGCCTTGACATCCAAGGCATAGTATTCCCACAGACGCAGGGAGTCAATGACTTGTTTTCGGAGCGCATTCATAACGATGACCAAGTCATCCACTGACTTGAACTCAGTGGGTAAACCGAGGCTTTCCAGATCATCGCTGAACTTCAGCAATGCAGTGTCTAACTCCAAAGCGGACTCAAGCCAAGGCGCGGTCTCGACACTGTAACCGGCCTCTGGGTGCTCCTCTAGCCACTTGCTGTTATGCGCCGTGTGGTTCCAGACAACGTCGGTTAAAGTCAGCAACCCATACTCCTTCTCCATGCGAGACACCAGAGATGCGACATCGCTCTCGCCATTGGGGAATAATGCGGAGTCAAAAGTCAACTGGTCAAAGATACTGTACGGCGAATTTGATGCGCCGCGTGCCATGAGCGGTGTGAAATGGACCATATTGTAGTTCCGTTGGCTGATTCCATGGAGATGCTTGTCCCAGTCAACAGGGTACTGACCCATAAATTTCGAGATGACCGAGAAGATGGACAGGGCATTGAGTGGTAGATCCTTGCCCTGTAGAGTCAAGCGGGGCGAGACGTCAATGTAGTGGATCGGGGTCTTCGTAGGCTCAGACGTGGGCACTGATTCGACCGAGAAGCTGGGGAGCGGGGTGAAAGTCGCATAGTACGCGAACGAGCCCGCAACCTTGATCGGAATGTCGATTTGGATGTTCTCGTTGAAATTGGGTTGCAACCTAATCGCGGCTTAGAACTTGACCCGGGAAAAGAACCCATTGGGGGTTGTGAGTACAGAGTCCTCCATACCTAAATTCACGGAACGTCTGGCGGTCAAACGCCTTGTCTTCGGGGATGTTCACCCACAAGCTGCCCTGGCGACAGATGGAGCTAGTGCCCTCAATGATGAATCGCAGGATGTACCCTGAGTCGGTGGGAGAAGGGAGGTAAATATAACCTCCCGGGACATCAGGTGAGCCATCATCCTTTAACGGGAGCAGGTGAGCCTGCGAAGAGCTCATGGTTGAGAGAAACCGATCGGAGGCGAAAAGAGCTCAAGGATTCAAGACCCCCGGGTGAGCGAACGTAAGAGCCTGATTGTACAGGCAAGGGGGGGATTTGAGAAGAGGAAATCTGGGGATTCCCCCACTTTATAATCGGAGAGGGGTAGGACGGTAGGACGGACTTTGGAGGTTTTGGTGCTTCCGGTGACATCATGCATCGTCCGGGGGGGAGGAGGGATGAGCGATGAGGGATTGGGGGGATTAGCATGAGCGATTCCAAGGTTGTCCGTGTTCCAAGGTTATATTTTATCGCTTATCCGTCACTCCTGTGCTAGGAACCCGGGCAGGCCTTCATAGCCTCCCATATTCTTTTATTAGTACCAGCTCCATTTGCATTGTCCAGTGTGTATTCCCTGTTTTGTGTCCAGGACCGACAACAGGAACTCCTATGCCGATTCTGGTTTTATGGGCCGTGGCCCAGACCCCAATAGAGCCTCACGGGTAAGTCTTGGAAAACTTGAATTTGTCGAACTCAGAGTTTTCATTGGACATGGAACTGCTTTGCTGTCGAGCATCCCACCACACCACATCTACAGTGGATCGGCGAAATCTGGGATCTTCCAGCTTGCGCAGGTTTACCCATGCCAGGCTTCCGGATCCAGGGAAACCACGGTCGCATATGGTATGCTCTATCACCATTGACTTGATCTCTTAACCTAGTTAACTTGAATTAGTCTACTGGTTAGTCCACCGGTTAGTTACTCGTACAAGATAAGGTAAGCAATGCACCAGAGGCCCCGAGCCTCGGATGCTTTTCGTTTATCAGCATTGGAGGCTTGAATACCCCGTCGTTTATCTCGGTCGCTCGAGGACTGCAGATTGCATTCTTACTAGTAGAGCTGGTATAGCCTAGCTCGAGAGAGTACCACGTAAATCCGCTCTACTTCAATGGCTCCTTATACTAGACCCCTTTAGACCCCTAGACTAATTAGACTGGAGCCGTAGTAAAAGAAACAGTACTAGCCAGATTTCCATAAAAGAGTTGTGTATTCCTAGGAACTTGTGACCGGGAGATCCCCGGATAATAATATGAATTTATCTACCACACACAGTCCGCTCCCCAACCTGAATATGGCTGGCCTGTAAGGGGCACTTTCTGCCGGCAGAACTTCGTCTGCCCGCTTCGGTCGTCACACTGGCACCTGCTTCCCAAGGGTTGCCTGCCCACTTTGCGGAGCAGATGATAGAACGCGGGCTGAAATCAGAGGAGAAAAAATAAAGCCTTTCAGACAGGATCCTTTCCTCTCTGCGAGCACTAACTGGCATATGATGTTATCTGCCATAATTACTACTTTTCTGTCCAACTTTGGGTTCAACACGTAGTTGGTCTTGCTTGTCCTCGACCAAGTTCTCACTTCCACACATTTTATTAATAGCACAAGGGTACATATAGACGTCCCCACCGCTGAGTTCTGCCGGGAGGCGGTCAAGGAGACCCTGCAACGATGATCTCCGGTTCTGGGGGACGATCGCTGGCATGCGACGTGCGGGATATATTCCTGAACATTTTCTCGACTTCAAGACCCCTAGCCCAAGGCCGCTCCAGATATCAGGGCTGGAGGTGGAAAGTCAAGGGGTTGAGTGACTGGAAGCTCTCTGCCCCTCTCACCCAAGCACCCCGCAATCCAGCTGGTCCGCTCCCCATGAAGACAACGGACAGTGATGCCGACCGGGAAAAAAGGGCAGCCGCCTGCCCAGCCGCGCAGGGATGTGCTGGCATCGCTGAAAATGGCTTCGCTCGAGCAAGTCGTTGCTCGAGCCGCCTTGCCTGCTGGTACGTCGTACCGAATGAGCCGTCATATGCGGAAGCTGATGTCCACCAGAGATTATGTCCGCGATCCTCGACTACCTTGATCCTGTCGACTTGATTCGTGCAGCACGCTCATGTAGGCTCTTGCATGAGATGGCATATGACGACACTCGCTGGGTGCAACGGCTCAAACGAATTGGTTGCTGGGATGAGACCGATGCTCGGAAACATGCAGAAAAGAAGTTCGGCACCGTCGCTAATATGGATATCGTGGAGGCGCAAGAGGGGGTGGAGAGCCTAACTGGCCCAACTCCTGCAATTGAGGTTAACAAAGCAGCGATTTCGGACATGAAGGGTGTCTCTGATGGGTTTGACAAGATAGACTTGGCGAGCACAGTCCCCCCACCGGACGTCGTGGAAAGCGACCTTGAAGACCCAGACCTGGTAGTTCTGAAGCAAGCCAGGTCTATCAGAGGGGAAGCCAGACAGGAATACGGGAAGATTCACGGCGCATTAGCTCCTTTCTACTATGATATCACCCAGCGAGGGGCCTCTGGTGACAGCTTGGTCTTCTCGAAGTATCAAGATCCGCAGTCGCAAGCTCAGATGTTATCGCAGCTTGTTTCTTTCTCCAAGAGCGATGTTTCCCAGGGATGGAGCGATCGTGTCAACCGCCTTGAGGAAGCCTTGTCCACGTTCGAAAGAGCCGCTCTGAACGAGTTCCGCAAAGGATACGAGTCAGATGACATTGATAGCACCATGAAAAAGTACGCTCATGTTCTGTTTACTCTCAATGGTGGCTATTCGGCGGTTGATTTATTTATCCATCACAATCATCTGGTAACCCGCAAAACCGAACTAGGCACGGTGGGTGACTGCCTCGATGGGTTGACTGGTCAAATAAAGATCAAAAACACACAGGCATTCTTGACTCGCTTCAGTGTGGCCTATAACGAAGAAGTGGCTATCATGAATCGTGTGTTTCCTGCCTCACTGGACATGGCCTCTGCCTTCATGGAAAAGGTTGGGCAAGACGTGCTGTGTCCATTCTTCGCGGCTATCTTTGACGAACTTCATCGCACCAATATGGAATCATACCTCACTGCAATCTCTATGACTTTCGTCCAATGCATGAACTTGTCAGAAGCCTTGCTTCCGATCCGGAATGCCGGGGATCACTTTGATCGGTACTTGGACTCTATAGTGATCAAGATATACGAACCGCATATTGATACTTATCTCGCTGAAGAGTTTGCCCATTTCAAGCAAAACGCAGAGGGTATCGTACGGGACTGGGACCGCCAGCTTTCGGAGCAAGCCGCCTCGACCGAATCGTACTTGATGTCCAATGTCAACCGTCAAGCCGACAAACGCGATTTTCTCACCTCCTTCAAAAAAGTCATCATGATGCCTGTCAGCATTCTGCCAAGCTTCTCAGCAGCCAAGCCCAGCGATGAAATCAAGTCAGATACTGAATCTACCCCCCTTCCAGCTGGGACAAGGAGTCCGTATCGCTTCTCGACCATCTCATCACCAGCTCCTGCTCTTGAAATAGCTCCTACCTCTGAACTGGCTGCGAAAGCAGCCATCATGAAATCCAAAATGGAGGGCATTCGGTCGCTCTTCAGCATTGAAATCGCCTTGAACTTGGTTCACTCTGCTAAATCAAGCATTGAAAGAGCCGCACAGTTTGTGCGGCTGGGCGACCATTTCGGAAAAGCAGCGAAGCACCAGTGTGCGGCGATATTTGTCTCGCTGCTACGGATTTTAGGGCACGATCATGTCATCGCCGGGTTTGACCGCGCTGTAGATCATCTATCGAGCTATCGGCCGCGGGAGCAAGGCGAGCGGGATGACTCTGGAGTCGAGCCTCTGGTGACTTTTCTTGAGTTGGTCAACGTCGGTGACCTCATCTTGCAGATGGTGGATGTCTTCTATGAGCAAGAGTTGGTTGGGACGCGTCTCACTGACCGCGGTGATTTTGTTGATCCGGCTGTGATGGCAAAGAAGAAGTTTGAACAAATCCTTGACGAGCGAGTGGCGGCGGGGCTGAACAAGGGTATTGATGTTCTCATGGAAGAAGTGGACTACATTCTTGCAACTCGGCAATTGGCTACAGACTTCAACCCCGGCGTCTCCTCAGATCCTCATCGACAAACGATGGACGTCGGGATCAGTGACGCTGCAGCTGCAGTGGTCGATGTCGTTTCGTCTCACACGAGGATGTTGGTGGGAAGCACGGATAAAAGTACACTGGACGTTTTCAACCAGGAGGTCGGCCTGCGGCTCCACACTGCACTGTGCAAGCATATCAAAAGACAGCGAATCAGCGTTGAAGGATCCCTGAAATTGATCAGGTACGTTGAGGCTACGCTCTCCAGTCTTCGCGTGAATGCACCTCTCGCCATACTAATCCATCATTAGTGATATGAACCATTATTTCAAATTCGTGCAATCACTACGGAACACTGAGCTCCTAGTCTACTTCAAGGCGTTCCGCGAGCTTGCACAGATCTATCTCATTGATCCCTCGGATGCGAAAGAATTAGCGACGATTATTGCTGATGCTGATCGCTTCGACGGGATTTGGCGCGCTGAAGAGGTTTATGAGTTTGCAGAACGGCGAGCCGACTGGTTCCAGGTGAAGCGCGATGTAGAACGCGCGATGTACGGCATTGGGTGTAGTTTGATGTAGCAAGGACCACGATACCCCAAATCATTGCATAGCGGGCTCAATAGATAAAGTGTATAGAAAAGGTACGATGAATTGAGTTCATGATCATGACATGACAACATCTTGAAGTGCATTTCCGGGCACCAGGGGTTTTGAAGTTCGAAACGGTTTCTGGTAGAGGTGAGACCCGGCGCTTAGCACATTCCTATAGTTAAAGGGGTACTTATGGTCGACTCCTATAGTCGACTCCTATAACAGGATCTCCCATTGGCGTTTTTCATGAAATCATTAACAGCTAGCATCTAAGTATCCTATTACACCTCTACAACTTCACAACTCAAAGCGCATGCCAGTGCGGTCCATGAGATCTTGGGGCTCGTGGGCGCAACGTCGCATCTGACGTCAACGGCGGCTCCTGCAACCCCCAATTCGGGCTGAAACGAGGACCCAAAAGTCTTCCGTACCAACTAACGACGCTCAGCAGTCGAGGGGTCAAACCAGTGATGAATCAATATGGTTAGGCGCCCACTTCTATTCGTGGACCGGTCAAAGGGCCTTCCTCTCTACAGACCCTCGCCCAAGACCCACTCTCTCCATGCGGATTCAAGTCCATTGGCCATGACGCTGACATCCGCTCAATAGGGTGAAACTATGTTCCTGGTCAACCGCTAGAACTCAAGAGTCTGGACCCGCCCTAGGGCTGTTATATGTTCCTGGTAGCGCTTGTTGAGAGAATGGTTGTCAATTTCTATTCGGAGACGCCTTCCAAGTCTTTGCTTCTGCCACCGTGCCCTCGGCTTTGTTCTACGTTCGAAAAACCGATTGAATATTCTTTCTTCGATTAAACTATTGGCTTGAATTATGTCGTGAATGAGGCATTCGACTCCAGTCTTGGCTCATATTTATAGCAGGACCAGCCCTGCAGACCGTCTAAGCTTATCCTTTCTACATTGACGAAAATGACTGAGATACGCTGGATTATTCGCCCATGGCTCCTCTTGTTATTGCTTGGCTTCTTCATGAAGGCCCGCGCCGAAGAAGAAGTGGTCGTTACTGTCACGGCGACTGCCCACGCAACAACGTTTGTGCAAGCCACACCAACAGTGCCAAAACCAGCTTCATATACTTCCCTTTCTGATTTCCAGGACACCGTGCTTCGAGTGAGCAACCAGTATCGTGCCACACATGATGCCGCATCATTAGTATGGAATGAGACACTGGCCGACTATTCGCAGAAGTGGGCCGAGAAATGCATCTGGAAGCATTCGGTGCGTACATATACTAGTAATTATAGTACTCGAACTGGTGTGATTGACACTTCGCTAGGACGGCCCTTACGGTGAGAATCTCGCGTTTGGCTATGCGAATGCTTCCGCTGCGGTGATCGCGTGGGGCGACGAGGGTGAATTGTATAATTTCCAAAAGCCTACCGGGTTTACCGAAGAGACCGGTCATTTTACTCAGCTGGTTTGGAAGTCAACCACAGGGTCGGGTGCGCCGCAGTAAACTGCGGATACACAGACGACAAAACACGCAGGGACGTCTCTCCCAGAGCGGCAGATGGAACTTCGCGGGCTCAAGGGTGGTATGTGGTCTGCGAATACACACCAGCGGGCAATGTCGTCGGGGATCACAATGCCTACTTCAAAAAGAATGTCTCGCCCAAGAACACTGCCATGACAACATCTTCTACCACTAGCAGTGCTTCGTCCACCGCAACCACTACTGCTCCCACCTCGTCGGATCAGCCACAGGGTGGAGCAGGAGCCAATTCACTGGAGTCCCCCCTTCCACATGATGTTACTCGCTCTTGGAACAGTAGGGGTCGGAATGGGCCTGTATACCTAATAGCCACTCTTACGAGCTACGTTTTATAGATTTAATAGAGGGGAAATAGCGACAGCTGCTTTGTTGTAGACGTTTCTCATGCTTATCCACATTGCACATGATGAGCTTAGTTGGAAATCCATATCTAACTCAATCTATCGGTTTTGAGAGGCCCCGGTCCTCAAGGCGTAAAGAGCCTGGACAATAAGAAAAACAACCCGGGGGAGATTGGTGAACCAGGTCCCGTAGGACAGACACCGGCGAGAAAATGAAAAAGGAAAAGGGGGAAACGGAAATGGAGACACATTATTTGCGAGAAAGTGAGACAAGATGGGGGGTCCTTAACCAATGATTTCCTCCGTCTCCTCGATGATCTCCTCGACGATCTCTTCGACCACGGTATCGCCTTCTGAATCGCCGCCCACTGGCGCATCCTTGGCCAGCTTGGGTGAATCGGCTTCCTCGGGCAGACCGAAAGCCTCCTTCTCCTCGGCCAGAAGCTCCTTCTCGCGGCGCGTCCAGGCAAGCCACTCGTTGAGCACCCGCTTGCGGGTCTCCACCACGGCAGTGTTGGCGATGTCCACGGCGTACTTGTCCTCCTCATCGAATTCCTTCGAGTACTCACGCAGGTTCTTGCGCACCTGCTTCTGCTCCTCCTTGCTCAGGAAGGTAGGGGGCCGTGGCCGCCAAGCAAACTGCTTGAATTTCTCGGTCGGGTTATCAGAGAGTGTTTGGCCAGAGAAAGTGTGCAAGTTCCAGCCGTTTTCCATCTATGGCATAGTCAGTATATCGATGCGAGACATCAATCGGACAAGGAGGATAAGCTTACCGAGTGCGTCCAAACACTAGCACTGCTGACAACGTAGCGTCCTGTTGGGTCCCACTCGATGTCGGTAACACCATAGTGCTCGTTGGTCTTCATGAGCTGCAGGTTCGCAGCAAGGTCCTTGTCAGCATCCGTCTTCTCGCCCTCAAAGTCCATATCCCAGAAGTCAAGGTCAAAGTTGGACTGGGAGTGAACAGTAGCCACAACAACGAAACGACCCTTGGGAGACCAGTAGATACCGTTGCTGGTCTTCTTCTCGATGGTGCGGACAAGCTTGAAGTTACCAGCGGTGATACCCTTCTTCTCAGAAGCGAAGAAGGAAACGGAGGTCTTGGGAGGGACAGCAGCCCCGGTGGGGTTCTCTCCGTTGGTGATAAGAACGAAGCGGGATCCATTGGGTTCCCAGGCAAAGTTGATCACAGTGTCCTTGAGACTGTCAACCACCTCGACTGGAACACCCTTTTCGCGTACGCGGAAAATTTCCAGGTTGGTGGCCATCGATTTCTTGGACTTGGAGTGGCGGTCAACCTTGACACAGACATAGGCACCTTGTGATTGCCAGTGCAGCTTGACATCGGAGACATTGAACAGGTTGCGAGTACGGACGATTTCCTTAGAGGGCACGCTCATCATGGCGACACGGGCAGGGTTGCTGCCGATTTCAGGAGTCCAGAAGCAGAGAAGCTGCTCGTATTGCTTCACACCCTCGCGGGTGACGGTGGCTGGTGACCACTCGAAATCATTTACGCCCTCGATCTTCACTGAGGTCTTGCCCAGGAGATTCATGTTTGGGACTTCGTAGATGGAGATTGATTGGCCCTGGAGCATGCGAGCGACATATTTTTCGTCCGCGGACCATTTGAAAGCGGGCCACTGAACCTTCTTCTTAGGTTGAACTTCGCCGTCATCTGCAGGGCCGGCAGCGAGGTCGTGTGAGACAAAGGAACGGAGAGGCTTGCCAGACTCGATATCCCAGACAATGATGTTCTTTCCATCTTCCTCGTAGGTCAGGATGGGTTGGCCCTCCTCAACTTGAATTGGGCGCGCGGACCAAGTAGTCAAGTAGCCCTCTAGTGGAGAGAATTCAATGAGTTGGACGAAAGGATGAGGGAACTGTTTTTGCTTGGAGAAAGAAGGTCCACCCCAAAGTTGAACACCCTGTGGGTGGACGGAAGCCAGGAAGGTACCCTTAGGGGACCATTGAACGAAGAGCTGTGTCCAGTGCGCGCGATCGACAACATTTTCGGGCGGATTGGATTTGTTGTTCCAGAAAACGCCCACCTTGTCACCGCGGTAAAGGGCGAACTGATCCCGGGCGTTGGGGTCTCCCAACCACGAGCGCAGGTGCTCCTTCTCTTTGAAGGGCTCAACCTCGGGCGCGACATACTCTTCCTCAACACGGCCCTCCCGGCCATAACGCTCAATGTCCATCAACTTGTTCACTGAAAGAATGTGCTTTTTATCGAGGGGAACGCCGTGCAGTTGCTTAACGGCGGCGACTGCTTGTTCGGGGGTTTCATATTCGACGAAGGCATATCTGTAAACAGGGCAAAAAAAGGTTCATCTCAGCCACTTTTCGCGCTCTCCATGATTACGAGCCACCAAGAGGTTTTCAGCACTCACCCTTCGGACATGCCCTTATCATTCAAAGGCATATAGACGGCATCTTCGGAGGTCTGGCCGACGGTGTTCAATTTCCTCAGCAAGAACTTGACCAGCTTCTGGCGAGAATCCTCGGGGACCACAGGAAGTCCATCGATCACAACGAAGGTGTCCAAGCCCTCCTCGACCTTCACCTCGTATTGTTCCTTCAAGTCTGTTGAATTTGCGTTAGCGATTTAGAGGGAGGGGCACGCGATGGGAAAAAGTTTGTCCACGCACCAGAGAAGTCGATCTCCTCCTCCTCTTCCTCGTGGAGGTCCTGCTCAGTCAGGGTATCGAAACTGGGCGCCATGACGGGTGTTAAGGCGACAGCCGTGCAGCGAGGGGGTCGGTGTTTAGCTGGGGATACTTGAAGATAGGTTTTCGGCTCGCAACACAAATCCACACAAATCTCGCCGTGAAGCGGGCGCCCGTCTGTGTGCGCGCTGACTCAGCTGGGGAGGTCCCGAGGTCATGTGACCTGCTTTGCGCGCGCTGCCTGAGGCTAGAACATTTGCGAGTTCCAAGTTGCTGAAATCGCAACACTCACTCCATGAAGACATGAATGTGCGAAAAGAACTTTGGAATTTAGCTCTTCTTGGGTACAGTGTCTTCTACGGACCCTTTAACAAGCCAATAGCATGCGTCCTCACAATGCACCCTGAAGCTTCTTTCTTACAAAACTAAACATGTACAACTTGTGCATGGCGGAATTGATAATTTTCCTCTGATTTTAGCATGAAGTTAATAAGCCCAACTGGCTCCATATCATTTTGAGGGCTCTAGATAGCTCTTGTACAAGTGTACCTACACCTAAATCCATTGGACTGCAGCACAATGTACATCGGGCGATAGACCCGGGTTAGTCAGCATCGCCCAGCTCACACGCGCCAAACGCTTTGAGGTTCATCCAAAGGTCCACTGGCTGTTACTTGCATGGAGCTTTGCCTGCAAGTATATCCCGCATTGACCAACACACTAATCGCAGAAATCATTCTCTTCTCCTGGTCTCCCTAATACCCCATCCAATACTTTCGCTGTTTCCCATAAGCTCTACTGCTATTCGATTCCTTGCGCCCTTTCGGGGTCTCCCGTTCCCCCACCGTCATTAAGCGCCAGTGCGACTATACCCACCTGACTTGTTCCCTAAGTACCTCCTCCCGCGCAATCAAGACACCTCCAATCAACCTGGTTGGGAGCCCTTGGTCATAATCATAACTCCTTCCTCATACCCCGAGCTGCTCGTTCCTTCTAGCCCATCTGCAACTATGTCGCGTATGTGGACCTCGGCATGCACCCGGCTCCAGCGCCTCTCCCAGTCGTGGGCCATCTCAATCGCATTCTCCTCTCTAACTTGCTGCGATAGTCTCTCCAGATACGCGCGCTCGGTATACCGAGATCATCGATTCGATTTTGGCGAAAAGTGATCTCAATACGATCTCCACGAAAAGCATTCGCAAAGGTCTACAAGATGTCGTCGGCTATGACCTCACACCACAGAAGGTCAGTAGTCCCCAGAGCACCCGGATGCCAGAGCTCAGGATCATGTTGCTGACCGTGTATCTACCTAGTCCGAGATCAAGGCGCTTATGATCAGTCGATTCGACATTTTCGCTGCCAAAAACGGAGCTGGAGCTGATGCCGACGAACCGCCAAGCAACGGTTACCAGGACGCGGAATCTGTATCTGCAGTGCCCTCCCCACCTCCATCCTCGTCGCCGGTGAAGCGAGAAGCCAATAGCGAAGAGGCTTCAGAACCAAGCGCCACGTCACCTCCCCAAAGAAGCGCAAGCAGGATACGGACATCGATGGCGACGCTGCCTTCGCAGCCAAGCTCCAAGCTGAAGAAAACAAGCGAGCTAGGCCCACGCGAGGTGGCAATTCCCGTCGAACAGCTCCAGCTAAGAAGAAGAGCAAGGCCAAGACTTCCAAAAGAGTCAAGGCTGAGGATGATTCGGATATTGGATCAGGTTCGGATACGAAGAAGGAAGTCAACCGATCAGGCGGGTTCCATGTAAGATATTCCCATATATCCCGTCCTCCAGAGCTGTCTAACACCCCTTCAGAAACCGCTGAACCTCTCCCCGCCATTATCCGCCCTTCTTGGAGGCGAGGTCACTGTATGTTATGCGTCCATTCGAGTCCTTTGAGCACACTTCTTAACGATGGCTATAGCTCTCCCGCCCTCAGACGGTCAAAAAAGTCTGGCAATATATCCGCGAAAACGAACTTCAAGACCCTAGTGACCGGCGCCAAATTCGCTGCAACGATGCAATGCGCGCGGTGTTCAAACAAGATCGAGTCCACATGTTCACTATGACCAAGATTCTAAATCAGAATCTGTATAACCCTGATGAATAGTCTTTGGTATTTGGGCCCATTGCATGGTCCCAGGCCATTTCTGGGTGTAACTACCATCAACTCTAACGACTCCCGTCTTTTCCATCTGACGTTTTAACTGCGATGCATGGGGATGCTGGCGTGACTGCTCAACTTTTTATTTGCCCTTATTTTTTGTTGCCGCTCCGAGGCAGGTGGTTCATCCTCGCTCATTGCTGCTTTTTGATCATGGAAGATTATCAGTTTTTGTCCTCTAGCAGGAGTTTTCACCGATTATAACCTTTGACGTATCTCATTTGACTTCGTTCTACAATTACATGCATGGTAAATCTTGATGTCAGCCGGCGGAGTTTGCGTTCCTTCTTGAGTAGCGTATGTGCGGGCACTTAGATTTCTGAGGGGCACTACGATGATCCGTACCACATGCGAGTCCAGACGTTGCATGAGACGAACATAGCCTGTAGAATGTACTGGGCTCGTCGCGTTTCGCACTGCGGCGCAGCAAACGGACGGATCAGTCAGCGGAATATCGATGGCAACTTTTTTTCCCCTCCCCGCCGCTCTCCTTTGCCAACTGGAGCTCGCCAGCTGAAGGCTGTCTGCCATTGACCGTGCCTTCTGGTGCTGTGATCGACTCTCCTCACATTTCCTATGGCTGAAACCCCTTCTACTGCCCCAGACTCGTCGAGTCGCGGTCGTGGTGGTCGGCGCCGGGGCCGCGGAGGGACTGCCCCTCCAACGGGGCCCCTGCGAACAGAGGCTCCAAGAACCGTGGTCGCGGAGGTCGAGGTTCCGGTCACGAGAAATCACGAAACGGCGATATCTCCCATGATACTCGAGAAACTAATGAGCGACAAGTGGCGCCCGTCACTGTCACTGCTGGATCAAAGCCTCTGCCTGCTGCTACCGATGACGCCGACGACGGAGAAGTGTGCTTTATCTGTGCCTCCACCGTCGAACATACGTCTGTTTCGCCATGCAACCACCGTACCTGTCATATCTGTGCATTGCGACTCCGAGCGCTTTACAAGAACAAGGGATGCGCGCACTGTCGAGTAAGTGAATGAAGATACGGCAACCCCCTTCCCGGGGCTCCACACATTTCCTTCATGGTCCTCACTCATAATACTGATAAAATTACCCCTTCTAGACCGAAGCCAGTTTCGTCATATTCACCGATGATCCAGTCCGAAAGTTCGAGGATTTCCAAAAGAAAGACTTCGCTCGCACCGATGACAACTTGGGCATTCAATATGAGAATGATGATATTTTCGAAGACACCGTATTACTGTTGCGCTACAACTGTCCGGATGAGGACTGTGACGTTGCCTGCTTGGGCTGGCCGGACTTGCATCGGCACGTCAAAAGCAAGCATGGCAAGGTGATGTGGTATGTGTTGACCCCGATCTGCATATCATCGTGCGCAAGACCCGCAAACTGACATGAAACTTTTACTTTCTAGTGACCTCTGTACTCGAAACAAGAAGGTTTTCACCCACGAACATACTTTATTCACGCCGCAAGAACTTCGCAAACATGAAAGACATGGAGATGATAAGCCTGGCGCGGTTGATCAGAGTGGCTTTAAGGGTCATCCGGAATGTGGATTCTGTAAACAGCGCTTTTACGGTGATGATGAGCTTTATGCTCATTGTCGTGACCGTCATGAGCGCTGCCATATTTGTGATCGCCGCAACTCCAACCGCCAACAACAGTATTACATCGATTACAATGCTCTGGAGCACCATTTCCAAAAAGACCATTTCATGTGCCAAGACCCAGAGTGTCTGGAGAAAAAGTTCGTGGTGTTTGATTCAGAAATGGACCTCAAAGCGCATCAGCTAGAATCACACCCCAATGGCATTTCCAAGGATATCCGTCGAGATGCTCGGATGGTAAATCTGAGAGAGTTTAACAATATCCGCAGCCCTTATCAGCCACAGCAACGCCAACGGCGTGGAGCTGGCCGAGGACGAGACCCGAACGCAGAACCATTACCACCGTCCAGTGCACAGCCAATGAGTCGAGCTGAGGTCGCATATCAGCGGCAAATGGCCATTCAAAGTGCCCAGTCGGTCTCGACCCGTAGCTTTGGTGGCCAGCTCACCCGAGATGATACCCAAACAGTTCAAGCTCCAGAACGTTCTGTTGGGTCTACTCCAGTGCAGTCATCTGCATCGCGATCACAACCATTACCTGTAGCAGATCTGCAGAACCTCAGCCTTACAGCTGACGCCGGCTCACTCAGCCCACAAGACCAGGCACGACGCTTGCGCCATACCGCAGTAGTTGATCGGGCTTCGAATCTTCTCCGGAATGATGCCACGAAGCTTGCAGAATTCCGCTCTCGGGTCTCTAGTTATCGAACTTCTTCTATTACGGCTATTGAACTTATTGATGCCTTCTTTTCTCTGTTCGATACCTCAAGCGCCGAGCTAGGCAAACTGATCAAAGAGCTAGCGGAAATATACGAGGACGAGGCTAAACGAACAGGCTTGCTCCAGGCTTGGAACGATTGGCGGGCAATCAATGAGGACTATCCAGCCCTCCCAGGTCCGGGTGGAATTTTACCAGGCATGTCACCAAATACTGTCAACACTGGCGGCAAACGAGTCCTCCGACTCAAGTCATCAACCGCTCAATCATCTCGATCTGCGGTTGGCAGGAATGGGCCGTCATCTTCGAACCCGTTTCCTCCTCTTTCTGCAGCAGGCCCCTCCACCCGTCGTTCCCAGGCTTCTAGTGCTACGCCGTGGGCGGCCGCCGCTCCATCACCTCTCGTTCGCCCATCTTTGCCCAGCTCCTCCAGTCGCCCCTCCGCTGCATCCTCTCCATCGGCCCGCCCCCCAATCAGCACTGGCTCGGACGCCTTTCCGGCTCTTCCAGCAGCTGCAAAGCCCAATGTTCTCATGGCAGGAAAGACTCGGGGTTATGTTCGATGGGACAACAACAAAGCCCCAGCAGCAAATGCCTGGGGATCGAATTCTTCATCAGGGGTCGCATCTCCTGCCGAGCCGGCTGAGTTCGATGATGACTTGAATTCCGATGGCAAAAAGGGCAAGAAGAAAAAGGGAAAGCAAACTCTTTACCATTTTGGTTGATTGTTTGATACCCTGAAAATTCGTAGCATCTAATACGCTATTCATAGATGTCCACCAAAAGCAATCCATCAACCCACCCCATGCACCTGCAAGCATTGTAGAGACCAACGGTGCATTTTGCGATTAAAAAAATACCCCATCGCGAGGATGAATGCTGGTAGCTGAGAGATATATGCCCTTCAGTCAATAGGAACTCGTGTCCAGACCATGGCAGGGATTTTCCTTACCACATATAGAAATATCGCTTGGGCTGCTAATAATATTTTTTGGACATTCAAGTCCACTCGGGCTCTGCATCCTGACCACAGTCAGAAGGATTCAGACCAAGGCTTGTTTCATAGCTTCTCCCTGCTTCTTCTTCGGTGCCTTCTCTGGTTTCGCTTGTCACAATAATATCTTGGTCAATGACATCCATGCGAATTGCAAAGTCATCTTGAAGCTTCTTCAACCAGGTACAGAGAGCCTCCTCCGCCATGGTACTTTCGCGTGCTATCAGAAGTTGCTCCCGCAGAGAAAGAAGCAGCTTTCGCTTGCGACTGATCACTAGAGCCCGAGTTTTGCTATCGCGGCGCTCGGCGAGCAAGCCCAACTCTTGAGAAACCTCGTGAGCCACGTTGAGGACTTCAGGAGGAAGATCCACCAGCTTGGCAATCGCAAGTCCATATCGACGATCAGGGAGCGGGCCTTCTGCGATTCGGTAAAGCATGGTCATCTTAGATGCACCATGTGTAATTTCTGCTGAAAGATGTAGATTGACGACCCCACTACGCTCGGATAAGATTCGTGCCAGATCGTGGAAATGCGTCGCGAAAAACACAAACGCATTACTGGCGATTAAAGCTTCAGATATAGCGATAGCGAGAGCGAGGCCGTCGGTTGTGCTTGTACCACGCCCGAGTTCGTCGACTAAAACCATCCCTCCGGGCTGGATATGCCGTAGAATGAAGGCCATTTCGCGCATCTCTGCTGCAAAGGTCGAAACGGTCGAATCCAAGTCATCCGTGGTAGCCACGCGAGCAAACAGCTGGTGCGTAATTGGGAACGACGCGTATTGGGCGGGAACAAAACATCCGATTTGTGCCATAACCGTCATGAGAGCGACGGATCGAATGTAAGTAGACTTCCCACTCATGTTACAGCCAGTGATAATCTGAAACCGGGACTGCGAAGTTGCATATGCGTCGTTAGGGATAAACTTGCTCGAGTGAATCCGCTCGCGAATGGGATGTCGACCCGCTTTGATAGCAAGAGCACTCGTCAATTCCGGCCGGAGGTAATCGTTGGAGGTAGCTAGTTGTGCGAAAGCCGCCAGCATGTCTAGCATGGCTATGGCCTCACTGATCCGAAATAACACAGATGCCTCTTGGCATACATCATGCAGCACGTCTTGGATAGTCTGGTCACTCAAGCTGATCACTTCATTGTGTGCGTCTGAGATCTTCTGATTCAACTTCACCAGATCCAAGGTCGAGCATTCGATTCGATTCCGCTTGCGGTAAACATTGATAAACACATCGGGCAGGGGCTCTGGCTCACCAGCCGGGATACATATGTAGTATTGCCGAGCAGAATCATATTTCAGATCTAGTGTGATATCCTGAGTTTCTTGATTTCGGTCAGGGTCTCTCTGTCCTTTGAAGCAAATCTGATCCCTACCTCCTAGCCTCGCGATCAAATCCATCGCATCGGCGTTGGCTTCTTTGTAAGTCTGCCTGGCCACGTCGAGCAAGCTATTAGCACCAGCCTACGAACTTATTAGATCCCTGAGATCGATCAGCTCAAGGCAGTCAATCACCTTGACACAATAGATCCTTTGATTCCGAAGATCTAGTGGCTTGCTCTGGTATGTGACATGCTCGTTTAGGGTATCATCAATAAGTTGTTCGATAGATCGATGACCGCCAGGGGCACATAACTAGACTGAATCAGAGATACCCTTTGGACAGCGCAGACAGGATCGCTCATACCTCTCGAATTGTCAGAAGAAGATCGCTCTGCGCCGCTCCCAATGCTTGATGGACCTTTTTGATGGCCGACACGTACGTCTTCAGCATTATGACATTATTGACCGATTGTTCCACGTACTGTGCCGTGTGGTTGGCTGGGACAAGGATGATCTATTTTATCAGCAAGTTCTTTTTTTTCCCACAGATGGAAATATCATACCGAAGTCAATATTTTGTCGGCATCCACAAAGCCCTTCAGAACTTGTCGAACGGAAACGAACATGTCCTCTTTGGTAGACAAGTCCTCAACGGCATTGTATCTAGCAGTCAGCTTGACCCTTTCGGTGGAAGGCTGCAGGATTGTTGCTCGCAAGAGTCTAGCCCCCATGGGGGTCAGCGTCTGGTTGAGAAGTCCATAAAGGCTATCACGAGATTTAGCATTGTGGAGATTTTGGATGAGCTCCAGCGAAGCAATCGTCTGCAAGTCGACCATCATGGAACCTTGCGATGGTTCAAATTTGATGCGCAGTGAGTGAGCTGCAAAGACTCTCTGGAGTTCCGACTCGACATATTTCAAGGTCTTCTGCGAAGTCAGCACATTGTTCCAGATTTTGCCTGGGCCGAGAAACAAACCGCCGCGAAGCTGCATGCCGCAAAGTAGTTTCCCCCCAACGTAAGCTTCAGAGAGTCTGTCTCGTCTGGAAATGCCAAGCGATCCAGGTACTCTTGGCCCCCTTTATCCGACCAGTATCGGCGATCGAGGAAGGTGAAGACTGGGTCGGGGAGATTCTCTTGGACGATGTACCGGAGTTTGGATTCGGCGGCGGTGCTCATGAACAGGATCTCACTTGGCTCGAACACACCTATCTTCGTGACGGTTTTCACATAGGTCGGGCTGTCACATATCTGACACAAGACTACTTCTGCCGTAGCCAGATTGATCAAGGCCAGGCCTATTGTTGAAGACACCCCGCGAGATTCACAGACAGCGCATACAATGTCTTGTGAAGCGACACTGGTGGCGATAGTCGTAGGTTTTGCGGTTTGGGGGCGCCTGCTGGCTGTCCTCGAGCGCAAGGGCAGGAAAGATCCTACCGATGAGCTTCGATATGTGGACATTGTGGTCAATTGGGATGCAGAGAGTGAGGGGTGGAAGACGAAAAGGTGACCCATGCTCTTCAATTTTGAGGTTCCTACTGCTACGGATATCATACAGCGACGGGTATGGTACTCGTATGTCCTTTTTACTGCATACGCTAGTAGTACCTCCAGATCCCAGAACAGATAAGCTTGGGATACTCTCCAAGGTTCAAGTCTTCAGGCTCATGCACACCGATGATTTCACTGATACTCATGATGGAGGTCGATAGAGTGGTGATAATATATTTCGCGTACATATACAATGGGACGTAAAGTAAGGGTGAGCAAAGAAGCGCATATGGCGAAATGTCGAAATCGCTTTTGTTATTACCTAGACAAGAAGAGTAATCTAACACGCCACTCCAATATTGAATATTCGAAAGATCAGGGCTCTACAACGAAGGGGATAAAACATTAGCGAATATCAAACAGATACCAATCGATGACCCGATAAGCGATAAGCGATAAGATAACCCGCGCTGCGCCTTCAATTTTTTTCTCTCCTCCCCACCAGATCTAACGACTCCAGTTCAGGATTGGACGTTGGCATCATTGGGTATAGTTTTTCGGAGCTAATAAACATTATATGAGTGTTTCTATTTTTTTTCGTCTGATCAACTGAAATTGCATCCTCCCGGAAAGGCCCACTCTAGAAATGAGTACCCAGTTCCCTCCCCCGAGCAAGCGCCAGAAGCTTGCCCAGAGTGAAAAGGCTCGCGAACAACAAGAAATCCAGAGTATCCCTAGCGATCTTGGCCATGTGAGGGTTCAGTTTGTCGATCAAAGCACTGGCGACGCAACTGGGCCAGCCGTCTCGGTGCCGGTAGCCGATGCCAATGTGAAAAACCTGGAGACGCTTCTGAACACCCTCAAGGGAAACGTACGCGCACTGAACCTACGCACCTGATTTCACGAGCTTTTTATTAACGTGTCTTGTGCCTGGCAGGAAGAGGACGAGCGAGTACCGTACCGCTTCACGTATCAGTCTGAAAAAGAAGGTCAAACAATTGACATCCTCGCCGACGTATACCACTCTCTTCTCCAACCCGGGGTGAAGACCACCGAAGACACGATTTCCCTTTATTTCACACCCCAGGCCGTTTTCCGAGTCAAGGCTGTTTCTCGGTGCGCCGCCTCGATCGCCGGACATGGCGAGGCGATCCTTGTCACCTCCTTCTCACCCGTTTCCTCATCGACGATGGTATCTGGTAGCGGCGACGCTACCGCCCGTATCTGGGACTGCGATACTGGTACGCCATTGCACACTCTCAAGGGCCATACGAGCTGGGTCCTCGCTGTGGCCTACTCACCCAACGGGGCCATGATCGCCACCGGAAGCATGGACAATTCGGTGCGAATTTGGGACCCTAAGAAAGGACAAGCATTGGGCGGCCCGCTCAAAGGCCATTCCAAGTGGATCACCAACATGGCTTGGGAGCCATACCACTTGCAGGAATCCGGACATCCTCGCCTGGCATCGGCCTCGAAAGACTCGACCGTTCGCATTTGGGATGTAGTGTCTAGACATACCGATCATGTCCTCTCCGGCCACAAGAGCTCTGTCACCTGTGTGCGCTGGGGGGGGCACAGGCAAGATTTACACCGCCTCGCACGACAAGACAATCAAGATCTGGAACCCGAAAGATGGAACTCTCCTTCAAACTCTGGCTGCGCATGCCCACCGTGTGAACCACCTTGCGCTGTCAACAGACTTCGTGCTGCGAACAGCGTACCACGACCACACTCGGAAAGTGCCAGAGGGCGAAGCAGAGAAGGTCGCTGCCGCACGGAAACGATTCGAACAGGCTGCCACGGTCAATGGCAAGATTGTTGAACGGCTTGTATCCGCCAGTGATGATTTCACCATGTATCTGTGGGAGCCGTCGACATCTTCCAAGCCCGTGGCTCGGCTGCTGGGCCACCAGAAAGAAGTCAATTACGTGACCTTTTCCCCTGATATGTCCCTCATTGCATCCGCCGGATTTGACAACCACGTTAAGCTGTGGAACGGGCGCGATGGAAAGTAGGTTCCTTGATCCGAGCCGATCCGGCATACACTTTTCATATGCTAATTTATCCCTAGATTTATTACAACTTTCCGGGGTCACGTCGGCGCTGTCTATCAATGCTGCTTCTCCGCCGACTCCCGACAATTGGTGTCATCTTCCAAAGACACAACCCTCAAGATTTGGGATATCCGGACGCAGAAACTTAAAATGGATCTCCCTGGCCACCGAGATGAGGTCTTTGCCGTGGATTGGGCGCCTGACGGCGAGAAGGTCTGCAGCGGTGGCAAAGATAAAGTAGTGAAACTTTGGAGGAATTAGTTTAGGACATAGGATGATACCCAATTCGCAGGTCTAGACAAAAGAGAACAGAAATGGACAAAGACAAGCAAATATCAAACTGGATTTCAATTCATGATTTTGGCTCGAGGCAGATCATTAATGTACAGAGCTAAGTTTGGGAAATATACAGAATCGCGGCGCATAGCATTGGGACCGGCGCGCTTAAGCGTACTGCCAGGCGGGGATATCACCCTTGTAGGTGAGGGCGATGGCACTGAAGCCCAAGCAGTCGGACACCTTACCGGAAGGCACAGTGGCGTTCTGCTGAGCGACATACACCTGCCAGCGCTTGTCCTCGGTAGGGCAGGCCATGAGACCAGTGTCCTTGTAGGTGAGGTGGGACCAGGGCTTGCCAGGCTCATACCGCAGTCCACCAACCGAGGCACCGGCGGGGATGTACGCGGAGTGGGCCTGGGTGAACGCAAGAGCACCAGACGCCTCGACATAGGTCTGCTGGCCACCGGGAACCTCGACGTCCTATTGAGAGCAATTGGTTAGTGTGCCTGCACCTTTTTTGTTTGTTTTTTTTTCTAGAGCATGTTGTGTCACGTACCATAGCATTGCCGCCTGCAGTGAAAACGGTCTGGTTACCAGGGGGGGCAAGGGGACACCTCGGGGCTGGGGCAGTAGGAAGAGGTCTTCCCACCGAGCCACAGGTGGCCACCGGCAGCGTTCATCTGCAGGTAGTGGATGGGAGAGGCAGAACGAGCAGCCATGACGCTAAAGGCGGGGGGGTGGGGTACTGTCGACAGGAGCATGAGCGGCAGGGGCCGCAGCAGCCAGCAGGGGAAGGACAACAGAAGCAATGGCGGTCTTCATAGTGATAGTTCTAGAGGAATTGAATAGAGTTGGGGGGGTTGAAGAGTTTGTATGTCTGGGATGGTTGGGATGGTTGGGATGATTGGGATGAATTGAATATCCATTCCAGCAGGGATCCTATCTCTCCTTTATACTTCATCCTCAGGGGACCTCCACATCCAGGGTCCACGTTGAGAGAAGTCGGGTCAACATCCAGGGAACCGAGCCGATCGCTAAGACACCAGGAATCATCCGGGTCGGACACCCCCGATGGAGCCAAGCGGTGCAGAAGTCATGGAAATGCAGCAAGTGAGACAAAAAAAACCGGGGTCATACTCATCACAGTAGCAACAAGAGCTTCGTCAATGGCGTCCCTGTCTCGGAAGAATGCACAAGCGACCAGCTTGGCCTAATCTGGACAAGGGTTGCTGCTCGCTAAGCCTCAGTTGCTATGTGTGGCCGTGCGACGAGGTGAGACATGACGATCGCAATGCCAAGCGGAGAAACAGGAAAACCGAGCGGGTCGAAGGTTGGAAACCCACGAGTTGAGGAGCCGCCGGGCACTGATCGACACTGTTTGTCTCAGAGACCCTCTTTCGTCGCTATTTTGGACCATCGTCTTCTGAACTATGAGATTGTTCACCCTCAATGAAACTGTCCTCTGTAACCGTGGCCAGTGGCAAATCAATTCCGAAACATCTCATCATGACATGGACATTCTGCAAACCTGCAATTGCACTTCTATGGTGCCGGAAGCACGGCACCCCTACCAGCATCATACCAACACCATGCATGAAGAATGGATCGGGCATTAATCTGATGGATGACCAGAAGACGCCCCACATCTCGCAGGGCTCGGAGCCGAGGTTTGACCATTACTTCATGGAGAAGATGACGGTACTGGCGTATCTTTTGCTCTTCCCTGGATCGTGATGTCCTTGGCTATCTCGTGTAGAAGCTACCATATATGGCAGGCTTTGACTGCGTCCTCACTGTTCACCATCTATTACCCAGACACTAGTAGTTAGGTCACTTCCAAGCTTCCTACGGGGGAAAGGCTTGTTCTTTCGTGGACGGCCACCTGAGAGCCCCGAACAGCCTACTGATACTATGTTACTAGAGGTTGTTGCGATGGAGGCATTCTGCCATGGAACCAACCAAGGACCATATCCATGCATGCATTGTAGTGAAGAGTGGCACTGGCATTTGGCACGGGTAGAGCTGCCGCAGAAGGTACGCCCATAGACGACTGGAGCTTAAAGTTACTCCTGGCTATATCAGGCTGTCTCCCCACTAGTTGCCCGCAACTTCAAGCGGGAAAGAAGGACTACTTCTATCCATTACGTAGGTACTCCGTAGTCCCCTGAGAATCCACCTTGCCCCATGGCACTGGTCCCCACCGTACTAGTAATTTGAATACACCTGAAGATCCGCCGTGTCCAGTCGATCACTGGACTGTTCCGGTGGGTCCCATACGAGGGTGCTTGTAAATGTGAGCTGCTACTGCATTGGAAATCGGCAGTACCGTGGACTGGAAGAGCCTTTTTCATGGTTACTAGTACTAGCAGTACCAATGATAGGCACAACTCAAATTAAAGCTCCGTAACAACAAATTGGAACTACCGGAGTTTTGAAATATAGATTGACAGAATAATATATATATGTACGAGCGTCTGGTCCCCGAGGTATAAACACAGCTGACAGTCAACAGAACTGGGTAAAAGAAGCCAAACACCCGCCGCCCACCAGCACCGATCCGTGTAGAAGAAATATAGAAACTCCACTAGAACACAAGGAAAGAATGGAGTGAAAAAAGGTAATAAAAGAACATAAGAATGAGAAAAAAAAAAAGAAGTGAAAAGAAAACCACCAAACAAAACACCGAGATAAGCCAACACGCCCCCCTTTTAAGGATCCCACTTCTTGACAATAGACCTAAGCGAGACAAAGCAATCACATCCAATTCCCGAGGTCATTTATCCATTGCCAGGCGGGAACAGGCGAAAGTATGAATAATCAAGCAAAATCAAAAGCCCGATCTAAAGGACTTACTCCATTACCCCGTTCCTTTTTTGTCTTTTTGTTTTTTTTTTTTTCTGTGTTTTTTTCTTGACCACGTTTACTCGTAGTCATCCTCATCATCCCCGTCGCCACCTCGGCCGCGGGTACCCTTCACCCCGTCCTTGCGAATGGGGATCTTGATACCCTGCATCGCGAAGCATTTGCTCAGTGCCGTGCTCTCGATCACTCCCGGGAATTTTTTGGCAGAATACACCTGGAATGGCTCGCTGAAGACCGAAGCCAGGACGGGGGCGGAGCCATGATTGATTACGGGGGTCCCGCTAGGGTCCGTGGATTGAGTCCCCACATTAACAAAGCTCATTTTAAGCCTGACGAATACGTTAGTCTTCGGCTTGATCGGATCGTGCTCGGAGACCAGAGACAGAAAGAAAGACAATGTATCGGGAGCTAGAGAACTTACCGGAAATGCCCTTCTGTCCGCACGCTCAGGTCTTGCAAGATAAACCATACCCCGATCTTGTTGGCTGGGTCCGTTAATCGGAAAGCGCTCGCACTCAAGCTTCCGATCAAATTGCGCGTGAACATGCCCCCCGGGCCGCCCGAACCTTGGGGCGAAGTCGCCATGGCCGGGGCCATTGGGGCACCCGCTGGGAAACCGCCGTACGGGGGATATCCGGGAGCTGAATAGGTGCTTGGATAGGACATCTGCTGATTATAGTAGTTGTTCATGGGATATCCGACGTTGCCGGGGTATTGAGGTTGGCCATAGGCCGGGTAAGATGGAGCCGGGGTTTGCGTCTGGTTTGCTGGCGGAGGATATGAAGAGGACATGGCGGTCGAGATGGATGGCGAAGTGGCGGAATGCTTGACGAGGTTCACTTCACTCGTTCCATCGGCATTCCACAAATCTACTATCAGGACATAGAATGAAGTGTCGATGTGGCTGGGGAGGGAAATGTCAGGAGAGCGCTCGCATGACCCCGGAGAGCGGACGACTTACTTGATGTCAATTTCTTTCTTGGTCGCGGCATCTTGGACGATCAGGCGGATGCATGGGGGTGGAGTAATTGGTCGTCGATCCTAGAGTCATCAAAACCCGCCGTTAGTTCCCGCAATTCGAAGATGCTCGCGCAGTCATATATCGTATATACCTTGTCTCCGAACCCGCACATTCGGGCTCGGACAGGCTGCTGGACAACCTCTAAGCTCCAGAGCCGCCCTTCATGTTCGGTGGTAACGGAGGAGAGGTGATCTCCCGAGCGTATTGAGCCGGAGCCCGGGGTAGGATACGATGGAGCCGAAATGCGATCCATTGAGAGAGGTGGCGGAGGAGGGGTTGCTCCACAGCGGCGTACATAGCGTCGATGGTCGCGATCGACTCGGTTCCGAGACGGTTGTTCGAGGAAAGACTCCCTGCTTCTCACGAGGTTGCGCAAGCGGGGAGTTTAGATAGACATGCGGGCCCCGACACACGTCAGAGCTGGAGCATCGACTTGCCGGGTCTGAAGGCGGTCGAGAGTTGCAGGTGGCTGGGAGGAAATAAGGCGAAGATGAAAAGGTGAGCACAACGGTGAAAGGGAGATATGGAGGAAAGGAGGATCTCCGGACACAGTAGAGGGCAAGGTGACGTCCAAGAACCGACTGCGACCCGCCACACAAGAGACCTTCTGCCAAATCCTTTTTTTAAGGACGATTGCGGCGTGTGACTAAGCGCGGACGTTGGACCGGCAGAATCGTGCATTCCTTATGTCTGTTTCCCCTTTTTATCTTTGAATATTAGGTCGTTTATTCTCCTTATCTGCTTTATGTTTTGCTTTTCTGAGATACAAGAAGCAGTGCAGAATCTGTCTATTAGGGACCGGGCTCAGCTGCTCTGGAATGGTTCTCGACGCATAGAAATGGCGCCCCCCCCATTGTTCATGACATGGCTTGGCGTACGCGGGTAGGCGCATGAGACATCCAAGATCGCTCCAGGAACCCACACCCCCAAAAATCCAAGACTCTTCTTCGCTCCGAATCTCTCACCATCACCTTGCCAAATAGACTCAAAAGCGGTGTCGAGATGTTAGGATTTGGTCTGACCCAACCCAAGACCCACGCAGTCGGGATCCACGCCCATCTCTTGGGGCAAATGGGAATCCCGGGAATTCTGTCGATGTAACCGTTCTGGACCCTCGATCCCTGTGGCCTCCCCACATCTGTCCGCCGTTTGCGGAAACCCCCATCCAATCTTCGATCATTTCAATTCGCCGTAAATGGCGTAGCTTCTGCAAGTTACTACTGCGTAGTCTTGACGTCGTGGACGTTTCGGGCCCTTCGGTGGAATGTCGGGGCCGCTGTGTCCCAACTAGGCCTCATTTCTGCCTAGCAAGACTTGGCGAAACCATGTCGAAGTCGCGGATAAGTCGGTGTGTTTCCGTGTGCTTCATTCCAGACTCGACGACTTGACTTAGTGAATGGCCCTGGCGTCGCCACGGAACCATCTACTGTCCCATGTTTTATGAGTCTCCCTGGACCAGAACCTCACATGCTGATCAGCATGCCCCGTGGTACGAGGACGGGACTGAAAATCCGGAGATCATGTCCGTGAACCAAATCAGTTGATTTCTGGTCACCGTTCCTGAACCTTTGATCTGAGGATCCATAGAATCTCGTAGGTGCCCGAAAGCAGAGCACATGACGGCCTGAAGTAGACGAGGGCCATCAAGACCTCTCAAGCAACACTAATAGTCTCAGCAGAGAGCAATCGCATGCTGATCCAGGATCAGCATATAATCGAACGGTCAGGTAGCTATCGCTTCAAACTAGTCTAAAACCTGGTTACTAGGATACAGGAGTACAGGGGTCTCCTCTGAGTCAAATTGCTCCTTCGGAAGAGAGGCTACCATGTCCGGTTTTGATACCTTGCTCGTATATTGAATATGGACTTACGAAGTTCGTATAGCGTCCTGATGGGCTTGAAGCTAATATGCCACGCTAAAGCGCTAGCCATGGCGATCGGAGTTCAACGCGGTGTTCCAGCTGAGATGGCGACCCTCGCCTGCTGGGCAAGCGTATTTTTCCTTGGCTGAGCATCCGACTGCGATATGCTGTTGATAGAGTTCTCTAGTTTGGGGGTTCCTGGCCTTGAGCTTGGAGTAGGCATTTGGCTCTGTTTTAGAGGGTACATTAGGCAGGGAGAGCGGGTACTCAAACGGTCCCCGGAGCAGCGACTACTTATCAGCCTGCCTGTACCTGGATTTGGGTCAGATCAGGAGGCAACGCCCATATCAGTCCATTTGTCCGATTGGCAGTGGATTGGTGAGTTCGTTGATTGCCTCTGTGGCCATCGCCACAGGCTTCAGGCCCTGTTGCACATGAGATCTGAAGGAAGCTGGTGAATGTAATCGAGCGATTCACAAGTGCGCTAGCTAAGCTTAGTTTAGCATCGAGTGTTGCAGGACCCCCTCCCCTTGACGTAGATGCACATCAAATGGTACTCGATGATACGCCAACTGTAATGGCTTCATTTTGGCTTTCGGCTGTATACAAGCGGCATTCGTGCAGTGCCCAGTCTGTAACTACAGGTGGAGACAATGCGTCCATTCCGGCTAAACCTTGGAAAGTCGGGGGAAGATTACAAAACAGCAGGGCGCCATGTCAGAATCACATACTCCGCAGGCGCGAGCCCCATCTGTCACTGGCTGGTATGACGGGCTTATGGGGATTCCATTTCGTATTAACCCCGCATTACCCACCAAGCATCGTGGTTCCCCTGGCCATGAACACAAAAACAGAAAGTTATTGCGTCACATTTGGGCATGGCCGGAAGGCTGAAGCGGAGGATGCACTTTGTTTGTGCTAGAAGTAGCCAACCTCTCCGTGTTCTTCGTACTCGTACACGAGCCGGAAATGATACGATTTGCCCTAAATTGATGTGATGTCTCCACTGGCCGATCGGACGATCACTTCAACACACTGCGATTCAGAAGAGAGCAAAGCTATCGGCGTATTTGGGCATGTATAAATATTCTCGAGACCGTTGAACTGCAACTGGGGATGCTCCAATCCATCCGGATCTCGGCTCGAGTCCCTGTAGGTCGCCTAAATCGCGTGCAGGTCTCGGGATCCTTGCGTTTGCGTCGGTATCTGCGCATTTCCTCCAGCCCTAAGAAGCTTCAAAGTTCTCCGTTCTTCGTATCCCGGTCGCGTTTTCTTAATGTCCGCTCTATTCATAAAGTATTGATATAACCCTTGTCTTCGTGGATAATGCTCATGCCTAGTCCGTCATTTAGCTCGCCATGACGCGATCCACTGTTGTTATTTATGTTATTATTCTGCGTCTGTAGGATTGGAGGTTAATGATCGGCTCCCGGCTTTCGCTACTCGCCTGTTCACAAGCAGGAAACGCTCAGAATTGCAGCAAATGGCGTGCTCAGGCTCCGCCAAGTCTAGAGCCATCTGCCCCAATCGGGGAATTGTGCACTGAACCTCGCAATTGTCATAGGAGGAATTACCACAGTCCACTGGTAAGGGATGGCCCTTGGATTTAAGATTTTAGGGCTCACGCAAGGAGCATTCGCCATGTTGTGATTGCAGAATGCGGCCTTACCCCACGGCCGGCTGCAGCCATGCCAGCTTGGATCGTGATTTTTCCTGCTGCTCGAAGGTATTTGAGCTCTGGCGGCGCCCGTTTCCGGAGTTCGAACGATTTTCTTTTGAGTCTGCCAAACTCCAGGCCTTAGGCTCTGCTCCTAGTATAAGACGTCCGGCTTGTCGATCGGATACCTTTTTCTATCATCCCTACATACCTGGAAATTGGAAAGCTTTTCTGGACATCAGATAAGCCTCTGGCGAGCCAATCTACGCATACCAGTAGATTGACAAGACACTTGCGGGAATGTTTGCGCGCGGGGTAAGGGCAGTTGCTCTTATGAGTTCCTTTGTGGTGTCGATCAGCGAAGCCATTCAGTATACTCCATTACAGCCGCCGTCATATCCGCTGGCCGTGAGGAGTCCATATTTGTCAGGTGAGTGTATAGTAGGGACTAGCCCCCTTGGCCCCCGTAAATCTCGCCCTGGATCTTCTAGTTGGTAGTCAACTTCACCTTTACCCCAACTAACTAACGATCGGCAGCTTGGTTCCCCGGTCCATCTGTCGGATCGCTGGCCTCGACCAACGCCCAATTTTGGTCGGGAGATGCAGCTCCCTTAGTATGGACCGTGCTGGCGCGGGTTGACGGTACGACGTATAATCTGTTTGGCGTTCACACGCCGAATGATGGAACCCAGCCAGGAGAGGTCACGGCGGCCACTTACACGTCCACGCATTCCACTTTCACGGTGACCGCTGGGCAGAGGAGTTTCACATTGGACTTCTTCTCGCCCGTATCACCCAAGAACCTGCTGCGCCAGTCCTTGCCTTTCTCGTATCTCACGGTGACTCTTGCTGCGGGAGATTCCCACTCTGTGCAGGTGTATTCCGACATTGATTCGACATGGACCGGCCAGCAAAGTGACTCGACATGGAGTCACTCGACCAATGGATCGACACGCGTATTCCAGATCACCGCGGTCGGAACCGCAACTTATTCCCAAAACGCGGAGACAGAACAGGCGCTGTGGGGAAGTGCTGTATATGCCACCCGCCCAGGCAGTGGTAGCTCGCTTTCCAACCAGGCAGGCCCTCTTTCGACGGTTCGACAGGGGTTCATCGACAACGGGACTCTGACTGGGAGTCAAGCTAGTTGGACCTCAGACGGGGTGACAGGCTTTGCACATGACCTGGGAACCACGGCAGACCAGTCTGCTGTCACCTTCGCGATCGGCCACGTGCGCGAAGAGTCCATCAATTACCTGGGCGCCGCGCAAACGGGGTACTACCGAGCGACTTATCCAGAAACCGTCGATGCTGTTTCATACTTCCTTGATGACTATGATGATGCCAACTCCGAATCTACAAGGTTTGATGATCTGATCCAAACAACAGGATCAACAAGCTTTGGTACGTTCCTCCCCAACCCCCACACGTTCAGGGGTTACCGAAGCACATGAAACACACCTGACCATGGACCCGGGTCATAGGTTCAAACTATAGCGACATCCTAGCTCTTTCCACTCGCCAAGTATATGGTGGCATAGAGATTGTGATCCCCAATGACTCTCTGGACACCAGTCAAACCAAGGCCTTCATCAAAGAAATCTCAAGTGATGGAAACATCAACACCGTGGATGTCATTTATGCGACGTTCCCCATTTTCTACGTCCTCTCACCCGACTATTTGAGGCTCCTCCTCACTCCCATTTTGATTATCAAGCCAGCAAAGGCTACTCGGAATCTTACGCCGTGCATGACTTGGGCGCCAACTACCCCAATGCGACCGGACATCTCGAATCCGGCGAGTCAATGCCAGTGGAAGAGAGTGGAAACCTCATCATCTTGACATACGCATACCAAGCTGCAAGCGAGGACACGGACCTAGCCACGACTTACTCTTCGCAGCTGGAAACTTATGCCAAGTATTTGTCAAACAATGGGCTGTACCCGGCCTCGCAGCTATCCCTGAATGATGCTCTGGGCGCCTTGGCCAACCAAACCAATCTGGGTGTCAAAGCTGCAACTGCTCTGGCAGCATATGGTAAACTAGTTGATGATAATTCTTACCTGCGTCAGGGCAGAGACTGGGCAGACCAAATATGGACAGATCACCTTGGGACCGACGATGCCGGAACGCGATTCTTGATTCAATATGGGACTAATCCCTGGTTTCTTGTCTTCAACCATTACGCAGACAAGTTATTCGGCTTGGATGCCTTCCCAGAGGAGGCTTATAATGCAACCTCCACTTTCTACCCGACGGTGCGCGATGACGCCGGTGTTCCCTTGGATGGCTCGCTCAGCTGGGGCCAGACCAACTGGCAGGCAGCGGTTGCTGCCACCGTGAGCGGAGAGGCCCGCGACATTCTTATCAACGACATGTGGGCCTATATCTCCAATGGTCTTAATGATGCTCCGTTTTCTGACCGTTACTGGGTCAAGGCCAACGATGGAGCTTCACCAGGCGAATCCTATTCTTTCCGTGCTCGCCCAACCCTTGGAAGCCATTTTTCATTGGCTGCCTTATCTGGAGCGAATATATGGCCGTGAATTGATGGCACAAGACGATACTTCAAGCATACGCCTGTATTTAATCGTGAGGCCCCGTGGGTCGATTGTAATGCTCAATGTCAGGATCTCGAATTCCATCAACAGGCTTGTGTCTGGCGTAGAGGTAATAATGAATAGCGTCTCTCTTTTTTTTTCTTGCATTCCAATTCCCAACCCCCGCTATAAAATATGAAGTGTAATGCGATGATTTTTTCATACATGGATACCCCGATAAAGATATGCCCAGCTCTAAGCTGCTGCGTGATCTTGGAACACGACAACCTGGACCGTGATATCATCTCGGACATTCCTGGAGAACGGGGGTCTGAACGCCAGACGACCCGCCAAGAGCTCATGGTGTGCACCTCCAAGAGAGTTGCGCACCAGGTGGACCGCTGCATTTTTATCTTCGCGCGTTTCTCTCTCTTCCACGAAGCCCTCCTCGAGTTTGCTCCCGAAATCTCCAAAGTCAAAATCGAGATCTGCGAAAGCTGGACGAAGCTGTCTCGGCATTTCTTTGCCGTGGCGCCACTCCAGCCACCTGCCAGTCACATCAACTGCCTGTTGACTGGACATATTGTCCCATAGACCATCGGTCGCCATGATCAAGAAGGTTGGCCTCGAGTAATCGATTCGGGTGCTGGTCACGACCGGTTCTGCCGTCAGATAAGGCGGAGTTCGGACGTCGTACCTTGGGGCCAAGGGCGCCGGTCCGTAGTATCGCCGGGACATTTCCTGCTGAACTTCCAGAGGCCATTTCCATCGGCTGTCGCCAAAGGCTCGAGAGACCATCAACCCGAGTACCCGCCCGCCTTTGACAATGTTGTCTTCCCCGGGGTGCTCTTTCTGAAGCCGTGATATCTCCTGTGCATTTCGACCCGTTTGATCCACTGATAGCGGAATCGCTTCCCATGAGCCGTCTGGTCTCTGCTGGCCCAACACGGCCCTCGAGTCACCCGTACACGCGACGTGAAGGGTGCTAGTGGCGGGATCGAATAAGGAGAGCAAAGCACAGGATCCTGCGAATGCAGGCGCTAGTTTCCCAGCTTTAATTTGTAATGGTTCATCGCTGGCGGCCGACTCTTCTGCGGCTTTCATAATTGATGTATCAAGATTCAGGAAGCCTTGGGTGATTGCGTCCTGAACTACATGAGTTGGGGCCGGTCCCTGACCGTATTGATCTTGTAACTGAGTCAATCTTTCTCTGACATACGGGAGCAGCTTCGTTTCCAGCAGTTTCGAAGTTTGCCAGCCCGCATGGCCGTCCAAAACGGCCCAAGCCATCCACTGCTTGTTGTGCTGCCAAGGGGCCGGAAACTGGCCATGGAAGAAGGCATCTTCACAAGGCTGGTTCGAAGCAACCTGAGCGCCATCATACTTCACAACACCAGGGATGCTATCGGTTGAGATCGAATACGCATGTTGCGATATCAAGCTGGTTACAGCCTCCCTCGAAAGCACTTTCTCGGCCACCAATGGCTGCGTTATGGTCGCCTCTAAGTGGGGCGCCTTGCTTTTGTCTCTGGGCCATAAGGTGGCACCCGTTCCAAGAGCTAAAGACACGACGAAAGCGCCTGTGATATTCCAATTCTTCGACCCAGCGGCCTTCGTCGAGTAGGTACGGCTGTTTGGCCGAGTCACGCGACTCAGCGGCAGACGCGCCCGAGTGCTGTAACATGAGAACATGACCTCTACGAAACTATTGGTATAAGGTGATGCATTTACCTTAGGAATAATTCCGTCTCGTCACAGTCTGTAGCAGCAGGAGAAGCGCGCAGGGAAGCCAAATAGGACCACCAGGTCCTCAATGGCCGGAAAGGGGGCGAGCAGTAAACATGTCGGGTCACATGACTCGTCTATGCGAAACCGAATTGGCATCGGACAAGACAAGGCGTCATCTCTTTTCCGGTGCATTCTATGGGCGCTGAATCCATCAAGGGAAAGCAGAGGCACAGCTCGTAGATTATGCCTCTCAGGGTGGAGACTAGGGATTTTTCAACTCAGGCGACCAATGGCTCCGTTACATCGTATATATGAAATCAGGTCGCTTATCGCCCAACATTTCAATCTCCTCGTGGCTCAAGCCTTCAACCCAATGATCTCGCTCTCCACGCCTCCGCTTGCCATTCTCCCGTTGCAGTAGGATGTACTGTATCACAGAGCCACCGAGTAAAAACAGGACAAGGTACGCAAGCACCGTGCCATGGCCTGGATAGAACCGAGGCGCGTCTCTTTGTCGGTAGATATTGGACGAGACAATGCCATTTAGGTTTCCCCAACCGATGATGATTCCTAAAGAGACCCCGCGCTTATACACGCCTGGTGGTCTGTTAGCCAACGCAGCGGATGGTGTTCCATGGCAACTTGCCTTCTATATTGTTACTAGACCAAGAGATGGTGTTGGCAATCGCCGGATAAATGCCCATGGCACCTAGGAAGGTCCCTGCATAGCGCGCTCCGGCAGACTCACAGCCAATCAACATGCAAAAGCCTACAATGCCAATCAATGATACAAGAATGTTGCAAATACCACGTTGTCGGGTGCGGTCTGCGATGAACCCGACAGTGACGGTGAGGATCGCAGCAGCGGCATAGGGGGGGGACGCTGAGAAGTTGTGCTCTGATTGAGCTGTACCCTGAAAAAGAGAAGAAGAAAAATTATGTCAGTATGGTCTTCTGGGATGGTTACTGGACTGGGGTGCTCAAATACCCTAGAGATCATCATGTCAGCGGGACGTAGTCGTCTTTACTAGGCAAAGGATATGCTTACCAGTTCGTTGATGATCGTGGGAGTAAAGAGCGAGAAGGCGTAAAGAGCCCCGTCTGCGCCCATGTAGATGATTGCTCCCGTGTAAGTTTTCCAATCCTTCAGACTGGCCCAAAGGTACTTCATCTTGAATTCCTCATGCTCTGCACTGGACTGCTGATCGAGCGCTAAGCGTCGAAGGACGCGAGCCCGGTCGTCCGGTGATAAGAACTTCGCCTGATCAGGAAAATCATAGACGCACCAAAAGGAGGCTACGCCAATCACGAAGGTGGCCAGTCCTTCCAGAATGAAGATCCACGCCCAGCCTGCCTTACCCCCGATGCCGTCCATTTTGGAGATCGCGGCGGCAAGCAACCCACCAAAAGAGCCGGCCAGTGCAGCTGCAGAGAAGAATATAGCGAAGCGCACCCCGAATTCGGATCGCTTGTACCAGCACGAGAGGAAGTAGCCCACGCCTGGGAACAGACCAGCTTCGCATAGACCTAGAAAGAACCGGACGGCCATCAAGCCGGCGTAATTATGCACAACGCCCATCAGGGTCATGCAGATACCCTGAAATCGCCAATATCCATCAGAGACTGACTCGATACGTCGCTGCCGGGAGGAGGGTTCAGAAGGCGTACGCACCCATGCAATCATAATACTTGGGATAAATATACTCGGGCGCAGTCGCTTGAGCAAGACGTTGGTCAAGGGCTCGAAGACTGCGTATGATGCGAAGAAAATGGTCAAGGTGTTGTTATATTCATTTGGACTCATCTTCAGGTCCTTATCGAGGCCGTCGATCTTCGCATTGCCAATATTTGTTCTTTTTTTCCAAAACGCTGGGATTAGTCGAGCTTCACCTGCGATATGCCAATGAACTCACCGATCCAGGAACGAGGCCAGATAAAGGAGACTGAGCCAGGGAACCATTCGTATATCGAGTTTCCAGACCAGCTGGCGATCCTGGCAGGGTAAATCGGGAGTTAGTACCTGCATTGGTAGTGCATTTTATTGCATTACGCTGAGTTTCTGCAGCAGGACTGCATGTGACAATGCTAGGGTTACAAACCAGCTTCGCTCTCTCCTCCTCGCTCAGGCCCGCGTCTGGGTCCTCAAACCCAGCCAGTTTGTCATTGGAGAGTTCCTTCTCAGCGTCAGCGAAGTGGGAGTCATCCATCGGGCTCTTGTCAGCTGGAACAGCCATGGTATATTGAAATATGCTGTATCAGGTGAGGGGGAAAGAGTCTAAGGGAAGAACTGAAGAGCGGGGGAAGAGAGGCAGCTTATAAATGAAGAACAAGCTCACCAATCAAGGAGAAGCCTATACTGGTACTAGTATTAAGGGGGGCCAAGAGGAGTGGGGAACAGCAAAAAAGCTTCGGGCATAGATCAGCACGAACATCTACAGATTGGGGAAGAATGGGAGGAAGAAGCAAAAGGACCAAACGCAAGTTGGAGAACGCTAACGCACGCGGAGAAAAGCCAGCAAAACTCTATATACGAGTGAAGACAAAGTATATCTTTCTCTCCTTGCCTTCCTACTACAACAGTATATGATCCTCCACTTGAATAAAGCAAAGTGCCCTGCAACTCCCCACAGATCAGGAGGTCGAGTCCTGCAAAACGACCTTGGCCCCGGGAAACCCCAGAATGATGACTAAGAGTGGGGGTAGATCTTCCCCGCTTGGACCCCCACGTTCCAGGTTTTGCCTCAAGTCTCAAGTCGCAATGCGTGGATGGATCCCAGGAAGGGACTATCGGAAGTGAACCACGGCAAATATGGAATTGATTGTCTACCATCGCCTTGGGTAGGAGAAATGCGCTTCAATTAACCAAAGAACTCTCCCGTCGCGAAAGAAACCCACGAGACCTCCCCATCCCAGCAACGCTGTACAAGCTGCCTTGCGTCTTGGATCTAAAAGGTGATGTTAGCTACTAGGGGTGCAAAGGGATCCATGAGGCTTGAGGGAGGATTACCTGCTTCATTCCACACTTTTCTAGTTCGGAAAACCGGTCCAGAAGCACCGGTCTTTGGTCGGGAGATGCTTCAACAGCCAGCGTAAACAAGGGCAGAAGACAACAGAGGGATGCGCTCAGTGTCATGCGCCCTAACGCATTGGCCAATTGCTTGAGGGCCTCTTTGACTGGGTACGAGTCGGATGAAGACCCTAAGACCCGGCGATGGAGGTGAAGTAGTCCCGCACAACGGAATGCTTCCTCCGTGGCAAGCATATCTTCCCCTTCCACGCCCACATGGTGCTCGGGATCCACGTGCGCGCGCTCCCGCAGGCCCTCCAAGTCACCAAGGATCGATTGGGCCTCCAAGATTATATCCGCAGACGGATGCCAGTCTCGGCGAAGGTTCCCCAGCTCATCGAAGCGCTCATTGTCGCATTCTTGTACGAGACGTGCCAGGCGGATGAGAAAGAGCCCGGTCCGAGGGTGAACCCGGAAAAGCAATCAACGCTGAATTCATTGTAATTGTCCGAGCCAATACATGCTGCCAGGACTGAACGGTAGATCATCAAAGGGTGGCCCGCCTGGCGGCAAGACAATGCCCCCACAGTATCAATGTACCCGAGCCAGCGAGCAAAAAATGCTCCTATACGGTTCCCGAATCGGGAGATCCTTTCACTCCGGGCAAGGAAAAGGTCCCGGGCAAGCTTCAGGTGGGTCTGCCACGTGATAGGCACTTCAAATGTCCCCGGTGATACAATTTTCAAAGACAAGAGAAGGATCGCAGTGGCTAAGTGGCTATCGGTAATCTCCTCATGCGAGGATTCGAGTGCAACACGCAAGGTTGGGAAGACGTCCCTGACCCAGTGTGCGATACGATTGGCCGGCTCCGCGTGTCCTAAATACCGCGCCCGATGACTCGCCGAATAGGCTAACATCAGGTTGAGCAAATTAGGATCACCAATGGCCACTAAGGATGGAGATTAGTCATGAGAGGATAAAGCCAAGATTATAAATCGACTCAAAATACTGACTTGCTGGCAACACCGAGATGAAGGGGTTCTTGTCACAATCGTGCGGCACCAACATCCGCGAGGTGTGGTTCAAGAAGTGATGGAAGTACATGAGATTGATCGGATTTTCCAGCAATGTCGACGGGAGGGGAGAGAGATATCGTGGAATGTTTACGGGGACAGGTGATTCGTAGTACCCATGGGATCCGGGCTTCAGCGCGCTGGACGCCGCGTGTTGGGTTGAGGGGGAGGTCGATTGAGGGGTCTCCAAAGCTGAATTGATATCGATGGCTGCATGGTCGTTGTTCAGAGCGAGATCTCGGTCAGGCCGCCCGCCGTCGAGCCCATAGTTATCGGTCACACTAGTGAGATATGCTTGCCATTTACTTTGGGCCAGTAACGAGTCTTTCACAGCGTGCTCTTCCTTCTCATTGACGTCGAGACACCGTGCATCTGCATTGTTAACGGACGCCAGCTCCTTCGGATGCGACAACGAGAAATGATGGTCTCCCTGCATTGACTCTTGTGCGCCTAGCATCAATGCTGCTATACCTCCGGCCCTCGAGAGATCTGATGACCCATTCTCGTGAGGCAACATATTATGGATTGAATATTCAGATCTATGATCGTCTGGTACCTGCTCTGCGGAGGAGTGGCCGTTTTCCTCTGATACATTGGATGCATCTAGCGAATGTCGAAGGAAAGAGACAGGCTGAGAGACAGAGTTTGAAGGAAAGGCAAAAGCAGAAAGAGACCTGAGTCCAACGCCTTGGTCTGCTGCTGCCGAGAACGCGCTGTGGAAATTCGGACCAAATGGATAGTGAGTCAAAGAGCTTGACGCGACTGGAGGTGTCAGTGGAGAATGATCCGACCAGCTAGTTGCAAAGTTGGAATCAATAGGAGCCGGTGAGTTGATCTCATTCGACCCTGTGGGAGGCTTTGGTGAGTCAAAAACACTTAGATGGGCTGGTGTACTTGGCGATATGGCACTTGGAGATGCCATTTCACCGGCGTGGGTGTTAACAAAGCCATCCGCCGCCATCATACTCGGGGCTTGAGGGATCGAAGTGGCGGCCCTCTTAGGAGGAGGATCTGCAAACGAAATGACCGTCCCGGCATACCCACTGGATTGGGAACTAGGAGAATCGGCCGAAGGTCGTTTTGCTCGCCCGCCCCAATTGAGGCGTACACTATAGTCGCATAGCTCGCCTTGTCGCTGGCAATTGACACATGCTGGCTTCTCTTCGCCGCTATTATTACCATAAGTAAGCAATGTTCCCTGGCCTTTGCATTCATCCACTGGCTTTTGTTTTTGCACAGCGACCTTACCATTTCACTTTTCGCGCTTTGCACGGCCTAGCACTGGTTAGGACTAGCCATTGGGGGGATCACGTTGACAGCTCCGCTTACCAGCATCCTTTCCGACTTCTTCGTTTCGGTTCTGGCGCACCAGGCCTTCTAGGGCGAGGCATCGCACCTTAGAAAAGTGAGTCGGGACAACAAATCACGGAGCGCACCCACAATTGGAGCTCTTCTTGCGTTTAGAATTGTGTTGGCCCCAGGTGGCCACAAAGCGATAGTCGACCAAACACCCACACCTAGTAGAAAGGCACATCGAGGTGTGGGAGGGAGATGTGCCCGACAAACAAGTTCAAGGTTCTGGCTACCACCTGTAGCAAGCAGAGCGTTCTACCAAGAACGATAAGACCGGTAGAACGATACTGTGATAGAGACGATGACGAACCCCACGTTCCACAGTCCGGAGTAAGAGAGGGTCCACAGCTGAAGCTGGCCAGTAGCACACGCTCTAGCACGCAATCAACAGCAATAATCGACTTCAAAAAATGCGATCTTCCAGAAACTCGTAGCGAAGAGTGTGGGGAAGGCGCCAGATAAGGATGATTCAGCCGGCATCCGGAACAACCTGCCCTCCGGGGCGGGATACCGCGGCATACCGGTCACGTGGCACTGCGTCATAATCGCGCCTTCCACCGCGATTGTTGTTTCCCTAAGCGTCCAGGATATCATTTTTAGGTAAACGGTGTGGTACTGTGTAGATTCTGGCAATGGCCGCGCTGATTGAGCGACACCCGCTGCAGCGGCTCCCCAGCCCTTCGAGGGGCACTTCTGCTCTGGTCCATGTATGTGCGTCGAGTCCTGGGCTGAACTCCGCTAACAACCCCAGCTGGCTGGATTAGCGAGCTTCTTCTGGTCCTTTAAGTTGTATGTGGCTCCTCTCAGGAGACCAATTGGAATTTGACACAAACCCAGGCTAACGGTTGGCTCTAGTATGCACGAGAACCCGAATCAAGCGTACGGCACATTTCCAGATCTTCGGACCCAGGGTTCCAAAGTGAGATGCTAACCGACCTAGGAATGAGGCGTACGGATGGCATTTCCAGTACCTCACCGTCATCGGTCTAACCTTGTCGACACTGACCTTCCTGGTTGCGCTCCTGGCGGATGTAACCCTGTCGCGTCGTTTGTTCCTGGTCAAGAACCTCCTCTCGGTATGCAGTGCTCCCATGGAAGTTTTGATCAGTGTACTCTATTGGGGTCTTCGCTTGGTAAGTCATCACCATGCCGACCCCCGGCTCTTCCAAGGTTCCAGTGCAACCCCGATCTTGCGTGTCTAATCGAAATTTCAGATCGACGAGCGTCTGGTGCTCCCAGACTGGGCAGTCATCCCGCTCCATGCTGGTTCGTCCCTGCCCGAAGACACTCGGAGATTTCCGCCCAGCTAACTCAGACCGCCAGACATCAGTTTTCATGCTATTCCGTCCATCGTGATGCTGATCGATCTCCTCTTCTTCTCTCCGCCATGGACCATCACGGCCTTGCCATCGTTGGGTCTGTCGGGGCTCATTGCGTTTGGCTACTGGTTCTGGGTTGAACGTTGCTTCTCATACAACGGGTTCTATCCTTATCCCATTTTCGAGCTCCTCCCAACGCCTGGCCGCATCGGCCTGTTTTCGGTCAGTGCGGCAGTAATGGCACTAAGCACAGGCACGCTGAAATGGCTATATGGTCGTGTCAATGGGTTCGGAGTGCCAGAACAGCCTGGGTCCCGACCGGGCGCCATTGTAAAGCAAGAAAGCTTGAAGAAATAATCGACGCATGTTAGATTTTCGCTGACTTATCTGTTGAAATGGTCGGATCGGTGTCCACCACTTCGCGACCTCTGTTTGGCAAGACTTCGGCATTTGAACTGATAGCGGCCACTTTCATCCTTAGATCGTCATGGTCCATTCTCTTTTCCAGTTGTTTTTTGAAAACTCATTGGCATTTCAAGATTGCTTCTTCAACAATGTGCGGGGTACAATCTCCATAGCATCAGCGGGCTGTTTTGATACACTCTAAGAGCCTTTCCCCCTTCTCTTTTTCTATGTCGCATTACTCTCCTATGAGGACTCTCGGATGTGAATATTGCAATACCAGTACATGAGCATGGTGCTCCATACTCGCATATACATAGATTTCATCACATGTATGAACAACCTACGTATTCAATGTTTGGACTAATACGGGTTCGAGTTCAGCCAAGACCGCTTACCTAATGTGGGCCCGCATCCAGCCCTCCGGCTCCATCTTTCTATTTGCAGCTTCTCTGACTTTCGACTCGAATTGTCGTCCCTCACGAGCTCACAATATACCATGTCTGTCCGCTCAGTGCTCGGTACTCGCTTGAATGCGACCAGCTTGGTCGCCGGCTCCTCTCTCCGTGGATGGCTTCCCAGCAACTCGCCCGCTTCCATTCAACCGTCACCCGTTCATCGCCGACTCCCGTGTCCAACCTTGTCGCTCAACGTCGAGTACGCCCTGTCCCCGCCGGGCTAGGACGTGCAGTTGGAGTGAGGGCTCAATCGACAGCATCACCGGCTGGCAACGAGGAGGTGAAGCTGGACTGGAACTCTTTCTTCAAGCTCCGCGCTTCCCGTCGCCGGTACTCCTTGGCCTCTTCCGTTGTATCCTCTCTCGTGTCCACAACAGTCGGTGTTCAGGTCCTATCATCGCAAGACTTGGAGTCCCTAGGGGCCCAGGTCATGGGTCTGGACCCATTCATCGTGCTCGGATTAGCCACAGCCGCATGCGGTGCTGTGGGATGGCTTCTTGGTCCGATGGTTGGAAATGGCGTCTGGGGCCTGATTTATCGACGATACAAGCCCTCCGTCAATACGGTTAGTAATTTTGCATAAATCTTTCTATTTAGGAGTCTTGAATACTGATCGCTGGTTTTTTTTTCTTTTCCGTGCCACAGAAAGAAAAGGAATTCTTTGATCGCATTCGCCGATTCCGCGTGGATCCTTCAACTAATTCAATTGCCAACCCCGTGCCTGACTACTATGGCGAAAAGATTGGTAGCGTCCAAGGATACCGTCAGTGGTTGAAGGACCAGCGCGCTTACAACCGGAAGCGCCGCAGCTTTATTGCTTAATCAAGTCATGGGGAGATTGCTACTTCCGCATGTGCATGTGTATAGTGTTGGTCTTGTACCAATTCGCGGGCCCGGGATAACGCGGCCTCTCTCTTCTCATTTCTCTTTTTCCTCGGATGCGAAACGGTGTTCTGTCCTTTCCAACAACATTTAGCGGCGCGGGCGACTTCGGGGTTGTATTTGTACCAGGAAATAGCCTTGTTAGCCCCTTCACGTACAAATCTTTCCATCAGATGACCTTCCCTCCATTTCCTACTATAACAAGTATTTTCGCGAATACAGCAATCTGTTGAGGAACCTTTTCTATTGGCGGTAGAGTCGCGGCACTATTCACCATATCAGCTGCAATGCAATCCAGATCACTAGCAATCCCCAACGGGTCTATAGTTTAGCAGGAGATTTTGCCTTGGGGCTTCGACCGGTGTCAATCTGGGGCCACCAGTGGACGTTCTGAGGCGGATCGTCGTCCAGATTGGCTCGGAAATTCGGCTTGCGTTTTTCGAAGAATGCCCCGACGCCTTCTTTCTGGTCTCTGTGGCCATGTCAGACGGGATTCAATCTCAACGACCCAGCAGTCCCCTTGAACGTACGCTGCTCCAAACATGTGATGCAGGAGTTCGGATTCGACCAGATGTGCTGCCTCTGGAGAACCGGCATCTCGCCACAGCAGGGCGCGATTAAGATACGACGCAGACGGGCTCACATTCGTAGCGATCTCGCTCGCTAGCTCCAGCGCGCGCGGAAGCACTTGCCTCGGTTCGGGAAGAACCTCGTTGAACAGATCGCCAAAGTGCTTCGCCTTGGGCGGGAAAACACCGCCTGTGCTGACCAGGTAGCTCGCGTTCGAGTGGCCGATCAACCGCGGGAGGAAGTAGGATGAACAGGATTCCATGGTGATCCCGCGGCGCGCAAAGACGAACCCATATTTGCCTTTCTCATAGGCAATTCTAAGTTGCTTGTCAGGGACTGTCCCAGAGTCTCCTCGACCATTTGAATCTCACCGAATAATTGCTGGAAGAGTCATCGTCATCCCGACTCCAACTGCGGAGCCTTGCATGGCTGCAATTGTTGGTTTGCGACAGTGATGAATGGCCAGTGCAACTCGTCCGCCCCTGGGCCTTGTCAGCTGGATTGATTTCCCTCGGGCCCTTTGAAGGCCCCGGAAGGAGGGAGTGTGATGCCCAAGTGGCGAGGATTCCGCTTACCCATCCCGATGGTCCTTGGCTTTCTCTTGGTCCAGATGGGTTGCGAAGCCTAGATCTAGGTCTGCGCCGGCACAGAAGGTCTTGCCTGCTCCGGTCAGGACGATGACCTTGACACGCTCGTCGGCGTCAAATAAGGGGTACAGGTTTTCAAAGTCCTGCACCATCTGCGGAGTGAAGGCATTGTGATTTGCAGGACGATTCAGCGTGACAACCAAGACGGGGGTGACTGACGACGATCCCGGTGGATAGTGTGAGACGATGACATGACCGGTGGTTGGGACCTGCTCGTACGACGATGGCAGGTCCAGGGGCTTAGGGTCGAAGATCATGGCGCCACCAGTAAAAAGAGACTTCTTCTCATATAGAGACAAAAGAGTAAGAGACACGAATCATTACCGGTACACCCAGATACAGCTTTTTAAATATAGAAACCTTTCCTGTTGCTTCTCGGCTGGGGCAACCTCGGCTCTGTCGTGCGGGGGAAGCACCCCCGCAGATCCAGCGTCGATCCATTCAGCTGGAATAAGCTAAGGAGATGTTACTATAGACGCGATTATTCAAGGCCCTTGATAGGCTACCTCATGCTCATGGACTCCTTCTCTAGATGCTTGTAGGCGATCGCTTACACACGCTGAATGCTAGATTCCTTTAAGGCTGACTCGAGGCTTAGGGATACTTCCCTTGAGGGTATTTCGCAGCCAATAGTACCGCAAAGTCCGTGAGCTTAAACTAGAGTGGCCCTGCCAAAGCTCGACGCCATAGCCCTTGTTTTCAGTCACTTCTAGGATTGTCATTGAGCTGGTTACTTGGTCTAGGCCGTTCCCATACCAGTCCCTAGTGTCTTCGGAGGTCACATCCCCCAACTTGACGTCAATATGAGCACCGCAACGGTCCACTTTCTGTGTGTAGACAAATCGATATAGGTCAAGAAACTTGACGGTTTTGGACTTATCACCCAAACGGACTGCATTCTTATGTCAGGGGTAGATTTCGGCCTTCTGGTATTTCCCAATCGCTCTTGCTTTCGCCCACCACGCTAGGAAACCAAACGATAGATCTGGAGATGACCGTACATTCGCCGACCTATTGCAGTCCTTTCGTAGTGTATACGCTCAGGGACATCCATCGTCTGCCGCGTGTAAAACACCGCAATTTGTACCGTTGCCAATGGTTTTGTGTAGTAACCGTCCCCTGTCTAGGCTAGGAAAAAAGTCAACCCTGCCACACTGGCAGCTGTCAACCTTGACCGGTGCAGATTCCAATCTGGACATGATGGTTGATTTCTCGGTTCGCTGGCCACATCCCATGACCTCATTCTTGGCAACCCCAAAAAAAAGATTTTTGATTAGAATATATCTCAGCGTGCTCTTCCTCCACTGCACACAAGCACTTTGCACCAGACGAGAAACTCATCCAGAGTCCATTGACTAGCAGCTTCCAAGGCCTCTTCGACTCTTTCAGGTTTGCTCCAGCAGGGCCCAACACATTGCAAAAGAGGGCGGAACAAACAGAATCTGCCGCATTCGGGCCCCTCCCCCCCCTTTACCCGATTTTCGTGTTGTGGCCTTTCACAGCTCGAGTTTGTCCTCCTGCAAATCATGTCTGGTCGCAATGTATCCTACGGCCGCGGCGGCGCAGGCAACATCGCCCGCCAGACCTCGAGCCCTGCCCCGTCTGATCTGGTGACTCCGACCATCAAGCAGGAGATCTACACCACGGGCCGTGGAGGCTCAGGCAACATGGTTCGTGAAGCACAGCAGCCCCTGATTGTCCCTGGGATAAATTGACCAACGCCCCTTCTGCAGGTTCAAAACGATCCCAAACACCCGGAGATTGCCCGCGAGAGTCAAGACGTCGAGTCGCCCCCCTTGCGAGCGCAACAGATGCCCCACCACACCGGACGAGGTATGAGATCCAGCCGGGCGAGAACTGGAAAAGCTCCAATCAGTCGATGAGAGGGCGAGTTGCTGACGCGATGTTTTGCCCAGGTGGTGCGGCGAACTTCCTCGCGCCGGACGAAGAGCAAAAGGCCGAGCATGCGATCCAGCGTGAAGAAGCGGAACTCATGAGAGTGCGCACCCAGGATCGCATCAAGGAGATCGAACAAGGGCGACAGGATCCGCAGGCCCAGTCATCAGCGTAAAGATAAGAGAATGTCGTGGCGGGGGGCGGGGGAAGGAAGGGGGCCTACTAATGCGGGGTTCCTGTTTTCTTATCTTTTTGGTGGCTTTTATCTTTTCTTTTCTTTTTTTACCCCCCCCCCCCTGGTTTTTGCTATCGCCCGCGATAACCTCCAGACAGTTGGCGCTTGGCGTCGGGCTGGATATCCCACGGTATTTGCATTTGGACGCTTTCTTTATTTTCTTTTTCTTTCTGTTTTTTCTTCTCCTTTTTTTTTTTCTTTACGGACTACCCCTTGTTGGCTCTTGTACGCTGGGACATTTTATTTGGGGCCCCGCACTACGTGGTAGAGCGATCACAAGATGAGACACCTTCTGCTTGGATTTCTATCTTAGGAAAAAATGACAACGCTGTCGTGGTGATCATAAATCATGATGATAGTCGTGCTGGAAGACGTGGACCTTCCCAGCAGGAATGCAAGGGACCGGCACCTTTTAGCTGATCGTGGGAGAGTAGCCAGTGGCCCATTTTAGGAGAGGGGCTCAATAGCGTTTCGTGGGGGGATGCCAGGGTCGCTCATCTAAGGCGGAGCAGCAATGGCCCCGTGAGATGGAGAGCTTGGATGAAAAAGGCTGTCTCTCGGGGGCAGAGGGCGGAAATATTTAGGGTTGCTGGTCATCAGGAGGGGAAAAGCTCAAGAAGCGACCGACGCCTGGGGCAACTCAGGCAGGAACCAGCCTACAGCATCCAGGGGCCAGGAGATAAGCTCCCGCCATTCGGAGTCGAATTCGAGCAGGTCGACAATCTCCTTCAAGATGCGCGTGCCCCAGTTGCCCATCCACCATGATTCGCGTAAGTGATGCAACACGACAGCATAGTGGGCAAGGACAACCAAGGCAAAGGGCCGTCGGTCTCGGACCAGTTGTGAGAATCGCATGGGGATACGAAAGGCCCAACAGAAGGCGAAGTCCTTGGGTTCGCCTCCATTCATGAGCTGCTCCAGCGAATGGCTCAGATGGTCGATCGTTTGGGTGTAGACGTCCTTTTCGTGGGTCGGGTCTCGCCGCGACTCGATTTCGTTCTGCCGCCGGATAGAGAGGATCACCAGGCGAGACATATCCGGCATGGTCGGTCGAGGCTCCGGCGATTGGACCAGGGGATACAAGTCGCCCGACGAAACGCGGTCTTTGGTCAGAAGCAAGGCGCCTACGAGCCATCGCGTGAGGTAGAAGACCTCGAGAAACTCGTCTAGCACGTCCGGCCTCTCGTCCTCCTCCTCCTCCTCCTCCCAGTCCATGATAATGCAGTATGCGAACGAGAAGGCCAGCAAGACACAGCATAATGCGAAGTGGGCGTTACACTGGGCGTCCGATAGCGTATCGATGTCGTCGAATCGGACCCCGGCCAATGCCAGGCTTTGGTGTTCCCGCGCGGCCACGATATAGCGCCATTTACGCTCTGGAGTACTCCTCTGGGAAGCCACTTCAAGCGCAGAAAGCGCCAATAGTCCATGACGCAGGGCCGGCGCCCGGAGGGACAGCTGGGGGACCACCGACTGCCAGATAAGCTCGGCGCTGGAGTCCCGGGCCATCGACCGATATGTGCTGGTACACCAATTCACCATCAGTTCCAAGTCCTGGAGATGGGGCGGATCTTCCATATCGGTCGATTTGGAGTGTTCCCCCCAGGTGTAGCGGCTGAGAGCCCATCTCCGTGAGCTCTGAATTTGAGAGCGTACTGGAGGTCGAACTGGAAGCTTTCGAGGTCACACTCGAACTCGAATAAGGTGCGCCCTCCAGTCGCGGGCGACGCGGGCGACCAGCATAAGAGTCCACCATCGGACAGTCCCCGCAATACGAGCAGGACTGCTCGGGGGACTACAAGAATCAGCACGAAGAATAGGGCTCGTGATGGAGCTATGGGCGCCACAGGGCATGAGGGGTAGGGGTTGGGGGGGGGGGGTGGTAAGACGACCTACCTGGGGTGTACTATATAAGCTCCTCTGCCGAAGATGCGTATGAGGCCAAGAGGGCATACTCAATCTACTGGCGGTGTAAGAGAGGACAAGAGAAGCTCTTGAGTATATATAGACTCCTTTTAAGAAACCGATGAAACCGATGAAACCGCCGAAACCGCCCGTCAGGCCTCTCGTGCCCTCTCATCCCTTCCCCCCCCCCTTTCAGTCGCCAGCGAAGGTTACTTTGTTATGGACCCGCTTCGCGCATCGCAGTTGCACTCTTTCTTGCATTTTCCCGTTCGGGAAAGAACGGGTCCCATTATGTCACCTTATTTACCGCGTAACTAGTGGGTTGCTTTTTATCCCTTGGGGCTTCCCTAATTTTTCAGTATTTTTATGCCAGCCTACCAGATCGGAGATTCGGAGATCGGCTAAATGCCTGTGAAATGCCTGTGAAATGCCTGTTGGATCTGCTTTGGGTCTGCTGCTCGCTGCTCGCTCCCAATCAACCAGTTTTCCCCCTTTCGGAGGTTGGACGGATCGAGATTGCCTTTGGCGACCTGGTTTCTTTTCCCATTTACCTGTTAGGGAAGGGGAAGAGATTGAGCTGCACGAATGCAAGAACGGGAGCTTCCAGCAAATAGCATGAGGGGCGAAAAAAACAGAGCGACCTTGAGAAAAAGCGGGAAAGCAGCTGCAGATCCACTTGCCTCCAGCCAAGCATTTGCGTTGCCCAAAAGGGTCATTACGGCGCGCGAATCAGATTCTCCCGTCCACGATTACCCCGAAGGACATGCGATCGCCACAGCTGCAGGTAGCAAGTGTAGGGGGAGAATCCTATCAGTCGAACTCCGTAGAGGCGACATAAGCAGTAGTTTCTATGGTTCCTGGCCTTTTCTGATCATCCATTCGAGGATCCTGGAGTGACGGTCAAAGGGTTATTATACAAGGCGTCCCAACTTGAGACCTTCCAACATGAGACCTTTGGTCAACTCCCCAAGGGGCCCCGGTCTCCCCCACCTGGAAAGCCTATGTTTTTCTCGAACGCCGCTAGATTGTTGTGATCGCCGGTTCCTCCGGGCGCGAAGTGCTACGAGCGTCGCGGATTGGAATTTCCAAGTGATCCCGCGATGGATCGCCGGATTTCTCCAGTGCGAGTGGTGCAAATCCTCCTTCTGGTAACCCTCAAGAACGGACTTCCACGGGCCCCTGTGCAATCGGGGCTATGGTCTCTTCTGTGCTGAACGGGATTGGGCCTATGCGGCTCCGAGTTGATCCTAAGTCAAAGGGGGTTTCTGGGGTCCTGAGGTTGTGCCAGGATCGTAGGCTCTCAGGATAGTAGGATCTCAGGATCTCAGGATATCAGGATCTGAGTTCCATGCCAGGATCCCCAGCACCGCAGACGAGCCTCTGTGCGCTAAGCCCGGTTTGGTTATTCGCGGACGCGCGCTGATTGGAGGATCAAGGAGAGAGGAAGCCACGTTGGGTATGCCGGGGGCCGCTCTAAACTCTTCATTATCGTGAATAGGAAATTCCTCCAGGCCTGCAGCGCGTGCGGGATGAGCCGAGTCGCGCAATGGCGGCCAGATCTCGCAGATGGCACATTCGAAGTCAAGTCCGTGATCCGGATCAGGTTTACGAGAATTACTCGGGCCACAATCAATTAGAATTCTACCTCGGATTTATGCGGGGTATCTTATTTTGGGGAGGGGGATGGCGTGGTCATGACACGCAACCAGAACGGGGCAGGTCCCAACTGGTTGATGGGATTAGGATGGTAAGTTCCAGATAAAATCCAGACCGCCGCCCTCGGCGATCGGGAATTGACCGCCATGTCCCATGCCAAAGGGCGCCATGGAGGGGTCGAAGGGAAGCGCAAGCCAATCGTCCGAGATCTCGCCGGTGGGCATGAAGCTCAAATCGGGGGCTAGGTCTTGCGACAGGGGAGTGTTCATCCGACTGGGGCGATCGGGCGCCTCGGGCCATGGAGGGGGCCCCATGGACGCATGCGTCGCATCTCGGACTTTGGAGACCTTGGATGAGACAAGCAGGTTGCGTCGCATGCGAGAGACATGGATCTCCAGCAGAGTGGCATACCGAGTACTCAAATGCACATCGTCCAGCGCATTGGACCGAAGGGCGACGATGCTTTTTTCGAGGATCTCCAGGGAGTCCCGGAAGGTGGTTTCGCGAGTGCCCAGACTCAGGGCTTTCATCAGGAAGACGGACGCGCTGATGATGCGGAGGACGATGCGGACGGGGAGAAGCGCAGGAGGCCGGTCTCGGCGAGTTGGGTGACTTTTTGGAGGATTTGGCAGCAGCCATCAATGACCTCCTGGATGTATTCGTAGTCGGTCGGGTCGATGGCCATCGGCTGGACCTCGTCCAAGCTGGCGTCCGCATCTGCCGCGGCTCGCTCAACGACAGCCTGCATTCCGACCGAGTGGGTGTAGACGCGCACAAAGTGATACTCGATGAAGAGATCGTTGTAGAAGATGTTATCCAGCAGCTGCGGCTGGAGATACCGGTCCTTCCACTGATTGAGAAGAGGCCGAAAGTGATCGAGCAGGCCCACCGTAGCGCCCGCTATGGAGCTGTTGCCGAGCAAACTTCGCGGATGGAAAGAACATGTCCGTCACCGACTGTGCGAGCTTCGTCAACTCAATCCATGAATCCATAAACACCAACCAGGTGCTCCCGGGTTGGCTCAACCCTCTCGGTTTGCGCCCACCCAGAACGGCGTGGTTCAAGGATTGCGGAATGGGGGACATGCAGCCAATGCGCCAGGCGAGTTGGTTGATATAAACATAGAGTAAGCGTTGCACGCGCTGCCGACGGAGAGTCATCTGCTCTTTCAGCTCGGTAACTTCCTCCCATTCTCGTCTTCCTCGGTCTCGAAAATCCCCAGCTCATGCGCGAGAGAGATGCACACCCCAATAGCATCCACGACATTTGATCCGATCGCCGCGAAGGCTCAATGACGTCTTCCAGCCATCGGTTGGCTGATGTATCGGCGGTTTCTGCAGACTCCGATACGTTGGGCCCTGTCGATATTAAGTCATCATCCCAGCCTTCCGTCTCGGGTGGGAAGTGCAGCGAGCGAGGATGCCACTCTGCCATAAGCAGAAGTGCTTCCACTGTTCCCAGACTGCGGACTTTGGACTTCATGGATTTCTCTTGACCGAATACCAACCGCATGGTCATTTGCTGACACTGCTGCCAAAGGCGGTGGTGTATGAAGAAGTTTCTCGACTCCCCTCCTGCCCCAGGGAGAATATGGTACCGAGAAGAGATCATGAGGATGGCGGTACAGAGGACTGGCTCGCGGGATATAAGCCAGAAGTGATTGCTATGGCTCGCATAGAAATCAGTGAGGATGGGTGACAGGCATGACATGTTTAGGAAAAATCTGCATTACGTCTTGTGAGTGCAAAAGAGAAAAAAAGAAAAAAACCAAAAAAAAAAAGGGAAAGAAAGAAGGAGAAGAAGAGAGCATTTAAACCATTGGCCGATACTCACAAGTCAATGAATGTGACAGCTTCCCGAGCTGTGAACCAGCCCATCTTTACGAAACGACAGTTTGCCCATAGCTTCAGGGTCTCCTGGCTTGCCTCGACAAGATTGACGGGCGCAGCTACCCTGGACGGCGGAATGGTACTAGCCGAGGATTCGTAGCCCAAGGCTTGCTGATTCTGCCTCTGATTTGAAGTATTGTCATGCTTTAGAGGGGACTTCCGAGAGGCCTCTTCTTCTTGACTGTGAGCCGTCGCGGCTTCAAACAAGATGTTCAGAGCATCGTTACCGCTGGCGACAACCGTGCGCATCATGGTGCTTGCCAAGGTCGAATCTGAGCGGTTTCGATGCTCAGAATGCGCGTAAGGTGAGGCGCTGCCGCGAGGCATCGCTCTTTCGCCATTCTGGCTGGGGCTGATAATTTGAGGGCTGTGGCTTGGTGGAAGGGAAGCCCGAGGCCCATTCATCGCCCAGTCGGGTTGGAAGGAGCCAGGGCCCGAATACTGGGTTGGAGAATGATTACTCTGCACACATTGCTTCTTAGTTTCCCCGGAGCGAGCATGGTCGGGGGTGGCCGTATCCAATGGAGATTGTTCATCCTTCCCTTCAGCGGAGTAGGCTGTGTGGGATCGCGATTAGTCGGCGAAACCACCACAATCCAATTTCCGACTTACTGTGTTTGCGCGATCTCTCCCATGCTCTTTTTTCAGGAAAGACGCATTCCCTCATCTCTCGGCGACATCGAGCACACGGTGGGCCGATCGGTAATCCGTCTGGGCCCACGCCCAGGTCGCACTTGGCCTTGCGTTGCCGGCAAGGGATACATGCCTTGTAAGTCCGCTGAAATGGCCGGTCGGAGCGGGTCGTCCGTACATCCATGGCAGGATCAGCTCGCGATTAGCGGATGAAGCAGGAAGTTTCGCAGTCGGAGGGGAAAAGATAGCCGCCGGCATCAACCGAGGATATCCGCGATAAGCTGATAAGCTGATAGTATGATAAAACGAGCATGCGTGGACTGGTAACTGGGCATTCTGCGTGACCTCCTTAGTAGTCGTAGTCAGGAGGAGAGTTCTAGCATTTGCAGAGGGGAGGAAAGCTACAAGAGACTTGGGAACTGGACGGATCTTGTGATAGAATGAGATGTGAACTGTCGAAATGCGAAATACTAGACGGTTATTAGGTGAGTTACATACATAAACAGCTGTAGAGGAGAATAGCAACAGCACTTCAGTAAACACTTCAAAGATCAAAACATCAAGCCCTCCAAAGCAACATAGAATACACTTTCAGAACATCTTCTCCAACCCACGCTGCTAATTTTATTTCCCAAGGCCGAGGGCATCGGTCAATCCACCCAGCCCTAAGCCACTGATCAACTTGTCCAGGCCCAGGCCGCCGAGAATCCCGTTCAGCAACCCACCCAAGCCCAAACCATCCAGGAGACGGCCAACGAGGGTGAGAACACCGTTCAGGAGCAGCCCAACAGCGGCAATGATCTGGAACAGAGGCTCGGAGAGCAAGCCCCAGAGGGGGGTTCAACTTCTTCTTCGCGTGTGGCATGTCGGCGAGACGCTTGCGGCCATTATCAATGGTCTTGACCACCGTCTCAGTCAGCTCCTTGAGCAAATCTGCCAGGTGGTACTCTTCAGGCGTAGCATCACGCGAAGCAGCTCGAGCCTTGGCTGTGGCCGCAATGCGACCGTCGGGGTCGAGAGCCCGGATAGCGCCGTTGCATTCTTGCAAGATGCGGCCACCTTCTTCAAGGAGAGGCTTAACATCCTTGACGAGCTTCTCCTCATCGAGTTCCTCCTTCGGGGTCCGGTCTGCCTTTTCGAGTTTCTATCGGGGACGTTAGTGAATATTGCATCATTTCAGGATCTCAATCAAACCAGCGACACTGCTTACCTCGGTGATCATGTTGCAGATAGGCTTGACCTGGTCGAGAGTCTGCTGCAGAATGTTGGCCATTTTATCCGCCAGCTCCTGGTCATGCTTGGCCTTCGACTGGGCTTCCAGCTCCTCCGGCGACGGACCTTCCTCTTGCTCGGGCTCGGGCTCTGGGATGTTCTCCAGCAAGGTGCATTCACCGATCTTGTTGCCGTCGTTGTCGACCACATAACCGTTGTCGTCAATGGCCTTACCGACGAGAGTGGCCAAGTTCCCAGAGGTAAGCTTGCCAATCAGGTTGCCGTCGGCATCTCGCACTTCACCTTCCTTGGTCACCTTGCGACCGGCCATGGGGTTCACATCGCGTGCTTTCTCCTCTGGTTCCCATCGCTCGGCCTTGCCAATGGTGTTGCCGTTCTTATCCAGAACATCACCGTCTTCGTCGACCTTGCGGCCAAGAAGACGCTTTGCATCACCCTCGATCAGACGACCAATGATGCGATCACCATCCACAACAACGCCGTCCTTGGAAACCTCGGCGTTATCGAACCCGAAGAATGGGCCCTCGGCCTTTCTTCCTCAGCGCCAGGAATGAGCTCAGCGCGTCCAATCACTTGGCCATCGTCGCCCCAGATCTGTCCCTTGCCATCGACTTTGCGGCCTGCCAGGCGCTTGTCCCCTTCCACAACGCGTCCAAACACGGCACCGGTGGCTGGATCGACCACCTTCCCTGTCTTGTTGACGACCTTGCCCTCAAGGATTGATAAGTCAGCTTCGACAGGGGCCTCTTCCTCAGGAGGCTCGTAAGGCTCAGCACGACCCTTCACGTTGCCATATTTATCGGTAATCTCGCCATCCTCATCAACAGCGCGACCACGCAGCTTCTTGGCTTCACCTTCAACGAGCTTTCCAACGATGGTTCCCTCGTCGTCTTCGACGAAGCCCTCTTTATTGACGACCAGGCTGTCCATGCCGGCAAAGGGGCCCTCGGGTTTGCTCTCACGCTCATCCTCGGGAATAAGCTCGACGCGACCGAGAAGCTTCTTGCCGTCATAGATCTCGCCATCTTGAATCTTCTTGCCAGCGAGCTCCTTGGGGTTGCCTTCGACAACACGAGCGATCGGGAAACCTTCCGAGCCGATGACATACCCGGCTTTGTTGCAGTGCAGGCCATCCAAGATAGATAGATCAGCAGTAGGCTCAGGTTCGGGTTCAGGCTCTTCGTATCGCTCCGCGCGGCCGAGTACCGATCCATGGCGATCTAAGATTTCGCCATCCTCGTCCACACCCCGACCAAGGAGTTTCTGTGCATCGCCTTCGACGAGCTTGCCAACGCGGTTTTGGTTTTCATCAATGATCCACCCATCTTGGGAAACGATTAAGCCCTCAAGGCCTGAGAAAGGCCCCTCTTCGTCATCGTCTTCTTGGACCGGAAGGGCCTTCACCTTGCCAATCACCTGGCCCTTGTTGTTCCAGAACTGGCCATTGTCATCGAGCTGAGCTCCGAGTTTGGCAAGTTTCTTTGGATCTCCTTCAATGACCTCCCCAACGGGTTTACCAGAATCCTGGTCAATAACAAACCCGCGCTTGTTGCATGTCAGGCCCTCGAGGGTTTTGAGATCGGGGATGTACTGAGACGTCTCCTCGGCGGCATCTTCGCCCTTGGCCTGCGCTTCATCCACAGCGCCTTCCGCATTATCTGCGGTACCCTTAGCGCCGTCCACTGCGTCTTCGGCCTCCGGGACTGCATCGGCAGCATCTTCAGCGGCAGGTTCAGCATCATCAGTGGCACCCTCCGCGGTCTCTTCGGCGCCATGGGCAGCATCCTTGGCCTTCTCCTCTGGCAATCCGTCCTGAGCGTCCTCAAAATTGTCATCCAAGTCCTCCTTGGCTCCGTTAGCCTGGTCAGCGGCGCCTCCAAGCGTCTCCTCAATGGCTTTCTCTTGTTCCTCCACAGGAATAAGCTCGGCGCGACCAATGGCATCACCGTCTTCATCGACAATCTCGCCTTCCTCATTGAGGGTATACCCAATGAGATCTTCCGGGTCACCCTCCACAATTTTGCCGACAACCTGGCCGACGGAGTTCTTAATCACACCTCCATCGGAGACTTCCAGGCCCTCCAGTTGAGCAACATCAGTGACCACTTTCTCCTTGGCCTCGTCCACCTTGGCTTGAGCGTCTTCGGGAACCTTTTGCTGGGCCTCGTCAACGGCACCATCCAAAACGTCAACACGGCCGATTAAATCGCCGTCTTCGTCGAGGATCTCGCCGTCATCGCCCACCGTCTGGCCAATCAGGTCTTCAGGGTCCCCTTCCACGAGCTCTCCCACTGGGTTGCCGCTCTTGCCAAAGATCTTGCCACCTTCACCGACCTCCAGGCCCTTCAGGGCCGAGAGATCGAGAGGAACGGACTGTGTAGCTTCCTGGGCTCCTTTCTGGATAGTGTCCTTCGCTGAACCGGCAGCGCCTTTGGCCTTGCTCGTCACGCTGGACGCCGCGCGACCAAGTGGAGCTGCGGACCCTGACGCTTCGGAGACGGTATCATCGGGCGGCGAGGCAGGCCGGCGCTGCTCGGACGAGGCAGGCTTCTTCTTGGGCTTGGGCGACGGGGTCTCGGGGACTGATTGTTCTTCGGCATCATCGTCGATCGGTTGGGGTGCCTTTGGCGAGAGTTTGTGGGAGGACTTCTTCAACGACTTGGGACTGTCGGTGACATTGGGCTTCGAGGCAGTGCTGGAGCCGGAGCCCTTGCGGGTCTTGGAGGGAGTAGCTGTTTTTGATCCCAGCTTGGGTGGAGCTTTATTCACCGCGGGGGAGGCCATCTCGACAGGAAGTTGGGTGTGGGAGTGTTTGGAGTAGATTGGTTTGCGTGATAGTAAATTGAAATTCGTAAAATGTCGTCACGTTTAGGAGTAGATCAAGGCGGTATGTGATACAAGGACCAAAGTCGTAAAAAGCAACAGTCACTGATACTGCAGTTGATGCTTTAAACAAATTGTAAAAGAATTGCAGGTTTTCCCTAGGGGCATGTGCAAGCTTATATGAACCGCCATGGGGCTCTGATATCATCGCCGCTCTCTTCTTCGAGGATCTTGTGTATACCCCGTTGGGGGGGTCGTACCGTGGCAGGTACGAGGTATAGAGAGCCAGCTACGTCACCCAGGCTGATATCATTGCCAGGATTATCAAACAATCCAATCCTGGACCAAAACTACAAGGTCGACCCGGGGTTTCTGCACGGTGCATGGGCCAGCAGCATGCAGAGTGGAGAGATAGGGAGCCACCAGGCGGCTACTAGCATCATCCGAGCGGGTCGTCCACTTGAATCGAGACGTCGAAACGTGTCTTACGCATGCCGATTCCTGTACCGGCGCCAATCCAGGGTACCAATATGACAGATGTCAAGCAGGACTGGTATGGAGTATAGGTGGAGCAGGGTCTGACATGACGCGGAAGAGTCTCCACCGTGACACCGTGGGGTTTACAATTCGGAGAGACCATAAGTTGACGGCTTGATTGCTCCTTTCCCAGTTTGTACGCTGCTGCCTCTGTCCTACCACGTGTGCCTCCCAGGTACTACTACTATATTAGGAGTGCATCCGTGGTCCACGAGCCCATCCATGGAAACAAGTTGGCCACCTCATTTGGATAAAACGTCAGGGGGCGAATCAGATTGCACGCTCCGACAGTGTCGATATTAATCTGATGTAGTTGCGATTTGCCCCTCTTCCCATCACACTAAGCGTCCTCAGTCTATGCGGTGTGGCTGGTGACTGGGAACTTGGAAGTTGGTTGGCTTGACGATCCATTCCCCAGGACGATCTGGCAGGATGAGCTTTGGCCGAAGCGATGCTGGTGGATCATCATTACATCAGATCGTGGCTCTTGTATACTGCGTACAGCGATGGTTGGACGGTGCGACAAGTTCAGGCCTTTGGCTTTGACTACCACCGTTCTTACCAGGATCTCCAGACAATGTTGACTCCGCGAGCGTATTCGTGCTTGGAGAATCGTGGGAGTGCAGCCGTTGTCTTTGTTTGGAAATTCCTTATGTGGTGGACTGCAACTGAAAGTTACGGAGGTGATAGGAGTACATTCTGCTGTGGTTCAAGGTGATCACTCCCCGTCGCGATGCAGCCGTGACGACTGGCGGGGGCTCGCAGAGTATACAGAGTATACGAGAAATACGCCCCACTGACGCCACAGCAAGACCACGTTTGCTTTCCCCGAGTGTTTTGTCCAAGCGAGGGGGGGCTCGACCAGATGAGATCATGCTCGATCGGGCAATTCATCATTTTAATCTATTTGGGTGGAGCCGTCAGCCACACAGGTCATCCCGCCTCGTAGAACTGATATCATCGCGGTCTCCAGCCAGCGGAAGCTGACCATAGGAAATGAAACAGAAACCGTCGCAGCAGGACTCGAGAAATTTTCTAGAAGTTCCAGAAAAAGTAGACCAGAGGCAGCTCTGAATTAAATAGTTTGACCGATCGCGACAGTTGGACCCGGCCGTTAGAGACGTGGGGCGGGTGGGACTCGCAGGGCAATTCATAATCCCGCCAATCAGACTTGCAAGTCAAGCGTTAGTGAAGTCTATTACCGCTCCGGGGCTTTGGAGTTATGGACTACGAAGCAGCCGCACAGGCAATCTTGAAGGAAATCCATCGAATTTGATTGAGTGGGTTTGGAAGATGCTAATGGCAACGCAGAAAGCAGACATCCCCCGTTATCTGTACCTCGCCCCATCCCCTTCCGGAGAGCCTCTCACCATGAGGCAAAGAATTAGTCCGAGGTGATGAAGTATCGTCGGAATCGGTCGATCTGCCTCAAGTTCAACTCGGTAATGACCCAATGACAACTCATCAGCAGGCTAGGAAACCGGACCGTCCAGAAATTGAGGTATCCTTCCGGAAGTCCCCCGATGTGGGCTTTGAGCGTGTCCGGCATATCATTATAGTGATTACGCTTGTTGCGAAGGGCCCGGAGAAGATCCAGCATTCGAGAGCCGGTGTACTTGCGCTGTTTACCCAGGCTGTCTTTAAAATCGCGAGGCAAAGCCCGCAAAAAATCCATCTCCGGTCCCATGACTTGGGGGGCTACTGACTCTAGGCAGAGCAGAGCATCGGAAGGAGGATCCCGAGGTTCGAACTCGAAATGGTCGGACACGTCGCACAGAAAGCTAAGTCGATCGGAGGGCGGCCAAAAGAAAGGATGGGTAAGGACAGCACTTGCATCAGGTCTGGAAAGATAGCGATTGATTAGCGGCTGATATCGTAAGGGCGGGGGGGCAGGATCAGTAGGTGCAGACATACCGCTGGCGGGGATCAAGGGACAACATCGAACGAATGAGATCATCAGCTTCGAAGGCATAATCTCCCAACCGATCTAACTCTTGCAAGTCAAAGTGACCTTTGACGATGTTGGCCTCGCGCATGAACTTGCCGTTTTTATCGAACGGATGGCTTCCGCGAGTCAAAACATAGTAAAACACGCAGCCCAGGGAGAAAATGTCGATGGCACGTGTGGCCCGTCGGTTGGTTTGTGGATCAACCACAGCGGGCTCGGAGGACTCAGTATGCTGGGATGCGAGGTTGAATGAAGACGCATCATCGTCGACCAGCAGCTCGGGAGCGCGCCAGCCAGAGGTTCCAGCGGCGTGGGCAGTGGTGGCCCGGAAAGAGCTTTGGTTGTCGTCCAATTTCTTACATAGGCCAAAGTCGGAAATGAGCATGCGGATGGCCCGAGAGGCTGCGCGGCTGCGCGGCACTGACACCAGAATATTCTGGGGCTTGAGGTCCCGGTGGACGATCTTGAGGGAATGCAGGTATCTCACTCCTTGGGTGATTTGGCGTAGGATGTCCGGCATGTCTAGGCCGCCCTGGACTAGCTGTGGGAAGTGGAAAGGGCGTTCGATGACATCCTGCAGAGATGCAGGGCAGAGTTCTAGCCCGATGTATAAGAAGCCCGCAGCCTGCTCCCGACAGAAGTACCGGATGACGTTGTGATGGTCATCACTCTCCTGTAGAAGGCTAACTTCATGAGAGGCGATGTCATAAAACTCCATCAGCATGCGTTTCACTGCCACATCTCGTCCATCGAATGCACCCTTGTAGACAACCGTACCATGGCTGCCGTGTCCTAGGACGTTGCTCGTAAAGACTTCCAAGCGCCCGATTCGGATCACACCGTCCATTTCCATGATTTCATTGGAAACAGTGCGCGTCATCTGGATGTCCGGCTCCAATCGAGGGGCGGAGACAAGTTGTTCACCTGCGCCACCACTTGATCGGCTTCTTCAGAAGCGTTAGCTTCCGCGCCAGCCTTTTTCGGACGACGATGGCTCTTACCACCGCGGCTCCCACGGGCGCGAGTTCGTTTCTTTGGTGGCTTCTCCGGGGTCTGACCCGGCTCTTGTCCGTCGCTATCGGGCCCGCGGGACGGCTCGCGAATTTGGACCCGGGTGCCATCGCCGGCACGCTGCGATCGCGTGATGGCCGGGGTGTCGACTGTCCATCGGGGGTATCAATGAAGTCAACATCAACCGTAACGCCTGGTACTGGGCGGGGTGGTGACGAGGGCCTGTTGATGTCTGGTGCAGTACCCACGATAGGGGTCGCGGGAGTCGAAAGGGACGTTTTGTCGTTCGAATTGATGATGTTTTTGATGTCGAGCTTCTGCTTAGCGAGATCTCGAATGTGGTGGGAGTTGAAGTAGATAAATGTGCCCATAAACAACAGAATTAGAGTGACGATGATGTCCAAAGCATTGTCCCAGCCCTTCCGAATAATTGCGCTGTTGCGTAATGCCGGGGGAGCGCAAGCTCCGATGGACTGCGAAGAATATCCCGGGGGGTGTCGTTAGTGATGTCCGGGATAGGCGTGCTGCCAAGACGCGGAATGGGAGGGCGAATGCGTGGACCATTGAGCGAATGAACGCCAGCCAAAGCATCCTTCTGTTGGTGCGGAGACAAACTCATGAGCGATTGTCCCTTACGGAAAAAGTCCTTGTCATAGCACTGAGCCATTGGAGCACGCCCAGTGACTAATGGATATGTTTCCTCGGATAGTGCATACCATCCGCCTGCCTCAGTAGAGTCGATGAAGACCCGCATGTCTCGTTCATCATTCATCGCGCCATAGTCGGGATCAGGGGGCTGGAGGGGTTGGGATAGAAGCACTAAGGGTGTTGAAGCGTCCGGGTTGTCTTTGTTGGTGGAACGCACAACGTCGAATACGCGAGCCACTGGCGATGAAAAACGCTGAGTATAGCGAGGTCTGTCCATGCGTGAATGGTCAAATCCCAATACCACACCGTCATGCATACTGTATACGTGACTTTGATCCATTGTTTGGAAGTACTGGCTCTGAAGATCCATGTCACGGTTATTCGGTGCCCACTCGGAATACTTCAGAGTACAGATAGGGTCGCCCGTCTCGGTGTTTTGGATGGCCACAGCATATTCAACCCGACCAAGCACCAGAGTGCCCGAGGTTGTTTCGCATTCTTCCGAGTCCAAGTCCTGGCCATCAACCTTGCGGCACTCTTGCCCGGCAGTGAATGGACCCCGAGAGCTGAAGACTCGCAATATGCTACCGGTGCGAGCATCAATCGTATACAAGGTGGTTTCTTTCCGGGCGGTGTATGTGACAGCGGGATCAATTCCAGAGTATGGAGTCTGGTCAACCAATTGCTTCACCGTTAACCCGAGTTTCTGGAGGCCGGCGTCGGGGCCAGGGCTGTAGATGTACAAGCTACCATCCTGACTTGGCTCGACAATCCACAGGAAATCATCTTCAGGCTGTGTATCGTCAAAGCTGGTTCGATTAGCTCGATGGTATATGCTTTCCACGACGGGACTGCTAGGAACCTCCAGAGCCCAGCGAGGGGAGCCGGTCTTGCGGTCTCGGGCGTGAATAGTTCCATCGACGGTCGCCAGCAGGACAAAGTCCTCAACCTCCCAGTCCTGCAAGGACCGCGCGTGAAGCTGCGAAGCCAGACCGGCAGCAGAACTGCTGCTGGCCTGGGTAGGAGGGGCTCGAACGGCGCGGCCGGTGCCCGCCAGAGCCAGAGTTGCCAGGGCGCTCGCATCGTTGGATTTCACGACGGGAGGAACAGCTACAGAAGCTGTCCTGGAGGAGCGATATCCGGGCCCATCCAAGGGCACGGAGATCTGGGGAGCGGAGTCATGGGGATCCGGGTGCTGCTGCGGAGCAACCAGAGCTGGGAGAAGAAGGAGAGCAACGCTGGCGGGGAGGCTCGAACGGGCGCCCGGAAGCCGCCAGCGCATGGTGGGAAAGTCAGCACGAGGGCGAGCGAAAGGGGAGGGTCGAGATCAACGACGGAAGTGTGGTCCCATGGGGGAGGGGGACCTGGGGTAGAGAATTTGGCGTTTAAGGATTTATCGGTTCGTGGACCTGGACGAGGCGGAGCGGATGGTCCAACCGGTAGAAAAGGTGTTGAAGGTTGTAGGAAGCCAGACTTAGGAACAAAAGATTCCAAGAGATTCGTGGGAGAAGTCCGAAGTCGAAGGGGGGGTGAAGGCTGCAGGGAATTAGAAGTGTGTGTATCTTCACATATACAGTACCAGTACGGCCAGCCTCCGGCTGATGCCGCAGATATCCACCAATCATCGGCCTGATACGTGTATTGTTACCGTAATCAGGCCCCAGGCCACGCCATCAAGGGTTGGGGGTTTCAGTAGGATCAGGTCCCTTTGTACGATTTGTCTCCTTGGATGTCCATGTTCCACAGGCCCCAGTCGTCCCGAGACATAACATCTGGGCTCTGCGCCCTCTAAATTCTGAGGACGAGATTCCTTGTCACGGGAAACTTGACCTTATGCAGTGTTTGCTAGGAGCACACTTGATGTACTCAGGTACATACTCGGTCCCCTCCTCCCATTCAAGTAACATCTGCATGCGATGCAGATCAAGAGCACATACACATTACCGTGCAGGCCAGAGAGGTTCCTATTCCAAGATCAATGAAGCTCAATACCAGTGGCAGAGGAAATAAGTTACTCGGACCAACCAAGTACCCTATATCACAATGAATTTAGCTAGCAGCAGCAGTAACGAGCAGCAGTAGGTGCCCAAGTATTCAGGTGTAACTTTTAGTGTGCCGAAACTTAAAGACTCGTCTAGGATTTGAACAGTTTTGACCCTAGTCTTTACCGGTATTATACTATACGATACGAATAGGGTCTAACGCTGCATTGGACTGCTACTAGAAGTATGTGATAGTGCATCTTTCAGGTCCCAATCGGGATGGTCCTAGGGTCAACCATGCTTCTCAGGCCGTAAGCCAACATGACCTTTATTTCAACACACTACTTGCGAATGACCGGATGATGTCTGCCGAGCAGTCTCACCAAAAGATACGACGATCTATTCATGTTCGTGATATGTTCTAACAAGAGTGCTTTATTTTCTTTTTTTGGTTCAACCTAGCGAGGATTCCTCCCCAGAAATTACAAAGGGTCGTCGCAAATCACATGATCACATATCGCCGTGCCATCTCGGAGTCACAGGCTCAAGTCATACTGGTAGGTCAAATTACATGCGTTGGCGTTGACGCGGGGCAGCACGAATGATGTTGTCGACACGGAGAAGGAGCTGCAAGGGAGAGACGTCGATTAGAACGTACGCAAAGAGTGATTAAAGGGGAGAGGAGAAATAGCACGTACCTCCGCAGCCTCTGAGGCTGATGACACCACAGCCTTCTTCAGCTTGTATGCCTCTACCACACCCAAGTCTCGCATGTCGGCGATGCCACCACCCGGGGTAAGCAAATCCAGGCCAGAGCTGGTCATACCATTGTTGATCGCCTGGCGAAGTCGGGTAACCAAATCGCTTGAGTCCAGACCAGCATTATCGGCCAGGATTGTAGGCAACTGCTTGAGCGCATGAGCAAATGAGTCCACAGCCAGTTGCTTCTTGCCGGTGGTGTTTTGCGCCGCTTGTTCAACCGCCTTGGCCATCACCATCTCGGCGCAGCCACCGCCGAGCGTAGCCCGAGGGTCTTTGACCGTCTGAGACAGCACTGCAAGCGCATCGTGGAGCGAGCGCTCAGCTTCGTCCAGAAGCTGCTCGGTGGCGCCACGTAGCACGATAGTGCAGGCTTGACCGGCAGCCACCCCAGAAAACTTGATCAAAGTATCCTCACCAATGATGACCTCCTCAATCAAGTCACAGCCACCCAATTTGACTTGGTCTGGATGGTCAAAAGTAGAAGCGATCTCGCCGCCCGTGACCAGGGCCAAGCGCTCAATACCATCGAAATCAGCATGCTCGATGGACATGATACCGGCCTCGGTGAAGAGCTGCTCAGGCCAGTTGTAGATGAGTTGACGGTTGACAAAGCAGTTGATACCGTGTGACTTGATTCGTTCAACCTTGGCACGCATCTTCTCGCGCTCTGCCTTCTCCAGGTCGGCGAGCTTGCCGGTTGATTCAACCTTGACTCGAGCACCGAAGATCTTGACCTTGTCCGTATCCATGGCCGTGTTCGCGACTAGGATCTTTGCATTTTCCAACCGCTTAGGCTGGTTGACTCCAATCTTCTTGTCGAGGATGAAACCTTCATCCAGATACGAATCGTTCAATTTACCACCCGCCTTCTTGATGATCTGAATATGACTGAGATCGGTTGAACCCTTCAGGCGGAGGACGGCCTCGCAGGCCAGGCGGGCGAAGTGATCACGGTCTTGAGATAGCACCTTGGAGCTGAGGGTGGTACGGGCGATCGAGTGTAGGTCCTTTCGGAAGGCCTCAGGGTCCTTGCTTCGGTCGACGGCAACCGCCTCGAGAGCAGTCAGGGCGGCACGGCTAGCTATCCGGTAGCCCTCAATAATGGTCTGAGGGTGAATTTTGGAGTTCACAAGCTTCTCCGCCTCCCGTAACAACTCGGCCGCGAGAACCGTGACAGAGGTGGTACCATCACCGACCTCATCGTCCTGGACCTTGGAGATGTTGACCAGCACTTTCGCGGCGGCGTTATCTAATGCAATCGACTTCAGGATGGTTGCACCGTCATTTGTCACCAGAATATCTCCGGTTGAACTAAACCCACGCGAACTTCGCATTAGTATATTTGGTCCCTATTCGCAATAGCATAGTGGGGTCGATTGTGCTTTCTCTCGTACGTACGCAGACTGTAAGATCTTGTCCATGCCCTTGGGGCCCAATGTGCTCTTCACGAGATCTCCAACGGCGATAGCTCCAACGAAGGCCGACAAACGGGCATTCTCACCCTTCTCCTCGACCACATCGTCGGCAAAGATCTGTGTGGGATTGGCGAATGATGCCTAGTGAAGAATCAGTATTTGCTCGGTCCCGCAAACAAAAAGGAAGAAACCGGGCTACTGGAGTCCGACATACCATGATGACCAGCCTATTGAACAATCGACAAGAACCAGGTCGAATGTGGGAAAGCAGGTCAACAGTGGGGGGGAGGGAAAGGAGAAAAAGTTGGGTGGCCCGAGCTTCGCTTTTCTGCGGGAACTTTCGTCCACCGCCTGTCCTTTCCCTCTTTCCAACCCTACGGACTTCTGCGTCTTCTCAGTCTGACTTCGCTTTGTGCTTGGGGGTTGGCTCATAATGGCTGATCCGGAAGACCCTGCCGTGTCTGCGTCTAAGCGCAGGCACTCTGCTGTCGACGGTGACGAGAATGGTAAGCACTCTTTCCTGGCTGGAGCTATCTAGTATAGCGCATGCGACTGATCGGACTTGCCAGATGATTCTTCCTCCGATGACGATTTTGGGCCTGCGCTGCCATCCGAGGCGGCACCGAAAAAGAAAAGACGAAAGTTGCCGTTCGAGAAAGTCTATGTGAAAGCTTTGCCGGCCTCGCCCCGATACTCGAAGTCGCTCATGCACAAGGAACAATTGTCTTTCGTGACAGTCACACCATATACTGAATTCGTAATTACCAGTTCTGTCGACGGATTTGTGAAATTCTGGAAAAAGATGGCAGAAGGAATTGAGTTCGTGAAGGAATTCCGAGCCCATCCTGGTGAGATCCACGGCACTAGCGTGAGTGCGGACGGCCGCAGCTTTGCGACGGCGGGGGCAGACAAAACGATCAAAATCTTTGATGTCATAACCTTTGGTAAGTCAGTAGGTTCTACCCTCTACTAGAAGTTGGATTTCTGATCGGGATGGCAGATTTGTTGGCTATGTATACCTTGGACTTCGAGCCGCGCTGCGTCTGCTGGGTCCATCGGCGAGGGGCTTCCCTACCTTTATTGGTAGTCACAGATCGGTCGAGCAATACAATTCAGATATTCGATGGGCGCGGCGAAAATCCAAAACCTCTGCATTCGATTCAGTCCATTCATCGTCACCCGGTAGTGTCACTGGCCTTCAACAATACATACGACTGCGTTATCTCGAGTGATGAGTTTGGCATGGTGGAATATTGGCGAGCTGGCGATTTCTCTTTTGAGAAGCCCGATAATGTCTTCAAACTTAAGTCGTCGACCGGTCTGTTTGCCTTTAGGAAAGCCAAGTCTATAGCCACGTCACTCACCATCTCGCCCGATGGCGAGCATTTTGCATCCGTCTCCTTCCCCGATCGCCAGATTCGCGTTTTCGAATTTGCCACGGGTAAACTGTACCGCACGTATGACGAGTCGATCACGACACTCATGGAAATGCAACAAGCCGGAACAGCGCCATACTCGCTGGATGAAGTGGACTTCGGACGGCGCCTGGGAATCGAACGTGAATTGGAGGGCGAGGCTACTCGTAACAAAGTCAATGTCTCCTTCGACGAATCGGGGCATTTTCTGCTTTACGGGTCGTTGTACGGCATCAAATGCGTTAACACCTACACCAACCGAGTCGTGCGGATCTATGGTCGCGACGAACCATTCCGCCTTGAATCTGGCTCTTTACCAAGGCCAGCCACAGAAAAAGGGGAGTGGTGACGGTATCTATGGCAGCAAGCAGCAACCCGCTTCTCCAGGAGGCAGAGGAGCGAGATGCGATCCTTGTCAGTACTGGTCTTGGCAAGGTGCGCTTCTACATGTTCACCAACGAGACCGAGGTGTCCAAATCCAGCCGAGATGTCCAGAACGAAAAGCCCACTCAGACCACGGGCAATAGCGATGCAGGCCCTACCAAGGCTGCAGAAAGCGGGAAAGCAGCTATTCTCCACACTACCATGGGAGACATCCACTTGCGTCTCTACCCCTCGGCGGCGCCGCGAACCGTGGAGAATTTTGTCACTCATGCCCGGCAGGGGTACTACAATAACACAATCTTCCACCGAGTGATACCCAAGTTCATGATCCAGGGCGGTGATCCGCAAGGTGACGGTACTGGCGGCGAGTCAATATGGGGCGGGGAATTCCCGGATGAGTTCTCTAGCCTGAAGCATGACAAGCCTTATACCCTATCGATGGCTAACGCTGGACCCAATACGAACGGCAGTCAGTTTTTCATCACGACCGAGAAGACCCCTTGGCTAGACAATAAGCACACGGTCTTTGGGCGCGCAGTGCAAGGGCTGGACGTTGTGCACAAGATTGAGAACGTCAAGACTTTCAAGGAAAAGCCCTTAGTTGATGTGAAGGTGGTCAGCATCAGCATAACCTGACCGGGGCCATTGTGTAATTTACATCTACATGTTTCAAACGATATGATGAGCAATTAAAAGAGATATGCGAGTCCTCGCGATCCATCTGAGATATGTCACCTCGCTCAAGCGGGTTTCTGAGTGTAACTTTGAACAGAAGCAATTAAGCACGAGAGCAGGCAGAGAGTGGGAAAGGAGACAAATGAAAAGAGCTTCAAGAAATTAACTTCAATTAAAAGATACCCCTATCTCCTCAGCGCACATTCCTGGGAGCCTTTGGCTTTTGGCGCCCCCGGTTTGAAGGAGAAAAAGCTCTTGATTCTTGTATAAAACGCCAATAAATGCACATGAAAGTGGCATCAAATAGCCCTGAAGATCCCACAAGATCCCACAATTGGTCTATGGTAAAAAGAAATAAAAGATTAGAATAGCACGAGAGAGCACGAAGATCTAAATATCAGTGATCATGAGCGTGAGCGGGACATTTGACGTATCTCCACGTCACCCGCAGCTGTCTGAGCGCCTTTGGTGAGGCGACGACTACTGCCCAAGGGCGTCGATCCCCGGGGGATGTCTGTCCGCGAGCTGCTCGCAAGGGAGACGGGGCCAGCGCTTTTTGGTGGACGCGGACCGGGGGCTGACGCCGCGTCCGCGACGGGGGCCGGGGCCAATACACCAGCACTGTTGCTGAAGCCCGGTCCTGGAGCAGCCACCATATAGGGGATATGTTTAGCATCATAGCGGCGTTTTAGGTAAACGCCACCGACCGCGATGAGACTAAAGCCCACTGCCAAGACGATCACCATGATCACCCATTGATAGTGCGTACTCCACCTGGGCCGCATGGTTAGCTACGGGCGAACGAGGGGGGAAGGAAACGACCAGGTCGCACAGACCGGCGTGACGGGATGGTGCTCGCCTGGTCGCGATCGCAATGAGAGAAATTGCAATAGGAATGGCACGTACCAAGACTGGTCCTGGCCATCGGCACGTTTCGTTACCAGGTTCCCGCCCTCGGGGGAACGATCCGTGCAGTATTGCTTATACCATGTGGTGATGAGGTTCCGATCGGAGGGATCGGGACAGGAAGAGCAGTCGGAGACTTTGCTGGAGGACAGGAGAGGAGACTTGCAGAAGCAGGAGAGCCAGGATGAAGAGCCGCCAGCGGCACAGCTAGTCGAGGCCTGTTGTAGCCCAGGACACGAAAGAGCGCATTGCGGGAAGGTGGACGAGGCAGTCGATGATAGCGCCGGGGTGACGAGTATCGAGATCAACGACAGCAGCAACGCCCAGTGGGCACGCATCTTGAAAGGAGTCCGAAGATAAGAAACCTTCAGAGAGAAAATCGGGTTGGGGCGGAGGTTGGCATCGGATTTGAAGGGTTTTGCCCAGTTGAGTCTAGTGTCGTAATTCTCGAATACCACGATCCCAGTGGCTCATGCACCCCAGAACCGGTTTTTTTTTTTTTATAATTTTAAATTGAATTTTGTTTAATTTAATTTTATTCCCACCCCCCTTGGCCCTCGCAGGCTTCGATTCCCCCTCCTGTTTAGTCGGCATCTTTGTCTTGCCAGCCCCATGAGGCTGGCGGATTATGCAAGGCTGGATCTACTCACCTGGGCACGTTCAGCGCCTGTTTGGAGCTTTTGGAGCTTTTGGAGCTCCCTTGGGCCCCCCCACCGCTGATCGCAGGGGCTTGCCACGTGAAAGACGAAGCTGTTCTGTGCGAGTAAGCCGATGCCCTTCAGATTCCAAGATTTCCGAAGTAGTTCTCCAAATGGTGCCTTTTGTTAATTGTCTTATTCTATATGTTTGTTGGGTATAGTCCTTGTGCTATGATTCTCATGTTCAAAATGACCGCTTCAACGGGCCGGTTTCAGGCAAGCAAAGCCCTCCGCTTCCGGCTTTCTAGGGTCGCATATTGTAACGTACCAGTAAGTTGGTCTGCATTGTGATAATTTTGCGACTACTAGTACTTGTATGGCATTCATCCTAGGAATCTGTGGGGTGATTCTGAGCGGTTGCGGACCTCAGAGTCGTATACGGAAGCGTTCAAGTTCGCTTAGATGTTCCCGATATATCTCCGGTCCCACTACTCGTAGTACTAGACCATTTCACGATATCGGTACTACTATCTGATTTCAACTTCGAGTTGAAGGAGGTGGCGCTTGCGTTGGGAATCTTCTATCGGCAAAACTAGGCAAAATTAACCGCACCTCCTAGCGCTAGCATCCATGGATGAATCTAGGCAGTGTTTCACGAGTAGGAGGCCTCGTTGTGGCACAGAGGGTGAATCCAGGACCCAGATGGTGGCTGAAGTGAATAGAACGTTGGAACGTGTATTCGAGTTTGGAATGCCCCAGTACACCAGTGGTAGGCACTAGTAATATCCCCTTGGCTTCTCTGAATCTTCATTTCTTGGGGCTCTAACTGCCTCCACGAATTGTCCGCATTGATCGGAACTTCAGCCCTGCGGACTAACATTCTGCCACTTCCGCTGGATTACGTGAACCGCCTATACATTCCAAGGTTCCAAGTTGCAAGTTTCGGAATATGACCCTGACGTTAGTAACTATGTAGGAGCATCGTTCACTGGGTAACAGGCGGACGGGCACTGGAACTCTAAACTGGACGTGTTCAGGGAGCCTTGGAACGGAGATGTCCAAGGGGAGATGGGGTTAGATTCCCGGTCAAGAAAAGCTCGAGGACCCTGTTTTTTATGCTAAAGGAAAACGAGGTCATAGCTTCAAGACAAGGTCGACAGAAGCCCCAGAACAAGAAGAATGCAAAGCCTCTGGTACGGGGGAGGCTGTGCCGATGTGCGGGATCTGCGAGGCTTGCGAGGCTTGCGAGGCTTGCGCGCTGCTGGTTGGTTGGGACGAGTTTCAGGGCTGGACCCGAGAATCAAACCCATTTTTGAGGCTTTTGAAAGCGTTCGGGGCCCTCTTCTTCTGATTGTCGCTGATCATGTTGGACCCTTTGAAGAATAAGGTTCACATGGGATCGTGGCCGTCTTCCGCGATCCCGATGGCTTCAATAGTGCGGACTAGTGGACGTGGCTTCTGCGCGTGTCTTGGTTTATTGGTGCCTGGATGGTTCTGGGTTCTTGGGTTCTTGGGGATCTCGGCCTTAGCGCCATGAATGGCCCCGTTCTTCCCCCACCCTCTCTTGTCCAACATCCTATGAATCATCCGCCCAGAGGTGACAGTTTCTGTGCAGATCCGGTTCCGACAGGTTTCCGCCACAGCTTCCGAAGCGCAAACTGTCATGGAGTCAAGCTAGCCCCCGCCCTCTGCCATTGGCTCCTTGCCCCCCGGGACCAAACCTTGTCTGCAAGGGTTACGAGGTGATGGCCCCTTTATCGCGCAACAGATCGCCCTCCACATCGCACCATTTGGAATATCTAACCGGGTCTCCCCATTCCCCGGATCATGATCGCCATCCCGGACTCATCTTGATCCCTGGCTGTCATCAGGCCATAGAGCAATGTTCTCCCTCCCTCCATGACGTCCAACGGCGCTTTCGACTTTACGGATTCGCTGTCACACAACAACTTTGCCGAGAATCAAGTCCGCAGCCACTTATTTGCTGCCTTTGCCGCAATTGCATGGTACAATGCCATCGAGTTGATCGCTCTGTGCCTGGCCTCCTTTAAACGACGGCATGGGTGGTACTTCTGGAGCCTGCTGGTCTCCTCGGGAGGGATCATTCCCAACTGCCTTGGGTATATCCTGCTCTTTTTCGATTCCGGCGTCACCCCCTATGTCTCGATCACCATGGTGGTGAGTGGCTGGGTCATGATGGTCACGGGCCAATCGGTGGTGCTCTGGTCCCGGCTACACTTGGTCATGCAGAATATCAAGATTCTCCGAGCGGTGCTGGGGATGATCATCATCGATATGATCGTGTTTCAATTCCCCACCATTGTGCTCATGTTTGGGAGCGTGGCTCCCATCTCTTCGGCCTTCACGACAGGGTACAATGTGATCGAGCGCGTCCAACTCATCGCTTTCTGCATCCAAGAATTCATCATCTCGAGCATCTATGTCTACGAAACCATCAAGCTGCTCCGTCTCCGCCCCCAAGGTCGACCAAACGGCATCCTCCGCCAGCTACTGATCATCAACGTCGTCATCCTCGTTCTCGATATCGCCGTGGTCGTCACAGAGTGGATTGGGTTATACTCGGTGCAAGCTTTGCTCAAGCCAGCCATCTACAGCGTGAAGCTCAAGCTGGAGTATGCCATACTGGGGAAACTCGTGGCGATCGCACGCGCGCCGCTTTCAGGGTCAGACCTGTTGTCCAGCGGCTGGGAACTCGATGATACTCTTCGAAACCAGTCCAGCAATGCCAGCTCACGGAAATACAGCCTTCCCTGGTTCTGGGACGTTTCCTCGCCCTCCCAAAGCACTTCCACTCCTTAATTCCGCCCATCGAAGCGTAGCGCACTGCCGCTTGTATCATGCAACTCAATCTTTCGCATCTTTCCTACTCTCTCTCCGACACGAATGACCCGGACCTTGAACCATTTTCCTCGAAAATATCGACATAGACGCTCTGGGGGACGTTGGTCTGGAGTGACTTGCCTCGAGGCCGGTGAATTACGAGCTTCAAGACCCTTGGAATAATGAAATAACTGTACATTACCTAATCTTAATTTTCTCTTATCCACATGCAAATGGAAGGACGGACGCAGAGACATGGCTCCAAAGAAAGATTGATGTAAGACATTTGCCTCTTCTAAGCGATGCGCCGTTCCCACGCGTCCGTGCGCCTCCCCCATAGCTAGCCCAATGCAGGTACTTCCCCGCACATTCAACTCCAGATACGATTCTTCCTTCATTTTGGGCTCGATTTGTCTTACAACTCCTCAAATGCCGCCCTGAAAAAACATGGACGCCCACTCCGGGGACATACAGGGCTCTCACTCCCCGTCGAATGACCCGGTGGAGTTTTCGAATGGGAAGCGCCGCTGGCGCCGAAATCGAGTGGCCTGTAAATTGATCTTCCACGGATTGCCCGCAGATGACTGACTTAATATATAGGCGATAATTGCCATTCTCGACGTGTACGCTGCGACCGTGCCTTCCCTTGCCAACGGTGTCTGCGCGGGGCGCTCCCTTGTAAATTTACACGTGAACTTCGGAAACGAGGCCGCATTGCACGATCCAAGCTGTCGAAAGACCCGACAGGACAGCAAGGCGCACATCGAATGGGAGCTCCTTTGGGGGCTCGAACGACGTCTCAGCATCCCAGCTGCCTCCTGCTCATATCAAATCGCCAATACCTGACTTGGGACAACGCTCGCCAGCCAACGACATGAGCTCTTCAACGACTGGCCTTGATGCTCCGCACCCTGGGGAAACTAGCTTGCTCCCTCAAGCGAGTGCACCGCAGCAAAACTTTACAGAAGAATGGCTAGCTAGTGCCCATTTATCTCCAGGACCTTACGACCCTCACGGTAGAACCAATGGTAGCGATGGACCTTTGTCGGCAATGGATATTTGGAATTCTAGAGATAGAGGAGGACCGTCTACTCCGCAGCCCACGCAGGGGATCTTAGGAGCACAGGCGCCAGGACCACACAATCCTCCAATCGCTTCTTCGGTCCGTCGGCCTGGATTGAAGTACCCGGTCCTCGAACCTGTGATGCCACATCTGGATTCAAATCTGTCCCCACGCCTGGTGTCCGAACTACTGGAGTTGTATTTCACAAGTGCCTTTTCGACCCATATGCACCCGGTGTGTCACCACATCCACTGCTATGTCCTTCGGAAAGCATCGTTTCTCAACAACGATCGGCCACGGCCGAGCAGTCCGGCTTTACTTGCAAGTATGCTTTGGGTCGCAGCAGTCGATGATCGGGCATTTGGCCTGTCGATATCACCACTTCAGCGCCGTAAAATTTGCCACTTTCTCTGTGCTTTGACCATTCGCCTTTTGCGACCATTGATTCATGTTTCGTTCAATGACCAAGGAACCGCCGAAATGGCCACCAAGCCCCAGGATTTCGCTGCTGCTGGCGTGCAGCCTCCCTTTGAGGGCGTGGGAGATGATAAGGGGTTGGTTGGCCCGGCCGGGTCACTCGACGATGTGGTCACCTATATTCACGTGGCCTCGATTATTTCTTCGAGTGAACAAAAGCGGCGAGTATGCGGTGGTACGAAATCGGTCTTTCCCAGCATCACAGTTCCATGACTGACTTTCAGTAGGTGGCACGCAGCGTTCACTCTGGCGCGGGAGTTGAAATTAAATCAGGAGATCGAAATGTTACCGTCTGCTGCTGGCCACATCGAAGAATCCTGGCCGCCCCTCCAAGATTCTCTGGGGGGCTGGGCAAGTTCCCCCCGGCGACGCGATCTTTGACGATTCAAAGCCTAGCCGACCGATCTTGGATTGTGTCTGCGACGAAACAACCGAGGTAGTCACCGAGGAGCATCGTGAAGAGCGCCGACGGACTTGGTGGCTCCTCTACATCATGGATCGCCATCTAGCACTTTGCTATAATCGGCCACTGGCTTTGCTGGATGCTGAAAGTGAAGATTTGCTGCTGCCCTTAGATGAGGGTGCCTGGCAAGCGGGTAACATTCATAGCAATAGCCCTCGTCCCGAAGGACCGCAATGTCCGCGATCCGGGGATCTTCATAAACGTCGGGTATTTCCTAATTTCATTTGTCATGATCACTCCATCTTGGGGTTCTTCTTACCGCTCATGACCATCACCGGCGAGTTGATCGACCTGAACCAGGCCCGGAATCATCCTACTCTTGGCCTACGCTTGCAAGGTAAAGAGGCATGGGGGATGCATGTGACCGAAGTGCTCAGGCAGCTTGAGATCTACAAAGCGAGCTTGACCACATTTATAGCTACAAGCGCTGCTGACCCTGCCACCTCCGCACCTGCTGATTTTGCTTCCAACAAGCCCAATGAAACGGCCGACGCGCAGGCCTACCCGTGGCACACACAAACCGTCGTGGCGTATGCTTCATACTTGGTCCATGTCCTACATATCCTCTTAGTGGGGAAATGGGATCCCGTTTCCCTCATCGAAGACAAAGACTTTTGGACCTCATCCCCGGCCTTCGCGTCGACAATCTCTCATGCCTTAGATGCGGCCAATTCGGTCCAACAAATCCTGCGCTATGATGCGGATATCAGCTTCATGCCGTACTTCTTTGGCATCCAGCTACTGCAAGGAAGCTTCTTGCTCCTCCTCATCGTCGAGCGCCTGCAACAAGAAGCCGGTGAAGTGATCCTGAGCGCGTGCGAGACCATGATCCGGGCGACCGAGTCATGTGTGGTTACGCTCAACACTGAATACCAGCGTAGCTTCCGCCAGGTCATGCGTAGTGCCGTGGCTCAAGCCCGAGGACGACCGGTGAATCCAAGTGAGATCCGGCATCGACGCAAGGCCGTCCTAGCCCTTTATCGGTGGACCAGAAAGGGAACGGGGCTGGCGTTATAGTGCCAATGGGTGGTTTCGCTCGATTATGAATTGGCCCTTGGGGAGAACCAATATTACCGCTGTTTTCCGCCTCCGCAACGCTGCGGCGCGGGGAATGCCCGTTCTTCTGTGGGGGTGGTATTTTACGTACTTTACGTGTATATTTACCGGAGCATCGCAATTCCGCCCAGTAATTGCATCATCAAGCTTAAGAGCTCAGAGCTCAGAGCTCATAAGAGCACGAACTCGTAAAAACGCGCCCCGAAAGAGAGAACAGACAATGAAGTCCTCGGTAATCATAGCTGGGCTGCTTAGCGCCCCGGCTTTTGCAAGTGTACAGCATGTGCTCCAATCGGTTTTGCGGACCTCGCAGTCTGCGAAGCCGCCCAACATTGTCTTTGTGATCACCGACGATCAAGACCTGCAGCTCGACTCAGTCTCATATACTCCCCTGATCCAGCGGCATTTACAAGAGAAAGGCGTTTCTTTCAGGAATCATTTTGTAACTACAGCCCTGTGTTGTCCGTCCAGGGTTAGCTTGTGGACGGGTCGGCAAGCACACAACACCAACGTGACCGATGTCCATCCACCCTATGGTATGTGGTAGAAGCTGCTGGGATGAGAGAATTGCAGGCTTACTGAATATCAGGGGGTTATCCTAAATTTGTGGCCCAGGGGTTCAACGACAATTTTCTGCCTGTGTGGCTCCAACAGGCCGGCTACGACACTTACTATACCGGCAAACTTTTCAATGCGCACACCGTGGAGAACTACCACAGCCCCCCATGTCAATGGTTTCAACGCTTCCGACTTTCTCCTAGACCCATATACGTACTCCTACCAGAACGCTACATACCAGCGTAACCAGGACCCGCCCGTGAGCTACGAGGGTCAACACACAGTGGATGTGATCACCGAGAAAGCACTGGGGTTTCTGGAAGATGCCCTGACAGGCGAGAGGCCATTCTTTGTGGGCGTGGCACCCATAGCGCCCCATTCAAATGTCGATCCAGGTGCTTTGGGCCAAAGTGGACTTGTTATGTCTGCACCCATTCCGTTGGACCGCCACCGAAACTTGTTTCACGATGTCAAAATCCCCCCGGACACCCCATTTCAACCCAGACGAGGTATGGTTGCATGACTGAATAGCCATCGTAAATTTCGATGGCGTGCTGATTCGAGATGTAGCCAAGCAGCGTTAGTTGGATACGCGACCTTCCAAAGCAGAATCAATCCCAGATCGACTACAATGACTTCTTCTACAGGTCGCGTCTGCAGGCCTTGCAGGGAGTAGATGAGCTAGTCGATGCGCTGGTTACACGGTTGGAAGAAAGCGACCAGTTGGACAACACCTATATCATCTATACCTCCGACAATGGATTCCACATAGGACAGCATCGGTTGCCGCCGGGTAAGACCTGTGGATTTGAGGAGGATATTCGTGTTCCACTTTTCATCCGCGGCCCTGGAATCCAGGCTGGCGTTGAAGAGAATTCAGTCACGACTCATATTGACCTGGCCCCCACAATCTTCCAGTTAGCTGGCATTCAGCCGCGCGAGGACTTTGACGGCACTGCGATTCCTCTCACGCCACAATCCAAGGCCACTCGTCATGAACATGTCACGGTGGAATATCGGGGCAAAGGAGTAGCCGAAGGAACGTTCAGCCAAATCGGTACGAAACCCGGATTGAGGGACCCGTGGATAGAGGCACGTTTTGGCTAATCTCGACCAGGAGAGGACGGTTCCATTTTCATTGCCAACAATACCTACAAGTCCATTCGTTTGCTGAGTGATGATTACGACTTATATTACTCCGTCTGGTGTAATAATGAACACGAGCTTTACGATCTCTCGGTGAGTGCAGCCTTTGTGAGGCTAGTTTAGTACTAACCCAAACAATTAGACCGACCCTTACCAACTACAGAATCTATACCCTAACCCCACTGGTGTAAGCAAGGAGAAGCCGGAATCGAAGCTCCTGGGCGGAATTTGTCTAAAGTGATAGACCGCTTGGATGGTCTTCTGTTGGTATTAAAGTCGTGCCAAGGAGCCACGTGCATCCGGCCCTGGGAGGTTCTTCACCCCGCCGAACAAGTCAGTAGTCTTCGCGATGCTCTAGACGACCAGCATGACCTGTTTTATCATGATCTTCCTCGGGTATCCTTCGACTGGTGCGATGACGGGTACTTGATTGAAGCCGAGGGACCGCAGCTGACCCAAAACCACTACGGAGGATCATGGGATATTTGGGTTTAGATTCCGTAGAAAAACAAGACCCTCATAGTCCAGAAAATGATCCCCGGATGATCGAAGCAACGAGAAACTTAAGTTGTAAACAAAGGTGTAAAGAAAGCGTATCAGGGCGATTGCGCCATAGATACCCACCGTGTCGCGAAAGGGGGGGGAAGTTTTGGGCCGCGCTCTTCTCCAATTAACGGCCTGGAAAACCACGTTCTGGACGCTGAAAAATGTACGCCACGCGCGACATTCCGAGCTTCTACGCGAGCTCCGATAAGCGAAAAATGCAAAAATGCCATAAAAAGCACAGATGCCCGGCATGGGGCTGGTTCTCCAGCAATCATGGCTTCCGCCGAATATATCGAGGGCAAAGCGGCGGTGGACGAGAAGAACGTGGAATCTCCAACTGAGATCGACCTGCCAATTGTGAAGGATTGGAGCGATAAAGAGGCTGCTGCTGTACGGTGGAAGTATGAATACCCCTCCTCAACAGGACCCTTAGCCCACCAGCTCAACCCGCGCATTCGCAGAATTGACTTCATCCTTCTTCCAATTCTCGCCTTTGCATTCTTCGCGTTGCAGCTCGATCGCGGCAACATTAGTGCAGTCTTGACCTCTACCATCACGAAGGACCTGGCGATCACTACCAACCAGGTCAATATTGGCACCCAGCTGCTCTCGGCTGGCATTGTTCTTTCGGAGATCCCGTCGAATATCATACTCCAGCGCATTGGGCCACGAGTATGGCTGTCAGGCCAATTGTTTGCCTGGGGGCTCGTCGCCACTTTCCAAGCATTCGTCCAGTCATACCCCGCATATCTGGTGACGCGCATATTGCTTGGTCTGTGTGAAGGAGGCTTCATTCCTGGTGTGTGGAAAACTCTCTGAACTGCCCGAGGAGCCCCTAAACTAACGGGCCTTCGGACATAGGTGCTCTCTACTATCTTTCGACCTGGTATAAGAGAGACGAGACCAGTTTGCGAACCAGCCTGTTCTTTTATGGCCAAATGTTCGCCTCCGCCACTTCTAGTCTGATATCAGCGGGAGTTTTAAAGTTGAGTGGAGACCGTGGACTTGCCGGGTGGAGGTGGATTTTCCTTGGTGAGTGCTACAGCAGTGGATTTGAAGATCCTCTAAAAAAAAGGAAAAAAAAAAAGAATCCTTAGCCTCATGGAATGCTAACGCTGATCGACCTAGTCGAGGGTTTAATCACCATTTTCATAGGCGTGATCTTCACACTATTTGTACCTCCCAAAGCTGGGGACGGGCGTCCGATCATCTCGCTTGGGCAATGGAGCTACTTCACGGAAAGGGAATCCCATATTATCCAGAGTCGAGTCTTACTTGACGATCCCCGCAAAGCCCGTGGCCACATTCAAATTTCACAGTCGGACATATTCAGAGCTCTCAAACAGCCACGCATCTTACAACATGCTTTCCTTACTCTCGTGTCCATGTCGGCGTTCCAGGGGCTTACCCAGTACACTCCAACCATGATCAAGAGCTTGGGATTTAGTGCCATCCGAGCCAATGCTCTGACAGCAGTTCCGGTCTATTGCGGCATTGTTTGGCTGACCATTTTGTCTTATGCTGCGTAAGTGACCGTTTGGTCGGGGGAAGGTTGCCCCACCTTCGTCAATATCCCAATACCCGTAGCCCATATGCTGACCATATATAGGGACAAAATCGGCCATCGCGGACCATTTGTTCTGCTTGCGATCACTTGGAATGTGATTTCATACGTATGTCTACGCACAGGCTCATACGAATCATCTAAGTGGCACCGTTATGGTTTGATCTCCATTGCGAATGTGTCGTATTGCAGTATGCAGTAAGTCTAGCTCTATAATCCTCTCCAAATCTCCAGCAAAGTCCACTAATCGCACCTTAGCATTCTTAATGTGGGCTGGCTCTCGGTCTACTGCCGTACCCCCCAGGAACGAAGTATCTCTATGGCGTATGTGAACCCGAACCGTGTATCCCCTGCACGTCCCCACTTTGGAGCCTAACTGTGATGGCAGTCTTGTTGTGATGGCGGCAAACCTTGCTGGCATTTCGGGGTCCCAGATCTTTCGCACTGCGGACGCACCTAAATACTTGAGAGGACTGACGGCCATCTGTGCTCTAGCAGGGGCTTCCTGGGCTCTAGCATTTATTCTTTGCTTACAGTACTACTACCGTAGACGGAAAGCCAGCAACTGAGACTTCGAACTTGGGTCCAACTGGCAATATGCGTGAATAGTGACGTCTGAGGACCAGCCCAATGGTTGTAATCTCGCCCTATTGGGGCGGGCTTATTACCATAATTAGATTCCGACTTGAGCCCTGGAGGGTTCTATTAAGTTTATTCAAGCGTTATAGTCAGCCACGGTACTGATTGCATTCTACTATTGAGAGGTAGGCTCCCAGAGACTCTTAATAACCCGCCCTCTTTCTCTTCTTTCAGAAAAAAGAAAAAGAAAAAAAGAAAATAACAAAGTGTCAAGCATCCGCCAACCTCCCATTTTTGATTTAGTAGAAGAGTAAACCAACGGCGAAAGAACAGTCATTTCTTGGAAGGTGTTGGCCAATATTCGAACGCGACAACGGACTGTACCCCCGTAATGTCTATTGTGCCTACGAAGAAAAGCCATCGATAACGTGTACAAAAGAGAAGAACTGACAGATTGCCTTCCACCAGTTTCATATATAATAGTCGACCTACAGATCATCCTCATCAAAGATGCTGGAGGCGTGGAAACTCCCTCGTGCGACCGGACACGAGAACCTGCCAATCCAACTACCAGCGGCCCCAGTTTGCTGGAGACAGTGGGGGGAAATGTCAGATGGACAAGATGGGATTGTTCCGAGAAGGGGGGACATGGATCAACTCTCCGTTATAGCCCAGTGGCATGAAAAGAACGCCTGATATTAGAAGTGGATTGACGGCGAGGCCGTGAAGGATATTGAGTTGAAGCAGCGCTTGAGAAGATGATGTGTCTTGCCGCAGGAGTTCCCTGTTAGAGGGTCATTTTTGCACTGCATCAATCCTTCGTTTGGAGCGCCCGAATGGCGGACAGATTACTGCTCCGTCTCTCCACATGTCACTAGAATGTCTGCTTTCATGACCCCGCTGCGAGGAGGGGCTCTTGATTTTCATAAGCTTCGCGCCGACTTATGTCGGTGACATCAAAGATGGGGGCCCCTAGAGAGTAATGTAATAAGAGTTTTGGATAGTATTGCTTGACGCACATATGATATCTTCCTGTTGCTTTATAATGTGGGAAGCCTCGTGGTCGAATGGCGGTCAACTAACCAGGAGTAGCTATAGTAGAGGACACACCTGCGCCCTCCAGGAAATAGACACATGTAACAGGGACAGACCAAAAGGCCTGAGAATGCTGCTGTCGCATCCAAGGGTCTTTCTGATAGCATTTGTCAGCGCAGCGACCTGCTTTAACGAGCTAGTGTGGGGGGATCCGATAAGTCTCCGAGTGGATCTTCGCAAGTTCAAGGCGACCCACCGCAGTCTCCGGAGCCATACAAGCCACAAGAAATGCCCTCAACGCATGATGTTCATGCACTCCACTCCACTTCCCTCGGTGAATGAAGGGTCTTCAGCTATCTGCTTGCTTAGAAATATTCTCCAACGGTGAATGATGGTATGAGAACTACATCTAGGAAATCAGATCTCGCAATGGGTGATTCGGTGCATCAAAGACCCAAGTATAAAGCCCCCGACAGCTCTCTGCCAGTGAGGGTCATTGTCTTACTAGTTCACTTCCAAATCTCTCAATTGGCCACGGACTGTGCCCTGAATACAAGATGGCCACTGTGCATGTCGGATGTCTGCTATACGACTACCAAGCAATTGATGTGGTTGGCCCTTGTGATCTGCTTAATTCCTGCGGCAAGCATATCGCGAATGCTCTGACCTTCTTTGGCCCCGTCGAGCCCGGAGGCGCTCCAGAAAGCGCCCGACTCTGTCTTCCATCACATTGGACCAACGCTGGAGCCGGTTTCTTTACTCACCAGTGGATTGAAGATCCAGCCTACCACCACTGTGGATGACTGCCCCGAGCTGGACTGCCTGTTGATCGGAGGGCCTGCCCCAGTCGGGTTCGAAATGCCACCGAAATATCCGGAGTTTATCCAGCGACACGTTGCTGCTGGAAAGCTGGTCTTCACCTCCTGCACCGGGGCAGCAGTCGCTGCAGCCGCTGGGGTCCTGGACGGTAAGCACGCGACCATCAACAACGTCGAATACGAATGGGCGGCCAAGCAATTCCCCAAGGTCAAATGGACTAGGGAGAAAAAGTGGATTGTGGATGGCAACATTTGGACCGGCAGTGGCGCGGTTGCTGCGATGGATATGGTTGCTCACTGGGTGAAGGAGAATTTCGGCATGGCGGTGCTCGTGCAGGGCTGTTTGGGACTGGACTATGAGCCTCGTGACAGCGACGGGCTCTTCACTGTTCTCCCACCACGATATGATGAATCTGGAAACAGGATCGCGACGCATGTATTCCGATACCACAGTTGAACAGACGGTAGAAAAACCGCCCCTTCAAAGGGATCGCAACGGCTACTTGGATGGGCTTGGTGTCACGCGTTGTTGGGGCGCTTCTTAAGTTCAAGCTAGGTAGATCATGCACTTTGGTCCTAGTCCAAGAGTCTTTCGATTTAGCTCCATAGCTTCAAAGTCAAGTGTCGGAAAGGTCTCTATTATATGCTCCAGGTGTCAAATGGAAATTTTCTTCTCACTTCACAATGCTGCCAGTGTCTATTGTACAATATTTTCCTTCATGGTCCATTCTATATTGTACTCAATGTGGACCTGCACCTCCAGAGTGGGCCGTTCCCGCAAGCGAACGGGGCTTCCTGGGGCGGGGGCTCCGTATGGGGAATGGCCTCCAAGACTGGAAAAGGAGCAGTGGGACTCGATTTCATTCGCTTGTAGTGGCGAGCTGGGCCCCTTTAGGTCTATAGGCGCTGCTATTCGGGGACTGGGAGGCGGAGGTTCTGCTTGGGAGGCAGCATTGGACTCGATGGACTCGACAAAGTCAAGCTGTTTGCCTCTGAGATATTTAAAAAGGTGTCAATGTCCCTCTTCGCGTCGATCAGCATATACAAACATTCCACTTAAATACAGTCCGATGGTCGCCCGTGCTCGGTAGATCCTAGCCTGAATTGCGCTTGCAATAGCTTCAGCCTCACATCAGTCGCTGCATCCAGCGAAGTTGTCAGGGACGCCTAAATCTTACGATCCAGAGCGGGATCCAAATTGCTTGCAGCTCCGGATTGGCTGGACTCTCCGGTTGAACCTCGTCCATCGTCTCCTTCTGGAACAATCCAAGACTGTTTAACCCAGAGACCCTAATGTATGCGCGCATGGTACTCCGCTAGTACGGAGTAGAGCCAAAGCTTTTAGGGTCCTCTCATTCCTCACGATGATCATCACATGCGTAGGATTGGTTGGCAGAAATTGGGCGGTGGACCAGAGTCGCTTTGGTTAGGCGTGCCATAGCGCGTGGCATGCTAGGAGCTACTGGAACTGTCTGTAGCTATTTCGCCCGGGAGATACCTGGTAATTAATGTAGGGATCAACCTACACAGGCTCTGTTTCCCGCAGTAGGACATGCTAGACCTGGTAGTTTCCAGCGAGGCCATTATATCCTCGATTGTATCTGCACGTAGTCATTTTTTCTCTGCGGATCGGCTTTACCGCCATTAGTCGGGCGAAATGGGCATTCCCAACTAACCCCACTTGCATAGGCCCCCCCACGGGGCCTGAATTGTGCCATGGTACGCGCTTGGGCCGTCTTCCGGGGAGATCAATGATTTTCGAACCCCCCTGTTCCCTGTCCTGCTCACGTGCCTGGTGCTTAGCTGCCCTTGGCGGTCTATCCCCCTCCCTTTATTCTTCCTTTTTCTGTAGCTGTGATCTTGGCCGCATCTCGCCTACGCGAAAATGGGTGTTCCAGGTATGACCTCTGTGGTTGCTCTGCAACTTAGATCCATTGCTGACCCCCCTAAGCAGAGAAAGAGAATATCGACCTGAAAGCAGAGCCGGGCTCAAGCCCGCAGGTCTATGAGGATGTCCCTACCGCGCCGTCCAACGTCAACGACGCTGCGCTGGTTCGCAAAATTGACTTGCATGTGATGCCCATGCTGTTTACCATTTACTTGGTGGCCTTCTTGGATCGGTATGTCTGTTAATGTATCGCATCCGTTGGTTCATACTGACCCTTTTCTCAGGGTGAATATTTCCAACGCACTCACTATGAGCATGCCGAAGGACCTGGATCTGTACGGCGACCGAGCGAATGTGGCGCTGCTGGTCTTTTACATTCCTTATATCCTCTTTGAGATCCCGTCCAACATTGTCATGAAGAAACTGAAGCCGCACTTCTGGCTGTCAGGCTGTATCGTTGCTTTCGGGATTGTCATGCTCGGCCAGGCCTTTGTCAAGAACTATGCCGGTCTAATTGCATGTCGGTTCTTTCTTGGACTCGCGGAATGTGGTATCTTCCCCGGTAGCTTTTATCTGATCAGTTTCTGGTACAAGCGGACCGAGGCGCAGAAGCGTTTCACCATGTACTGGTCCTCCGTCATCTTCGCCGGTGCCTTTGGGGGGCTACTTGCCTCGGCGATCGCCAAGATGGACGGTCTGCGTGGCCTGGAAAACTGGCGATGGATTTTCTTGCTAGAGGGTATTGCATCCATCCTCGTGGGCATTGCCGCCTTTTTCTTCTGTGCCGATTTCCCCCAGCAAGCTTCGTGGCTAAGCGAAGATGAAAAAGCCGCCGTTGTTGCAAAGACCCGCAACTACGAAGAGGCTGAAGCTCGGGTGACCAAGTCGGACCTGATGGAATCCTTCAGGGACCTCAAGCTGTACGTGGCTGCGCTCATGTACTTCAGTAAGTCTGCCTTGGTCGAGCGGTATATCCCGATTCATCCTAACCCTGTTGAATAGCGATTGTGGTTCCCATCTATGCCTTCTCCTATTTTGCTCCTACCATCATCAAAGCCCTCGGATACGGAACTATCCAGACCCAATTGCACAGCGTGCCGCCGTTCGCTGCTGCTCTCGGCCTGAGCATTCTAGTAGCATATTTCTCAGACCGACTCGACATTCGGTTTCCCTTCATCCTTCTTGGTGATATTCTGATTATTATTGGCCTGGCTATTATGCTGACCATGCACGGCCCCAGGCACTTTTCCGCGGAGTATCTCGGAATCTGTTTCATTACCATGGGTGCTTTCAGCGCTGGCGCTGTGATTGTCTGTTGGGTGTTGATGAATATGCAGGGCCATAAGGAGCGCAGTATTGGATCCGGGTTTGTGATTGGCGTTGGCAACGCAGGCGGGATTCTTGCCGTATTCTGCTTCACCAAAGACGATGCCCCCTTGTACAAGCGTGGCTACTGGATTCTGATGGGTATCACGCTTGTTGGTACAGCTTTAGCAGTTCTATATTTCCTATTGGTCGCGCGTGAGCGTCGCCGCCAGCTTCGCTCCGAAGGCAAGAAGGACGACGAAAAGATCCTCTCCTTTTAGGACCGACCTTATTTGATTGTCTCAACTTTCTTTTCCACAAAATCTCTTGTTGGACTGGACAGAAGGAATGCCTTTATTTCCATGACCTCTCGGTTTCATGACTCACCTTGACTGCAGTCGAACAGATGTAACGTGACAGATCCATCCCATCGCCCTGGATCGCGATCACCAGGGCGGTGGAATTCCTTTAATAATGAATTTTGTCTCTTTCACTATAAATTCGCCTCGACAACACAGCTGACACATAGACCTCGGCATCCACCCCCCCAACCCTCCTCCGTTGATTACCCATCTTCCAAAATTTACTTTCCAGCTTAGCATGGATCGATCAGCCGCACCTACTACTTACAACTAGTACCAACTTATGTTAATCAAGGATTCACCTCAATGAGAACCCCCAGTCAATTTTACTAAGTAGAATAATCTATAATGCCGAGTTCTTGTCCGAATGTCTTCAAGTTCCAGTCTCTATACATGGACTGTGAGGGGTGATGGTGAAACACGACCTCTGAGCTGTCGTTATTCTCACCTTTGCTTGATTCAAGTTTAAGTTGAAGAGTATTGCTTTACAAGGAAATTGAAGTTCATGGCGGGTGTGCGCTGGTAGTAGACAGTAGACTAGAAAAGCTGTGAAAAGATTTTGTCAACGGCAGGTCTCTGGAATAACGTTAGCTCCAAGGAGTTATCTCCGAAAGGGACGTGTCTCATCTGGTCTTGCTAAGGCGGGGAGGGACGGGCCATATCATTTCAAAGACCCTTCTCTTTTCTTTTCTATTTTGTTTCTCACCTTGGCTTTCAGCATCCCTAAATTTGTCGCCTGTCTATTTGTTGCTCCTGTACTTCGAGTACCTATTTGGACTTTCTTAGAGGATTTCATACTGGCTCTTGTTCTACATCACCCGTCCAAAAGGCTGTGTGCACTCGGCCCCACTACCAGTACCCTAACAACCACCCACGTTTGGATTTTTCCTCCTATACTATCCCCATGGCCTCGATCGCTGTCAACCTGGAATGATATTTTTCGCAAAATAACGCACGTATCCACATAGCGAAGGGCACACAAGTTTAGTTTGAAGATAACGGTATATACATTGAAGATTGACCTATTAAAGCGGTCTGGAATATCCTAGAGCGTTGGATCTTTCTTATATTTTGAGTCCATATGCAGATGGGAAGATCTGAAGAGGACTGGATCTATTTCAAAAGGCGTAACAATACTGATCGGGATGCGTTAGACCAGACGAAGATTGGTACGTTAATAGAGTATGGGAAGAAGAACAGATAGATTGTATGCGAACCAGGGCTCGTATATAAATTATTAAGCGAGGGAAATCTGTATAGAAACCTGATCATTCTGTATGTTTAATTTTACTATGATCTAATATGGATCGGTGGTGTAGAATATGTAGCCATGGATATATATTTTATGGGGTAGGAGGTGGAAACGGTATACACACAGACTTTTGCCCCCTATTGCTTTTGGGTGGCTTTGACAAGAACTCTTGGGTTTAAGCAGGAAGCTGTTTCCCTTCATCGGCGACGGTGCAACAAATGATACTACTAGGAAAATTCTCTTCCCTAATAATGACAGTTGCATAGTATCTGTCACGAAGAAGACCTATACATTAAACATTTTACACTGCTGCTAGGACGAAGAAAGCGCTGCCCAGTTGGAAAACGTATCTAGACCAGAGGCGGGGCCGAATATGCCGAAATGGTTGAGGTGCCCTACTCCTTGTCTGAATCCAGGATGAATTTGGGAACGGTGATGTGGATACGATTCATGAGGCTGTACTGTAATGAAGACTTCGGAGTGAAGGGAGATGATACTAAGTGCAAGAATATGGGTCATATGCAATTTCCAGATCCCAGTTTTCGGACATGATCAGAGCTCATTTGATCGTTTGCCTCCAATAGACAAGGGCCCACCCTTGACCATGATAGTGAGTACCTCGTATAAAACATCTGCAGCGGCCCTGGGAAAATGGGATTAGCTGGGAATGACCCTATAATAGGATGAACACAGTGCTTACATAGTGGTGTGCTCTGCATTGGTATCGTAAGCTGGTGCGACTTCCACAATATCGGCGCCGATGAAGTTGAGCCCATCGAGACCTCAAATGATCGTTCGTAACTCCCGAGTTGACCAGCCTCCAGTCTCGGGAGTGCCAGTGGCGGGCGCAACTACTAGAATTAGCATATACCTCACTGAACCAAAAGGAACGAGACTCAGATGGACTTACAGGCTGGATCGAGAGTATCGATATCGATGGAAAGATAAACAGGGTTCTCGGTACCTACACGCTCCCTGATCTTTCGAATTATTCCCTCAATGCCTGTTCGACGAGTCTTGTTAGTAATTTTAATAAGGGCTTCGGAATCCATATATTAGACGTCGTACCGATTGTGTCAATCTCTCGTGCTTCAACAATCTCGAATCCACAATAGCCGTCATTCTCGTAGTCAGAAGGACCGGATAGAGTAGTTCGAATGCCGGCATGGATATTGGTGTCATTTTTCAACAAGCCTTCCATGGCTGCATGATAGAAATATGTTCCGTGATTGATGCTGGCAACCTTGCTCGGAGATCCGCCAAAAACCTTGGGCTTCCAAGAGTCACTAATGACCGTCAGTAAGATAAAGGCCCCACGCGTTCTAATCTAGCAAAATCTCACAGGTGGCTGTCAAAATGTATGACGGTGACAGGGCCATAGGCCCGATTGATACTCCGCAGCAGCGGTAGAGTAATAGTGTGGTCACCACCCAGAGTAATCACTCGCGGCAGAGTCTTGCCTGCCCGCGAGAGACCCGCCTTATCCGCATCCGTGAAGGGCTTCCGCATAAGCACACTGTTGTGACCCTCCTCGATCTGCTGGATTGCCCACTCATTGTCATACCTGGATTTATAGCCAGCACAGTTAGCTATGACGCTACATTTTTGAGGTTGTCCAAGGGCGATGACTTACGAAGTCACGGGAATATCACCACAGTCAAGAATTTTCATCTCGCTCGTGAAAGGATTAGCCTGGAGAGGTACATTGTAGCCGCCGCTGTAAATGACTATGTAAGCATGCCAACTCCTGATCGATAATCTTCAGTAGAGATTTGACGCACTAAAGATTAAGTCGTCGAGAACCCTGCCTAATTCCACTCGGCCCAAATCTGGCACCAGGTCTATAGGAAGTGCCAGTGTCGAAGGGTGCACCTAGGAAAGCGATATCGTATTCTTCATCATCGCTAGACAGACAAGGATGATAGGGCAGTCGACCAAATGTAGAAATACCCGAGAAGACGGAATCGGCCTGAATTTGGCAAAAAGAGTTACCATCTGGACGGGATAGGGGAGACCTGGGAGATTCGGGATGCTTCTGAATGCTTACCTGAGTGCCGCCGTCTCCCGGCAGTGTGTTGTACCAAAGTCCCTGGTGTGGACCAGAGGAGATTCGAGACTGGGCATGGCTTTCATGAGCTATGGTGATGCCCAAGATGGAGAGGGATACAATTGCGGCCTTGATCATCTTGGGTTCTGCAAGAAAAACGAAGAAGTTCTGGATTCTCGAATCCTGGCTACATTGAGGCTTGGGCTCTTTATATCATTAAGATTATATGGTTGCTTACCATATTAATAGTCTGCCCCGTCGAGACAATATCCCTAGCCATGGCCTTGGTCAACGTATTCAGACGTCATGGCATCTCAATTCTTTGCCTTAATTTGGCATATCTTCGGAGATCCAGGATACTCAGCTCGGAGATAGCATAGAATTAGTCAATGAAATCATGGTGATCAGATCCGAGTCTTTTTCTTGATCCTCTGTTACTCTATCCTTGTTGGCAGGACTCAGCCATGGCACGAATCCGAGATCGGCTACTTGTGCCTTTGATAAGACCCTCGATGCACTAGACCCGAAATGGGCGTTGACGGGAGTGGAGAACTGGTTGACAGGACGAGTGGTGCCTGGGGTATCTGTATCGGGTTGTGTTACTGGCGATCTCGGACGCAGTGGGCCCAGACCGTCTGTGCTGCTGATAAGGATTCAGATAAAACAACGCCATGCAATTGGTTCGATCATCCTGTATACTAGTATAAGTCTATAATGCCGACTGACGCGCTATTTTGCCATGGGCAGTTGCGACTGGGCTGTTTTCCTTTTGCATTATACATCTCGCCCCGCACATCACTATAGTGCAATATGGACAAGAACCGAGAGAAGACCGACTCGAAAGATGATGGCACTCCATCACAGAATATGACATCGACGCCAGTGGAACAAGGAGTTCAATTCCAATTGAATGCCGCGTATGATAGCAGTGGAAGGAAACTGTTTCCACCGCCAACGTCTGATCCTTTGGACCCCTTGAACTGGTCCAGTATTCGAAAGCACGTTATCCTGGGCATTGTGATGCTGAAGTAGGTCTCTACCTATCTAAGATGGTCCGCTTACGGAATCTCATGACCATCATTAGATACTTCCTTTTCACATACATTACGACTACCACTGTTCCCTCGTTCGCCGAGATCCAATCTCAATACCGGATAAACTACTCCCAAGTGAACTGGACTGTGGCTATCCCCGCCCTGGGACTGGCTGTTGGGCCATTGATATGGTCTTCGCTAGGTGATATCTACGGTCGGAGACAAGTTTTCTTGGTTGGAACCCTCATCGCTTTGATATCTACCATAGGAGCCGCGGTAGCGGGCTCTTACGGTGGTTACATGGCAGCCCGGTTTTTCCAGGGATTTGGGGTGAGCCCAGCGTCTACTGTGGGGATGGCTATTGGTAAGCTCTAGGGCTGAGTGGTCGTTATCCTGATAAAGCTAATTTCTCTAGTAAATGACTTATTCTTTGAATACGAACGCGGACAGAAGCTTGGCCTGTGGGTTTTAGCGGTCGACCTGGGTCTTTTGCTGGGACCAACTTGTAAGATACCACCGGATCGTTCCCATAACCTCCGATAAAAGGCTGACTATATTAGTCGGAGGATTTTTGAACATTGTCAGCGCAGATTGGGTTCTTTGGTTCAACGCTATCCTGTTTGCCGTGCTTCTAATACTTGAAGTTTTCTTCTTGCCTGAAACCTTGTACCCAAGGCAGCGGATGTTGTTATCCATTGGCAACATGCCAGCCATCAGTCCTCTCAGAGATGAGACAGATAAGACCGCAACAGAGTCTTCTCCATCTTGCCTTTTAAAGATGCCCGCGGGGGGCATCGTGTGCCCCGATATTCCTCGAACGACATCCTTACCTTTTCTAACATTTCGTCCCATCCCAGGCATGCGCCATCCAAGACCATGGGATTCATTAACCCGGTTCTGCCTCACTTTCCAGTTCCCTGTGGTTGTCATCGCGGTGATTGGGTTTTCATTCACTTGGTATTGGTGGATTCTTTCAATAATAACAATGGAGCCGGAGGCGTACTCGCAATACACGCCACTCATACAGGGGCTACTCTTTCTGGGACTTTCGCTTGGGACAATAGTTTCAGAAATATGCTTTTCCGGACGACTGAGCGACAATCTTGTCACATGGCTGACGAAGAGGAATGGAAACATTCGCGCTCCGGAAATGCGGCTTTGGTTGTCATATCCTGCAATTGCTATAACGGCATGTAAGCAGCTCAAGTCACCCCAATTTCCAACACTTGCTTACCGAAATACAGGTGGTTCAGTTGTATGGGGAATTAGTGTTGACAAGCACTACCACTGGATGGTCGGACAAGTGGCATTTTTCCTATGTAATTCACGTCTCCCCAATTGTCTCTTTTTCGGAAAAGGCCTAACAATCTTTAGTTGCCGCGGGCATCCAAATGGGGAATACTGCCATAAGCAGTTATATCATTGACGCTTACCCCTTACAATCCACAAGTATTGTGACTTTCTACGCTGTCTTCTTCAACATGAGCGCTTTTATCAACCCCGTATGTTTTCAAATACCAATTTGTGGCCAAAGAAAAAGAAATAAATGCTAACATACTAACAGTTCTTCATTGCTGCATGGGAAGCGGCTGTAGGGTGGACATGGACTTTCACGACCCAAGCATTGATCATGGTCTCTCTCTCTACCTTATTGATGATTATTTTGCATAAGTACGGTGCATGGATACGGGAACATTCACCAGAGCCATCTTGGGTCAATCCGGAATATGACTTGGGTATTTCAGCCAGCAGCGTATAGATCGACTCTCAATACAATAAACTGAGAACTTTATTATTCAAATCTTGTCCAAAATGTGCGGAAAGCAAAACCAGAGGCTCATGATTCGCTATCAGGAGGTATTTTGACCGAAAGACTTCATGTATATGACAAAAAAGTTGGATAGATTCATCGGTTGGGCTGAGGGCGCAATGAAACGCACAATGGCAAGTCCCTAATTTCTTCAGTAACTTGTATGAACTTTTGGCGAAGGAGGGCTCACCTGCGTCATAAAATGGTGCTGCAATAATGAACAGAGTCATGGGAAAGGAAGTTGGACTAGGAGTTTCTCAACCGCCCAGGTGAGAATATCTAGAAACGAAGTGGCCTTGTCCACGATCTTTGTTCTGAGGCGGCCAAAAGAAATACTCTGACTGTATAATCACTGCAAGAGGGAAAAACAGTACAAGAGAAAATAGAAATGAGAGACATGCAAATTGGAGTTGAATAGAGTACCAAAAGCAGCTGATGTCATTATCAAATGCCATATAACTCGCTGGCATGATGGGCTTAGGTATCAAAAGTTGTTGAGTGAAGGTAGCCTGATATCGAAGTTCAATACATGAATAGGCACCAGATCCTTGTTGGAGCAATCATATCCTAATCTTATCTTTATTATCTTTGCTAATTTACTAAATCTTCCGGCCTCTGAAATATGCGGGATGCCCCATAAGTTTAGTTCGCTTCTCCACTACGCTCAACTTCCCTTTTAGGATAACATCTGGAGAGACCCGGTTAATGCGCCCTAAGATTTTGATAGGATAGTCCTATTTCATATCGATTTTGTATGCCCTACCATGGAAATTGAGTACCAAATCAAAATCGTACGATTTCTTATCTTCAAAACGTGTATCCAATAGATTCAAAAAAGCTATTATCTCGACAGGTTTCCCTACATCACTTATCAAGACTTATATAGATATGAATCCGAAGTCGGATCTCTTAGGTAATTTTTGCTCCTTTTGAATCCTCTTAGATCAAGAATCTGAAGGAAATGACATACGTTATCTGGGAGACATCCAGCCGAAGCATCCTACATTATGGGGCCTACCTGGCACTACATACTTCCCTGTTTTCAAATCAAGTCCCGAATTCCCAGAATATTCCACGGCTACTCCTTCTTCGACGAACTGTGAAGATGAGTTTCGTACCATCTGTGGTGAACGGCAATAATATTCCCGACCACGATGGGGGAGGCGATTCACAGCGTCTGAGGGGACCCCACTTCTTACGAATGACATTTGTTCCAACAGTCAGTCTCAACTTAAAAGACTCGATATTTGGAATAAGAACTCCGTTTCAGAATGTTGGTCCTTGTTGAGAGATGCAGGCCCGGTGATTTTGGCCTACATGTTGCAGATGAGTCTTCAAACTGTGACAGTGGTGATTGCCGGACGGCGGTCACCGATGGACCTCTCAGTGGCTGCGTTCTCTTTAATGTTTGCTTTAGTGACTGGATGGATGATCGCGCTTGGGGGGACAACTGCACTCGATACTTTAGCGTCTTCCACCTTCACCGGCAGCAAAAACAAACATGACTTGGGTATCTTACTCCAAAGGGGGCTTTTCATTTTAAGTCTCTTTTACATCCCAGTGGCAGTTATTTGGGCATGTTCATACTATATTTTCCTAGCGCTTGGACAGGACCCCAAACTATCATATCAAAGCTCAAGGTTCCTCACTTGCCTGATTCCCGGTGGACTGGGATACATCTTCTTTGAGACGATGAAAAAATATCTACAAGCACAAGGTCAGTGACCCATCCCTTGAACTCGACAAAGGTTCATCTCTGATGTTATGATCTGGTCCATCAGGAATCATGAGGGCAGGAACATATGTCCTCCTCATTACATCGCCTTTGAATGCCGCTCTATGCTACTTCTTTTGTTATACACTCGACGTTGGGATACTGGGAGCACCGATTGCCGCGAACATCGCATACTGGCTTTCCTTTATCTTGTTGGTTCTTTACACAAGATTCATTGCCGGATCGGAATGTTGGGGAGGGTGGTCTCGCGAGGCATTCAAAAACCTTTGGATATTCGCCCGACTAGCAATCCTTGGTATTCTACACGTTGGCACGGAGTGGTGGGCATTCGAGATTGTTGCTTTAGCAGCTGGTCGACTGGGTACCCTACCCTTGGCATCGCAAAGTGTGATTATGACCGCCGACCAGATCCTTAACACCATCCCTTTCGGAATCGGCATCGCCATCTCATCTCGAGTGGGAAACCAGTTGGGTTCGCGAAATCCTAGAAAAGCCATGCGGACTGCTCATCTAGGGACTCTGTTGGCCTGTACTCTTGGGTTGATCGTCTTGATCATTTTGATGACGACCCGTGACCAATTTGCGAAGATATTCAACGATGACCCCAAGGTCATCCAGTTGACTTCGGACATTCTACCTTTCGTCGCCCTTTTCCAAATTGCAGATGCGATGAATGGATGTTGTGGGGGGGTCTTGCGGGGTATGGGACGTCAACACTTAGGGGCTGGCGTTAATGTTGTGAGCTATTACTTTTTTGCCCTTCCGCTGGGGATATCCCTTGCCTTCCAGTATAGTTGGGGGCTGAAGGGTCTCTGGGTCGGACAGTGTGTTGCGCTGTGGTCTGCCGGTATTCTGCAGTGGGTAATAGTATCCTGTACAAATTGGCAGGAGGAGGTACGCAAGGTCTTCAGAAGGTTGGAATACAACGGTTTAGAGAATGTTTGATGTTGAGAATATAATGAACCATTTATCGGTTGGAACATAACGCGCAATAACGCTAGGGTAAATAGTTTAGTGATCTGCATAAATGGGAATATGCTTTAGAACTCGGAGACATTAAAAGACATCGTAGCGTTAAGGCTGAATAAACTCCCAAGAGGGTGTATTAAGACCAAATACCTGCTGCAAACAAGAATAATGATACCATTTAGCTCTTTCTCGCTAAAAATTCGAGGAAATTGTGCGTTTAGACCAAAAGATCCCCTCGCGACATATGAGAATCTGGCGTTAATGCCTTCGAAAATTGCAACCGTGACCACAGCACGCTGAATGAGGTATTCGGATATAAGGACCAGGGCATCTTGCCTAAAAAGTAGTCTGTCTCAGGAACAGCTTGCCAACACCCGAAAGCCAAATACGATTTCTCTTCCCTGCTATTCGGGGTGATCTACTACTTGCTAATGTCACTGTCAAAAGTCTTACAGAATGCTGACATACAGCCAACCAATACCTCCAGCTCAGCAAAAGAATTTTGACAACAGCTTCGCCGGGCCATTCAGCGGCCAAAAAGCTTCGCTCCTGCGTCAACGAACAATTGTTGAATCAATTTCTTGGAAATGAGGGCTATCTATGGGCTTCGCGTGACGGCTGTATATTCATAAAGTGCATAGGGAAATGATTCCATCGTGTGCTTGCGTAAGGGAGACTGCGCCCGAGAGATTTCCGAATTCACCGGCTATACACTAGTCATAATTTGAGGAAAGCACAAAGAACTGGAAAAGTTATAGGCTAGTGGCCAGTCTCCACTCCCCTTTCCTTGATATAGAGCCTCCTACAAGAAGGAGATTTGTGACATAACACTTCTAAAGCCTTTCTAGAATTCCAAAAATATCAAAATTGCGTTGGACAACTTGGTTTCTCCTTTCAGCTAAAAGAGGTTTAATCAGTCAAAGTCACATGTTCCTATTCTCCAGGTAAGTCAACACTTCATATACATTGCTTTTCTCTCAAGCATACGTTTCTTCACTTCTCTTCAAAAAGGTACCTCATAAAATCAGCTATAGTGTTATATTAAAGCATACTAAAATGCCAACGAGTAACAGAAGACGCGACTAGCTCCGCGTCCATCTATGTATCAATCGCTCCACAACGACGCGGCAACAATTAGAGCCCGAGGGCCCGCATTGCACTTTCCACCCGGAAGGTGATGACGACTACGAAAAGCACTGTGATACCGTGATTATGCGCAGATTCATATGCCATGGCACTCCTTGTCCAATGAAAGGATGGCCTAGCAAGCACATTCCTATCACAATCAGGACCTTTCCGCCTTCCTGTGCGATAAGACGAATTATGTCTTAATGCTGAACTCACCACCGTATGCTATCCCGGCGGAGTGCGAACATCTAATATCTGACTTTCTTCCATTCTCCACTCTGGTTCGATTGTTCATCCCGCTGGTGTGTGTGGAAAATGCCCTCGGCCTATGCCGGCATAATCGCCAAGGACGAGACTTTTCTGATAGGCTTGCAAGTTGACAGGGCCCCCCTGGCTCTGACTTGTCCCACATACGCGTCTAGCATCGTCGGCACAATACAGCGAACCCCTGTACAGGTTACACTGCATGAGCCGTATCTACCAATCAGCTCCTGCTGCCGCAATGGTGTGTTGTCCTCCGGAAGCACAGCTGATGGTTTGAAGCGGGGTAGCCATCCCCCGAGATAATCTCTATAAGACCAGCAAGCCAAACATTGAGCTATACGCGCAATCTATTACTATCTGAATTCCCGATATCAACGCCCGATTCGAAATGCCACGCCGAAATCGCCAGGTCGAACAACCTTGGTCGCTCCACCCAAAGCTTCATGAGGAAGTAGCACAGTTGTTAGACGAGGACAGGATTGAAATCGACTTTTTTGACGTCGATGATGAAAAAAACAATACCAAGGAACGGGACACAAATGTTATGGGCCGTTTTGTGTGCCAAAACAAAGGATGCCGCTCTCTCGGTTGGTCAAGTAGCAAAATCGCTATTACGATTCGCATGTACCCTCATGGACTATACAACGCTCGTGTCTATCACCAGCGATGCAAACAGTGCAATATGATTGGTCGATTGATCCTGGATAATGGCTGTTATGCGGAAAGAGTGACATACTGGCTCAAAAAATGGAATGGCGTTGCTGTCAAGAAACCCAACCGCTCTGTTCAGAGTAAAGGTCCGCACAATTATGAGTTATGTGAAGGGTGCAAAGTTGGCCATTGCCCCAACTTGAGGGACGACTTGGAATTGGTGATGGCGAGGTAGGTTTTGCCCCAGGAGGCCCTGGATAGTAACTTACCCTCCTAGATTGACTATATGAGCGCCACATGTCTATCGGCAAGTCCGACTTGGTACCCTTGATCTGAGATTGTATCCGACCTCAGGAATGGGCAGAAAACCTACGTGATGTCAATTATAAATCGCAAGGTCCGTTCGCATTCCGAGGACTAATTTGGTCCAGTGCACGATAAGCGCAGGGTGAGAAACTGTCCAACCCATCTAACTTCAGATGAGTGCGAAGAAGCTATGCGTTTTTTCCTCCCTATTTTATCTTTTCTATCTAGATTAGGCTCAAATGCTACCTTTGATGTATCTCGTGCCCGCAAGAGATTTCCCCCTTCTTATTACTGCGCTAAGCGCCATTGGTATCTTTTGGACCATGGGTATTGAGGTAAGGGTCTCAACTATTATCATCAGCCAGGCGCCGAAGGTTGATGAGGGCATGTACCGTTCGACAGATTCAATTTCCGTTATAAAGAGCATATATTCACCCAAAATGTATGGCGGACAGAGGTACAATGCGAGAGTTTAGCAGCAAAAGTGTAAAAGCTGTAACCGCCCCAGCCGTCCGAAGCTGGACCATTCGTGCGAAAAGGAACTACTTAATGTCTTAAACAGGCGCTTGAAATTCTGCAAGAAGCCCCGCATTTTGCTCGGCCTATGGAAAATTCACACAACATGGATTAGAGTGAAGGCTGCAGAGCTGGGCACTGCAGGCCAGGGGATCATTCAGACCCAGGGGCTTCGGCGAATGCTCGAAGTTCGATGACCTATATGAAGGAGCTCATAAATTTTTAAACGCGATTGTTTGTGAACCTCCAAATATTTCTCGCCCACGCCAGAGTATCAAAACCCGAGTCCAACCTCCTTTATGCTGCTTAAGGCTACTCAGTTTCTCACGCAGCAAGCATGACAACCCCAAATATTCCTCCTTCTCTCAATCTTGCTCATTCATTACTTCTCTGCTCTAGATGGCAGTAGGAAGACATGGTGTCTGTTCCAGTTTTCATGACAGATGATCATCAAGTCATGTCACAACCGGGCGCCTTCAGAGATCGTGCGCCTCGGTAAGTACAGTGACTCTTTCCCTATTATAGTATTTATAGTTCATCTCTATGAGTCTTTAGTTGCGGAGTACGAATAACATTTACGAATAGTTCAGAAGCTGACGTGTGTTTAAACCTTTGTGTGATATCGCATTAACTTCCAAAAGCGCTGTCTCGCCACCTGACGATGGGAACACAATCTTTCGAGTGAACATCTTTCATAAATGATATAGTTCTTGATTCCTAGCCAGCGCCTAAAGAAGGTTAAAATTGTCAGTACATATTCTCTAATCAGTAGAAATGCTCCTGACTTGCATTATTGCATTGTAGCACGCAGTTTGATGGGTCCGACGTTCAAGGGGTCGGGGCTAAAAGAACAGCAGCACAAGCAGATTGGCAGGTTCCGAAAGCTGTGTTGCAAGCTATGATAGAGGCGGGAGCACTTAACCCTGCAGTAGCTCCCCAGGTGAAACCCGCAGCCGAGTAACAAGCCATGACCACTGTGGCACACCCCGCTTGGCACACCCCATAACCGGCCGGACCTGCGAATACTGCAGGAGCGAATATTGGCAAGAAAGACAAAATCGAGGAGGCCTTCATTAGCAGTTGACGTATTGTCTTTATAGAGATCTGGCAGTAACATTCTAGGTGGGAACAGGGAGTAGGGGGTCTATTTAAGTTTCATATTTCTCAGCTGAAGCAACAGGACCAGCACCCAAATATGAGGCCGGATAGTTACGCCAATCATAGAATTGCGCATGCCGCGTGTTCCGACGCTAAAATACTTGGGAATCATACTGCATGTGATGTGTTGCACACACGTTGTAATGCAGCATTTTTGAGGGGCACATACGTGGAAGAGCCCAATAGCATGGTCGGACCTCGAAGTCCTTCGCGTCTAACCAGACAAGCACCCGATTTTACCAGTAGTGAATGTCAATGCTACGTTGAAGTGCTTCTAATACAGGTATTCTTATTAAACTTGAGGTACAAGTCTAACCTTGCGAAAATCCACGGTGCAAGAACGGTTTACATATTCGGTCAGTTCATCCTATGAACGGCCGTGACATGCTTCAAAAAGCAGAAAACCATCTGTGCCCTAAGAAACAGATAGCTGTCACATAATATATATGTTTTTCCCGGCCTACCTACGGTCCTGGTACCTATAGCTAGGCTTTTGCTTCATGCTGGAGGGTCTCTTGTCTTTGGAAACGAAGGTCGTTGGGCCTGCACGGATACTAGCCTGCGTTATAGGGCCCGGAGAAAATTCAAGCAGTAGACTCATTTGTTCTTTGAATACATGTTAATCTCATGGTTGTAGGGAGCCCCATTCCTCGCTGCTCTTGAGACTAGGGATTAATAGGCCTTTAGTCAAGGGCAGTTAGCGTGTGGTGCCATGAGCTTCTACCGGTAAGTCAGGCATCTCATCAGATCAGAATGATGGAACATAAGCAGGTCATATGGATGAGCGGTAGCTAAAGATAATCTACGGTCGTCAAAAAATTGAGATGTAAAATAATAGATGTAAGTAGACATCATCTGCTTCTCACCCAGGTAGCTCATAGCTAACAGATAGTTATGTTCTTGTGGGCAATAAATAGTGCCTGTAAAGCGATCCTTGCGTATGCCTAGGGAATATGCTTCGTGAATTCCCCGACCTGAATTTGCAATGAATCTTCATTTCCCAACCACAACGCGATGCTTTTCATTTCTTGCGCAGTACGCTCCACCCATAACGTGGACATGTTTGCTACAGCACCCTGTAGAAAAATAAGAATTTGACTGCCATCTATACCTCCAGCTCCAGCATTTGCGAGCATGCCAAGCTTGGTTCGGATGTGCGTCTGTTTGACTGTCATATGACGATATGGGTTTTCTCCCAAAGCTGCAGGTCCAAGCCCGGGCATCCAGTTGAAGATCACCGATTCTGCGACTCTAGGCAGTGTCCCTTCCATGGAATGGCCAGTCTGCCGAGATAGTTCATGCCATGGAACAGTTGCATACTTTGTAAGGCTGTCCTGATCTTCTCGGATCCTAAGCAGGTACTCAAGCACCGTCTGTGTCGGTTGAAATTTCACCAAATTGAGAACCCCTCCAAATGTGGGTCCAGATACATCTGCAGCCTCATTGGCAGACACAAATGGAAACCCATCCCGAAGGAATGGTAGCCTTGCCCTCTGGGCTTCAAGATTCAGAAACACTGCATGTGTATGGTTGGTATGTAAGATGATCATTAATGCTAGCGCAGCTTTGAGGATCACTGGCGTGGTAATCATCGGATACCGTTTCCTTAGGGAGACAAATGCAGGAGCTTCGAACAAGATCATGTGCCCGTCGTGCATGCATCTTTCCGGGGCAACGATAAGCCGGCTTGTCGGATGAGGCCAAAGCACGTGTTTGTGTTCCTCCAGATCTGCCAAGTATTTCGAATGGAACTTCACTGCTGACGCTGCCATTGGTGATCTCCGGAGTATGTGATAAGTCTCTGTCCATGATTTGAAAGACGCATGCTGTTGAAGGGGTTGACCCCCCAGGGCTCGGTCAAGGTCTTCGTGGAGTTGCGAATGATACGTAACATCCAATATGGCATGCGCCGCTAGTTATGAATTAGAAGGCGAGTATAATGGGAATTATATGACACCTACTGTTGCTGATCACGGCTGCCGAGTTGGTCTCCCGAACAAAGACGACAAGACAGCGGAACAGTGGCCCCGGCAACATCGCATGGTCTTCGAAAGGGTAGTCCATCGCCAAAGTCCGCAATTGTTCGAGTGTATCCACGGAGTCAAAATTCAGAATGCACTTTTCGAGAATCTTTGTACTGTGGCGCATGGTCACATATAAACCAAGCTCTTTGTCCAACAACTCGTTGTCCGTAATGAGATACGAGAGCATGATAGGATGAACGAGCAAGGTTTTTTCGAGAGCTGCCCGCATTTCCTGTAATATGTCAGATACTGGAGGAGTGATAGCGGACCTGGGTGTTCTCGTACTTGTACGCTTGCATTTCGTGACAGAATTGTGGTACGGATGTTCCAGGTGTCAATTACTCGGGACCGACCAAGTATGTGAATAAAGTCTGTGCAGGGGAACACGTCTTTTACGTCTTCCCAAGAGAATTCTTGCTTCTCAAGAATCTTCTCAACTATCTCTTTTGTGATATGAAAAGCGGTCTCGTCGTCCCCTATATGAACCATGTCTTCCATCCTCGGTGGCCCAGAACGAATCTCCCCCTGAGACTTCGTAAGTTCTTCAGTATTGCCATGTACACGTGTTCCAACTCTCTCAAGTGTTTCAATCTGTTCAGCAATTGTAGGTATAGCAAGCCACTCTGTGAGAGAAATACCAAGCCCAGTCTGGCGTTTGATCTTCGCTCTGGCGCTGAGCATCAGTATACTGTCTGCTGCTTGGGTAACGGGGGCAGAGGTATCCAAACGGGAAGATTGGATCCCTAGTAATTGCGACCAGATAGCCACAATAGTAGAGGATAGATGGCTCGTATGTGCGGGTTCTTTAGCTTTCATATAGTTGGCAACTAGACCTTTCAGTTTCGCCATCTGTATCTTGCCAGAAGAAGTGCGAGGGAAACCATCGAGTCCAAGAGAATCTAAGGAGATCCATGCCCTGGGAGTATAGTGAACTCCAAGGTTCTTGCAAATGCTCTTCTGCATCATATCCTCCATGTCATCAGTCGTAGGTACTCTTGTCACAACAATGGGGACCTCGCCCGCGATGTCGTCCTCCCCTGCTACCACTTGTGGCTCCAGGGCAAAGAAGTGGGGATTCTGGCTCAATAAGTCTTCAATCCGGGAAGGAGACAAATTTTTTCCTCCACGAACAATTATATCCTTATGTCTTCCAACAATGTATAGCTGCTTATCATTGCCCATAAATGCTTGATCTCCTGTCACGAACCAGGTTCTGTTTTCGGAATTGTAAAATTCATCGCTTTCGCAGTTCATGTAGCCTTTGACCAGCGTCGCGCCCGAGAAATGAAGCACACCTTCGACACCTACAGGCACGGTTGAACCGTTTTTCGCGTCACAAACTCGTACCTGAGCCCCGGATATTGGCTTTCCGATAGCCACAATATCATTTAGCACTGCAGTGGTCAAATCTGCCATGGGTCCAGTGGAGATAAAGACACCTTCGGTCATGCCATAGAAGTTCTCCAGGGTAGAGGTACCAAGAACCTCTTGGCATCTTTGAACAATGCTTGGGTTTACAGTCATCCCGGCAAGTATCACGCTCTTCAGACTTGGAGTTTCCAAAGATATGTCCTCGGTCAGTTGAGCAAGTGCATTCATCATGGTCGGGACTACAGCCGCATGTGTACATGGCTCAATGCTCAAAGCGGACCCCATTCTCTCTGGAGAGAATTTGGGACCGATCAAAAGCACACATGCACCCCGTAGAAAGGGCAGAAAGGTACAAATATAGCCAAAGGCATGGTAGCTTGAAACAGCATTGGCGACCATATCTCCGGGTTCGATTGATCCCAAGCTCAACGATGGCTCCAATCCGTGAAGCCAACCCGTAGTCTCCGTTAGGCAGGCTTTAGGGATTGAGGTAGTACCGCTGGTGAAGAACACAGATAGCTCGCGCGAGGGCTTCGTGCTTTCCAGTATGTCTTTTGGATGGGAACTGAGACTTCCAACCAAAGACTCGAAAGATTCCCACGATTCAGGAGGCTTACCACAGCATATCTTTGTTGTTCTGTATCCAGTATTTATTGTGTCAACCATCTGGAGATTTTCCTCATTTCCCACAAGGACAACAATGTTCGAAGGCTCCATAGAGGCTATAATTGCTGTAATCATATCTTGGATCTCTTGAGTATTGCTCAAAGACTCGGATCCGATGGGTACATGGGTGCACCCTATAGCGTATGCAGCTAACGTGCAGATCACAGATTCCACTTGATTGTCACAAAAAGCAAAAAGCACCGTGTTGGTAGCCGCACCCCGCGCTATCAGGCTCTGCTTGAATTGCTTGACCCCCCTGGCCTAGGGTCTCATAGGACCATCGTAGATACGGAGCGTGTTGAGTTGCCGAGTCATCTATCGGTAGACTGTGGGAGCCATATAAATCGGGCGATTGATGAGGGCAGACAATGGCCAGGTTCCCGGGGTACTGCATGATCGAGTTCCTGAAACGTGCAACTATTGATTGAGGCTCATCGAGCCAGTTTGCCCCACAGGCCTCACTCAGGGAAACCATCGCAAATTGAATACAATATGATTGTCTTTCAAACAGGCAGAGAAATTGAGATGCTGCGCGATGTTATGGCGGAATCGATGAACTCGTTTCCAAGATGGCTTGGAACTGTTCTAGAGATATATAATCACTGGAATGAGGACAAAAGCGCCCAAATATCTGATTCTAATCTATCAGCGATGCCGACCCCGCAGTATGCAAGACAAGCACGAGATGCATTTGATGTTTGTGACCTATCATATTATTACGTCACCAAGGTTGAAAAGGTAACTGTTCCCGCAACCCCCGCTCGTTGCATTGCATTGCTGATCGCGCCACGTTCGCGCTATTATCTGGCATACATCTTGTTTCCTGCAGCTCCTCCCAACACCTAACGAATTGCTGTTTTTATTATCGCACAGATGGCCCAGATCGACCAACACAGCCAAGAGGCTTTCAAGTGGCCTAATAGGTCAAACTGACAGACGCTTGCTTGGTGGTGTGTAGATATCTCAGTGCTGATCCATGGAAATCGAGAGGGCACGAAGCCATCGCGAGTAATTCCATTACCGAAGCTGTCGTATCGGTGAGCTGGGCGACGATGGCAGAGGTCAAAGTCCTCCCATCGTATGAATTGAGTCGCTTGATAATAGTGGAGAACGGTTCCAGGCCATGGGACCACAACTTTCCCGTTTTTATTCTTGTCTGAACAAATGGATCAGTACGTAGAAGAATTCCAAAAGGCCAGCACTGACACCAAGAGCTACACTTCCCAGACCATACCATTTCAGGCATCCGTGATTGGGTCCACTCGTTGAATTCTTGTTGTGCCGAGAGTTTCACGCAGACAGAAAGGAGACTGTCGGTCTGCAGACGATGCAGTATCCGTGTTATGTAGTTTGAAGTCCTCTCAATGCCAGGGATCGCTGATCCATTGACAGGACAGATTGGGGGGTTAAATACTGTGATTCAAAATATCAGCTCGTGTGTTTGGAGTACTAGGCTCACCCACCAAAGAAATTTGGGAATTGAGCCAATGTAGCCGCCATATAACTTTCACATGGCCCCCAATCTCCCCAATTGTCGCTAAGGGACACCCCGTCTCGCCCTTGTACGAGGAATCGTGGTTGGTAGGGCTCAAATCTAGTGGCCTAAACTATTACATCACTCTCGTATTCCTTCCCGGATTCTGTAACTACAGAGTGCTTTCTCACTTGAATGATGCTGTCTTGCCTGTACTGTACGTTTGGTTGTTGAAGGGCATCCAAGTAGTGCCCTCCCGGAGTGAAGCGACGACACCCAGCTTCGAAGTCTGGCAATAAGGCATTCAATAATTCCGGATCTTGTATTTTCGCTCGCATAAATGTTTCGCACGTGTTTAAGAACCTCTCTTGCGAGACGGTCCCTTTCCAAAGACCGGAAAGCCCGGCAGCAACTTTCCTTTCAAGCTCGACTCGGTGAGAATCATAAAGTGTCTGGTTGTCTCGAAATGTCTTTCTCTCTTCTGCAGTATCTGGGATCAAAGTCAGAACCGTTCAGTAGTTGGGCTTCGGAAGAACAGACAACTCTTCTACACACTGCCATCGTCGGAAAACAAGTGAGGCACGATCCAGGTTGGCCCTCGTGCGATATTGATGAGCTGCGACACCACTGTGGGGACCATAATTAGAGTTGAGATAGCATTAAATTAGAATTACCAAGGGATTTTCTGACCTGGCTGTAGTGCTGGTACACATTGCACGGCACTGGCTCCATTTCCAACAACGATAACCCTTTGTCTCTGATATCAAGGCCTTCAGGCCATGCAGCGGTATGCGCAACCGTTCCTTCAAAGCTACTTAGTCCCTCTGTAGTGGGTATCTTGTAATTATTGAGTCGGCCAACGGCGTAAACCAAAACATCAGACTCTACAGCGAGCCATTCGTCTCGACTGGTATGTTGAAACTCAACTTCCCACCGTGATACTAATTCGTTCCATATGGCTGACACGCATCGCCAATTGAATTGAATGAATTGGCGCAAGTGGTGCTTGTCTACTGTATTCTCTAGGTAGGTACGTATCTCGGATGCCACAGGGTATAACTGGGTCCAATCATGGTTTGGAGCCCAGCTATATTGGTAAGTATGCGATGGGACATCGCAAGTGCACCTAATAAGTCAGCTTCTTGGAGTCCACCTAGCCACAACGGCGACATTGGGGGGTGTTACCCTGGATATCTGTTTTCATACCATGTACCACCTAGTCCAGGATTTTTCTCATAGACCTCGAGCTCGATTTCGGGTAACTCAACTTTTATATCTCGCGATATCTGGATACCAGAAAACCTAGAATTCGTTAATTAATTTTTTTTTATTCTTAAATCAGCCAGTGTTTTGGAACATACCCTGCGCCGATAACAATCGCCTTAAGCGGACGCGGCAAGAAGGCACCTGGCTGTTGATCCTTTGCGCTCATGGAGGCGAATGCTTTAATGCTTCTTATTGCTATGGATTATTATTCAGGGTGAAGAATGAGGGAAATCCTTTTGACACTGCGACTGAAAGTCGGTCAATACTGCTTGCTCGACTACAGTATCTTGTTGATATTTATATTTCCGTAAGCGCAGTCAACAACGATGTTATCTAATTATTTCCAGCTAGATCCACGTAGCTACACGCCGAGGTCCTTCTTACAGATGATAATGCAGGTGAGGGATTTAAATACCGGTTTTGGCGCGATCGTGTCGTTGGTTTGCCCCCACCCTCCACCACCACGTTGGTGTTGGTCTATTAGCGTACATTGTGAACCAAAGTTCCGTGCACAATGTAACTTTCATATGAAATTAAGTAGTTACCGTGCGATAGTTCCTTACCGGGCTGCTGAGATAACACCCTCAAAAGCTGTAACAGAGGTTCGGTTTTGAGAAGTCTTGAGCTACAGCTTATTGAATCCCCAGTGAAGTGCAGCTCCAGTCAAAAGAGAAATCCCTGCCAAGCAATCGACTTTTTATTCAAGGGCACGTCATCCAAGCACATGCGATTATGGAGTACCCTGATCATTCCCAAACAAAATTGGACAGCGCATTGCTGTACGCATGTATATGTTACACAAGAAAGGTCTAATCCGATAAAAGTATTCGGTTGGGGTCCTACCGCAGATGTGGGTTTTAAGCTAGCCATAGTGGTTCATCCGAATAACTTAAGAGGCAAAGGGTCGTTACCCCACTTGAGAGAGAACTTGATCTAGTCAGAAAGTCGCCAGTACTGAAAGTTGCTGCTCAGGCCTTGACTCTTCTTGGGTCACTAAGCAGACCATTTGGTAAGTAGCGGAGAAGCGTGCGTTAGAACTTTGCTGGACGGCCTGTACTAATAGAGAGGCTCGTCCTAGGGAGTCAACCCACGCGAACAATTATCCTCATAATGGATAGTATGTTGATGCACTTGGCTCGGCCTACCTTCTGGACCAGCAAACACCAGCCCTTCTCGCAGGAACGAACCATTCTAGCTAAAAAGAAAAAAAGTAAGAAGTTTACAAAGCCTCCCGTAAGTCCCCGCTCCTAACATCGCCTGGAAGATTACCATTCCTGGTTTTAAAAAGCCCACTGATGCTGCAAAGAGATCCCTCTGAATGTGCTATGTACATTCCAGGGGTCGCAGGAGAGGCGATATTCCCCGTGATTGACAGCGCAAGTAGGCTGTAGATCACAGGCTGTTGCGCTGGTGTCTCGGTCGAACACAGAACGCATCTCCCTCCCTTTTTGGAGTAGCACCTGTATTCAGGCAATCCACACTGTTTCCATGTTTTTGCTTTCGCCGTGGAAGTCACCAAAACGGCCGCCGGTACACACATTCTAATATGGATTCCCGAATAACAGAAACCACGTCAAATAATATGTACAATAGATTCATGGTTTCTCGATGCAATGCCATGCGCCTCCCTCGATACTCACAATACCCACAAAACCCTAAAGTAGACGGGTCCCCGACTCCCCGATAAGCAGCTCCTTCGGGGTTGTCGGAAACTCACATAGTTTGCGAGCGCTCCACTTTGATACCGCATGATGCGCAACTGGATGTAAAGGTGGCGGGGATGACACCTTACTTCTCATACATCCGTAAAATATACGCGGCGTGTACACACAACCACCATGGTAAATATAGGACAACATCAAGAAACACAGGGGATTTGCACCATTCAACCATGTTATACGGAAGCGTAATAGCAATCTGTTTTCAAATCTTATATTTCTTGACATGATTTAACATAGTAGATCTATTATTTTCCCAAACCATAGAACACTAGCATAGAGAGATAAAAGAAAAAAAGTGCTTTACGTGACCACAAATAAGAACTGATCAGAGCTGACAGGAAAAGCAATCAAGTACACATGATGCAATTAGTACAGCACTCAATATACTAGAAATGTCAAATGACTGCAGACACATCAAACATCTGCTCCCCGACTAGAAATATCCGAACAAACCAGCAATCATAGCCACTAGTATAGGCGGAAAGACCCAGTGTTGTGTCTCGCCGCCTCCGATAACCAATCGGCTAACGAAGCCATCGGTGACAGGTAGTGTTAGGGCTGCACACAACCCTTTGGCCAATAGTTTCTCATCACCAGTCGACCACAGGAGGGAGACGAGGAGGCCGACGGATATGTTCCGCACGCCCCAGATACGCATGAGCGCATGGCTGAAAGTTTTAGCCTGGGGCTCGCTAGGTACGGGGAAACCAAGGCTTCTGAGGTGAGCTTGGGGGCGTAGGGTGGCGTTTGTGCCGAGTGAGATGAGCATTATTCCCAGGCCGAGGCTGGTATTGAAGATTATAGGGTGCGACATGGTAGATATGGAAGAATATTGTAAAAAACAAAGTTGCGTTATTTCGATGACAGTAGCGATAGGAGCGACTGAAAATGAGGCTTGTGAAGTTCGAATCTGGGCTTACCTACGAGAAAGAGGTCAGGTTATATAGGAACTAGTTACGGAGCCCTGTAGCGCGCTTATCCACAGAATGGGGGCCAAAATAAAGTTATGGGGGCCAAATTAACGTTAACTCCGGGGCTTACCCTATATGCGTAAATCCGAGGGACCGTGTAGGCGTAATCTTCGCAGTTAAATTTATGGGTCAGTTCGGAATTACGCTTATGGGATCCCTTCGGAGTTACCCTTACGGGGTCCCTTCGGAGTTACGCAATATATCAAACCCCGAAGCTCGTCCAGCGGGAAGGCTGATGGGCCCCAGGTTGCCGAGTAGTAGTATTTAAAGCTATGGTTTCCTCCCACTATGGTCTCTTGGTCCATTGAAAGGAGAAACTTTAAATTTTTGCCCATAATATCCCAGATCAATAGCATGCCTTGCGACGACTGCAAGAAGGGTTTCCAGTGGAACGGTATTCCAGCCGGCAAAGAAACCACTCTCAACGGTGCCAATGCCTATATCACTGGTGACTCCCAGAACACCGCTGTTCTCATTTTAACCGACTTCTTTGGCTATACCCTCTCGAACATCAGGCTACTTGCTGATCATTACGCCACCGAGGTTAATGCTACGGTTTACATACCAGATATGTCAGTTTTTCTAATACCACATATATGGTCAATAAGCTCACTATGTGCTATTCCAGCTTTGGTGGAGAATCCGTCCATCCCGATGCTATGACGGATCCTGAGATGCGAAAGACGTTCAATCTAGGAGCCTTTTTGAGCCGGAACACTAAGGAGATCCGCTGGCCGGAGATTCAAGCTGCTGCGAGGACCCTAAAGCAGCAGTACGCCAGGGTAGTGGCTGTAGGCTTCTGCTACGGTGGCTGGGCGTGCTTCAAACTCGCGGCAGAAACGTCTCTCATCGACGCTATCTCAGTCGCACATCCATCTGGGCTTGAGAAGTCTGAGATTGAAAACGTCAAAGTACCTGTGCAGGTCTTGGCCCCGGAGCATGATCATGAGTACACGGAGCTGCTGAAAATGTACACTTTTGAAACACTAGCGAAAGCCGCTGTAAAGTGGGAATACATTCACTTTCCAGCAGTGGGGCACGGTTTCGCGTCACGGGGGAATCCGGCAGATCCGACGCAAAAGGACGCATTTGAGAGGGCAAAAGAGGAGCGTCGTTCACTTTTTCAACGAGTTCGCGCACTAGAAGTTATGCTTTACACATGTATGGTACGGTGGTCACCTGTACTTACACTTTATTCATTGTGGACATTTGTCTAGACTTAATATTGATCAAACCATGGGAATGATAGCCGTCTGCCTAAAGTATAGATTTTTATATTTCAGCCAATAAGAGTAGCGAAGAACATGATCTTGTTCTGGAGTCCAGACTTAGGGACCACTCGAATCTTGTCACAAGGCCAAAATACATAATATTAGCTATAAAACCCAGGACCATGGCGTTCAATCTTGTGGCCATTTTCGTTGGTATATCTGAACTAACGACCAATGTCTCCCACACAAGGTAACATCATGAGTACTTCTGAAGACACTAGTCCAGTAGCAGTAGTATCCTATCTCATACATGAAAGAAGCATAAAGTATGACACTTCGCCACAAAGCGGGATGCTCCTTACTTAATAAATAAGTGCTGGCTTGGATCACTTGGGCACCTGCGAACATTACTGACCATGTCTTTAAACATGCTCTTCGCCGTATCCTCTTCAATCCGAGACGCATTGTACTGCATACATATTTCCACCGCTTCATTTGCCAGCGACTGAGATCGCAAGTATATTTCAACACCAATACATCGCCCAATCTGTCTTTCTATCCCTAGAATCTGCCATGGTGTCTCATCCTGTGAAAGTGTAAGGGAACTGCCAGATTTGGGTGGCACCAGTTGACCAGGCGAGACAATGATATTCGATGGGATCCCACTGTAGGGTTCCGGTCTGAACAAAGACTAAAGCTTACTCTTTCTATCTGAAAGGACAGCCCTTTTATAAGGGGGTTCGCCAGGGGTTTGGCCCCGACTCAGGTTTCAGCCCTAATCTAACCAATGGGATGTAAGAGAGTCCCGGGGCCCCGCTCCCCCGGCCTTGAAGGGTGCAACCTGGGCCCAAAGGGTCCCGATATATCTTCAAAGGCACATCCAATGTTGATTCGATGGCGTTTCACCATCGAGTCCCATTGTTCCTTGACAGAAAGCTCTTCATGTTCAATGTTGATATCCAAATGTTGAACCAGGCTCCCGAGTAACGCCGTAGGACCCCAAGACGTGCAACGGCTGGTTATCTCACCTAATGGTATATTCTCGAAAGGAATCGTGTCGAGTATCCATTTCTGGACGACATTCAGGAGGTCCGTATACGTTCTGCACTTATGTAATTTGACACAAGTGGGAATAACATTGATGCAGGGCCCGACCACATTTGCAGAGCGATGAAATGACATGTTTCGTCCGCTAACGGAGCCAAAGAAAGTGACATCTTGATTGCGGGTGGTATTCCGCAGACTCAGGGCCCACGCAGTGTAGAGAATGACAGCGAACGTGAATTGACTGCGTGAAGGAGCAGTGACTCTCTCCACGAAGCAGCCGTCCGGTATCATAGATACCGAGGACCCAGAGCCAATCACAGTAGGTTTTGATCCCATCAACTTCTCGCGCCAAAAATGCTCGCATGCAGGACTGACAGAATTTCGGGACAAATATTCTGCAAACTGCGAGAAAGGTGGACCGGGGTCTGGCTGCTTGCCGTTGTATAGGTCACGGTGCTGCTGCAAGAGTAACCTCACAGACCAAGCATCGAACTGACTGTGATGTATTCCGAATGAGAAATGGCTCAATTTACCACCTCTGAGACAACGAAGCAAAACTCTGCCAATCGTTGGTCAAGGTAGTCTTTCTTGAAAGTTTTCCAGTGGGCTTCTGCTCCAGAAATTACATCAAAGTACAAGAACTGGGCGGAGGTATCGTCAGATGAAATCACCCCTACCGCTCTTTCAGGTTCAACGGTAATCGAGAACCTTGTTCTCAAAATCTCATTATTTTGTATCAGCAGCCTGCATGCCTTTTCAAGTTGCTCTAAAGAAGCGGTTCCATGAACTTCGTAGATAAAGCGAGCATAAACCCCTTCGGGAACAGGTGCGCCATTGTCAAGCACATTAGCTGAGTCGACGTTGCCTTGTAGCATAGCTTGGCAGAAGTCATATCGTTGGATGTGTCGACTGTCGGATGAGCAAGAGTCCACGCTTCCGGCAATGTGGAGGGAACCATTGGGCGGCCTCCTGCGGCGCGATCTGGGTGGTTGACTCATGCTCCCCGGATAAGTTGATTCCCATTGGCTCCGTTGGCGAGATCGTCATCGAGGGTCCACATCTCTCCCGTGGCTACGCGACCTCGATCAAAATTACCAGGCCCCAGATCACAGGAAGCCAGCTGGAGTTCTGCTAGAAACGCCCCTATTTATGGCGGAGATCCACCCAGAACGACATTCGATCCGGCTGTATAGATCTGGTAATCTGGCACGATGGAACCATGACGGCCGCATCGACTATATCGGACGTAAGGACACTATTATCAAGTTGGATGGGTGTCGGATTGATGTAACCGAGGTAGAGCCACTGTCAAGGAAATGCCTTTCGCTTAAGGACTCGATCGTGGTCGAACTATTAGGAGAAATTGACGGCAAGAAAAATCCTCGGCTGACGGCATTCCTAAACCTTGATGAACCTCCTAGTAGCTCTACGTCAGGAAATCCGTGCTTGAATGGCGCGGTGTTTGATCGAATCGCATCCAAGAAAGCAGTTTATATCAATGCGTTCGTTGCGGAATCACTGCCATGCTACATGATCTTGACTGTGTTCCTGTTGGCCACATGAATGCCAAGGACAGCCTCAAACAAGACAGACCGCTGTAAGATACGTCTCCTAGGATAGGCCTATCTGGAAGATCAGGGGCGACGAACTAAGGCCCTTTCACAGTCCAATAACACCTGCTTCTTCCTTGAATTCTCTTATATCCTAGTGGCCTTTGTATCGGGGGCCCAATGGTCGTCGCGCGCCCCTGATTGGCCGCCTGTGCGTGCTCCCGCCATCCGTCATACATGGCAATCTCTTCTAGGTCCTCTCTCTCTCGCTCTCTCTCTCTCTCTCTCCCTTCCCCTCTCCTAAATCTCGGGAGTAACCCTAATTCCTTCTTGTATCTACAGTCTAGATCAATCTCTATCATCCCGACCAGGATGATAATCTCGGTCCCGATCTTCTCACAGATAAGTCTCTTCTCTAAAGAATAAGATCTTCTCAATCCTCCTAATTAAAGATACTAGATAGGAATAAATATATAACTATCTAATAACTATATAATAAGAATAGATCGATTTTCTGTATCCCCCTCTCTCCCTCCCCTTTTTTTTTTCAGTTCTAATTTTAAACTTCCTTCAGGAGATATAGGATCCTCTTCTCCCTATTTTTGTCCTTAAAGATATTACAACTTTATATATTTCTCTTGATCTTAGGCTAGAGGATAGCCTATATCTTGTTACTTGTTACCATATCTATTATAACAAGATTTATTAGTAGAGGATCTTAGTTTAGAAATATCCCTCGATATAGTAGTATACTCTAATCTCTTTCCCTCTTACTTAAACTATAGTATAAAAAAATATATTAAGTCTTAAGATCTTCTATCCTATAGGGGTTCCCAGAGTGAGGGCTGATCCCAGGTTTAGCGTGGAGCAGTGAAAAGTCTTAAGTATGGGTAGAAAAGGCCTTATTAGCCTAATTCTAAAACTTTTTTAGAGGCTAAATCTAAGATAATCTACTCGATAGATTCAGGTGAAAATTTGGGAAGTTCTAAGTTCGGCAATTTAATGTAGGGTGTGTTTTAAGTATAAAGTGATTAGAGTAATATTGGCGGTGGAAGGGTTGATTAAAAACAACAGATTTTAGGAATTTATTTTGATAAGATATAACTGTAGATAAAGGTAGAGACCTACTTTTTGTATAAATAATAACAGTAATACTGGTTATACCGGCTATACTAGCTGTATTACCTTTAATATGTCGGAGTTTTTTTCAAGGGTAGGGGTTCTATTTAGCTTAATATAACTACTTATTAGATCTAGAAAATACTTAATAGATTTCTAAGAGAGATAGATCGGTTCTAGAGCTATAAAATATATTATATTCTATAATTTATTAATAATATATTTCTAGATATAGATAAATATATATATATATTTTAAATATTATAATCTATATAATAATATATTTCCAAAAATTCTTTTTATAAACAGAATCCTCTCTTTATCTATATAGATATAGAATAGTTTAAAATAGAAATCTAATTTATATATATCTATATCTTAATTATTATATTTATATATAAAAAAATTAAGTTATAAAGAAAGAGATATAATATATCCTCTAATAAGAAAGATCGAAAATTTAAAAGATATCTCTAATTTATTATAATCCTAGATAAAAAGTAGAGAAGATCAAACTAAAAGGGATCTTTTAGAGAGGTCTAAAGTCCCTAGACCCCAACTTGTTGGATCCTAACCTATTAATATAGTATCTAGAGGACTATTATAAAAGTTTTGACTATCTAAATAATCTTTATAACTGCTAAGATAAGGTCTTTTATAACAATAACAAGATCTATTATAGCTATTATCAGATTTTTTAGGATAATAATAATCTCTATAATAGTAGTTATCCGATCTTTTAATATAATAGAATTAGAGATATAGATCGAGATAATCATAATAATTAGGCTAATAGTGGTTATAAGAAAGATCTTTACACTTATAATAATTAATCTAAGACCAGGCTATATAACAGATATTAAGAGAGATATTTTTTAGAGCTATTATTAATAATTAGTTATTAATGCTATAGCTAGAAGGCTAGGTGGGGGTTACTTATTACTAGTTTATAGGAGATATTAGATAAGAAGATAGTGTTAGTTAAGATAGTAATAATAGTAAGAGTAATAGTTTTAGCAAGATAAGTAGAGATAGAGATAGAAAAAGATAAGAGAAGAGAAGGGAAAGAGGAGGAAGAGAAGATTTTATAAATTTAGAGATTTATATAATTTAGATTATATATTATTTATTATATACTATTTATTATATACTATTCACTATACAATATTCACCATATACTATTTATTATACACTATTTACCACATATCATTTATCACATATTATTTATCATATATTATTAACTATATATCATTCACTATATACCATCTACCATACATTATCCATCATATACCAGCCACTATCATATTTACTACTTTTCTACCATATTTATTACCTTACCATCATATTTTAAGCTCAAAAGATATAGCCTGATATTTTAGGCCATCTCTAGCAATATACCTCTTGGCTATATACCAGGAAGCCCGGTTTTAAGCTTAAAAGTTATAGCCTAACAATTTAGGCCTCCAAATTTCTATTATTATATAATATATTACTACATAATATACTAGCCTAGTTTTAAGTTTAAAAACTAGAGCCTAGCAGCTTAGACCTCTAACCTTTAACTATATAACATCAGAAGTCTGAGAGACAATAATAAGACCAATCAGCCTAGAAGATATATATATTAAATAATAGTCTACCCTACTATAACCTTAGCTCTTATAAGATATATATCTTTACTAGCTCCTAACTACTATCTAAACTAGATTCTCTTTTTTATCTCTCTATCCCAAAACCCTCCTTCTTTGATCTAACTATACTAGATCTCCCATATACCTACCCTATAACAGACTTCGATCTAGCCTAGATTATACAGAAATACTTTTAGTTAGTATATATTATACAAATCTTAGTATATTATTAGTACTAATATATCATTCAGCCTAGCAAGATTATAGGCTATCTCTAGAAGCTCTATTATTATCTCTATATCTTAATCAAAAAGATGGTTATATATTATATCTAGTAAGACCCGATCTAGCAGCTATATAAGAGCCACAAGTTATAATCCCACAAGATATTATCCTCTATCTCTAGGCCAATACCAGGATTTAAGCTCTACTACCAGACCCTAGCCTATTATCTCAACTCCTAGAACTATATCTTTATATATAACTTCTAGAAGACCTTCTATAAATATCGGTTAAAATAATACTAGATAATCCTTAATAATACTATCTCTATAATATTATATCTAATATTATATACCTACCCTAGTATATATTAGATAAACTAATGTTTTTATTACTAAAGGTCTAGATCTCAGTACTTCTAGATTATTAGTAAAAAAACAGATAATCTAATATTATAAAATTATATACTAGTTAATAGTTATCATGTCCTGGTATATCTAGAATAAAATATAAGAAAGGATGTCAGCCTCAATTTATATTATCTTAATATAGATCAGATATCTATAATATTTTATAATATACTATATTATCTATACCATTCCATACATCACCACAAAGATAGTCTAGAATAGACTTAAAAGAGCCTCCTTTATAGATAAGATTACTAGGATCTAGAGCTATTTAGGCAGCTAGTCCTAGAAATAATGACTCTAACTAGTCTGATAGAGCTAGAGACTCTTTTTATCAAAATCAAGTGGCTCTATAAGATGATTAATAAGATAGAATATCTACTAGTATTATATCTTAAGATCTATAAAAAACTAGTCTAAGACCTATATCTTTATATCTAGGTTTATAAAAAAACTACTTGTATATAGATTGATCTTACTATCTTTAGCTCTCTTTACTAGTTTAACTGGTAATAGTAGAAGACCTAGAGTTATCTATAATATCTAGTTAGTGTTAGGCTTCTAAGTAGTGTTATAAGCCTAGAGGAGAGTAATAAAAAAAGGTCTATAATATCTCTGACCTTTTTTTATTTATAGCCCCTCAAGATAATATATCTTGATTTCTATCTAGAGCTCCTAAACTAGTAGATCTATACTAATAAGTATAAATATACCCTGATATATATACTTATAATACTCAGAAGGATAGTTATTGGATGATAGATATCTAACTTATATCCCCCGATCTTGTTTTACCTAATCAAGCTTGTCTAGTTTATGGTGTTTAGATAGGTCTTTTAGCTAGATCTTTATATATTATAGATTATAATATATTTCTACTACTAGTAGATGTTTGGTGATCTACTAATTACTAGCTTCTTTGATAATCTAGACTATCACTATATCTATAAAAACAAAAGATATAAGAGTTTATCATCTTTATCTCTGGCTAACTACTATCCTAGCAACAGCTAGCCTATTAATAGCTCTCCTAGTATATCCCTTTATTTTAGCTAGATCTAGTGCT